CTGGTAGACGAGGTGTTTCTGGAAGCATTTTTGGAGGTAATATGGACCAGGATTGAGATTATTATTCCTGTTTTACCTCCTCTTCCTATAGTTGCTTTACCTACTCATCTTCAAAGCAAATACTTTGGTATTAATCCTTTATAGATCTTGAAGATCTCTATAAAGCAGTAATACTGCTACTAGTATCCCTACTAGTAGGATTCCATACCTTTACCTGGTCAACTGTTTCTGCTTTCCCAATATTAAATTTAACCTACCTTCTAGTCTTCGAACACTTCCTTTTTAGTATATCTAGAGTTATTGGAGCATAGTTATCTTTAAAAGGTTCCAAAACTAGTAAGATCTCCCTATATCAGGTAAATGACTCTAGAAGCCTTTATATTAGTTATAATACTGGCATCCTTTCAAAAATAGGTTGACCAGCATATAGATTATTCACAGTAAAATAGTTAATTATCCTTTCATATCTACCCTGCCTAGACTATTCCTCTACACTAGGTCTTACTATCTCCTCCATATCCTTGCTAATCGCTCGATTGTTTCACTTGGCGATGGTTTTGGAAACAGCCCCGGAGGCAGGCCCAGAGGCAGGTGGCCGCTCGGGTATGATGAGTTTGATACCTGCCTCTGGGTCAGGTAGGGTGGTTTTAGAGACAGCCCCAGAGGCAGGTAAGTATAGAAATATCAAGTTGGCACCTGCCTCTGGTTCTGGTAGGTTTGGTTCAGGTAGGGCTGGATTAAGTATTAATGTTTGAATTCTTCCTGTAATAACTTTATTATTATTTGCTGATAATAAGGTTTGGTGAGATGTACTATCATGAGTTATTCTTCCCCTTTTAGTATTAATAGATGTAGTTGCTCTAGATAGACTATTATTATTTAGTTTTAGTCTATTAGGAAGTCGTGGTTGTATTCTATCTATTCTATTAGTATTACCTTCATCAAACATCATATCCCTTGACCAAATTATCTTCCCCATATCTGGATACCACACCTTGTAGATGTGATCTCCATTATATCTAACTAGTCGACTAATTTTTGCTCTAGGCAACATTTTCATACTTTTAACCCTATCCTTGTATGGGATATTCACAAATGCCTTGCATCTCTATACATGAATATGTTATAGATTAATGTCTCTAATTAGGATATTTAATCCTTTATAAAAAAGTTGTACAGGTGGCTTTCCTTTATTATTACCTTTCCTAACCAACCTATTCAAAATATGGACCGCTGTATCCATACTATACAGCCATATAGTCGGTTCCATTTTTGCTTGTATGCATATTGTGCGGGCAGTCTGGATCACATAGCTACCAAACTATTTAATAGCGCTGTTTTCCTTGGGGGTTCATGGTGGTGTTGGTTCATATATAGTGCCAAAATCCTTACTCCACCTAGCATACTCATTGAATTCAGGAGCAGAGTTAAATCTAACCCTTCTAACATGGATACTAGTTATATTCAGCCAATTATTGTGCATTTCCTTTAATGCCTTTGAAGATTCACTTTTCGCCTTTAAATATTGTGCAAAAAGGCATCTAGAATGATTATCTAGAACCAGTAGGACATACCTAATACCATCTCTTCTAATTGGTTTGATTTCTTGGAGATCCATATATATGAATTGCAATGGTTTTGTCGCACGTGGTTGTGGTTTTCAGGATATCTTTTTCTTTGATTTTGACAATTGACATGCTTTGCAGTGTGGTTCAGTATTCTAATTAGTAGGCAAGTTGTCAGTGGCTGAGTCATCATTATAAAGCATTGCCTTATTGCGTTTTAATTATTTGATAGATAGATGACCTAATCGTCGATGTAATAAGTCTATTGGTATGGTAGGCATGACCACCGCCTCATTTAGAACCAAAAATGGGACATTGTTATCCAAGACAGTATATCTAATTACCTTATCTATTACCATCTCACAAATGTATTGATTTTTCAAGTCAAAATAGATTCCTAATTCCACCTTTATTCTTTCTGCTAGCATCAGGTTGCATGGCACATTTAGATTCCAAAGATATTCTATTTAGTATGATATTAAAGTACCATCATCTAATTTGAATTGAATTATTACTTTTCCACGACCTTGGGGATATACTACCTTGCTATCAGAGGTAATAAAACCATAATTCTTGAAGCTATTTAGGTCTTTAATTAAGTTATTAAAGAGATCATAATTATTGTATACTGCATAGCCTGCTCCAGAGTCACATAGCCACCTATTCCTAAAGGTAGTTAATATTAAAGTTATTGGTATATTAACTTTAGATAGCATAAAATTATTAGCATCTGGAATAGTATTAGCTTGTACAGCTAGGGTAATAGCTTAATTTTAGGTTGAATTATTCCTATTCTTCAACTTATGTAGCTTAAAGTACCAAAATATTAAAGTTGGTCTCTACCCTTCCTTCTACTTATTAATCACTAAATATAGGCAGTCCTTAGTATCATATTTTTCCTCCTTATAAAATAGGCATAGCATTCCAGGTTTCCTTAATTACTTTAACTAATAGTTAATATAGCCTATAACTATCATATTCTATAGTAGTACATGTTTCTGTTATTACTACTGCCTTCTTCTATTTGTTAGTTGAGAACTTAGTGTATTCATGGCAGGCATAGCAGTATTAGACATAGTATTTAATAGTAGATTCTCCCAAACTTTGTCCTTTACCGCGTTACATATAGTATAAAAATGCTTCCATGTTGTTATTTTAATAGGATTGTTACCTAGGTTATTCAAGGTTAAATCCACGAAGCTTATATTATCCCTTTTAAGCTCCTGAAGCATTACAGCAACTACTTAATAGAGTATAATAACCATTTTCAACCTATTAGAAGTATTTGTCTTCCGGATAAAGTCTGATATAAACTTATTAATAGTTGCATAGTTCTTATACTTGATCTCGACAGCTTCTCTCCAGGTCCGGTATACATATCTTTAACTACTACTAATAACTATCCTTTGTAACTTCTGTATAAAATTATCTGTAAAGATATATGGGGCAGCATCTATTAGTAGTTCCTCTACTAGTTTCTTGCTTATTAAATATAGCATCCAACTAGCTACTATTTATGAAAGAAGTTCCCATAATTCGTACTTAAGATTATTAAGTTATAGTCTAGGAATATTACTTTCAAGAAGCTTATCTATCTTGTGAAGCCTTAACTCTGTTTATGCAAATAAAGCCCAAATTTTAAATTTTGAATTATTTTCTAACACCATTATCAGGCTCAAGTTGAATGTGCCATTCTTCAGCTTTATTGCTTAATTTTGGCTATTAGTAAACAGGGTAGTAGCCATCGAAGGTAGGTGTGGTAAGTTAGGGATGTCAGGGTATCTACCAGGGGTAGGTTTAGTTGCCATTTTGGTTAAATTATGGAGATTTTCCACACACTATCGCCCAGGTAGAGTAACACAACAGCAGTACAGGTGGTGTACTACAACAGTAGTAGGTAATATTTCTGCCAGGATCTCTTTCCAATCAGGGAGTAGATCACTGTACAGGGGTACAGGGGTATGATAAGAGTTTTAGAGGTCTATGAAGCATAAAATAGAACCTCAAGGAGGGCTCATAACCTGATAAGAGGTTGTCAAACTATGACAGTAGAAGTTGACCAAAATGGATTCAATTGGTCTAACTAGGAAATAGAGAGAAGGAGATGCTTGGAGGAAGTATGGAGATCTAGAAGGAAATGGTGGCCTTAAATACACAGAGTAGTCACGTGTCGCTATCTTCTTCTTTATGGTGATGCTGCTTTATGGTGGTGCTGGTTGCATTCACTGAGTGCAGCACTCCAACATCTATTTAGATAGATAGGTAGATAGATACGCCCACTAGCTTAGCACGCCCCTATACCCCTAGGGAGGTCAGGAGCCTCGGGCTCACGCCCGAGGATGCCACGTGGCGTTAAGCAATACAACAACAACAACAACAACACTCCATCCGCCTAGTGTGGAGTCAAATTTGGTGGGCGTGGACGGGAATCGGCGCGAAGAACGACCCAGGCTTAGTTTCGTATTCATCAACAATCGGAGCTGCGAGCATGAATATGAAGAGGGTTGTGACCATGAGTGTCTAGGAGCGCATGTCAGCGTCCACCCGTAACCACTCTGTCTGATGTGCTCCAGTAGAATTAGATCCATTGAAGTAGATGGGGCTTGAATGTCTTACCATGTGCGATCCTCTCGTCTCGGCCCGCCATAATCAAAGATAATACGGAGTATAACATGTTATAATAACATGTTATAATTTCCAAGACGCTACTGCAATGCTTTTGATTGGAGCAAGATCCCTGGTCTCTCTCGTCCTGGTGGCTTCATTTTACTTGCACAGCTCATCATTATCCTTGAGCTTCTCCGATGTCCCCACACTAGCCTCCTCATCGTTCCTTTGGCTTTCTTTCTTTCTTTCTTTTTTAATTTCCCTGCTTCGTCTCCCCTCCCCCTTAATACTGTGTATATTCTTCTAGCTTCTTTAGCCTCTTCACAACTCTTAAACTACCTAGATCCTTTGACAAGAGCATCTGTTTTTATCCATTGACCCATCAAGCAGATCCTCATCCTTTTTTTTTTTTTTTATACCCTGGCAGAAGTGCAGGGAAGGAACAAGGACTACCGCTGCTGACAACCCCCGCGCAGATTGTTCTGCATCAGATTCTCTTCAAGAACGCATAGTGATTTACCCGGATATAAATCACAGAAACTGTGATAGCTGGCGTACTTGAAGAAGTGGGCTGGGTTCCCTTTGCTCCCTGTCTAAGAACCATGAACTAGACCTGAGCCTGTTTAGCTCTGGAGCTGGCTCTTCGGACCTCTCTCTCTCTCTCTCTTTCTGTTTTCGAAGCCGATGGAGTTTGAATCCTGCGCCACAGGACAGGACTCGCACTACCCGGGGTTTGGACCCGCAAAATCTTTGGGCAGTCTACAACCGTATATGCCTTATACATACCAGAGAGACAACGAACCTCATTGCGAACTTACGATCACCTTAATGGAGCCTTTATCCGACAGCTCGGAGCAATCCGTAACTACTTCCGCTGGCTCGGAAGCGGAGGAACTTTCAATCCACGAAGAACCGAACAAGAAAAGCGCATCTCCCATACATCCAATCTCACAGCTACAAGGGCCTTTTGAAGAATCTATTAGCGAAGCCGCTCAAGGAGCAGAGGATGAATGGGTGGTCGATCTCGATGCTCAAACCCGACGCAAGAATCTCCTGCAAAACCCTCAATATGAACGACTTTGTGGCCGGAAATGGCGCCAGAGAGCCGGCGAAAGGTGATAGACCAGCAATCTGATATCCAAGGTCTACCCGCACTAATTGGCTGTAGGTACCATCCATTTTGGAAGCTTTCTGCTCAAATGTCCTTTGGCGTTCACCTCCTTGTGAAGAGGATTGCCAAGTCAGATGCTGAAGTGCTCAGAATTCTCCAGGCGCATGTGGACGAGATGGATGGATTTATCTCGCGGACAAAGGAGGATTTCCTCATTATACAAATTGACGTCCGCACTCGCATTCAGTATTTGAGGTTACCCCTCGAAAACCTTGACGTTTTCGACGAAATGTTGGAAGATCGCAGCTTTCGCCTCTCTATGATAGGCTATAACGAGAAGATCGAACACGCGATTGCAAGATTTACGGAAGCGGTCAGTGATTCTCTCAAAGACATACAGAAGGGAAAAGAAGCCATTGGTGGACTATGGCAGTATCTTGGACAATCCTCCAAGGAAAGCGCCCCGCTATCAAGCAGCCTGGCTGCCGTTTATAACTCTATGATGGCAAATGCAGAGGGTTGGAACACAGCCTTTTCAAATCTTCGTCGGAAAGGCTTAGCTCTTCAAAATGCACTTTCTCAACTAGGCCGGGCCATCACGGAGATGCAGCGGCGTGTGGGCGTGGCAAGCAGAAAGGATGTGGTGAGTACATATATATATATATATATATTCACGCACAGAGGCACCTATTCTATGTAAATTTATCTAACACTAATGCAGGTGTTATTCATTCAGACTCCCCGTGAAGCTCCCCGATCCAGGTCACTCAAGGAACGAGTATTCGAAAGAAGATCATCAGTTACAGAAAAGCCTTTGCCCTGTGACCCAACCCGTGCGAAGACGCCAGAACCGAGACCGAAATCAGCGCAAGCCCGCCGATTGGCCCAGAAGAGTGTACCGAATCTCAGAGCCATCAGAGAGTTTGATGAGTGCAATGCGGAAGAGAAAGCCACAAATCGGGCAAAATCGATGAATGGTGCTTCGAGTGATTTTGATACCAAAGCAATTATACCTAAAATCCAGAGGAGCTTTAGCAGGCGACTCTCGATCGCTAGATTAACCACGAAGAAGCCCGCCGAGAGCTTAGCGGACGAAACTCAGAGCCGACCATCTACAGCTGCTTCAAGCAGGCTCAAGCCCTTTCGCAGAAGCAGAAATTTGCAACAGAACCAACAACAGACGACTCACCCAGAACCACCACCACCATTGCCACCAATGCCACCAATGCCCCAGCCCAAGCGGTCAGGCACAACAACTGCTGCATCAGCAAGGAGGGAGACCATGAAGAACCAACTGCTACAGTACTTCAAGTCAGATCGCGTTATTGAGACTTGGGAAACCGTCACAGAAAAGGGGAAGTTAGAGCGACATACCTCGCAACGAAAGAAAGATGGTCTTTGGAGCAAATTCCATGCGAAACCATCGAGTCCGCCCTCTGAAGAGCTGCAAGCGAATCTCTCCCAGGATGATCTACCGAAGCAGATGGTCTGGTTAGAAGAAGAAGCCAAGGCATTGAATACCTATTCTTTGAAGCCGAAACAAGATACCGCTCCAGGACTCCATACATTTTCGGTTCAAATGAGCTTTCATCAGGAGCTACACGAGCAGGGAGGGCCTTATACTACTACTAGCTTGGGGTATTCTAAACCTCTCGAGGCTGATGCACAATCCATTATAACAGCCCTTCCTGTCTTTCCCATCCCTCCGGTAAACGGCTTGTCTCTGTAGAATTTCACGTTTCGCGGTTGCTAATCAATTAACAGATCACTCGCCATCTCCCTCCACCTCCTGAAATTCCTAGCTAAAGGTATGCTTCAACAATCGATTATTATTATTATTATTATTATTATTATATATATACCTTGAGAGAGCGACCGACTACACAAATACCCACTCACTCACCTTTGCACTCAGCTCAATAATCATCAATATACCCCTTCATCTTCAAAGATAGACATACATACCGCTACCTAACGATGAGACAATAAAATGTTCATATGAAATAAACATGTTAAACCACTGTTCAACTTTATCTCGTTCTGCCGAGGAGGGGGGATATCTTGCCCAATATGCCAAAGGACCCTAATTCCGGATAACTATCAGGAAGACACATTATCATGCGAGAAAAACAGCTACTCCATTCGAAAACAAAAGGCATTACTCGTACAGATAATCTAATAGATAACCGGCTCTGTCCGTCAACTAAAAAAAATTACTTTCCCAGATGCGTGCCTTTTCATCCCATCCAAGAAGCGCAAGAACGCCAAAGAAAAGATAGATAGAATTTCGCGTCATGTCCGAAGAGCCACACACGAATGACAATAAGAACAACAATAACAACCAAAAGAAGCAGTAGAATAGAAAAAAAAAAAAAAAAAAAGGGTTACTTGCAGCGCTTCTCAACAATATTGGGGCCGTGTTCGTCATACTCCTTCTTTGAGATCCACATTTGATGGAAAGTTCCCAGACTCGCGAGGATACTTCCACCGATCCAGGAGCTGAATCTTCGCTCGGAAGTATTTCCGGGGGCGGAGATCCTGACGCGCGGTCCGGGATAGATTTGCATGAGTTCCTGGTTCAAGCGGTCTGTGAAGCCGTGGAGCAAGCTCGACGCGCCCGTTACGACGACGTTGCTAAGTAGATGCGGGCGAACGTCAACATCGACGCCGTTCAGAGCACTCTTGATGAGCTCCGGTACGGTCTGGGCTTGGGTTGGTGCGGGGAAGAGCGAGTCCGGGTCAGGGATTGCGGCTTTGGCGTCGAAGAGGGACTCAACGACTCTGTATCGGTCGACGCCAAAGACCTGGTTGTAGCCATCGGGGAATTCGAAGGGTCGGCCGGGGCTGCTCCTGGCCATTTCCTCGTTGGGGACACCGTTGGGATTGTTGGCAGAGAGTTTGTTGGGCCCGGGCCACACCTGGACAACGCATTCCTTGAATTCGGATAGAGTTCGTTCTTCGAGGAGGGTGCGGTAGGAGGCATCAGGGGCCTTGTCCGCTGGGAAAGTCTTGTATTTGGCTTGGGGGGGTTGACCGGCTTCCACGGCGGTTTTGGAGGAGATAAGATAGTGGGGGGTAATGGTAACGGGTTGTGGTGTGTTCGTCTTGAACAGAGCGCGAACCTGAGAGGAAATGTAGTCTCCACCGAGAGGAGAATGCTGAACTCCTCGTTTGAGGATCATGCCGTCGTGAACCGGAGTCACGGAGATATTGGAGGCACCGATATCAACGACAAGCGCGGAAGCCTTACCAGCAGCAAACCTGAAACAAAAAAAAAAAAAAAAAAAAAGTTCACTCCGTTAGAAACTGGACGGAAAACCGAATCACGAACGGCTCAGCAACTTACGCAGCGAGAACTCCACTTCTTGCGAGATAAAAAGCAGGAGTACCCCACTTCTCCATAGCGATTTCGATTGTCTTTTCACGAGCCTTGGTAGGATTCCAGCTGCACTCGGACATCAAGATAGGGCTGTCTGCGAGAGGTTTTTCCTCGGTTTCCACGCCTTCCATCTCCGTCGGCAAATCGCCCTCCGACACATCGTTCAGTCCGTTTTGTAGAGGATTTCCAGGCTTTGCGCCAGTAAGTCGCGACGTAAAGGAGTATTCCCAGACTTTTTCTGCCATCTCCCAATCCTCCACAACTCCATCCCGACCCATTGGGTTGTGAATTGACAGGCCAGGGCGCGGAGTGACAAAGACATCATCACCGAAGATGAGCTTTTCTTGATCCTCGTACGAATACTTTCCGTAGTATGTTGGAATAAGGGACTTGGGGGTATCTTCGCCTGCGAAGCCGGCGCGTGTGGTGGAGTACCCGGGGTCAAGGACGATGGCCGAAACCTCATCTGCACGCGTGAAAGAAATTAGTATTTAGCACATTAAGACCCCGATACTGAGAAGAATCCAGGAATGTAAATTGCGCAGGGTCCTGAGAGACGTACCTCCACCGTATTCGGCAGCTGAAGGTGGAACTGAAGGGTTCATTGTGAAGATTGAGGGAGCCCAAAGGTTGCGATAAATTGAAACAATTCACCCAACCAACCAGTTCCAGAAAGCGCGAGATGAAGTTTGAAGGGTTGCGGGGGAGATAGTGATGGGGGATAAATGGGAGGAGTGCTTGTTGGTGGTGGTTTGGAGGTTGCGGCGGCCGGAAAATCATCAGCAACAGCTTTTTGGCGCGCGGGTCCAACAAGGATGACTACAGAAGTACCTCTCACTAACTAACTAACTAACTAACTACTAGTTGGTGGCCACACTTCTTCACCTCCCCCCCATTTTCAACCTTTCCTCGTTCCTTTCTTCCCTGTTTCTCTTCTCGAGGGCGGTCTCACACAGTCTTAATCAACAATGGACACACAAGCTGATCCAAATCCTGAGGTTCTCTTCCGCCCGGTCAAAAGACGAAAGTTCCTGCGACGCCGGCCAGAGGAAGCAAACAGCCAACAGGCAAGTCAAGCTTCAGAAGAAGGTAGCTCAGCGCCTAGATCCCCTCAGCATGGCGGAGAATCTGTACAACCTATCGATGCTACTCGACTCCGGCGACTTCATCGTTCTCGAAAAGGTGGCATCGAGTTCTCAACGACGTCACGGTTGCTAGCGGAGCAGGGAAACAACAACAAGACTTCCCTTTCATCGGCCACGGCTGAAGACTTGGAAGGCGATAGATTGCTGGCTATGTGTGATCGATTTACAGCACATACAGGGCAAACTGTGGACGTCGATAAACATATGTACGGAGCGCCCCTTTCTTTCAACCCGCGATTTCTCTGAATTTTGCACCGTTTGAAATGGAGACTAACAAGATAAGGATGGCTTATATAGAATCCGAAATGGCTAAGCGATACGGGCAGGGTGCGCCGGGAGATGCGCCAGGTCATGATGCTTCTGCCCCGAGTGCAGCTTACAGTTCATTATCCTCGTCTAACCTTCCACCGCGCCAACCGGCCTCTCTCGGGAAACTACACGAAATTGATCTTGGTCAAGAGACTAAGCTACAGAACATTGCACGGACCGCGGCGGCGACGAGGAGGCTCAATGGTGACGAGGAAGGGTTCTCGCTCTCTGGCGTGTCGTTACTTGAGAAGGAGGAGAACTCCTATCGAAATCGAAAACGACGGACGAGCGAGGATATCGAAAGAGACCGGCTCGTGGAGGAGGTCTTGCGTGAAAGCAAACGTAAGTGCTCTCATCCCAGCCCCGTGACCGAGTTTTTGACTGCTTTTACTAACTAACCTTTCGTCGCAGTGGATGTATATGATGAGCCAGAAGAGGAGGAAGAGGAGGAGGTGGATGATCAAGCTGCCGATGACCGGGTTGCAGACCAATTTCGGCGAGATTTTCTGGATGCCATTCAATCGCGTCGTCGCCGGGCGAGAAACAAAACTACGAAACCGCGCAAGCCGGAAGTGCGGAGAGGACCGAAGCTCGGTGGTAGTAGAAGCGCCAGAGCGGCGATGCGTGAAATGCTGGGAAAGGCGGGACGAAAGTAGTTACAGTATAATCCCCTCCCGACAGCTTCTGCCAGCCCAAATCCATCCTCGTTAGCATGCAGCCCGAGGCAAGGCTTAGGATCAGGGGGATTTACGATGGACAAAAAGCGCATGGCACATGGGGAGTGCAGAATGAGCCGTGTTTAATAAGAGAAGGTCATTCATTTCCTTGCCGTCTTTGAGTGGAAATATGTGAGGGACGGAGTAGGGGGAAAAGGGCTTCATTGATAATAAATAAATCCCAATAGATTGGCAATTTACTGTATAAATAATACCAGGTCTAATTTTGTTTCCCAGGCTGATGTATCTGGTCCTATACCACTTGACTTCAAGTTTCTCAACTGTGTTTGGATCCTTGGATTATCGAAATTTATTAATAGAAGGCTAGAACTAGCTGACGGGCATTGACGCCAATCAGTGTCCTTTCTATCGACCATCTTGAGACATTCAGGGGCAACTTGTTACAGCTTCTATTCTGTTCGTCCTTCTTTCTCCTCCCCATAATCACTCATTTCTGTAATTCTTTTTTTATTTTTTTTTTTATATTCTTCTGTTTGTCTGTCGTTTTCAATCTTCCACTCTGTTGAGAAACCCCCCTCCAGAGTCCGCCTGCACTGGTACGCCCCAGCCGCTATAACCAAAACACACCACACCATCTCTCACAACCTCTCTCTCTCTTTTCCTCCTTTCTTTGTTCATCGTCTGACGAAAGTAGTGGGAAAAGAGAGACGAACCGAGCCTCTCCCTTCCACTAGATGTCCTTCTTTCCATCGCTTTTGTGGTTTTCATCTTTCCTTTTTCCGCTGTAGAGGAGGTCTCTCTCGCTCTCTCTCTCTCGCGTCCTCTCACCGATCGTTGCTCCATTTTCTTTCTATTCTACGCAGGTTGACCCTGTTTCCCATTTCCCCCAAAATCGACTGGTGCGGTTAATTGGGGTCGGAATTTGCAGAAGAAAATACATCCGTTTTTTAATCATTATCATCATCCTCGCCTATACCCAACCACACCTGGTCCCCCTTCCCCCCCCCCCCCCCCCCCCCGAAAACGAACCGTTCTCTCCAAGATGCGAAACTTTCTCTCGACCCCTCTTGCCCTTCGTCTGGCTCTGGGCCTGTTGCTACCTGCCCAGATTTATGCTACTGACACTCTCAGCACCGACGGTGTTTCGACGTGTCTGGCAGACTCCGATATTCAAGTAACGAAACTGCAGATAACCTATTCCCGCTCAACAAGAGAACTCACATTCGACGTTGCTGGAACGAATTCGAAGATCCAGAATGTTACAGCCACCCTCTCTGTCACCGCATACGGCAGAGATGTCTACGACAGAGAGTTCAACCCCTGTGATGACGACAACTACATTGCTCAACTTTGCCCCGTCCCGGCCGGCACTTTCTCAGCCGCTGGGTCCCAGGAAATCCCTGAGGACTATGCAAGTGAGATCCCTTCCATTGCCTTCGCAATACCCGACCTAGACGGAATGGCCAAGCTCAAGTTGAAGGCCAAAGACACCGGGGAGGAGGTTGCTTGTATCCAGTCCAGTCTGACTAATGGCAAGTCTATGGAAATTGCCGGTGTATCTTATGCTGCCGCTGGTATCGCTGGAGCTGCATTGGCCCTGAGTGGTCTCTCTGCCCTGGGCGCCGCCGGCCACCCTGGCGCCCATTCGTCTAGCCCGGGATTCGGAGATGTTATGGGCTGGTTCCATTCTATGGCCACTAACGGCATGCTAAGTGTCAGCTACCCTTCTGTCTATAGCAGCTTCTCGAAGAATTTTGCATTTAGCACCGGTCTAATCCCCTGGGCTGATATGCAACACTCGATCGATAACTTCCGAAAACTTACCGGTGGCAATCTTACCTCGGATAGTTATGATTACCTTCATAATATCACCGATTCCAGTACCTCCGGCAACTCCAGCAGCTCCAGCTCCAAGCGGGGGCTCAATCTCGTTCTGAGGGCAGGAAAACTGGTGGTTCGCGAGATCTCCACGTCTGTGAATGAAACATCATCGTCCTCAAGCAACAGTACCAGTAGCTCCACTGAGGATGGCTTTCAACAAATTCTCGCTGGAAATGTGAAAGATGGAATTGGCACGGTTTCCAAAGAGTTGACCATCCCAGCGTCAAACACGTTTATGACGGTGTTGCTGGTTTTTGCTATTGTGATCGCCGCCATCACTGTCGGGATCTTGTTTTTGAAGGTCATTCTTGAGTTGTGGGCGCTGTACGGCTCGTTCCCCAAGAAACTCGCAAACTTCCGCAAGGACTACTGGGGCCTCCTGGCCAGAACGATCACCAACTTGGTTCTAGTGCTCTATGGAATCTGGGTGTTGTATTGTGTCTATCAACTGTCAAATGGGGATTCCTGGGCGGCCAAGGTTCTCGCCGCCGTAACTCTCGCGCTTTTCACTGCGCTCCTGGTGTTCTTTGGCTTCCGCATCATGCACCTAGCTCGCAAGTATAAGCAATCCGAAGGGGACATATCGTCTTTGTACGAAGATAGGGAAACTTGGCGCAAGTACAGTCTGTTTTATGACAGTTACAAAAAGGACTACTGGTGGCTCTTCATTCCCGCTATTGTCTACATGTTTGCCAAAGGATGTATCATCGCCGGTGCCAACGGACATGGAATGATTCAGTCTGCAGGTCAGCTTATTATCGAAGCACTCATGTTGATTCTTCTGCTCTGGAATCGTCCATATGTGGCCAAGTCGGCCCAATGGATCAACATCACCATCCAGGTGGTGCGCGTTTTGTCTGTCGCTTGTGTGTTGGTATTCGTCGAAGAACTCGGTCTTTCCCAGACAACCAAAACCGTCACGGGAATTGTTCTCATCGCTGTGCAGTCGGGATTGAGTGGTCTACTCGCTGTCCTGATTGCGGTCAATGCCATTATTCTCTGCGTTCGTGAGAACCCTCACGCGAAGAAGAGGAGAGAAGCTAGTAAGTCTTAAAAAAAATACTCGTTTTTCTCAATCTCTCCCTTGGGTACTAACCTGGAATCCTTTTTTACTCTAGATAAACTGGACCGCGACATTGACGATCTCACTCCCTTGGATGCACGTGAATCGCTCCTCATGGATCATCCACCTCGCAAGGATTTCTCGGAGATGAGCAAGTTCAATTTCACAGGACCCTACGAGCCCTACCGCGGCCAACACCCCCTGAACTCATCTCGGGCCTTTAACACCAGCACAGAGCGGTTGGTAGATACTGAATATCACGACGATAACCGCCATGGCCGCAGCATGAGCCGTGAAAGTGGACACAGCCGTGAAAGTGGACACAGCCGTGATAGTCGTAGCTCTCCAGAGGGACATCCCGCAACGACTCCTGGATATGGCTTTGCTTACTGAGCTGTCCAAATCAATCGTACCCTCCACAAGCTCTTGATGCCCTGTTTCATTTTACTTATTTTATTCCCTTTCTTCAAATCTTATTTTGTAAAGAATTCCTCCATTCCAGATCCTCTTCTTGTGTATAGAGACATGTTTATTTTATTTTCCTTTCTTTCTCCCAGGACCCCGTACTTGACTGATGAATTTAGCGGTTTATTCGATGGGGCTTTTGTTTAAACTTGTGTGTGTGTGTGTGTGTGTGTATGTCGTTGGCCATCAAATGTCCTGGAAACCCCGCCCTACTCACCTCCCGACCATATACATATATAGCCCTTCTATTCTTTTGTTCTTATCGACTCCTTTTCCCTTCCTTGAATCAACCAACACCCTTCTTATTCTTTCTAGGAATCCTTGGGAGTCTGTTGACAGCGCGTAGAAGAACTGTATAGACCATTCATTCAAAGTGAGCGAGGAGCGCTACAACCCCCTATTTTAGTACTTTACTACACAAACCCGGACCTCCTACAGGAGCTTCACGCCGTCGATTCATGATAGACATTCATTCTCGTCCTAGTAGTCCTCCCAGATGGATGCACGATACATAAAAACCCTATTTCTTTTTTTTTTTTCTTTTTTTTTTTTTTTTCAGTGCTCTTATGTAGTCGAAGGATATACTTTGTAGAACAGGCAGGCAAGGCACAGGACCAAGTAATACACTAGTTATCCATTGAGAGAATATTATATTTGAAAGAAAAAAAGGGGGAGGGGGAGGAGGGCAAGGAATAATTGTTGAATTGGTACTCCGTACATAATATTATTGGCATCATTTCACTATTTTGGATTGATAGACACATCCTCACGAAGCTAGCCTCACCCAACCGACGTGATAGTTGAGCTAATGAAGTAAAAAATAAAATATCAGACTCTGAAAAGCGAAAACAAAAAAAAAAAAAAAAGAAAAAAAAAAAAGAGGACCAGAATTGGAGTTTTGAGCAGGGACATCAACAATAACAGCTCAATATAGAACTAAGGAAAGGCGGCGAGGGAAAATGAAGACAAAGAAAATGAATGAAATAAAATGGTAGTTTGTATAAAAGAAAAGGGGGAGAAAAAGGGGCAGAAGGGGGGGGGGGGGAGGACTCCGTAGGTAAAATAATGTCGGTTCGTACGCTATGGATCAATGTACACACATATTAACTTAGCCTCGGGCGTAGGGATGGAAGCCTCGGTGGCCTCCGCGTCCTCCTCCACGGTAGTTTGCTCCAGGTTTACCGGCGTTCTTGGGGCCTGTGGGGGCGTTGGCAGGAGCTGCGCTTTGAGGTTGGGGGGTCGGGCCGGATTCTAGATTTTTTTTTTTTTCCATCAAGGGAGGTTAGAAGAGATGGCCTGGCCAAATAGAGAAGAAATATCATGGTTGGGAGACATACCGCGTCCCATGCTGCCGGCACGGTTCATAGCTTGGGGTCCGGTGGGAATGTTGGGCTGGGGCACTTCGTCGTACATGCCTTCCCACGAGGTCGGGCCTCCTTGCTGGTATGGGGAGAAGGCTCGATTCTCCATTGCGCGGCGAACTTGCTGCTGCTCGTACTTTTGTTGCTCAAATGCTATCTGTTCGTGAGCATTGTAACCGGGTCCTCCACGTGCGCCGGTGTAGTTACCGCCCATGTTCATGTTTCCACCACCCATAGCATTCCCCATTTGTCCTCCCTGTCCTTGGTTTTGCATCTGCTGCATCTGCTGCATCATGGCCGGGTTCATCATGTTCTGCATCTGAGGAGTGGCGCTCTGGGAGGGAGGGCTCATGCTTGCTGATTGTTGATTATTGCCCATTTGCATCTGTTGCATCTGCTTCATCTGCATTTGCTGCATCATCGCGGGGGTCATCCCAGCCATGCCCATGCCACCCATGTTTTGGCCCTGGGCAGCGGCGACGGCCATTTGCTGTTGCATCAAAGCAAAGTACTGCTGCATGCGTTGCCAATATTGAGCCATCATTTGTGGGGTAAGACCACTAGCCATGCCGCCCTGTCCTTGAGCACCAGGCTGCTGCTGAGAACCATCGCCTCCACCCTGATTGCTGTCCCGGAAACCATCTCTGCCGCGGCGATTCCCGCGATCACCATCATCGCGTAAATTTCCCCTTGGCTGAGCCTTTTTCACTTCGATAGGTTTGCCGAGAATCTCAAGAGGGCGTGAAAGAGCGGCTTCAACAGCAGCCTCGCTATCAAAGGTCACAAAGCCAAACCCACGCGGACGACCAGTATCCTTATCGATCATCAAGGTAGCATCAATGACTCGGCCAAACTGCATGAAGAATTGCTTGAAATCCTGCTCGGTTGCCTCTTGACTGACACCTCCAACAAAAATTTTGCTTGTCTTTTCTTGCTCGTCACGTGGAATAGCCCGTTTGGGGTCGATCTTAAAGACACAATGAGTCAATTATTCTTGAATCGGAGTATAGAGAATTTCATTATAACTTACAATCTTTCCATCCAGGTAGTGTTCTTTGACCATCACGGTGTTTACAGTTTTTGGATCCCTGAAAGTTAGGAAACCGAACCCTCTGGATCGGCCTGTAGCACTATCGCGCATAACAGTGCATTCCTGTACTTCTCCAAACTGCGAGAAATAGTCTTTCAAAGATTCTAAATCATGAGGTTAGGACTGCGTAAATCCAGCGGGGAAAAAAAACATATTGGATTAGTTGTTTCAAGGTACATACGATCTGTTGTCTCCCAATTTAAACCACCGATAAACATTTTCCTATCAAAAAAAAAGGTATTATTAGTAACTGTACCCGTTTCACCACCGGTACATGTATTGAATGGATTAGAAATGCTGAAATCAAAAGGCAAGACAATCTAAAACGGCGGATATGGCTGGCAAAGCTGATGATCCATGGGGTTGAAGTAAAGCACACAACACCTCGCGGGTTGTTATGAGAGAGCTCTAATATTGGCGGTATTCAATGGCATGGTCCTGCAAATTTGAGCACTCAGGTACACGCGATGATCGGATGAAACCGCGATGTCGAGAGTGAACTAATGCGAAGTATCCTGAAGGCCATTGGCTCTCGCTGGACTGTCTGAAATGTATACATGAACAGACGTTGTAACCGAACACTCGCAGTGGGATATCGTATTTCTAGTCACAGCCACTGGATTACAAGGCGACCCAGCAGATTGAAGGCCAGCGGAAATAGGCTCCAGGGACCGGGTGGATATGCGAGGAATAGACAGACCACAAGTTGAAATATGTCAGGCGGAATAAGTCAATTGTTTCTCTCTGTCTCTCTGACCAAAAGTTCTCTGCCTGTCTGTCTAATAGAATCCGAAGCTAGGTAGGGTAAACTGATCGATAATGCCCAACTAGCCAGCCGAGGCTTCTATTCCTCGCTGGGCGTGATCTATCAAGATATACCGACATGAAGCTATATAGTATCAGCTGCACTATAGTCGCTCGATATAGGGGCTCGTAGAGTTAGGATTTCGATATTTGTTTCCCCGCGATTGTAACTCTGATGCGCACTCGTTGATAATATATCCTCACTTGAGTCTTGTACGATGGAGAAAGCTTGCACCTCCATCGGCATCAGAATTCTATAGATCAATCTGACGAGACTAGACGCCACCGTCCAGAGGCTGATTGTAACATTTCCTCTCCTCTAGTAAAAACGACTGTTCCCACCAGAGAGCCTTGACTCGAGTTTCATCCTTCTTTCCGCCCCAATTAAGTTATTCATGCCATAATAGTGCCTCTCCCATGGATCACCAGCTTAGCCATTGAACAGTCGTAGTGCAGACACCATATCCAGAACACCGAACCCTTGATGTTGTAAAATTGACTTGCCTGTGGAAAAGGCAGCACCAACTTGTTGCTCTCCATAACTCGTGTACAGCTCGTGAAAGCAACATATGGGTTCATGGGAAACAAGTTGTGTAGCCAAGGATGACGAGGACAAGACACAGAATAAAATGCAACTCGATAAATCTAACAAGGAAGAAAACTTACCCGTCTTCTTTGATGCCAGTTCCCTGCGGTTCTGGTTCTCCGGTTTGAATGGCAGCTTGACCATTGAACCCCGGGTCGTGAGCAGCCATACCATTTTGGAAGCCAATATCATGAGACTGGGGATGATAAACACCATGCGTAGCTTCACTCTCCTGATATGCCTCGACAGGTTGAGCAGCGGGAATATGAGAATAATGAGCAGGTGTATCGGGTTCTATAGGATTGGGAGCTACAGGAGCAGCACCACCGGCAGTCGATTGATTCGTCGCTTCATCCGCATCATACCTAACACACAGAGAATATTAGACTTGTTGGAACTTGCTTCGCCCCGGGGGAAGGGGGGGGGTGGTCGTACAGATCTGCGAAAAGATCTTCCTCAACATCCTCGGGTTCAGCCATCGCGACTAGGCTTGGGATGATTGGAAAGACGGGAAAAAAGAATTAGGATGGAGGAGCTGATCACAATAAGTAATTCTGGAAATACCAGATGCGACAGAGAGATGGAGGTGAGCAAGGGCGAGGTGATGGAAGACTGGTCGGGTCTTCTTCAAGTCAGGTTAGTGAGGAAGGGACTCTCTTATGGTCGAGATAGGGAAATCTAGAGAGAACGATGGAAGTGAAATATGAAGGCTTAGTAGTTAAAGGGGGAATGTGGGAGAAAGAGAGAGAGAGAGAGTTGTGTGAGAGAGAGAGTGAGAGTGAAGAAGGAAAGAAGGAAGAGGCGACGATGTTTCAAGAGAGATGAGAGGTTCTTCCGTTCAAAACAAAAATTCCAACCGTTCTGACAGTGTAAATACCTGTATTGCAGTTTCTTCATTTCTTCTCTAACCTCTCCTCGGGTCTTCCATTTTCTACTTTAGCGTCTTCATTTGAGTTTCTCCATACGGGAGCTATACTGGGACCCCCCGACAAAATTACCAATACCCTAGACCAGAAATCTAGATAACACATACTGTCTTATATACGTAATTACCAAACAATACCTTTGTATTGTACCGTAATGAGCACCAGCCATCTCTCTCTCTCTTGTTCTCTCTGTCTGCCTCCTCGAACTTAATTGTCTGCTGTGCTCTCATGGACGATATTCCACAGTTCACTCTAGTTTTCCTCTTGGGATCGACGTAGCAGGAGAGCTCATACAGTTCGAATTGGGAGATAATGGGACCGTCTGCACTGTAGATTTAAGAGAGATCTCTATGAACAACAGCCTCATCGTGTCATTCAACACCCCGCACTACTCTCTCCTTCCCCTGCCTCTTCGACATTGACCCGATGACCTGTTCGATTGACATCATTTCCTCCGCACGAGTAGCCCAACACAATGGCTGCTAAGAAGAATCAGCGCCAGGTATGTTTGCGGTCGATTCCTTTATTTATCATCTTGATCTTCTGTTGTTGGAGTCGCAGCTGATCCAATGCTCGCATCTTCTAAAGGAAATGGTCCAGGTTGGTTCGTGCCTCATAACCCCATATTGTCTTAATCCTGGATCAGGTGGCTGATATAGCTCCCCACTTCCGTTCACAGATCGCTCCGAGTATGTTTACATTCACCTATGCGTCAAACCCTCTACAGATCATATACATCGCCATGGTTATATACTGACGCTCTGGAAGACACTCAAGCTCGCCGTTTTGGAAAGGGAGATCGGTATCACAGAACCAAGGAACCGCCCAAGCACCTGACCACAACACAGTCGTCGGAGCTTCATACTCGCATGTCAATATCTTACAGTTTGTTCTCCCTCACTCAATTGGAAATCGAATACGATCGAAAAAAAAATGGCTGCTCTCTGACATCTGGATGTTTATCGATAGAGGATTGCCGCAACAGCATGCGCAGCCCCGGACTCCGCCCCGGTCTTCCTCTACGAACCACCAACAGATCTCCCCTTCTCCCCATCGACCAGGGGTATGGGTCGCCTCTCCCCGTACATCATATTCCGGCATCATGAATCAAGATATTGAATCATGGGGTCACGACCAACCCGGAGGAAGGGTTGACGATGAAGACGATGATGCAGAAGAGGAGGATATCGTCTATGATGATGACGAAGATGAATTTGGGTTACCGAGTATTGCGAGTATGCGGAAAAGACAAAACCGAAATCTTGATGCTTTTCAACCTAAAACGATCGATCTATCCGTTCGCCCCGAGAGCAAACCTTCAACCCTTGGTGTTGCCCTGGGGAATAATAGACAACGAGCGAATAGCTCTGATATTGCAGAGGAACGTGATATTCCCTTATATCCCACAACTCGGAAAGGTGAAGGAAATATCCTTCGACCTCAATACAAAGATATTTTGAGAGGTATACCTATTAAACCCCCTTTGTTTCTCAGTGGAAATTCGACTAGCTAATATCACAAAGACCCTGCAAATGCACTAAATCTCATCAACCATGCGCCGCCTCCCAAAAATGCTTCGCCAAAGGAGATGGACATGTATACAAGTCGCATATCACGAATCAACAAGTTTAAACGTCTCCTACAAACAAGCACGGTCCCGCTGCCTGAGTTAAGAAACCTTGCGTGGTCTGGAGTTCCTGATGAGGTGCGCCCCATGACTTGGCAACTCCTCTTGGGGTACCTCCCTACAAACAGTGAGCGACGCATTTCAACTCTCGAACGAAAACGAAAGGAGTATCTGGATGGTGTTAGACAGGCTTTTGAGCGTAGTAGCGCAGCAACTGCTGGAAATCCGCCACCTTCGGGCACTGGACGTGGCAGGGGCTTAGATGAGGCGGTTTGGCACCAAATCAGCATAGATGTTCCCCGCACCAGTCCTCATATCCAGCTGTATAGTTATGAGGCTACCCAACGATCACTAGAAAGGATCCTTTACCTCTGGGCCATCAGGCACCCTGCCAGTGGTTATGTACAAGGGATAAATGACCTTGTCACACCACTCTGGCAAGTATTTCTTGGCGTCTATGTTACCGATCTTAACGTTGAAGAAGGAATGGATCCCGGTCAACTCCCTCGAAGTGTCCTTGATGCCGTGGAAGCAGACGCGTTCTGGTGCCTGACAAAACTCCTAGATGGGATTCAGGATAACTACATCTATGCCCAGCCCGGCATCCATAGACAGGTTAGGGCGTTGCGCGATTTAACCTTACGTATCGATTCAACTCTTGCTAAGCATTTGGAGAACGAGGGAGTTGAGTTTATGCAATTCAGCTTCCGATGGATGAACTGTCTGCTCATGCGGGAAATGAGCGTGCGGAATACTATACGAATGTGGGATACATATATGGTATGCTTTATCATCAAAGGATCTCCCCTCTTTCCTTTTTCTCGGACCTATTCTGGAGGCTTTGCGAGAGTACTAAATTTTTCTCCAGGCTGAGGAGCAGGGCTTCTCCCGATTTCACTTGTATGTATGTGCTGCGTTTCTTGTGAAATGGACAGATCAGTTGGTGAAAATGGATTTTCAGGTAAGGGTTTTTTTTTTGGCTTGAGAAAAATACATGCTAAATAGATGCAGGAAATTATGATGTTTCTTCAAGCGCTTCCAACAAAAGACTGGACTGAGAAAGACATTGAACTCTTGCTCAGTGAGGCATTCATCTGGCAAAGTTTGTTTCAAGACTCGAGAGCCCACCTGCGTCCATCTGGAGACCATTCTCCCGAAAATGGCTTACAGTGACAACAACCCTACCCTCCCCCACCCAGCATAAATGTCCGCTGCGCGAGACCATGCTTGCCCATCGCTAGTTGGGAACGCATATATCCCCCCTCCCTTCATTTTTTTTCCTCGATCGAAGGGATGTCAGTTTTGGTTAAGCGCAGGTAATCCTTCCAGAAGACGACTCCTATCCTATACCATTGCGAAGTATTTGCGAAGTTTGTATATCATCTTCTACAACGCATTCCATCCGCCTCCACACATGTATTTTGCTGCTTTGATCACGCCGTTATAATCTGGTTGGTTGTTAAGAACTTTTGATGACACAAACTTAATGTTATACACCCCTCATGTTGTTATTCGTGTTGGGTCAAATGAGGAAATGGATATGAGACGAGTGCAAGAAAACCCATGTCATAATAGAACCAAATATGGGTTCAGAGTAACTAGCATAGCATTATCGATTTAGACAATAATGTTCATATAATATAGCATAGTTCCTAGAAAGGTGCCACTTGTCAAACAAAGGGGGAAAGACCGACCTTCAGCGACTCTACAAATGTAATCTGAGTTTGATTGATCCTTACTCAAGACTGACAATCCAGAAGCCCATTACTTAGATCCATTCTGAGGATCCTCCAGGGTTCGGGCGACAAGCTGGAGAATATTATATAGTAGGTAGGATCTACTTGGCCGGAGCGGAACTATGATTTTGCGACAGGTGCCCTTTTGATAAAACGGAAGCTCTCGCCATCAAGCTGGAACTCGTCACCCTGCAGCTCACCTTGATTCGCCTTCACTTGTCTTTCACACGATTTAGCCAAGATGGCTTCCGGACGGAAGGACTTCCTGAGTCAACCCGCGCCCGAGAACTATGTTGCCGGTCTGGGTCGAGGTGCGACCGGCTTTACCACTCGCTCAGATTTAGGACCTGCGCGAGAAGGTCCAACGCCCGAACAAATCCAAGCCGCACTCGCGAAGAGGGCGCAACTCCTCGGGGCAGCCCCTCCCACAGCATATGGCGCATCTCGAGAGAAGGGTGGAAAAGAAGATAAGGCAGCAGAGGAGGAAGATGACGATCGGTTTCAGGACCCAGATAACGAAGTTGGGCTCTTCGCATATGGCCAATTTGACCAGGAAGATGACGAGGCGGATCGAATCTATAAAGACGTAGATGAGAAGATGGATAGGCGCCGGAAAGCAAGAAGGTTAGTTCCTTCCCCCTCCCCTCCCCTTTCATTTTAAAAGTGATTTTGTTCATCGGGTTCACCCCCCCCGGTTCGCTCTCTGGACAGAAGACCGACTTGATTCCTTCGCCACCTATAGGGAAGCCCGAGAAGCTCAGGAACGCGAAGATTACGAACGGAAGAACCCCAAAATTCAGCAACAGTTTGTCGATTTGAAGCGGTCTCTAGCCTCGGTGTCGGAAGAAGAATGGGCGAATCTCCCCGAAGTCGGCGATCTGACCGGCAAAAATCGACGAACAAAGCAAAATCTACGAATGCAACAGCGCTTCTATGCGGTCCCGGATAGCGTGCTTGCTAGCGCGAGGGATTCGACTCAGTTTGACACTACAATCGCGGAGGATGGTGCTCAAGCCGAGCTCCAGGCGGCTGGGGACGGAACGATCACAAATTTCGCGGACATTAGCGCTGCTCGCGACAAGGTCCTCAAAGTGAAGCTTGACCAGGCAGCTATGGGCTCGTCTGGAGACGCCGCGTCCGGGAGTGCGACCAATATTGATCCGAAGGGGTACCTTACGAGCCTTACACAATCAGAGCTCAAGGCTGGTGAAGTGGAAGTTGGGGACATCAAGCGTGTGCGTGTTTTGTTAGAATCCGTGACGAGGACCAACCCCAAACATGCTCCTGGATGGATTGCGCTTTCGCGGTTGGAAGAGCTAGCTGGCCGAATCGTCACTGCGCGGAATGTTATTGCCAAGGGCTGTGAACTATGCCCAAAGAGCGAAGATGCATGGCTCGAGAATATTCGCCTTAATGAGGGACACAACGCTAAAGTCATTGCTGCAAATGCCATTAAAAATAACGATCGATCTACACGACTTTGGATCGAGGCTATGCGACTTGAATCAGAACCCCGGGCAAAGAAGAATGTTCTACGACAAGCCATCCTCCACATCCCTCAGTCTGTTACTATCTGGAAGGAGGCTGTTAATCTCGAAGAAGATCCCGCCGATGCGCGTCTTTTGTTGGCCAAAGCAGTTGAGATTATACCTCTCTCCGTCGAGTTATGGCTTGCACTAGCGCGCCTGGAAACCCCTGAAAATGCACAGAAGGTTTTGAACGCTGCGCGCAAAGCCGTTCCTGCCAGTCATGAAATCTGGATTGCTGCCACTCGACTTCAGGAGCAAATGGGCACTTTTGAAAAGGTCAATGTGATGAGAAGGGCTGTCCAGTCACTTGCGCGCGAAAACGCTATGCTCAAACGAGAGGAGTGGATAACAGAAGCCGAAAACTGTGAAGAGGAGGGTGCTATTCTTACCTGCGGCGCGATCATTCGTGAAACTCTGGGATGGGGTCTGGATGAAGATGATGACCGCAAAGACATCTGGATGGATGACGCAAAAGCCAGTATTGCCAGAGGCAAATATGAGACTGCAAGGGCGATCTATGCCTACGCATTACGTGTGTTTGTGAATCGCAGGTCGATATGGATTGCTGCTGCAGATCTTGAACGTAACCACGGCACCAAGGAAGCATTGTGGCAAGTGCTTGAAAAAGCAGTTGAAGCTTGCCCGCAGAGCGAAGAACTCTGGCTTCAACTCGCAAAGGAGAAATGGCAGTCTGGAGAAATTGATGACGCTAGACGTGTCCTCGGGCGCGCGTTTAACCAAAACCCCAACAACGAGGATATCTGGCTGGCCGCTGTTAAGCTGGAGGCGGATGCCCGCCAGACAGACCAGGCCCGAGAACTCCTTGCTACGGCTCGCCGCGAAGCTGGGACAGACCGTGTTTGGATCAAGAGCGTCGCGTTTGAACGACAACTCGGCAATATTGACGATGCACTTGATCTGGTGAACCAGGGCCTCCAGCTGTATCCCAAGGCCGATAAGCTCTGGATGATGAAGGGCCAGATCTATGAATCGCAAAACAAACTTCCGCAAGCCCGAGAAGCGTACGGAACCGGGACTCGTGCATGCTCGAAGTCCGTTCCGCTCTGGTTGCTGGCCTCGAGATTAGAAGAGACGGCCGGTGCTGTGGTCCGCGCCCGCTCCGTCCTTGATCGAGCTCGTCTTGCCGTGCCTAACAGCCCCGAGCTATGGACGGAGAGCGTGCGTGTTGAACGACGTGCCAACAATATCCCCCAAGCGAAGGTCCTCATGGCGAAAGCCTTACAAGCCGTCCCCTCATCCGGATTACTGTGGAGTGAGAGTATTTGGCATCTTGAGCCACGGGCACAGCGTAAGTCCCGCAGTCTGGAGGCGATCAAGAAAGTCGATAATGACCCAATCCTTTTCATTACTGTGGCGCGTATTTTTTGGGGGGAGCGTAGGCTCGAAAAGGCAATGACCTGGTTCGAAAAGGCCATTGTCTCCGACAGCGACTTAGGGGACGCTTGGGCATGGTACTATAAATTTCTGTTACAACACGGCACCGATGTAGGTTACCAGTTCCCCCCCCCCCCCCCAAATCTCTTCTCATCATGGCAAAATCTTTCTAACATTTGATTTTTTTTTTCCTCCCGCAACAGGAAAAACGAGCCGACGTCATATCAAAGTGTGCCCTAACCGAGCCTAAACATGGTGAGGCCTGGCAGTCAATATCCAAGGATCCTTCCAATGCATACAAGTCGACAGAGGAGATTCTCAAGCTCGTTAGCGAGAATCTTACTCAGTAAGGGGAGCGAGCGCTTTGTGATTTCACTTTCAAACTGTGTTTGTCCATCAATACATATGTTACGGCATTCGTTAATAGATTCGCAATGATTGGCGTTGAGGGGAACCGGAAAGCAACGAGCTGAGGATTTATTGAAACATAATATATCAGCAGCCAAGTCGGCTGGCTACTCTTTTCTTCAGCTTCAGCTTCAGCTTCAGTATTCCGTTCATCTATCCAATCCCAGTTTCCGATCCTTGATATCCATCCGTGGGGGGAGGATTCATAGACATACCATACCATGTCATACCATGTCATGTCGAGTACACATGCCCAAAAGGATACATTACTAGTAGAACTAAAGGGGAATGGATGATCCCAAGGCATGTATGTATGGATGTATGTATGTATGTATGGAACCAGCAACCCGCTACGGTTTAGATAATTCATTCCCCAGGACCAAACCAAATCAAATAAATGACTACCTAGTACCTGGTAGATAGGCATGTATGATTGGATTCTAAACGTGCGGCTCTACTCAGGGCTAACCGGGGTTCTCCTCGTCCTCGTCATGCATGCAATTTATCGTATACAGGGAGAGGTGTGTTCTCTACCTAGCTAGGGTTTTATATTCGATATTCTTGGAAGGATCTTAAAAGGGAATAAAGATAGCTAGAGAGAGAGAGAGAGAGAGAGACAGTAGCATAGCTATTGTTGACGAGGTAACTAGGTAGTAGATGGTTCAAACAATCGTTTATAATGATGATTTATTCTGTTTGTGTGATGAAGGATATCATCATCACTAACTATACAGGATACAGACAGTCCACCAAATAACCTGCCTGATCTTTCGCTGGAGCCGGAGCCGGAGCCGTGATCACCCATGAGCTTACCACCCCTATATATAACAGAAAGCGGAATTCAATCAATCCAATTAAAAGAAGAAGAAGAAGAAGAAGAAGAAGAAGAAGAAGAAGAAGAAGAAGAAAAAAAGTGAGGGTCAGAACCAATCCAGCCTCCTGGATAAACTGTTGCCCTCTAATAGAAGTCAAGAGAACTATAAACCAACCGAGCCATGGGTATCGAGTAATCGCTGCACATCCAGAAAAACCTCTCTGTCTTGTCTTTTCTTTCTTGGAAAAAAAAAAAAAACCCCCCTCTCCTTTCTCCATTTCCCTGTCTCCGGTTGCATGCCATAAACAGAGAGAGGTTAAACAACACATCACTAGTTTGCAGCAGTGTTTTGTTCACATGCTTGTGGTGTCCGAGCCACCATAGAGGCTGTGTTTGGTTTGTGCAGGGAGTGAAATAGAACAGTAGTAATTGAGAATGGATAAAAAGGGAGAAACTTGTCAAACTCCGAACCCAAATGCAAAAAAAAAAAATTCACCCATGTTACACCAACGGTGACATTTTTCAATACTCCCAAGACGCCTTATAATCTTTCCGAGATGCTGCAGTCGTTGGAACCCCCGCGGTCCAACGGTAGGTTGGCTGAGAAGCTGTAGAAAGGATAATGAAGAGAATAGGAAAAGAATAAACCTCTCCCCTTAAAACGAGAGGCAGGGGATGTTCTTATGAGGCCATCGATAGACACTCGTCTAATAAAGCGCCCAGTTGGTCACGGTCAGCCGTTGTAGCGCCTTCCCAATCAGACTCCACTTCGTCGATTTCCATCTCATCCACAAAGTCCATGTGTTTCGTGTCGTCGATCTCGTAAATCCGGTCTTGTTTGTCGGCTTCGAGTTCATCCTCAAGGTAGCCGCCCATGATGTGATCGATAACAAGAGGCATATGGCTCAAAACTCCGCTCCCTATCTCCAAGGCTAATCGAAGGTCTCTGACTCCGAGAGGGCTTCGAACACTAGCTTCCTTAGCCTCCACAGGGAGCAATCCTGTGGCGCTGTCCTTAGCGATTTCTCCACGAGTAAAGGCCAACTCTTCTCGCTCGAGTTGCTGTCTGTAGGTCCGTTTCATCATGCCGTTGATTGTACCGGAAGGACCGTTGCACCTCGTGCGGGAAAATACAACCGAAAGTACCTCCTTGACAAACGTCTCCGTTGCAATCGCCATAAACTCGGCGCAAGCAGCACCCGCGCCATTCGCGACCGATTCCTCGTAGCAGATTGGAGTCATCCGCGCATGTATCGATTCCGAGTCTGGGAATTCACCGGTCTCCGATGCGAGTGGTTGTGCGTAACGTTTGCGGATCTCCAACTCCCAATCTGCAAATACCCGAAATAATCAGCCTCGGCTGACGGAATCAACCCAATACATGGGGTGTAAGACTCACTTGTCATATTCAAGCCAGCTCCGCTTGTAGGAACTTGACTTGGCAGTTTGATCTGCTTGGCTAGATGGTATTCTTCCAACTCATTGGGTAGGGGCTCATTGGGGTCACGCTAGGTGAGAGCACACAGTTAGAAAATCCTCGCACACATTCGAAGAGGGCAAGAGCGTAGTCTTTGCGCTATAGCATACCTCTGGGATAGCTTTGATTCGTCGACGATCCCGGGGAGGCAGTTGCATGACCTCCGTCTTCAATCGCTGTTCTGCCGCGTCCCCAGATGTCGGCTTGGACACCACGGACGGTTTGTCGTTCGCTGAGACCCAGCTTGCGACTCCATGATCGGGGAGGTCTCTTGTAAGGTTTCCGATAATTGCGCATATGAAATTATTATGAAGGTGCTCGATTTTCTGGTCGGCGCATATTATCTGGTCGACACGCGATGAGAGCTCATTTTGGTTTAATTGTCCTACAGGAAGAGAAGTAACCCAGTTAGTATACCCTTCCAGGGCTCTCTTCTCTTTTTGTTCTTGTTTTTTTTTTTCCCCCAGCATCTAGGACATCTGCGTACCTAAAAGAAACAGGGTGGTGGCCTCCTTATACTCAGTCCAGTTGTCGCCGATAGCGGCTTTCAGCTCCGTGTAGATAGGCTCCAGGTCCAGTCGCGGGACGGAAATCAGCGCCTTCATAGACTTTTGGGTCGATGGAGCACTTGGAGCTGTGCTCTTTGATGATGCTATCGCGGTCGACGTAGAGTCTGCTCGACTCAGTTCCGCTGGGTTGATCTGCATGGTCGGGCTGTTGAGGCTCGCGGAGGCGCGACGGGCTGCGCGAAGCCGGGGAAGAGGATAATTAGGCCTTCATGAAGGAGAATACATTCCAGAATAGCAAGCAAGCCCGGCTGGACACAGCAGATGATGAACGCACGCAAAAATGGATGGATTTGAGATGGAAAGGGCGGCGGGTGGATGGCCGAAGTTGGATGAGTTGATGGAAGGAGGTTCGAATTTCTGGGTTCGCATGATTTTGTCTCCCCGCCAAACTGACTTTATTCATTCGTTACAACAAGAGGAGTGGTTGCTAGAGAAATTCATTCCCGACAATTCGATGGACTACAAGATGAAATAATAATAGAAAAAAAGAATGGGATTTTAATACTATGTATATCTATATATATTCGGAGATTTATTCTACAACCCTGGTCAAGTTCAGGGATATAGTTTAACTGCATCCTCATTGAGAACTCCAAACAGCCGTCCAATTTCGTCCACTATTCCTTCAATTTCAGTTGATAGTTGGCCTGTGACGAGCACTGTTCCTCGGATTAGCCATGGCTGGCTTCAATAGAGCTCAAGGGTCAACATACCGTAGGCATAAAGAAGGGCATAGTCTTCATCTGTAGATAGCTGCGAGGCCTCTGGATCTTTGCGATAGTGGAAGAGACGGGCCAGCAGTCGGTCTCGAGCATTCTCAACACTGGGTAACCCGTCGCTCAAGGGATATTCTAGCTTCATAGAAGAAGCCATAACTATTGAGATTCGTTAGCCGTCGACTCTAGAGCTAGCAGTCAAATGGGTTGATAGGTTGTCGAAAAAAAAAAAAAAAAATCTTACAGGATAACAAATGACTGATGCGAGCGGACAATTGCCGTCTTTCTTGGATAGTGTATTCAAGGATGGCAAGTTCCCCCTCTGAGGCCGTCATATTTTTGACCAATTCTAGGTGCATAGCAACAAAGGAGTTCACCATGCTTCGAGTGCGAGTGAGGAGATTCGTATAGGAATCATCGGAAAACGCGTGTTTCAACTCGAATTCAGAGCGCGCAGACGCTTGCAGGGACTCGAGGTTGGATAGGAACCGTTCCACCTCAAGTTTCTCACGAGCGCTCATAAACTCGGTCGGCTGTTTGAAACTGTGCGTTGCGGACAACGGACCGCACTTCCAGATGAGGCCCAATCTCAACCATAGTAAGCTGAGGCCATCCTTTAGTCTCGCCCGTGCACTAATCGGCCAGATCAAGCGCGTTATAATAATACCCCAGATGCAGCCCGATAGAACCGCTACAACTCGATGCAGGGCAATCTCAGTGATAATCGGCTTATCCCCTCCCTCATCTTGATCATCCTTCCCGTCTTTCTGGGTGAGGGAGTAGGCATACAAAACCGAAAGGTTATATGTCAACATGATGAAACGACCCATCGGGCCTTGCCTTTTAACGATAATAAGATACGACGTCCACGTAGCCATAAACAAGCCCAAGAACGCAAGACCAAAAACGTTTCCAGCCGTAGCATACCAGGATAAGATGGCACAGGAGGCCCCTAGAGAGGTACCGAGAAAACGCGCATAGCCAGTGGTATTAGATGACCCAATAGTCATCGAACAGACCAACATGTAGGATAGGAGGCCCCATTCCCCCCTCCAGTGAGAGTAAAGGGGGCGCGTAGATGAAATGAAAGATGGCAAAGCATAAAGTGCCGCACCAGCGCCGACCTTGATGGCGAATTTCGTATCATCTCGTCGGAATACTCCAAAAAATCTCCAAATACGATACCCGAACCTAGCTTTGGCAGATTGGCTTCTCTTATTAGAGGCGATATCGCGAGGGCTTGGAGTGTTGGGTTCAAGATGAGGACCATTGGCGCAGCGCATAGGGGTTGACTCGATGAGTGATTGATCTATTACACATTGGTTATGATCTCCAAGTACGGGGTGTGCACCTCTAGATAGTAGTGTTGTCTTACCGGAGACCTTCTTCCCTTGCTCCGATGGCCCTTTACGCCAAAATTTCAACCAATTCCATGATCTCCCATTCGGACGTTCTTCTGCCTCAAGTTGCAGCTCATCGAGAATGGCAAGCAATTGTTTCAACTGCTCACCAAACTCCAGCAACGAGAAACTGAAATGACCACAACTTGCAGCGACCTCCTCTAGGTCTGCCTCGACCTCTAAAGTTTGAATGTTTAAAATATCCTTTTGGTGATATATAGCTTTCAGCGCTTGTTCACGGGATTCTTGATACAGTGCAAGAGCACGGTCAAGGCTTATGCGGAATCTGCTGTCAATTGAAACTTTGTAGTGTGGCGCCGGGGTAAACGGGATCTCCCGGAAGATTTCTTTCAAGGTAAAAGCCAGCGATCGCTGCCAACTGTGAGCATCTTGCATAACCTACACTGGTATTTCCAGAAGTCTGACTTACCATCGACGGCCCTAGATGGTCAATGAACAAGGCAAACATATCCGCTGGCAGAAGTGGAATGTGGGCATCTGATTCAGATGTCTCGCGCCGGCTCAGAGCAGGCCTCGTAGCATCGGGCTCTGAAATTTCTTCTTCTGGCCTCTCGACAATTGGTTCCAAGAATGAGCGGTCGTCGTGCAGTGACCACGGGCTCACTGCTGCACCATGATCGGCTCCATGGGTGAAGTTGTCTGGTGTGTGCATTTGCCCTGACGAAGTCGGTTTGGTCTGCTTCAGCAATTGAAACTGCAGCAGAGCAGCACTGCGTAGACCTCCCATATTGTGGGTGATATCTTGCACCCACCGAGCAAGGTTCTTCTCCAATCTATACTCCTTTTCCGTCCCTCTCACCAAATGCTCGAGTTTGGCTTCTTTGACCAAGGAATCAAGTTGAGCATAAGCCTTTTTGTGACGCGCAGCTGCATCGAGGAACTCGGCGGTTTGGAGCTCCTCTTCGGAGCCGCTCAGAAAACTCTCAGTAATAAGAGCCAGCATTGTCGCTAGAGTCTCCGTGGTAGTCGTGAGATTCGCCCGTAGCTTCTTTCGCGCAGATATTGGGAATATTAGAAACGACACAGCCATGGTGGCCGTAACACCTAGCAAGATCATTTTCAGGACCTGCGAGATTTTGACGAACGATAAATCGCCACTCTGGACCGCTCCCTCCTTCGTCAATACGGTAATGGTCGAAAGCGAAGCCAAGGAGCACGCGACGTTGACAAGCGGATCGCCCAGCCTTTGCTTGGTCCATCCAATGAATCCCAGACCACCCCCACAGAATACAATCAGAACAACAGCATGGCCGAGGGGAAGCATGTGCAACGTATCCTGAAAAAACATGGACACGCACATGCTCGTCACCGAGACGAATGTAGTGTAGAGGAAGGCCAGGAACGCACAGATCAAGGCTTTGTACATACTGCCTTGAGACCTGGCTGGATGGAAATATACCGTTATCGTAGCCACCATATGCTTGCCATCCTGCTGACCGAGAAAGGCCGCAATTGCAGGAACGAAAGTTGCAAGTGACCCAAGAAGGTAGGCGAGACTACATTTCAGGACGCCGATACCAAGCTCGGACGTGAGGAACTGCCGCAACCAACGCACCTGTTCAAAGAGCCTCCCTTTTACACGTGAGGTAATCCCTTCTGGGCTGGGAGGTAGCTCGCCAGACAGGAGCCCGCGCCGTTCTTCATTGTCGCCATGGCCGTTGGGCTCGACCTGGGAATTTCGGAGGTGCACGAGACCCTTCAAACGTTGTCCGGTTTTCGGGAGGATGAAAGTCGCTTGTCGTAACTAAAGGTCCATGGGAATGGTTAGCGGGCAATTTTAAACAGCTTTCACCAGAGGGAAACAGAGCCACTTGAGAAAATGCATCATCATGTAAGGTTATTGGAGGTCCCCCTACCTTCTGAGGGCGGAGAAAGCGCCGGGAATTGTTTGAGGAGTCTCCAAACAAAGGCATATTCTCATCCCAGGTTCACTTTCACCTATCGACTCCCAGGCAAAGAACCAAGCTCCATACTCTATCGAAGGAGTTGAATCGAGTTTTGCTGCAGGGAACATATATCCGAGAGGCAGTGTAGAGATGACATGGACATGACCGCTCATCATGTGGAGAAAGAGGTCCGTCCGTTCGTGATCAAAGCAAGAAGAACATCAACAACGAGTGAAGTAGACCTGGCGCTTATTTTCAACTTCTCACTATATACATACATAACTAATATAATAATAATGATAAAATAGATTTCCTCCTCAAAACGCTACAAATCAAATCATATATGCCCCTCCATCTATTTCAGTCCCTCAACCTGCCACACCTTGACCGCAGCATCAGCTCCAGCAGAGGCAATCTTGGAGCCTCCGGCGATCCACGCGACGCCATTGACGCCCTCTTTGTGAGCATTAGACACCTGTAACCAGTCTCCCGGGTTACTCAGGCTCCACACAAAGATGTTAGTATCTAATGCTCCGCTCACAACGCGATTACCGTCCTCATTCCAGGCAATGGAGGTGACGCGAGAAGTGTGTGCTGTCCAACGATCGTTGACCAAGCTCCCGTCAGCAACTTTGTAGACGAGGATACGACCGCGAGAGTCACCGACAGCCAAGTGTGATCCATCGCAAGAAAATGCCAAAGCAGATACTGGATTTCGGGATACTTTAATATCCGTCTTCGGTGTCAAGCTCGACCCAGAAACGTCGCAAATCTGAACGGTGGAGTCATCCCCTCCGATAGCTGCGACGTTCTCATGGGCTGCGACCGCAGTCACAGAGAATTTCGCCTTGAACTCGCCTTGTTTCTGTCCATCCTTAAGGAGCTCAATGTTATCCGAGCTTGCCACCAGAATGGTATTGTTGGAGGTAGCGATGCCCTTAGGTTGGCCAGAGAGCTTGGAAGAGCTGCCGGTATAGGTCTTTGCGCCAACGTCTACAGAACGAATGGTATCATCCCAGGCAACGCTGTAGATCCTACCGGCTCCTTCTTGGGTAGGGGTGAGGCCAGCAATATATGTGGAGTGACGATCCCCCTCTATTTCCTCTGCCGTGCCAGTCGCGACATCCCAGCTGCAGACCCTTCCATCGAAGCTTCCCGTCCACAGGGTCTCTTCACCGCTACTAGACCCATACGTCGTCAAAGATGTAATGTTCTTCTGATGGCCTTGAATAATTTGTCTGGGCTCAGGTGTGCCCTCGACAAGATAATTAAGGTCACCACTCAGTGACAAACTGATCAGAAGGTTGTCGCTTCTGCCCTGGGGCCAGACAACTCCAACCTGCTGGTCTTGGACATTTGTATTTCCTTCCCCTCCGATGTTCCAGGCCTGAGTAACCTTGCCAGCTTCCACATCCCAGATTTTGACGGTTTTGTCGGCACTCGCAGTCACAAATTTTCGAGAATCCTTGGCCCACGAAACAGCAAAAATACTGCCTTTATGTTCTCCTTCTCCAATTTGGCCCTTGGTCTCTCCGGTCTTGCCGTCATACAACCAAATCTTCCTATCAGCACCAACGCTGACCAACGTTGAACCATCAGGGCTGAAACTAGTTCCGTAGATATAGTTTGTGTGCTTGTCACGAACACCCATGTTAAACTTGAACGGCGCTCCATGATAGAAGATCAGGGCCTTGTCGTCACCCACAGCAGCAGCACGGAGCGGTCGTTGCTGACGGATAGAAACGGAGTTGATCTGCTGCGTGTGCCCAGAAATTTCACCCACGGTGTTTCCACTATCCCACGAAATACAATGGCCGTACCTTTGCTTCCCATCTCCAACGGCGATAATGCGCTGAGAATCGCCATCCCAGGCAAGATCGTTGATGCGACCATTGACAATGCTGTACTCGCCCTTTGTAATTCCCTCCCCAACGCAGTCCCAAACTCTAACGATTCCGCTCGAGTCACCACTGGCCACATAGAACCCTGAGGGCGAGAACCGGGCGACAGTAGTCTGGACCTTATGCTCGGTATATTGACGAGCGATGGCGGGGTTATCTATTGAACGCAAGAAGATGGATTTATTCGACTATAGACACGAAACTTTGACATTAGCTTCTGAAATGCCATCACGCCCACCATTGATACCAGTTGGAAAGCTGTGTTGGTACATACCGCATATGCCAGACGTTCACCTTTCGCGTCAGAGGAGAGCTGGGTAGGCTGGCCCCTCGTCGTGGAGGGGGTTGCGGCCCAAATAGACTCTGGATTCCTGGGGTCAGCGAGGATCGCACAATAAATGAAGCCCAGAGAAGGACACGAACCGTTTGTAATTGCCATGATCGGGACCGACAGGTTTAGATTTTAAGAAAGAATAAAGGTTGTGAGATGAAGCAAGAAGATGAAGCGGGGGGAAAGCGGGAGAGACGCTGTAGTCACTGTTTACCCGCTTGGTGCCTGGAGGCGGGACAGATCGTCATCCTTCCCTTCAAGGTTCATTCGGTGGAATTATGAAGAAAAGGAAGAGACCTCAAGAAAAAATGAAAGGGAAAGTTATTGATTGCGACTTTATTTAACCAACTGAAATCGAATAAATTACATGGTTTTTCTAACCCGGTACATGGTTTGATATTGTACAGTGCTCCCAATTTAATGCCAGCATTCGTCATAATAACAAGTGAGAAGAAAAAAGAAGACAAGAAAAGAACAAGTAGGGCAAGCGAGATTCCGACGCTGGTCTAGTCTTACCGGCAAGCCTTGTCTTATTCCTGCTTTAAAAGAAACCAGATGAATCCATTCTCGCCTTTGCTTCCGCAGCCAGAATCTCGGGATGACGATGAACGCTGGGCATTAAACCAAGACCAATGGCCCGTCTGATGGCCTTTGCAATCTTTCGCTGGTTGGCCGGTCGCAGACCAGTCTCTTTCCTGTGCTTTATACGTCCCATGGGGGTGATGTATTCGGATAGAATGGAGAAGTTCTACAAAGGCGGAAAAGGCCGTGTCAGCTTCAATCGTCTCAAATCACCCCATCGCCATGACCTGATAAAAACGTACCTTATAAACATCCAAGGGGTTCATGTTGAGAGAGTCAAAGGCATCTGTCTCAGGACTGTAGCGCTTCCTCCACTTCTTCATCTCAGCCGGGCTGAGATCATGGGGCGCATAGATATCACCAGCCTTCCATTCACGCGTTTGAAATCTTTCCAGAGCTCGACTTTCGGCCTGGGCCTTCTGGGCTTCAATGAACTTTAGGCGGTTTGGTGCTCGACGACGGACAGCTCTCGGGATGTCTTGAAATTTGGAGAGAAAACAAAGTCAGCGATAGTGATCAACCCCGGCTTTCCCCCCTTATCCAGCAGTATTCTAACTTCACAGTATCTAGTAGACTGTATTTAACTACTTACTTTGTGTTGCTCGGGGGGGGCGTTGGAGATTCTCCAGCGCAGCATTGGTAGCAGTGGTCGAATTAAATCGACAAGCCGACTGCAGGGTTGACCCCAAGGTGCGCAGCGAGGACAGAGAAAAAAGGTTGAGTGACATATTGTTCGACAAGCCCTGACTCCTCCGGGTGCAATTGAGGAGCTTTAGTAGACAAAAAAAAAAGGGATGAGAGGAAGGAGATGTCGTCGAGGAATTTGGATCTCGTAGTGTCCCGGAAAGATTTACGAGCGATCGGATTTCTTTTCGGCGCGCCAAGAGCCGCATGACTTCCGCCAACCATCACAACACAAAGTTTACCTCAACTTCTTGAAACTTGTAACCTACATCTCTTGCACATTCAAGTCGCAAAAGACTTTGGGCTCATCAGTGATTCTCCCTAGGGTCTTTTCTTATATCCGCAGCTCCCGAAGCTTACTACATGCTGGCATAGCCGATAGACCCTACCCTCACCCTGTCCTTCCCCCCAGTCGTCAAATCTTTGTCCAGCAGCCATCTCGAGCAATATGCAGTCTCAACTTACCAGGAGGGTCTTTCGGGCTATTTTGAACAATGAACCGCTCTCGTCATCTCAATGCCGCAACCGATTTCTCCATACCCTTCGACCCTATAGGTCCCGAAAGCTACGACCTTCCCCTTCGTACGTTCAACAACGCGGGCTATTTGCCTTCAACATCACCCCACCCACAGCTCCCCCGGGCTCATTATTGCCTTCAGAAGCCGGGCTTAAACCAATGCGTGATCTGATGAGAGCGTTGAAGGATAAAAGTAGAGGGCCCTCCAATGAAGTTCTAGCAAAGGCTTTCCGGGATTTCTTTCTGGCGCGAACGGATGACCCCGGCGTCATCACGCTCTTTCAGGCGCAATTGCTCTGCATGACATGGGAGCATTTGCGATCTCAAGAGGGGCTGGAGCCGGAGGAGTGGCAGATGGTATTTGCCGTCGAGAATCTGGAACAAGTGCTCTACGTTCTGTCAGAAGCAAAATGTCTGCCAGAAGCGTGTGAGGTTGTACGGAAATTGGCAAAGTTTGCGTTTGTAGAGCTTTGCGGTGAAAATGAGACCGAGCGCGATCAAGTCAATCGACTTGCGATTCTTGCTTATATCAATATTCAAGCACTCAATGGCAACCCTCATGAGGCGAGACAGGTCGTCGAAAAGTTTTGGCCCAGGTTGCGAAAAACCAGCCCGTCTCCCTGGCTTACGGTAATGAGAGGATTTGCGATGATCGACGATAGCCGTCAAATCGTGCGAACCGCCGAGAAATTCGTCGAATATGACACTACATTCGATCCGGATTCCCAAGAAGGATTGATCCAGCATCTGATTACCCAGGATCTTCCGGTGGCAGTCAAGAGGATCTACGAATGCCCACTTTCTGGAGGCGAGGAGCCCAATCTGTCTACCAAATTGGCTGTAATCAAATATGCCGTCCTTAAATCCGATGCATCTTGGGCGCAGCCTATTTTCGAATCCATTCTTAATGTCCCGGTCTCGGAGACGATAGGGGTCAGGTTGCTCTGGGATGCCGCAGGTGGAAAAGACGCGTCCGCTATCGCAGAAAGATACAAGCTCTTTGTGGCCAAGGACCCTCATGTAGCGACATCCCTCACCAGTTCCTGCCTTGATACCCTAATGGAGTATGCGAATTCAATCAACAATCCTGCTATGGCCCTTGAACTTGCAACATTGGCTCCTGAGTGGGGAATTCGTCCAGACCCGCAAACTCGCCTGCTACACCTCGAAGCCCAGATCCAGGCTGGTGATGTTGCGGAAGCGTTAAAATCCCTGGGAGAGCTGGAGGACTTGGATCTAACAGCACCCGAGAATCTCCCTCTCATGAACAAGCTTATCACACTGCTTTGCTTGTCAGGCCAAGACGATGCCATTTTTAATCAAGTCTCGTCTTTCCTCGATCCGTTATTTGAGAATAACGTACGGCTTGAGGCAGAGACTCTAGCAGCACTAACACATATGCTTCTCTACCGCCACGACTGGGAGGGTGTTTCGGAGCTGCTTCGTCCCCGATTAGGGTCATATGATGCAGCCGAAAGGACCAAGATCCGCCATTCTCTCACCAAATTCATTCTTGATCCCAACCAGGAGAGTGAAAATGTTTGGGAGGCCTACGGACTACTACAACTTGCCTTCCCTGAGACCGGAGTCAAAGCACGGACAGATATCATGACCTCTTTCTTCAAGCGGGATCGAAGTGACCAAGCATTCTTAGTCTTCGGCCATATGCGCCAGGCTGAGAACTTTGCCCAACGGCCAAAACCCGACACCTATGCGCGATGTTTCCAAGGACTCGTGCGTACGCAAGATCTGAAGCACCTTGAACTCGTTCACAACATGCTCAAGCTCGACACCGAAGTGGACCTCAGCGTCCGGCTACTGAACTGGCTAATGCTCGCATACTCCACCTGCGGCAAGCCGGAGAAGAGCATGGAGGTCTTCAAGGACATTCTCAAATCCGAGGAGGGGCCGTCACACCGCACGATCTCATTCTTCTTCAAAGTGTGCGAGAATCACCCCAATGGTACACACGAGGCCCTGAAGATGATGGAGAAGTTGAAGGACATTAAGATCGTGGTTGACCGCCGCCTCTACGTCGCGTATGTGGAGGCCCTAGGCGCACAGTGCGAATTCGAGCTTGCCACGGAGGCCTTGGAGGAAATGGAAAGTGTGACTGGGTACCGACCAGCTCCTAGCTCGTAAGTTTTTTAAGTTTTTTTTTTTTTTTTTTTTTTTTTTTTTTCCCCTCTTTCCCCTTCTCATCTAATGCAAATACCTCTGGCTGACTCTTACTTAGACTCGGCTTGTTCTATAATGCGATTCCCCATCAGTACTGGAAAGACGAAGTCGAGAAATGGGCCCAGGAGAGATTCCCAGAGCTCTGGGAACGATTGGCGGGTATTGAACGTACAGAGTACGAAGAAGGGTTGAAGTTCAACCTTTCCGGAAATGAGTCAACTCTTTGATTGTTCCATCAATATATATATACACGTATGTATGTATATGTATGTTAAAAATACTGTAGCTCTAACTCTAACAACTATATTGTAATACACGTCATCAAAAGCATATATATATATATATATATATATAGATAGACATATATTTATTTCCCTCTCTCATAATCGATCAATAGAACTAAGCAAGTCATGGAAAGCCACCTACATATTCTTTCTGCACATAACTCTGCATGCATCTATACCCCAGAGAATCTCATGAGGAGTATAAAGAAAATGAAGAAGATGAAATGTTTTCATTAAAAGCTGTATTTCTTGTGGGGGGTTTTCGTGTTCCCTTGCACCCAAAGAGAAAAGAAAGAGAAGGAAAAATCCACATAATTAATGTCTCGTAACGCTGCAAATCTGCAAGAATAACAACACCCTGAACCCGAATATGCATATTATAAACCAGACACGGTCTTCAATCCACTGCTGTCGATATCAAATTTACGCCTTGGACTGTGCAAGTCTTTTGGTCATGCTGTAGTTATCATCGTTAGCGACAGGGCCACCAGAAAAGGCACGATAATGGAAGGGAACCACTTACAAGTCAAAGAAAGAGAACTGGCTGGGGCCGCTACCGTATTGGTACACGAATCGGCTGGCAAGGTAGCTGCCAAAGATGGCTCGCAGATAGCTCTCAGGAACCTAGCACGTTGTTAGTTGTCATCTCGGTATTTGGAATGTCAAGAAAAAAAAAAAAAAAAAAAAAAAAAAAAAAAAAACCAAATGAACTTACCCGTCGGAGCATGGTATCGAGGCCAATCTTGTCCAGAAGCAACTTAGGCAGGGCATCGCCAAGGACAGACCTGCGGAGGTCGACATTGTCCCACAATTCCGTCTTCTGCAGCTCCTCGTCGAGTTGAGTAATGGCAAGACTGAGTCTGTCACTCAGAACACTGCGGGGAAGTCCAGTCTCTTCATGCTCGCGCCAAATGGCCTCGAATTCAAGCGCAGCATTTTGCTTGATGATTTCCTGGACCTGCTTGACGTACGCCTGGTAGAATTCGGGAACAATGCCGTTTTCCCGGACGCACATGTTCTCGGCAAACTCCTTGTCGTCAAAGGACAGCGAGGCCAGAACCTCCAGGGATGACGAGGTCACACCACCCTTATTGGCGGAAGCATCCTTGAAGAGAATGCACCCAGCCTTCTCAAGCCGAAGCTTGCTATCCTGCGTGATAAACAGATTGGCACCCTCGACGATATAGGGAATGGTAGATTTGCCGTTGTCAATCAGCTTTCCAACTGTGGAGAGATCAATGGATTCGGGGCGTCCACCGCAAGGAACAAACATATCATACGTCTGCTGGTTGCGCAGGTGGAACAAGTTGCGGAAGATCATGCCGTTGTGGACCAGCTCGCCGTTCGGCAGTTGCACATTGCTCTCGTCGACCAACACCCGGTAGCCTTCGGGGGAAAGCTTGGACAGATCGAATTCGGAGATAGTCACACGCTTCTTGGCAAGACGCACAAGCTCATCACGATCCAGACCCTGGGGGTCAACAATGACACCCGATCCATCAACAATGGCGGTGTACTTCTCGTTAGCAAGGAGAATCTCGTTCGAGCCGAGGTCACCATCCGGTCCGCCAGTCTGGAGCTTCCGGATGGTCGATGGGTCAATGTTGAGCTTGCGGTAGATTCCCAGAACGTACTCGCGGACAGAGAGGGTTGTCATTCCGTATGTATCGTGAGGAATACCACCCAAGCGAGGGCTCTTGCCAGTGAAGAAAGACTTCCACCAAGGCGCACCACGGTTGCGAGCATGCTCAGTGGCCCAGTCGACCAGCTCGGCGGTGTTCTCGTCGGGGCCCATGAAGAGGATCTCGTCGTTGCCGTGCAGATCAACAATGGGATCCTTGATTCCTGGGCTGACTGGCGGTAGGAGAAGATCCATGATACTGTCAATGTACTTCTCAAAGGCAACACGAGCCTTGTCCTGGTGGTCCACGTCCAGAAGAATAACACCCTTGGCTCCACCTTCGGGAATATCTTTGTTCTTGCGTTGCTGGGTGTTGGCAAGGTTGTAATTCTCGTCAAACAGTGATCGGGCATTGATGCTGTATGCCTCCTTGTTTCTGCTCTTGACGATACGGATACCACCACGGGCGATATCTCTGAAACGCAGGTGGAAGCCACGGAATTCCGAGCTGATCACCAAGAACATTCCGTACAAGGGCTGAGGGTATTCATGCTCGGGAAGAAAAGAGGGATCAAGACGGAAGCTGAGAGCCACTTTGGTAGGGGTGAAGAAATTGGTCTTCAGGATGGAAGCATTGAACACCCGGAAAGCGCTCATGACCATTTCGTCATGCTCATTAGCGGTTGTGCTGGTGATCAATTGCTTCAACTTGGGGCCATCCAGAACCTGATCGACCTGGAGGCGAAGGTAACTCAAGGTGGGGAGGAAATCATCTTCAGCGGGGCCACGGGTCTGCACATAGTGTGTATTTGCAAAGTCGAGGTAGAGCTTGTGGATAAGCTCAGGGTACTTGTTGACGATCTCGGAGATATAGTCAGAGGTAAAAGTCTCGGTACGCAACCTCTTCTTGATCTTGGACAGTAACTCTGCGTGAGCACTGTTGTTGGAATCCAGAAGATCAGTCAAGGAGATGTATTCAGAGCCCAGACGGTTCAGGAACTGCTGGACAAAGACCCACGCGCAGTGAGCGTAGATGGTCTCCTGCAAGCTGAGACGTCCGCTAGCAAAGTGATGCTGGAACCTGTTCTGTGGGACACAGTACAGGAGGGAGATTTCCTTAATGATCTGGTGGATGGCCGCTTCGATGGGAGGGTATTTGGCGACAATCTCAGCGCTCTTCAGTGGGCGAAGGTAAAGGGAGATGACAGTGATACCGTTGGAGAAATTCTCCAAGTACTTGCGCGAACTGGTCAGGCGATAGTAGTGGTACAGGTCAGAAAGCGCGCTGAAAAGGCCCATCGCGGAACCCTGGCGGTACGCGATGACGAGACGCTTTTCACGGCTCTTCTCGAGCTCAAACATCTCAATAACGGGGCCAGATCGGTTCACCGCATTGGTGATGATCTCTTGATAGATGGCCTTGGTGTTGGCAGTTGCTTTCTGCAAGAATCTCTTTTCACCGATAATGTCAATATTCGTCTCGTTGGGGCTGGGGTTAGGGTTAACAAATTGGCACTTGTAGACGAAGTAGCAGCGAAGTTGCTGGCCATCATCGCCGGGGACTGGTGTGGGAGAACGGAAGGTCTCCACACGATAGCTGTTTTCTGGAGTGGATCCGTTGATATACTTCTTATCAATTCTCTGTTCATAGAGAGGGCCGTCAACGGATGAGATACCGGGCTTGCTGGTGTCGATATACACGGCATGGTCTTCAGCTTCCTTGTCTAATCGAATCTCAAGCTTCTTATCATCACGAGCGTACGCGGCGACCTTGGCAGCATATAGAGAGAGAATCTGAGTGACGATGGCATCAACCGACTCGGTCTGGAAGTATGTGTCATCAATTCCGAGCTGGTTATAGAACCATTCTGTCTCTCCAACGACGAATTCGGCAGGGATGAAGCCCTTCTTTTCAAGCTGGTCCATGACTAGAAATCGAGCGAGTCTTAGAACAGAGCGGTGCCAAAGTGAGTCTTTTTTTTTGGGGGGGGGGGTTGCAGTAAGCTTACCCTGCTCCATCTGGTGTTCCTTGCCCTCGAACTTGGCAGCCACATAACCAGGGTCCTCTTCAGACAAAATTCGGGGGCCACCGGGAATCGCCAAATGAGTCGGTTGGGGGGATGGGTGTCGGATACTCGAGCCAGCTACATTGTCTAACAGCTTGTTGTGAGGATGTCTTTGAAAGCCAATTGGAGTTCCAGTACCCGACGAGGAGCCATCGTTACTGCCAAAGAGCTTGGGACCCTGGCGAACCGGAAGAGTATTTGCGTCATTGCCGTTGATGTGAACGTCTGGTAGCGACTGGAGGGAGGAAGCGGGAGACACCATGACGAAGAATGAGAGTGAGACGACTCTTTGTTGAGAAGTTCAGTGCGGGGAAGAGAAGGAGGAGAAAGAGAGGAACTGCCACCACTTATATGAGTAAGACCATCCACAGACAGAGAGAAAGAAAGAAAGACAACTAGGGAGATAAAGGAGCCAAATCGAAGGAGTGGCAAGGCCCAGTTGAAGAGAAAGGCAAAAATGGTTCCGAGTTTGGGGAATTCCCAAGGAACCAAAGAATCAGGGCCGATAAGAGAGGATGCACAACAGAGGCAGGGATTGTGAGAGAGAGAGAGAGATAGGGGGAGGAATTTTTGATTCATTCCTCAAGGGATGAAAGAGGATAATAAACTCACAGGATGGAAGCTCAATCAACAGTGTTTCCGGGTGATTCAGGGAAGCTTATCGGGGAGATGGAAGTAGATAGGAATGTAGATATTGGATCGGTAAGAGTAGAGATGAGATCTGACATTTATATAGATTTATGGGGATCTGGAGAAGAGAAGTATACAAAATTGATACACCATGTTACCAACATGGTAACTTGCAATTGAATCCATGACCCGGCTCTATGCGCGATCGGCCAGGAACGGTGCCGGCCCGGGCGAAGTCGAGACTCTCTGTATGGAGCCCTCGTTCTTAGGAATGTACAGCTCGCCAGGTCGCCAGGTCGCCAGGTGGCTACCAAATTTGACGAGTTGGGACCAGGTAGGACTGGTAATGACCAAATTCTATTACCATACATGACAATACTAGTAGTAAGTTAGTAATATATTCTATAAAGCTGCGGGATTCAAAATCATCTATCTGGTAGTACTAGTTGTGACCAGTCATGCCTAATTTAAGTGGTAAAATACCACCTGGCGAGACAAGATTTGGTATGGTATACTTTTCATGGTATAATACAGTATATTATTTCTAGTTAAGACTAGTCAAGACTAGTACTTACTTAAGTAAAATATATATCTAGATTAGATTATTATAATTATTTTTAAAAAAGAACTAATCTTATTAATAATTACTAATAATTACTAGATATTACTAGTAATAACTAGAGATTCTAATAATTACTAGATATTACTAGTAATAACTAGAATTTCTAATTTTATTAGTAGTTACTAGTAATTACTATAAGAGCATGTAATTTAAGTAATATATCTAAATTATTAGACTAAAAAATTACTATAATCAGACCTAATAATCTAATCTGCCTGAATCCTATCTTATATACCTAGTAATTTAATTACCTTAGTACTAGTGCACCTAGTATATACTATAATTACTAGAATTTCTAATTTTATTAGTATTTACTAGTAATTACTAGAATCTTTTATTACTACTATCTAGATAATAAGATATAGATTACTAGAAAAGATTAGTATATATTTATTTTTATTAATTATAACTAGAGGTTCTAGTAATTACTAGTAACTACTAATAAAATTAGAAATTCTAATTATTACTAGTAATATCTAGAAGTTCTAGTACTACTAGTAATTACTAGTAATATCTAGAAGTTCTAGTACTACTAGCCCTACTAGTAATAACTAGAACTTCTAATTTTACTAGTAATTACTAGTAGTACTAGAACTTCTAGATATTACTAGTAATAACTAGATATATATTCTACTGTAATATACCATGAAAAGTATACCATACCAAATCTTGTCTCGCCAGGTGGTATTTTACCACTTGAATTGGGCATGACTGGTCATAACTAGTACTACCAGATAGGTGATTTTGAATCCCGCAGCTTTACAAGATATATTACTAACTTACCACTAGTATTGTCACATATGGTAATGAAATTTGGTTATTACTGGTCCCAACTAGTCAAATTTGGTAGCCACCTGGCGACCTGGCGACCTGGCGAGCCGCAACCTCCGTTCTTAGTACTTACTGATCCATGATGTTTTGGTATTGTATATTACCTGTATCCTTTGTATCCTGTATCAGATACCTACTACTGGTACTGCTTCGTACTTACTAGGTACAACTATATACCTAGGATTTACTTTCTTCTTGTCTACCTCTTCAGAAGATGAAGAAATTATCCAAGTTTCTTTTCTTCCCTATCTATCTTGGATAATACTAATACTAACTTATCAAATCTAGGAATTAATCAGGATTTTCCGTCGTTTCAGTCATTCAACCCCAGTGTCAGTACCTTACCTAACCCGGTAACTTTCGTAGCGCCAGTAAAATATGATTGGCCATCAGGGGCTAAAATTGGGAAAAATTGCCTCAACTCGTTTGGCCGATGAGAGACATGGTGTGTGGCTGATCGATTGTTCTCGAACTTTTGGGACCTTTTTTAGAAACAGAGCTGATGATATAACTCTTCAAAAAAAAAAAAGTCACACTGTATCCTCATGATTCATAAGAAGGATCCCCAGTCAGCTGATTATTCTAGTCCCGTGGCCTGGAATCCTCCACTTAGTAGGGCTGTGCCTTTCCAAAGGGGAATTTCAGTTTGTCATGGTGGCTATAGGTAACTACCTCCTACGTAGAGAGAGACTTTTTCTTCTTGTAATCTGTATACCATATGGAGTATCAATTCCCCATCCCTGTTTTCTTGTTTTCTTGTTTTCTAGTTTTCTAGGTAGGTAGGAGGTGTGAAAAAAAAAAATGCCGCATTTTGATAACATCATGGGTCAATCAATGTTTCCTGTTGGTTCCTTGTCTGGTGATGATCTGTGATACTAATCAATCAGAATCAATCCAGCTGGATGCATGAGGGGGGCCTTCGTTTCATTATTATACTATACTATCCAAGTACCTACATAAGTACCTAGTCTTACCTTTGCGATTCATTGCTAGTGTTAACTACCATATAGTACGCCAGGAGATCTAAATGGCGTTGCACTATGATAATATGATTTCCTCGAGACTGCGGGGTTGGTCGATCTCTATGTATGTATCCGTACCTGGATCCAAGCCGGCTATCCTCAATTATTCCTAGTGACTTGCGGGGTGAGGAAGAATATTTTAAATTTAATCGCCCCCTGAAAGGTACCCTACTACCGTACTACTTCTCCAGAAAAATACTCTGAATTAATGATGATGATGATGATTATTCTTATTACCCCAGAACTTCGGACGCCTCCTGACAACCCTCAATTCTCATTAATAAAATGGCTCAATTCGCAATCCGTCTAGGTCCCAATTACCCCAGTAGAACCTTTTTCCGCCCAAATGCTTTGCTGAAACGTGCATCTCAGCCACGCAGGAAAAGAGGTGGGGTTCCAGGGCCCCCGACTAGTATTTCTCTGGTCAAGTGTGGGTTACCTCCACTCACCGTCTCAAACAAATATGGGTTATATGAGGTAATATCTGTAATATAATCTCGAATAAATGAGCGCCATGACGAATGGGGAGGACGATGGGACACCGCTTGGAAGTCGCGTGGATTGCATGGATCTTGCCATCCGACTCGATCCTCGTTTTATTTATTTATTTATTTTTTTTGGGCTTTCTTCTTCCCCAGCTCCCTGGTTTGGCAATGTAATCTTGCTAGTTAGTTACTGGTGCCCCAAAATCACCTCGAAGGGATTTAATTGTATTGAGGAGGGGCAAGAAAAAAGCAGTTGCAAAGATGTGGGTGATTGATAGAACTCCCCTGACGCGCATCCTGCAGCTTGCATCTTGTGACTAAGATATTGGGATCGGAAGTGAAGTTATTTCAACCAAACAGTAATATCACGAGCTGTTCCTAGAAAGCACCTGGCTGATATCTGTCAAGTGTAAGCAATGCGGTCAAAACCCCTCTGCAGCAGACAGACAAATCACGTTGCATTGGGAAAACTTATTATCAATTTCTTCATTCTTCATCAATTCCACGATGCGGACAACAATGCCTATATTGGTATGAGGAGACAGACTTGCTGCCTTGCATCCCGCTGAAAACTTTTGCCCAGAAAATTAGAATACTCACTCACTCACTCTGTAAGTTTGGGTCCCGAGTATTCCCACAGTTTCTCGGTGCTGGACCTCCAACCACATACACTGCACACAGTCTTGAGTCCGCTGCGGCTTTGTATCGTGCTCGGTGCTTCGGGAGATGATACATCGATTCCAGCCAACGAAAAGAATGAATGCAATCAATCCCCATTGCAATCTGGACCTGATAACACCATCATTATGCAATATTATCCACTTTCTGCACGTTGATGGTGGTGAAGCTGGGTTTTGTATCCACCGGTATGAGTCAAGTGCCGTAATTACAGACCGACATGATAGATAACAACGATAAGGTATGGTATTATGATATTACAATACAATTACATGCATGCTATGCTTTTACCTCAACTACTACTTACTACATTCTATCCACAGGAACCACAGTCTTTCTCAACTAAAGATGAATCAGACTCTATCCTGCAGATGATACAGATTCCCTACAACATGTTGCAAGGCAACACACTGATAAGAACTCAGTAGAGAGGTACCTACGACAACTACCAAGTTCCAGCTTGCCCCTCTACGATTTCCATTATGAACTCCTATTATCTAAGAATCTAAATTCAACATCACTATCGAAATATGTGGGTTCATTGCTGGTAGGGGTTAGGTAGAATTAGAGTGAGGCACTCGATTATCTTGCTTTCTATGATAAATTTAACGTACGGACATGGTCCTGTCTTTGTAGTGTCTGGGTGAGTTGTTGGTTATTTTTGTCTTGATAGTACTTTTTGGACGTGAAGATATAAGTCCCTATAGACTATTCATTAGATACAATGTTGGTTCTTTTCAGAATTTAGGAACAAGGCTATGTATATATATATGTGTGTGTGTGTGGACATACAACATATCGGTACAAATCTAACACCATTATTTATTAGTAGCATTATCGTCTTGTCCCACTTGATACTTCTCAAGGAACACGTCTCGGGGTCTTACCCGGTTGTGCTTGACATCGCGACTGCTTTTCCCCGAATATACATACATAGTGGCCCAGTGCAAAATTGTGTAGCCAACGCTAATCTGAATCAGGAAGTAAGCTCCTAAGCCGAGGTAGATCAAGAATCACTTGCATAATCAATGCTCGAGCATTTCCTGTTTGTTATGGTAGTTCAAGGGTTACTACAGTATACCTACTCGGGAGCTAAAGATAGCACACAACAGCCAATAGAAGAGCTGGACTCTCGTTGTGCTGAGTTTGTATACATAGTATAGTGCACACCGCTCCTACGGCATTCAGACCAGCATAGTTCATGGCTAACCTATACTTTTAGGTAGTTTAGGCCACGTTCCTATCGGAGCGGTGTGCGTGGTTTGTGGTCAACGGAGGCGACGATACGAATAGTATCGATAAACGATGGCCAATGGTACAGGTAAAAGCGGTATAGTTGGACTTCATCTCCGTGAAAGGCCCGCCGGGGGAGGGTCTAGATTAACATCCACAGTTCTAGAGCTTGGAATCTAGCCTCGGAAAAGGTGGTTCTTGGCTTTCTTTGTTTTCAACGTACCTTAGGAGTACATACCTAGGTACGAGACTTGGGGCGTAGTTAGGACCATTATCAGGGCATCATCTACTTACTTATAAGGACCAATGATTGAGTTTGGATTCCCTAGACAGGGGCTAGGGAGTGATCGTCAGCGCTTCTAGTCAAATAACTAGACCCGAGGTTGCTTTGAAAGGATTAGGGGCTCGTGTTGATAGTATTTGCGACGGTTTCTTAGGTCAGATTGTCAACGCAGAGCAAAGAGTCTGGGGCTGAGATGAGAGAATACTAGAGTAGGATAGCCATCGGCAATTAAACCATTCCAACCTGGAGTACTCCGTAACCCTGGCTGAAACCCCAGAGTCATCGAAATCTGACAGCATCTGCAAACCGAACTACCCCTATTTATTGGTGGAGGAAGCGGTGGAAAAAGTAAGCGGGAGGCTCTGATGGGTGGTTTGAGAAGGTTGACTCTTAAACCCCCTTTCCTTGAATGTACTCCGTAGTGATTCCTTGGTGAGAGCGTAATATCATGCCTTGTGTAGGTAGCAATGCGAAATCACAGGGGCCAAATGAGAGTTAGCTGGTTCCCGTCCTTAACCCGTATCTTTTGATGGCTGAACTTGTCAAGAAGATCATTGCTCAGGATTCCGTGATCTGAGCGGCAACAAAGAAACTTGAGTACACTATTAAGGAAAGATAGTTCTCGAACTGTTCTGTACTTTTGCCCGGCGCGACTAGTCGGTTGAACGATACATCAAATAATAACTATGAGATAGGTTGTAGGTCCGGTAGAATTGCGGTGGAGGCTCATTTGGATCCTTCACCAGGTAGTCGGCGGAAACGAACTAGTTATACTAGTTATACCTACCCCTGATTCATCATTTCGCGGAGTCGATCCCGATGTCCCTTTTTGGTCCAGAAACGAAGAAAGAAAGAAAAAAACCCTTAAGTAGATTTTAATCTATTAGATTAAAGAATACTAGGAATTAGGGACTAGTAGGGTCCACAATCCAACATCCCTTCTTTTAAGTTCCTTTCTTCACTCTTCTACCCCCACAGTTTCCAAGTACATAGTATGGAGTACGGAGTACTATGTATGTGTATGTAGGAGTAGGTTCCAACTTCCCCATAGTTAATTTCCACTACCCCCTTCCATCAGGCAAATCTTTTTTTTACCTTGCCGGATTTTCCTCCTTCCTCAGATCCCTATACCTTTGTTATTTTATTTTAAAGGTGATGCGTCCCCGGGGTGTCCACCCGCCCTTCCGTACAAGTATACATACAACTGAGCTGCTCCAGTTGCTACACCATGGACTATAATCTCTCCAGGCTCCACGCCCAGTGAGGAGATACCGATACCCGACCTGCTGGGCCGGAGCTGCCTAAGACGATGTGAGACGCGTGGGTTGAAGTTTCAGGGAAGGAATTTTTGGGAACGAAGATCTCCCCCCAGGGACAAACAAATTCGCTGGTGTTTTGGCTCCATAAGGATATACACGTACGTACGACAAAGGGATCGGATGTGTCCGGTTTGGCAGGGTTAATATTATTTGTTCTACACGGACTGGTTTAGCTGATTGTCCTAATTTTCTTTATGATTTATTATTTTATTCACTCCGTCCTTGAATCCTTTTTTTTTTTTTTTTAGCTGTTCTCTCTCCCGAGACAACCCTACGTCCGACACATCTCGTTGGGCTTTCCTTTCCTTCAAGGCTTCTACATAAGACCTGGCCTCTTCCTCTGCCGATGCTTCTTTTGGATCCTTTTCTTATCTACTATACGATCTTTATACTCCCACTCTCGTTATCCAACACATCAGGATATATATATATATAAGTTTTGATATAACATCCGTGCCTGGAGAAGGTATTGAGAGGTAAGTTCCTTTCTTTCAGCATCCCCTCGAAATCTGCAATCATCCTTCAGAAAAGAGTCAAGAAAACAATATTGAACCTGGAGTATACATACCAGCCAACATACAAAGCTCAAACTCCTACACTCCGACCCAATTATACAAAATGACTTCCCCAATCCCAACACATCCTCGCAACCGCCCTACACTCACCACCCGGCCCTCCTCCGCCTACAGCCAAAAAGACATCTACCATGCCATCATGGCCTCCACAACCCAGAATCCTAAATCTCTCGACGGCTCGGATTCTCAAAACTATCAATCCGCATCGGCATTCGAGTATCCGCCCCCACCTCCTCCGTCCCCGGTGGAATCGCGAAATCCTCATGCATTCTAGACTCTTCTTCCTCTTCTTCCTCTTCTTCCCGCTCTATTGGGGAATCGATAACCGTTAATACTTACCTTTTACATTCTCTCTCTCTCTCTCTCTCTCTCTCTCTCAAAACAACAGTTTATTTCATCTGGCATGAACGGAACCAATCCCGGGACTTCAAAACAAGCAAGTCTTTCACTTGTTTCCCAAACGATGGGGTTCTTAAATAACTGCATACATGGATATACAGAACACATGCCTACAGCATTCACTTGTCTTTTTTTTTTTTTTTTTTCTCCCTCTTTAATAATCAATGACTTGGTCTGGCCTGGTCTGGTCCAGTTCGGTTCGGTTCGGTTCGGTTCGGCTTGGGTTCGGCTGTGGGGTCTTGTTTTCTTTTCTTTTCTTTTCTCAAGGTCTTTGGCAGCTTCGGATGCATACAGTACATCCATACATCCATACTCAGGATTGGGCAAAATTGAGCTTTTTTTTCTTCTTTGGTTTGCTTGGGGGGGGGGGGTTTCTAGATTACCACGTGTAGGAATTTCCATATTTGGCAGAATACCTATAGTTACCTAGCATAGATAGATACATCAAAATGTATGAAATGAGAGGATCATATCTACGTAGGATCCATCTGTACGTGATTCCGTGGCAAAGGTTCCATTCGGCATTATTCTTCTTCTGCTTCCTCTCATAAAAGAGACGTAGATAGATATACAGATCCACCGCGGTCTACAACAACACATGTGTCATTTATTCATCGTAATGAAAATCATCCTCGAACGATCGAACGATCGAACAAGAACCACCACCTGTTCACGACATGCGGAGTCCCTGCATCCGGTGGTCGTATGACGCTATCCCGGCGCAATCAAAACCGGATCGGTCGGTGTTTCTTCACGAGGTGGGTCCTCGGGAAGGAGAGAGAGAGAGAGAGAGAGTCTAGCTCTAGACAGCTTCTAGATGTCCCCCTTAGAGCGTTGGATATTACTGCAGGGTAATCATGCGAGCGGCGATAGCTGAGGCATTTCTTTTGGGGATTTCGTTCAGACCTTTCCCCCCCCAATCTTCTTCTTTGCAAGGAGAGCGAGAAGCTTTGAAGTCGCTGCCTCCGTTCAAGAACACTTGAAAAACTTGGGGTAACTCACGTGATTCCACATGTTTTAACGTAGGCGTTGCTTGATGATCCTTGGCACGGTAACCATGTGCTTGGGTTTGAAGCTGTAGGATTGACACATGTGAATGTTATGCATACCGAGAAGAACCGTAGAGAAAAAAAAAGTTAAAAAAGTTCGGGGAGACTCGCTAGGTCTCTCAGCCGGGGCGCGACGAGTTCTCGGAGGGACCAAGACCCTGATTCCCAAGTTGAGTGTAGAGATTCTCTAGTTCCATGATCGCTTCGGAATCTCCCTGGAGAGCGCGATCATTAAGCTGCTGGATTGCAGCTAGCTGCTCGTCTGTTTGAGCCCAGCCGCGGAGTCGCTCCTCTAGATTTGAGCCTCGTTTTGAGCTAAAAACAGTGCGCACGGTATCGGTCTCGCCCCTGCGTTTCTTCAGTTCCATCAGACGCCCTAGGAATCGAGCCTGGTTTGACTGGTGATCTGGTTTGTAGACTCCGGGAGTTTCTGGTGCGGAGGAGGTTTCCAGCGGTTGCTGCAGCGGATCCGGGTGATTTTGGACCTGACCCCCAGAACTAGAGCTAGAGATGAGGGTGGCCTTTCGACTGAGAATCTTGACACTGTTGGCAGCGATAAGGTCAAAGTCCTTGGTATGCTTCAACGGGGTAACCTCCGTGGGTGCAGCTGCATCCGGGTCAAATGATGCATCCTGGCCAGGACGAGAGAAGAAAAGTTCGGTGCCAATCTGATCCGCCCATGATCCGCTAAAGATCTGATTCTGGTAGGAAATGATCGGGTTGGCGGTGTGGAGGCCGAGGATTTGCACCCTTTCTGCAGACACGTTGTCGGACTCAGAGCTGGCTATGGCGGGATCTTGGTCATCAGTATGCGCGGAAGGAGCAGAGGGGGGCCCGGTGGTTGCTGTTGCAGTGGAAGAGGAGGGGTCATGGCGACGGCGTGCGGGACGGATAGGACCATGATGGGTGGTGAGGTCGATATTGAGATAAAAGGTCTGGGAGGGTGTGAAGAGAAAGGGTGATGGATCAGCTGGGTCGATTGACCAAGGTGGGAAATAAACAGTAGAAGAAGATCTTCTCTTACCTCTGTTTCGGTGTCATGATATTCGTATTCATAGTCGGAGTCCTCATCGTCTGCAGGGAGAGGATGGGAGGGCATGCCGGGATCGAGGGCCGACATTGGTTCTGAATGCGGTATTAAACCTCCGAGCAAGCCGTTGATTGTGCGTGTTTCTGCAGGATTCTTGCAGACCAGTCCCAGGAAGGTTTGCGAGGGCTAGAAAAGCTTCTGACCGGTTCTTATGTCGTGCCCTCTATACCAATCAGCAGCACGGCCGAATCCACGGGTTGGGATAGCTCCAGATGTATTTATTATTATCTTGTGCTTTCCAGGTTCTGTATGGAGATAGTTAGTTAGTTACCTCAGGCAGCGGTGTGGTCGCTTAGTCATGAGTGGTAATAGAACTGTATAAATGACAATACGGTAATTTTTCCTCAGGCTCCCAGGCTCTCATCTTGTTGTGGATACCTGAGGTACTTCAGCCCTGTCAAAAGCATCAAAATCAAACAACTCAAATCTTTCTCCATCTCATCAACTTCACTTCAACTTCATTCTTTCAATCATCAACTCCATCAATTATACTTCTCATCCCATCTCTCTCTTATATCCCTTATTTATTTTCCACACTAGAAGTTAATCTGACTCTTCTCTTTATCCTTTTACTAGATGACCTCATCTTGAATCCCCTCCATCCGGATTGATCCACTTTCAGCCCTGTTCCTCACTTTAGGCTCCGTCAGCATTTCCAATGACTCCCTCACTACTACCCATCTAACCAAAAAAAAATACAAATAAAAAATTAAAAAAAAAAGAAAGAAGAAGGAAAAAGAAGAAGAAGAAAAAGAAAAAAGAAAATAAACTAACCTCCCCTTGGGTTCCAAAAAGTAAGTCAAGCATTTCCAACTTTCTTTTCTTTAAACTCACCAATCATTCCCCTCCGTTCCTGTTGGACTACCCTCGTTCTGTCTACCGCTGGAATTCTTCCTTAGCAATCCGGCTTTGCGCGGAAGCAAGGGAGGCCATGGAAATGCATCCGTCACCTTCCATGTCCACTCCCGTTGCTCATTGTTGCTCTTTGCTCCTCCATCTCCGCCGTCCATCATTCATTATCTAATCCTATTCCGTCGCTCCCGGTCTCTCTTTCTCACTCGACCAATTGCTGCTTCCTTATGATGGGGTCAACGGATGGCCTATTGCTGGACCCGGCAGTAGCAGTCATCCCCCTCCTCGCTAGCACCACTCTCATCACTGATGTTCTCGACCGCCGCTGACGGAACAATATTTTCGTTGTCCTCTTATAGTGTCTCTTCCTCCTCTTCCTCTCCAATCTTTCCCTTCATTTCCGGGGCTGGCTGCTCGTTCTCATTCTTTCTTTCCCCTCTTCCTGACCTTCTTGGGTTCCTCCGTCCTTGTGCTCGCCAATCCTACCGACCAGGCTTCGTTGACCGCCACAATCTTATCTACTCCACCTAGCGTTGCTATCCCAAACAGGAAATCATACTTCAGCACATCTGCCACTCCCACCACCCCAACCACTTTTGCTATAACTAGCTTTTCTGCTCCTCCGGCGATTGCTAGGGATAACGAGGTTGAATTCGCTCTTGAATCCCCCCCGAACTCCACCGCCTGCGAAATCGCCGCTCCATCCGGTCCATGTCATCAGATGGTTCAGAAGACTACTGCCGCAATTGTTACACTCTCTTCACTGATCGCCTATGTGACCATCAACAGTATCCTCCGTACCGTCAGGCCGTCGGCCTTTATCTGGTACGATGAGGACCGTGACGAGGAAAGTTGGATCGCCTCTTCTCCGTCATGGTTTGACAGGAAGGCTTGCCGTTGGCTCGGGCTTTGCGGTACAGCACACTTTCGCGTAATCGGTCCCCACTTCGGGCGCCGTACAGCCTCTCCAGAGTTGCCAGACGACAGTCGTTCGTGGCAGAATTACTGGACCAACGAAACCGGTCCTTCCGAAGATTCGTGGGATGCGACAGAACGAAGTCTGCGACAGATCCCCGACTATGTACTCGAATATGCTCCTCTCGTTCATCTTTTCTCAGGCGAGCAGTTTTGGCCGTGCGACATTGCTGAGCATCTCTACCATACCACCCCGATGCTGAACTATACCCCGGTCCAGTCGGAATATGATCACCCTTCTTTACAGGATCTTGATGAGCTGAATCAATGGGAAGGAGGACGCCATGTCTTTCTAACCAGCAACGATGACGTAGAAGGACGTCCACCTTGGATTGAAGGGGAGAAAAATGTTCCTACCCCCCCGGAGGACAATCCCGAGGACTTGTGGCTAGACCGGGGTAGCGAAGGCGACGAATCCTTCACGGAAGAACCCACCGAGGATCGTGTCAAATGGTACGACACTGAATTACCACTGCGAGATGGGGCCGCCGATGGTATCCCAGCTGAGGAGCTTGGCTACCCCACCTTCGACCAAGACTTGATTCGCAACGAACTGAGGAGACGATACGGTGGAGAACCTATTATTCAGGGAACTGGGGGCCGGAGCGAGGCGCCGGCCGTTCTGCTAGTGATCGACAAGGGTAATGGTATTGTGGATGCCTTTTGGTTCTACTTCTACAGCTTCAATCTTGGCAACGCAGTGTTTAATGTGCGGTTTGGGAATCACATTGGAGACTGGGAGCACTGCCTTGTGCGATTTCACCATGGCAAGCCAAAAGCCCTCTTCTTCAGTGCTCACTCTGCGGGCGAAGCGTACAGCTACGAAGCTGTCGAGAAAATTGGACGACGAGTAAGTCTACATCCACGTGATTTTGCAGGCGCGCACGATCCCCTTGAAGGCTAATTATTGGTCCAATCAATAGCCAGTCATATACTCAGCAACAGGCACACATGCCATGTATGCCACTCCGGGGGTGCATCCATACATTCTACCATGGGGTCTTCTCCATGATCAAACTGACCGCGGCCCTCTGTGGGACCCCCTTCTCAACTCTCACTCATACACATATGATGTCGCCAATGATACCCTTCGCGCATCCACCCTCAACCCGGCCTCACCAACCGAGTGGTTTTACTTCAAGGGACAGTGGGGTGATAAGTTTTACCAGCTTGGTGACCGTCGACAGTATCGCTTTGCAGGCCAGTATCACTATGTGAACGGACCTTTAGGGCCTTGGTTTAAGCATCTCAACCGTCGTAAAGTATGCCAAGGTCCTGATGAAGATCCTTGTCTTATCAAGGACTATATCGGGGAGTAAAAAAGGCCTAAACGATGGTCTACCATGGGGCCTGAGCATCCTGGAGGAGAAAATCCTCATCATACCTTCAAAGTCGGCTAACGCAGAGCCTAGCATGCATCTTATGATAGCAGGTCCAACTCTTGTTGGTAGCTATCGATGAAGTTATGATCACAAAACCCCCTCCTCCCCGCTCTTTTTCTTTTGGCCTCCCCCCCCCCGCAGTCCTTGATACCCTTTCTATTTCTTATTTTATCATTACGCTTGTTTATCAGTACTTGATATCCTCGTGCAGTTGGCATTCGTATTTTTTGGGCATATGGTATACCCCACGCGTTATCTCTCCTTGATATAGATCCCTGGCCGGATTTAGAGGGCTAGAAGCCCACGAGCCATGAAGAATGACATGGAATGCTTTTCTCTTTAGTTACATTGGGAGTCGGAGTCGATGGATCTTGTTTCTTTCCCCCCTTTTTGGATCATTCCTTATTTGATATACGCATCAGATGCTCTGGATGGTGGTCACTGGATCAACATTGAAGAATAGATGGCTATTTTTTTTTTATATAAAATATATACAGACGTACATACACTCCTACATGTACATTGCTGGATCCTGCAGGCAATCTCTTGAGGATTCTAAACTGCTAAAAGTCAACAACTATAACGGTGTTAAAACATGTAACACAGGATATAATATAATCAATCCAAAAAAAAACAAGCAATAAAAAGCAAAGACATCATAGAGCCGAGCAGCAAAACAACCCAAAGGGAAAAGCTAGTGCCATTGTAGGATTCCCGATCCCTTCCCTCCCTCCATCCCTGAGTAGGTATTATCAAAGATTCAGCTTACACTGAAACCGAGACAATGATACAAAGAGGATCAAAGATAGATAGGGAGAAGGGGAGAAAAGCAAGTAAGGAAGAGAGAAAATGGTTCAATCATCCTACAAAAGATCAAATCAAATTTGTCTGATTGAGACGAACAGCGAGTCCATATACACTTGAACGCCCAAGATGAAAAAAAAAAAAAAAGGCTAAGCAAGTAAATAGGAAAGAGGAGGGGGAAAAAAGAAAAGAAAAGAAAAGAAAAGAAAAAAAAAAAAAAAAAAAAGAGAAAGGAAGAAAATACAGAAGCAATGATGATATTGATATCATGCAGAGGGGAATGAGGTAATTAAAGAAGAAAAAGAGCCCCAGTGAGAGATGATCCGGCTGAGCAGCAGCGAAACGCCAAAGAGGTAGTAAAAGAAACTGGCAAAGGACAGTGAGAGAGAAATAGAAGGGAAAGTAACAACTCCAAGCCCATATCCATGGCACTCCGTTTCATAGTAAACTCCATAATTCCCCAAATTTCCCAGGCAAGAAACACGCGACGCGCGGTTTGATCTTGCTTAATTCCAAATTCGCCGGTTGCCCCTGTCTAGGATGTCTACAAAGCGGTTGAAGAGAGCAGAAGAACAGAATAGAAAAGAATAATAAACAGAAAGATTGCGGTGAACAGTGGACAGATGAATCTTGGGGTCATACTCGTCCTGCTCTCCTTCGCAAGCCAAATTCCTGCTCTTGAAGTTCACGAATCAGGCGTAAGCTTTCAGCATCCGGGTCGTTTTCAGCCACGCTTGCGTGATCTGATTTGGGAGCTTTGCCATGCTGACTAGGGGACGTCGAAGAAATAGCGTGCCGGTCGGATTTCTTTTCTACCGAAGGAGAGAAGCTCTTCTTTCCGTGGGACGAGGACGGTCGAGATGCGGACTTCTTTGGGGCGGATGACTGGCCCGGGGGGTTCTTCTGCACACCACTTGTGCCATTGAAGGATGAACGGCGTGTAATCTGTGAGTGTGTCGTAGGCTTCGCCGATTTGACAAAATGGACATCCGGCATATACCTTTCAACGTGACGCGGCTGACGAGAGGAATGACGGGATCCCGTGGTTGGCGTGTGGATGGCATGGCCTCCTCCTCCTCCTTCAGCGTCAGCATGATCATGCATATCCATCTCGTCTGCTAGAGAGGTCGGTGGCGACACGAGTGTGGCAACTGGCTTGGACACAGAAGCCGCGTTTACTTCCTCAGTGACAACCGTATCCGCCTGAAAAGCTGGTGGGGAGGCATACGAATTTTGGCCCGAGGGAGCTTCTTCTTTCTCCACTTGGACCATTTCCGCATGTGGTGAGGTCGGTTTATTCGGTCGTGTTGTTGTCTTTCCAAGTGGACTATGGTCAACGGCAGTGTGGATGGGAGAGGGTTGTTCCACTTCCCGAGAGCTGAGATGCGCTGGCCTTGCCACGGGCGAGGTGCTTTCCTGTTTCAACCGTTTATTTGCAACAGAGCCAGCACCTTCGTCGTTGGCGCGTGGTCGTTTCGCAGAGCTCGTAGCTGCTCGCGGTTTTGCCCGTTCTTGAGCCTTCACCGGGTCGATCCTACCGTACTCATCGTGAATGCACCGCCGCTAACGGTTTGTTAGTGAATGAAGAAAGTATACCGGTGGAGCTCGGCGAATACAAACCTTGCTTTTCCGACAGTCGTCACAGGCCTTGCTTCGTCCTTTCTTGCCCGGGTTCATGCCATCGGGACTGGCATCATTTGCTCTGCTAGACGCTCCATGAGGGGTACCAATAGCAGTGTACTTTGGAGAGACATCTACCCGATCCACCCGTGGGTGGGCGTTGTTATTGCCCGTTTGAAGACCAGCACCAGATGCGATTGCGGCCAGCGAGTTTAGAGCAGACACCGCATCGTGCGCGGTAGGGGTGAGAGTTCCTAGGCCGAAAGAACCAGGGGCCATCTGTTTGCTCGACCCTCCATCGTTGTTCTCTTCTTTATGATGACAGCGGATCCTTCGTTTGCGGCAGGCGTCGCATGCAACGCGCTTAGGGCCGAGTCCGGATCCCCGCGTAGCAGCGCGAGGTTTAGAAGGAGGCTCCTCTTTCACGACGGAGGCTGAACTCGAGCTAGACGATACGGCGGGAGGAATGCTCGGCGGAAGCACCGCCCCGACCCCGTTGCTAGCTGAATCCCTTTGAGTGGTATCAACAGACCGCTCTGGTAGGCGCTGAACAGCCTGCCTCTCGGCATACATTCGCTGGTTATCAACGTTGCGCTCCGAGCGGCGACTGGGCCTTCCCGCCGGTTTCTTCTCGGCGAGGCTGTTTTTCGCATTGCTTTCAACAACACCGGGGCGAGTCCATTGAGGGGCCTTTTCATTGCCACGCTTCCACGCAAGCCAGACTCCAAATTTCCTGATCGTATCAATCGGATCGCCTGACATCTTGGGGATAGACTTTTTGATGGCATTTCTGGCATCCACGGTCACACCTTCAACGAGGTAACAACCTGCGATCAAGGCGGTCTGAAGTAGATATTTCGCGAGGTCTGGAAGCCCTTCTAACTCACCTTGGGAGTAGAAGCGCGAGTTATGGTAGGGCGACCCCGGAGGTTCCGCGGTGGCTCGTTCTCCGAATTCGTAGTAGATGGGATACTCTCGATGAAAGCGGTAGTTTTCGTCATGGGCAAACGAGTCCAGGACGCTTTGGGGGATTGGGTCTTCCTCTAGATACTTCAATGCAGTGTACCATTGGATCTTTTGGAAGAAAGGGTATCTGAATTTCCTTGGGACCTTGGTGTCTTTTTCAATCTTGGCGATCTTGATTTGCATCCCGTAGTTGAGTCTTGTCAGGAAGTTACCTCCAATCACCAGGCTGTTTTCAGGGGTCCACACGGCGTGTATCCAGCCGGATGGAATTAGCATGGTATCGCCTTCGGAAAGGTCAACGCGATAACACTCCTTGGTCTGATCTCCAAGAAAGGTGGAATCCTGGGCAGGCGAGTTGCACCATTCCTCATACTTCCTCAGGTGCTTGTCCTTCGGGGGGATGAAAAAGAAGGTCTTTTTGCCCTTGATGATGTGGTAAAACACAGAGGATCCTCCGAAATCGATGTGGAAGTCGGTGTAACAGTCAGCCACAGACATCAGGCAGTAGAATTGGACTTTGGGGTATTCCCCCACTGCCTTGAGTTCCTCGGGCCAAACGGAATCCTGCAAATCCAGATCACGTACAATCCTTGGCCGGCGGATCAGTTTACCCAGTTTACTTTGGGACACTTCAAGGCTGATGACGTTGCGGACGATCTTGGCACCGGGGTTCTCGTAGTAGTCTGCCCACTTCTGCATGGTCCACCTTTTATCTTCTCCCTGTTGAGATTTGACATCGATCACTTCCACCCGGTCTTCTGGGCCGTAAAGCTCAGAAACCGTCCTAACGGTCAACCCTTGTGGGATGACCATGTCCAGCTGGTCTTGGCCGCAATCGATGACCGTGTCAAAGTCCTCACCTTCCTGAGGCAGATGCTCTAGAAGTTCATCAAACATCTCTTGAGAACTAGCGTCCTGAACGAGAGCGTCGAAGTCGGGGCTAGGGATTAGGACGGAGTCGCAGGTATTCAGTTCGGCCGGGATGACAATGGGCTCGGTCATACCATTGCCGCGCTCGAAGTATTCCGCGGAGACCAATTCGGGGCGCATCCGAGGGAAACTCTCGGGGAGGAAGCGGATCCTATTTTGTCGAATTGGCTCGATGTAGTGATGCTCTAGAGAATCAGTAGCGGCCTTGACAAGGCCTTGGTTAAGGCCCGCATAGTCGATAGAAGTGCGAGCGCGAGAAGATTTGCGGACAAAGGTGGTCTGGCCGTGGATAGGACGGCAGGTCCGGCAGATGAACTTGTCGACGGTCCGAATCTCGCGGTCGTTTTTGAACCCAGCGCATACAATATGGAACCAGCGCTTGCAGCCGTCACAGCTGATCCAAGTGACATCGCCTTGTTGATCTTCGGTCTCCATTGGTATTCGAATGAGGTTACAAGCTGCACAATTTGCCTGACTCGAGTCATCGGACTCAGTATCGTCTTCCACCTTGGGCGACTGCCTTCTCGGGCCGAGATGCGTTGTTTCGCCCGCGTCGCGAAGGCCAGCCTGCGCACTTTTGACGACTGCATTTGGTACAGCATCCCAGTGATGCTCTCCGCCATCCTCCTCTTCCTGCCAGATTATAGGTTGGAGGGTCGAGGAGCTTGTGTTGGGTCGCATGCCAGGAATCACGGGTCGTGAGATAGCAGCAGAACCATCGGATTGGGATCTCATGCGTGAAGAAGGGAATGTCGTACCTCCGAGATCATTGCTAGCCATGTTTTCATCATTCGAGCTCCAGTATGAGCCTCCAACCCCAGCTCTCGCTTGACTCTGAGGATGGAACGCATGGTGATGATAAGATTCATCCACGCTTATTCGCTTGGTGGAATGTATGGGAGGGGTGAAATTCGTGGGTCTCGCAAAATTTAGCAGGAGTTCTGCGTCAGTTTTCATGCTGTCGAAATTTGATGAGGAATTCGCAGGCGGCGCGGGACCCGACCGGGGCTGCAAGTAGGACGAGGAGGAAGAGGAGGCCTGATGATGATAATCTTTTTCCTCTGATCGCGGTCGCTTTGTAGGGCGTTCGAGGAGTTCTGTAGATTCGGAAGGAAAAAGCGATACCGGGGAGGTAGAATTCTGAGAGGGGGGTCGGTAGGAGAGAGGAGCAAAAGTCGGACTGGTGGCTAGTGCGATGGTCGCGAGAGTGTCGATGGTCGAGCTGGACCGACCATGGCCGGACCTGGGAGGAGCGGGAGCATCTGGAGCTGAGAATTTCCCAATAGTGGAAGAGAAATGGCTATGATCGGCGGTTGTAGGTCTGGAAAAACTGCGATCGACCCAGGAGGCACGAGCGTCGATAGTCGAGCAAGGTGAGATAGGTTCGACGGCGCGTCGCGGAGGCGAGGGAGTCCGATAACGCGGCGGACGGGGGCCGGTGTGGTTTAGAAAGGACGTAGCACTAATCATGATGGAAATTCAAGATGGTATCAAGGAGCGAAGAGGGGGATGAGAGTGAAGGAAGGTGACCGATGGCCGCGGAGGAGAGACGACGAGAGGGTTGGCAGCCGGACGCAAAGCGGGGAGGGGGATATTGAACCACACGGGCTAGAGAAAGACGACGGCAGGGAAAAGGAAAGTCATTCCTGACAGAATGACAAGCGCCCGATGGACAATGAGATGGAAATGGAATCTCGATGGGAAGGGGAGCGCAGGAACGCGGAGCCGGGAGGTTGACGGAGGAGAAGTCGCACGGCGGAGCGCTGAGGTTGAGGGGGGCAAGAAGTTGCAGTCTCTCTCTCTCTCTCTCACTGCCGGCTCTTCGAGAGCGGCGGAAAGATGCAGCACCGAGCCAACAGCGCGGAGACACAACAGGGAGAGGAAAGAGAGCAACAGAAGAATTCCAAGAAGCTTCTGGATGAAGAAACCAAGCGATTGCAAGAGTAGAAGGGGAAATTGAAGGAGAAGAATGGATGAGAGAAGAGGAGGGGAGAGAGTAACGCAAGTAACGCAGAGGGAGGAGCGCGAAGGGGTGGGTGCCTGAGGCATGCTATCGTTTGCGGCAGACTCCAAACAAGAAAGAAGACATATCGTTGACCACCAGAAAGACGGGGGGGGGGGGGAAAGAGGATTAGGGGAGAATTCCAAACAAATAGGCATTTCTATATTTACTCAGTAAAAAAAGAAACACCTCCCAAATAGTTCGAATATTCTTTGAATATTCTTCTATCTGAGGCTCCCCCCCAAGAGCGACTAAACCCAAATAGGCAACTCAGGCTCTCCTCCAAACGTCGCTGCTTCTGAATCGCGAATCTTCCTCTTCCTCCGTCTCTTTCGTTTCCCTGTTCCTCTGTTACTTTCTCCCCCCTTTCCCTTTTACTTTTCTATCTATTCGATCCCAAACCCACCTGGGTTTTTGATTCGATATTATCTTTCACCGTACTCATCGAACTTTGGACCCTTTTTCGACTCCGCCTGAGAATGAGCCGGAAGCTCGCCCCCGAAGCCAATCGGTAAGTCACAGACCCTGCTGATGCAGGAGACTGGACAGTATGAAGCTGGTCGCGAATTTTTTTGGTTGCTAACTTTTATTAGGATTCTCTTTGTCAAGAACCTCAAGTATGCCCGTCCCACCCCCGCGAGTTGGCTGTTTTCGCCTCCGAACTATTTCAACCCCTCCTACAGACACAAGCGCATAGAATTGAGTTGCTAACCAGGGAATAATTTCTTTAACTCATAGCTACAACGTGACTGCAGAGCAACTATTTGACCTTTTCGGGAAATTTGGCCCAATCCGGTATGCCCCCGCTGTGTCAAATGGTCTTCTTTTGGTTTGGTTTTTGGTGACGCCTAGGTACTGATCGAGTCTCGTCCAGACAAATACGTCAAGGAATCGCGAACAACTCCAAGGGCACCGCATTTGTAGTATACGAAGACGTTCACGACGCCAAACAGGCATGCGATAAGCTCAATGGATTCAATTTCCAGAACAGATATCTTGTTGGTAAGTTTTGACACCAGAAAGTTGTGCCCATGAAGGATACAGACTGATTTTTTCTTCTTTCTTGTTCGGTTTCTAGTCCTATATCACCAGCCGGAGAAAATGCTTAGGTCGAAAGAGGACTTGGCGGAAAGGCAAGAGAATTTGGAACGTCTCAAAAAGCAGCATGGTATAGAATGACGTGACGATTTCTTTTTTTCTCTCGCTTTCTCGACGTGTCCTTTGCGCTCCGTGCAAGACATTGGGATGCGTGTTATCTTTGGCTGGCTGCGGGGTTTTTGGCGTTTTTTTTTTTTCTAACTCCTATGGGTTTCATGGCTCTTGTTCATGGGTTTTGAGGGTGGTGGGTAGGTAGAATGACACTTTTCTCTGGCTTTTCGCTCTAGGGACAGGATGGGATATCTTTCAGGCTGGGATCAGTTCTGTTATACCGCTCAGTTTCCATTATCAATATAATCACATCGACCGCCCGCCATTGAAGTGGTGCGGCAAACCTATGAGATCAATTCTCTGCCTTTTTTTTTTCTTATATTAATTTCTTTTTGGGAGGGGCCGCGCTTGGGATGTGCCACTAGCTTGTTGATTTGAGATGGATCCTTCTTTTCCCTTGAAGATCTACATAAGCTTAAATGAGCTAGCAGCTTTGCTGGAATCATCAAGTCCAACATGAAGTGTATCCACTCGACAGGAGAGGGGGGGAGGGGGACGCTAAGTATGTCACCGCCTGATGCATGACATCTTCCTGCAGATGGAACTGTTGTTGACTGTGGATGATATGTAGGATCTGACGTATTGACGACGAATATAATTTCCTGTGTTGGGAGATGTCATGAAGAGAAGGAGGACTATAGTATACCTGTTTGATGCCCGGATCCCTGGCATCGAATATTACCTACTTTCGATTCCTGAACAGCATCTAGAGTTATTAGAATAACTGAACAAATTGAATGAGCTGCAAAGATTCTAGATTCCTTTCCAAAGCACTAGCTAGGGTTATTTGCTGTACAGAGAACTGATCCGGTTACTTTTTAGGTCGTTGACGGCCTCAGGATCGGAGTCGTTGATGCCAAGCCTCAGGCCCACCAGGCCAACATTAGCCTCTTTACAACTTGATTTATTCGATAACCTCATGCAGGGACTTTGAAATCCTCTTGAATTATCATCAGAAAAATTGTGTCGGATCTGAAAGTCTCTTAGATTCCTGATTCCTGATCCCTGATTCCTCCAGCCCTCACCTTAAAAGGTATAAAGAACTACACTTACAGTACGGAGTACTTTGTGCCAAAGTTATATATCAATGACTAATCAGCCTCACATCCATTTAGTTAACCCAATCGAGTAAGTCACTCCCTAGTCTCAGTGGCCACAACCGCCGACTCGAGACCCTGGAGAAAGCCAGCTCTCAACTTGACGCACTGCTGCGGTCCTGTTTGCGAATTCCAATAAGCCCACCTGGCTGGTTCAGGCTCCTTGCTGGCAAGAGGGCCTCTCACTTAGCTTTCCTTCCCTCCAAATCTGCTCTCCGCTTCCTCTTTCATGCATACCAGACTCCATACCGCCGCTATCTAGATGCGCGTCATCGCCGCCTGCTAGAGACCAACGTTCTACACCACCAGACGACCACTCTTGGGACATCATCACGATCTGCCCTCGGGTGAAGTCAATTCCCCCCCCCCCCCCCCCCTTCTCTCTATTAGTCGATATGGCTTTCCCTTCGACTCTATCTTGGGCCACAACCCTTGTTGTCATTGTGGTCCTCTGTTCCCTTGTGGAGGCCTCTGTACCTGTCACTAGCACTCTGGCAGTGACCCCGTCAGCAGCATCATCTCAGCCTACGTCTTATGCACTAGCGGACCCAGAGGCCCCCCGGGATGATGAAGACACCGGAGAATGTAGACTGCTTGGCCCATTCTCACTTCTCGTCCAAGCTGCCTTGGGAGCGTTAGCTCTATTATCTTTGGTGTACAAGCGATGGAGGGAACGCCCTCAACGGCCGGTAAAAGTTTGGGTGTTTGATGTTTCGAAGCAAGTCTTCGGGTCGGCAATGCTGCATCTCGCCAACTTGCTCATGTCCATGTTTTCTGCGGGGCAGTTTGAAATCACGAGCAGCTACAAACCAAACCCCTGTTCCTTTTATTTGTTGAATTTGGGGATTGATGTGAGTCACCCTGCGTCTTCGGAAGTGGGTAACAACTAACGTATTGTCATTAGACTACCCTTGGTATTCCTATCCTTATTTTCCTTCTGAACGTCTTAGACCGTCTGGCCATGTATACACCATTGGCGAATCCTCCAGAATCTATCGAATCTGGCAATTATGGCCAACCACCTCGTGCCAGCTGGTGGTTCAAACAGTCCGTCATATACTTTGTCGGCCTCTTGGGAATGAAGATCTGTGTCTTCTTCCTCATTCAGATGTTGCCCTTTATTGTGAAAGTTGGCGACTGGGCGCTCCGCTGGACCGAAGGCAATACGGCGGTTCAGATTTTCTTCGTGATGCTACTCTTCCCGGTCATCATGAACGCTATCCAGTATTATATTATCGATACTTTCATCAAAAAGCCTCTGTCGTCATCTCCGGATTCCCTAGAAGAGAGCCACAATGCCGACCACCAAGCATTCCAAGACCACGACCACGATGACCGCCATGCCTTATTGGCCGGTTTGGAGGATGACGCAACCGTTGACTTTGATGAAGACTTGACAGGCAAAGGTCCAACGGTCTTAGGTAGCCCCCCACAAACGAAAGAAGCCTTGAGTCGATTCGATTCCTCCGAATTCAACCCGGAAATAGAGCGGGAGTACGGCCAGTCCCCGGCATCAACTTCGGCCTCGAGCAGTAGCCGGGGTCAGTATAATGAGATGACGCCCTCTACGAAACCCAGCACGCAATCGAGAAAACCATGATACGATGATATCTTTTTGTTTGTTGCAGTCTTATATTGGCGTTCGGGGATAGGTTGGGAAATTTTTTCCTATCACAAATGGGATTCAGTCCCTCATTATTTTGTATTTACCAAAAGACTCAATGAAATCGAGATCTGTCTGCAATTAAAAAAAAAAAAAAAAAAAAAAAAAAACATGTATCTCTATTAAAAATATTTAGTTGTGCGCGAAGAGTGATGGTTGCAGGCCTTAGGCTAAATTATCACCGCTCAGTACACCGCCTTCTTCCTGCCGCTTGCGAAGAAAATTATTTTGCCCACTCCATCAAGAATCAATTTCTTCGCGATATTAATCTATCGACAAGGCCACCAAGTTGGCTTTTACCGAGTGTCTTTTGAGAGACTGGTCAATTCATTAGAGAAAATCTTTTTTTTTATACTTCTCGTTCCAACGCAACTACCATACATCATGCCCAAAACTACCGTCAAGGAGAAGAAGCGCCGGGAGGAGAAGCAGGTTCTGGAGAAGGATGAAACAGAGAAGCAGCTCGAGAGCCTCTTGTTTGGTGACGATGAAGGGTTCCAGAGCGCATTGAAGACTCAGGATCTCAGTCACCTTGCTCTTACAACTATTCCTGATGACAGTGCAGACGAGGAAGCGGGTGGTGAAGCGAACGATGTTTACGATCAAAACTTGGAAGATGTTGCTGATGCTGATGTATGATGAATATATATATATATATTATTTGAATCTCTGCGCTAACTATTGATAGCTCTTTTTTCTTGACTCCGGAGCTGGCCCCGTTTCTACAGAACTCGACGAATCTCCTGCTACACCTGGCGAAATCGAGCCTGAAGGCGATGAGCAATTAGACGAGCTTCCGGCGGTGTGGCATGATAGCGATGACGAGCGACTGACCATATCCCTGGCGAGCAAGGATCGACTGCGAAAGTTGCGTGTTGCGGAATCAGAGGATGTCATTGGCGGAAAGGAATATATTCGTCGGCTGCGCAGGCAGTACCTTGAGCTACATCCTACGCCTGACTGGGCGAACCCGAGGGCGAACCAGGAGAAGGATGACGAAGATGATGACTCTGATCGCGCGGAGGAGATGGATACAGATGACGAGGATCGAACGTCCACGCAGCCGCTCGCGAAGCTTCTCCAAAACATCGACTTTACCAAGATTGAAACTGCGGGACCAACAGGCGGTAGACCCAAGTTGCGTAAGGAAGTCATTAGCATTCAGAGGTTGAAGGATGTTGGGAAGGACCAGCCGGTCAGTTGCTGCTAAGATAACTCCCCGAAAGGGATTTTTGGCCCCCGAATAGAACTAATAATTGGCCCCTTCCAGTCCGCCGTGAGCTCCCTTTCGTTCCACCCGCACTACCCATTGATTCTCTCCTCCGGACCAGCCTCTACGCTGTTCATCCACCATGTTGCTCCGGACGCACCGGCCCCTAACCCCCTCCTTACATCGCTCCATATTCGCGAAACCCCCATCACCACCTCCGCGTTTGCCCCGCCGGCTGGTACCCAGATCTACGCCTCGGGCCGCCGACGATACTTCCACATCTGGGACCTCAACAGTGGCAAGATCGACAAGATCAACGGCTCCGCGGACCGCAAAGAGGAGCAAAAATCCATGGAGCACTTCCAGCTCTCGCCCTGTGGCCGGTACATTGGCCTGGTGGGCTCGACCAAAAAGGGCGGCGGTGTGATCAACATCCATAATTCCGGCACGGCGCAGTGGATCGCGCAGGTGCGCATCGACGGCCGCGGCGGTGTTGCCGACTTTGCGTGGTGGAGAAACGGCGAGGGAATGACGGTGGTCAACCTCAACGGCGAAGTCTCCGAATGGGACGGCCAGCTGAACCGTATTGTCGCGCGCTGGAAGGACGCCGGTGGGATGGGCACGACTGTGCTCCGGCTCGGCGGTGACTCGGGACGCGCCGAGCTCGGCGGCGACCGCTGGGTTGTGATCGGAAGTAAGAGCGGTATTGTCAATGTATACGACCGCGGCGAGTGGGCGGCTGCCTGTGCCACAGCGCCGGATGCTGCGTCTGCGATCCCGCGCAACCCGGCGCCGGTGCGGGCGCTGGACCAGCTCGTGACCTCGATCAGCCAGGTGGAGATTGCTCCGGATGGACAATTCATGGTGATGGCGAGTGAAGCGAAGAAGGATGCTCTGCGAATTGGTGCGTGTTTCCCTCCTTGCCTCTGTTGGTACCTTAATCACTGTCCACTGACAACAAATCACTCTAGTTCACCTTCCAACCTGTACAGTCTACCGCAACTGGCCCACGCAGAACACGCCTCTGGGACGAGTTACGTCTGTCGCCATCTCGCCGAACTCGGAGTATCTGGCTGCGGGCAATGATCGGGGACGGATCCGTCTCTGGCAGATTCAAGGATAGAGAGCAGGTAACGCTTCTAGATTCAAAAAGTTTAATGTTATCTTGAATATGTACGGAGTACTGGAAATATAAAGAAGAAGTCTTTTTGATCGAGACATACAGTATAATTTTCAACCAAGATAACACGCATACCACACATAACCACACATAACCACACATAACCACACATAACCACACATAACATATCACATCATCATCACAATAGCAGCAGCAGCACTCCATCTCTTTCTTTCTTTCTTTCTTTCTTTCTTTCTTTCTCTCCATCTCTATACCATTACCTAGTAGACCTACTCGATAGACCGAGATCCAAGAAGACCCTAAACAAGATCAGAACAGTCCGACAGCATTCCATCGTAGAGATAGTAGCGATAGCCAGGGGAAACTTACACTGAGCCCAAGCTATAAAAAAACCAAGTTAGCCACTTCTCTCGTTCTTCAAGAGGATATATGTATATATATACTATGTATAGTATAGTATAGTATAGTATAGTATAGGTAGGTAGGTAGGTAGGTAGGTAGGTAGGTAGGTAGGTAGGTAGGTAGGTAGTATATGCACTTACAGTACCAAGAAGACCAGTGACCTATTATAGTTAGTTATTAATAGCAGATGGTTAGCTAGCTTGCTTTTCTTCTTTTTCTTCTGCTCTAATAAATAGAAAGTAGGAAATACGCACCACATCCTGTTTTATCTGTTAGTATATGTATGATATGACTATGATTCTGATTCTATAGAACACACACAACAGCAGCAGCAACAACAACAACAACAACAACAACAACAACAGAAGGAGGAAGAAGAAGAAGAAGAAGAAGAAGAAGAAGAAGAAGAAAACATACACTCTTGGTCTCGCTGTCTACCTGGCTTGTTTCGAGAACAGCAGATGCACTACTACTCGTAGGCGAGGAGGCTACAGAAGACGTAGAGGTTGCAGAGGTTGCAGAGGTCGTAGAAGTAGATGACGGAGACGCGACCAGTGCAGCAACCGGCGTACTTGCTAAGACAGAGGAACCAAAGGCCACGATTGCACTGGGATTGACTTTGACGTTTGTGTCGGTAGGGGCTGGAGCGAGAGCTGGTGCTGGCGCTGGTGCTGCCAGGGCAGTCAGGGCGAGGAAGAGAAGGGAAAAGAGCTGCATTTTGCTTATGATTGGAAATATGAGAATGTATGAGTATAGCAAGAAGAAGAAGAAGAAGAAGCTATCATATTTATATCTTTATCTTTATCTTTATAGTATACATGTGTGGTGCTAGACGAGCGCGTACGTCTGATTCCGGCTATACAACAACAAGACGCTCCCGGAGAATGTTTGCGTGGGAAATGCCAACGCTCGCAAATGGGATTTTAGATGCGGATGTTCATGAATTTCACCATGCTAGGAAAGATTATTTGGAGGGTTGTATTCTTCTTCTTCTTCTTGTTGTTCTGGGACTCTGAAGGACTTGGTAGGTGGGCAGGGGGTATTCTTACAAGAATGCCAATTACCTCAACTCAAGTCCGGCTGCCCTCGGGTATCTAAATAATGATTTATGAATAGTCTCGGTTTTTTATCTACTGATCGCATCACGAGAATTATTTCCATTATTTTCCATCGGTAGACCGATTTACCCGCTCCTGAGATAGCTGATGAGTATCCTAGATATCGAGTTGAAAGCGTAGCCTGTTTGGAACCTTTGAACAAGCTATACAAGGTGACGCCACTTGATGAAGACCGCGATACCCAGCCCAACGGCCAATCCGGCAAGAGCTCCTTCCAGGAAGCCTCTGCTGGAAGGATTCAAATCCGGAGCCGACGACTGGCTGACTACATGGCGAGGAGGAGAGAAAAGAATCATAGTGTCTAACATGTCTATTGACTTGGTCGGCTGAATCATAAAGCCTCCACGATGTCCTAGGCAGGTACGAATATTTCTTATGTTTGGTCATTCATAACCATAAGATAATCCACCGAAATCCAAAATAGGCGCCCTCCAATAATACGTTTCGGAGTATTCTAAAAACTAAACCAAAGACTTCATTTCGTTCATGTTGCGGATACCGGCCAGGTTGCCCGCACGGAATCGCTTCAAGGTCAACGCCGCAATGAGAGCGGCTCCCACGCCCGATCCGTCCTCAGCAGCCATGACCACGACCTTGTCCTTCTCTTGGGGGGCCCAGTCGAGGATCTCCCGGAGGGCCTTGGCTCCACGGGCCTTGAAGTGGGGGTATTTCGTGAAGACAGAGCCGTCAGCGCCCACGTGGCAGGATTCGATGTTCTTCTTCTTGCAGATCGCAGCCACACCGCAGGCGGACAGGCGAGCAGCCCGAGTACCAATCAACTCGGCCAGACGCCGCATCATTTCCAGCTCCGCACGGGTCGGCTTGACCTTCAGCTTGGCCCGGACCAACTCCTCGGTTTCCAACAAGTTCTCATAGGGATCTTCCTCAATGGCAGCCAGGAAGGAAGAATCGAGCAAATAGGGGATGCGCAGCTGGGAGCAATCCTGGTTCTGGAAAATGAGCCCAGGTCGGCTGTCCAAGAGATCCACCAGGGCCAGACGGAAGATTTCCCCCAGGTACAGACCGGCGGTCATCTTCTCAAAGGCCTGCTGACCGGGACGGGGGGAGTCGCGGTCAATGATGTGGTCGTACTTGGTCAGGGGCAGCACGATGTGTTCGTTATCGAACGCGCCATATTCGCAGTTAATGGCAATGGGCATGTCGGGGGGAAGGTTCATGTGGGCCAGCTTGGGGACTGAGCCGACGTTTTCCATGTAGGCGGCGTTGACACCGGTGCCAAAGATGCAACCAATCTTCATCTGGGGATCGGTGTAGGCGGAGGCAATCAGGGTTCCGGTGGTGTCATTGATCAAGGCGGCGACCCTGATTGGAAGGCCCTATAGCAAAACATCAGTTAGCTGATCGATCTCCCGAGCGAAGTCAGGCCACGTACTCTCTCCTTGAAGATCTTCTCGAGGGGTGGAACGACATCCTCGCCTTCCACTCCGGCAATGTCGAACCCCTTGGTCCAGCGTTGGAGCACACCGTGGTCAATGTAATCCTGAGTAGCAGGGTAGGAAAAGGTGAAGCCCAATGGCAGCTTGTGGAGGTTTTCGTTTTCGTGGTGGAATTCGATGAATTGCTGAACACAATCGACAATGTACTCCCACAGCTCATCTGCGGTACCGGTCTTGAGCTCCTCGGGAATTCGGTACTTGGACTGGATGATATCGAAGGCACCCGTTTCTTTGGTGAGGGTAATTTCACAGACCCGCAAGTTGGTACCTCCCATATCGAGAGCGAGGAAGGTTCCCTGTTCTTCACCATCGGGGAATCCCATCACCCAGGTGACGTTCATAGGCTAGCTGGTCAGTCATGAAACCCTCCTTCCTCCCCTCCTTTTAAGAGCAAACAAAAAAAAAGGGAACTTTATAGCCTTACAATGTTGCCACCCTCAACACTGAGGCCTAATGATAACGTATGATGAGTCTTTGTTTTGAATATAGGGATGATAAGAGACTGACCCTTTTCAAGTTCCTTGATGAAATGAGCGACAATCTGCTTGAGCTTTGCAGCATCGACGGTAAAGACCTCTTCGAATTCCTTTATCTGCCCGAGGAGATCCTGGGGCATGTCCGACATGGACCCTGGGAAAGAGAGTGGTCAACCATCTGGAGGAGAGGAGGGGTTGATAATGATGATGATGATGTCAACGTACCCCGACGAGAGGGAGGACGCTTAGGGCCAAGTCCAACCATTTTGGAAGATAAAGAATACTTGATGAACGAAGAAAACGGATGAAAGAGATGAAGTGAGAAGATGAGGATTGAGATGAAGGAGAAAAAGAAAGGGGGGGAAAGAAGAAGAGAAGCAAATAAATGGGGCAAAAACAATGTGGGGGACGGAAGCTCTGATTCTAGTCTGACCAAGTCACCCCACAGGAAATAGTTAATAAATGATAGTTAATAATAGTTAATAATAGCTTCAGCTGATGGTAAGTTGGGTGTTGATATATCTAAATTAATATAGAGAATTGTATCCTGAGTTGGGACACACCGATAGTTGATCAGATGACAATATTATATATGACTATATATATACCTAAGTTAATATACAAAGTAGAGGATAATATAATACTACTACTACTACTAATAATATCTAACATCTTGATAATAGTCTCATGATCATGACAGGTTGGATTTTGATCGTGATTAAGAATTAGTATGATAGTTATACAATATGATGTATCCTCTCCTCTTAAAAGGATTCATTCCGTGTAGAACCACGCTGTATGTACGAAGTAGGTGGAAGTCAACTCGATGGAATACAAAGATTCATCAGATCGAAATAAATCTACCTGGTTGCTTCTACTCATACCTCATTATGTATTCATGAAAAAAAAAGAAAAAAAAAAATCAGTCAACGCCAACAGCCTCTCAAAACACAATACGCCACGCCACATAAATCTCACCTGCTAAAATTCTATGAGGAACAGTTCTTCTGCGCCAGATGAGGGAAAACATGCGCCAACCCCGTAACGAGTGGCTTGGGTTCCTCTGCCCCCTGGCCATCTAGATGCTGCATCACCTTGGCCTGGTAAGCATGCGAGATCTCCAACGTCCGGTCCACCTCAGCCGTCAACCGCTCAATCTCATGCTGCAGTCGCTCCTCGCGAGTTTGAGGAGGCGCCAACTCAGCCGCACGAGTCGCCTGATCCGGGTTCGTCGACTCCCACAGACGAAGGAGTTCTTCCTCCCACCCTAACGCGCGAGCCAGCTTCCGCACGCCGCCATCACAATCCCCCAGAATCAGCACATCATCTGGCCGCGACCCCAGACCCCCCACCCGCTCCCGGTTGATCAGCACGCGCGGCACCCCGTCGCGACACATCGACGGCAAACTCGCAAACGGCTGCACCGACAAACTCGTGCCCATCACAATACAGAGATCGGCCTGCTCCGGTAACGTGCGATTGTCAAAGAACCCTTCCGGCAGGGCCTCCCCGAAGAAGACAATATCCGGCTTCACGAGCCCCTGGCACTGCTCGCAAAGCGGCACCTCCCCCGTGGCAATGGCCACTTTCATCAACTCCTCCGCGTACTCCGTCTTACAGTCAATGCAGCGCTGTGTTGCGAAACTGCCGTGCGCCTCGACGATCATGTCGCCCGGAACACCCGCCAGCCGCTCCAGACAGTCAATGTTCTGCGTGAAGTGCTTCAGCAGCAGGCCCTTGTCGTAGAGGAGTTTCACGAACGAGTGCGCAATCGTAGGTCGGTACTGGCCTGGCGCGATCTCGCGTGCCAGCGCATAAAAGGGTCTGGGGTTTTCTCGGAAGAAACTGATGTCGAAGACGGCTTCAGGGTCTGGGAGGTCCAGATGGATCAGATTTGAATAGATACCTGTATCAGGGGATCGGAAGTCGGGAATTCCAGCCGATGTACTGATCCCAGCGCCGACCTATATCGGTAAAAAAATAGTTCAGTAAGTATCACACAGTAGGAAAAAAAAAAAAAAAAAATAGAAAAGCATACCATTACCACGACTCGGCGCACCTCCTTCTGCTGGATATATTTCGCAACCGCCTCCATTGTCCGTGCTTCCAGTACAGATGGAGGGGTATGTTCATCTACGACTGTAGACGATTCATTCCCCATTCTGCGCTGCAGCGATCAACCTGGGTCAGAATTGGTTGGTGTCTGGATAAGAGTAATAACAGCAGGTGGAAAACGCAAAGAATAATCGGTAACGACAGCAAAGTTGGTGTGTGTCAAGAGAGGATTTGAATTGGAATTATTTTGCATGACGTTTTTCATTTGCCCAATGTTCCGCCTGAGGCATCTATAATATTTACACCTTACTCCGTACTCTTGCTTCATTTCTAAAAAAAAAAAAGTATCTACGTATCCTAGACTAGAGTACCTAGTATTCTAATGATTATATTCAAACTATCATATACAAAGAATCTGAATTCAATCAAGGAATGCATTCATAAATTCTTCCGTACTCAACTGACGCTCACCGCCTACTCTGCTTCTGCCACATCGCCAGTTCGCTGCCAACAACAGCCAACTCTCCCAACATTCATCAATTGCTCCCCCAGCAGGTCAGCCAGCAGGTCAGACAGCTAGAGAACAGCTGGACTGAAAAGCAATATGACCCATTCCGCCTCCCCTCCCGTCAACAACGCCCCCCCCTCTTCCCCAGATATCTACAATGCTAGCTCCATTGCTGAGATCCGAGCGACGCTCACGCACCTCCACGATCAAGAAGCCTCGGTAACAGCACGGCTGGACGCCCTGGTTGCCTCGCAAAAGGACTTCTCCCGGGAACTCGGACGGTTGGACCTACTCCGCGCCCATCTGGGTTCCCAAACCAGCACCACCCGAGCAATCAGCCACGGGATGCTCGCGGACGCCGCCACCACCGCCGATCGGATCTCGAGTGCCGTGCGCCGCCTGGATCTGGAACAGTTCCGGGTCAAGACAACGCTACAGGTCGTGGAGCAGGTCTCGGAGCTGAAGGCTTGCGTGCTGGGTGTTGCTGGGTCCATGGGCGCGCCTCAGGACTGGGAGACCGCCGCGACTTACTTGAATCGAGCGGCGAAGGTGCCACGCGAAGTGGTGACTGGGAAATTTGCCGCCGAGATGGTCCCCACCGCTGAGGTGCCGGATCCGCCCAATGTGACTTTGGAGAATGCCGCGGAGTCGCTGTGTGGATTGTTTTTGAGGGAGTTTGAAAAGGCCGTCAAGGAGAATAATGGGGCCAAGATCACCAGGTTTTTCAAGTTGTTTCCGTTGATTGGGCGCTCCGAGGTTGGCCTGGATGTTTATGGGCGGTATGTTTGCCAGGGTGTTGCGTCGAGAGCCAGGTCGAATTTGAATGCGACATCTGCGGGAGGAGCTGCTGGTGGAGCTGCGCAGGTGCAGAAGGACGGGTTCTTCTATGCCAACACGCTTACGAAGCTGTTCGAGCATATTGCCCAGATCATTGATGGGCATGGAGGACTGGTGGAGCGGCACTATGGGCCGAGGAAGATGAATCGCGTGATTGAGCGGCTGCAGTTGGAGGCTGATGTGCAGGGGGGGATCGTCCTGGATACCTGGAGTGATGAGAGGCAGGTCGATCGCAAGCTAATGGATATCAAATCCTATGCGTTTACCTTCTTGGTGCAGAGCTTTCTGCCGCCGCAACGAAGTGCGACGTCGCGGTCGAATTCTCCAGCTACACGGGACAGTATCGAGGATGAAGGGGTTGATATGAAGGAGATAGATGGGCTGCTGAATGAGATGGCCGTTATGCTGGGACGGTGGTCACTCTACTGTCGATTCCTGGCAGAAACATGCAACGTGCGTTTCAGTCCCTTGTCTGCTAGACCCTTGCTAAACGACTTACACATATATAGTCCACCGACGATGCCGGCGACGACGAGAAAAAGAAAAAGAAAAAGAAAAAGAACAAGGAGTTTACGCTCCCCCAGTTCCTCCACGAATCAACCCTCTCCAAGAAAATTGGAGACCGTCTGATCTCCCCCTTCAACTCCATGACGACTTTCTTCTTCCGCCGCTCTGTGGAAAAGGCATTCCAGCTCGACGAGCAACCATCCGGTCTTACCTTAAACCCGCAGCGTCCATTGAAGGCAAACCCGCCGCACATCACCTCCGCCGTCGACGATATTATGTACATCGTCAACAAAGTCCTCCAGCAGTCCCTCGCAACATCCCAAATCGCCGTTGTCACCAGCGTCGTGCCAACGCTCTCCCGCGTGCTGGGCTCCGACTTCATCGGCATGACGCAACGCAAGATGCGCGATGAGTGCTACCCCCGCGCCACCCACCAGGGCGCTCCACCGCCCGAACACATCGTGATCTCCTTCCTCGTGCTGATCAACAACCTCGACGTCGCCGTCGACTACATCCGGCGCATCGTGCAGAATATCACCGAGGCCAAACAAACCATCCCGGGTCCAGACGGCCAATCCGAAGAAACCGACCAGCTCCACACGCTCTTCCCCTCCGCAGCGGATGCCTCCCTCGTCGCCCAAACCCTCCAATCTCTTTCCTCTAGCTTTGAAGCAAAAGTCACCGACCTCCTCTCCGACGGCATCCAAGTCGTCTTCAACAACCTCATCAAGCACCGTCTCCGCCCGATCCTCTCGGACGCCTTCCGCGACATCGACTACCAACCCGGCACAGACTCCGCCCCGACCTCTACGTCCGCCAATACAAACAACTACTACGATTCGGACGACTCCACAACAGCAACAACCAACACCGCCGCCCATCTCCATCACCATCACCATCACCATCACCACCACGACCCAGACGACCCAGACAACCCAGACGACGACGACGACAACACCCACAATCTCCGCGCCGAGGTCGTCCGCCCGCGCTTCAGCTTCAGCTGGACGGAACTGCTCCTCCCGTTCTCGCGAATCCTCAACCCGCCAGCCTTTGACCGCCTCCTCGGCGTCACAACCGCTTACCTCGCGCGCCTGCTCGAGAAGCGTCTCTGGGCCTACGCCGGCCGAGTGAACGCGCTCGGCGCCACGCGACTCGAGCGCGATGTCGCCGCGCTTGTTAGCGCCGCCGTAGACGTGGGCGGGGGTAAGCTCGGTGCTGGGCACGGTAGTGGGGCGGGCGGCGGGTCATCCGGGCCGGTCTTGGTTTCGGGCCGGTACAAGCACCGCGAAACCTTTGCGCGATGTCTACAGATGGGGCTTGTGCTGGGGATGGACGAGGATGAGTGGGAGGATGTGGTGCGGGGCGGGGAGACGGTGGAAGTAGTGGGGAAGTTGAGTGCGGACGAGAGGAGGAGAGTTAGGGCGATGGTTGTGAAGCGGTAGTTTTTTTTTTTTTTCTATTCTATTCTATTCTATCCTATATTATTATATTATTGTTGTTGATGTTAGAGATACATAAAGTAGATTCATTCCATATATTATTGTTACCTTTCCTTTCCTTCCTTTTCTTTCCTAGTAAGTATAGTTAGTCAGTTAGTATAAAGGGTAGTTAATGATTACCGATATGTATATATGTATATGAATATACTAGGTAAACTACAACAAGACCCGCTCTGTAAAGCAAGCAAGTAAGTTCCAGCTCTATAGAGTAGTAGTTAGTTAACTATTCCAAGCCACAGACCAAGATCAAGATCAAAATTGAAAGTCTTCGCGGTATCAGATATTATTATATATACAAAACCAACCAACTTCGCATGCCAATTCTTTTATCCAAAACATAAAACATGAAAAAAAAAACCAATCTAGGGCTTGGTTTTAATCAGAAAGGACAAAAAAAAAAAGAAAAAAAGAAACGCCTGCTTAATGGCAAACACACGCATACTGGGAATGGGAAATAATACATAGTAGGAAAAAAAAAAAAAAAAGAACTGGCTCAGCCAGAAAGAGAACAAAGGTGGGATATCTTGAGCAGGGAAATGGGAAATCAACATCAATCAATAGAAGAAAAAGAAGGAGGAGAAGAAAACTAAGGCTGAACGGCCTTCTCATCTTCCGCAGGGTGTGCCGGGAGCGACGGTGGCGCTTGCGCTTGCGCTTGCGCCTGTTCCTTGATCTCTTGAATCCCCGAGTGTTCGCTACCGCGGCTGTCTCCGCCGACGGGGGTTTGGCCGTCCAACATCATGTCGCTGTGCTCTCCGATTCCGTATCGGGCTGCAGCGGGGATCTCGTGGCCGTCTGCGAGCTGTTCTTGCTTTTGAGGGGTCCAGGCGAGGTAGTCGCGGCGGACCTCGACGTAATCGTAAGCAAATTCACCGAGCTGGTCGTCATCCATGCCGAGCAGTTCGGCTTCCTCGGAGGCACGGAGTTTCAGGCCGGGAATGGCGTTGATGGCGTAGGCGATGATGGCGGAAACAACAAAGGCATACGCGCTGGCGGCAACGATATATGCAATCTGAATATAGAGCTGCTTGTAATTGTGGATAACCCATCCGCCCATTCCAAGACCGGTGTTGACGCCGTCCAGGCCAACAATGGCGTCGTCTGCAAAAAGCGCGTTGAAAATTAGACCGACGATACCGGCGACACCGTGCTCCGCGAAGACATCCATCGAGTCATCAATTCTGATCCAGTATTTGACTAAAGGGGAAAAAAAAATATTAGCTCGCGGGAAGAGAGAGAGAGAGAGAGAGAGAGAGAGAGAGAAATAAAGGAGCATACCCTTTGTCGCGTAATTGCACACGATTCCAGTCACAATTCCAAGCACAACGCTGGCCCAAGGAGTGATGAATCCCGAGGCCGGAGTGGCAGCCACAAGACCAGAAATGGTACCAGAGCACCAACCCACCATTGACCACTTGCGGGCCAATCGCCAATCCAGAATCACCCAGGTAGCAGCGCCAAAGACCGCAGTCAGGTTGGTGTTCCAGCAGGCCATCGTTGCGCGCATGTTGGCACCAAAGGCAGAGCCCCCGTTGAATCCCAGCCATCCAAACCAGAGGAAAACGGTTCCGAGCAGAATAAGCGAAACATTGTGAGGGCGGAAGTTGAGCATCATGCGCTCCTGACGACGACCGAGAACCATGGAGTAGGCGAGCGCGGACAGACCAGAGCCAATTTCGACGGGACCACCACCAGCATAATCCAAGACACCGTATTTAAATGCCCATCCGTTCACATTCCACGCCCAGCAGGCAATTGGGCAGTAGACGATCGTAGCCCAGATGAAGGTGAAAACCATGGCGGGAAGAAGACGACCTCGTTCGGCGACGGCTCCCATGACGATAGCAGCGGTGACGGCGCAGAATTGCATCTACATTATTAGCCAAGGGGGAAAAAAAAAATATGTCTAGGTTAGATTGGAGTGTAAGCACCTGATAGAAAGCATAAAGCAGGGTAGGCACCAAAGGCGATCCCGGGCTGGGATCGGCCAAGACCTTCATCAGACCAAAATTGCGCAGGTTTCCAATGTAACCGTTGGTCGCGGTGGGAGAAAAGGCCAACGAATAACCCCAAAAGTACCATTGGAAAGTGACCACACACATCGAGGCCATACAGGCCCAGATCATACTGAGCGCGGACTTGCGACGCGCGAGACCGGAGTAGAGGAAACCGAGGCCGGGAACCATGAGCATGACCATAGCGGAGGCGACAATGATGAAGGCCTGATCCCCAGATTGAAACCATTTGTTCAGGTTCTCAGTTCCTGTTGGAAGTTAAGTCAGAGCTTGCGTATATTCACGCTGCGCAGGGTCACATACGCGAATCGCCACCCAATTCATTTGTAGCGAGAGCGGAATAGTCGGAGGGGGCGCCAGTCCAGTTGTAGGAGGCATATTCGGGGGTGTAGACGGCCTTGGTGTCGGCCATGGTGAAGGTAAGAGTTGTCAATGATTTTTTTTTTTTGAGTTTAAGCGGAGGTTGGTTAGGGTTGGTTAGGGTTTTGAGGGGGTTGTTTCAAGGGAGGATTAGAAGCGATGAAGAATGTAAGTAGCCTCGATCAACGTGGAACAGAGAATGGTGGAGAGAGAGAGAGATTGAGGGTAAAGGGGAAAGATGGAGAAAGATGGAGAAGACGGGGAAGAGAGAGATAATATAGGCAGAGCAGGAATGATAAGTGAGCAATTGAATAACTAACAGAATCGCCCAGCGATAACCGGACAAACGGTAAAGTAAGATCGACGGATGTCAACTGTGGAGACGGACCAGATTTATATTGGAATTTGACCATTGTTAACAGTGCCAAGTTGGCCCTGGAAAAGGGAAAGGTTCCAGGCTCTGCAAGGCGCGCTTAGGAAACAACCATCCAATGAATGAGATAGGAGTAGCGATCATATCATGTTAGTTCCTAGATATTAGCTGGGGTTGTTGTAGTGGCAAAGATCAATTGCCGGACAGGTTTTTAGAGGCTGAAGAGGACCATGGTCAATGTCGGGTATAATCAGAGTCCGAAACCGCTCCTCTTCAGAGTTGGGAGGAAGTCTCTACTTATAGAGTTAGACATATCTCCAATAACATTTCAAGTCCAGCTTATCAGTTCGAGGAGGGCAGCGAGTTTCTCTCAGTCATCACGTCGTCGAAATGATTGGCTGATAGGGCACGATAAGACTTTGGCCACTGTGGATCCGTTGACGCCGGAAAGAGCTTAGTATGTCGGTTCTGCAGATAAGAGGTTCTTGGCCAATCAGATTCGCATTCTCGGAAAAAGAAGGTGCGAAGAAGAAACTTAATCGATAATACCGTAATACCGTTACACATCCGGGTCAGTCAGGTACCCGACCGAGACTTTGCTCTGACTTTTATTTATGCAGGGTACCAATATAAGATACTGAATCCGTCTCTCATTATTAGGTAGTATATAATATCTGTACAACCCTCTATACATCTCATCAGCCTACACATTGACACTGTACCCACCCCCCACCGCCCGCCGTCGCTGCAACCATTGATAGTACTTGCGTCCCTCGTCCACCCAAAACACCGTGCTCGATATGCACACCAGCTTGAACAGATGCGCCAGGTTCAGGGCCTCCGTCTGAAACACCCGCTGCAGGAACGGCAGGTAGATCACACAGGCCTGGCCCGCCAGCGACCCGAGCACCGCGTAGTTGAACATCTTATTGCCAAACAGAGCCAGTTCCCCCCGGAGCACCGATTTGCCCTCACTGCGGCACGTGAGCGCATTGAACATGTCAAACAGCACGAAACACGTAAAGGTCATCGTCGTGTCGTGCGCCGTCACCACCCGAGACCGCTGGCCCGGCTGCCCCGCGTCGTCCACATCCCCCATCTCGTAAACGTAGATCATCAAAGTCCCAACCATGATTACAAACGCCGACGTAAGTACCCGCTGGATCAAGGGTTTCGTGAGCACCCGCGCCGTCTTGGGTCGAGGGGGACGTCCCATGATTGTCGGGTCAACTGGTTCCACTCCCAGAGATTGGGCTGGCGGTCCATCCATCAGAATATCTAATTTTGGTTAGAAACAGAAACAAACCCCCCAAGAGGGAGAAAGGGAAAGAAAACATACTGATCCAAAGAATTTGCATCGCATTAAGCGGGTTCTTAAACCCAAGCGTCGTACTGAGCAACACTAAACTCAAGGCCGCCACACTGGTGCTGAGCTGGAACGTAATAAAGTTCTGGATATTGTAAAAGATCCCTTTGCCCTGTTCGATAGCCCGCAGGATCGTAGAAAAGTCGTCGTCGGTGAGAATCATATCCGCCGCCTCTTTCGCCACGTCCGTCCCCAGCTTGCCCATCGCAATGCCGATATCAGCCTTCTTCAATGCGGGGGCATCATTGACTCCATCACCCGTCATCGCAACCACATCACCGCGAGACTGCAGGGCGCGAACAATTTTCATCTTGTGGTCAGGACTGGTCCGCGCAAAGATGGAAACGGACGAGAGCGCCTGGGACAGCTCCGAGGTACCCATGCGATCAATGTCTTCCCCGTTGAGGACGTTTCGAGCCCCAGCTGCGTCACTAACAGGCATTCCCAGCTTCTTGGCAATCGCAACCGCCGTCGTTTCAGCATCCCCTGTAATCATGATCACTCGTACACCACCTGCCATGAGGCGACGGATGGACTTGTGGACATCTTTACGCGGGGGGTCATTCATACCAACCAGTCCAGCAAAGACGAGGCCACTGTAGCGGTCGTCCTCATCACCTGGGCTGGCACGCAACGCGGGAGTACCGGATCGGCTACCAAAGGCCGCCCTGCCCCTGCCGGCATCTCTCACGGCTCCGCTGGCGAATGACAACACCCTGAGTCCCTCCGATGCCATCTGTTCCGCAGCATGCCGCACAGCCTGACGCCGCGGCTCATCCAATATGACCTCCCGGCCATCCTTCGTCAGATACGTGTCGCAACGCCTCAGGACGGGTTCCAAAGCACCTTTAATGTAAGCCATGTTGGGGCCCCCCGTGGAGCCCGAGTCGCTACCAATAATCACTCCCATCCACTTGCGCTCAGAGCTAAAAGGAGTCTCGGCGACCCGAGCACAGATACGATCACGCACATCATCTTCTCCGAAAGCATCTAGCAGATCCAAAATTGCGACGTCCGTGGGCTGGCCAACCCAGCGGCTCTTGACAGACCCCGATGCGCTATCATCGGTGGAAGACAGTACTGCAGCGGAGGATGCGCTCGCGGGGGAATTCGCGTGAACACGCGATAAGCGCGCGTTGTTAGCAATGTTACCGACACGGAGTACAGTACGAGCGGCGGGTCCAGGAGTCAAGGAGGTAACATCATTGTGAATTTCGAAGGGCTCGGGGCAGTCGAAATGCCACATCTTGGTAACCGTCATATGGTTGAGAGTGAGTGTTCCCGTTTTGTCACTGCAGACTACGTTTACGGAGCCGAGTGTTTCAACACTCGGGAGCCGCCGCATGATAGCTCCTCTGGAGGCCATCCGTAGCACACCGAGCGCAAGAGTGACGGTGACGATAATTGGCAAGCCCTCCGGAATGGCAGCAACCGCGAGCGAAACGCCAATGGTAAACATATCCAGAACTTTTCGGCCTTGGATCAAACCCACCACGACAATCAGACCAATGACACCAAACGAGATATAACTCAATTCTTGGCCTAGACGGTCCATGGACAGCTGTAAAGGCGTTCGTGGGCTTTCGATCTCCTGAAGCGAAGCTGATATGCTTCCAAACTCGGTCTTCGCGCCAGTTCCAATGACAATCCCCTGGCCATATCCGGATCGAACCAGTGTTCCCATGAAGGCGATGTTGTGCTGTTCATTCAGACGGATATCTGCGCCGACTGCGCCGCTGGCTGGGGCATCATAAAATGGCGAACGGGGAGGGCTAATCTTGGATGAGTGGGTTGAGAGATTCTTTTGGTTACGAATCGCGTCTGGAAACTTGACAACCGGCTCATTTTCGCCAGTCAAATTAGATTCGTCAATAGTCAGATCTGTGGCGGCGGTAATTCGAATATCGGCTGGAATGCGGTCTCCAACAGTAAAGAGAACCAAGTCACCGGGCACCAGTTCATTGGCCGGCACAGTGGTAGAGGCCTTGACTGCAGCAGACACCGATCCCGATCCCGGACTCTTGCTTCGAAACTCTTGCAACTCGACCTCTTCGTCTGGGATGGTGGTAGTAGGGTGAGCAATGGGGGAAACATTCAACGGGACGTCACGGATTAGATGAGCGTGATGTGGGACGAGGCGGTTGAGGGCTTCAAGGGATTTTTCGGAGCGGTATTCCTGAACAAAGCCAACCGTAACAACGATGGTGACAGCTAAAGTAATGCTGACAGCATCGTCAAAGTTCCCCATGAAGAACGAGATTGCTGCGGACGCTAGGAGGAGGAGGATTAGCGTCTCCTTGAATTGCTTCAGGAATCGAAGCCACAACGGTTCTGGCTCTTCATGTGGTAACTCGTTCGGGCCATTTCGTATAAAACGTAGCTCGGCTTCTGCCGGGCTCAACCCGTGGATGAGAGAGGTCTGAAGGCACTGCGCCGTTTCCTGCGGGTCTAGCTGCGAGTAGGTGGAGGTGGAGTTCTATGGACAAAGGGGCAATCAGTAAACGGATCAATAAATCAAGAAGCCAGGCGATTCCATTCGACTCACTGAAGGCGCAGCCTGGGAGTGAACTCCAGGAGGTGCTACCGAGGAAGGTCTTGAACCAGAAGTCTGGACATTATGAAAAGGTAGCGCAGGCGTAGCGGAGCTTAACATCTCTCCGGCGCTAATTAAACGGACCTGTAGGATTGAGCGCCGATTGTTCGCATCCCGTCGTGGTCAGGGAAGCAATTGAGATGGGATCCAGGAGCTGAAACAGTGCACTTTCGGGAAAGACAGAATTCGAGCCGTAGATGAAGCGTTGAGGTACAACCAGGGGAGAAGCCACGTTCTCCGAACGCGATTCCGCAGGAGCCACAGGACAGATAGGTGATAATGAGAGCACCACGGAGAAAGGAGTGATAACGCTCAAGAACACAGAGATCTTGTCTATTAGGGCAAAGAAACTAACAACAAGGAGAAAATCCGGACAGAATCTAGAACACAGACTCGAAGCGCGCTCAGGATAAGGCGCTGGGGGAAATGTTGATTACCATAACTTTTGCTGGGCGCTGATGATGCTTTCCCTGTTTAGGCCTAGTCCCGGAGACACTAGTTGATCCGAACGGGCCGCATTAGGCCTAGTGCCGCTCCCTGTATGCATGTGATTTGGTGTTATTACGTAATCTACTGTATGCACGTGATCCCAGCCACCCCCTGTCTGACCAATCAGAACGGTGCCAAAGTTAGTCAGTGATTTGAGGAGGCTGGGTGCTGAGTCAGCGGACAATGTCGTCCTGAGGCACTCCTGAGGCACTCCAGACGCGCTTTTGGGAGACAAACCGCCAACCCACTTTTACTCATCCCAACCTCCTCCTCCTCCCTTTCGAGGTTTCGTTTCCTTTACCCGCTTACCCCCCTCTGCTCTCTGTGCTGTGGATTGATTTCGTCTTGATTCCGCTCGCGATTATCGTTTTGGTCGACTTACCGTAGGGTTCTGACTTTTTTTTGCGATACTTCCGATCCCTTTTTGACATCTCCTTGAGTCCCGAAAGGACCTCCCCCCTCCCCAGCGGTCCTCCATCCGTTCGTTTGTTTTCTCCGACTCGTCGCGTCGTCCACCTTTTGGTTGCCAGGGACTTCCACCACGAATCACCCCGCGTTGGGCGGGCTCTGGTTACTTCTTTTGGGAATACCTTACTTAAATCTCTTGGGATTATTTTTTACAATTATCACCTCTCCGCCATGTTCTACTCAGAAACGCTGCTGTCCAAAACGGGGCCGCTCGCCCGCGTTTGGCTGTCGGCCAATCTTGAGCGCAAGCTTTCCAAGTCGCATATCTTGCAATCGGATATTGAAAGTAGTGTCAATGCCATCGTCGACCAGGGACAGGCTCCCATGGCGCTGCGATTAAGCGGTCAGCTGTTGCTTGGTGTTGTTCGCATTTACAGCAGGAAGGCGCGCTACTTGCTCGATGACTGCAACGAAGCCTTGATGAAGATCAAAATGGTATGTGTGCACTTGCATTCCTTCGTTGCCTACAATTGAAAACTTGACTAACTTTAGGACATAGGCTTTCCGTTTGACTAACAACAATGATCTGACCATCAGTGCTGTCGTTGCTCCTGGTGGCATTACGCTACCGGATGTTTTAACCGAATCTGACCTGTTCATGAATCTGGATTCATCTCTGCTCTTACCACAACCTCTTTCCCTCGAGCTGGAAGGCAAGCGACCAGGCTCTTCAATGGATTTTGGATCACAACTGCTGCCCGACACCGGACTCCGACGTTCTGTCTCTCAGGAACCTGCGCATCTAGAAGACCACACGTTGCTTGATCTGGACCTGGGAGATGAGGATTTACCACTAGGCCATGACTTCAGTATGGAAGCGGGTCGAGACGCCCCAGCCCCACGTCCCGTCGAAGAAGATTTGTTTAGTGATGCTGGTAAATTCAACGACGTCGACCTGCCTCTGGACCTTGGCGAGGATGGTGCTCCATTGGACAAGATGGACCTGGGCGATGACCTTCTGCCAATGGATGACACGCTGGATCTGGGTGTTGATGGAGATATGGCTGTTGATGAAGTGGACGACCGAGCCGACAATGAGAGTATATTATCTGACATGTCTGAGAACCGTTTGGCGGAAATCGATCCCGACAACCAAACTCAACTCTACCAAGACAACGACGAGGTAGCTGACGAGGATGATGTTACTATTCAACATGCTCAGCGTGCAAAGCGACGCAGGCAGCTCCCGATTCTTGAGCTGGACGCAAAACCCGAGTACCAACCCAAGGTTTATTTCGCAACCCAGCAGGAACAGCTGGCTGAGATCCTCCGACCTTCATCCTTCCTTCCTCGGGATCCGGTGCTGTTGACGCTGATGAACATGCAGAAGAACGGCGATTTTGTGGCGAATGTAATGGGAGGTGGGCGTGGACGTGGCTGGGCCCCCGAGATCCGTGATTTGCTCTCTTTCGATGCTGTGAAGAAGTCTGGCGAGCTCAAACGCAAGCGCGATAGCGGAATTGCGGACATGGACGTGGAAGCTGCCATTGCTCCTGCCTTGGACTTTGGAGACGAGGAAGCCATTGTGCCTGTCGACGAGGGAGTTGGCCTTGACACAACCCTGCAGCAACGCTCCGAGATTGAATTTCCTGGGGATGAGGAGGACCAGCTCCGCCTCAGCGATGATGAAGGGCTTCACCAGCCATTGGAGGACCTCGATACGACCCTTGAGCCTGTGGACAGTGGGCCCGTGTCATTGGGCACGAAACACGCCGTTCACGTCCTGCGTGACTGTCTCGGCGATGTAGACCAGAAGAAGGCTGTTCGGTTCCAGGATCTCCTGCCCGAGAAACAGGCCTCGAAGGCGGATGCCACGAAAATGTTCTTTGAAGTTTTGGTTCTAGCGACCAAGGACGCTGTTCAGGTCGAACAGCGACGCGAAACAGTGGGCGGACCCATCAAGATTCGCGGTAAGCGTGCACTCTGGGGAGCTTGGGCTGAGGAGCATGCCAATGGTGAAGTTGCGACTCAATCGAGCCAGGTTGTAGCGTAGGAGTAGGAGTATAATGGTTTGATTGTGAATTTTTTTTTTCTTTCCCTTTTTGTACATTGATGTGATATCTTTGGGGTCTTTTTCTTCTTCTTCTTTTCATTTCCACTCTTCGTCATGGTTGAGACAGGTCCTCATGTAATGATTCTGGAGTTTGGGGTATTCTCGCTTTTTGTCTTTCCCGGGACTGAAAAGGTGGTGATTGCTGGTTATTTCTGGGGCGAACAATAGGATATAGCTTTGAGTATTATCATAGAAGGCTTAATTGAATGGATAACTGGCAATATTCCTGTCAAGGTCCTGCTATAGAGTACGGAGTACGGAGTCAGTGGCGAGCTCTCAGCCGCAGGTACATAAATCCCGACGCTAACTGAACAAGCATTGATCCACCGTATGATCGATTGATGCTTGACTTCCATGGTCTTCAAAGAGAATAACAGAGTGATGGCTGGCTCTGGAAGAAATTCTGGACCTGAAAATTCTCTTCTTCTCATCTTCTTCTTCTTGTATAGAGTAACCAACGAATTTCATCTTGATTTCTCTACCCTGACTCATGGCTTTCCAGCCTAATTACTTAGTTCGCTAACCGGCCAAAGAAAGTTCCCATGGGAGGTTAGGCAATAATAACCTGCCATTATCAAGCATTGCGCTGTTGTTAGTGAGTTATCTTCTTTCTTTCTTTCTTTCGTTTTTGCCTTTTTGATTGTGGGTTGAGAGAGGTAATATATTGGAAAAAGAGACTGGAATCCACCCAATTTGGTCATAGATCATGTCTCCTGCGATCAAGGAGGACGAGCGTCGCGCAGACGCAGAGGGGAATGCTGAACTGCACTTGGATCGACAATCCTCGCTCAGTGAGGACCACAGTGATGCGGGAGCAGAAGGGTTTGCTCCTATTAAACCGGCCACCACGAGAACAGACAACAACAAGATCCAACGGTTGCTTTCGAATGCGTCGTCGCGGGCCATGGAACGCAGCTGGTCGTTGAATGACGGGTATAGTTGCAATACGGGGGGTGCAGAGGCGGATGAAGGTGCTGCTGGCGATGGAGATCGAGATGGAGATCGAGATGCAAATGCAGATGAGTCTTCCGGGTTTATTGTGCGCTGGGACGAGAATGACCCGATGAACCCGCGGAATTTCAATACATTGAGGAGGTGGATCATTGTGGTTATTTGCTCGTTGGGGTCTCTCTGTGTGTATGTTGTGTTGGCTTTTTCTTCTTCTTCTTCTTCTTCTTCTTCTTCTTCTTCTGTCTAACGACCTGGCTAGGACCTGCACATCGTCAATATACACTACCACTTATGGTCAGTTGACGACGGAGTTCAATTGCTCTCGACTGGTTGCGACGCTGGGGTTGTCTTTCTTCATCTGGGGTTTAGGTGAGTATCGGCCTCTCCATGTCTAACGCGACGAGGTTGAAGCTAACAGAGAGTGTGAAGGAGTTGGTCCGCTCGTTCTTGGGCCTCTGTCAGAGGTGCGAACATTGCGATAACCACAAGAGGCTCTGCTCTCTCTTCGATGATGAAACCTGCTAACGCCGGGTAGTTCTACGGTCGACGATATATCTACATCACCTCGTTCTCTTTCTTCTTGATATGGCTCATCCCGTGCGCGGTGGCCCAGAACATCCAGACCATGATTATCGCCCGGTTCTTCTGTGGACTCGCTGGAAGTGCATTTCTCAGCGTAGCCGGAGGCACTGTTGGTGATCTGTTTGATCGCCACGAGCTGAGTGCTCCGATGATGCTATACACCAGTTCTCCGTTTGTCGGTCCTGAAATGGGTCCTTTGTATGTTTGCGTGATGCTAGTTAAGAGATTAGCTACGCCGTAAGCTGACCTTTTTCTTTTTCTTTTCTGTTAGGATCGGTGGGTTTATCAATCAATATACTAATTGGTAAGTTGTCATTGACAAGTCCTAAACAACAAGAAAGATCATAACCAGCTGATTGAACGGGATACATAGGCGCTGGACATTTTACGTGCTCCTTATCTGGACAGGTGCTCTGCTTGGTTTGATCGTTTGCTTCGTGCCCGAGACCTACCATCCAGTGTAAGTGAGAAGTAAAAGAGATTTAAGGAATTTATCGGGGATGATGCTAATCGATCTAGTGTACTGCAACGAAAAGCGCAACAACTACGAAAAGATACCGGTGACGATCGATGGCAAGCGCCGATTGAAAAGAGACAGCGCTCGGTAGCCCAGACCATTTTGCGATCGGTTTATAGACCTATCCTTCTGTTAACGATGGAACCGATGTGCTTGAACCTTTGCATCTACTCTGCCATTCTCCTGGGGATTCTGTATCTGTTCTTTGGCGCCTTCCAGCTGGTGTTTAGCAACGTGTACGGCATGGAGCTCTATCAACGCGGGCTTGCTTTCCTGGGACTCTTCGTGGGCATGCTCTTTGCCATTTTCTCCGATCCGTTCTGGCGCCGGGTGTACGCTAAGCTCGAAGCCAACCACGAAAACGCTGTTGGCATCGTGGCTGATGACTTTCAGCCAGAATGGCGACTCCCTGCCGGTGTGCATACAGACTTTCACAAAGTTCCCCTTGCGATCCGACTGTAAGTAGACATGCTAACCTCACCCATTGCAGCAATTGCTGGCGGTCCGCTGGTGACGATCGGACTCTTTATCTTCGCCTGGTCCATCTATCCTCATGTCCACTGGATTGTACCGGTCATTGGCAGTGCTTTCTTTGGCGCGGGGTAAGTTTTTTTTTTTTGTGTCCAACCTCTTTTGCCCTCGCATTGGCGCTGACGGGATTCTGGCCTAGGACTATCCTCGTGTACTCGGGCGTCTTCACCTTTTTAGTGGATGCATATCCCACGTATGCGGCCAGCGCGTTGGCAGCGAATAGTTTTGCACGATCGAGCTTTGGTGGAATCTTTCCCTTATTTGGGATTCAAAGTAAGATGGCCTTCTCCCTCCAACTGTAGATGGACATATTTTACAAGACCTATGTAAAATATCTGCGCCATTTACCGGTACTTAGCTACATTCAGTGATCCCACGGCGTCAGGATCCCCAAGCCCGGATTGCATATCTTGACCGCCAGTTTTGTTAACATCCAAGACAGTGTACAACAACTTAGGATACCATTGGGCAACATCACTGCTGGCTTTTCTGACACTTGCCATGGTTCCATTTCCGTACGTCGTTTTTTTTCCCCCTATTTTTCATTCGCCAGTCTGTTGGAAGAAAAAAAGGGAGATATCTGTCAACTGGACCAGGTACAGATGCCGTAGGACGAGGAAAGGGCCTCCCTTGCAGGGACCATCCTGCAGTCTGGCGGCATGGTGCATTTGAACGCCTTTGTGCTGGGCTAGTTCCCAACTCCGGTTACGAGGGGATATCTCGACCAGGACCAGCATGTCCAGTTAGTTAGTTATAGAGGAGGTCTGACAACGCTAACGATCTTTGCTGCACACAGGTATTTATTTTTCCGATACGGCAGTCGAATCCGGAAGAGGAGCCGATTTGCTGCTTAGCACTCTCACATACATATAATCCAGCCAGAAATCGAGGCACCGGACACCCGAGACTGAAACTGGAAAACCTCGCATGTTCTACCTAATGTTCAGATGAGATCGTGTTACCGCGGGGGAACCGAGTGTGACGGGGATTTGAATCCCTGCGATGCAAGTCTCGAGCTCCTGCATACATAGACCGACGACATCGAATCAGGACGAACTGTTGGGAGGGAGAAAGGGAAAAAGCCTCACCAAATGCTGTTTCTCGATAAATATTGACTCATTTCGGGTATTCGAGTTCCTACATTACTGGCTTTAATGGATTGGCATGTAGCTGATGAATTTGGGATATATTCCCACAATATAGATTGGGACTGGATCTGAACACAACAGAATAACAACCTGAAACCAGTTATTTGATTCTATTCTTCTTATGAGTAACCGAGGCATAAACAGGACATTTTCAGTCGGGGGAATACGGGGATTGAAGACGACCCGAGATGACCCGTATTGAATACCTTGAATATATACAAATATATAGAAGAATATATCAGAATATAGACTTACGATGTAACAAGTAAATTACTATAAGGCTGATTGACTGTCTGTCGCGTGTCTGATATAGATATATATAACTATATATATATGCCTCAGTTATATATATATATCCCTAATATAAGTTATTATAAGTGATATAAGTTATATCCTTCGTTCACATCCTGCCCCTCTTCTTTCCCTTCTCCTCCTCCTCCTCCTCCTCCTCCTCAATGAGAGATTTATATTATACCTAGGTATATATCTATTCTAGCTCTCTCCAGATCTTCTGTCTGAACGATCTGATATATATTTTCCATACCCGCGGCAAAAGGGTTCCCTCCGCCCGCTGAACCTCCGCCTGCATCTTTTCCAACTGGGAATTCTGAATTCTCTCGAAAATCTTCTTCTTCCTCAACTTCTTCCTATAACTAACTAAAGTACTTCTTCCTCAATACTTCTTCTCTTCTTCTGGTTCAATTCAAATTCATTTCGTCTCGTTTATTCTTTTCCGCCCCTCTTTCCTGCTAAAATCCCCCCCCACGCTGAATCTTTATGCGCTCTCAATCCTTCTCGCTTCTCTGGCTTCTCCTCTCTCCACACCATTACACAGCTGAACAAATAACAAATTAAGAACTCAAAAAAACAAAAAAAAAAAAAGAAAAAAAACAAACCGGCAATCTGGATTCCTTCCAGTCGGCTCGTTGGTCGCGTTTCGTGGGTGTTTTCGACGACGACGACGGTGACGACGAAGACGGTCAAAGCAGTGACTGAGTGGCAAGGTGTCAGTCGCGCGCTCGACTGTGATCATTACTTGTTTTCAACCGATTCAACCAGACCACCCACGACTCTCTCGAGGCTTTATTCTGTCCGGTTCATGGAAACCATGATGATGATGGACACTGACAAGAACTCTGCAGCGCCCTCGGCTGACCGCAGTGGGGCTGATCACGATTCCGGTGCGGTCGCGGTAGACCACCACCATCTGCCGTCCAAGACGACCATCGCTACTAATCCTAATGCGAACGGTGACGATCAGTCTGCGCCCACTATCCAGAAACTGAATCCCAAGGATCCTTCACGCCCGCGGAGGAAGAAGGCTCGTCGCGCCTGCTTTGCCTGTCAGCGGGCGCATCTGACTTGTGGTGCGCCAAATGATTTCCCCCCCCCCCCCTTCTTCTTCTACATATGTATTGGCGAAGAAGCTGATCGTTTCTAGGTGACGAGAGACCCTGCCAACGGTGCATCAAGCGCGGCTTGCAAGATGCCTGCCATGACGGAGTCCGCAAGAAGGCCAAGTATCTGCACGATGCCCCCGACGGCGCCCTGATGCCTGGAGTGGCCGGAAGTACCTTTTACAACAACAACAACAACAACAATAACCCCGCCAATAACCCCCCTCCACACGGCCTCCCCCTGTCGAGAAACAGCGCCAGTGCAGTGAATGCGACCACCAATCCGCAGAACTCGGGCGCCAATTTCTATCCCACCCCGCAGTCGAGCACCTATAACATGTATCCGGAAAACCCGATCAATCACCAGAACTCGTTTGCCTCGCAATCCCCCGTTTCCCCAACCTTTAGCTTGAAAACCAACCCGACCGCGCGTAATACCACTGCTATGAATAATAACAACAACAATAATAATAATAATGCTGTTGCTGCGGCGGCGGCGGCAGCGGCAGCAGCAGCAGCAGCAGCCGCCGCCGCCGCGGGGATGACCCCCTCTGTCCCCCTGCCGTCCCCGGCGGTCTCTGGCGCTCCGAATCAGAATCAGAACCCGTTTGCGGGTCCGTTTTTCGATCCCAGCGATCCCGCGCTCTTCAATTTTGATCTGTCGAGCATGAACTTCGAGAATCGATACGGTGCGTTGGAATTCGGCATGCTGGGACACATGGCCACAGGCGCGGGCGACTCCCCCACCGATTCGGCGACCCAGCGCGGATCGATGGGACGGAGCGGTTCCGCCCAGTTCGCCTCCACCCCCATCACGGGGGCCGCCGCCTTTGGCGAAAGCCCCGGAAGCCAGCAGCCCTTCATGTTTGGCGATCCTCTTTTGAACGAGTGGCCCAGCGGACAGACGTCGGGCCCGTCGCATGTGAACGTCCCGGCGGTGTATCCGCAGTCGAGCCAGGGTAACGTGATCCCGGGGCATCTGTCGAAGCCGGATGCGCCCCATGCCTTTGCCATTGAAAGCGGGCCCTCGGCCAATTTCGCCAGCCCGGGCGCCGCCGCCTCCAGCCCCCAGATGAACCCGGGGTTTGACGACCCGGCGGCCTTTAGCACTGTTGTTGCCAGCAAGTCGAATGGCCACCGGCCCGCGATCTCGACGCCGAGTCTGAAGCACCGGACTCTCCACGTGCACAAACGACGGCCGCGCAATCCGTCCGCGGTCTACGAGAGCGTGAACGAGCCTTATGCCTACACAAGTCGCTTTCACAACCTGACCGCGTTCATCCAGAGGCGGTTTTCCCCGCAGAAGCGGCTGCGGATTGCGAAAGCGCTGGCGTCGATCCGGCCGTCGTTCATTGCGACGACCAAAACGCTGAATCGCGATGATCTGATATTCATGGAGAAGTGCTTCCAACGGACGCTCTGGGAGTACGAAGATTTTATTAATGCGTGCGGCACCCCGACGATCGTGTGCCGTCGCACGGGCGAAATCGCCGCCGTGGGCAAGGAGTTTAGCATCTTGACCGGGTGGAAGAAAGAAGTCCTGCTGGGCAAGGAGCCGAATCTCAATGTCAACACGGGCAGCGCCTCGGGATCGGGGACCAGCTCGCGCAGCTACACGCCGCGGGGGGGGCCCGTGGAGAGCACCGTGGGGCGACCGCAACCGGTGTTCCTGGCCGAGTTGCTGGATGACGACAGCGTGGTCGATTTCTACGAAGACTTTGCGCGGCTGGCGTTTGGCGATTCTCGCGGCAGCGTCATGACGACCTGCCAACTGCTCAAGTACAAGACGCAAGAAGACATGGACGCACAGCCGGACGACAGCCAACGATGGAACAGCCACCTGCGCAAGGGGGGGATCGCGAACGAAGCGGGGATGAACCAGCTGGGGTTTAAGGACGGCAAAGTCGAATGCGCGTACTGCTGGACAGTGAAACGAGACGTATTCGACATTCCCATGTTGATCGTGATGAATGTATGTCCGACCTTTTGGGTTCCCTTTTTCTTTCTAAATACTAACGAGAGCAGTTCTTACCATGCATTTGATTTGAATTCCTTTTTCTGTTGTATTATGAATGCTACGAGTACCGGAGATAACCCGGATCAAAAGGTATAGATAGATACTGTAACATAGCGTTTGGACTATCAAGCTACCTGGAGTAATCAACATAATAATATTATTGTCTGATAATGTCGGTTGTGTTGTGTTGTTGTGTTGGGAGTAGATCAAATCCCCGCCTCTTATCGATCGGCCCGCCTTTACACTTTCAACCTCTTCTCTTCTTCATATCCATCCACAATCCTGCACTGCAGCATCTAAGAAACATGCGCCCCGACTCTCCTCGCCCTACAACTTCAGGCCCGGACTCAGGCCCGGAACCCCCGTTTCCCATCCGTCTCTCAGGCCCGGTAATCAAGGGTTTTGGCCGAGGAAGTAAAGAGGTATTATGTATCCCTTTTTTTTTTTTTTTTTTTTTCCTAGCGAAGAAAGAAAGAAAGAAAAACTAATAATCAAAAGCTAGGAATCCCCACCGCCAACATCCCAGCCGACGACGAAAACCTCTCCTCGATTCTCCCCGCAGACCTGAACGTAGGCGTATACTACGGCGTGGTTGCGCTGGATCCGGCCACATCGACGACGACGACGAACGTGGTGGCCTCCTCGACTGCGCCGCGCATCCTCCCGGCGGTTTTGAGCATCGGGTATAATCCGTTTTATCGCAATGAGCGGCGTTCGGTGGTATGGCCCCCGCGCTTCCCTTCCCTTCCCTTCCTTTTAGATTGTTCTGATTGATTGTGGGTGGGTTTGTTCGTTCTGATTGTGGCTGGTTGAATAGGAAATCCACATCCTCCCCCCGCTCTCCTCCTCCCCCTCCGGAACAACCGAGAACCCCGCCGCCGACAACCCCCGCGACGACTCGGAGACAACCAGCGCGAAAGTGAAATTCAACAAGCTGCCCGATTTCTACGGGGCCACGCTCAACCTGCTCATGCTGGGGTATATCCGGCCGGAATACGACTACGTGTCGCTGGAGGCTCTGGTCGAGGATATCCGGGTGGACTGCGAAGTTGCGCGGCGGAGTCTGATGCGGTCTGCGTATCGGGTTTATTTGGGAGAGGAAGACGACTCTACGGGGACGGAGCAGGAGCAGGAGCAGATACAGAGGGAGAAGGCGTGGTTGAGGAGGTTCTAACTCCTTATTCATATATATCAATCATATACAGTATATCATGCTGTTAAATTAGATAATAGATGGGGTTTATGAGTGAAGATGATATGATGTAACTGCGTGGCTCGTCGACGTCACTGTTCTGGTCCGTCCTCTTATATATATATATATATCTACATATATATCTACATATATAGGATATATATATATATATAAGAAAATAAAATGGATAAACTCTTCGGCCGCCTGCGCAAAAGTAGCTTCGGCTCCTCCTCCTCCTCCTCCCCCCGTCCCAAGGAGACCGCGCCGCCCCGGCGTCTCTACATTACATCCAACACGCCGCGATGCGACCATGCGCTTCTCGGGCGCTTGCAGACCGAGGGCTTCAGCGTCGAGTACCTGCCTTTTCTGTTCGCAAGTAAGGACGACGAGCGAGATCGCAAGGAACTCGAGAAACTGATTCGCGAGCGCGAGGATGATCTGGAGCCTGGCGAGAGGTACGCGATTCTGGGTATGTAGTGGTTTTATTTATTTATTTATTTATTATATATATATATATATATATATATATATATATTTTTTTTTTTGGGCTGATAATACAGTAGCATATAACCGTCCCGCTTATCTTTTGCTCCTCTCTCATCACCAAGCATCAACTACAAACCCGTTCCCGCTTCTCGGTGCTTTCGTCGCCTTCTACCCGCTCCCTTTGCAGTCGGCCGCCTCTGCAACTTCCTCCGTCTACGAGACGCTTCCCCTCCTCCCGATCCAGATTCATCTAGCCGGGTATCAAAGCCATGCTCTCTGGGACCCATCCGCCGAGCCCCCGAGCAGAAAGCGCCACAGATGCCATCTCTTTTTCTACCCCGAGTCCGAGCCGGGGTTTGCCGAGCCCACGTCCGAGGCCTACGACCCCATGAGCGCGCGCTTGGCGTGGAGCCGTGCGCTGGATTGTCTGAAGCGAGGGTTTGGGTGGCCGGCGGGGAACTGGAAGATTCCGGAGCCCGAGGTTGTCTGGGAAGAGTATTGGAGGAAGATCTTCGATAGTTCGCGGAGTAAAGAAGCGCGGACGCGAGAGGAGATGGAGAACCATGCAGATAGGATGCTGGACATGATTTACAACGGCGCTGGAAATCTGGAGGCTGCCCAGAAGGCCGTTGTGAATTGCGTTGCTGCCCCTGTTGGAGGTTGGCATGCCCTCCTGCCTTTTGGTTTTGCGGATTCCTTGAATTTGTTTTAGGTATCGGCGGCTGACGAGAATAGGATCGACCCCGGCGAAGATTGCGGCGTTTTATACATCCCAGTTTATGCCAGTTGGTCCGCCGTCCCAGAACATCCGGTTGCTCTCTCGGACTGCTGGTGTCGACCGTGTTGTTGACGAACTCTTGCTCTCGTTTGACCACACAGAGGAGATTCCCTGGTTGTTGCCTCGGGTGCCGCCGACTGGGCGGTCGGTTCGAATTCCGCTCGTCATGACGGCGAGTTTCTGCGCAGGAAAGATTGCCCGTCACAACATCTACTGGGATCAAGCCAGTGTCCTGGTGCAGGTTGGCTTGTTAGATCCGGCGCTTATTCCGAGTGGTTTCCAGGCCACGGGGCCGAATCATGAAGGTAGAGAATCTGTGGAGAGACTTCCAGTCGTCGGAGGAGAAGCTGTCGAAAGGACTTTTGACCCGTTAACGTAGAATAATGTGTGTAACTCTAGGCTGAATTACTAGTATGAGGAATGATTATAGCTGGCTCAGGCGATGCTGCAGGCTCTTGAGGTCTTCGCTGACACCGCCTGTGCTCTTCAGAGTCATAACACTGGCTTCTTGTGCAAAAGGAATCACATCCTCCACTCTTTTATGGCCGGCTGCAAGCCCTGCGATGACAGCGCCTAGTAAGGTATCTCCTGCGCCGTTGACGCTGATAATGGCTCCATCTGCTAGCTCAGCAGCAGGAGGGAACAGTCGCATATACACCCCCCCAATAAACTCGTCTGTAGACGAGGCGCGAGACAGGATATACGGGCTGTACTCAGGCGCTGTAAGGCGGGAATCACCTGGTCGAAGCAACTGCGTAAGGAGAGCTCCCCTGGCGCCTAGCTTCGTAATGATGCATGGAAGAAACGGGAGGAGCTGTATACTCTGCTGCGGGATCCCGGTGTTAACGAGATCGGCAGAGGTCATTGCAACAAGTCGGTCTCGTGACCCAGACGAAGACATTCCCATTGCATCAACGATGCGCCACCAGCCAGCAGACTCGAACAGGCCGCTCTCCCGTGCAGCCATATACATGGCAGCAAGCTCAAACTCGTTCGGAGCAGCAAGACTGACAGTGTTGTTAGGGACGCATGCCGACTCTGCAACTGCAGCTTTGGCGCCAGCGCTCGATTTGAATAGTCCTTGAGATTTCACAGTTGAAACGGACTCGAAAGCAACTCGAGAACCGTGCTTGTTAGCTGCTGCAACCCACTTAGATAGAAGCTCAGGACTCCAGTTGGCATCAACAACCACCCATTGCGGCTTGGTGCGCGCGATAATCGGCTCCCAGAACCGGTCAAAGCCTAAGACATCGTCTGGCAGCTCCATAATACCCATATCAGCCATCGCTACGTGGAGGTCTCTCTTCGCATCGTTCACGGCGATGTATTGTGCAGTACGCGCGCCAGACGATGCCGGCAGCACTTGAACGCCGCTAATGGAAAGCTTCTCCTGTTCCAGGGTAGCCAACGCGGCCCGGCCACTAAGATCATCACCGACTGCACTGCAAAAAACAACAGAGCTTCCCAAGGAGCTTGCAGCAAAAGCAACATTGTGGCCCACCCCACCAAGACTTTGTCCAATGACGGCGGGATTTGATGTGTGGAAGGCAGGTAGTACTAGACCACTCCCAGCTCGCGGAACAAAATCGCATGCCAGGTCAATCGCAAGCGAGCCTGCAACCAGAACATCCGCCTTTTCTGGCTGCGTCACGGGGATTTCACTAGTTGGGTGGAGTTCCGGCTCTACCTCTGATGAAACCGTTTGGTCAGCCCTGCCGATCCGGAGAATCGCTGGCATATGTCTACCAGGAGCATCTCGAAATTAGGACATTCGAGCCTCACGCAATTTGAAAGGCACTCACCGTTCGTTTACTGTTTCGCTAGACCGTTCTAATTTGGAAAGCTCAACCGCAACCCTTGTTGCGCGCTGGACATTGGCTTCGACTAGGGCCCGGTTGGCTGTCACGCTCTTTCCACCGCTGAGCTCCTTGATCTTGGCCAGCACGAAAGGCGTGTTATCGCTACCATGGTAGCCCTCGACATCCGCAAGACGGACTGCTTCGTCAATGATAAAATCCATTTCGCTTTTAGGAATTGAGTATTCCTTTGAAACTGGATTGGCAAAAAGGATACCAGATGACACAGGCAGCTGTGATTGGGCATCTATACCCGCGTTAATCGCTATTGATTTAAAGGGGACACGGTATCTTACAGATAATAGCCGCTGCTTCCGCCTCATCTTGAATAACCTTGGGGCTTTTGATTCCACTGTCCCGCGTAAAGAATGCAGGTAGATCCACGGCACCTTGACGGCCGTCGGCAAAGGTCCCAACACACACCCCCTCTGTTTCGAGGTATTCCAATGTGCGAGGAATGTCTAGGAAGCTTTTGCACCCTGAGCTGATCACAGCCACCGGAGTACGTCCCAACTCAGTCAGATCGGCTGGTGTTGTTAGTTCGCGCCCTCACCACAGTCTCAATCAATGCACATACCAGAAATATCCATCGACGACTCAGCGCCACGATGAACACCCCCCAGACCACCTGTCCCGAACACTTTAATGCCAGCCAAATGTGCGAGCACCATAGTACCAGAAATCGTTGTCCCACCGTGAAGCGGTTTTCCAGCCATGCCCTATTCATATTAGAGACTTTTTTGACAACTATAGATAAAGAAATAAAACGTACGAGCCCGCATATGTAGCCTAAATCTCGACGAGAAACTTTCAATGCGTTTCTCTTCTCCGCGGTTGACGCCAGCTCAGTGAGCTCATCGGGCTGAAGACCAACTCGGGCTACGCCATTGAGGATACCGATAGTAGCGGGAACTGCCCCATTCACGCGAACAACCGATTCTAGGAGCGATGCCAGTGCTACATTCTCGGGGTACGGGAAGCCTACGTATGTTAGCGGAGCCTTACTGACAGAAAGGATACTGTTGGTACCGTGAGTGTAGATCGTAGTCTCCAGGGCTACTACCGGTTTCCCCGTGGCCACCGCGTCTCGAACCTCTTCTGAAACCCGGAAGAATTTGCTTTGGGCGAAGCTATGATTCTGTCGTGCATATAGCGCTCGAGGCTCTCCAACTGTCCTGCGGATGCATTGACGCGACGTAGCTCTAAATGCGAGCATTGTGAGCAGCGACACAGAGCAGATCCTAATTCAATATAGACTATGGAAGCGTAAAGAGTCAAATTGCAACGCGAAAATGTCAGAAAGGATGAAAACAGAGCCAGTAGGGAGGGGAGAGAGGGAGGAGAGAAGTGAAGGCGGCATGATTTGGCCGCGGCGGTCGCCGTACTTTATGTACTGTATTGGAACTAAATCCGAGCATCATCGGGACACCTCAGCATCACGCCGAATTCCTCCCCTCCCCTCCCCTCGGCCTGCCCGTCCCTCATTTCCCTTCTTCTTTCGATCTTTCTCCTGGTGAGAATTACTGGGACCTCCAGCGCAGTCCGGTGCAAAACTGCCCATCGATACAATGCGGCCGTTTGCTACCGTTGTTACGGCGCTCTGCGGGCTTGTCCTGTCCAGCAGCTCTATAGTTTGCGCCGATTCTACCTCTCACCCTTCTCAGGTGCTGCTCCCTGCCGACTTCAAGCCTCCTCAGGTGTTTAAGAATGTGAATCTCGTGCGGAATACCAACTTGGAAAAGGGCTATGCTCGCGAGACCGTCAACATCGTCGTCGAGAATGTCGATAAACAGCCCCGGAGTGAATACTACCTGTCCTTCCCCTCAGACGTATTCAATCAGGTGGGAGGATTGGAAGTTCGAAACAAAAAGCAGGTAGAGAAAGGAAGGCTTGATGTGGAAATTGCGACAGTTGATTCACCCAGGTAGGTTGACCATTGTCGCGCCCAATGGCTGGTGGTGGTGACGACGAAGCCACGGTTGCTTGATCGAGCACACAACTATGGAATGCATGGGCTAATAATGTCAATTGAACACTAGCGATGTTCAATACTTTGTTGTCCACTTCTCTGAGCCTCTTGCTCCCTCCTCGCAGATCACTCTCGGCATTTCGTACTCTCTCCTCAACTCGCTCCATCCTCGCCCTGCTGCCATTGAGCAGTCGGATCGCCAGTTCCTGACATACTCCTTCTCCGCATACGTCCCCTCTGCCTACCAGACGGTGACACAAAAGACCAAACTGAAATTCCCCAGCACCAACATTCCTGACTATACCACCACGGATCTCAAAACCGGTGAAGATCCCGAGCGTCACGGCTCGACCTACACATACGGTCCCTACGACACGGCCCAGGTTGCACCAGGAACTACCCACCCCATTACTGTCCGTTACGAGTTCACCAAGCCTGTGATCACCGCGTCTCTGTTGGAGCGCGACTTGGAAGTGTCTCACTGGGGAGGCAACTTGGCTACCGAGGAGCGCTACTGGCTTCACAACAATGGCTCCAAACTGCTGAACCACTTCTCCCGTGTGGAATGGACCGTCTCCAACTACCAGCAGTCGCCCTCATCTGCGATCCGGGAACTCAAATACCCATTGAAGCCAGGCTCCGTGGACCCCTACTTCATCGACGACATCGGCAACATCTCTACCAGCCGCTACCGCCCCGGGAAAGCCAACCGGGAAGCCAATCTCGAGCTCAAACCCCGGTTCCCTATCTTCGGTGGCTGGAACTACAGCTTCCGTCTTGGCTGGAACAACGAGCTGTCGACCTTCCTCCGGGCCTCGGGTGCAGAATCTTACGTTCTCAAGGTTCCTTTCCTTGAGGGACCGAAGATGCCTGAAGGTGTCCAGTATGAGAAGGTAGTTGTGCGTGTAATCCTCCCCGAAGGAGCCCGCAATGTGCGATACGAGACTGTCGACGGAAGCTCCAGTAACGGTCTTCCTAGCACCAGCCAGATCCAGTCTTCCTTGTCCACCCACAAGACATTTATGGACACCCTTGGCCGCACCGCATTGACTCTGACCGTGGAAAGCCTTACCGATGAAGCCCGCGACGCCCAGCTTATCGTAAGTTCCCCCTACCCCCTACCCCCCCCTTTTTTTTTTTTTTTTTTTTTTTCCTCCCAGATATCACGCCGGACAGAATAGCTTATCGAGTGCTTTCAGGTTACCTACGAGTATTCCTTCTGGGATGGAATGCGCAAGCCCTTGACGATCACCGCTGGGCTCCTGAGCGTATTCGCAGCTCTGTGGGCTATTGGAAACATTGACGTCAGCATTAAGAAACGATAGGATAGTTGTGTATAACTGTTGTGCGAATATCGCCATTTTTGTTTCTTCTTCTTCTTCTTCTTCTTTTGCTGTGTTCTTTTCTTTTCTTTTCTTTTCCTTATACCAGTACAATAAAAATTGATGTTTCATTTCTCCATAGAGCAATTCTACCACTGCCTTACCTCACCGTTTCAAGCTAACTATAACGTGGATGCCCAAGAAAAGGCAAATGGATAACAATTGCACCCTCAGATATACATACATACAAAAATCGTACAACCCCCTTTCCCTTCTCCCATGTAGGTAGGTAAGAGAGGCAAAACAACCGATTTTTTTTTTTTTTTTTTTAACTTCCTCCCGTCTCCCAGAACCCCCCAACCCCCCCCCCCCCGGCCCCGGGAAGCCATTTATTTTACTTGGCCAAAAGTATATGAAAGAAAAGATTAGCTCCAGACGCCTTGCAAGCAACCCTAAACTAATCGCAAATCAACAAACGGGGAAAAGAAAAAAGAAAGCGCGGGTTTGTTGCTACTACTACCCCGCACCCAGTACTGCAACTTACTCCTCCTCGAATTTCCTCTTGACTCCGTTGCCATTCGTATGAGAAGGCGGAGGAGCGGCCTGTCGAGCCCGCTGCTTCCGCTCTTCCGCCTCCGCTTGGGCCTGGCGCTTCTTCCAGGCGGTTTTGATGGCGGGCGCCGCACGGATGAGATCATCCTCCGTGACGCGGTCCTCGATGCTCTCTAGGACTTTCTCCACGGTGGAGATGTGGTTTGCGTCGGCCTTGTCGTCGCGAATCCGGTGGTAGCGCCAGCGGCCCTGGTCGTCCTTGGCGCACTCGACAATGCTGTCGTCGAGGGGCACCTGCAGGGCCTTGAGGTCGTCCCACTCGGGCGCGGTGACGAACATCTCGCCGAAGGGCTGGTACTCGTTGGCATTGAGGAGGACGAAGAGATGGAAGATGGGCAGGGCGTCGTAGTCCGGGAATGGATCGGTGAGGCCGTCGGCCTCGTCGTCGGAGTCGGGCTCCAGGATCGGGAACTCGAGGCGCATGCGGAAGTCGATGGTGTTTTCGGCCGGGGGTTTCCATTTCAGGATGTGCTCGTCGGTGCCGATGCGGTAGGGGGTGCTGCGACACGTGAAGATGAGGCCGTCGTTGCCGTGGATTTCCTTCACCTTGGGGATGATCTCGCGGAACATCATCTCGATGCCGTAGCTGACTTGGGTGGATTTGTCTTCGACCGTGAAGATGCGGTGTTGCTTTTCCTCGGGGAATCGGTCGTACAGCGCGTTGTACGGCTTGAGGACTTTCTCCTTGAAGTATGCGAGGCGCTTATCGAGGGTGCGGTGCATGAGGCTTTGTCCGTCGAGTACGAGACAGTCGAAGACGAGGAATTTCAGTTGCTGCGTGCCGTCCGGGTAGGTGTCATTCACCAACTCGCCGTCTACCAGGGTATCCACGTGGAAGGACTGGAAGGTGTCGTCGTCGGGCATGGGGAAGTGCAGCTGCGGCACGTAGCGGTATTCATTCTTGCGGTCGATGAGGTAGTGGATTTCAGGCGTCTCTGACTCCGGTTCTCCGCGCGCAAAGTACATCAAACAGCGAATGCCATCGGTCTTTTCGCATACGTAGTAGTCTTCCCGTTGTAGTTCGAGGAGGTGGCGGTTGGAGAAGCTGACCGGTTGAGCCCCGGGGAAATTGAGGTTTTTGCGACCTAGCAAGTCCGCGACCTCCCTGCGAAATTGATCAGCTAGATGGGGTTCGGCTTTAATACCGACCGCGTCGAGATCGGGGACGGAATTGCCCATTTTCTTTTTTGTCTCCTTTCGTTTTTCTTTCTGCCTCTCTGATTTTCGGACGATGAGGGGATCGGGAGCCGAGTTGATGTGAGGACAAGCAAGGGTGGCCCAGACTCGCTTTCGCCTTTAACAAGCTCTCTCTCTCTCTCTCTCTCTCTCTCTCTCTCTCTGGCCCGCAGGCGCAGGGAGGGTGATTCGGCGACTGCAAAGGGAGACAATTATGAGGGATATTGAAAAAGATGCCTCTGTAGAGAAGGACAGAGCTTGGTGAAGTTCGAGCAATGGAGGAAGTTGTTTTGTCCTGGGGGGGTTTGTCGGGGAAGATGACCTCGGATGGCCTGAGGCACACAATTACTGTTTCGGGCGCATCCTCACATTACAACTTCAAGGAGAGAAGGATGGAATGAGTAAGATAGATTTTCGGGTTATGAATAAGGCTTTCATGTACAGTTTTATCCATAGCCATTTGAGTTGGGGTATATCGCTTCATCACAACAATTTGAAGAATAATCCAAACCGGCCTCCTTCCAAGAGGACTCCCACCAACGCCTTCATCCTAACCATTTGTCCAAGAAAAGGGAACCAGATGCAATACCGTCATCGCTCATCATATGCTGTAAAAACGAGGGAAAAAGTAGAAAAGAAGTGGAATCAGGGAGACGTCAGCCTGCTACGAGCTCGCTACCACGGGGGTCTTTCTCGCGACGTCTGTCGTAGTAGTCGTCCCGCTATTATCATCAGGCGCATCCGAAGCAAGCGGCGATATGTCTAGATTGACTTCGTTGAGGGGCTGAAAGATGTTTCCCTCAATAGGGCTGCTGATCTGGTCTCCCGTAGAAAATAGTCCGCCGCCGCGTGCTCCGCCCAGTGCATGGGAAATCATCTCTTTGATGCGCACATACTGATACTTTTTCTTCGTAGATATCAGAGTATGGGTGACCAAGGGTTGTGGGTGGGAACGGGAAATTGCTGCCATGACAGAATCTTTCTCTTCGTCTGAATCGACAGGGCCATTATTTTCCAGGTCATCCTGGAGTGGTGCATTTGCGTCGATGGCCGCCTCTGTAGTTATATTAGTCTCGTTTTCTTTCCCAAAAAAAAAAAAAAAAAGAAGAAAAAAACATACTCTGCTGACGGGCTTGGTTCTTCTTCTGATACGCTTGAAGCAGCATATCATAGGGCAAAGATCGTCCAGGAACCGCACGCTTCGCACCCATCGAGTGACTCTTACAAGTCAACGACCGCGCACACTGAGCGCCATTCGGCAGGGTAACACCGCACTGCTTCTCGACATCAACCGGACCCTTGGGCTTGGGCGCTTTCGGTTTCGGCTCTTCCTTCTTCTTTTTCTTCTTCGGTTCCTTGTCCTTGTTGTCGTCGTCCCCCTCGGCCTTGCGCTTCTTCCCTTTCTTCGTTCCATCCTCCGCCATGCCCTTGACGGCACTCTTCTTCGCGGCGCTCTTTTGCGCCTTCACCGACTCCTCGCCATCGCCTTTGTCACCGACACCATCATCGTCATCGCCGTCTTTGTCGCCGGACCCCTTCTCCTTGGCGCGATTCGCCGCATCCCGCGCCTCCTTCTTCCGCCGCGCCTTCTCCTGTTTCGCCCGGATACAGCCCCGGATATGCTCGACGGCGTTCTGCTTGAGGACCGGCCTCTTGCATGTCTTACAAATCACCGTCTCGAGAGTATCTTCCTCCCGTGGCTTCCCCGTAGGAAACGCCGCCATTGTTTTCTCATCGATCTCCGGGAGAATCGGCGACGACCCGGGGGAATCAGGGGCATCTTTCTCTTGCGCTGCAAACCCCGATCCCAGTTAGACAGGTATCTTTCCAGAAAGAAGGGAAGGGAAAGTCCACCGCCCATCCTCACCCTTCTTTTTCCCGATCTTGGCGGATTTCTTCAGCTTGATCTTTCCCGGCTTGCTGTCCTTGTCGGAGAACTTGTATCCCGACGCGTTCACGAGGCTGCCCGACTTCGACGCGGCCGTGGAAGCTACATCGGTCCATACTTTGTTAACACAGCTCGTGATGTGGTGTGGTGTGGTGCTGGGCCCAGGACTCGGGGGGGGAGTACATACCTCGACCGGCGTCACCGTTTGAAGGCATAATCACAGCGCTACAGGCGGGTGTGCCCCCCAACACTCGATTCGAAAATAAAGGAAGAAGGAACGTAAAATAAAACTAGAGTCAAGATCTATTAGAGTAAAGTCGACAATCAAAAAGAAAAAAAAAAGCCGGGTTGAAATGGTGGGTGTTTCCGGTCGCGATGAACTGTAGTTGCCAAGAGATGATACAGAGTCCGCATCAGGGTGTCACGTGCAGGCTTGTCTGGTCTTATATATAAACTGAAAGAATTCTGGGTTTAGTTATGGAATGAGATTACCTGGATTTGCTAATGACAGCTGCATAGTTTGGTGGTGAATGTGTTACTATTTACTTGCCCTATTATACGCTCTCCTCTACTGAATAGATATTAGATAGTGATTGTGAGCCTGTAATGTGATGTGTAACCATGGCTCAAGTATATAGTCCTGATTTAAGCTTATTGATTCCTCTACAGAATATTATTATCCGATAGTGAATGAGTAACACATTTCAGCTGAACTCAATTAACTTGATATATGTACATGTATTTTACAACTGTGAATATTATTATACACTTAGATGTCAGGTCGAGAGAAACAGAGACTGCTGTTTGTCCCGCCAAAGCCAAAGCTATTGGTCAAGGCGACATCGATACGGCGCTCCTGTGCTTGATTCGGGGCGTAGTTGCAGTCGAATCCATCCGCAAGGCGCTCTAGGTTGATCGTTGGGGGCATAGCATTCTAGGACCAACACGTCAGCCAAGATCTAGCACATCCTAGCGAGGATGGTGTATACGGTTTAAAACTCACCTCGCTGATAGCAAGAACGGTGAACAGCGCCTCAATAGCCCCCGCACCACCAAGTAAATGCCCCACAGCTCCCTTTGTGCTGCTGATATTCACATCGGACGCATTTTGCTTACCACCCGGACCCAGGAGGAGGGCCTTGATCGCTGCGTTTTCCGCCGCGTCTCCGACGACAGTCGATGTCGCATGCGCATTCACATAGTCAACAGCCGAGGGCTGGAATTGAGCGTGCTTCAAGGCCTTTCTCATGGCTAGAAGTGCTCCCTCGCCGTTTTCCTTGGGGGCTGTCATGTGGTGTGCGTCGCCAGAGCAGCCGTAGCCTCTTAGTTCGGCATAGATACGAGCGCCTCGAGCTTTTGCATGTTCTAGTTCCTAAAAAGCAGGTTAGCGAAAACTGCTTTCGTTGACGTCTGAGTTGTTATTAGAAAGAAAAAAAAAAAAAAAAAAAAAAAAAAAAAAAAAAAAAAAAGGCAAGTTAGTACCTCTAAAACTAACATAGCTGCGCCTTCCCCAACAACGAAACCTTCGCGATCTGCATCGAATGGTCGGGAGGCTTTCTCGGGGGTATCGTTATAGCTTGTTGCGAGGCTGCGCGCTCGAGCGAACCCGCCCACAGCCAGTGGATGTATACAGGACTCTGCGCCACCCGCAAGCATCACATCTGCGTCCCCAAAGGCAATGAAGCGAGCGGCATCGCCGATGGAATGTGCTCCGGTGGTACATGCAGTGGTGGCGGCATGATTGGGGCCCTAACGGGAATCAATATCTCATGGACTAAGAAGCAAAGGATTCAGCCTACCATAAAGCCATACTTCATGGAGATATGGCCGGCCCCCAGATTGATCAACAGCTTTGGCACAAACAGGGGTGACACCTTTCGGTAGCCCTAACGGATGTTCAGATTAATTCGCCACGTCTCGAATAGATTTGAGAACGAACCCCCTTCTCATATGCTACGACCGTATCATAAATCTCATCAAAGTTCCCGATGCCGGATCCTAAGCAAATACCCTACCATGACTCGTTAGTGCAGGCAGCTTTAAATGGGATCGAACAGTCTCGAACAAAAAAAAAAAAAAAAAAACCTACTGTCGCCTCTCGTCGATCAGCCGCGGTTGGCTTCCACCCCGCATCCTCCAAAGCCTCTTCCGAAGCAGCCAAGGCGAACTGGGCGAACCGGGCCATTTTCCGCTCGTCCTGTCACGCATTAGTATAGCGCACTCACTCTCATAACCCCAACCAAACCAGAGTTTATGATTAGATTAGGAGGTATAGGTATACTTACATCTCTACTCAACCACTCCGAGGCAGTCCATTTCCCATCTTGCCGCAAACCCTGGGGAACAACCGCAGCAATCTGACACGGTAGGTCCGCGAACCTCGCATCACGCGGTTTGACATTCACAACGCCACAATGGCCATCTAAGAGACGTCTCCAAGTCCGCCGCACTCCTGCCAATCACGAGAGCTTAGCAAACGAGTGGGGGTAAATAACAATCAAAAAACCGAGTACATTGTGTGTGTGTGTGTGTGTGTGTGATATGACGGGGTATCGTGTCCAGCTACCTTCCCGGGAATCTCTCCATGACACCAGCGAGCTTTGTCGCAGACCTTCCTCTTCTGGAAGTGGAGACTTGCGAGACGGGGGAGAAGACGGAGAACCCGCCTTATTGGGAGGACATTTTTGGTTTTTTTTTTTTTTTTTTCAACGTTTCTCGTAAGGGCACCATAACAGTAATCGTCTTATCTGGGATCTTGCAGGCGGAAGAAATGCTATCAATACTTACTTACCTACTCCTAGAGGGGTCACCGCACCAAGTCCTGTTACAACAACTCGCCGCATGGCATCTTGTTGTTGAGGTTATTCAGGTGAAGAACTTGGACGGGAGACACCAATCGACGGGGGAAAAAAAAATATGAAGCAAACCCGAGGTCCAAGTTAGCAAGAGCACAGCTTGCAATGAGGAGAATAATAATAATAATAACAATAGCAAAGTAATGTAATAGTTAATAATAGTCATAACAAAATACAACAGCAGAACGACGAGATGTTGAATTGGAGATGGATGACTAAGATGGCCGGAAAGGGAAAGTCCGAGCGATGTCATGCAGCCAGGCACCAAGGCAGCCAATGAGAAGAGTCTCTGCTATCGATAAGAGATGGATCGCAATACCGACTGTGACGGTATTGACTGTATTATATCCAGCATGTATTATTCCACGGTATATATATTCCTATCTATCTTTCTCTTCTTTTTCGCTCTCTTCCTCTCACTGAAATCCCTGTGGCTATTAGATCTGTTGCACAATGAAGCTGACCTCGGTTGGTGTGCTGGCCTTGGCTGGAACTGCCTTGTCCCATGCCCACCATGACCATGACGAAAGCATTCCCCAGCATGTCCGAGAAGCGTTGCTCCAGAAATGGAATCAAGAGGTGAATCCCTGCTCTGGAAAATAAATATCAATGGGCTAGAAATTGAGCTTGAGCTAACTATCACAGTGGACGTTCTCTGGAATCGCCAGCTTCGCTCATCTGAAGCCTGTCAAGTGTCTGATTGAACCGGACGAGCGATACGATATCGCTATCATCGGGGCTCCATTCGACACCGCCGTTAGCTACAGACCAGGTACGTACTATACCAAACAAACTACTACTATATATATATATATATATATATATATATATATAAATACCTAGTATACTAATGTAACAAATATAGGAGCTCGCTTCGGTCCCCGTGCCATCCGCGCCGCCAGTGCCCGCCAAATGGCCGGAACCGCATACAACACACGCGCCGGCATCAACCCGTACAGCTCCTGGGCCACGATCAAAGACTGCGGCGACATCCCCATCACACCGTTCGACAACGGCCTCGCCGAACGACAAATGTACGAAGCCTTCCTGGAGCTGGGCACGCGCGCGCCCATAACAACCACCCCAGCAGCCACATCATCCGCGCAAGGCGGCAGCAAGGGCATTTCCGCGGGCAGGGCCAAACTGGTCACGCTGGGCGGAGACCACAGCGTGGCCCTGCCTGCGCTTCGGGCACTGTACCGGATCTACCAGAAACCGATCACGGTGCTGCACTTCGACGCGCACCTGGACACGTGGAACCCCGTGCGCTACTCGGCCTACTGGCAATCGGAGCAGTCGGCCTTCAACCACGGGAGCTTCTTCCACAGGGCCAGCCGCGAAGGGTTGATTTGCAACGCGACCTCTGCGCATGCCGGTCTTCGCACCCGGTTGACCGGCGTCGATGATGCCGACTACACTGCCCCCGGACCCGAGCAGGGATTCATGCGTATCCATGCCGACGACATCGACGAACTCGGCGGCCCCATGGGCGTCGTGGACGCGATCATCCGGCGGATCGGCCTCGACCCTGAACAGCCCGTTTACCTTTCCGTGGACATTGATGTCTTGGACCCCGCCACTGCCCCTGGAACCGGCACCCCCGAGCCCGGTGGCTGGACTACCCGCGAGTTCATTCGGATCCTCCGTGGACTGGAGAAGTTGAACATTGTCGGCGCCGATATTGTCGAGGTGTCGCCTAGCTATGATAACAATGCCGAGACCACTGCGCTGGCCGCTGCACAGATCGCCTACGAAATCATCACGAGCATTGTCAAGGCCGGAGCTGCTGAGAATCTGGGCGGGTGGTATGGACGCAAGGAGGTGCCAGAGTCGGTGTACAAGGACGAACTGTAAATGAGATATGAACCATATGGACCAACCAATCTATGTTCGATAAAATCAATTATATAAAAGTTTTTCTTTAATTATCGGTCGTCACCCGCCAAGGTATCTATCTATCTGAAGAAAGGGGCCCCCTTTCCATCAATCGCCCCCACTCGAGAGCGATAGCGCTCAATAATGTGGGTTATTTCTTCACCAAGTCCAAATTATCTCATCCAACCTTCAGTAAAGCCGAAAAAGCAACCTCCACCTGGTGGTAAACCGTGGATCAAATACTTTGGTCATCATATTCCATGTATCTGTGCTATCTAGTCCATGTCCCGTATCTTGGAGGATCTTGGAAACTTAAAATGGCACAGTAAATCTGTTAGACATGACAACAAATCGAGGGCATAAAGAATCAGATCAAACCAGAAGCCAACCAAAACAGGACGCCTCGACTTCCAACGCCGATTCAGACGATGAGAGTTGTTAAGAAAGGAAGTGAAAATGGACAGGGAATGAAAGGGCGGGTGTGGAAAGAGCGCGCAAGGTAATTGGGAATAGGGCAGGGTTCCTAAGCAGGGGGATTGGGTGGAGCATGAAGCAGGATAAAGGGGCCCAAGGGGGGAGGGGGGGAAGAAGCCGGCGCGGGATGATGTGTGTTTGTTGATACAACAGTTGTGTGTGGCAGTTGCAGAAAAATGTATAATAAAAGGCCATATAAAAAGCAAGGATCGAACGTGGCTAGAAGCCTAGATAACAATCACCATGCAAAGATCCATCCACGGGCAAAGCGCAAGATCTCAGTTGGGTCGCCAACCAAATCGGGAAGCCGAGTAGATTCGCAATTCTCCATATCATTCAAATCAAGCACGATCTAAATATCTCGGGCTGCCGGATATCACTGATACATCTGCTAAGAGCGCCAGGTGTTAAAAAAAAAAGAGCGCCTATGCGGTTGGCGACTTAAGGGGAAGTGTACTAACCCGTTCCACAGGGGAGCTGTTTCGATTACAGCAAAACACACCTCGACCTCTTTTTAGGGGCAGGCTCAAGCGCAGCGACGATCGCCTATATGAATATCGGTCAGTATATGTGCTGAAGCGCTACCCGACAATCGCAGCCACTCACCTCATCGAATACGTCCTTGAGTTTGTACTGGGTCAACGCGGAACATTCTACATATTTGACGGCACCCAAATCCTTAGCCATGCGATCGCCATCTTCTTTGCGGATCGGCTGCATCTTCTGGCGAGAAAGTTTCTCGCGAACAGCGGGGTCATCACGAAGATCGGTTTGCGTTCCGACGATCAGGCAAGGAACTCCGGGGCAGTGGTGGTGGACCTCAGGGAACCACTTCTCGCGCACGTTCTCAAAAGAAGCGGGAGATGTCACGGAAAAGCAGACCAGGAAGACGTCGGTCTGGGGATATGAGAGAGGGCGGAGGCGATCGTAATCCTCTTGACCGGCGGTATCGAATAGACCTAGAGTGTAAGGCTCATCTCCGATCCTATCGCAGGGGGATCAGATTAGCAACGAATAGAACAAGTCGCAAGCAAGTGTGAACTTTAGTATTTATCTTCTCGAGTATTCAAGTCCGGATAAATATCAAAGGTGAAGCCGGTCGGAACGTTGTTGAGGGGGTCCCAGGAGGGGAGCTCCCAGAAGCTTGATGCGAAATGCGGCATCACGCCCAGCAAAAAAACAAAACAACAACAACAACAACAAAAAAAAGAGATAAGTTCAGTAGATTCTACTTACATGACTGTCACAGCATAATTATCAAACACAGTTGGCACATATTCTGAAGGGAACTTGTTTGTTGTGTATGAGATCAGGAGGCAGGTTTTGCCAACGGCACCGTCACCGACAACGACACACCTATAAACACCATACTCACGCGGTTAGCAAGCGGCCTATAAACAAGAGAAGCAAGGGTTGGTCGATACACCCCGAAAAAGGGGGTGTAGGAGAAGAGGAGGAGACGACGGGGGTTTGAAGGAGATCGAAAGAACAATGAGATGCGGAAGCAAAAAGAGACGGACGTACTTGATAGTTGCCACAACCATGTTGGGAATCTAGGAGGAACTGATGCACTCGGAGGGGGGGAAAGAGTTGAGAATAGATAGAGAGGACGCTCGAAATGCTATCTGAACCCGAGACAGGCAGGATAGGAGACAGGAGCGGTGAAGAGGAGCAAGATCGAGTGTCGGGAGGGAGGAGAGATGGAGAAGAGATGGCGGAACGGGAAATCAGATTAGGGGGGAGGGACGGAGATGAAGGGAGGTGGATGAGGAAAAGAGAAGGTGGATCGTGCGGTGTATGAAGTGATGTTAGAGACCAAAGTGATGCGGATGATGGGTGATGATCAAGGGACGGAGGAGGCAGCCAATGTGGGAGATTCGAGGCGGAGAAGGAGGCCAGAATTATTGCCAGGTCGTCGAAGGAAGGAAGCTGCTGGAGGAAGCCGAGTCTAGGTTTTGGTGGTGTTGCTTGCCAGCGGATAAGAGACGAGGGAGTGGGATTCCCGCACTGTTGGCTTGGGTTAGTTAGTCCGGGCCTTTTTTGTTCATTTCATCACAGTCACAACTAGCTCGCTTTTTCATTTCTTTCATGTACTGACTTCCACTTGCCCCTGCAATCTTCCAGAAAACTTTGAAAAAAAAAAAAAGGAATAATAATGATGTGATAGCCCAGGACTAATGACTCTGTATTCAAGAAGAAGAGAGAGAACTGGAACTCACCACAAAGTAGTCAATGCTTTGGAATCTTGCGTATTTATTGTTGTCAATCTTCCAACTCCTCTATTCCGTCCTCAGTGATCTCGTCTAGGAGAAACCTCTGATGAATTTCTCAAAAGGAGGGGCAAGAAAGGTAATGGAAGGTTTGCGGCACCAGTTCAGAACGTTCTCTGGAACTGGGAGGACGGAGGACTGGTCGAGAACCACGATTCTACAGTGGAACCCGGGAGTACGAGGAAATACTCTCGAAGACTCAATTGTAAGATGAAAGGAAGACACCACAGCCGATGACAGTGTGAAAGAAATGAAATAAAGGATGGAAGGAGAAGAAATAGAGAGAGAGAGAGAGAGAGAGAGAGAGAGAGAGAGAGAGAGAGAGAGAGGAAGAGAGAGGGGAGAGAGATCTCAAATCATCATCGAGAACCCGTCTCCCCAGACAGACTTCTACCACTTTTTACCCAGCAAGTAGTTACCTAAAGTAGGAAAAGAAGGGAAAGAAAAGAAAAGAAAAGAAAACGTCAAACATTTCAATCCCTTATAGTTACTACATCCACGCACCAGTAATCTTCAGGATGTCCAAAGGCGCCGTTTTACTTGTTCGCGTATGCGCCAGAGAGGCAGCCATGGTTACAGATGACTTATAATAGTAACTAATAACTAACTACTACACAGTGATTCCGATCCAGGTACTCCGTACATATCCATGTAATAAATAAATCCCCACCAAGTTTCATCCTTCCGGCAATTCGTTTGGGGAATGGCGCCCATTTGAAACGACGGGTCTTGCCTTCCGTTTTGGAGCTCCCGACGAAGCCCATTTATGAGTGCACTCCTATACACTTATCTACTACTTACTACTACCTTGGCACCGGGTAAAAATGGGCGTGGAATATGAGTCTATTCTTGCTATCGATTCCCTTCTCTCTCTCTCTCTATATATTCACATGTACCCTTCTCAAAACCACGTCAAAGCAAAGTAACAAATACGCCGAAAAAAAATGCTTCCTGTAAAACGCTATTATCCGCTCAAATCTGTATAAGTTCAGGTGTCACTTCCCAGCCCCGTCACAAGGGACGATCTGGGATCAATCTCAAAGCATGCACCGTACGCACGAACCGGATGACATTGTGTCATAAAAATGGCAATATATACAATAAACGATACGTCGGGGGAATCACGAAAAGCAATGCAAGAGAAATACGAGCTGCAGCGATGCCAAATCAAGTAGAGGGTTATTGAATCAACAAACGACGAGGACCTGCAGCGCCGCTCAAATTCACTTCGACTGATCTGTAGGGTCGGTCTCATCATCTACTGGGAGCGGTGCATAATTCGGCGATTCGCTCATCTGCTCCGATTAGCTTCAAGAATCCCTCTTCCAGCTCAATGAACTCACCTTATCTAGCTTATAGTTGGACATGAGAAGACTCAAGGGAATTAGCGGAACGGTAGCGACTAGAGCCAAGACCAGTAACTTGTTCATCGTCTCCTGGTACGATCGGTTGATGGCAATCCTGACTGGCGTGCCCATGTCATAAGACAGCGCTTTGGTTAGCTTTCCAAAAATTTCCTGAGCTTCAGACTTGTGCCCGTCAGGAAGGTAAAGTTCAAGTTTCCGTGGGATGTTGTGGCTCCAGACAGCCCCAGAAATCGCGGCGCCTACGGCACCACCCATCTCCATGGCTGTGAGAAACATGGCGGTTGCCGCAGCGACTTCCTGGTGGCTGGCCGATGCTTGAACGCCCAGCTGAACGGGGACATTGAGGAGCCCGCCGCCCATGCCCACAATGACCTGTGTCCCTAAAACCTGCACCATTGAACTACCTTCTGTGCGGTACAGCAACATCAACAGCAAGCCGAGCGTATAGATTACGCAGCCGACCGTCACATAGATCCGGTACCGACAGGTGTACTTGATCAAGATCGAAACACCAAATGCAGCGATAGTTGACGTAAATGCGAACGTTTGAGTGATACGGCCAGCCGTAGCGACGTCGTAGTTTTGCACAACCTGCAGGTAAGAGTAGAGGTATGGTTGGACCGAAAAGTAAAAGGCCACTATGAATTGTTAGCGGGGTGCAATGTTCGCATAGCCTAACGCTTGGGGGAACGTACTAAAGTAGAAGAACGCCAGGCAGCATCCAGCAAGTGCTGTACGTTGCTTGAGGAGATGGAGGGACAGAAGAGGCTTCGGGGCGAGCTTTTTCGAGGTTTCCCATAGGGGTAAAAGGAAAAGGCAAACAATTCCGATGACGATCATCGCAATTATGCTACTGCTTTTCCACCCATTCTTGGAATTTGCTGCAAGCGTGAGAGGAACTAGGATCAATGTGACCGCTGCGGAGAGCAGGGTCAAGCCGAACACATCGAGATCGTACCAAGAGCGACGGAGGATGGCTAAAAATCCGCGTCGGTGAGTCGGCCGCTCCTTTATCAAATTCAGACGCTTAGCCTTGCGTTGATTAAGTAGCAACGAGAGAGCGAGCGGAAGAAACGAAGCGGGCAAAATAATCGACCACATCCCGTAGCCCCAGCGCCATGAGCTGTGGTGGAGCACTGCGTCGGCAATCGTGGGACCTATCCAAACCGTAACAAGGAACGGTAACTCGGGAAGGAGGGCAAGAAGCGCCCTGTTGAGGAGGCTACTACTATCTGCGATGAACACCTGTTGAAGAATTTGCAAGCCCGTAGAGCCAGCAGAGTAAAAGATCTGGGCAGAAGCGTATGTCTGGACATTCGTTGACGCGGCCATTTGGATATATCCGAGGACGTAAATCAGAATGCAAACACAAAAAGCTTCGAAGCGACCAAATACATCAGCTATTTTGGCCATCGGGGGTTTAATAACAGCTAAGAAGGATTAGTTGACAATATACAACTTCAGGGAAGATCAGCTTACCGTTAACGACATTCTGGACCACAAGGACCGTAGAAATCAAAGAATGTTTACTAAATGCACTCGTCGCATAAGCGGAGAGTGACATGATGGTTTGACCTTCCAAAGAGGTACAGAATGCCATGAGAAAGATGCTAGAGCCAAGTTAGAACAACCTCGAGTACAGTACACCCATGGACAGTCGGAGGTTACATATACACACCTAACATAGGCGATCACTAAAGACTTCGTTGTCCATGTAAGATTGATTGCTTCAATCTTCCTAACACCTTCCTGTACCGAATCCACCGACGTTATCGCGCTACTACCATCGTCGCACTCATAAGCCTCCTCGGGAAGGAGGCGTTCCCCCTGGTCCTCAGTATCTTGTCGCATGTTGTCGAATGTACCATATGCGGATCCGCCGGGTTCAGGTATGGGCATTGCGGCTGGGTCAGCAATAGTGGCGGGGAACGGCACGATATCAACCGGTTTCGAGAAACGTCCATTTATTGTGATAGCTGTTCCAAAGTCGTTTTTGCCTCGAAGAGGAGTGCGAGAGGTATATTAGACGCTAGAAAATTTGACGAGATAATAAAAACAAGGAAGTAGCGCCCGAGTGTCAGAGCAGGGGAGACACGCAGTGAAATACCTCAGCGGACAAAGAGGACTATTTGAGATCTGAGCCAGCCAGATCCACTTTAGGAAAAAGGAATATACAGCCAACGAAAAGGGATATCTTAGTGGAGGAGGAAACAAAAAAGCAACCGGACTGGAGACGAAACGAGGCCAAGCGCAGAGCACGCAGTCAACTTCAGCTGTTTCGGGTATCGAAAGAGTACATTGACGGAGGAGATATAACGAGGCTATGACTAGTGAAGCGTGAGGTGCACAGACATGCGTGGATCGGAAGATCTGTCGTACAAGAAAGGAACCCGGATTTGGGAGAGGTTGGAACTTGGAACTTTGAACAGCCAGTCTTCACACCACACCACACCAGTCAAGACCCACGATCGACAAGCAATACCTATGCACGTCGACGTTGGAGGCAGTCAGGATTAGCCTATAGGCTTGACGCCCAGTGTGGTAGTGCGGCACCCGATGCACCGGCAACCTAGGATAGGATAGTCGGTAGTATTGTAATATCGAGGGCTTCGAGCAGCTTAACGTCTAATGATGGTGGGGAAGGAAGGGATATTTGCAGAAATTTTTGAGAACACCAACCCTCCTTCAGCCGCCTGGATGGTCGGGTTGGAATGCAGGGCGATGCAGGTCGCAGCGAGGACTCGAAAAAGCTGGTTGTGAGAGGTTGTGGTGATGAGTGGCAAAGCACCGAGAGATCCCTCATTACTTGAAGAGTCACACTGGATTAAATACGGCTCGGTAATCTGGATACATAAAGCCACAATCCAAATGCCCGCGATTCCAAGGCACGTGATACTATTACTGGTCCACTGTAAAACACCAGATTCCTTGATTAGGCCCACCTCATGTCAGCCTAAAGATACAAGACCCTCCATCGTTGAAATATCCGAATGAATTTAGTGTTGAACCAGTTTTGCACTCGTTAAATCATCCTCATAGATTGATCCAAATAAATAGTCAAGTATTCTTGCAGACGCCAAGAACGCTGACTCTTGAAGATGCATTGGCATCCAAGCTAAAATCGCTAGTGTTACCAGGGTGCGCAGTGGGTAAAAGAATCAGATAAGATCACCTACTCGTCGAAAGATAGCCCCATCTTCAACAAAATTATTGTATAAATATAATCGAAAAGTGTATTCAAATCTATATGTAAACCAGTATTCAAAAGATAGAGAAAGAAACAATGAAAAGAAAGAAAGTATGTCTCGAGGTTCCCTCCTTGCAGGAGAGCGAGCGACCGGGTACTGTACTTGGGGTTGCGCATTTCGAAACCAAGAATGTTGGCTTGGTGTAACTCCGTATTAAAGACTAATGCTGTTGACTCCATACCACCGGGATCTCCCGCTAATTAGAGTCTTCTAAGGAATTTTCATCCTACTAAGAAACTGTCCTACTTAAGAGGTACCCTGACTCGCTCACATTATGCTAGTTCTGCACCCAAAAAGAAAGCGCGAGAGCCGCGATGCCCAGCGTGGGAATTCTTCCTATTCCTGGTGAGGGAATTCAACACGACCTGTGTATTAGACCTCGTCTTCGAGGTATCAGATCTATCAGTTGTATGCGCGATTTTCTGGAGAATATTCATCATGCCAATGGTGGCTCACTTTTGTATTATTCGGGGTCATACTCTGTACATTGTAGAGGATACGCACACATACGATTGGACACACTTGAACATACCTCTGCGCTGTTGAAATAGAACACCATCTATTCATCTTCATTGCCCCAAATTTGTTACACCACTACACATTATATTGGGTACAATCAAGACGCTGCACTCAATCAATACTGTTGACAATGGTTCCAGAACAACAAAGATCAATCTCCTCAACCTCTCGCTGTTTATTCAAGAAAGAAAAAAAAGACCTAGATCACTCACTATATATGACATATTCAAATGCATAGCCAACATATCATGACTAATGCTCATCCATTTTACGAATCATGATAACAATAATAAAGTGCAAACAGGGACACCTAAATCTTCGTGGGCTCGGTCACATCAATCACCACGGAGGCAAAATTGACCACTAGGTCTCCGCCTTCACTCGAGGGTTTTGCTGCATACACGCCAATCCAGCAGTCGGTGACATCCTGCTCCTCAAAGACCCAAGTGACCTCGCGAATGGGGGACTTTTGAACCCCCTCTACCAGGTATATCCACAGGCTATTGTCCTGCTCTTTGTTAATCTCTATCGTTGCGGCTCCACCGCCCGATGGCACAGGGAACAAGCTCCAATCCGCCCATCGGTCCTTAGCGACAGTGCTAAGATGGGGTCTGCCGTGGGTGAACTCAATTCCCGTCTTGACCCATTTCCGGGTTCCATCGGCGTGGTTGATGACGAGAATAAGTCCACCTTGGTCATATTGATGCCTCCAGCAAGCGGAGAAAGCGACTCGAGCACGCTTGAACGAAGCTAGCGGGACAGATCTGTACAGAATGGGGGCGTTGAATCGCTCAGTCGATGGGGGTTTGGACCAGATGTCGGTCGAGGGAGGGGCATTTATCGGAAACTCTGCGGGGAGAGCCCCGTTGCCGGGGACCTTCGCTGAGGAGTTGGCGAACTTGAAGTCTGTCATTTTGGACAGTACTTCGGGCCACAATTTGAGAGGTGTTTATATAAACGAGAAGGGAAAGGCGTGCAAAAATAAATGGGAAGCCACCAATCCACCGAATATAACAATTCCGCAAAGCGAGACTGCATGCGTGCCAAAAAAAAAAAAAAAAAAAAAAAGAGAGGGAGAAGAAAGGTTGGGGAGAGCGTTCAAAGTGGGCGGAAGAAGCAATCGCCTACGTCACTTGAACTAGAGCTCCACCACCGCCTTCATGTTAGACTTTCGACTCACATGAAGTTAGGACTCTTCGAGGCCTCGGTGAGATTAGGAAGAATATCAAAAGAAAAGGGCGGGTTGGATTTGAAACAATTCTTCTAAGATTGCAGCTGCTGCGAACAGTGCTAGCTGATTGTCGGGGGTGGGGGGAATCCACCAAACCTCTTACCATGCTATACTCTGTAGAATTTATACTAATTATGGTCTGGCGGCACCAGACCAAACCCCAATTCTTCGGGTTGGGGAAGACTGTCACATGAATACTTAGTCTATAATACCAAGATATTGTAACATATGGAGTATGTCTTAGATTCTACCCGTTAGTCGGCTGCTTTTGCCTAGCAGGGCGTTATCGCCTGGTATGAGTATACAAGCCCTCTAAAGCTCCGCGGAACCATCCGTAGACAACATGTGGAATAAATTTCCAACTGATCAAATTGTTCAATTGCAGAAATCGGTATTTCTGACTTTGGGCAATTCGAAAGCTAGCGATAGGACCATAAAATGCAGAGCGCCATGTGATTGCATCGATGGTTGTGAAGTACCTAGACGCGAGACCCTCCCTTGATGGGCTACCCCCCTCAAGATATCGAATTTCAGCTATAGAATATATATCCCGATCAACGGCGGTTAGAGAGCATAAAGCCAAGGGATCTTCGAGGGAAATATTCGCAAGGTCTTCATGGTACCGAAACCGCCCAGCTGGAGGGCTCAAACCGTACTGACTATAGTAACACGTGGAGACATCACATCAAAGCAGCTGGTATTCTGCAGCGAATTGAAGTTTCGTATCCCTCGTTGTCCCTCTTCAGGGATGAGACGGCGGATCTATAGCGTATCAAGTTTAGATGTCAGAAAAAGATGGGACAGAGCATCTTTAAAGCATACATTAGTGAAGACCCAATATGCAATATGATTCACAAATCAGAAACCCATCGTTACTTGTAGGTCTGAAGGCTTCCAGTTCAAGAAACATTGAGTAGCAGTACTCCGTATTGAAGGCTGCATTGCATGCCTGTGCTGTGTGCAGGATAATATGGTAAATCTTTCGGTTGGTCCGCCGATCAATGTAAAGTGGCTTGGCGATGGAGCCGGCTGACATAAGCTTAACCCTGAGCTAAGATAGAACTCCCTGAGATATTTATTTTGCTTCGACGGAGCTCCAGGATGCTGAATCTGGGTACTTATTAACCGATAAATCAAGCTGCTAAGGAATGGGAGAATTAATTTCTTCCCCTTCCTCGCCCTAGTCAATCTCTCCATCATGTCGTCCCGACTTCTTCATCCGGATGAGTACGAGTTAGATGCTCGGTCTTCTATTGACTCGCAGGGAACATTCAATCTTGACGAAGCGGATTTTGAGTCACAATCTATCCCCAGACCGCGACGACTGTTACATAAAGTGCCTCTGCTATCACGCTTTTTCACTTCGCCTTACTCCGGGTACCGTCGCCTGAAGCCTTCCAGACCCCGACTTCTCCTCTCCGGATGGAAGCGGCCAAACTGCTACCGACGCCTACTGTTACGACGCGCATGCCTCTATCTCCATGCTATCGGTGGCATTATCCTCGCCCTTGTAGTCCTGACATCTATTTTCCGACCTTCATATACCCGACCACCAGCACACTACCGCACGCTTCAAGACAGCATCTCCAAATCCACAACATCGGGTCGAGGCAACCCCCGTAACGAGAAGATATTCATCGCTGCGAGCTTGTATGACCGTAGTGGAGATCTTGCTGGTGGACAATGGGGTGAGAGGGTTCTCCAATTAGTCGACTTGCTTGGAGAAGAGAATGTATATCTGAGTATCTATGAAAATGATAGCGGAACCGCTGGCGCTGGCGCTTTAGTGGAGCTGGAGGCGAAAGTCAAGTGTAACAAGTCGATTGTGTTCGAGGACCAACTGGATTTGAATACCCTGCAGGTCGTGACTGTCCCTGGCGGATCGAAACGAATTAAACGCATTGAGTACTTGGCTGAGGTCCGGAACCGAGCCCTACGACCATTAGACGACCATCCTGAGATGCGATTCGACAAGTTGCTTTACCTTAACGACGTTATATTTAATCCTATTGATGCTGTTCAACTTTTGTTCTCCACTAACGTGGACGAGAATGGAATTGCTCGGTATCGCGCGGCCTGTGCGGTCGATTTCATCAACCCATTCAAATTCTACGATACCTATGCTACCCGCGATTTGCAGGGCTACGGTATGGGCCTGCCCTTTTTCCCCTGGTTCTCCAATTCTGGTCAGGGCCAGAGTCGGAAGGATGTTCTATCTGGGACGGATGCTGTGCGGGTTCGCAGTTGCTGGGGTGGAATGGTTGCCTTCGATGCTCGATTCTTCCAACTTCCGACATCAGGGCCCGCAGAACAGCACCCTGCCCGCTTCCGTGCATCACAGGATACGTTCTGGGAAGCCTCGGAGTGCTGTCTCATCCATGCAGATATCCAACCGGCTGCGTTCAATGTCGAGGAGATCACAGATTCGGGGATCTATATGAACCCATTCATCCGCGTTGCTTACGACAGCCGCACTCTTTCCTGGTTGGGAACTACTCGTCGATTTGAGAAGCTCTACTCTTTTATTCACAATCTGGGGAACCATTTGGTTGGCCTGCCTTGGTTCAATCCCCGTCGAACCGAAGTCCCCGGTCAGACCGTTACTGAGAACGTTTGGGTTCCGAACGAAAATGAATCCGAAGGTGGCTCTTTCCAAGATATTGAACGAGTGGCTGCGAACGATGGCTTCTGTGGCCGTCGAGGTCTGCAGGTGATTGTCGAGCATCGTCAAGAGGGGCAGAAGGGCTGGGAAAGTATCCCTATACCCTCCTAAGCTGTGGCAGAATACGAGTTCTGCGCAGTATTATGTATTATCAGTTCACATTCTTGTCTTATACTCACTCCACCAAGGAATATATACCGCAAATATGCCTTTTGGGCAACATATTATCTCACCTCTGGCTATATTCACAACCCTGGCAGGCCCAGCAGATTTTAGCAGCAATTCCCGCAGCCCATGTCTGCCTTTCTATTTTACATTGAACAAAACACCTGGTGAATATGCACCAATACTTATTCTTAATCTTTGTGTTTCTAGGGTAAAAACATGGGGTAGCACTTCTCACTAATTAATTTACAAGTCTGCCTATACTCTTCCTCTTTCCCCTCTCCTTTCCTCTCCCTTGTATCTCTCGGTGTATCCCATCAAGTCTAGGGTTGTTCCTGGCTAGGCAATTGAATGCGTACTAAGACCTTGGGGGGAAAAATGGACCTTGAAAAACGGTTTGAAGAGCTCACTGGTATCAGTATTGCAGGCATTATCCACAGTGTCGTTGGAGTTGTGGCAGACAGGTCTTCTCATAGTCTGGAGGAAAGTCGTCATGCTCCTAAAAGTATAAGAGACAAGGTCAGTCTTCTTACCTCTTTCTTTTATTCTCCATTTCCTCTTGGTGTCCCTTCACTTTTATGAAAGAATGTGAAACTGAGACGTCATATAACACAACAGGCCTCCTGTAGTGTTGCTGGGGACAACACAAACTTCTCTCACTCTAAACCTATTCTCACTCCCCCCACTCCTTCTCCTCAACCTTCTTCCCCTCATCAACCTCGACTGAGCAAAGCATCAACCGCCATGGCCTTCGTGGCAGATGTTGATGACACTGCTGCCTTCATGGCGGCTGCTCGTGCGTTCAGGTTGGATAACAACTACGGCGGCTCAGCAGCACAGCCTAGCAACACGTTGAGCCATCAGGGCAGCTTCGAACATAATCCCGAGGAGGCCGCTGTCGATACGGCTAACGACGACTTCGCCTCTACATCTAATTACGAGCAAGCTCCAAGTAAGTGTTGGTACCAAAGCTGTTGAACGAACTGGGCTTACTTTTTTTCCCCTTTGTTCCTCGTGGCAGATTCTGGCGAGACGAGAATCGCGCAGCTAGAACCCTTTGATAATTCTGTCAACAGCAACACTCAAAACGCGTTTCTTGATTCGATTGATATTCTTCCCCAGAACAGTACGACAACTTCGGGTGCCCACACTCCTGTCACTGAAGGCAATGTTAAGCAAGAGGAAGACCGTGAAAACATGATTACTTTCTCAAGCTGGGGCACTCCGGCTGTTCGGGACAAGGCTGGTATTTCCCTCCTTTTTCTCTTGCTTGACTGGAGTATAGATTAAATTTAGATTGTCTTTAGCTGCCCAAGTCCGCCGGATCATCATCAAAGGCCTTCCTCCATCCTGGGGTGCTCCCGACAAGGTTTTGTCGTTGATTCATGGAGGTTTGATCGAAAATGTTTCCATTACTCCCTCTGGAAATGCACACGTGCTTTTCTGTGAGCATTCTGCTTGTAAGGCGTTTTATGACAAGTATCCCAACGGCATCGTTCTAGACAAGGAGAGAAAGCTCTCTGTATTCGTGGATATGGGCACCCAGGTTGATGTTGTGAGCTCAAACCTTAGTTTCAATCTTTCTGTCGGTTCGACGCGTGTTGTGCGTGCAGTGGGTGTGGATATGGAAATAACCATGACGAATCTCTTCGAAATTGCCAGCGCCAACAACCGCAGGGTCGAAAAGATAGTAGATACGTTTGTTCCTGGTTGTGTAAGTGCAGGTCCTTTGGCTCTTGACCGGATCTCTTACGATACTAATATATGCTCCAGCCTCGTATCGTCAACTTTCGTTTCTGCAGCATCGACGATGCAGTCCGTTTCCGTGCGGCTCTTGTTCGTAGTGAAGAATGGGAACATTGCAATGTTCAGTACACTACTGACCCGTAAGTTCTGGTCAAGTTCTACCTTCGCCCCAGCCGCCATTCATTCCCACTAAATCTCTCCAGTTGCGAGGTCGCTACCGGATATCACTCTGACTGAGTTTGGGTCGACTGAGACGACCTCTCTACCTTGCATAATCGCCTATGACCCCAGAATGATAAGAGCCATCTCGTTTGGATTCGCTCAGAGGTATTATGAAGAACCGGTTGAAGCGGGAAGCCGTGAATAGCGCCTATCATGTTGCAATGTCACTTTAAGCCAAGGAAGTTGAATGTAATTGTTATGCTTACTTCTACTAGGCCAATCCAACGCCAGAAAACTCACATTTTGTATGCTACCACTTGCAATCACATTCGTTGAAACCATGCCTCAAGCTCTAATATTCATAACCTCTCATGACTGGGCATTTCCTATAATATAATAAAATATATATATATATATGTAGATGTAGATGTAGATGTAGATGTAGATGTAGATGTAGATGTGGTCTGGGAATCTTTCCTGTATTCTAAATCTCGACAGTACGATACCATATATGACAATACACAACCAGACAAATCCCCAAGTGGAGCACGGAGCAAGTTGGACCCCCGACTTGTCCGTCTTTCTTCCTCTCCGACACAACTAAATTTTGCAACCACTCGAACAGAAACAAAGGTCCCAGATCCCGATCCCAAGCTAGACACAAAGACAGCCATTGCAAACCCCCGCTCTGGGAAAGCCGAAGAGAGGATCCAAATTCTAACTTGAGGATGATGAGTGATTTTTCCATTCCCCCCCCTCCCCTCTCTTACCTACATAAGTTTTGGGTTTGGATCCTGTGGGGGGCACAACTCGCTCACTCACTAAATAGGTACATACGGAGTACTATCGAGTATGGACTCATGAGAAAGAAAGAATAACCCGCAAATCCACCAGCCCACCAGCTCCAAAACTGAAGCGGTACCTCTCTTGCAAAGGGCCTAATGTGTCTAACCCAAGTTTTCATGCGCATGGCAGCGTGCATTTTTTGATTTGCTGACTGGACAAAGTCATTTGACAGGCTGCTTTATACCCCCCGAGAACGATACTCCGATGCAGGTGGATGGACGTGGACGACCGTTTTGGCAATTCATGGGTTGCAATAGCCCGACAACTATGGGAACTTAAGGTGGGGAGTGGGGAGGGGCCAAGTACGGAGATCCCCGATGAAGAACAAAGGATTTTCCTGCACAGATGTCAGAGAAAAGGTTTCATCTGGCTTGGATTTGAATACATCTTTTGAGTTTTAGGAAAGGGGGAACTGGCTGACTTGACTCCTTTGATTAAAATTTTAGGGGCTCTCTCGTGTCGCGACTAAATCGGATGTCTCGGCCACAATTCCCTGCAATATTTTTTTGGCCCATGCCATGACAGGACTGCCTCGGAAAGCAGGTACCGTATGACGACTCTGGATTTCCATCAGAAATGAGAATCCGAGGCTGGTGGACCAAGAAAAGCATCCAGACTCCTCTAACTCCGGGCAACCACTCCAGCGCAGGTTGACACATATGAGCTGATCCCAGCCCAGTATCGCTTCAAGCTACCCTATCACGGCGACACGCGAGGGAGGAATTAAATGAAAGATACGAATTCCTGGCAGAATAGCGCAACGCCGCTGCCCTTGTCCTGCGACTAGAATACTACCATCCTGACCCGACAGTCTGGATGAGAGTGTGATAGCCAGGCATTAGCATGCCGTAGCGTAGGTAAACCTTTAGGCAGTCCAACCCAGGATTTTTTCTTTTTTTTCTTTTCTTTTTTTTCTTTTCTTTTCTTTCGATTTCGTCTTGCCGACGTTCAAGAATAAGGCAGCCAAGCAGCAAGTTGATAGTGAAATTCAAACCCTACTCCATAGAAATAGACAAACTTATTCAGCCTCTGCAGTTACGCAACCAACTTAAGCTTCCATTTTATATATATAAACTCCAGATTTCTGACCATCTTGGCACCAATCCCATGATAGTGTTGGATTTTTGGGGGGGGGGGGGGAGATTAAACCTCTCTAAGCTCCCTCTGCAGAAGAACCAAGCTAGCCGCCGAGGTGAATGTGATTGAAGGCGCTGAACCACCTCCTCCTTGTCCAGCGATTATTACTGGACCACTTGTTTATTTATTTTTTTTTGACGATCCAAAGAGAAAACACCAATCCATCCCACAAACAGGAGGGCATCCCCTGCGCAGTGTTGTCGTCCCACTGAAAATGATTTGTATCGGTTTGGTTTCTCCTCCTCCTCCTCCTTTCTGTAGCGAAATGAATGTCAATGACAAGGGGGAATGGAATCACCAGGCTCCCTCCCTGCTTAGCAGCTGCCAGGACAGTTGATCCGCTGGATGGGATGCAGGGTGGAAACGCGGACACACCATAACCCCCTGGAAGTACCTCCGAGATTGAGCCTCGAACGGTCGACCTGAAGAGGTGAGGTTAAGCGAATACCTACTACCGGTCGTTCGAGGCTGGCTGTAAACTCACCTCGCCCTTCTTTCTTAGTCGACTAGGTTGATGTTTTCTAGATAATCATGGACAGGAGGAAAATGCTACCCTACGTTGTTGCTGCTAGCTATACTAGGTATTAGGTATACATAGCTGTTACCTGGGTACCTGGGTATATTGGACTATAAAATGGATGGATGGATGGATGGATGGATCTTGATATTGAAAGGTGACACAATTCGCCGGTTTTTTGTCTCAGGCCAATAAATAATCAATCAGACCGTGCCGCCCATCTCCAGGTTACCTCCACGACCACTGACTGACTGACCCAGCAAGCCCATTTCCAGTCCAAGGTATAGGATAGGATAGGATAGGATAGGATAGGATAGGGGACATACGTCGCGAAAGCATGCCCAGGTTTTATGTATCCTGACTGTGCCACATACATACCCCCGAGACGGACGACAAAATGCTCGACTTTTTCAAGTCACCCTTGCCCATTCACAACCCACACTAAAGAAAGAGAGGAACAGAAACGAAACTCGGATCATACTATTCGGTACTCTGTATACCGAATGTCTCACCCTACCTCCTACCTCAGACTTCTCCTACCATGCCCCGTAACTAACTAGTTAATAGTTAACTAGTAGTCAGCAGGTCAGACTGAGGTATTTCCTGACTCTCCAAGCCAAAAATCCAAGACCTTGGTCCCGGCTCCACGGTACGTCCTATGTTAGTATACGGAGTACCACCTAGCCTAGGTAGCGTGGACCAGTCATGATAATAATCGAGAAGGGCACTCCATGACTCGGATTTTAGTACTTGGTAGTACTTTGGATTAGTAGCAGGAGTAGTTTAGTGTGATTGGTTGTATATACTAGTACCTAGCACCTAGAGTAGGTAGAGGTACCTGGTACAGCCGTTCAGTTTGGGTTGAAAGTACAGATTCAACAAATAAAGAAATGCAATCTTTCCAGAACAACTTGTCTGGTAACTAACTATGGCAGCTTCTAATTTATCAGCCTGTGGAATTGTTGATTAGGTATATTGCAGAGTATTAACTATTGTTGTGATATTAATCTGTATATATATGAACTAAGTGTGTCAGCCTCAGGCCACAGCCACAGCCACAGCCATGATTCGGAGGTATCCAGAATAAATTCCAGAATCCAGATAGATTTCACTACTTTCCAACCACAGAACCTTGCGGTTCAACCCTTTAAGCCCGGCCGAGACTAAACCTTGTATCTATCTGAAGATCCGGGTGGTCCGGTGTCCGGAGTACCTCTTTCTTCAAGTTCTTGTCCGCAGTCGGATGTCCACAGTAAAAGTGGATTAAAAAGAATTCCCGACTGAAGAAAATCCTTCAAGATCGGTTAGGATTGGGGGCGAAATCAATCCTCATGCTTCTAGAAAATAGACCCGCGGAAGACTAATTGGTTTTGAAGGTGGGTTCTGTACTATCTGTAGGACAAAAGTTAAAAAAAAAAAAAAAAAAAAAAAAAGTAAGAATCTGACGCCAGGCGTTGGCTGAAGGATTTCCACATGACGAACTCCCCTCCCCATATGTATGGATTGTTGTTAATCTGGCCGCATCAGGTCCAAAAAAAAAAAGGAGGCAAAATGGTGAAGATAGGCGAGTTGGAAACGGAGCAAGAAAAGAGACCTTCTATCTAGTTATCTGAGTTCTTGGTAAGTCTGACGAAAGATGATGAGAGTTTGCCTCGTCTACGGAAGAACTTCGGATCTCAGTTGTACTTTTTTTTATCCTGCAGAACCAACCTCACTCACAACAAGTCAACTGTCAACCTTGGAAAGTCAGTCAGCAAACAACCTCAAACAAGACCCTGACAGAGTTTGTTTGCCTCTTTCCTGAATGAAACATGAGGATGCAAAACATGCATCGGGAAGGCCAGGATACCTACTATACTCTGCGATTCTTCATTCTACCTTGACTTGATAAACGAGGCACAACTAACTATGTATGCCACGGACTCCGTTCTGAGAACAAATCAAATATAGAAATGTTATAACAAATAGTCTCGTAAGGGGGGGCAGGCAACAAGGAGATTGACCAACCAGCATTCCGTGATCTCATCCGCATCTCAATAAATCGAAACAAGATTCAATAGGCCAGGCGCCAGCCAGGCAACTTGCAAGAGTCAGTCAGTCGTCAAGATTCAGAGCTCGCTCGCTCGCTCGCTTGCATTTCGGGCGCCAGCGGGAAATGGGCGGGCGTTGCGCATCAGACAAAAGTACGAAAGGCGGATTGATTTATTTTCACCAAAGTCACTAATATTTGGTTGAACGACAACAGAGTGGAATTGAGCCTCAAGATAAACTCAGCTAGAATCTCGTCCTATACCTAAGAAAGAAAGCTAACCAACCCGTTACACCAAGCCATATATCATCCAAAAAAAAAAAAAAAAAAAAAAAAACAGGCAAATTCGCATACATACCCCCTCCTGCATAAACCAGTCCAGCCACGTAGGATGTATACTATACATAAGTACCAGGTAGCACGGTTTCATGGGGCATGAACATCACATCACCGCCGCGGGCCGCGTCAAGGACCAGTATAATATCATTCGGGGAGACCAGCAAGCCGCTCCCGCGTGAATCATGAGGCATAATCCCTGTTTATTAAAAAAGAATATCATCCCATTTTACTCCGTGCTCTGTTAAAAAAAAAAAAAAAAGGCAGCAAATCATAAACCACCCACGACCAACTCAACACTTTCTCAGTGGCTCACGTGACAGAATCCGGCTGCGGGTAGGCGAAGGTGGATGAGGAGAAATGGGACCTTTTTTTTTTTTTTGAATTATTCAAGGCACACTAGTCTAGTACCTAGGTAGTTTTGGATCAATAACCTTGGTTCGAAGCTCGAGGTTGGAGATAATGAGACTGTAGACATATGTAGATTAATGCTACTTACAAGCACGTACATACAACACACAGACAGACAAGACATTTGAAAACTGATGCAGCGAAGCCGAACCAAGTATTGCTGAAAAGGGTGCGATCGACAGACAGACGCAGGAGGACGATCATCTCTGGCTATCCACTTCCCCTGGTTTTTTTTCAGAGGACAGGTTATTATTTCCTCGGAGAAACAGTGAATATGACAGAATTCATCAAGTGGGCGGGATGGAGACGGTTGGAGAACTTAGTCAAGGGGGGCATACATAACCTGCAATCATACCTAATAGTAGCCGAGCGTCTTGGTGGTGCTAAGCTTGCGCACGTTGACTGTGCCGCAAATTTGTCCAGAGGGGTATTCACAAGGTAAGGATCGTCAGGATGATGCAAGCAGGATGTTCTCAACATCTGCAGATGACATTCAACTATCATGATTAGGTGCAGGACACATGCTCCAGAGCAACCACAAGATGGACACATCTGAGATCTTCCAGGGTCGACTAGAGTCGTATCGGACGCCTAACTCCGACTGGTATGCCGTCGACGCCGCTCCCACTGAGACATTATATCAGTACTCGTCGTCAGTAATACAGTAAATTATTACTTCCATATTGATCAAAGCTTCCCCAAGAGAACCCGGATCCGAAATGGACTGTCCGAATCGATAATGATGTTAATTCTGCTGATATTGACAGGATCCACTAAATCCTCTGAAGGAGTTATGTGGGAGCATTGTCATTTAATTAGCAATGTGGCGAGGATCTGAGCTTGTATATCGGAGTCATACAGCTGCAATGATGAGTTGGCAGCCTCTGCAGATTGTTATCTGGACCAGACAGTTCAGTTCCTAATCTTATAATCCAGAAATACCTGGATCAGAATCAGAATCAGAATCAGAATCCAAAGATAATCAGGAATCTCATCTACTTCCCTCCTCTTGAGGTATGTACAATGTACATGATTTGGCCCCATTCCAGGTCCAGACCCACCCACATCGTGTCCGCTAAAACTTCAACTGTCCACCTGTCAGGTTCTCAGCTGGCTGGAGTTGAAGGCCCAAAAGTGCTATCTGTCATCTGAGGCCATTTGGTATCTGGCTATGATTCGCTCCAGCGTCCCAGCAGAACGGTAAACTAGCCAAAGCCACTGCAAAGTTGGCCGGTTGGAGGTCAGCCTTCCACACCCAATAAATGCGCAGGAATTTTCTCTCTTTCTGTTGGTTTTTTTTTTTTTTTTCATTCCTTCAGGTTCTTGCATTCTACAGGTTTCCAAGGTTGAACATGGGGGATACTTTTCCAGCTTTGACTTGCTTTTTTTTTTTTTTTTTTTTCTTCCTTCTTGCTTGAACGAAAATCTTCAAGGATACCTCCCTATCAGCGGGTCTGAGCTCTGAAGATTCATCCCCCGATGAACGCCGTCCCCTATTTTTTTGGGGGGGGGGGAGACTAGTTTTACATTTCATTATCCGAAGTGGAGACCTCAATAATACTAGGTACCGGTAGTTTTTTGACTTGGGAATGGAAGTGCGTTCTTCATTATACTACCTGGATGGGTACCAGTAGGATCTCCAGAGGAACTCGAGGCTAAACAGCTCCACTGCTCGATAGATGACGATACTAAATGTCATCCGATGTTCCCGCGTTTTCATTCAAACGCTGGATCCGCCTATCATCTAATGCAGTGGCAGGGCTGTAGAGTAAAATAATCCCGAATAAAAGATCGACATAGTGATGAGAATATTTTCTCCCTCCCTCAAGCATGAAGGCTTGTGACTGGATTGGAAAAAGCACGCTTGCGGTGCCGAATCTTCAGGGCTGGGCTGCAACAAGTAGGCGACAAGGAAGCATGTGAGGAGCTAGATATAGGTCCTCCGGAGTAGGTCCTGACTCCTGAGTACCTGGACCACAACCACGACCCTGGGCAGGAGAAGCTGTACAGCTCTATACCAATCATATATCCTACAACAAACGAGGACGTTCATTGAACGGTACTTATCCACTAGCCGGATATTCGTACGAGACTCTACAGCGTCTCAGAAGGAAAGCGAATAGGGAGAGAAACTTCCGGAGTCTGAGATCCGAATATCAAGAGACACGGGGTTTGGTTCTTTGTGATCCGATCATGATCGTCATATTTATTATTATTATTATTATTATTATTATTATTATTATTGATTTCCTTTTTTTCGTATGGTTTGGTTTTTTAGTCCATTTACCCTTTTTGCTTCCAAGGAAGTACGGAAACCAGATCTTAACTTGGTAGCCAGATAAAGTCAATTCATCGTCTCTGCTTTCAGTTTCTTTGTTGTTGTTTCGGTCCAATGTCTCTTCTCTTCCACTCATCCGGAAAGTGATTAGTTTAGAGATCCCCTAGGTAGGAGTATAATGACTCCGACAGTCTTTCGTCCTGTAAGGAAGTAGTATCTGTGAAATGGAAGGAACCTAATAAATTACCCGATCCAACGGTGCCGTCAAACCTTTTAATAATAATAATAATTATTATTAACTATTATTAAAATAAATCAATATTGAATTCCGATTATTTAATTTATTCTTCTGGATTATTTTTTGATTCAAGCTGGCTTTCTACTATCAACGTGACCCTTTGGCATCGGTTGAGATCTCCACTTATTCAAGCCTCCTGCTGCTTCATGCTCTCTCTCTCTCACTGCTGCTTCTCCTTCGTTTGGATGGAATCTGTGGCAAATCATTCTTTTGTTTCTGAACCTTCGAGACGAGATCCTTGCATATAAGCCATTTCTGCTTCTTCTTCTTCTTTTCTATTTCTCATTCCTGTCCCCTTCCTCTATTCTTCTTCTGACGACTCCCGTCATCTTCTCCCTCTTCAAATCTGGACTGTACGCTGCATAGATCTTAGTCCCTTGGCTCTGTCATCTCCCAATTCTTCCCTCTAGCCGCTGTCCTCTACGCTTTTATTGCCGCCGCTACTGTGCATAAACAGAAGAGAGACTCTTACCCGTAGAAGCAACCGTCTCGAGGACCGGACAGGGGGCGCAGTCACCGTCGGTCTCTATTACAGGTCAACGAGATCCAAGGATTCGGTTCACTGCATGGGTTCGACACAACTAAACTAGACCCTGGTCCGCCATACCCTCTCTTAAGAATCCAACCAGAAATCTCGTGTGCAGGTGTTGGTCATGGTCGACACCCCAAGCTCCAGAACCTCGTCCGGATTCTTTTAACGCGTCAATTTCCCTTCTCCCTGAACCATTCCATTCTTCCAATCCCCCCTCTCAAAAGTGCCGTGTGTGCAGGGGGGCGGCCAAACCTCTCCGGTTGATCTCCTACTTCTTCTTCTTCTTCTTCTTCTTCTTCTTCTTCTTCTTATACTAGCGTACTCCCAACGTCTCTTAGTTTTCTTTTCCCTCCTCCATCCCCCTTTAGTTGCCTCCTCCTACCCGTCCTCTTATCATCTCAAACTACTTCGTACCAATTCTACCTAAACTGGAAGCTCTTCTGGGTTGAACCCTTCCCCCCCCCAGACAAAAGATGGAGTCAACCTACCTGTCTCCCTCTCGCCCAGGTCGTATGGCAATCGACTCTCTCTTGAATCCCCCAGTGGAGGTCGAAAAACCTGCCTCCAAGATCCATTATGATCATCACCTTCCTCAGTACTCGCCTGGCTACCCGCCAAGCCCCCACCAGTACTACTACAGCTTCTCAGAAAACCACCACCCCTACAGAGAAAGCACTGCTTCGTCACAAGATCAAGCATTCATGCCCTATAGACCACGATCCACAGAGTCTTCCCCGGGGGGCTACTCGCGAGATCGATATGACTCCGTATCTAGCAGCTCGAGTAATGCGCCAGAGCGACGGCGACCTCCCCGACCCAAGTACGAAGAAGAGGAGATGTATTTCATCTGGTACCACCGCGTCGACCTGTGCCAGGAGTGGAAGGAAGTCCGGGAAAGCTTCAACCGCCAGTTCCCCAGTCGCCAACGACGCGGGTTCCAGGGCATCCAGTGCAAATTCTACCGATTCATCAGGGAGAAGAAATGTCCAACCCTTCGCCAGCAGCGCCGCATGCGCGACGGCGAGTTTCTCCGCAAGGGCTCTGGTCTCGCCGAATCCAACGGTCCACGTTTTGGGGTGGTAGAATGGATGGGGGTATGGTATCCTTGGATGCGTGAAAACAAAGACGAAGTCATGACCCGTCGGATACCACGATAATCTCTCTCACCTTCTCACCTTCTCATACACACCAGTGAGATATCTTTCTTTGACCCAAAACGGCCGAACAACAAGATCCTTTTTCTATTCTTCTTTCCTCTTCCTCTTCCTCTTCCTCTTACTTTCTCTTCCTGTCTTACTGTCTTACTGTCTTCCTCTTCCTCTTCCTCTTCCTCTTACTTTCTCTTCCTCTTCCTCTCTTCCTCTCTTCCTCTCTTCCTCTCTTCCTCTCTTCCTCTCTTCCTCTCTTCCTCTCTTCCTCTCTTCCTCTCTTCCTCTCTTCCTCTCTTCCTCTCTTCCTCTCTTCCTCTCTTCCTCTCTTCCTCTCTTCATATTCTATTCTTCTGTCTATAACTTTGGAAATCTGGGTTGCGTATCGCTTCGGGGTTGGATTTGGATATGATTTGGACTGGTCCTCTATATTCCGTGTTAAATGCTGGCATGCTCATCGGGAGGCTTTCTGGATACTGGCATACATACGGGTTTGGAAACTCAAAACTGAACTTGATTCTCACAAGATATATTGATTATTCATATAAGCTATCCCTTCTAAGAAACGTTCTATTCTAATATATATATAATAATAATAATGCACATTATCTATCATCATACACTCGGGGGAGCAGAGTATGAAATAGATCACGATCACGATCACGTGATCTCCCCAGCCCTGCTGCATCGACTGAACATGCATATTATATTGTCTCGTCAGCTCAATTACATATCAACAGCTAGGTAGGCCATGCAGAGTCTGGTTGATTCTCCTAGCTTGTTTTAGCTGTTGTATATATGTGTATCTGCAGAGTAGAACTATTCAGGTATATATAACAAATAAACAAATAAACATGACATGACATGACATGATTAGGGATAATATGATATGTATGATATAATACCCCTCTTAGGGAGTAGATTCATGTCTCGGTTAACTATTACCCATCTATCAAGTAGAGTAGAGTAGAGTAGAGCAGAGCACATGGTTCTAGTTTATATATATATATATATGTTGTGATATTTAGGAGCTGCGTGTCTATTACCAATCCACTAGAAGGAGCTGCGTCTGGCCTTGGGGCTCAGCACCCCCTGGCGAGGGCTTGATTTGCTCGCAGGTAGAGACTGGGCAGACGTTTCCAACCATCGCTTTAAATGAGGTCCCGTTTTCTCCGCAGATATCTCAGCCTCTGGTCCCTGATCCTCAATCCTATGCATATACTGTTGCGCTTGCTCTTCTATTTCATCCATATGCTTTTGGGCTTGTTCTTCCATCTCCTTCATACAATCGTCGGCTGTGATGCGTACGTCGGTCTTACTATCGTCAACGTGCTCGCTAAATTCAGTTTTGTGCATTTCGCATACATCCAAGACCTTGTCACAACACTCGCTTAAAGCACTGTCGACGGTCTCCTGCACAATTTCCTTCAGGATATGTGTTTCAAGGATGGATTTGATCTTCGCATCGATGACACGTTCGAGGTGACGTTCGATCAATTCGATCTTGGTCAAAATGGCTTTCTCCGAATCAGAGAGTAAATGACCCTCCGAATCATCAGATACGGTCGGTAGACATCGACATACTAAGCGAATCAATAATTGGCGGATCAAATCATCGGAAGCACCATAGAGCATATGCTCAAAACGCGCAAGTGTGTCACGCTCCGTGCGTCTTGGAGAGGAATGACGCGTAAAGTCGGTTGCTCGGATCGAGGCCGGTGAAGGGGGACGAGGACTCGGTGTATTGACTTCGGTAGGAGAGCATGGCGATTCTGGGGATATTAAGAGCGGTCGTTTTCGTCCGTCATCCTCGGGTGGTAATGAAGAGTGGTCTATAAACAATTAACAAACTATTGTAGAAGATAAAGTACAGAAGAATATTGGAATTGAGGGTACCTCGGGGCCGTTTCTCACCCGCACGGGCTAACTTAGATTTATCATGATATGGGGGTGGATTCACTTGCTGCACCCGTTCGGACGCAGACTCCTCATAATCAGGCGGGTTGTCAAGCCATACACTCAGATCCTTCCAGCGTCTTTCAATACGGCCCTGGCGGGCCTCATTGAAAGACACCGCTTTAAGGTTTTTTGTCCTTAGACCATGAACAAAGGTCCTCAGTACACCGAGTTCGTAATCCCTGAACTGTTGCCGACCGAAATAGATTCGTAGAGACTTGGACTCACAAACCCTTGCAAAAGCGGCGAAATTCAAGTCCCTATGCGCTGCAGGGAGTGGAGACGGCAGATTAGACGGGCAAAGAACAGTCTCCTCTGCAAGCGCCCGATCAAGTTCTAGAATAAGTAATGAGACGTCCCGAACATTCTTTGCCCTTGTCTGGAGTCTTGTAATAAAATATTCTGGACATAGTGTTTCGTCGCTTACCAAGATTAACCTACACGTTTTGACTGACTCCGGAGAGATTCTAAACAGAAGTGAATTTTGGCCGCTCGAATTTCCCGACTTTGCGTTGATACCGAGGGAAATGCATCCTTGATTAGTATATTTATGGTAGGCAAGACGCATACTAGCCACAGAGGGATTGTCAAGAGTAGAAGTAGAAACCAGAACTTTCTTGACGCCTGTTGCCCACGGCGTTTTTGTCGATAATTCGGTCATGATGCTGTTGCGAGGAAAGAGATCAAAGAGAACCCCTCGACGAATCGAGTTACCCTCCCACCCGGGCTTTGAGACAATAAAAGCAGCCCTGACTCGAGTAATGTTAACAGAAGATGGAGATGACGAAGAAAGAGTAAAGTTGTAGAAGCCGTTGCGGCCTGGTCACGAGTACCTGCCCAATCCAAAATCAACCAGTGAAATCAGAGAGTCCTATGAGAACACAGGAATGGCAGGCCTGGCGGCGAGTACGGCAAGCAGCTAATACTTTCTCTACGTGGGTATAAAGGGGGTTGCCTGCCAGCGTGAAATGAGAAAGGGAACTATTTACGAAGATGGGGAAAGGGGAAGAGAGAGTATTATAAGAGGGCTGGGAGTGGCGAGTCCGGAAGCGGAATCACATTAACTCCGTCGTCCCCTTGGGTAAAGTTGAAAAACTCGCTGTTACTGTGATGCCGCCTCGCGCACGGGCTTCCGTCCTCACTGTAACTAATGTAATCGGTAAGCGAGCAAGCAGCCCCTTCATGCTGCCCATACCGGATTTTCAATTTACACATTATTGAGATTACTTTATAAAACTTGTCCTCGGTTTGATACCCACGCCAACGCGCGGGACTTGTCAATTGACAGTGGTTTGCGATGCAGCCCTGAGCGCAATTGTTTTGGTTCCCTTGCTGCAAGCCAAGTTGATTCAAAGTCTTGCATACCTAAGATCTTGGGTACAAAAACACAAGAATATGCCCTCCCACAAAGGTCAGTAACGGAGGCCTGCACACCGTCTCTCGAGGCGAAGAGATCTCGAAATCCCAAGTCCTGCAAATGCAGCTACCCGAGTTAGACTTGTTATTTACCAGCTTTCTTCGTCTGACTCCACCTGCAACCGGCCCCCAAGTCGATTTCCAAATCCGCCAGCACCGGCACCCTCACTAGTAGAGTCGTCCCCGTCGAATTCTTCGTCGTCGGACCGGCCATGTCGGTACTTCCTGTAGATCGCTGCCGGATCATCTTCCTCGTCGTCCCAGGACAAGTCCTCATCTGGATAGTCATTCGCAGGATTGTTTTCAGCTGTCCAATAGAATGCCATTAGCTTGTTGTAGAATGGGTCGTGTTTCATCTTCTACTTGGAAAATGGATGAAGTGGGTGGTTTACCATTTGAGTCCCCATCTTCGCTATCCCACCGATCCTCATCATCTTCCTCCACAAAATCCGCCCAATAAATTTCGTCCTCGGGGGTGATGACGATAACTCCAATATCTTGGCGAGTGGCGTCAATCCCGTGTCGCCTCAACCACGCTTCCTGGCCTAATTCTAGATCGACTAGTGGGTCTGTCAAAAGCCCTTCATCCGACAGCGGACGACGGATATACGTGTCGTAAACATACTCTTCGTCGCTATCACTGCCGTCCTGTTCCGTCGTGGCTGGCTTCATGGCGTCCCCTTGCTTGATGTCGGCAGCGGGGAGTGTAACTGCTCGAGGTTTATTCGGGGTCCGCGGTTGATATTTGAGCGGAGGCTTGGGAATAACTGCACGAGTTGCTGTAGGAGAGTGCAGTTTTGTGTCTGTCGGAAGGCCCTCCATTTCTCCATCAAGCTCCAGTGCGATCTGCTCAAGCTCGCGCGCTAGGCGCTCGGATTCTTCTTCCCAGTTCCTCTGGTGAGCCTGCGCTTCTTTTTCAAGAACTTGCGTGATATGTTCTTTGGCTGCAGAGATGGCTCCCTGACGCTCTTCGCGCCATTTTTTCTCTGCCTGATTCACCACGGGCCGCTTACGCGGCCGAGCAGGCGTCAATTCCTGACTTACAGCCAAAGCAGCGTCATCTGCTCTCCCAACAACAGCATCCGCAACATAAGACGCCTGTCTTGAATGGGGTTCACGGCGGAGCTTCTCCACCAGAACGGCAATAGCGCCATCCCCTCTCCGTTTTTGGACGCCTCCGCCTGTACTCCGGAGTGGACTTCCCGGCGTGCTCGATCGGGAGATCTGAAACCGACGTATCGAGGGCGCAAGGCCCGCAGACGATAAAGCGGGGGGGCTTTCCTGTCCGCTCGATGTGGAAGAAACCAATACTCCGGCACCTGGTGCTTCACCGCTCTCCGGAGCTGCAGTACCCTTTTCAGAGTCCGACTTCGATGGCGTAGGCGAGGAGTATAAGGCTTTTTTCAGTCGCTCCTCGGCCTCTTTACGGGCGGCGGCAATTCGCCTTTCATCACGAATTTCAGCCCCAGGGGACGTAGCTCTCACCAAAGGGACACCTCCATTTTCCTTATTGGTGGTCTTGGGGAGATGGATGCTGCTCACAGAACGGGGGCTTCGTACAGTCCTTTGTGAAGCTGTCAAATCTGAAGGACTGGGTAAGCCACTTCGACGAGCCTGGCTTGCACTAATTGTCACTCTTTGGAAGACAAAGTCCGTGAACCGACGCTTTGTTTGATGTAGCTCGGATTGGATAACTGTACCTTGATCAGCTCAAAACCCCCTGGATGTAGTTGAATAGCGTCTCAAGATAAATCCCCGTAGTATGAACAGAGCCTGTTCAATGTATATTGAGGCGAGGGATCAAGGAAGCAAGCTTTGGGGGGTTCTTACACAATGTATCCACTGGCTCTTCCTCCCGACGTCGTTTGATATTGATCTGCTCAGGAGGCAAAGCCATGTCTTGAGAGATTCGTATCTAACTGAGATAAGAGGAACGGATGATGGCAAAGAGCAGAGGAGAGGCGACGATGATGGTGATAAAGCAAAGATGGGATTCTCCCCAGGTCGCCAAAATAATAGTTCCGTACTATACTAGATTAGTGTAGCTTCTGCTTACTACAATATTATATAATCAATTCAGCTTAACCACTAATATCTACGGAGTGTAATTGCAGAGGTTTTTCAAATATGATTGTTATACGCTCATGGACTAGATATGCTATAACTATCTTTACATGATTGCCAACCTCAGACAGGTCTTGCACACATTATTAAACCAGATGTATATCGTGATATTCGCGTTTCTGCTTTTCTGTCCCTTCTTTCCCATGCATCATGATGGCAATTGGAAGCCTTCAAGATCCTGAAAAATTACCGCAATAGTAGTCGAGATCTTATCCACAGTCCAGAGTGCAGCAGTGGTCGTGTTCTCTGGATTATTTCCCTTGAAAAGGAATCACAAATGCAAAGCCAAACTAGGGTATAGCCAAGGTCTCACCCGCCCTGATAGCCAACTGAAATTGCCAAAAAAAAAAAAGCGTAGTGAAAAAGTTAAGAAGAAATGTTGTGGAAACAAAGGAGAAAACAGAGAAGATGTGAAGAAAAGAAATATTGTACCCAGCTAGCAATACATTTGGATGGTATAAGAAAGGAAATTAAAATGTTATAAAAGTGGGTTGGCCAAGAACAAAATTTGGACAAAAAATTAGGAAGACAAAAACTAAAAATAAAAATGAAGCCAATACATAGAAAAGAATCGGAAGGGAAACATCTCAGTAAATGATAATATCAATAGTCAACCACATGACGGAGAAAAATGGAATGGGGAAAAAAAAAAAAAAAAAGAAGATAGCGGCAACCCTAGAACGAAGGTATGGAATAAATGCTCGGCTTTATCGAATGTAGTTATTTAGCCCCAATTTCTTCTTCAGCCCAACCAGGTAGTGAGCTTTCGTTTTGGATGGCTAGTCCGAAGCCGCTATGATTGAGTCCGCCTAGGGCAGAGGTAAAGCTTGAGAAACTGCTTTGAGCTTGGTGGGTCACCCCTGAGCGACCAGGTTGACTGGCCATGGGACCAAATGGCTCCTGGGAAAATGATGGTAAGCTCACAGCCCGGGAATGCTGGGCGCGGGGGACGCTCAGACTGCTGGTGCTAGCCGTGGCATGGTGCCCAGGCCCCGTGGAACCGCTGGTAACGTTCAGAAAACCATTGGCGGATGGCTTGTGCTGATGTAGTGGGGCTTCGATGCTTCCATTAGCGAGTTCACCGGTACTCGCGGCGTTATAAAGTGATTGCTGCTGGGAAGTGGACTGGGATTGGGACTGGAGGGCCGCCAGGGCCATAGGATCATTCAACCGGTTCTCCTGCTCTTGAACGTGTTGGGCGGACATTTGGTTTAGATACATGGTGAGGGGGTTATTGGCTCCGGTGTTCAAGATTCCAGATGGGGAGGAGACTGTCTGAAGTGGGTGTCGGTTCTGCTGGCCATTCTGCGATCCAGTGGAACCAGGCGCGGGTGACAGGGCGGGTCGAGTTGGGCTGGACTGAGAGCCAGACTGACTCAGACTCTGGAAACCATTGAGTGCAGGGGAAGGTGACTGTGGTCCATCAATGCCGCCTCCGTTGCGGTTCTGCTGTCCGTTGGTACCGGTTTGACGCGGTGGGTTTCCGCAACGATCTTTGCCAAAATTGATCTTAAAGCGGCGGTACTCCTCACGGTTTCGCATGCCCTCGATGGCTTTGATGGCGTTAGCGATGTTGGTGAAGTTAACGAAAGCGCAGCTCTTCTCGCGCAATGTGTTCACGAGCTCGATCTCTCCATACTCGGAAAAGTCTTGACGGAGACGCTCCTCGGCCCACGACTCATCCAGGTTGCCGACATACACATTGCGGGATGCACCGCCGCTTACAGCCAGTGCAATGGCTGGAGGGAGAGGGCCAGAGTGTTTACCCCAACCGATCTTCAGGCGGCGATTGTGAATCATAAGCCCTTGCAAGTTACTAAGGGCATAGAAAGAGGCAGCGGAGGTCGGGTCAATAAATGTCACAAAGCAGATATGCTTGTCGGGAATGTAACGAATATGATGCAGAAGGCCTCCTCGCACAACATTACATATTTCCTCGATGGTAGTTTCAGGATGAATGTTACCCAGGTAGATAGTCCGGTTACCGAGATTATTCACGCCACCTGCCGATGTAGCAACAGCCGCAGCTGCGACGGACTGTTGGGCGAGAGCATTGGTAATCAGGTCGCGGTCTGCGGAGTTGAGAATGTGGGCGTATCCTGGGGCGATTCCCAGGAACTGGGCTGCATTTTGTTGCTGTGTTTTGGAGACGTAGGCACATCGATCCTTTCCGTAGAAAACACGTCTGGGGGCCTGCCATTTAGCCTCCTGGGGAAGCTGAGAGACAGCTTTCATAGCATTGGTAATAGAGAGGAAGTGGACGAAGCCAATGGCCTTTTCCTTGACAATCTTTACGGTGTCAATAGGACCAAACTTGCCTAGCTCTTCCCGCAACTCATCCTCCGTCATCTCCTCCGGCAAGTTGCCGAGGTACACATTTCGTGACGCACCGGACTGCTGGACTGCCAGAGCCACCGAGGTGGGCACCTGCGAGGGTTTACCCCAGCCTACCTTGATGTCGTTTCCTTTGATTGCCAGTTTCTTTAGGATAGCATCAGAATGGAAATGGGTGGCGGAATTGCTGTCCAGAAAAGAAATGAAAGCACAATTCTTATCTGGGAGTAGGCGCACCGACTCGATCTGACCACTCCGAACATGGTTCAATATTTCTTCCGCAGGGGTTTCTGCGGGAATGTTGCCCAGATACACGGTTCGGCTCGTGCCCGAGAGAAGACCAGGGGTCACGGACGCGGCAGGACTCCCGAAGGCCGCCGTGCCCAAACCACCGAGTCCACCAACAGGGGACTGGGGGCCTCCCAGCAACTGCGAGCTTCCTAGACCGTCCACGGACATCATATTCGAGTATAGACCAGCATTATGCGACGCCTGCGTTGGGCTAGCTAATTGGTTCTGGGGGCCTTGTGCGGACGCGTTCTGGGAAAAGCCGCCAAAGTTGGTGAATTGGGGCGAGGCAAATGCGGAGGGAGTCCCGGGCTGGAACGGACTGCCGAGCAGCAACTGGGAAGGAAGGAGGGGGGTAAAGTTCATGTCGAACGCGGTTCCTGAGGTTGCCATGCTATCGGATGTGCTTGGGATGGCAGTGGTGTTAATGGCAGGAATGTTTGCCCGACGAGGGTTCCGGTCCGAGAATCCTTGCAAAGAGATGCTGTTTGAGTTGTAGGCTCCGTGGGAGAAACCAGTACTGTCCGCGTTCAGGTGAGAAAATTTGGAAGGGATCAAACGACTCGGGATATTAGAGGCATCGGAGGTTTGCATGGCGAGTAAAGTAAAGGAACGGGACACGATCGTCTCCTGGGGCACAGCGAGAGAGCGGGAGAGGTTGAGACGGATGGAGCAACCGATTCGAATGACAGGAGGGGCGTTCAGAACGGAGGAATCGACCTAATAGGAAAGAAGGTCTGAAGAAGGAAAAAGAACGTAGAAGAGAGAGAGAAAAAAGATATTATGAAGTATGAAGTCTGGAGATCCCCCCCCGGAAAAAAAAAGAAAAAAGGGAAGCGGGAAATGGGAAATGGGAAATGGGAAAGCAGGGGAGCAAGAAGAGAGAATAAAGAAGAGAAAAGGAGGAATAAACTGCAGGATCAAGAGAGTAACGAGAACAAGAAAAGAATCAAAAAAGGTCACAGCGCGAAATAAGAGAAAGAAGAGCCCAATGGAGACGTGTCTAGAAAGGATCCCAGTGGTCAATTGGAATGTGCATGGGGTTGGTTGATGGAAAGGAGAAAGACAAACCTTGAGATGTTTTAGTTGGCTGGTGAATTTTAGGGGGTTCGCGGTTAGAATGCCGCAACGCCAGTCAAGCCAATTCAGCGTGTCAAGAGACTCAAGACTCGAAAAGAATAATATGTTCAAAAACGGAATGCGTAAAAAAGAAAAACAGGTCGATAATCATCAATTGAAGGATTAAGGGTCCGTCGAAAAAAAAGCTGAAATCCGACCCCTGCACGAATAATAATAATGATAGAACGCAAAGACAGACAGACCACTCGAAGAATGGAGACAAGAAGGAAACCGAAGACACGCCAGGTTGTGGCTGTTAGACTGGATGAGGATAAGCGCGCACCACTGTGGATGAGAAGAAATGGCACTTAAAAAGATAGTTGTGAGAGTTGTCGTATGCTCAGAGGAAAAAGGGAAATAGGGAGAAAAAAAAAACCGAGCTTAAAAATAAGGAAAAAAGGGGCTTCTTTGGAGATCGGGGCTTGATGAAGAAATATAGATGGAGAATACCTCGTAACAACAGCCTGGGCGCTTTTTTTTTTTTGGGCTGATTCTTATTCCAAAGGAAAAGAAAATTGTACCAAAATGAGGAGAACAGTAAGAAATAAAGATTAAGAGAAAAAAGAATACAAATTACTAGAATGAAGTGAAGTTATGAAGGGAGAAAACAGGGCAAAATATAACAGAGCAGGGAGTTCACCAGAAAAAAATTATAATAATAATAATAATAATAATACCAATAACAATAACAACAATAATAAGTGTATAATCTGCCCCGTAGGTTTATTATCGTTACAGGGAAAGAGTTAAAAAAGGGGGGACCACAGGAGAAGGACAGGAAATCTTCAGGTACATCCAATGTGAACCATCATCACTTTTCAGGGGAAAAGAAGAATAAAACCATTGTAATAATAATAGTATGGACCAGGTGGTAATAATAGAAGTCGTAACGCTTCCTGTGGAGAGTACCAATTGATTAGTCTGCGGTTCCCTGGTTGAAACTCCGAAGGCCCAGAGAAAAGTTGGGGGAAAATATCTCCTCACCAGACATGATGAAAACCATGATCTCCTTAACAAGGAGCCCTTGAAATCTGCGAGGGTGCAGGACAGGTAATCTCGAGCGTCTGTTGTCCCGAAACATCATTCCAATCTCAGGTATCCCTCAACTTACGGGGAATCACAAGGTCAAGAAGCTCCATCACAGGGAAAGAGGGAGCGGGGAATGAATAAATAGTTCGAAAGCCCTGCAGAGATGGCATCGCCAGTGCTTCATGTCATATCTGAGAGGTAGATTTGGTGGGGGGCACCATTTTACCTTTGCGGTGCTGCGGCGATTGAGGTCGCTCAATACTGCGTCAATGAGCCGATGAAAAGCTAACCATCACAATTCATCCAGTATTAGCCATGTCATTCATGTCAGATGAGATCGGGACTAGTAGGAGGCGTTCCGGCATCTCTCCAGGACATTTGGTGGGGTTCGGACTCTGAACTTGAAGAGAAACGGGAAAAGAGACCAGAAAAATTAGAAGAGGCTCTTGTCGGCCGAACTATACTCCGCTCCGACTACAGGACGGACTACAGCGCCTAACAAGCCAACGATAGACTTTAAATATACGCCCTCTTAGCAGCTAGTACGGATAATAATCCAAGTAGACTCTAGAACCCGGAGTCATTTCTTTGGGTTCTATCGAGTGGTTCACTTGATTTCCTTCCCATCGGTGACGAATCACATCACACATCCAGTGGCCATGGAAGCCGATAAGGACGGGAAATACAGGGGAAGCGGCAAATTGGGCTTATCTCTCTGCCTGAGGCAACAATCGCGGTTCGGCGCCAGAAAATTACCCCTCCAGAAATTGATAACCAAAAGACTTATTCTTCACATCATCTTCTGTGGGTCGAGTTTTACGTTCTATTGTAGGGCAAATTGGGTCATTGAGTAAGTAAATACTGCCTCAAACTTCTTTGTGTAACTTCCCTCGCCTTATCCTATACCCTACCCCCCCTTTTTCCTCTTCCCCGCCGCTATGTGACTCAGACTATCTAACCAAATATTTCCTCCCTCCACAGCACAGTTCACCCCTGCCTCACGCATACACGACTGGCATTCCCACCACTGTGTGACAATCTACACTCTTCTAGATACTGTTTCCTGTCCATAGATCGTCCCAATGGCGTCTATCTACATTGACGAAGACGTCGGAAGAGACGACTCGACCGCCACTGGCTCCGAGTCCGCTCCCTACAAGACACTTCTCTATGCTTTCCAGCAACATGCGCCTTCCGATGGTGCGCAGTACTTGACTCGCAAGTCCGAGACTGAGCCCACTGGCGAAGGGGCTGACCCAGCGGCGAAACTGGAGTGGAAGCCAGCTACTAAATCGGCGATGAAGAAGGCCACCAACCTGTACGAGCAAAAGAAAAGAAAGGCTGCAAAAGAGCAGGAACTTGCCATTCGCGAGAAGGAGGAAGCAGATAAACGTAAGCTTGTTCTTGAGGAAGCCAAGAAGGTTATCATCAAGGAAGATACCTCTCTTGCCAAGCCTGTCAGGGTCCGTCTGGACGAAACTGACCCGGCCATTGTGAAGCTGGGTTCGTCAGAAACTGAGACGCCTGGCACCCGAGTTCGTGTCCTGGGAAGGGTTCATCGCCTGCGCACTCAGAAGGACATGATTTTCCTGACACTGGCCGATGGCTATGGTTACTTGCAGTGTATTCTGACCGGTGATTTGACTAAGACATACGATGCTATGACTCTCACCCTTGAAACTTCCATGGCACTCCATGGAGAGATGCGGGCTGTCCCTCCCAAGCAGCACGCGCCCAACAACCGTGAACTTTATGTGGACTTTTACACTGTTATTGGCCGTGCCGCTGGTGACAAGGAGGCCATCACCACCCGTGTGGCTCCTGATGCCGACCCACAAACCCTTTACAACAACCGTCACCTGGTCCTCCGTGGTGAAACCGCCTCCGCTATCATGAAGGTGCGCGCCGCTACTCTGCGCGCGTTCCGCAAGACCTTTGAGGAGACCCGCATGCTGGAGGTCACCCCACCAGCCATGGTGCAAACCCAGGTGGAAGGTGGCAGCACCCTTTTCAAGTTTGACTACTACGGCGAGGACGCCTATCTCACCCAGTCGTCGCAGCTTTATCTCGAGACCTGTCTTCCATCGATGGGAGATGTCTTCTGTGTCTGCCCCTCCTTCCGTGCTGAGAAGTCCCTCACCCGTCGCCATCTCTCCGAATACACCCACATTGAGGCGGAGCTGGACTTCATCACTTTTACCGACCTTCTTGACCATCTCGAAACCATTATCTGCCGTGTCCTCGAGTTGACTCTGGCTGACCCCGTCGCCAAGGCCAACCTTGACCAGCTTAACCCGGACTTCAAGATGCCAAGCCGCCCCTTCCGCCGTATGAAGTACTCCGAGGCTATTGAATGGCTCCGCGAGCACGAAATCCCTAACGAGGAGGGCAAGCCCCACGAATTTGGTGACGATATCGCTGAAGCCGCTGAGCGTAGGATGACCGATATCATCAACCAGCCCATCTTCCTTACTCACTTCCCCGCGGAAATCAAGGCCTTCTACATGAAGAAAGACCCTGAGGATCGTCGCGTCACCGAGAGTGTGGATGTCCTGATGCCTGGTGTTGGTGAAATTGTCGGTGGAAGTATGAGGATGGATGACTGGGACGAGCTGATGGCGGCCTACGCCCACGAGGGCATGGACCCCTCGCCATACTACTGGTACACTGACCAGCGCAAGTACGTCACTTTTTTTTTTCCCTACCCCCTTTCTAGTTTCTTGACTAATCAATTTACTCAGATACGGAACCTCCCCCCATGGAGGCTACGGTCTTGGTCTGGAGCGTTTCCTCGCTTGGCTGTGCGCGCGATACACCGTCCGTGATTGCTGCTTGTACCCTCGCTTTACTGGACGTTGCACGCCTTAAACAGTTATTAGGATATGAATCTTTCGGTTTCTTAGACATATATTCTTTTTTTTTTTTTTTTCATGCGATCGTATTGGGAATAATCTAGACAGTAATGAAACATACACTTCATTCTCGTGACGAGCATTAAAAAATTTCCAATAATGATAACAATCATAACAACGATAAGATATCACTGTATTAGTAGTAGTAGAGTAGGAGTAGGAGGAGGAGGAGGCAGTCCCCATATCCCAAGTACTCTCTCTCCCCGCAGCGCCGTATACCCAGGTGATCTGATCTGATCTGATCTACTACCTAATTTAACTTACTATAGCCGCGACGACGGATCCCGAAAAGTGATTTTTCCTCGTTGCCACTACCTGACAGCATCGGTCCGGGTTGGTGCTGCTATCTTTGCTGGGTTAATGGCGCAGAGTAAGACGCGGAGACCCGGGGAACAGGATCATCGACTTAGGTACTGCTGCCATATGTTTTCGATTTTATGGAATGTAGGGGCATCTATCTAGCGTAAAATGGAGGTGAAAAAAACATCGCTTTTATGTGAAACCTGCCCTAGCTTCTTCGCGGAGAATAAGCCTGAGTAACACGGATTATAATCAATGGAGAAGGCCCAGGCCTGAGCCGAGGCAGCACTGAGGCCGACAATCATGATGCTTGCGTCTTATTTCCTGGATCGGAGGGGTTGTCATCAGTCATAGACGCAGACAACGCCGCGAAAATCTCCTGCTGTGAAGCTCCAGAGCGAATGGTCGTGATCAACTGGTCAACAATCTCCGGTTGTCCATTCGAGACCACGGAAAGAAGTCGTTCGAGAAAGATCTGACAATATTCCGGAGATTCGGCAGTTATTTCAGAGGCGTGCTGGTTGGGAGTTGTATCCCCATTCTGAGCCTGGCTCCCAGTTCCGTTGGTTTGGTGGCTAGAGAAGGTTTTCTATTACCAATCCTGCAACTGTATAATCCAGACTTATACGGAGATATGGGGGAATAGTTCTTCCCGCAGAAACAAAACAAAGCACGGTCAAGAAGCACAACAAGCCACCTACTTTTGTCCTGAGTTTTGTTGCGAATTCGGGCCTCGGTGATCCATGGTGTCTCCCGCGCGTTTCTGCTCTTGAGGGCCGTTGAGCTTCAAATATCTGACGAATTCAGGATAGATCACACAACGTGCCGATGCAAAATGTCCGTCACTGTTCGATGAACGCCTTGGGGATAGTGCGGGGGACGGGTCTAGGAGATAGAATGAATCGGCTGGCCACAAGTTTAGGTTGGCACTGGGGAGAACCCCAGAGAGCCCCGCTGAAGGAGGAATATGTTGATAAAATAGCCACACCAGTGTAAGACTCTCGGGGGCTTTTCACTGAGCCAATCTGCGGCGGCCGTACTCCTTAGTCCGTGCTAGTCGCCAATGAATGCGAGAGAGTTCAACCACGTACTCATCAGTGGTAGCGCAATACTCAGTCCAGTGAAGATCTCCCTCCTCAAGGCTCAGGGAGGGGTTCGACTATCGAACGAGAAGGGACGAAAGACTAGTCTTGGAGCCACTATGATGCTTGCGGAGATTCATAGTACCATTCCAAACATCAGATCCTCAAACCGGCAGTCGGAATCCAGGCCATCTATGGGCGAGCAGCTCGGGAAGGCGCCATCAGAACCAGTATTTTAGAGGTGGAGGACGCCGTAGTGGAACGTTGTTTCGTGCTCGGAAAAATGCCCCAGCCAATCTTCGCCCTCCAGTTTCTGCGCCACCAAGGAACATCAAACAATCAGCTCTTCGCATTTGGATGAGTCTTTTTCCCTGTCATCCTTCGGTCTTTTCTTATGGGCGCTAGCCCTTCCTCGGCTACCCGATAGCAGGAAACAGGAGAGTGTCTCTTTCGAACGTGATATTCAGGTGCAAACCGCAATGACGACCCCTTTCTGCGTTTTCCTTTCTCACAGCCTCTCGAGTCCCCTATATCAGAAGATCGAACCAAAGATCGAACCGAACCGAGCAGTGAAGATTGCTGTCTCTGCGCGCGATGCAGAGACGACCCTCGTGTCGTTGGCCCTTGAAAGTGGATCGACACCTAATCCCCCTTTTTTGACAAACTTGAAGTAAATCTGTTTGGATTGGTGACAGATTTGATCCCATTTCAAGCGGAAGGAGTGTCCCGAGCAAGAGGGCGGGAAAAGTCGGATTCCATTAGAAGAGGGGATGATCTAGCAAAAGATGCCTTTTATTTAACTAGTTACCAGTTGTTTTCAATTCGTAATCAAAGCTAGGTTAATACAAAGTAAGTTTCCTACTTACCTTGTGTTGCATAGATAGCAATTTGACATACTCCCAGTCTTTTCTTGATATTCCTATTCACTCTGATATCCTTGACTTTTCCTCCTTTTTTGGAATATTGTGTTTTATGCGTGCTTTTCCGAGCGCCTCTATTCCAGCGTGTGCTATAGTAGAGTGCGAGTTCAGCCTTATACTTTCAGGCAACTCTATTTTTAATTTAGCACGTGCCAACGAACGCTAGATTATAAACGGTTTAGCCTCGGATTAATATTCCTGGGATCGGTGATGGTCACGTGACCAACGGATAGTTAGTTTCTCCGTTTCGTATTATAGTTAATCCGCTACTGTGGGTATCTCGAGGACCAATTAGGACTAGCCTGTTCTGAGAATTACGAACCCAAACCCCTATCACTAACTATGGTCAATCACCGCCCATATTATGTTTATATCCCTTCCCATTACAATTGTTATTTTCTAGATGCAACTCTTTATAATACTTGAAGCGTTGTTTTTCGCAAATAACGAATAAAATTTCCGTCAGGCACTGGCTTTTCTTCCTAAATATCGCCCGATCAAAATGGCCCCCAGCCATCGCAGTCCACCCGTTCCCCGCAAAACGTATCCAAGCCTGCCAACAACGGAACTTGGTATCGATACTCGACACTGTTAGCGGTCAAAGTTCTTAAGCATGTTCGACCTTGCCACGGGAATGTTCTCATGTTGACAGACAAATGATGTGTGAAGTACGGGCGCCGTGTACATTTGTCTGAAGCATCAACAATGCATTTCATATCACGGCATACATCTATACCAGTGCCAAAAGTTTTCTGTGCATTTACTCATTCTGGATTGACGTATATTGTGATGGAAAGGATTAAGGGGGCCATAATTGGTAGTGGCTGGGTTCACCGAAATGAGGAGTCAAAGGCAAAGCTTCTTTCCCAGTTGGCAAAAATGGTCGCTGAAATGCGGGAGCTTCAGCCTCCGGATGGTATCGTGGTCGCTTCTGTTGACACTCATCGACTGTCGTGTGCCGGGGCGTTCCTTACATACGGTCCAAGACTTCCATCGGCATTTACGAATGGGCATGGAGTTCAATCCCGGGCTTGACCCTCATATCCAGAATCTTATCACTCATGGGGATCTTAGCGGCCTAAATATTCTCATTCATGGAGATGATATTGTTGGCATAATTGATTGGGAAACGGCTGGCTGGTATCCATCATACTGGGAGTACACATCTGCCCACCAAGTCAACCCATAAAACTCCTTTTGGGTTAACGAGATTGACAAGTTCTTACAACCAATGCCTCAAGAGCTGGGCATGGAACGGATCTGTCAAGAATACTTTGGGGGTACGTGAGTCATTCTAGCCAACTATAGTGGCTCCTATGATGATTTCCTTCAACTCCATCAAGTTATAAGTCGGGACCTTTGTCATATCAAAGTTGCCCTGACCGTCAAAGCGGTGCTGGTCTTTCTTTTTTTTGACAATAACCCATCACCTCATTGCGCACTTTATCCCATTTAGTGACGCTCGTCCCTAGGGCCATCAGCCTCAAGCGATTCCAGAGCCTCCTTTACCCAGGAGACACAATTCCATCCTGGTTGGCCTTGTCGGATAGGCGTACTGCGCAGAATTTCGACCAAGCGACTCCCATCAGCTACCTTTCCAACAACGATACGAACAAGTAGCATGTTGGTAGGGGCGAGTGGACAGTCGCGCTCCTCAAAGTGCCCTTCTGAGCCCCCTCCCAATTTTGGTCTCTCCTTCGCGTGGTAACGGACGCCCATACCACCATCTACTTTAACGTTTGGCCCAACGATCAAAGCCCAGTGGGATCTAGCTCAGGCAGGACATCAAATTTTCTGTATAACACGTTAAAAAGTTCCTGGATAATCAACTTACGTGTCTTCCTTGTCTGGCATTATCGGGTTGCCTCCACGTGCATAGAGAGCAGCGTATGGACGATCTTTGTTGGATGGCATTGTGCAGATGATCTGGATGAAGGGCAGGTAATATAGTGGCTAATTGGACCTGGTGCTCCTCAAATGAAGCTTGGTAGTAGTGTGTTTTTGTCTGAGGCTGGCTACAAGTCAAGCATGTGGTTGCAAAGGGTTTATATGCATTTGTCTGCTTGGTTATCGAACTCTCTACTAGCAGACGTAGCCGCTGTGTGATGTGATGAGGAATGATGTGAACCAAACCAGTGGGCGCCTAATCCATGTATCAAGCTTAGAATATGCTTTAGATGGCGGATGGTGTTCTCCTTGTACCTTCTTTGTCATCTCGACCAATTGTTGTGTAGTTATAGATAGGCCCGGGGATGGCCAACAGTTCATTTAACCAATTGATATTCCCATTTAATCTGATATTCTTGGGTTTTTCCTTCTTTTTTGGAATAATGTGTTTCATGCATACTTTTTGAGCGTAATACAAGTACTCCACCTAGATCTAGGTGGAGTTATGTACAGAGTATGTATGCTATCCCTTGGATTCCATTCCAACCAAGACCAAAACACGACACGATATGGAGAAGAACATAGAGAGGTAGTACTACTCGTCAAGCAGTAAGGTAGTTTATAGTAAGTCCCATTCCACAACTTGGAAGCAGGAACGTGTTATTTCGAATCATAATACAGATTACTCCGTACCTACAGAGTAAGTTACATCCTACGCCGGGACTAAGAATAATAAGGGGAGGGAGGGAGGGAGCTCACGTTGACTGAGGAGGAATCAAGGAGGGCCCCTTGCTTATTCCTTGGCTTGAAGGGATTCATCCAGCCATTCATTCATTCATAGATATAGATATAGATACACGTAGCCATCCACACTCATGTCAGTGGACAATCGACCGCAACAATCAATTCCATCCATCCCCGATACCGCGTCCCTAAAAAAAACAAACAAAAAAACAGTTCTGAATTATATACTCGATCAAGACAATTCACAATGCGGTTCTTCCTTTCTACTCTCTCCGTCGCTGCTTTCGCCATCTGCACTGGCGTCTCCTCCCATGTCTACGCTAGTGCCGCGCCTGATTTAATCGGGAAACCTGGTGGAATCGATACTGGGGATATTGCCTGCATTGGACAATGTGTGAAGAATCCCCATGTGCTTGGTTGTGAGAATCCACAGGTAAGATTTTTTTTGCCCTTTCTTGTTTTTTTCCTTTCTTGTTTGCTTGGGCACTGCACACTACACTACACTATACTATACTATACACAGTGGTCATCCCTATATGTTAGGTATCATCATGCATCTAATAAGGCTAATTGGTTGGTGTAGTTTCAGGTGCAACAGGGTTGCTATATGTGCTGTTATAGCGACGACGACGCGGGCGATTTCGCCGATCATATTCCGGATGACTTTGCGGATAACTAGGTACTACAGGTTGAGATGATACCTGGTTTATATTATTATGTATGGGTTAAATACTGGCAATCACTTGGTTATGCGGCAGTGATAGGTACGGTAGGGGGTGGACTTAGATATATGAACAAAAAAAAAGTCAAGACAAGAAAGCATGCATTGACCTAGGTACCATAAGCACCTTGCATAGACTTAGCAGGGCCTAATCTTGCATTAACTCACCTTGGTTCTTTGTTCCTGTCTTGGTAGGGTCTACACTGACTGATCCAAATCCACTGGAGTAATGCCAAGTTTATTCCTAGCTAAACTCTATCTAAGTTTGTATCCATGAGTCTACACGCACTCCGGCCCCGGTATTCAAAGACTTCTATTTCAAAGCAGTTCGCATTCGAAGCGACCTAACAAAAACAAGAGTTTCCATGCCATCAAGCCATATCGTTTCGTGGTTAATTCTATTGCAAAAAATCCAGCCCAACTCCGTCGTATGAAAGAAATTAATAATAGATGAGAAAGAATCGAAGCTGGCCCAGCCATTCATGACATATAGCATCCGTGAATCCAAGAGATCAACGGACTAGGCAACCATGAACATCGGCTTTGTCGGGAGCTCTCCCCATGGGGAAGGAAGTTATTTCGCCTTGGATTCAAGGGAGATACCGGGACTAGCCGTGTTCAGAGTTGCGAGTGCAGAAGCTTTCTCTGCGTACTTCTCGCTCCAGATACCACCATGGTGAGACATGTCCATGGGCGAGGCATCTGTCGCTTCAATAATATGTGGAACAACCAGCTCCACGCCCTTGGTGGCTCCTCCAGCTCCAGAGAAATATGGGTTGCGGCGGGGAGGCAATGGGCGACGAGTCGCATCAGGCACGTAGCTCATATAATCCGAAGCGTCGCTGCTCACGGAGGAGGCAGCAGTGGAAGGAGTATGGCTCAAAGAAGGAATCGGCGCAGTAGCACTCATCAGAGTAGAGAGACTGGCCGAGCTGCGGTGCTGGACCCGAGAGCGAGGAACAGGGATCATCGAATCGTCGTTGTGGAATTGACTCAGGTATTTCCAGGCGTCCGAAGTCACCAGACTTGCGTATCGAGGATCCTTTGATATCACGGGCTTCCATTCGGTGGGGTCAAGATCTACCTTGGCATCGTGCATGTCCGCAGGTATCCTGAGGGCTGTGGTGGGCATGTGAGGAGCCTTGGTGGGAGTCAAGGGTGCGACAATTATTCGAGGAGACATGGGGGGAGAAGTAGGAGGCGAGCTTGTGATAGACATGGAGCTGTAAGAAGGGAGGGAAGCTGAGAGAGGTTTGTGGGAATCTTTGCGACGGCAGCTTTAGAATTAGAAGAGTTAGTATACAGGAGCGAAGAGAAGGATAACAAAGAAAGATCCGGAAGACTGGTCATATTTAAGACAAGCGGAGGAGGAGGGCTGTACCCACACAGCCCAGACCCGGAGATAAACATGATAAGGAATGGTCTCATACCTTTCACTGCAATAAAGTAGTGTATTATCGGGCACCGTAATCTGTCTCTCACACATGGCACTGCAAATCGGTTAGCATAACACACTTACGATAAGCAGAGAATTTGAAAAGCAAGGGTTGAAAGGATGATACGAAGGCCAAGAATTCGACAGGTGAAAGAGAGTTGCTCGAACAACCAGAAAGGCGGGAAGAATACGGCGGTGAGGCACGATATACGAAACAACACACCCAGGAAGGCGTCGGAGAGATCACACGTACCAAAAGTTCAGGAAGCTAGCGGCCATCTCAGGTAGCCTATCGTCGTCTCCAAATTGAAAGTTCTTCACTTGCCCGGAACCCAGCTTGGAGATAGAATGGTTCACGAGAGATGCACCTTTCCGATGGAGAACAGGTCGGGCAGTTCTCAGTTTGGAGCCATTTGAACCTGAGGGGGTCCGACGATGATATGAGAGAGAGTTGTTGGTTTGAGTCATTGATGGCGGTGAGTATATATGGAGTTTTATAAATAAAAAAAAAATAATAAAAAAAAATTGGCCAAGTTGATTGATGTGGAATAGCCTGATGATGGTACCTTGCGCCAGTAGCACGCCGCTTGTAGCGGTGGAGCACGAGTGTTCCCCTGAGGGGACAAAAGACGAGGGATTTCCGATCGGCTGGACCAAGGACGAAACAATTGTCTCACAAAACTCCTTGATGGTGATTCAATAGTATTATGTACGTATGCGGTGGATGGATCAATCAGAAAGAATGTTGAGGGAATACGGAAACAGAACCCTGTGACGAGGCAAATATGTGAGCGGAACGCCTTCGGGGGTTCAATTGAAGCCGAGAAATTGTTGGTGTTGATAAAGAACGATGATAAGCTTTTTCATCTGTGGCACATCACAGGTCAGATACAACCACCAAAGCGAGGTTATTATTGGTCGGGGGGGAGCGACAGAGATAAGGGCGAAAGGCGGTGCCAAAAGGTAGTAATAATAATGAAGTAATGATATGGAGTAGTGAGTACATACTAATTTTTTTTTATTTCCTTGGGGAATTATGCGGGATTATTTCACGGGTGATGATCGCACCGCAGCTGGTGAGACTTGAGAGAAAAATCGCTCGGAGAATAAATCACCGGTAACCAGGGATGAGGATGAAAAAGAGGGCGGATGGATATAAGAATAGAAGAAGTTGAGACACCAGAGGGGCAATATTGATAGACGCAGATGTACGGTCTTGGGAGGGAGGAGGAGAATAAATAGAAATCAATCACACAGGACGACGCAAGAGCGAAGGTGGAATTAGAGTCGCAATTCCAGGCTGAAGGAAGGGCCGGATAGTTGGGAGAGGTTCTAGAACAAAGAGCAACAATTAAGGGTCCCCAGTGTGACGTGCAAGTGAGTTGCGCCAATTGAATCCGATTGGATTTACCAATGATGGATGGGACTTGGACTTGGGATACTCACTTGTTCTTTCTTTGCCAGTGGAAGCTAATTTTAGGATGGCAACTGAAGAACAATGAATGAAAGACAGAAATTGATTCCAAAGTTTCCTCTTATACGTACGTATGTGCTCTCTATTTTCCCATTCAATACAACTGTGGGAATTGCCCCTCCCCCTCTTTCATCCCGATCTTTTTTCCGATTCTTATTATGATTATTTTTTTTTTTTTCCCATAACCGACCGAACCACGCTGATCGGATGAAGAAATTCCACCACCTCCAATCACAGCTCTTGTCTTCATGACATGTCTTCTTGGCTGGATTGCACGGAGCTGTGCCAGCCTGGACACAGTATCCCCAATTCGGGCATCCAACAAAGCCCTCTGTTTCGACCGGGGTATACCTGAGCCACATCCGGGAACCTTCTGGGCTCCACAGTCACCTTCCTCCTGGTCTAGACACATGTTGCAACCACCTGGAGGGCTCTACACAGGATGCCAGAATCTCAGCCTAGTTGAAACCCGTCCGAACCTTGGCTGGCATCCAATGACGGAAGGCGTCGAAACCGCATGGGACAGGAACCTAGAAGGGCTGACCGCCACCAGCTCCAGCTTCTCTCGCTGCGGTGAGAGGACCAACCAACCCTATGGACGGAAAAATAATTAGACAAGGGCGGTCCTCATCTCTGGTGTTGTTGATTTCCCGTTTCATCGGTTGTAAATCGCACTAGAAATTCTACGAAAACTAGCGGTCCTTGGGAGCAGACGGTGACGGTCAAGGGGGAAATCGTCCCCTAATCAAATACCCGATCTGATCGTCACCGATGGAAGAAATCCTTAGTTAACCGGTGGAGTTGCGGGAACCTCGAAAATTAGTACCTACCTACTCTGAAGGTGGAGAATATCAACGAGAATCCTCATTTGCGCTCGATAAAACACTCCAATCACTGCGAAGAGACCAAAATCATGTTGACACCTAAGGAAGAGTCGAGAACTGTCCAATGGTGGGGCAAGTGAAGGAGGGACAGTACCTAGGTAGATATTATGCAACATTTCCGGAGTAATTTGAGTAACCATCTGATCTTTGACAGAGATCACTCTTTGCCATGCAGATCCATACTCGACTTTGATAGAGTCTCCCTCACCGTCAACCGATCTGCTCAGGCCCGCCCACCAAGGCTGATAAACCGGTAGGAGATACTTCAATACTACCTCGTTCCTTGGTTGAAATATCCTCTCCGACTCCAGTGCTGTTGAGACTTGCATCAATAAAGGTTTCTTGCTCGTAATGCGAAGCGCTGTGCCGTCATCGTACATTATTAACTATAACCATCCCTGATATACATAACTAGCCACTGCGTACACACACACACACACCTTGCATACAATGTATAGATCAAGAACTACCCGCAGTATCGGTAGTACTACCTAGGTACGGTTACCTAGTGTACTTATGTAGTAACCATATCATATCCATCATTCATGCATAAAAATACCACCCTGGGATTGATCAAGGGAGAATCAATCTCCTACCTAGATACTGTACAGGGTAGTTAACTACGGCATCCATGGATGTAGAATTACCAATTCAGTCTGCCTGTGTTGTTATTATTATTAGTATCATTAACTATTAACTACTACCTAGGTAGGTAATTGATTAATTAAGCAGTCCACACAATAACTAGTTTAATAAGTTATGGAATACTCCGTAGTTAAATCTGTTTGTATTATTCTTATCAAATTCCAAGGTTAATGTAACCCAACAACAGCGAAGGTTAAGAAAGAAAATGAAAAAAAAAAAAAAACTTACCCTACCAAGGTAAGAGTACTAGCAGCTAATTGGTACATACATATATATAAATACTTAGGTAGGGACATACATACATACATACATACATACATACATACATATACTTATGCCTGCAACCCAGTTCCCGTCTACTTCCGCTCACCCCAACCCATCGAACTGGAGAGAACCACTGAGGTAGGTAAGTAAGTAGGTAGGAAGGGAGAGAGAGGGAGGAGGATACTCTGAACGGGACACTTTTTGCTGCGGAAATAGTGTATCTTTTCCGGCCTCCACATATCAGAGTTTTTCATTGAGATATTATGATCGCACGGTAGCTATGGGGACAATGACGCCAGAATGGATGGAGCTGCTGTTGTTATCGATGTCCGTAGGCAACTAACTTAGGTAACTATTTGTCTGATGAAGTAGTAGTAATGAATCAACACTTCGAGTTGTCCTTTGCTGGATTGGTTGCTTTTATTAGAACTATTACTACTACCTTGTTCAGATTCGCGTCGATTGCCTATTAGACCCTCCTGATTAGGGATGTGATACGGTATCTGAGTCCAATTCCTAGAGGAACCGAAGTGACTTAGAAATCCTTCAACTTGGACAATGGTTGTTTGGTTGGTCTGCTTGATTTGGTAACCAACCACTCAGGCCTAATCTAGGTCTACGGGATTGACCTACGTAGTCCTGTATTCGGATAGAATGAACTACAATGATTCTAATGCCATGGAAAGCAGCCCCCGCCTTGAGCACGGTAACCAGTTCAAAAAAAAAAAAATCAAAATTTCCATAGGGTATCTCGTAAATAGTATTGTACATCTTCAAGCGGGGAAATAGCCAACCGAAGCCGCAGGGTACGAGAGGCGCGAATCATTTATCAATTTCCATGGCGTCCCCTGCACCTGTTGCTATAGGTGCAGGTGCAGGCGCTGCAGGGGCAGGAGTGGACGTCGGAGCGTTAGTGCTGGCCGGATTCTCCACACTATCCTTTTTGGTTTCTGTTGAAGCGGGTTTTGTCTCGCTGCTAGACGTTTTCTCGTTGGGATCCTTCTCTTCAACATGAGAAGGATCCAAAAACCTGCCGGGGACGCCACGGGCGGCAACCCCAGTAGGCCCAACATAGCATCCGAGCATTGGGCTCCAGGCATACTTTTGTTCGGAGGTGTGGCGGATTTCGTGATATGCATAAGAATTTGCAAAGGGGAGGGATGTATCCGGGTCCCGGTACCGTGAAGGGAGGGAGGTGATGACACAGAGGGATGAGGAAATCTCTGTACAGCGTGTTAGAGGTCTAATCCAAACGAAGGGGAAATCCAAGGGATCTGCATACTTGTGAGCCTAGGAGGTTTCTTTGCGTTAAAATAAATACTGAACTCCTTGCTCTGGGCGGTCTTATCATCGAAATTTTCCAGCACTGTGAGACATCGTCCGGTTTGCTCAACGACCGGAGGAGGTGGAGGGACCGTTGGCTGGACAGACTCATTCGAGCCAGCTCCTTGATCTTCATGGATTTCAGGTTTCTTCTGGTCCTGCTGGACCGGGGATTGCGCCTTTTCTGGCTCGTCAAGTTGCATGGGCGTGACAGTATCATTTGGCGCGGGAACATTCGGTGCGGCAGTATCACTGGGGATAGTGGTCAAATGAGCAGATTCAGATACAGCCTGGGGACCTAGGGATGGCTTCTCAATCGGCTCTTGTGTTGTATTAGCAGGCTGCTCTTCTTTGGGCTTCTCAATAGTTTCTGGCTGCTCGTCAATTTTCGGTGCCAAAGTCTCGCTGAACGCTTCCGCGGCGGTTTTAGGAACTGTAGTGTCGCTTGATGTTTCTTCAGATGCCTTCTCTCCGTTTGCGACGGGTGCATTTTCGACAGTGGGGCTTTTCTCCGAAGCTTGGCTCTGAGATGATTTGTCCACATTCTCATTTTCGGCCTTACTTAATTCTGTTGTCTCTGTATTTGGTGGATTGCTAGATTCTGGGGTGGGTGGCGGAGGTTTAGCGGTGGGTTCTGGAGGGATTGTAGGGATTGTTGCGGCTGTCGATATCTCGTCAGTATTAGGTGGTTTGCTCTCAGAGGTCGTTTTATCCTTTGTGGCTAGATCAATTTTTGCTGGTTGGGGCTGTGTGAGAGCTTGATCTGACTTGGATTCGCTACTAGCAGTGGGCACTCCTTCGGTAGTAACGTTTTCTGATGAAGCAGCGGGAGCAGTCTGAGATTTGGCAGGACCCGCAGCAGCATCTTTTGAATCCTGCTCTGTCGTACTTTTCCCTTCTTTGTCTCCCTTCTTGCTCTTCTTGCGTGTGCTATCTTCCTTCTCTGGTTTGGGCGTAATATCGACTTTACCAACGCGCGATAAGCGGCCGTCAACCCACGTAGCAAGACCACTCCAGTAAGACATCACGGGGCCTTCGAGACGGCGGTTTTGAAGTGCTTCAATTTTTGCCCGTCTTTCTTCAGCCTTTCTCTTCTCCATCTCTTCCCATCGGTTAAGACTCTTGCTGTTCAGCCTTTCTACCCTTTCCGCTTCAGCTAGATGTTCAGCCTGTGTCATTTCCTTTGGCTTGAGTTTTGCTTTGCGCTTGGCCGCCTCCTCCATAGTAGCTATCAGACGAATACGCTTTTCCTCACTGTCTTTGAGTCGTGCATGGGTAAGCTCCTTGTTCTGCATGGTTTGCCGACGGGACGAAGAGCGCGTAGGCCCTTCTTCCGGCGTAGGGATCCACGAAACACGCTCGGATTTCTTTCTCGGGCGGGGAGCAGGCGTTGTTATTGGTGTTGTTGTTGTTGATGATGAGATAGTCGTTGGGTCAACCTTGACTTTCTTACTAGCAATTCTGAAGCGAAGGTCGTCTCGGGCTCTTTTTCTTTTCTTCTCTGCCTTCTCATCTTTCTCAATCTGCTTTTCCCCTTCCAAGTCGTCTACCTGGGCATTAGGTCCCTGGTCATCTTCGTCGTCCGAAGAAGAGTCCAATCCCATGTCATCTTCCTCTCCTCCTTCCTCTGCTGCGTCGACCGCGAATTCATTATCATCGTCTACTTCTTCAAAAAGAAGCGCAAGATCGTCATCAGCTTCAGCGTTTAAAAGAGCAGACAGACGACTCCCTGCCGTGCTTCGCTTCGCGCGTCCTGCGATGAGAGATTCCACAGGAGCATCATCCTCAGAAGAAGAGGTCCTCTCATCATCGTGCGACATCCTCGTATGGCTAAAGTTGTACGCTCCAATTATTCGACAGCGGGTAGGTGGCAATCAACTCGATTATTCGAATTTCGACTCGGATTTAAGTCAGGATGCGAGTTAACGCATCTGTACAATTATGCAGGCGGGACAGCATCATCCAGAAGAAAAGATTTGCTGAAAAAGCCCGTATGATACGGCAATAAAGGTATGATTTAATATATAAAATATATGGAATAATGGGACGATCCTAGCATAAATTAACAAGGAGATGGATGTTTGAGGATCGATCTTGACTGGGGAAGAAGTTTGGAAGGCGGTGAACAAAGAACGGCAGATCGTTGGCGGTATATCTATAGCCTGAGGTGTCGAGGCCAGGCACCACTTATGTAAGCTAAATATGCCAAGTGTTCCTTTTTAATTAACTGAGATGAACTACTTTACTTTAGTTAACTATAGTTACTCCAGGTTTCTGCGTAACTCGGAAGTTTATACCGCCTCCAAGCCAGAGTAATTGCAAAATAACTATACAGAGTATGTATTTCCGGAACGGCTTCCCTCGGATTACCACCAAATTGTTGCTTTCCCGTAGATAATCATCCCGCCAAGAGTGCCACGGACACTTTGGAGGGCCGAGGCCAATTGCGCTTGGATGGACGAGCGAGTGCAATTCTTTACGGAGTACGGAGTAGATTCCCTAGGTAAACTTCGGGCTCTTTGATTTTGCACGCAGAAGAAGAAATATTATCCCTTGCGGTCCAGACGGAGTAATAGCGATCTTTCTACCCTCCCTTGCATCTGAAAGACTCGCATATATCCGGGAAATAGGTTGGGGTTCCCCTGAACTTTTTAGGGACCGTCTGTCATTGTAAGAGACGCTTGGCTCTACTTCGAGTAGGGTTAAACAGAGTCCACTAAACCGACTTATGCACCTCACTTCAACAGGGGTTACTCAATCATTATAACGATGCAGTGTTTCTTCTGAAGGAGGAGATCATGTCACCAACAAGCAGATGACGAAGGCTGTTGGAATGTGGGGTCAAGGATGTTTCAAAGTGTCAATCATTCAAACGACACAGTTCTCAGATCTTTCCCTGTTTCAGCATCGGCCGTGATTAACGTATCATTGGCACACGCCGTCTCGGAAAGGGGCTGGTTCATGGGAGGTTAACCTGTGGGAAACGAGAGATATCCACCTGTCACATTTCAATTTGTAGTTGGCGTATTGCGAGCCACGGGAAGAACTGGATTATCAGGAGGCGTGGGAAAAGGAATGAGCAACGAATGAAAGCGAAAAGACGCCGGCTTTGAGGACCAGACTCGACAGATAACCATTGTGAGCTCGGAAGAACTCCACCAGAGATCTTTGGATCGTGTCTTGAAACACCTAGTGTCATCGGCCAAAGACTGAGGAAGCAGACGGGCGTTAGTTTCGATGGGTTGATGTCGTACAAGTTGACCATCTGGCAAACGGGAAGAAAGGGAAAAAGAAAAGAGAAGAAAATGATGACTGAGTGTGCTTACAAGAGCCCCAGCCTAGAAGACAGAGACCAAGATCGATTCTCTTCATGAAGCACGTCAGCCAGTCAACCAGTGATGAAAGCTGTCCAGGTACAGTTTATCCAGTCAAATGAAAGAAAAGCAATACCATCCATGATGATACTAATAATATCATACTCGTCGTAGTTTTAAGAAACTAGAACGAAATTCGTCTCTTCGCAGCAGCCAACCAACCATAAGAGATGTGGTGGTCGTAGTCGTGGTAGAGCCGGCAACCTCCAACCTCCAACCGCCTTTCTCTCTCTCTCACTTTCTTTCTTTCTCCGGAAAGTCTTTTTTCTCTCTTCCTCCCTCTCTGTTCTTTTTCACCTCAACTGCTATCTCTCTCCTAGTATCTTTCACTTCTCCTATTTTCTTCTCCCCCCTCTTCATCTTTTGCAATTTTCTATTTCCCAGTATTTCTTTCAATCCAGTATCTTTTTAGTCACGCTGTCCTTCGATCTTTTCTTCCGTGTCGTCTTTTTTCCTCTCCAGCTTTTGCCCTCAGTTGCGCAGTGTATTTCCAGCCACCACGAGTCGACTTTTCGCTTCCTGCACTTCCGAGTCATCGCCTTTCTTCTTTCGAGCCCCTCGCTTGACCTTTTGTCTTGACTATCCATCGCATATTTCTCGTATTATCTTCCAGCGGGTCTTTGCGGAATACAGAACGATTTTGGCTTGGGACTTGATACTCTCTGGTGGTGCCTTTTTGTGGCAGACAGATCGGGTCACATCACTCCCCAGACAGCACCTTTTCTAATTGCACCTGTCCCCTTAATCTTTACCCACAACTGACGGACGGGCCATCGCACGAGTTTCTCACTCAATTCCTCTTTCACACTCCTTGTTGTTCATCTTCGTTCGAGCTTACGTATCTGTTGGGGCCATTCCTCCGGGCAACCCCGCCACGCTCACTTTTGAACTCGAACGCAAAACACCAAAAGTTGACTGAATCATATGGGATACGCAACCTAGACGAACCTCCATTTGTGTCGCTGGCCACTTGATTAATACAGGTCGCCTCTTTCCCCGCATTAAGTGCTCAAAACATATGGTTATCCAGCGGTGAATTTTCACAAGCAAGAGACCAATCCATAACAAGCGACCTACCGCTGCATTGCACCTAAATCTCCGGCTTTATTACTAGTCCGTTGGATAATTTAATACCGGCCTATTCGGCGCGGAGGTCTATAATTGATGATGTTGCCCGTGTCACGGCCCGAAGGGCACATGAGCCTCAACTACATTCCAGCTACCCAGCCAATTTCGGGGCCTTCCACCGGTCGCAGCTCTCCTAGTGACCCGTCTGCATCTACCATTAAACCCCCGTTCGGATCTTCCACCAGTCTCAATGGCGCCGCAGGCTCTATCGGAAGTGCAAGGTTAGGGGCTGGATCCCCTTCTCATGAACTCGGTGCTCGCTTATACTCGAAACGGTATGTGACCAAAGAGATTGTTAAAACCCCCCTTAACTAACCTACGGATTCGTCTTGCCTAGGGCGCGAGAAATTCAAGCGGAGGAAGGAGTTTCCCCAAGTATCTGGGGCCCCCCAACCAGTGGCCATTCTACCCCCCTGCGTGAAAACATCCCCGAGTCCCCAAGCCAAGAGGGCTTCCCCGACCTAGTGCCTACCTCGAGTGGCGCATTGAACAGTCCGGCGCGCAGGGCCCGAGCCGGCACAGTCCCATCCCGCTTCTCCCCCGTCGGCGTGCTGAACGAGGCCACTTTGCAACAACCTTACATTTCCCAGACTTCCCGACCTACCCCATCAACTAGCCCTTTTAGACCTACTGGCGTGTCAGGTATTGACACGGGCTCAAAGCCCGCAACCACCGCTGGCGGAAGTGGTGCAGGTAGCCTTTCTCGCCTTCGAGCTGGCTCAATGCCACAGAGGACCAGCTTCCTAGGATCAGCCGGTCCATTTGGTCCTTCGCTGTTCTCTACGACTTGGGCTACTGGACGTGATCGGGCGACCACACTTACCAGCATCAGATCTTCTGAAGGCCCCACATCCCCTACCCAGTCCTCCTTCTCACGAGATGGACTCACAGATGCCGACGTGAAGACACTGGACTACCTTGGCCTCGCAGAAACCCCGCAACAGGCTCGAGCCACTCTTGTACGACCCACAGTCGATCTCCTTCTTCAGCAACAACAGCAGCAGCAAACCTCTTCGCTCCCCCCTCTGCTAGCAGAGCTTGCGATGATCAAAAACAACAGCCGAATCCGTTCTTATTCCGTCAACGCGAAGGAAAAATACGCCGATGATGAAGACCTTGAGTATGAAAGTCGCTACTCGCAGCTTCCTTCGGGGACCCTCACACCTTCTGCAGCTGCAACGGCAGCCCAACTGGCCGCGACCCAAGCCCAGATTCATCAGCACAACCTAGCTGTGCAAGCATTCGCGAGCCATGCGTCTGCAAGTCGGCCCCGAGCCCGAACTGCTGGTATTCTTGAGGCGCCGCCCCAACGCTCATCCATCAGGAATTATCTTGCCACTCCTTCCCGCCTTGAAAATAGCTTTAGCGCTGCAGACCTCAATATTGCAGAAAGCGGGGAATATGAGGAGCTAGCAGAAGCTGTGCAAATGCTGCATCTAGGTGGAAGCAACGGGCCTAATCTTGCGATGCGATCAGGTGCGGAGCTGGTCGATGAGAATAACCAAGACGGTCCTACGCGCGCTTTGTGGATCGGCAGCATCCCAGTCTCGACAACCGTGACATCTTTGGAGGCTATTTTCAGCATGTATGGTAAAATCGAATCCACTCGCGTGCTGACCCACAAGAACTGCGGCTTCGTCAACTTCGAGCGCATCGAAAGCGCTATTCAAGCCAAGTCGTTACTGAACGGCAAGGAGATCTTCCCCGGGGCCGGCCCTGTCAGGATCGGTTATGCGAAAGTTCCTGGAGCTTCCAATTCCGGTACCCCCGGTGTGAATGGTGCTCAGTCTTCTCCTACTCCTGATCCCAACGCGAAGTCTAATGTGCCAGATGATGCTGAGAGATTTAGCAGCGGGACTAGCGTCCCTCAGATTCCTGCACTTGCCGATCTTCAACCGGAAATGGTGCAGATTGTAAAAGAGTTCGGAGCGACAGATGATGATACCATCAAGATTACCGCGAATATCCAACAGGCAGTCTCGTTCCAGGCGTTTAGCGACGAAATTCCCCCAGTTCCAGAGCCCAACCAAACTAGGATTTTCGACGCCCCTCGTCTCCGCGATATTCGAAAGAGGATCGACAATGGCGCCTGCTCCGTGCAGGAGATTGAGGAAACTGCGGTGGCAATGCTCCCTGAAATTGCGGAACTTTCTTCAGATTACCTAGGCAATACTGTTGTCCAGAAGCTCTTTGAATACTGCTCGGAGTCCACTAAGGAGCAAATGTTGCTTCAGATCTCCCCCCATCTTGCTGAGATCGGTGTTCACAAGAATGGTACTTGGGCGGCACAGAAGATAATCGATGTGGCCAAGACCCCGGTCCAGATGGGAATGATAGTTGACGCGCTCCGCCCATACACTATCTCTCTTTTCCTCGACCAATATGGAAACTACGTCCTGCAGTGCTGCCTGCGTTTTGGCGCTCCGTACAACGATTTTGTTTTTGAAACTATGCTGAGCCGTATGTGGGAGGTGGCTCAAGGGCGTTTCGGAGCTCGGGCTATGCGTGCATGCCTTGAAAGTCACCACGCTACGAAGGATCAGCAGCGCATGCTCGCAGCTGCTATCGCCCTCCACAGTGTACAGCTTGCCACCAATGCCAATGGTGCTCTTTTGCTTACCTGGTTCCTGGACACCTGTACCTTTCCTCGACGACGAACTGTGCTTGCTCCTAGGCTTGTGCCCCACCTAGTGCATCTCTGCACCCACAAGGTGGCTTATTTGACGGTGCTCAAGGTTATCAATCAGCGAAACGAGCCCGAAGCCAGGGAAATCGTGCTGAAAGCTCTTTTCTTCAGCCCAGGTGATGAGGTGCTAGAAAAGATCCTCAGCGATCAAACGTCAGGAGCAACTTTGATTTTCAAGGTTCTTACCACGCCGTTCTTCGACGAGTCCATGCGAGCGGAGGTCGTCAAGAATGTATCTAGGGTGCTCACAAAGTTGAAGGCTACGCCTAGCCAGGGGTACAAACGTTTGATGGATGAGGTTGGCTTGTCTTCGCGAGGAGGATCTCGGGATAATCATCATGGCCGTGATAATACTAGCCATACCCCCGCCACCGAAAAGCAACAGCATCGCCCCACATCCCGCCAGACGACCTCCAACAATTATCCCTCGCAGCCAACCTTGGAAAGGCAATATAGCGGGCAGCTCCCTCCCTCTATGGGCCAGGGGTTGGATAATGTGCGCTCCTTGCCATTGGATCAGCAACCAAATGCGTCCTCGTTCGAGCCGTATCCTGTCAATGGAGTAGGGGGGCTTGGCTCTGCAGGCACCATGAATTCTCTGAATGGAATGGGCGGGTTAAACGGTGCTGGGTTTGGCCAGGACCCTTTGATGCCTATGGCACAGCAGCCGATTCAGTACCAAGCGTATCTCACTGCTCAGTCTCGTGGGGTATCTCCAGGGGGACTTTACCCTGGTTTGGGCAACTCCAACTTCGGATACCAAACAGGATCGGACAGTCTTCGAGGAATGCAACCCCAACCTACACCTTTACCCGGGGCCCCCTCGCAGATCAACCCAGGCTCCATGATTAACCAGCCTCCTTACGCTTCCCAACAATTTAGCCCCGTCATGGGGACGACTCAGATGTATCAGTACCCCTCGCAGTTCTACTCTCAAACACCACCTGTTCAAGGACAGTCAGCTGGGGGACGACGTGGACGTGTAAGTTACCTTTTGCATGCAGGCGATCCTGTCCGAGCATGAAGCTGACATACCTGCCTACAGCGCTGAACCTCTCCCTTATATCTTTTTTAATCCATCTTGGCTTCGACCTTGTGTATAAAGTTATTCTTTTATTTTTCTTATCTTTCGAGATACAGAGATTAGTATGGATATATGTACGGAATGACACTACCAAACCTAGATCGACGCTGGATCGTCTTGGAAAAGGGGGAGGAAGAAGTGACAAAAGGAAAAAAAAAAAACAAGTGTTGCGATTTCTGTTTTCTTCTGAGAGCATAGTGATGCCATGTCAATAAGTTCCAAAGTGATTCCAACACCTTTCTCGTGGCTATGGGTTCTTTACTTTTGCGGATTTTCCTTCATCATAGCTCTGTTGGATATAAAACAATTCTTATTGTTTAGTATTATTACCATTACTCATGATCATGATTATGACTACGATGCATTGCTTGATTGTATCTACAAGATGTCTGTCTGGATTTTGGGAGATTATAGAGTTAAATGTTGAATCAATTTGTGTTTATGTTATTTGAAAATTGAGATTTATATGTTTTAACACAAAGATTTTGGTGTCAAGACTCAGACTTCTGTTTCCCGAGTTGGAGATGCAAATCCAGATAGATATACGGAGGAGGGGATCTCTCCGCATAACTTTCCCCAAACCTCCATCGTCGACATTCCAAACAACCAACTCCACCTTGACAAGTAAACCCAAGGACATTATGATTCGAAATGGGAGAAACACCTTCAATCCTCTACGAGAACTCTGGCGGTACGATCTTTTTAGTCGATATCCCGGCCTCGATTGAGTCCGCACAAAAACCTTCCGCCCAATGTTCGTCGCGTGGGACCAACGCGAACCAACGACGCCCTAGGCATAAGGCTACAAAAACTCATATTCTCTCTTCAAGACCATTAGGAACACCTTATCCGGGGTCCTCAGAGCCCAAAACAAAAGCTGCGCGTGAGAAAGTTCTGGGGCGAATCCCGGCCTCCGAATTGGAATTCTACGCAGAAGTTCAGCCTCTCATTGTCAACGCTCTGAACCACATTAGGGAAAACCGCCAGCCTGGAGATAGTTGGTGTACCTTGCGGTCTGTGTTCGAATATGGGTGTCCAGATCCCGAACATTCCGGGAAACCAGATAAACCCCAGCGAGGAAAGAAGAGGATGAGAGAAAGTGTCCCAAAACTTCTCAGCAATGAGTTTCAGTTCCTAACTGGAGATTCAAAAGTAGATCAGGAAGCACAAAGGCAGGATGCTAGCAGCGATCCACCGCTGATTCTATCGCCGGGTGTCAATAGGTTCGATTCTATGTCGGAGATATCGAATACCCTAGCCAGAAACACCTCGTTTCAAGAAGCAGTGATTCAAGTTCGTTGTCACTGTGATGTGGAGGAGGAGTCTTCCGTGTCGATCGTCAGCGAAGATGAATTGAGTCAGAATGGACAACAGCACCACCACTATCACACATTTTATGTACCCCCGTCGTCAAACTTGCTGCTTCGCAAACTTCCGATAACACCGTCCTGTACGAATGTACAGCAATCACCACCGATGCAGCCAATCCCCGGTCTACCACGAGACCAAAAATTCAACCTCATTCTATTTGATCCGCCATGGTCGAACAGGTCTGTTCGTCGCAGTGGCCATTACCACACGCAATGTTATCTTGATGACGACTCTCTTTCACGGAAAATAAGCGATATCCTCAAGATACATTCTACAGATACGACTATTTGGGCCCCTAATTCCTCTATTGCTGCCATATGGGTTACTAACTCCGCGAAATCGAAGAAGATAGCGTGCAATGCTCTCCACGAAGCAGGTTTTATGGTGTGTGAAGAATGGATATGGATCAAGACTACTACAAAAGGCGAACCTGTTACACCGTTAGAGGGTCTTTGGAGAAAGCCTTACGAGGTTCTTGTCATTGGGAAAAGGGCATGTAATCAGTGGAAAACCAGGGGACCTAATCAAATCTTCCAGAGAGTCATTGCTGCAGTCCCGGATGTCCATTCACGAAAGCCTCACTTGAGGGATCTCTTCGAAAAGGTATTCTTTTCTCCTGAGGATGTACCCAATCCGTTTAATCGCGGTCGTACTTACTCTGCTTTGGAGGTGTTTGCCCGGAATCTGACAGCCGGATGGTGGGCTTGTGGTGATGAGGTGCTTTTGTTTAATTCAGAAGAATGGTGGATTTGACCCGAATCTTGGATGTATCACTATAGAGCTGAGCTTGTGTATATATCTATAAACCGCTATACATGCTATCCAAAGAGTGTTTATCAGGTAGACACTCCGTACTAATGCAATTCCATGTCCCGTACATATGTATGCCTTAAATTACAAGTCTCCTGGGATAACCACATCTTTAACCCCCCCCCCCCCCCCCCTGTATTGAGTAAATCCATCAACATGTACAGTTAGTTACCTATCCGATGCAAAGGATCCTGTTGACCTTGATATGCAAACCCTCACAAACCCAGGAAGAGAAAACAATAACACCACATGAAAAGAAAAGAAAAGAAAAGAAAAAATCAATCAATCAATCAATCAAACACCTCCCCCAAACTAACAAGACTAAACCTCAAATCCGGATTTCCTCCCTTCGCCTCCGTCTCCAAGAACCGCCTCACTCCCAGATTCAGCGCCTTCTCACTCAACGCATCCTCGTCGGCCGCCAACCTCCCGCGCTCCAACGGCCCCTTCCTCCGCCCATCTAACTCCCACAGCCGTCCGTCCTGCCCCTTCACAAACGCCACAAAGTGCAAGTCCACGTTATCCTCCGCCTGCGGGGCCGCTGTATCCCCCAACCGCGCCGCATCCGCATGCGCACTCTCCAACGCCTTGCTTTCGTACAACAGATCCGCCCTCTGCCCTGGCGCGAGCGGCTCCGCATCCCGAAGCAGTGCTTCCAGATCCGACCCGGGGAGAACATGGCTCCGCGGCTCGCCGTTGGACACGGCATGCAGCAGACCGATCAACCCGCACGCGTTGCGGATGGTTTGCTTGAACCACATGACTGGCTCGGCGGGTCCAGAGCCGGTGTATTCGGCAAGAGGCGCGTCCTCGGCTATACGGGAGGATTCGTAGGTTTTTGAAACGGGGAAGACAAGGAGGAGGGCGTGCGAGGGCCGCGGGACGAGGGCGAGCAGGTCTGGTTCTTCGATTGAGAAGACGTCGGAGAAGCCAAGGGTGGGGACGAGGCCAAGTTGGTGGACTAGGTGGGACATTACTTCAGGGTTGTTTTCTGATCCATTTGTTCATTCATTCATTATTATCATTCTTCTTCTTCTTCTTCTTGTTGGCTAGGGGGAGGGGAGGTGGGGTTCGTTGGTTGACCGTACCGAGTGGCACAAAGGCCTTGTTTGTATTTGGGACATCGGGGTTTTCTGCCATGGTTGTAAAGGATTCGTCTTTCTCGGGTTAGAATGCTGGAGTAAAGTCCTTTTTTGGATGGGGAAAGAGAAGAGATACGAAGGTGAGGTATGTGTTCAAGAAGATAGATAGATAGACGGTGCTGCTATTCTCACGGCGGTCATTCTCAAGGCATAGCCATTTTAGGTTAGTAGGGGGGTACCTAACTAACCATAGTTAGTGTATGGGTCCTCGCTAGTTAATATGTAGTTATGTGGGGTACCTGGATTATCTATAGATTACTCTGTATACCTCTCTAATTTCTATAACTAGTTAGTGGCTCCTTGGAGAAAGATCTTACATAATTATACCTTTATAGTAGCTTTAAATTTATCTACTAGTACCTATATAACCTTGTAGAAGACCTTATAGAGATATGAATTATAGACATGGGTAGAATCTCTACCTACGCCGAGAGTTAATCCATTCTGGGGTTCTACCCACGCCGAGCTGTAAGCCCAGCATCATTGTATATCTGACAAGATCGGTTTACAGCTATGTCTTTTAGAATTGAACCTCTTGTATGTTTTCATTTCATTTCACTGGTGCATTCATCAAAGCATCTAATATAGAGTCTAGTTGGCTAGTCCAGGCTTCGTCCCCTGCTTAAGCGGAGAGTAGACGCTTGTCCACAGCTCACTCGCTTCCCCAAGGAAATAAGTCAAGCTGATATCTGCCATGCTCGCCTCTTCGTCTCCAGAAAGGGTCTCCAGTTGAGCGATGATATTCTCCAATCCAAATGCCTTGCCGGTTGCCTGTGTGCTGCCAGCTTCCAGCATAACATTGACAATGTGGATATGGAAATGATAGTATGTGGGTTGGTCTAATGCTCGCATTAACAACGATCAATCTCAGCAAAATTGATTGGAAACCCACTTACAATGCACATAGAGCTTCAACTGATCCTGCTCCAGCTCAGGATACATCTTGACTGTACCCTCAAGCACCCGCTGTCGTAGATACCGCAGCCAAGGGATATGCTTTTTCTTGAGATCCCGCAGGCTCCAAATGTCGCGTCTATGCACCAGAGCCAGCAAATGCAGCGACCCCATGGTCTTTCTATCCCAATTGAGATCCGGTAGCATCAGGAATCCGTCTTCCGGTCCATGTCCCGGATCTCGCAGAATTACATCCTCCTGCTCGGTGCGTCCCTCCAGAATATTAAATACCCAATTTAATCGCCCCGCCTCTCGCGTGGCTTTCATGTAAGGCTGGATATAATCACGGTAGATCCCCGGTGTCTCGGTTACCATGCGGAGTACCTGGTCCGAATACTTCTTGATGTGTTGCTCTGTGCACGGCCAGATGAGATTCAGCTTGAGATCATGCGATGGTTGACCATCTGCATCTGACCCCGAGGATGCCAGATACCATCGGTAGATATCGTTATCTCCCAGGTTGTTCACGCGTGTGATTGCAGAGTGGAAGGCTTTCAGAGAAGCGAGGGATTCGGTTGCGAATGCTGCGCGTTCGGCGGTAAGGATGCCTTGTTTTCCATCAATGGATCCGAGAAGGGCAATTCGGCGTCCGTTCTGATCTAGAAATTTTATAATTAGTTCCCGTCGCTTGCGAAAAGCCAAAAGAAAGCCTCATTAGATTTGTTGCCTGTCTATCCTTTTGCGGGGAAGTGGGTAGGGCACGGCACGGCAGGACAGACCTTGCTTGAGGAGCCTAGAAACCTCGAATTTCGCAATGAGCGCTTCAGGTGCAGCTTTGACTTCATTATTTGTCTCCATTATTAAAAAAAAAAAAAAAAATGCGAGTTGACCCTATGAAGCTCTCTATATTGAAAGAGTAAGACTGTCGGGCTCCCAAATCTGTTAAAACTGGCAGAATCCGTGGCGGTCAGTTAGATCAACTAAGGACCGATCAATACGCATACGGAGTCAAACAAAAGCAGGTGGGGAGTAGGATTGATTTGCTTTAGTCTACATAGAATATGTGCCTAGTTACCGTCGATAGCAGTCTGACAGATGGCAATCGGAAATAAGCCCGAGTACCGCGAACTAGGTGCCAGCGCTCATCACTGTTTCTTGAAGGCTTTCTCGTCGGTATCATGTCTTGCGCTGTGGACGGCCTTGTGTTTCCAGGGGCCCCAGGGCTGGGAATTAGCTGGCTATATCGAAGCGCGTCCACACCGGAAGCTGACTTGATCGCGCACCGCGCTCGATGTCATCTATAGCCGCGTGGATTTGAAGTCGTCAATATGAATGAGTTATCCACTCAAGTAGAGAACTACTTTTCTTGACCATGTTGGGAGTGCATCTACTCTTCCGTTAGCCTGGGGACATGATTCGCATAGAGGCCACACCTACCGCTTCTGCAAATCTCACCCACTCTTCGACCCCTTTTACGAAGGGGTCATCCGCAGCTGGAATCGTTTCATGTCCCCAGACTATATAATCCCCGAAAGTAGCCTGCCTCTCTAGAATCTCCACAGGTTCTTCTGGTTCGGCGTCCTCATCCACAATGGCCACGTCTTTTCGTGGAGTCGGCATGACGCGATCTGTTTGCGTGACTACAACCCCTATGAAGAGTGTTGGTAAAAATCCATAGAAATCAGGGCATGCTTGGTCTCATACCTTCGTATCCCTCTGGGATAGCGACGCGGCGGCCTCGCAATTTACGGCCTCGGAAGTAGGCAGTTTGGAGATTTGTATCTGGAAAATTTATCAGCACATGAGTTAATTCGTAAATGGTAAGGCTCGTTCCCACCTTTTTCGTCTGCACTGGGGGTCCAGTATCGCTTGAGTGATTTCACAGGGCCATCGTAGTGGACTTTGCAAGGGAGGATATTTGGCGTGCAAGTATCTGCGGCGCTGTTTTCCTTGGTTTCGGGGTGTTGCTGTGGCTGGATGGCGAACATGATTCCGTCAGTGCCTTGAATTGCGAAACTTAGTACCTGGAAAGTCTTTGATAATTGAGAGATTGAGGTTGAGGTCTTGGTGGTTGAAGTGTCGGAATGGTGGCTGCGGGTTATTATCTTGGAAGCGCGACGCGTTCACCGCGTAAAGTGGGAGCGGGAGCAGACCCTGAAGCGCAACTAGACTGCGAATTTGGGATTTCTCGATTGATTTACAACCTCGACATTGAACTATGCTATCACTGAATGGAAAGGTTATTTTAAGTGTGTATTTATGATTTCTCTAATCTACCTATCCATTTGCTGGGGATGTACTCCGTAACAATCGAAAGAATCAAGAATATGGGGTATATCTAAGGCATTCGCCGGTGAAACCAAGACTAGGTACTACTACCTCTTGCGCGTTTTCTTCTTCTTCTTTTTCTTCTTCTTATCGTCTGCTCCCCCTTCTTTACTCTCGGGAGCCACGCGCACTGGCCATTTCTTCAAATGTTCCCGTTCAAATTCATCCTTGTCGCGCCGGTACAAAAGCATTGTAGCCTTCGCATCCTCCACACTAGAATGCGCACCGTCTTGAATGTCTAACCCAAGGAACTCAGAAGCAAGCACCTTTAACCTAGGAGAACCTCCACCGGCCACCTTCCGATAAGGGGGATGTTTGCTGGTATCTCTGATGTCGCGCTTGGGGTGACTGAGTAGGAGGGCGTCCAAGTCGTTTCGAAGAGCATGTCCAACAAGTATTCGCCCATCCAGAATATCCGTGACTTCTTTCTGGACCTGTTCAAGGGTCCGCGCCTCTATCATATGCTTTGGGGCTATGCCGCTAACGTGTGTCCGCCAATCCGTAACCATCTCTTTTGGCCGTACATAAGAGTCGTAAACCTGTTCGCCATTGAAGTTGACGATACTCACTCGGGCAAGCGCAGAGTCGTTGTCTGGGTTTGGTCCAACGCCGACCATTTCGCAATCCATAGCGACATATTTACCTATTTCGGCACTTCGAGTCCATCAGCAGAGGTTAGAATCTATAGAAAGTATTTGAGTACTCACGTTGGTGAACGGCCCTCGTTGACTTTCGAAACCGTTGCGGTAGAATTCCGGCTCAACACAGATTTTTCGGTAGCGTCCTGGGTACCATTTTCGCCTCCACCTGCTTGGGACATTCTCTTCCTTTTCTTTAGAATTTGTACACTTTGCGGGGTTCGTTTTCCTGCTTCTTTGTTGGTCTTCTGTTTCTTCACCAGAGCATTTTGAGGCTCCCGATCGGATCGCTTGCGTTTTGTTGTAGAGGTGGAGACTTCTTTTTGCAGTGTCTCCTGGAGTTTCTTCCAATTGCTGGAAAGAGATTTCAGTTCCATCCCAGTGATAGGCTCAGGGGTTTTGCAGAGTGAGGTGGTCTGCAATCCGAAGAAAAAGAGAAAAGAAAGATGGCTGCGGATCCGAAGACCGCGCGCTAAAATCTGGACAACCTCCGACGGCCCACTTATATCCTTTCTCTATAATGTTAACCATAGGTACCTGTTCTGCTGTGCTCTGTCAACATTTAGGGGCTTTGGGAGTGATACAGTCTACACAGATTGAATGGAATATGAATATGAATATGAATCTGAATCTGACTTTTATGTAACCCGCCCATACATACATACATGATGATATCTATTGGAATATTCGCCAGGAAAAAAAAAATGTATTAAAAGATCCACCAAACAAATCAGACCTAAAGACCCGGGACCTTGAAATCCTTGTAGGCCCATTTCTCGGTTACCTCTCTCTTCGCCTTCTTTGGCTGGGAAATTGGCTTGCGAGACTCGAGCTTTCCTTGGACAATCAGAGTCCGGAATCGATCGTCAAGAAGATTGCCCTCTGGCTTCAGCAGGCGCAACGAATCCTGAAGTTCATCAGGTAGTGTAACTTCCACCGGCTTCTCGGGGGCCCTAGTATCATATGAGTAAGGGCAAGGAAGGGGGCTGTGGACATAATAACGTACCTTAGCTTGCCTAGAGGCCTGCGGCGCAGAACAGTATCATCAGCTTCATCAGAAGAATCTTCGCTGTGCTGTGCGACTTCCAGCTTGTTTTCTTGCATTTGGTCTGCGATAGCCTTTGCATTCTTTACTTGATCTTCTTTCTTCTGCATTTGAGCCTCCCATTTGGCTTGCCTCTCGGCTTCCTTCCGTCGCTGTATCTTATTCCTCTGTGTCTTGGTCTTTCTCTCAGGGCGTTTCTTGTTCAGCCATTCTGGCTTCTCATACTCGCTCTCGAATCCCTCCCAAGCGCTCTCGTCATCCGACCTGACCCCACCATCATCCTCTCCGGCTTCCACAATGAGACGCTGCCGTTCTTCCTCCTTACGCTCCTCCTCCAATCGTTTCTTTTCAGCCTCGACGGCCTTCGCTCCTTGTTCTTGCAGGAGCCGATCCCAATCCTCGAAAGTCGGGTTATAACTCGTCCCTGCATTCGGCTTCAGAACGGCGGGAATAGCTTTCCCGTTTGCTGCAAGAGAAATCGGGGCATGTTTCAAAGTTTCTGGCGCGACTTTCGGTTTGGGCTTTGGCAAAAAATCGAACTGAGGATCTTCCACAGGGGCTGCATCCGCTTCATCTGCCCACGGATCATAAAGGCCGCTTCCGCCGGACTTATTCATTGGGTTCCCATCCTTGGCCACCTGTTTTAAGCGCAGCCATTCCTTGCGACTTACCCAGTCGCTCTTGTGCTTCTTGGTTTTTGGCTCGATAACACCATCTGTCAGCTTCGGGTTCACACGCTTGCGAGTGTCCAAAGCTGCGATGGCGGATCTCTGGGCCAAAATCTCCTCTGATTTAAGGGCCCTTTTATTCTGTTTCCGGTATGCGTCGCGGATTTCTGATGAGCCGGTTGTGTCAAATGTAAACAGCTCCTCGGAGGGTTTCTCTGCCAGGACACCTCTAGATTGAAAAACAAGTTAGTTGACATATGATAATATATAGAGGGGGGAAAATGAAATTCAAAATATTCATTACCCTTTGATTTCTTCCTCCTTTAAAAGACGGAGGCCTTCTTGAACCTCCGATACATCGACATTTTTTCTCCAGGCCTTCTTGCCCTTACGGGAAGGTTGACTGTATTGCTGAGGGGCCTTGACTGAAGACGACATTCTGAAGATCCTCTCAGTGAATATTCAATGTCGAGTTGTAGAAATGGGCACCTCCTCGTATTGGCAAATTTCCTCCAAGTCGGGATTATTTTCGACCAAAAATCTGGAGCCGCTTACATAAACACGGCCACCAGCGGGGCGACACTAAAAGCGTCTATCGCGCTAAACTCTTTCGCGCCTATCACGGAGAGTCGCTGAGCGCCGCTTCGCTTTCTTCATCATTTCGCTTTTCACCCGCGTCGAGTGGTTGTCGACACCGGCCAGCTTGGACATTACAGTCTCAGCTGCTTGTCTATATTCAGATCCGTTGATTTTACTAGCGGAATTTACTTATTCGGAGATAGTTGATTGGTTTAGTGACAATCTCGCCGAATCTTACCAGCCATGCCGGTCGTCAAAGGAGGTGTTTGGTAAGAACCCTGTCAGGTCAGAATACTATGATCTAATCTCAGCTAACATATATACAGGACCAATATCGAGGACGAGGTCCTTCGTGCGGCGGTAAGCTCATCTAGACAAGCTATATAGTAACCAGCTACGACATTTACCTTTGCGATGGGGCTAACTTCTCACCGTTGCTCTTCTAGGTATCCAAGTACGGTCTCAACCAATGGGCGCGTGTATCTTCGTTGTTGGCTAGAAAAACGCCAAAGCAGTGTAAAGCACGATGGGTTGAATGGCTAGATCCCGGTATCCGAAAAGTCGAGTGGTCTCGCGAGGAAGATGAGAAGCTGCTACATTTGGCCAAGTTGATGCCGACACAGTGGCGGACAATCGCGCCCATTGTAGGACGCACAGCAACTCAGTGTTTGGAGCGCTATCAGAAGCTTCTGGATGAAGCGGAGGCTCGTGAAAATGATGAACTAGGCTTGGGAGGGCCCGGTGCGGAATCCTCCGCTCCTAGTGCGGACGACGTCAGGCGGTTACGGTACGCACTCAGATGCTCGGGTTTCGCTCTTCTTTTTTACTAATTATATACAGACCCGGTGAATTAGATCCCGATCCAGAGTCAAAGCCCGCTCGTCCCGATACAATCGATCTCGACGAAGATGAGAAGGAAATGCTGAGCGAAGCTCGTGCACGTTTAGCGAATACACAGGGTAAAAAGGCGAAGCGCAAGGCTCGAGAGCGACAATTAGAAGAATCACGACGCCTGGCAGTCCTTCAGAAACGCCGCGAACTGAAAAATGCGGGCATTAATATCAAGGTTGTTACCCGCAAGCAGGGCGAGATGGACTACAACGCAGATATCCCTTTCGAAAAGCCCGCCGCTCCTGGATTTTATGACACTATGGAGGAAGAAGCCCGAAACGAAAGGCAGCGGGAAATGTTCGACCCCCGGAAACAACAACTGGCCAACAAGCGTAAAGGAGATCAAGACGAGGATGCCGACCGCAAGAAGAGGAAAAATGACAAGAATAGTAACTCCGCTGCTTTTGCTGCTGCTGCACGAGCCGGTCAGATGCAGAAGATCCGAGAGGCGGAACAAAGTAGCAAACGACGAGCACTGGTTCTGCCCACCCCTCAAGTTAGCGAGAGCGAGATGGAAGATATTATCAAGATGGGGATGGCAGGGGATAGAGCCAGTAAAATGGCTGGTGATGAAGATGGTGCCCGTGGCCTGATTGGGAAATACTCAGCTATTGTCGGGGGAACCCCAATCAGAACGCCTAGGGCTCCGCCAGAGGAGGATCACATTGCCAACGAGATCCGCAACATCAGAGCATTGACAGAAACCCAGTCATCCCTGTTAGGTGGAGAAAATACTCCTCTACACGAAGGAGGATCTTCTACAGGCTTCGATGGGATCGCTCCCCGACGTCAACAAATCGTGACTCCAAATCCAATGGCCACGCCTTTCCGACAGGGAGGTGCAATGGGTGCCACACCTATGCGAGGCGGTATTGGTCCTGGTGCAACCCCCCTACGAACCCCTCGAGACCACTTCGCACTGAATCAGGAGGTGGGAGGTGGACAGCTCGTTGGAAGCACTCCCAAAGAAATAAGGATGCAAGAGAATCTCTCTCGCCAAAGCATCCGCAGCAAGCTGGCTGCTCTCCCCAAACCCAAGGAAACTGAGTGGGAGCTCGAGGAACTTCCCGATGAAGCCGCTGAGCCTGGTACGGCCACTGAATACGTAGAAGAGGACTCGGCTGAGCGAGATAGAAGGGAACGAGAAGCTCGAGAGCGAGCTGCTGAAGCTGAGCACAAACGCCAAACCCAGGTTTATCAGCGTGCACTACCCCGTCCTAGTGTTCTGGATATCGACGCATTAATGGAACGGGCGTCACATGTAACGGACCCGGTTGTTGGCTTGATTACGAAAGAAGCTGCTCTTCTTATTGCTAACGATGCACGCAAATTCCCTGTCCCCGGTTCGAAAGTAGAAGGGAAGCCTCGAAAGTTGGAAAAGCTTGATGATCAGTTGTTGGAGCAAGCTCGTGCGGCCATTGCCGCTGAAATCACATCAGCTGGCAAGCTGCAAGAGTGGGCGGACGAATTTGATAGCCAGTGGTCGTCCAGGCACTCTAGTACTATTCCGGGTCTTTCAAACTACGCCGATGATGGGGAAGAGGATGTCTATGAACAAGAGCAGCAGATGATTGGCGCGTTTGATAATGTGCAAGCCAATTTACTTGCTACTGCGGATCGGGGGAATAAGCTGGAGAAGAAGCTGGCGCTTCATTATGGTGGATATCAAAACCGGGCGAAGACGCTACGAACCAAGATTGTGGAAGCGCACGCAGCCCTCGAAAAATCGACAGATGAGCTGGATGCTTTCCGCACCCTGCAAATTTCAGAAGAATCGGCGATTTCGAGGAGGCTCGAGAAACTACGAGAGGATGTGGCCTTTGTGATGCGACGAGAACGAGAAGCCCAAGAGCTCTATCGATCCCGAAAGGAGGAGCTGGAGGAGCTGGTTGGTGGAACTGGAGTTCTGGTTAATGGGTGGAATTAAGAGACTGGTAGCTGTCTTCATTAAAGCACCAATACTGTACTTCACAATGTAATCTGGTAAAAAAAAATATATATTATCACGTTTTCCCTTGAGAATGTAACAAGCTGTGTCCTTCCAAAGCTATGATGATGATGCTGATGATGACGACGATAGGGGAAGAAGAACCAAAAAGAAGCGGATGTGATGGCAAAAGAGAGCTGGGTAGAGGTAAAAATCACCAAGGCGGTCGGTCTCTCTTCCACCCTGCACAACAGACATTCCTCACCAGTCGCATCAAGAGACTCGCTCATTTTCATCACACAGTTCCTCCCACGTAGTCTTTTCATCCCGGTTTTCTCATCCATCGGGCTGGGAATCCCTCTTTAGATACGATGGGCGTCAGGGATTCTCATGGGGAGGCCACTGGGACTCCCGACCCCGTCGAGAAGGGGTTCGCCACCCTCAACACCATCAGGTAAGATCTATGGCTTCAAATATTACCAAAAAGATTCCCCTAGGGTGTTTGACCCTGGTTTTATCGGTCGCGTATACTAATTAAGCTGATAGGATCGGTGTCAAGGCCATGGTGCAAAAGGTTAGTTTTCTCTTCCCCCTCGGAAAATCCCATCTCGTCTCCGATCACGGATTCTTTCGCGGTCTGTCACGTGATGATATACCATCCAGATGGCTAACGACGACCTCATGTATAGGACGGGGAATTGCGAAAAGCGGAGATCCTGTCCATTAAACAGCGGAAAGATGGTCTTGCTTTCTAGTAAGTCATCTCACGGGTTTATATCCCGACTTTCAAACGAAGCAGTCAAAGCTGATATCGATTCCGACAGTGTCCATTATGTAGACTTTAACAAGCGTCTTGATGGTAAGGAATTCGAAGCTCTTCAGGATTTACTGTGCTAACGGTCCCAATAGAGTGGATTCCGTCTGCGAGGATTGACTTGTCTTATGAAGTTGAATGGCCTCAACCTGAGAAGCCAGAAAAGAAGAAGACTGGCCCAGCCAAGGCTCCAAGCAAGAATAAGCGGCCCCAAGCTGGCAGCCGTGATGTCTCTGCAACCCCAGATCTTCTCGCTGGCAAGAATACCAACGTGGGTAAAGCCCAGCGGCCATCTAAAGCAGGTGGGAAAGAAAATCGCGATGATACCCCCGTGAATTTGTCCATCGTGGGCTCGGAAGCCGTGTCTGCAGAGGCAACACCTAAAGCCGATTCCGATGATATTGACATGATTGACGTGAGCTTCTCTGAAGCCAAAGATGTGAAGGAGGAAGAAGAGAAGGCTGGCCTCATGTCTCGAGAAGAAGAAATTGAAAGGCTGCGTACGAGTGGTAGTATGACTCAAAATCCCACAGAAATCCACCGCGTTCGAAACCTGGATCGTCTTCAGATGGGCAAGTTTGATGTCGAGCCCTGGTACTTTTCGCCTTACCCTGCATCGTACTCCGACGCAGAAGTGGTTTACATTGACGAGTTCTGCTTAAGCTACTTTGATGATAAACGCGCATTTGAGCGTCACCGCGCAAAGTGTACGCTTGTGCACCCTCCTGGTAACGAGATCTATCGGGACGACTACATCTCCTTCTTCGAAGTGGATGGCCGTCGCCAACGCACCTGGTGCCGTAATCTCTGTCTCCTCAGCAAACTCTTCCTTGACCACAAGACCCTTTACTATGACGTTGACCCATTCCTTTTCTATTGCATGTGCACCCGCGACGAAACCGGCTGCCACCTAGTCGGCTACTTCTCCAAAGAAAAGGACTCCGCTGAAGGCTACAATCTGGCTTGTATCTTGACCCTCCCCCAATACCAACGACGCGGGTTCGGAAGACTCCTCATTTCCTTCAGCTACGAGCTCAGCAAGCGAGAAGGGAAGCTAGGGTCGCCAGAGAAACCCCTGAGTGATCTTGGACTGTTAGGATACCGACAGTACTGGCGTGAAACACTTGTCGAGTTGCTCATGGAGCCTGGTCGCGAATCGATAAGTGAAAACGAACTGGCCGTTTTGACGTCGATGACGGAAAAGGACGTCCATGAAACCCTAGTCGTCTTCAACATGCTCCGGTATCACGTAAGCCCTTCTTCCCCTACTCTCTTCCCCCTCTTTCCACCTGCTCTCGCACATAGACAACATAACCTAACTAACGACTTTTTTTTTTTTTTTTTTTTTTAGAAAGGAAACTGGGTTATCGTACTTACTGACCAAGTGGTGGAAGAGCGAAAGAAGCGACTAGAAAAGGAGAAGCTCAAGGGATCTCGCAAGATCGACCCTGCGCGACTCCAATGGAAGCCTCCCGTGTTCACTGCATCCAGCCGAACATGGAACTGGTGAACATCTGTGGGAGGTTTGTTTGTTTGTTTTTTTTTTTTTTTCTTGTACACTTATTACGCGTATTAGCAAGGAGATGATGGCATGCATTATGGCGTTTAGGGTGACGACCTGGAGATAGATACCTTGATTTTTTGGGCGGCGTGAATAACAGCGGGAGTGTTTACTCGAGATCAGATCAATCAATTAATCTTTTTTATAATTAACTCCAAATCATCCAGCTTACTTTGTACCAGTTTGGTTAAGCATATATTGTATGCATGGTGGTATACATATATAGCAAATAGCCTACATTGTATATGAAGATATATCTCCCAAGTTTGCAAGTAAAAAAGTACAGAAAAATATATTTACCACTACTAAGTCGTCGATGAGATAATGAAGAAGATAAAAAAAAAAAAATGATATCTGAGAGTGATTTAACTAATTTATTGTCTGCTCAATCTCTTGACATACCACTACCGAAAAACCAAGTATGAAGAAGACGTTCATTTCTCCTGGCGCCGAGGCATGCATGTATTCTGAATGTTCTGTCTGCCATTTAACATCACCTTTGAAATGCTTAGTTCACCTCTGCTGCAGAGCATGTTAAAATAAAAGAACCATAATATGGGCTGTATACAGATTCCGACATTTGCATCCTTTCAAATAGATATAAGCTATGAGCATGGTAGCCGGTATGAGTGTGAGTGTGAGAGTGTGTGAGAGTGTGTTTGTGCGTGTGTGTTTGCGAAAAGTCTTGCATCCCGCTTATGTAGACAGGGGAGAAATGGCTACTTCAAAACGAGTACAGAAAGAAAGAAAAAGGGAGAAAGGGGGATGGAAAGTAGGGGATATTGTACGGTAAAGGCAACATTAAAGAGTGCTAAAAAAGAGAAGTCAAGTCTGAACCCGAACCTATCTGTTCTTCCCCCTTCCCCCAAGGCGTAGCTCATCAAAACCCTATTTAGAAGAACGCTCAACGAAAATCCGAAACCCGGAGAAAAACCAACTCAAAAGATGAGAGAAGTGGACCCATGAACCGAGGACATTAGGATGCGTGTAGTTTTGTCCAATCAACTTGAATTGAACGAGATCTACTCAAGAACGCGCACCCCATGATGCATTTCGGGATTGCCGCCGTGGTGGTGGTGGTGGTGGACTGCCACCATTTATCTGCGAAGAGGAAGACTTTTTGAAACTCGAGTTCCCAGGTCCCTCGCGTGGCTTGGTACCTTTGCGAGGCTTATAGGTCGAGGGTCCGCGTGACCGAGAACTTGTATGGGAGCCTGCTTTCTTTGAAATGGCCAAAGACTTCGCAAGGACGGCACCTGGGAATCGAATTGAAATCAGAGTTACTCCGGGGGCGTCTTTGTCTTGAGAACTAAACACGAAAGGCTCAATACTGTGCACTTGCATGGGTTTGAGATTCTTTGATCGCAAACGGGATTGCGAAGGTGCTGGGGCGGCTCGCCAAGCTGCTGCGGGAGCCATTGTGGGCACTCGCACAACAGGTAAGGAGCCTACTTCACGATCTTCAAACATTTCCTCCACCTCTTCCACTTGCCTGGCAGTCAATTCACCGTCTCCGATCTGGGTATCCCCGTTGTAAGGAAGGGAAACGGAAACTGCGGCGATATGTAGCTGCACCTCAAGTGGCTCTTTGGAAGCCGACGAAACTGCCAACGCGTTCTTCTTCTCATGTACTGTCTTCTTGCCAAAGAGCGTATTGATCTTCTCCTGCCAAGATGTAGCAGTTGAAACGGGTTGGCGCGGAGTGGAAGCAACCATAGAGGCGAAGGTGGGCGGCGGGGGTGGTGGACCGGCGACTTTTGGAGGAAGTTTGACAATGGGCTTGGGTGCAGGAAGGTGTACGAGAGGTCTGTTCGAATCCCCTGTATATACCGGATGATTCGAGACCTCTTCTGGAGGTGGCGGCGAAGGGCTTCGGGTAAAATCTGCTTCTTCAAATGCTGGTTTTTTATTCTCTGTTGCCTGAGGGAAAAATCGTGAACTGCGAATAGGAACGGTGCCAAGAGGGCGTGCATGTGCCTCTGCAAAAGGAAGAGTACCAACAGGATGGTCGAGGCCAGAGAGTGGGTTTTGCAATGGGGGATTGCCGTCCGTTGAACGAGAAATACTGACTACCTGTCTCTGCCCACCCTGGTCTCCTGTGCGGACTTGGCGCCAGGTTTCGTTGAAAGTGACTTGAAGCGACGGCTGGCCATCACGAACAATGTTCATCTCATTGCGGAGCTTCTCGTTTTCCTCCGCATCTCGTTTGGAGGTCACGGAGTGGAATTCATTCCACGCCGCAGTTCTGGCTTCCTGCTGCCAGTGGGAATGCTGGGATCTTGGAGGGCCAATCGGCCCGGGGCGAGCAATAGGGCTGATGGCATCGTAGCCGGCATGTCTGGTCTCCGGAGACGGCAAAGGAGATATCGCTGCGCTTTCCTGCGAGGGTCGGGAAGTCGCCGGGAACGGCTGCGAGTTAGGAGGAATCGACGGTTGGTCTAAACCAAGATGGTTCCGCAAGCCTATGTCCCTTGACGGGAAATTTCCAAGAGTTTGGTCAAATATGCCGTTACCTAGGGTCTTATCATTGCTCAGTGGCTTCCAAGGATTTGTGATGGAAGCGGAGGCACCAGGGAGTTTGGAGTTGGCCGTCCAAGGCGAGTATGAATTAGACACATTGAGATTTCCTCTCCACTGTGATTCATCAAGCGTTTGTTCTGTTACTTTCTCACCGGGTTGAGCGGCAGGTTCAGCAGGTTGTTGGTATCCATTTGCCACAGTATCTGGTTTTGGCTCGCGAGCAGGAGAAGGACCACGCCGGGCGCCAGCCGAGGTAGCAGACTTCTCTTGGGCTCTCTCCCTCTCAACAAGCTTTTTGACATTATCCGGATGATGTACTTTCATCATACCATATTGCTTTGGCGCACCTGTAGGTTCTGGCACCGGGGGTTTGGGAGGTGACTGAGCAGGAGCAGTACTTGTGGGAACAGTGTTCTCGGCCTTGCCTGTGTCCAAGGTTTCCTTGGTCTTTGTCTTTGGTTTCTCCGGTGGGGGGCCAAGTGCCTCGAGTTTCTGTCGAATTCGTTCACGTTTTGCAGCTTCCTCTTTCTCCTCCTGTTCTAGTCTTCGTTGCCGTGCTTCCAAACGCTTTTCCTTCATGATACGTTCCTGCATCGCGACAGCCTCTTCTTGTGGAGGTTGGGGAACACCGGCCCCGTCATCAGGAAGAGAGGCAGCAGCCGGCGGCTGTCCTACATCACCTGCAATAGCCGTGGCTCTTTCGGGAGCGTTGCCTGGCCCTCGGGGGCCCCAGGACGCACCAGGACCGCGTCGCGAAGTGGATGCTTCTAGAAATTGCGTCTCCTTTGGAGGGTATTCTCTCCCATGAGCAGAGGGTTCCATCATTCCATTCACTTGAGACCCTCGTCTGCCCTCAAACGATCTTTGGGCTGCGTCAGGCCGGCTAATTGACATCCGACGACCAAAGCTTCCACTACCCCCACTCACATTCGATGATGTTCGTCGGCGAGTCCAATGCATACCATCTTGACCGCTTGACCTGTGAGTTTGAAAAGCAGGAGAAGGTTCCGCTGGGCTGACACTCTCGCCTTGCGCTGGTCGTTGTAACACAGCTGGAGTGCGGAAATTCTGCTCATTACCACGCCACGTTCCTTTTCGCGGTTCGGGAACGGGCTCATAACGTCCTGATCGGGAGTTGTAAAGTTCCCTGGTTCCGGGCTGGGATTCCCGCCACGAACGGTTGAAATCATCCGCAGCAATCTCTTTCGGAGGAGCTGGCCCACTAAAACCGTCATTTGGAAACGGTTCTCTAGCAGGTGGCCGTAAGGGTGGTTGGACGTGGACGGGAGGCATAACAGGCGAGGCCCTTTCAATGGGTGGTATCGGAGCCCAGGGTGACTTGGCTGGGGGAGGAGCCGGGCTCGTAGAGGACGAAGGCACTTTGTCATTTGGCCCTTTCAACGAAATACCCGCCGTCCTTGCTTGCCGTTCCGCACTAGCTCCTAGCCTGAGAACAGTAGGGTTTGGTCCAATAGATGTGACGGGCTTTGCGATGTATTTCGCGGTCTCTTTGACTGTAGTAATCTGGTCCGCTGGAGGAAATTCCTCTTTGGGCTCTGTAGTTGACTTGGTTGGCGCTGTTTGAATAGTCGGTGGGGGTACGGGCTCGGGGTGAGTCAAATTAGTTTTTGTTCCATCAGTCCACTCGATTGTTTCAGGAGCCCAGTCATCTTCGTCATCATCGATATCTGCCCATTTAGCCTCGGTTCCACCACCGTCCTCTTGAATTCTCGAGGTCATATGGATTCCATATTGCTGCTTCAGCTCCTCATCGGTAAGGTGTTTTGGAGGCGTCTGTTGGACCGCTGCAGGTAAACAAATGTTAGATGATCACTAGCACCACCATTTATCATCCACTGTGGCTTACGTCGATTCTTATTCCAGACCTGATTTGGATCAGGCCCGCTCCCATCAAGCTTCGCCCCATTTGGGCCTGTCTTTGATAATGAGTCGCGTAAACTACTAGCCGTTTTCGCAACGAGACGGGGTCGCGGATTCTGTAACGAGGTTCCAAGCGTCGCGGCTGACGGCAGAGGAGCTGTGGGATAGTAGTATTAGCGTCCGCCTGTACAAAATAGACTAAAGGGGGCATACTCTTTTCAGTGGTCTTGGTTATCGGAGGCGTGCCTGGCGCCTTGGGAACAGAAAATTTGGCAAAGGAGACCGGTTTGAACGAAGTCGGCCGTTTTGCTGACCCAGCACGGCTGTGGAGTCTGCTTTCTGGTCGACTGGCGTCTGATTCCGAACCACCTTGAGATGCCGTATCTTCACCTCCATCTGACGCTGACGTTACCCCGTTCATCTCGAGCACCCTTGTCGCCACTGATCCCGGCCCATGCTTCGATACATCCTAACCTGAATTTCAGTATTGTCCGCAAGAGCCTAAACGGACAAACTCACACTAAATATCTGTTCGGTATCCTTTTCCTTCTCGTTGCTTCCCGATAGCGGTTCTGGGTTACCTGTTTTCTGGTTTGCTCGTGAGACTTTTGTTTCGGCGTCGGTGTGTATCGTAGCGGTAGTGTTGATCTCCCCCACGTCCCCTCCAGCAGTTTGATTGTCGGTGGTGCTCGCAGGAACGTCGGAAGGCGAAGGGTCGCCGCCCGACAGGGTTTGATTTACCACATCGTGGCTGGTCTGCTCTGCCATAACAATTCTCGAGTCTGTAAAGCCAACAGGTCGCGACATCTGTTAGACATGTGTTCGGAAAGTGCAAATATGGAAACAAGCGGCGACTATAATGCGGAACCCATGAAGAGAGATAGAAGGGATGGTCTGTGAAATACCTATTGTCAGGTATCAAGAATCGCCACGGTTCAACTGTGAGCTCAACTGTCTGAGCCTGTGAAAAGCTCCGAGCGACCTAGAAGGCGGGAGGAAAAGGGCCTAGCGGGAACACAAGAAATGAGACTTGGAAGGAAAAATTACGCGCAGGGGGGGAGAGCTGATAGAGCACAGAGGCAACTGCCCACGAAATCCCAGGAAGGGAGGTCACGATAGGGTGGCTCTTCTCAGGTTGATGGTGATCGGGTGATGGCTGCAGTCATGGATGAGCGATGGTTCAGGTTGAGACGAGGGTGGCTGTTTTTGGTTAGCGTGGCATGACCATAAAGTGAAGGAGGCTGCGAGGCCAAAACCCTGTGGCTGGACTTTGGAGAGCCGCAGAGAGTTGTGGAAAAAGCCATTAAAAAGGGATAATATCTAAAGTTATGCTCTAGGGGGGTTCGTATAATTTAATTTAGACATTCTTAATTACTGATACTACCTGGCTATCTAAGGAGGTTGTTATAAACTTCCATGGCGCCGGTTAAAAACAGATTTTAGCATCCTGATTTTCCAGTCATTCATGGCAACAATAACCACAGGCTCCCTATAAAACAAAAGAAAATGAATTGAAAAGAACAAAAACTACTCCTTGGAGATGGAATATTTCACAAATATGAAATAACATGGTATTCTCTTTTACAGTTGCTTGATTCTAGGGCCTCGCGGTATGTACACAAATCCTCCGCACCTGACACCTTAAAGCAAGACGTTTAGTGAGGGTGGTTCTTGTGGTGACCTATTATTATGTTAGGTACATCTCTCTATTAGACAAGAATCAGGAGTGAGGAGTCATACGCAAGTGGAAGTAGTACTCCATGCTATAACCGAGGATGAGGATGGTACCGATGGCATGAGCAAGAGCTATCAAGGAACAACATGTCAGCGAGAAATTTAACCACAGTTCAATTGGGAACGGGGGTCCTTACGCGCAGCAGAAGGGTTCTTGCCGAAGTAGCGAGCCTGATAGCGTCCGATGAGGCCGGTGGGCTTAACCTCAGGAGCAGCACCACGAGGAAGCTTGGCGTAGAAGTTCACAACGCGATCCATGCGAGCAGCATCCTTAGCAGCGCCAATGGCCTTTTTCCAATGTCAGTTATCATAGAAACGGAACGTGAATCATGAAACGTCATGGGATGTAGAAGAGAAAAGATTGTTCGAGTGTAGGGATCGGGATTTAGAAGCGTAACGGGGGGGTCTCACGTTGGGGGAAGCGATCTAGAGATAAAATCAGTACAAAGACGTCCAAGTAAGAATGCATTTTTTTTTGAATAATTGCGTGATATTCCTTACCTTGGGAGGGATCAAGGTCGAGAGACCTCGGCGGGCAATGTAACTCATCTTGGACGGTCTAGGGGTAACCGGTTAGCGTGGCCAGGTACATGCTAATTGAAAAGAGTAGAGCATCATTTCAATGTGCGCTGGGCGCTCTTACCTTGACGTGAGTGAATGGACCAAGAGGATGGATGGTTGTAAGAATGAGAGGGAGTGCCGTGAGGAAGCGGGTTGTCGGATGAGCGGTTCCTAAGGCAGGGAGCCGCCCTCGATGCACTAAGCCAAATTGGGGTTTACGTTAACGACCGGCACCGTCGCATACCTCACTTCCTCAACTCACTCCCGCTGCACCTTGCTCTGTCCACACCACCACAGACGCAATTGCCATCATGTCGCTCATGCGAGCTGGAAACTTTGCCTGCTCTCGGGCAGGCAGGCTCGTCACCTACACCAATGCCCGCTTTGTCTCGACAACCGCCGTCCGAGCCGACTCGGCCGTCAAAACCAACCCTTCTGAGGCCCCAACCACTCGGTATGGTGAGAGCTCATTGATCCAGAAGGAAACACCCTCTGAGGCAATGGCTCGCCATCAGCCGGATTATGCGGCTACTATTGACCAAGCTACCTCGTACAGAGCCCCTTAACTGGCACGCAGACGATCGTGGCTAACCGAGACACAGCAAATTCTCTCCCGTCCCCAAGCGTGTCATGGATGGAAGCGAGCCCGGCGAAACTGTCCCTGCTGCCGTTCTCTCTGGTGCTCCCACCGATCTCCAGGCTCGTACGGTCAGGTATGTACCTCCCAAGTCCGATGAGGTCCGATGAGGTCGGTATTAGTCACTAACCGCAACATTCAGAATTTACCGTCCCACGAAGCCTGCTACACAGTCTGGAACTTGGCACTCTCACCAGTGGAGGATGGATTGGGATATTCTGCAGAAGGGACACCGCTGGGAGAACCCCTTGATGGGCTGGCAATCCTCTGCTGATTGCATGCAGGGCACTCACCTGAACTTCAAGTCCAAGGAGGATGCCATTCTCTTTGCTCAGAAGCAAGGATACGAGTATTTCGTCCAGGAGCCCAATGTGCGCAAATTTGTTCCCAAGGCTTATGCTAACAACTTTGTTCATGAGCCCAAGAAGCTTAAGCACATCAGGACCAAATAATTCGTTTTTGTCGTTCTATCATGTATGTACATAACTGTCGGTTGCTCTCGTGGGAATATTTCTAGACTTGAAATGTGGTTTTGATGTTTCTTTCTTTTTTTTTTTTTTAATAATTTCTACATATATATCTTGTCCAGCTGGGATGGCTGGCCAGGAAACGTAATCATGTCCATGATATGGCTATAGGTCGAGTGCCAATGCGGTCTTGAAATCTGAGATACAACTAAGACAGGAATAAACCCCATCTGCACCAACGAAAGTGCGGTGCTTCTCGATGGCCATGGGTATATATGATTCAAGAAAGACACTCACTACAGCGAACAGCCCAAAACTGGTTCATTTTCGTTTCCTATTAATTCATAGATGGTGCCTTGAATAAACTATTCAACGTCATAGGACTGTAACTTCTGTCTTGTCGTCTATTATGCCGGTTTTTTCATAGCAAAATGACACCTAGTATTTCCTAACAAGTTCAATTGTATCCCCTTCATAGGCACCTCTTATGCAGATATCACTAAGAATGTATCCGCTCTCATAGACCAAACAAGCCATTCATTTGTTATTTTATGCCTTTGGCAATTTGAAATTTGATGATCCCAAGTATGCATCCTATTTGACTTGTTTAGCAGTATTATGGGTGTACAGAAGTAAACCCTTTCATCTACGTACTCCGCGTAGTAAACCTGGCTTCGCCGCATATCTTCCAAGGATTCACAAGTAACCATCTGTTATGCTATTTAGCTAGTGCGGATCTTAGATCTATAAGAGTAGCCAGATCTTTATAAGCGCTATTATATTGCTGAATACCAGTATGTGAGTAAATATTTCATTGAACGGAGTAGTAATACTTTGACTGCTCCCAATCAAACGCCCTCAAACCATCTATGCTCCAACGCCTGGCGCGCCGTGATCCTCTCCCCAGGATCAAAACGTGTCATGGCACATACAAGGCTTTTAAAGTCATCGTCAATACCATTCCAGAAGGCAAATGGTTCACGCGGGGTCTCCTGGTTGAATCCGTCCCGAGTCACTTCGAAAACGCGAACCCAGGGATTGTCACCAAGATGTTTCAAGAACCCATTGAGCCCGTGTTCATCTGCAAAGCAAGAGATCTGCCGTTCAATCACGACAGCAAGGGGATCAACACCCTCTTCCAACTCTTCTGCTCGAACTGCGAAAATAATGCGCTTATGGACAGCGCAGATGCACTAGGCAGCCAGTTACTAGCTGTACTTGGGAAATTACCTGATGTGGGACTTACAACAAGAGCAAACGAGAAAATATCAGAAGGTTTGTTAACAGACAGGTCCTCTTGCGTGGGCTTCAGGACTCCTCCACATCCAGTTACCTGCCTGTTTCCCGACCATGTCGCACCCTGGAGGAATCTGAGCTGCATCTTCCAGATCTCCAAGTTGAACTTGGTCAATAATAATCCCATCATTGTGATTCTGCCAATTGATGAAAATATTGTCTGCTTTTATATCTATAAAGAGTAAGTTGTTGACCAGTATTTCAAGATAGCAGTAAAAATACCAGTATGCACGATATCCCGATCATGAAGCTCGGCAAGCCCAGTAAGGGCATTCTTGAGGATGTTCTTGATCACCATAAGGGGCAAGTCCTTCTGGTGCAAGAGTTAAGAGATGATCTGTAAACAAACATAGACTTGTCAGGGATAGTATCCACAGCAAGACGGACGTGGCTTGCATTGCCACGCAGGCAATTATTGATGTCTTGAAGATCTTTAAAGTTGACAGGATGGATGTACTTTAATGTAAACTCGTGACCATCCGCCCTGAAGGAGGTGTAAGCATGTAAATACCTTAGGAAGGTTTGGTGTTTACTCACGAGGCACGATAGACGTGACGCGGTGGAGAAACTTCCTCCTGCAAAACCTGTTCAATAGTGTAAGTGCGACCAGATAAGCCTGTATGCTGTATAGAAAGCTGAGGGTTGCTCGACGTCGTGCTGGTTGTGCGATGGAAAAGCGGCTTTGATCCTGAGATTAATGTACGCTGGAGAGGGGCTTAAATACATTGAGCTTTTGCAAAAGCAGCTCGCTAGAAGAGCGGGAGACCTTAGTACCAACATTAGAGGCAGAGTATGGGGTACAGGCAGTTCTTCGGATTTAATGCTTGGAAAGCATCATGTTTCCCATTAACTCAGGGATGCTGACGTGAAGGAGCGGATTAACTGAATACATAGGGGTAGAGGTGACCTTTTGGTCCAATGGTATAGATATTGCTTGCCTGAATCAGCATGCTCTTACAAAGAGCCTCGCGAACATGCTAACTATAACTAATTAAGATTGTAGTAGATAAAGAAGAATAAACACTATTAAAAAATCTAGTAATGTCTAATAGGAAGTAAAATAAGATTACCTAGGTATAAGGACAATTCACATTTACTACCTAGGTACAAGGCCCCCGCGTTGGGTTTAGTGCGTGTCCGTTACAGGCCCGGAGTGGTTTAGCGTCCTCCCGATCAGGGATGGCTTCTCACGCTATCCCGCAACAGGCCCCTCGTTGACTATATAATCCCGCTGGGGGGACTACTTAGAGAACTTAATACTAATGGTATCCAGACCAGTGCCCTTTGGTAGAGGCTGTTAATGACTCAGATTCTATCTTTGTTCCAGCAGGATCAGATACTTATTATTCAGGTAGGTGTGGCTATCATCTCTTTGTTCCGGTCATTTCCCTAACACATAATAAGCCAACCTGTTTCCCCAGCTAACAGGCTGGAATTGCATCGAGACAGTACCCCGTTATTAGGAGCCTATAACGAGGCCAATCTTACTCCTCCCCAAGTTAGATTTGCCCGATGCTAGATTTTTTAATCCTTGCAATCCACCAGAATCGACGAAAAGTACGGACATTTTCAGCCTCGGGTCCATTTACTAGACGATAATGGCTGGCCATTGGCCCTACCGGCCTGCAGGTCCATTCGAGTCTCTGGAGGAGATGGAGAAATACCAAGAACTGGTTGACGATATGTTTGCCTCCAAAAGGTGCCCGCCGGTTGACGGACTGGAAGCCGGAGTTGTGATTCAACGATGCTGGGCAGGAGAATACTCTGATTTGGGCGCACTGATTGCAGACCAGTGTTGGCAGTTTGAGACTCTGATGCGGTGAGAAAGAATGACACAAATTTCAATGAAATCGTGATGTGTGCGGTTATACTGAACCAAATAAAATGCCATCTGAACTAGTGTGTCATAATCAATGGCCCTTCAATGCCCCTTCGAGAGGAGCCCTCAACCCTCCACATACGCCTACTGCGCACCACCCCCTTCTCATAAACCTTTCTGGCATCGCAAGCTTGAATTTCGATGCTGGTCGTAGAGCTGATCGATCATGGATTCGGGCAGCCATATCTCTCGCATTTCCCCCTCTCCCTATGTGAGGCCAGTGGGTTGGGAATGCGACCCGGGCACTTAGGGGTGCCAATATCCTTGCAGGGCACGAAGTTCATGTCTTCTTTGACCCTGCAACCGCATGTATAAATCTTGGTAGCAACGTTGACTTGGCACATTCTGGATTAGAAGCGTGAGTGATTTGCCGTCCCTTTAGCAGCATGTACATGAGTCCAACATAAGTGTTTGATGAGGGGAACCCTGCCACTCAGAGCTGTTAAGAAGGCCGAAGCAGGTCTAACACACCAGGTTGAGAGGAATACAAGAGCAATATCTTTCACCAATAAAAAAGTACGAAGTATTTAGAGCCTCGTTTTACTGGTCTGAGGTGTCCAGGTCTGCCTCAGAAGGCTATTATCTACAACTAACGGGGCACCATAGCTCTGGAAGGGATCGGATGGGGCTTCATTACCCAATTGCCCGCCCATCCTGATGTATTTTTATGCGTACTATATTCCGTTTTACTCATGAAGATGATCTTCCCACGGAAGTGCGGGGGACTCATTAGGCCTTCCTCTATACGAGGAGGCTGGACTGTCATTTTTTCTGTATAGCTTCTCCACCGTGTCAAGTTTGCGACATAAGAGATCTGTAGACGGTCAAAACGTATGCGGTCCCAAACCCCTCAGTCTTTGCAGCGTGTAAGTAGCAATCGGGTGGTAGACGATGAAGCAGGGCAATTGAATTGAACTTCTAGCCACAAAGACCCCGCCACCCCACTTAAAATTTATTATTATCTGGGCATGATAAGATCCTTAAAAAAAAAAACTTACAATATATCCCTTCCCCCTCATACTTGACCTCTTACCGATTAATTTTTTTTTTTTACTATATTATTCTACTAATTACTCTTAAAGAGGGGGAAAAAAATATGTCTCCTGCTCCTTCAGATAACTTGGATGGTGTGGACAACACTGTTTCCACCCTTCGTACGGTCATCACCTCCGAGACCCAACCACTTGCTCGTCGATTCCGTGCGCTTTTTTCCCTCAAGTATCTCGCGTGCCAGCAACCCCCTACCGACAAGACACTCCCAGCGATCCAGGCGATCGCTGCCGCTTTCTCGTCCCCGTCTGCTTTGCTCAAGCATGAACTCGCATATTGTCTAGGCCAGACTCGGAATCCGGATGCTCTTCCATACCTCCATGAGGTAGTGAAGGATCCCCAGGAAGATGCGATGTGCCGTCATGAGGCCGCTGAGGCTCTCGGTGCTCTGGGGTACGAAAGTAGCTTGGAGATTCTCAAGACGCTGCGAGACAATAAGGACGAGGTTGAGGTTGTGAGAGAGACATGTGACATTGCCGTGGACAGAATCATTTGGGAGAATTCAGAGGAGAGGAAGGCTGAAAAGCTGAAGCCTAGGTATGTTATAGTCGTTAAAGTTTAACACCTTTTTTTTTCCCGCCTGCCAATACGCGTGGATTTTTAATTCTATCGCTATTCTATATTCTAACATGCTTTAGTGACTTCACTTCGATCGACCCCGCTCCACCAATGCCACTGACAGCCAAAGAGCCTTCGATCCCTGACTTGGAGAGAGCATTGCTTGACACAAGTCTCCCTTTGTTCCAGAGATACCGTGCCATGTTCGCTTTGCGTGATCTTGCGTCTCCCCCGGACCTTCCCACCGCCACACAAGCTGTCGAATCGCTGGCCAAGGGTCTCAAGGACCCTTCTGCCTTGTTCCGTCACGAAGTCGCATTTGTTTTCGGTCAGCTTTGCCACCCTGCCTCCGTTCCAAGCCTCACAGAGACACTCAGCAACCAAGAAGAGCTGGGTATGGTGCGACACGAAGCTGCGGAAGCGCTTGGCAGCTTAGGCGATGTCGACGGTGTGGAGGAGACTCTGAAGAAATTCCTGAACGATCCGGAGCAGGTGGTCCGAGACAGCATCATTGTGGCTCTTGACATGGCAGAGTATGAAAAGAATGGGGAAATAGAATATGCGCTGGTTCCGGGCACGGGAAACCTTGCTGCAGTGCCCGCTGCTTGATTGACGAAAGGATAACAGTTATATTGGGGAATTAATCGTTTTCCACTCCCATAGATGTATACTTGTGAATGCAAAATAGATTTTCTTGCTTGTTGTTTAATTGTTCGTAGTCTCTCTGTGGTAGAACATTAGTAAAGAGGCACAGAGGTTCGAAGTGAAGCCAGTGACGAGAAACGGGATGCATACTTATAACCGCAAATACAAGTGTAGAAAATAGTACTTCCTTCGTCCGCACTACGTAATTGCACTTCCGTAAAGTACATCTCCTTCCTCGCGCATTTCGGACAGGTCTTCTCGATCGTAGCCTGTGTCCTTCTGTCCGCAGCGGTCAAAGTCTGAATGGCGGAGCGCTTGGCTCTCAGAGTCGAAGGAAACGCGCTTGGCTTGGACTCAGAGATGATAGTCTGGGGCACAGTATCTTAAATCGAAGAGGTCAGTAAGCACCAGATGCATCTGACCTTCCTCTCACTTGTTCAAATATGAGCTACTCACCTTTGTTTCGAGTGCCACAGACATCGCAAACCAGAATCCTGGTTGGATCACCAACTGAGCCATCAAGTAGGGAGCCACAGTCTGTGCAAAATACCAGAGATCCAATTGTAGACATATTGATAGAGACGTAGTAAAAGAGTAATTCACAATTCAAGTCCCAGCTCTTGATTTCGCGGTCTTTGGTTACGTCTCGTCACCTTTTTTTTTTTTTTTTAAACGATTCCGCTCGGAAAGAATTCTAGTGCACAGGCGGCCCATAATCCACGGAGTACATTAGTGCCGGGCGGTCAGAAACGGCAGCGGCAAGACAACCGTGCCTGGCATGGAATTATTGCACCGATATAAGGCATTTGCCATGAGCAGCTGAGGATGAATGTTTAAGGGGATGGGTTTTTGTTCCTGTGTCTGATAGCCATGTCTCTGAGCGGAGCATGTCTTTCCCGCGTTCATAACCACCCCCTCATTTCAACTGCAGTTCTCTAATATAGAGACAGACTACTGCTGCCCTCCAACCATGGACCAAAACCGGCATCCGGCCGTTCAGGTCATCATCAATAGCCATCTTCAGGCGCAGGACAATGGTTCTCCGGGTCTATTGCAGCACCGGGATAGGCCATTAGCTGTTGAGATGGCCTTACAGTACTCACCCATGTACAGCACGCCAATATTCGGATTGGGTAGGCCCGGTGATACCCCGAGAGATATGTGAACCGTCACTGATCCTTTACTTTTCCTAGATTGCATCCTGCGTCCTGATGTCGGCCGACCTCCCACTACAACCTCCATTAATCATATCCTTCAGTCCGGCCGTATTGCGCTAAACGATCTTAATATCGAAATTCGATCTGGGCAACATGAATCAAATCGTCTAGAGACGTCCCGGGAATACCTGCAACAGCTGCTGGACGGCGAGCAGTTGACTGAATTGTAAGAATACCTCGTCTTAAGGGCTCTAGCCTGCGCTCACCTGTGCCTCAAGCAAATTCAAACTACCTACACGAAACCGAAACCCACCCCCCTCCTTTGGTGCTTCTCACGGCCTCATTTCCAGCAGTAATACCCTCGGACCATTTGCCAAAATGATGTTGGACTCCACGGATATAGCATTTCGATGTAGGATACTTGGATACCATTAAAGGACAATTCCAGCTTACAAGAGACAGATCCTACACCATCAGAGACTGACGACGGAACGCCTTCCCCAAAATCTATTACATTTGACAAGAAGCCACCCTCAAATCATAAACCTTCTCCCACAGCGTACAACCAGCAACCACAACCCTCGAGCCAACTGTCTGTGGTTATTCCAATCAAACCTCTGCCAAACGTCGACAACAGCCACTCTGCACCAAAGAAGAGGAAGCTGAGCGCCGGTGGAGATGGTAACTTAGCCGCGATTCGTTTGAAAGATCAAAAGGAGGAAGCAGATGCTGCTTTGGTCAAATTGCAAGATCTGCTCCATGATATCTTTGAATCTGAGAATCAATATGACCCTGTATCCTCCGATGCAGGCCCTGATCGAGCAAGCGTAATTTTCAGTTCCCCACACTCACTAGAGATCAATGGGCCGGTTCTCTCCTCAGATGCGCATTCGCGTCTCCAGAAGGCTATCAAGAAGGTAGTGAGCTTTAATAGGCTCCAAGACATCCCTTCAGACTACCTGACTCGAATACAAAAGCTCTGTGAAAAGCCCATAATTGCCGCACAATCTCCTGATTTGAAACTAGAAGATGCTTCTGACGAGTCGGTGACTCAGGATTGGTTGAGGAGATTAGATGACATGCACAATGCTCTTCTGGCGGTTGGCACTCTGCTTCAGACAATGTCTGGTTCCCAGACAGAGAGGGATCTTTGCCCCGAAGATTTGATTGAAGCCATTCCGAATGTTCTTAATCAAGCCTTTGATCACTGTATCATTCCTGCTGTGGAAGCTCGTCCCGGAGGCAAAGAGGGAAAGTTTTTTGAATTCTTTTCCCAGCAACGACGTGCTATCGGTAGTGTGATTCAGCAAAGCAAACGCGTCCTAAGTCTTTTTGCCGATTTTCTTGCCCGGATTGATGTCTCGGAAGGAACCATCACGGCGATCGAATTCTTCGCTGCAAAACTGATCTTTGTGGAGAACTCTCACACAGAAAAGGACTCAGCGGTCGGCTATCAAAAATATGAGTCCGTTCGACGTGGGGCGATGGATGTGTTGGCGAAGATATTTTCAAAATATCCGGCCCAGCGTCCGTTTATTCTTGACGAAATCTTGGTTTCACTAGAAAAGCTCCCATCTACTCGTCAGAGTGCCAGACAGTTCAAGCTTGTCGATGGCAAAAATATTCAGCTTCTAACGGCGTTGGTGATGCAGCTTGTCCAAACCACTGCATTGGACACACCGCTGTCGAGGTCTGCTAAGCATAAGCGCAAAATTCCCAAATCAGAAGAGGAAGAGGAGGAGGATGAACCTGCTGGGGATGGCCAAGTGATTGACGATGATGACGAACCCGATGTGTCTTTGGAGCGCCTAGCAGCGAAGGTTAATCGCCTGTACGATAATGCAGTACGAAGTGCTCAGTATATTGTGAAATTCATTGTCCAACGTGCAATGACATCTACAAAAACCGGCGACCAACCATACCGAAATATCCTTGATCTCTTTACCGAAGATTTGATCGGGGTTTTAGGATCTACAGATTGGCCTGCCGCAGAGTTGCTTCTGCGCATCATGGCATCTCATATGGTCAGTATTGCTGATCTGGATAAGAGCCCTGCCACAGCAAAAAGCATGGCCCTTGAACTTCTGGGCTGGATGGGCTCTGCCATATCTGACCTTATTTCAACTGCCCAACACCTGCTTCCCGCAATGGAGGAGTCTGACACCGAGCTCGCCGATTATCTAAAACAACTTTTCGATGAGTATTCAAACCGCGCCCTGCACCCTCAGGACCTTGTTGTTTCAGACGGCCCCTACCGCATGACTCTCGAGTACTTTATTCAGGACCACAGCCTAGACAACTGGCAGCTCACTAGCGCCAGAGGCTATTTTCTAGCGCAATGGGCTAAAACATTTTGCTCCATCTACTACAACTCCGAGGACAAAGATGGGGTCACATATGATGATGCAACGGAAAACCTCGTCCAGCTCTTTGCAAACCTGTTTTCGGACCCCCTTTGGCTGGAAACCCATAGGTATGTTTTAGATCTTGACAGCTGCTCACCATTGGGATTCAAGACTAATTTTACTCTAGGCAATTCGACAAGATACCAACTGCTCATGGTAGATTTGCCTACATTCTCACGGTCTTAAACTCGAGTTTCTGCAAGGCTTTCGATACCATCTTGAAAGTTCTTCTCAATTCAATCACCAGCGATCAAGCTAAGGTGCGCAGCCGCAGCTTGAAGAGTGTAATTTATATGCTTGAGAAAGACCCTAGTCTTCTCGACCGAGATGCTTCAGTCATGCGTGTAATTCTCCGGTGTGCGACGGACGCCTCCCCTATGGTCCGCGACTCTGCACTATCTCTGATCGCAAAATGTATGATTTTGAAACCGAAGCTGGAGGAAGATGGATGCCGAAGCATTTTAGCTTGTGCCGCCGATCCAACAGCTGGAGTGAGAAAACGCTGCATCGGGCTGCTCAAAGATATCTATCTGAAGACAACGCGCTTGGAGTTAAAGCTAGCTATTCTAGATAGTTTTCTTCAGCGAACTGTTGATCTTGAAGAGAGCGTCGCGGCTTTAGCACGTCAGACCTTTGAAGAAATTTGGCTTACGCCTTTCCACGAACTAATTGACTCATCTCAAGATAACCCTAAACTGAAGGTTGGCCTTGGAGAACGAGTGGCATTATTTGCCAATTTAGTTCAAAGGAGTGAAACGGCGCTCGACACTCTTGGTGCGTGTCTTAAAAAGCTTTTGTCCGATTCTTCCAAGTCGTCTTCCCTGAATTTCAAAGTATGCAAAGCCATGGTTTCTACTATGTTCGAGAGGTTGGTTGAGGATAACGAGTCTTCCGGGAAAGAATTCCAGCAGGCTTTGCTGCAGACTGTGACAGTGTTCGCGAAAGCCAATGCAAAGTTATTTCGCCCTGATCAACTGGAGACTCTTCATCCATATATTGGACATCTGGCCACTGCGGAAGATCTCTTTCTCTTCCGGTCCGTGGTGGTAATTTACAGATGTGTCCTACCATTTCTTTCTACCGCTCACAATACCCTCCTGAAGGAAGTGCAAAATGACCTCTTCAAGAGCGTTGCTAAACTTGCACGCTCGGAGCTGAACGAGGTTATGGCTTGTCTGTGGACTATTAACGGGGTCCTGCATAATACCGACCGGCTTGTGAAACTCACCATCTCGGTTCTGAAACCCATTCAGCACTACAAGAACATTGACCTTTCTAGCAGCACGAATTCTGCTGTACTTGCAAGAGCTAAAAGTTATATTCGAATTGCGGGTTGTGTGGGTCGACACTGTGACCTTGAGAAATATGAGCCGCATTTTAAGAACGCATTCCCATCCTGGAAAGGCGGATCAGTGGCAGGCTTGATGGTTGATTCAATTATTCCATTCACTCTGAAAACGCAGCCGCTCGAGTTGCGCGTTATGTCGCTTGAAAGTTTGGGCTCCATTTGCCAATCGTGGCCAGCGCAATTCGGCCGGGAGGAATCGAGACGTGTCTTGTCGATGGTATTCGATGAAGACAACCCGAGCCTTCAAAACATTGTGTTAAAGTCTTTTGCAGATTTCTTCGCCATGCACGAGGGCAAGGCAGAAAAGACCGTCTTGTCAGCGGCCGAAGCTACGGACCTCGAGAATACGACAAGACTCGGCGGGTCACTGAAAGCGAGCGACAACGATGGCGCCGCCGCGTTAATCGCTCAGCACTTCCTTAAAAACATGCTGCGAGTTGCGCAATCACGACAGGATTCATATGCGCTGACAGCTATTGAATTAATTGCTAGCATCAACCGACAAGGTCTTGTTCACCCTAAAGAGTGTGCCGGAGTCCTGGTTTCGCTAGAGACATCTACCGTCCCCGCTATTGCCAAGGTAGCATTTGAGACGCATAAGATGCTCCACCAACAGTATGAATCCATGTTTGAGAGGGAATACATGCGTGCGGTCCATGAGGCGTTCTATTATCAACGCGACGTTGTTGGTGATACCATGGGGGCCCTAGCCCGCCCATACGGTTCGAAGCTTGGGCCATTGTTCGAGATTGTCAAAATCAGCAATAGCCGGTACCAGAAAAAGTTTCTGGCAAATCTATGCGCGAAGGTTGACTTTGAGCTGAAAAAGCTTGACATCAGCGGGGATCCTCCCGAACATCTCCTCCTTGCCCGGTTTATATCGCAGAACCTGGCCTTCTTCGATTATCACCAGCTCGCGGAATTGGTGCCCACCATCAGCTGCATGGAACGGATCGTCTCCGCAACAGGGACAATTGTAGCTCACACCATCGAAACCGAGCTATTCCCGTACAAATCTGAACCCCCCCCGGTCAATGGAGCCGCGGAGCCTATGGCGGAGAACCCGGTCAACGCGATGCCACTCCACAACATCAACCCGGCCACCTTACGACTTCTTACCGTGGCGGCTGCATCCCTTTCTATGCTTTGGGAGGCTCGGACCTATCTTCGCCGCCTATATGGAGTGGCCGCGCATATTCGGAACAAGAATAGCAAGGCTGGCGCCAAGGAGCTCAACAAGTCTGCAACCAAGGTGCACGGAATCACGGGCGATAAATTCTGGGAAGCGATTGCGCGAAACATGGCATGCTTGGAGAGCGAGCAGAGTATGATTGGAAAATGCCGAGAGTTTGCTACGTTACTTTCTATTGATGACGAGTTCAAGATTGGGGACGATGAGGATGCAGAAGGAGACGGCTTCGACGGGGTTGGCGAGATGGATGACCCTGGGGCTCCCTGGATTGCGGGACAGCGGCCCGCCAAACGCAAGAGTTCGGTCTCAGGGCAGAATCCGAGCAAGCGGCCCCGTGGACGGAAACCTGGGTCTGGGAAGAAGAGAGCGAGCACGGAACCCGAAGAAGAAGGGGGTTGGGAGTAAGCGTCCGGCTCTTACGCTGTATTTTGGCTGTCTATTATCTAGAGGGGGGTGCATTTTGGAAAGGGGAGGGACTGGAAAACGGCGTTCTAAGACACATGGCGAGTAGGTATGATTTGACTCATAATTTTATTCTTTACGATGAGGATGAAAAGAATACCAAATCCAATCAATCCTCTTATTTATTTCTATATCCATTTCACGTCCTAATTCTCAAGGGCTGAGACCAAGTGGGCCGCTTGTATGCTTGGGGCGGCAGAATGACGTTGTGAGCTGTATCTCCATGTCCCGCCCTTGATTTTCCTCTCTCTCTCTCTCTTTCTTTCCCTCTCTCTCTCTCTCTGCTTGAATCATTCCCAATCGCTGTGTTCTCTTCACGTTATATTTCCCTTTCTGTGACGTTGACCGCCATCTCCTCCTGGTGTGACAGTGCCCGTCATCTACTCCCTCCCCAACTGCTCGTGGAGCCATGAGCGCCGTGCTGGTCCGGGGTCGCGCGGACGCCCTGTCGCTGCGGAGAATCAGTCTCTTGTCGTCGAGATTGCATGCGTCCAGGTCTCCAGTATTCTCTAGGCTCACTGCCGGTCGGTCCATATCGCAGAATCGTCGCAGTCCCATCCCCCAAGGCCTTGTTTCGCGTGCCTTCTTCAGCCCTCGATTCCCCGTCCGACACCAGACCACCACCGCAGCAACAGATGCGGAGGTAAGTGAACCGAGTCGCAAGCTGCGTCTTCGCAATGCGATCTTCAAGTCTTTTGCCTACTGCGGCTTTTTCATTATTATGAGCAGTGCGGCCGTGGTAGCGTTCTTTATCTATGATGCGTCCACTTATCGAGAAGACCTCAGTGCGGAGGACATCCCCGTCTCGGAATTGGCGCTCAACCCACGCCGTGGAGGACCCAAGAACCTGCCCATCGCGGAAGTTCTTGTGGGAGACAGTGACTCGGAGGCTATGCTGGCCCAAAAGGATAAACCGAGACTGGTGATTCTGGGTACGGGTTGGGGCAGCATTGCCCTACTCAAGCAGCTTAATCCTGGTGATTACCATGTCACGGTGGTTTCGCCAACGAATTATTTCTTGTTTACTCCGATGTTGCCGTCGGCAACGGTTGGGACTCTTGGATTGAGGTCGCTGGTTGAGCCGGTTCGACGGATTGTTCAGCGGATTAACGGTCACTTTATCAAGGGTGAGGCACAGGATATCGAGTTCTCGGAAAAGCTGGTGGAGATTACCCAGGTGGATTCTAAAGGGCAGAAACAAAGCTTTTACCTCCCTTACGACAAGCTTGTGATAGGTGTTGGTATGTCGATTGATGAACTCTCCAGGCTCACCCACTCCCTTTGCATTTGTCGGAAGATGACTTACTTGATTTCACCATCATTTCTCCAGGTTGCGTGACGAATCCTCACGGAGTCAAAGGCCTTGAGAATTGCCACTTTTTGAAATCGATTGACGATGCGCGCCGGGTTAAGAACAAGGTTTTGGACAATATGGAGCTGGCTTGCTTGCCGACAACCAACGATGAAGAACGCCGACGTCTATTGTCCTTCGTCATTTGTGGCGGAGGCCCGACCGGTGTTGAGTTCGCTGCTGAACTTTTCGATCTTCTGAACGAGGACCTTCTGCACTCTTTCCCCAAGATCTTGAGAAACGAGATTTCCGTCCACATCATCCAGAGCCGTAGCCACATCCTCAACACATATGACGAAGCCCTCTCGAAATATGCAGAGGTAATTCTCTCATTTCCCACCAAATTAACCCACCGTCCTAACATCAGCAGGCTCGTTTTGCTCGAGATGATGTCGATGTCCTGACAAATTCACGGGTGAAAGAAGTTCGTGATGATAGGGTCGTTTTTACCCAGGAGGAAGATGGCAAAACAGTGGTTAAGGAGATTCCCATGGGCTTCTGTTTGTGGTCTACCGGAGTCTGTAAGTCGATCTATTCTGGCGCCCAACTCCTTGCAATTTTTTTTATTTTTTTTTCTAATTCGTGGATTCACAGCCCCCGCCGATGTTTGCAAGAGAATTTCAGACAAGCTGGATGCACAGAACAACAAGCATGCGCTTGAAACAGACGCCCATCTCCGTCTAATTGGAGCCCCTCTGGGCGATGTCTATGCCATCGGTGACTGCTCAACGGTTCAACACAAAATAGCCGAGCATATCATTTCCTTCCTCCGCACCGTTGCCTGGGAAAAGGGCAAGGACCCCCAGAAGGTCCATCTGACTTTCAGGGAATGGCGCGACCTCGCCACGCGTGTCAAGAAGCGATTCCCTCAGGCATCCAGCCATCTCCGTCGTCTTGATAAACTGTTTGAACAGTACGACAAAGACCACTCGGGCACCCTGGACTTCGAAGAACTCTCCGAACTCCTCCACCAAATCGACACCAAACTGACCTCTCTTCCCGCCACAGCCCAACGTGCTAACCAGCAAGGCCAGTACCTTGGCCGAAAACTCACCAAGATCGCCGCAGCCCTCCCCGGTATGCAAGTCAACGATATTAACCACGGCGACCTTGACGAAGCCGTTTACAAGCCCTTCAACTACAAACACCTCGGTAGTCTGGCGTACGTCAGCAACGCTGCCGTCTTCGACTTTGGTGGAATGAATTTCGCCGGCGGCGTTCTTGCCATGTACATTTGGCGCAGTATCTATTTCACTGAAAGTGTCAGCTTGCGTACCCGGTGTATGCTTGCTATGGATTGGGCTAAGAGAGCCCTCTTTGGAAGAGGTTCGTTCCCGCCTTTTCCTCCCGTTTCCCTATATATATATATATATATTCTCCGTTCTAACCCTTTTGCTTTGTGTAGATCTCATGAGCTTCTAAGTTTTGGATCGGTAGATCCAAAAGAAACAGAACAAACTGAAAGATTTCTTCTTCTTCCTTATCTTTTTTTTTGGGGGGGGGGGGGGATCCCAATTATATATTCTCTCACATCTATCAAGTTCGTTTGCTTTTGTTCTCTTTTTGGATTTATTTTGCATGGATTTCCCTTGCCTGGACTTGGTTGGCTCTTACTCGGGGGGTTTTACTTCGCGTTCATTCATACATACCTCGAATACATAGAGCAATAGGACTAGGGAAGAAGTTGGGTATTTGGATATATTTGTACATAGATATGTTTTGGCTATGTGTTGCGTTGTGCATATACCTCTAAATGTTTGGCAACGTTGCTCTTTGATTGTGCCAGTGCAACGGGTTGGATACTAATTGGAGGCTACTTTTACATTAGATAGACCCTGTCCATTTCAATAGGGTTGAGAAGATGTGATCACAAAATCGCGAATAGGTGTATACTACTCTTTTGATATGATTTTACCCGTATGACGCCGGGCGACATGGAGCTACACATACCGAGTAAGGAGAGGGGGGGTGTATTTTAATGTAAAAAGAAAAGAGAAAGGAAAATTCAAGCAATAATCTCATTCGAAGCGCAATTGATTACATGCGTATGCACCAATGTCTAGTTGACGGACGCCATGCCAAAACGTCCGAGGCGTATCATCAATCATGGAGGGCACAAAGGCCATTAAGATATTAGAGTTCAACATCATACCGCTGGTGGTTACACGACAGGCCCAGCCCGTCACGAAATCATCGGATCAATGTCTCCGTTATTGGTCATTACAGTGTCGTTAGAGGTGCCATTCTGGCTGGGCCCTCTCGCATGTTGAGAGGTATTACTTGTGCTATTGGAATCCCCAAGTCCAAGGTCTAGCTTATCGGGGATGTCCTTCTTAGCTTCCCGTGCTTGCTGCTCCGCCCAGGCGTATAGCCTGGCGAAGTCGCACAGCAGGGCTTCGGTACGAGCGCCTTGGCTTTGCAGAATGGCTGCATTGACCTTAGCATAAATATCCCTACGTAGGTCGGAGTGCAGAAGAGGAGCAAGCGATGGAGTCAAATTTTCACGGGGGAAAATCAGAAGCGCGAGCGTCCTCTCCAGGTCTTCCAGAAACTGAGGATTTGTTGGTGCGCGAGGAGCGAGCTGTGATGTGGCAAACTCAAGAGCCGGACTGATGTCTCCATCAGGGGTAAGCGTGCAAGAGCGAATCAACTCCACAAGCTGCAAGCGCAGCAACGAGAAATGCAGAGATGGGTTTTCATCCAGAATCTGTGTCGATGGGTCAGCATATGTCAAGAATAAGATGACGACAGCGACAATGAGGCAATTATGAGTCTTGTTGTTCATACTGAGGACTGAAGATGTTTGTTTTTCAACAAACCCCAAAAGGGGCGTTCTGAGTGGTGCATGAAACTCTGTCTAATCATAACAAGAGGGGAGAGGGTAGTGGTGTGGGGCCGAAGAGAGAAAAAAATTTTCTTCTTACCTCAGGGTTCAGTTCGTTAATTTTCTCAATTGCAGCTTGAATATTTCCCGAGTAAATAGCATTGCGAATTTCTACCCGTTCCCGAATAGATGCAATATTCACTGGTTGGATATTGGCTTCCAGTGCAAATTTCTGAGCCGCGGCCGGGTAGCCATTAGTCACTAAATAGTCCATGACCAGATGGTTCATATCACTTCAGAATGTTAGCCGTTGAACAATACTTGAACTCTAGAAACCAACACTCGTGAGGTAGGGTTGCAGATCAGAAAGACAAGTTAAAATGTTCTCCTCAGCGATTTTTCAGAGAGATTCCCAACTTGATTTTGAAGACATCATTTGAAGAAAGAAAAAAAAAAAAAACAAGGGGACAACGTACGTTTTGGATGGCTTAACCTCATCGACCTTTCGCTCGAAGTGGCGCCATGTTGGCGTTGCTGTCGAGGACGTAGGAGACAAATAATTAGCAGAAGCCATGGCGAAAGGATGAAGGGATTGTGAGGACTCTCAAGTGCCCTGATAGTGAACCGGCCGTCTGTGAAGATGGAGAGCTTCGCAGACGGGAGCCATGAGGATGCTGAAGAGAAGAGGGGAGAGAAGAGAAGAAAGAAAGAAAGCAGGAGGAAAGAAGAAAAGAAGAAGAAAAAGAAAACGAGGTCACGTTTTGGCCGAAGCGGCAAGCGAAGGTCATGCCCCCAGTCTAGTCCCGATTGGTGCAAGTGGGCAACAGCACTGTGGGAAGTTGCAGGCAGAAAACAAGCCAGAAAAGGGCAGTGAGGATGCAGTAAAGCTTGCTCGAGCTGGATCTGGAAGTGAAATTCATCTTCAGTGTTAAAATTGAAAATATAAGGTGAGAGAAAGGCATGTTCTACAGCTCTGATCGAGTCAAAAAACCGTGACCAGCAGCTCTAAACCCAATTTGGAAAGCTATAACCACTTAAAATAACTTTTTGGCGTTCGTTTTTGGGTGGACAAGGCTTCATTTCACACTGTAAATGACTCTCTCTCGAGTCTCTCCAGCCTTTATCAGCCCCATCATCGTTACTAGTTCTGACACTTGTTGCCTACTTGCTCCTGTTTTGTCTCCTTCTGTGTGATTGTTTTGACAGTTGACAAGCACAGGTCTTTGTGAAGGTGAACAGGCCGACAACCCAGGAACAGTAGGCAACATGGAGTCTATCTCGCCGGTTTTTTCAGCCGCCACCCAAAAAGAAAGCTGCTACTCCCCACCATGGACGGACCTCAGTATTATAGGGATCGCTGGCAGTTCCGGCTCTGGTAAAACCTCCGTGGCAATGGAAATTGTGAAGTCCTTAAACCTGCCGTGGGTAGTCATTCTTGTAATGGTATGGCTTATCAACGTCCCGAACCATAACCCAGCCCCAAGATAGAACAGCTCTGGAGTCGACAAGTCTAACCATGGAATAATTTACAGGATTCATTCTACAAGAGTTTGTCTCCCGAACAACATGCCAAAGCACATGCGAATGAATTTGATTTTGATTCGCCGGATGCTATCGATTTTGATGCATTGGTGCAGACACTAAGAGATCTTAAGCAAGGGTATTCCTCACACTCCTCGATATGCGATCTGATCCTCTTGATTATTGCCTGGGATACAGGTATGCTGACAACTCGTGATGGCCGTGAAGAAAGAAGGTAGAAATTCCAGTCTATTCTTTCGCTCATCATCAACGTCAGGCCCATACGAGTCCTCTTTACTCTCCTCATGTTATCATCTTGGAGGGTATTCTCGCATTACATGATCCGAGGATCATGGACCTTCTAGATGTCAAAGTATGATTGATCTCTTCTTGCCCCTGATGTTGCTTACTCACCCGGGCCAGATTTTTGTAGAGGCAGACATGGATGTCTGTTTGGGACGTCGAAGTGAGTCATCTAGGTGTTCTTCTCTATGGAATGTTAATCTGATGGCGCAGTTCTCCGCGATGTTCGGGAGAGAGGGAGAGATATCGACGGAATCGTCAAGCAGTGGTTTACCTTTGTCAAGCCGTCATATAAAAGATACGTTGAACCCCAAAGGGCCGTCTCAGGTAAGCTCTCACAAGTACAGTGCCCGACTTATCTCCGGATCCATCCTTCTAACTCCAAGTTTCAGATATCATTATCCCCCGTGGAATTGAAAATAAAACTGCCATTGGTAAGTAACTCTTTTCACATTCTTTAAAGGGGGGGGGGGGGGGATGCTAACCTTTCAGGCATGGTGGTGCAACACATCCAGCATAAACTAGAGGAAAAGTCTGAGAAGCATAGTGCAGCTCTCCATCAACTAGGGCTTCTCGCCTCGGAGGAACAGTTATCGTCCAACGTTGTGATCATGCCAGAAACACCACAGTTTATCGGAATGAACACAATTTTGCAAGATCCAGAAACGGAGCAGGTCGATTTTGTGTTTTACTTTGACCGACTGGCTGCTTTGCTGATAGAGAAGTGCGTATCGTCTTTACGAATGCAAATGATCGATGGACACGTAGAGCTAACAGAGACAAAACGACTAGGGCTCTTGACAGCACCTCGTACACTCCGAGGGAGGTAGAAACACCCCAACACACGACATATCATGGACTGAGCCAGCAAGGCACGGTATCCGCTGTTGCTATTCTACGAGGAGGGTCTTGCCTTGAAACCGCTCTCAAGCGAACCATTCCAGATTGCATTACTGGACGCGTGCTGATTCAGACCAACGAGCGTAATCAAGAACCAGAATTACATTATCTCAAATTGCCGCCGGGAATCGAAAATCATACCACAGTAATGCTTCTTGATCCTCAAATGTCAAGTGGAGGAGCCGCGTTAATGGCAGTCCGTGTCTTGATTGACCACGGTGTTGAGGAGTCGAGAATTGTCTTTGTGACCTGTGCTGCAGGTAAGATCGGCCTTAAACGGCTGAGCACTGTATACCGTGCCATCAAGGTTATTGTTGGTCGTATTGAAGAAGAACGCGAGCCTCGATGGATGGAGAAGAGATATTTTGGATGTTAGCTACTCGCCCATATATGTAGTAAATCTATGTCCATCTCCTATATATATATATATATATATAAATGCACCGTTCATTGAGATATTGAGATCAAGCATCCAGGATATGACGAGTCTCTTGCTACTAAATTAGATATACCGAATGCACATCTTTTAAATCTAGACTGATGTCTCGAAATCCTCTCGTAGCCTCAACATATTCAACCAGAAGTATTTGTATAGAGGCCTCAGGCTATACTATTCGTCTTGATCTGGCGGGAGTGCACGGACCATCTCCAAGGCCGCAGATTCTGTGGTTCCGCCCGCCAAAAAAAAAAAAAAAAAAAAAAACCCCCATCCAGCATCAAAAAACCTTTCCCTACAAACAGCAAGACCACCAACGCAAGAACCATCTTACGCCATTTTTCTATTTGACTCGATCGGGAAGTCAATCCTTCAGTCTTCTCTATATACATTCTTTTGATTACCTGCGAAACTGCCACCATGTCCGACAGAAAGAAAGGCAAGAAGGGCGGCGGAGCCAAACGTGACGCAGGCTCGGTGATTAGTAGGTCTTTTGTCTTCTTCTTCTCTCATTCCCAACATACAAGGGAACCGGGAGACTCTGATTGGATTGACCTTGATCATGAGACTAATTGGCGCTTGCAGCCGATCCTAGATTCACAAATATCCAAACCAATCCTCGCTATCGTCTTCCTAGCAAGCGCCACACACACGTGAAACTCGACAAACGTTTCTCGCATATCTTGCACGATAAAGATTTCTCGAGGAATGCTGCGGTGGATCGCTACGGGCGGAAGCTCGCCCGTGATGATACGAAGAAGCACCTGGAGCGGTTCTATCGACTCGAGGAAGAGGAAGAAGAAGAAGAAGAAGAAGAAGAAAAAGAAGAAGAAGATGATGATATCAGCATTGACGATGATGAAGTCGTTCTTAAGGAGTTGAGAAAGGCGGATCGCAAAGATTACGATCCTGCGCGCGATGGAGGCTTCTCGTCGTCATCGTCTTCCGAGGAGGAGTCAAGCGAGGAAGAGGACGAAGAGGATGACGACGACGACGACGACGACGAAGAGAAGTTGCGTGGCGAGGATGAGGAACTGGAATTCCCTGATAAGCAGCAAGTGGATGTACCCGTTGGAGAGGTGACGGATCGAATCGCCGTGGTTAATCTTGACTGGGACAATATCCGAGCGGAGGATTTGATGGCTGTGTTTTCCAGCTTTACACCCATTGGGGGTCGCGTTCTGAAGGTTGCGGTTTATCCTAGCGAGTTTGGAAAGGAGAGAATGGAGAAGGAGGAAACGGAGGGCCCACCAAAGGAGATTTTTGCGGCGAAAATGGAATCCGAGTTTGACGAGGAAGATGACGAGGAGCTGGATTCCGAGGAGGAGGAAGAGAAAATTAAGAAATCGATCCTTAAGGAAGACAAGGGCGAGGAATTCAACTCTACACAGCTCCGGAAGTACCAACTCGACCGATTACGCTATTTCTATGCGATTCTGACCTTCTCCTCGAAGGAGGCTGCGAAGCAAGTCTACGACAAAGTGGACGGCGCCGAGTATCTATCTAGCGCCAACTTCTTCGACCTTCGGTTTGTGCCAGATGAGACGGATTTCTCGGACGACCGACCGCGCGATGAATGCGAGCGGATTCCAGACGGGTACCAGCCGAATGAATTTGTCACCGACGCCCTTCAGCACAGCAAGGTGAAACTGACGTGGGATATGGAGGATAAGTCGCGCAAGGAAGCTCAGGCTCGGGCTTTCCGAGGTAGTCGGAAGGATATTGACGAGAATGACCTGAAGGCTTACTTGGCCAGTGACAGCTCGGATGATGAGGAAGAGGGAGGCGTGGATATCGGTATTGGAACCCAGGGAGAGGGCTCCAAGGTCTCCAAGAAGGACGACGAAAGGCAAAGGATGCGGGCACTCCTCGGCCTGGGGGCGCAACCATCCAAAGAATCCAAGTCCTCCGATGGACCTGTCGGCGAAATGGAGGTTACCTTCACATCCGGCCTGGCTGGCGGTCCTAACCGCGACACCGTCTTCGAAAACGACCCGGAGGAGAACACGATCGAGAAGTATCTGCGCAAAGAGCGCGAGAGGAAGAAGCGAAGAAAGGACAAACTCAAGGGTAAACCGGATGAAACGGCGGACGAGCAGGAGGGCAGCGCTGCAGAGCCCGAGCAGCCACAAGAGGCAGAGGAGGACCTTGGTTTCAATGACCCGTTCTTCGATGATCCTACTGGTAAGGCGACGGCCGCGGCTCGACGCAAGGACGAGAAACGCAAGAAGCGCGCTGAGCGGGAAGCGGAAGAAGCCGTCGCAGCAAGCCAACGAGCAGAACTGGAGCTCCTGATGATGGACGATGACCGCAAGGCCGGAATGAAGCACTTTGATATGAATGAGATTGACAAAGCCGAGAAGCAAGCCCGAAAGAAGAAGAAGAAGACGACGACGAAGGGCAAGCGTACGGAGAAGGCTGCGGCCCAAGTCGAGGATGATTTCGAGCTGAATGTTACCGACTCTCGCTTTGCTCGACTGTTCCAGAACCACGAATTCGCGATCGATCCCACCAATCCTCGATTCAAGGCGACGTCGGGTATGAAGGCCCTGCTAGAGGAAGGGCGGAAACGACGCCGGGATCGGGATGAGCGAGGAGATGAAGAGGACCACAGACGCGAGTCTAAGAAGCAGAAACACAAGCTGCAGAAGGGAGCGTCTCGGGATGATGATACTAATGAGACGACGGAAGAACTTCGGAAGCTGGTGGAAAAGGTGAAGCGCAAGACGCAAAAGGCGTAAGTTAATGTGATTTAAACCAGTCCCTACCAAGTATACCATTATGATTTGGATTTAATAGGAATATATTAGTTAGTAGGCGTATATGACTGATACTATCCAGACTTGTCTATGGGCGATGGGGGGATCAAAAATCATTCACACCAGGGAGATTCCCCAATAATCAGAATACCGTGAGTTACTTAGGTACTGTACTACCTCTAGGATCCATGAAGCCACCTAAGAAACTATATTTCTATCCTATTCCGAATAAATCCTTTGATGGTGGATAGTTCGTTCCATTCCCTCATGGCGAGAAGACGGCACTTCTTCACCGCCCTTTCTTTTCACCTTCTCTCTCTCTCTCTCTCTTCTTCCTTCCCCTCCTTCTCACTCTTACTTACTCTACTTATATCCAGTGTTTCCCTCTCAATTCAATTCCCTTCTGGCATCATTTCTCTATCTGGCCACCCCTCCTGCTAGTTTTAAGTGGCGGTTCTGACTTCTACTACACCATTCCCCGTCGCTATAACTATCTCTCTCCTGCCCCCCTCCTTCCCTCCCCGGGTCGCCGGATCGGTTGAGAATGGTCCTCCTTCCGTGGAATTGAATGATGGGGAACTGCAGTTCAGTCTAGTTTGTATCTGTCTGACTGCCGGTTACCTGGCTTGATCCTACTGGCCTCTCTCTCTCTCTCTCTCTCTCTCTCTCTCTGTCTTCGCCCCTGTAGTAGCGTGTTCGGTTGAATTTATTCTTGCCGTGTTTGTGCACAACCTCGGCCCTTCTGCGGCGGAATCTCGACTTTCCTCTTCCTTCTCTTCTCCTTTTTCTTCTTTTTCTTTCTTTTTCTTCTCTTATTTTTGTTGTGTGGCTGTCGAGCCCCCCCTGTTTTACCATCATAATGCTGGGCCGACTATTAAACACCGCAGCTTCAACCCTAAACCCGGCAGCATATTCTGTCAAGCATACCCAACCACTCGAGTCCGTTACCGAGGAGGAGCATACTTCCGGTCTTTTATTCCCCGATGCGAGTCTTCTTCGACGTTCCAATATCCATACCTTCCCGCTCCAGTCTGCTTTCAATTCCCCCAATGCTTCCGCAGCTGGTGCCTATGATGATCGGGGCGGCGTCGAGTTGGACCCTGTGAAGGATTTTCGGGTGATAATCGCGCAAAACTCGCTCGGGGATAGAGAACCTTGTGTGCTACTCGACACTCGAGCCGACCTATCGGAACCGACCTCTCCCTCCCCTGGGCTCGGACTGGAACCCCAGTTTCTTGAGCACTCCGGCTCTCGACATGTTCGTACCGGCTCAACCCTCTCCCGTGGACGCCGGGCTTATCTGGCCCATTCGTCTATGGCAGAGCAAAGTCCGCTCACTATCGCAGCTGAGACACGACGGACCTCGCCTGTAACTGCCGGTGCCTTTTCCCGGGCTCGCGGCCGAAGCTCGACAATGGCTTTGGTAGGGGGACTCCAGGACCCCGGCCAGTCACGTCATTCAGCAGATATGAACGATGCCGGTTTATTGAATTGCATATTTGGTAGTAGCGCGTTTAGCTATAGGGGCTCCTCCACAAAGATGCATATTATCTCTGCCGATGAGGAATCGGGTGTCACGGGAAACACATCGCCCGCTGTGCGGAATTCCTTCACACGATCGTACACGACTGGAAGCTCCGCCGCATTCGCTAGTGCACAGCGTGGGACCGATCCCAAACCTCGGTCGAAAGTCACCATTCTTTTAACAAGGATGTTCAGCGTTAATTTACCAGAACCGGGCGAAACTTCTCCGAACCGACATGAGCAGCAGCTTCCATCATCTGCGTACCAAGAATCTCTTCCCGAATCAGGATTTCCCTTTCCTGATGTAAGCAAGCGCAAGAAGATCAAGGAGAAGAAAACGCCAATGTATGCGGTAGCTATCACGATCCAGATCCCTGTCTTGTCTCGTCAAGCTGGGCGACCGGTTTCCCGGTTCAGTGCTCAAGGGCAGGACTCTCCTAAGCCAGGGACAGCTTGCTCCTTGGACTCGGACTACCGTTGGCGTGGCGGCATTTTTGATGATAGTCTTTTTCTTGCGTCTGCCCCTGCTAGCTTAGACGAGCGCATTGACTTGTTGGTGGACCACTGGGACATCATCAACCGAACCCTCTCCCACCTTGAGAGACTGTCCCGGAACGAGATCCTGTATTTGTTAAGGAAAGTGGACTCGACGGGAATCCACCCAAAACCCGCTAAGCCGCCAAATATGCAACGCACGAACCAAACGTTTCTCCACCTCCCTGCCAACATCCTGGCGGTGAACTCCAAGCTGAAGGATGAAGCTTTCAGAAGTGCACGTCGGATCGGTACCGCCTTGCAAACCCCTTATGTGGTAACGGGACAGAGTCGCTGGGGCGTTTGGCGTGAAGAGGGTCGCTCGATAGCACGCAACCTTGGAGACAAGGAGCACAGCTTTTTCTTCCTCGTTCTGATCACGGCATTCCTTGGAAACCACACAGAATGGCTGAACGCATTGGGTCCAGACTGGTACCGACGACGGCACTATCTCCAACAGAAAGCACAGCAAGACTCGGAGCCGAGCCTGTCAAACCGAACGGTGATCGTGTCTCCTGACAAGATGACTGCCCGCCGGCTCATCTTCCTTCTGTCCGCGTTTCTTCCAGCTAAGCAGCGTTTTGACCCACTTCCGTCACCACTTCGACCAGACACCTCTGCCTCAGCGCGTGCAATCTCTCAGAGCCCACCTAACGTTCCCGTTTTGCGACAGGAACCCCTTCGCAAGGCTATAGAACGGCGATCTCGTGCTCAGCGCTTGAATCTCGCCGACCGAGATCAGCACCGCCGATCAATCAGCGCTTCGTCCAACGAGACTGCCCATCGATCAACAGATGACGTTGACCCCTTGGGCCAACTGGATTTCACTATCCACCGTCGTGGCTCAGACACTCGCTCCACCAGAACCCTGGGCATTCCAATGAATGCGAGGGATGCACGAAATAAGAACATTAGCGCTGCGACTACTTCAACCGCGACTCCCGGTGGCGCCATTCCAGTCCCGCATTTTGCCTCACAAAACCGACCCGAAAGGGAAGGTTCGGACTCAAATACTGGAGATGGCATAGATAGCTTGGCATCGGAGAATCTGTTAAAGAACCTGCAAAGGAGCGAAAGCTCGACCCTCAGCATCAATAGCAGTGTTCCTTCTGGCGGTGGCGGCCGCTGGGGTAACCTCTTCTTTACCGGCCTGTGGAGTTCTCGGCAGGAATCCTCCACCGACGATAGCAGTAATAGCCCGGTACCGGAGCCTCGCCAACGCTCGGCGTCTGTGTATGCTGTCCCACAGAAAAGAACCCCCCCGACTCTCACCCAGATGGTTAAAGAGACTTCGGGAGGAGCGCCTTCGGAGATTGCTACCAGCGCTACTATCTCCATCCCTCAGCCGTCAAACTCTCAACGAACCTTTGAAGCAGATACTCAAGACGACCTGTCGTCCACAACTGACCAGGCCAAAGACTTGTCGCTCAAACTGTCTGTTCGAGGAGAAGATGGAATTGTAGATGTGGACCTTCCTTTGCCCGGGTTCGTTTCTCTTTCTTCGTCTGGCGAGTCTACCACGGCGTCACCAAAGAAGACACGAACATCGGTGACTAGTCTTGATGCTTTGGCATCAACCCACAGCAGCGGCTCGGGCCTTCATTATCATTCCAAGGATAATGATGGCCCCAACATCAATGTTGCTGGCTGGCTGAAGAACTTTCATGATGACTTTTTGCTTCAAGCAGTCCGTCCTTACTCGAACTTGGAGGCCGATATCAAGCGTGCGATGCAAGCCGAACCTACTCCAAGTAGCGCTTTGTCTTTAGACCCAGATGGGTTAGACAGGTGGGTTGATGTTGCCACAACCCTGATTGCAGATGTTCGGACCTTCTCAGTCAAGCGGTTACGCCTGAGGCGCAGAGTTGTCGGGGCCAGTGCTCTGCGAACTCCAGTGTCACCATCCAACCCATCTGATCCCGGGACTCCACGCCATGTATCGGGAGGTTCCATGTCTACTTCGCAGTTCAGTGGTTACTTCTCATACGCGATGAGTTCTACAAAAGCAACCCCACCTAACTATCGTTTGGACGGGGTTGACCTCGCCGAGGTGGAGGAACGCTTCGTAGAGGAGCCTGTTATGGATTTGGACGGTACCCTTGTCGATGCTCTCGAGCGTGTTCTGGCGCAGAGTGGGCCTTCATCGTTGGTGCACTCTCGGGCTCCCTCACCCTCGCGAGTTCGCAAGGACAATGATAAAAACACTTCTGAAAATGAGGTCACTCGTGAAGATATCCCTTCCCTCGAAGTTCCCCGCTCCGAATGCCGCAAGTTAGTGCTAGGCGCACTTGAAGAAGTTGTCCGCAGTGTTACCGCTGAACATTGTCGTGAAGATGTTGAAGGGGAGCTTGGTCTCACTGATAGGGAGCGTAAACGTCTCCTGACTGGAGCTGATAACACTTTGAGAGAAGGTGTTCGCAAATGGCTTCTTGACATCGAAGAGGCTTGGTAGGTCCTCTAAATCCTGACCCGTGATTATTTATTGCCCCTAGATATGGGGATCACTTAGATTACTACTTTTAATTTTGTTTTACTCTCTGCGCATCTGCATGCTCTCCCGCATCAGCTAGATGAGCCCTTCTGGCATGTTAGCCTGTCTTGCCCACCTTTTGATGGTTGGATTTTTCTTTTTTTTCTTTCTTCTCTTCTTTTCTGCTCTTTTTTTTTATTTTTTTTTATTTTTTTTTTTTCCCTCTGTCTGTGTTGCCTGTCTTGATACCCATGTTTTGAGTTGATTCTGGCTTTGTTCCATCTACATTTTCCTGCGAGATACATGATACGATGACGGCCTTAACTTTTACTATAATTGTGAATATGAATGTTGAATAATTTTTGTAATGTTGATTTCATTTTTTTATCTAGAATTTGAAATATTTTTTTCAGAAGCCATCATCAACCATCAACCATCAACCTGGGTAAAAGATTCGTATCGAGTGAGGAAAAAGTTAGTTGGTGAGACTAAATTAATGTCCGATCCAAACCACCTTGATCTTGGCATCATGATGGCCAGAAAAAACAGCAACAACCTCACCACTATCAGCAGGCTTAACAATCACCGTCTGCAGCGTCTCATGAGTTTTAGCCGGGTCAACCACCTCAACCTTGACCTCACCAGCCAGCTTGCCGTTGACCAAGACCTCCAACCCATCCAAGGCATCATCCTGTGGCGCCTTGAGCTTTGGGTTAAGCAGCGTGACGGAGCCCGGCCGGACCAAAATGGGAAGAGTGTTGAACCCATGCGTTTCCGTATACCAGCGGCCGGACTCATAGGTCTTGGAGTGATCGAACCACGACACCCACGAGGAGGAGGAGGAGGAGGAGCCTTGTGTATCCTCGGGGGTACGGGGTACGTAGAAAGTCACCTTCCCTTCCTCGGAGAAGACAGGCGCCACAAGCAAATTGCTCCCGAACATGTACTGGGTGTCGAGCGAGTATGTGCTCAGGTCCTCGGGGAACTCAAGGAACATGGGTCTCATGAGCGGGGTCCCCTCGCGGTGGCCCGTGAGGGCTTCGGCAAGCAGGTAGGGCGTGAGGAGAATCTTGCGCTTCACGCAGTCACGGAGGACGTCGCAGCAGTCTTCGCCGTAGATCCAGGGAATGCGGAACGAGGAAGACCCGTGAAGGCGGGAGTGCGACGAGAGGAGGCCGAATTGGACCCAGCGTTTGTATAGCGCGGGTGGTGGGGTTCCTTCGAAGCCGCCGATGTCTGAGGCCCAGAAGATGTACCCTGAGAGCATGAGGCTGAGCCCGCCACGCAGGGACTCGGCCATGGCTTCGTAGGTGCTTTCGCAGTCTCCGCCCCAGTGGACGGGGAAGGCTTGGCCACCGGGGGCGGTGGAGCGGGCGAAGAGGAGGCTTTGGGATTTACCGTAGCGGTTGGTCATGGTTTCGTAGACGATTTTGTTGTACAGGAGGGCGTAGTAGTTGTGCATGCGGACGGGGTCGGAGCCGTCGTGGTACTGGATGTTTTTGTAAGGGATTCGTTCGGCGAAGTCGGTTTTGAAACTGTCGATGCCCATGTCCATAAGGCGGCTGAGGTGTGTGGAATACCAGGCGCAGGCGGCGGGGTTGGTGAAGTCGACAACGGCCATGCCGGCTTGCCAGAGGTCCCATTGCCAGACGGAACCGTCGGTACGCTGTAGTTGAAACGGGTTGTGTTAGCTACTGCTTCTTCTTCTTCTTCTTCTTCTTCTTGTTCTGTCGAGTTGGGGTGTGGGACACAAAAGACAAACCTTGATGAAGTAGCCGTTTTCCTTTCCGATCTTGAACAGCGGAGATGCTTGGCCAATGTATGGGTTGATCCAGATGCTGATTTTTAGGCCGCGGTCCTTCAGACGCTTGAGGTAGCCCGTTGCGTCGGGGAACATCTCGGTATCAAACTCGAAGTCGCACCACTGGTAGGATTTCATCCAGAAACAATCAAAGTGGAAAACACCAAGGGGCAGATCGCGCTCACGGAAGCCATCAAGGAAGCTGGTCACGGTCTGCTCGTCGTAGTTCGTTGTGAAACTAGTAGTGAGCCAGAGGTTATAACTCCAGGCTGGGACCAAGCTGGGCTGTCCAGTCAAAGCTGTGTATCGGCGCAAGATCTCCTTGGGAGTGCTTCCCTGGATAATGAAATACTCCAGTTCTTCACCAGGGATCGAGATGTTGACTCGGGTGGTGCGTTCTGACTGCAGCTCCAAGCTTACCTTTCCGGAGTGGTTCACAAACACTCCGTAACCGTTGGAACTGATGTAGAATGGGATGTTCTTGTATGTCAATTCTGAGGAGGTACCGCCGTCCTCATTCCAGATATCGACGCTCTGGCCGTTCTTGACAAACGGCCCAAATCGTTCACCCAGTCCGTAGAGCTTCTCCCCGACGCCGAGATCCAGTTCCGCTAGCATGTATCCCTGACGTTCAAAGAATATCCCGTCTCCCCACCGGGATTTCTCTGTAGTTTGGTCTCCAACATACCCAATGGACCGGAAAGAGTGTCCGGTCAGCTTTCCGTTTGTGCCGGAGAAGAGAAACCCCATCTCGTTCGGGGCTGTGTTGATATCCAAGCGGAGCGGGCCGCTGGCATAGCTCAGCTTCTTGGTCTTTTCGTGTGTGATTTTGGCATGGCCGGAGGCCGAGTTGAGTTTGTATTGGGGTCCCTTATCCACTCCACCTGCCCTGCACGCACGAGAATTAATACTATCACTTATTGAGAGAGTTTGGAACTGATTCTCATTGGATGGCTCCATACCAATGGACTAACTTGACACCGATTATACCTTCTAGTGGAGATGTAACTTGGGCGGAGACGGTAGCTAATCATCGACCACATGCAACTTATTAACCCTACTCTCTCCTAATAACTAGGAATAATAATGATTGGATCTGCAGACTCACGAGAATTCAGTGTATCACCACGATGTCTCTGGAACTTGTTGAGTAGGAGATTGACCGTATCCTTCTCGATATCCAGTCTCTCGACATTGCTCATCCAGTCAATGCGGATACCCTCCTGCAACGCCATTAGCTTCTTATCTCACCGTGAACGCTACCAGCAGGGTAATTTCAGGGGTTCTCTCACCCGGAGCAGCCACATGCCCTCCGTGAACTTCATCTTGGAAGAAGGTTCAATGAGCAAATTGTAAAAAAAAAAAAAAAAAAAAAAAAAAAAAAAAGGATATCCAATTAAGCCGTGCAAAACGAAATCAATTGTCCACAGACAGACAGACGCTTTGCTTATTTATAGAGCCGGAGGTAACTAGATCCCACCCTTGGTCTGCGAAAGAAAACAAGCCGTGAGGGGAAGAGGAGAACCCCCCGTGTCATTGAGAGGGCAACTGGCCTGCTGGGCTGTCAAATGCAAGCTGGTAGTTCCCCACTTCAAATATCCCGAGTAGTTACACCGGAATGTCCCTCTATTTTCTCTAGTTAAGCAGTGATTGCTATCTCAAATTCCTCATTTGGACAAGGACTAGGTCCCGTATTGAACGAGCGGGTTTCATTCGCCAGGGTAAGTTGGTTTTCTTTGCCCTTTTTTCCTGGTCTGATGGTGCCGGAAGGCGGGGCAGCTGTTTTTCTTGCGGAGTATGGACTCATGGATGCGTTAAATGAGGTGTGGTCCCTCGAGCTAAGTGATGGAAAAGACCCGGTAAGTGGGTAGCCAGGCGCTTTTGTGATTGATGCAAATTACCCTTGTCGGGCATATCCGCCAATGGCTGTCTCGGAATGGGAGGATGCCGCAATGGAGGGGAGGAGGAGGAGACTCAGGAGTCAGGAGAGTAAGTCGGAGGTGGATTGAGGATGAAGGAAGAGGATATTTTGCCTAAATTGGATGCGAGATTGTCTGGGCCTCAGGCAACACTACCCTACACTACACCAAAGGACCAAGCATACAGTCAAATAACAATGGAAAAGAGTACTGCGTAATTCAATTCGCTGGTGAACTAGACGCCTAACTAACTCCTTGCTTCCTGACATTACCTCCCATTGTATATCGCTTTTCATACACCGTCAAATCATGTAGATCGTTTAATACATGCCTCCATTCTAGGCCCCGCTCAAATTAAGCGGTCGCAGCCCTCCACTTCTGGGGCTGCCTTTCGTGACCGAAGACTCATCTCGGTGTCGACTTCGCGAATCTATAAAGGGTATAATGCTACTTTGGGTTGGCGGCCGTGATGGCAGACCTGGTGGAGGTGAGACATGGCCGACAACCGGCGCCGGTAGCTCGAGGGACGGAATCGACGAATCCAGGAACGATACAGAGGTAGGGCCTGCCTTGGCTGAGACTGGACGTGCAAATGACTCGCGGTATAGCTGCTCCAGTCGGACAGGGTCGTGGCAGAATTCCTCAATTCCGTGCAAGATATGCTCAGGAGCCCGGTAGAGGTTGGTAGTATCGATACTGTGATGTCCTTGAGGGCTGGGAGAGCACATTATATCGTGAATGGGACGAACGAGGGGAGAAAGCCGAGGAGAAAGGCGGTCGATAGGATCATAGGTTCCTGCGCGTGCTCGGTACTGTTCTGGCCTATCCAGGCGTTCATGCCTAGGCATATCGCGGCTGCTAAACACGGGTCGGGTGCTAACCAGCCGATTTGCAAGGAAGAGAAAGTCTCCTTCCTGGGTAATTTGGCTAAGAAGGCTGCCTGATTGATGGATGTACTGGTTGTGCTGGTAGTCGGGTCGTCCCCACGAGTAGCATACCTCGACGTCTGCGGGAAAGGCGGATCTTGCTTCAAAATCCAAAACGAAATCATATTTCTGCAAAATGGCCTTTTGAAAGTAGTGAGGGTCTGGTGCGTCCTGTTGTGTGAATGACGCCGCCGTGAAGATAGTAGGCGCCGGGCCCTTGGGGGGAGGGACTTTCAGTGTTACTTTATAGGGATGCCGAAATGGTTGTGTCTCATCAATGGCACAGGCCTCAGCGATGGGCACCTGAACGAGCTTAAGCCCGAACTTTTCGGCGGTCGAAGCCCATGACAAAACAGCATCCTCGATGAGCTTTGGACTTGTATTGATCCAACTTAATTCAATATGGAAGCAGTTGCCGGGGTTATGCAATCGGTCGTAGTGAAGGTCGATAACTTCCGGCCGATTAGAGCGCTTGCGAGGGTCCACATCGTACCTGATAGTCTTCGACAACATAATGGCAGCTTTGTTCTTTGACTTTGACGGAGTGTTCGGGGTTGGCGGCATATTTTCTTCCATACTAGCGGACCGGGAATGAGAAGCACTCATCGGAGAGTCTTTCCAATGCTCTCCGGTTGCTGGAGTGGACGGAACCGATTTGTCTGCTCTTATCTGAGGAAACCAGCTACCTCGAGATTCAGGACGCGAAACCCGGTATTCGCTAGAGATCTGATAGAAGTAGTTACCATCCCTAAAATTGTGTCGCTTTTCCACGTGTTGAAAGAGGCCGTGCTTCATCAGCTCATTTCCAAATTCAACTGCCTCTTCACGACTGTCGATGTCTCGGAAGTTCCGAAGGAGCCAGGTCGTCAGTTCGAATCCGATGAAACAGTTGTAATGCAATCTCCAGTGCCATCTTCGATCCATCATTCGCACGCCCTTATCTCCTTGTATTATTTGAGCCAACGATGTCAAACTGATGCTGGATCGTTCGAGCAATTCTGCCTCTGGCAGCAACTGTGCAGGGGAACTATCTAAACCGGGATCAGTGAGCAAGACTCGATCCAACTCCGCGGCAACAATTTCAGAAGGATTCCGCGTCTGATACACGATGTTCAATGGGTTCTGATCCCTTTTCTTGTTGGAGGATTCAAACCGCTTTTCTTCCGGAGGCACATATTTGTGCCGCTGCCAGATATGCGTGAGCTGGTTGATACCAAGCAAGTGGATTTCTTCTTCATTGTCTTCATTGTAAGTCTGGATGTGACGCCGGGAGTTTACGTGTAGACGCATCGGAATTAATACGTAACGGACACGCCAGAAATGGAGCTGCTGAGCTGGGTTGAAGAGATAATCTCGATGTCCAGCAACGTAGTTGTCAGCATAGTTCCAATTGTATTCTTCTGCTGCTGAGCGTAACTTGATCTCTTTTATGTTGTACGCAGGACTAAGAATCGTCCGCATCGCTGGGAAATATACTGATTCCGATGCGGTCTTCCTCTCCGACGAAAATTCCGACAGACTTCGATGCACGAACTGAGTAACCTCAATCTCGGTACCGCCTGTAGAGATTAGCCGGTGGATGGAGTGACCCTTGGATAAGAAAACGGTAGTCCCGTCTTTCTCCAGGGTTTGAGTATCAAAAACGTTGGGCGATGCAAGACTATATCTTCCAGATGCCTCCACTACACTTTTGCCAACAACTATTTGAAACCCGTGAGAAAGGCGCAAAGAAATCATTTCTCTTAGAAGAACACCTCTTGTTTTGGGCACATCGATACCCTCTGCATCATCATTTGGGAATACACGATATGGAGTTTGCAGGTATTCTGATGCGAGCTCACTTGCTGTAGGGAACTCCTCCGTCGTCAGGGGTAGAACAGCAGGGGATTTTAAGCTTTTCCACTTGACGACGGCAACATGAGGCGGCCTTGGATAAGCATGTTGCCAACGTCCAAACCAGCTAGTATCTCGCGAAATATCCCTGGGGGTGTTGCAAGGATTGATGGATCTAACCCAAGGAGCTAGCGCCTTACTCTGAGGGGTTTTGGCTGAAGACTCCCGCGATGCAGAGTTCACGGTTAATTCAAACTTCGGAGTGATCTTCTTAGGCCGACTTTCCAGGCCCACTCCCTCATTAAGGGGAATTTCGGTACCGGTCGTCGAAAATGACTCGGGAATGGCAGACCGGTCTTGTTGCTCTGAATCTTCGGCGGGTAGTTTTGAGGGGACCTTTATCGATATGGGCCTTGAAGGGGTTATTGTAGAGCTTTTTAATGACCTTGGGGGGGTGCTTGTGGTGGGCGATACGTCGATGACGGTTGCTGTCGAAGCTGTATCGGACGTGCTTAAGGATTCGATACTTCGGGATTCCCTCAAAACTCCGGTAACCTTCTTCTTATTCGATGATGAGAGGCCTGTGGCGTGTGCTACATTGACTTCTGTGCTTGCTTGGGCTCTTGGCGGAGTGACACCTAATCCACGGAGGGCAAAGCTGATTGTCCGCGATATGCGAGGACCTTTACCTGACGATGCGACTTTCAATGCGGGCTTTTTAGGAGAGACAGCTTTGGAGGACACATGAGGTTTTGGAACGGGTAACGGCGAGTCTATCTTACGAGGTATTGCACGCCATTCGTTGGAGTTGGAGTGATTTTCATGCTCTCTCAAGTGGGTGATTGACCGAGCAGAAAGCCGGTCGTGAGTGCCAGAAACCTGATTATCAGGCTCATTGGATCGCTTTTGTTTTGGCGGCTTGCGCCGCTGGCGCCGCTGGGGAAATGGCCGGAATATCATGTCGTCGTAATTATCCATCCAGGAAACAGTTGCGCCTGATGTCTTCTTTGATTTCGGAAGCATTATATCTTTGGCGCTCGTTATGCTGTGAAGGAACGGCTCGGGCCGAAGACTGTCACTCAGCTGATGCCTGAACGGGGAGTTTCTATTCAAAGAGGATCTCGCAGGCGTCACACTGGCAGCACTGAGGCTTTTTGCCGCACTTTGGCTCTCCGCCAGATAGGGGATGGAGATGTTGGATTGCTCGCTCTCCATGACTCCTCCCATTTGGATTTCATACATACGCACCCGCGGTACAAACGCCTTGGATTTCTTGGTCACGGTAAACGGAATCGGGGCGTTGGGGTCCTTCTTTAAAATTCGACGAGCTTCTCTATACGTTTCGGGATTCCAGTAGGAAATATCCAGCCAGTGGGGGATTCCGTAGCTCCATTCATGAGGGCGCTCCCATGATTCACGAGGGCTCATTCCTGGGGTAGGACTCGAGATGGCGGACTTTGGAGAGAAATGGGGAGTTCGGCTCGCTAGGCTTGCAAATGAATGGCGCATTTCTGGAGAATAGCCACCACTCTGGATGTCTCCGTATGGGGGGCTGGAATGCTGCCTGCGGGCCGGCTCCCTGTATTTGAATAGAGGTACCGAGTGAAGAGGCATCGGGCTTAGACAGACCAGGTCAATCGCAATGCCACGGTTGGTTAGCGCCTCAGCTGTGGAGGCTAGGGACTCGGATGACACTTCGAAAACGCCACTACCTGGCGTTATGACAATGATGGAGGTTCCTGTATGAATCATGTCCCGGTCAATGTGGTCAAAGGCTAAATGGGAAGAAGCAAGATGGATCGCTTCGAGAATGTTCCCACGAAGGGCGGTACTGGGGCGTCCTGCAATGGTTGCTGGCCTAGGGTTTGGGGGCTCGGAAATAGTGGGTGGCGCTCCTGAATCATCGGCCATCTTCAGAATTGATACGTCTCTTAAGAATGTCCGGAAATCCTTCTTCAACTCATCAAGAATAGCGGTCCACTGGCCACTGGCCATATCATTGACCACGACACGGTAAAAATCTCTTGTGGGTACATGATTCGGGCTAAAGGTGTTCTTCAGATTCTCCGAGTTGAGTGTGGATGAAAGCCCAGTAGTCGTCGCCGCATCGTACTCCACTCGAGTGAATAATACGATGGTTACGAGATGTCTCGCCTCTGCGTTCGCCCACCGCTTGAAGAGTTCTGGTAGAAATCCATTGATCACTCTGCTGAAGAGGATATCCCCAGTGCCTTCGGAATCAAAATCCCACATCTCCCTCGACATCTGAATGAACAAGACATATTTGGCAGCTTCACTCCGGAAAACAGGAATAGTCTGTGGCGAGAAAAACCCTGCAAGGACCTTCTTTCCGCGAATGAAGATATTTTTTACCGTCGCCTTTATACTGCCCATGAAGACAATCTTTTGGCCCTTGTAGATGATCTTGTCAGCCAGCTCCGACATAACCAATCTCCACATATCAGAGCGGACCAAAAACTGGTCGCGAAACGAGATGTCCACATGAGATGCAGAGCACTGCGCACGCTCCACAATGGAGATGGAAACCGTCGTCCGGGTCTTGAAGCCAAAGATGTTCGCCACATTGCTGGTCACCGAGAGCTCTAATTTTGGATGTCGAGTTTTGGTTTCCTGCGGGAGCGGCTTAACCACGAACAAACACCGACTCTGTAGTGGTGTTTTGAACTTCGAGTTGGCATCCGAATGAGGCGCCTGCCCAGATTCAACATGCCCGTCGCGCAACGACCTCGATCCGAGATCGGACTTGATGGAGTGCGATGAATCCGCCACAGCCCGAGCGGGCAATATCTCGATAACATCGCCGTCTTGCACCCCTGTGTCGGCGAACGCGGCCTGATTGAACAGAATTTCCTCCCTGGAGAAGGTCTCATCATGAACCCAGAGAGTACACGATCGTCGACCTAGGCCGGTAGATGAGATCCGAAAGGTCCTCTCATCCGGAGCGGACGGTTGGTCTCCACGTGCCTCATGATGCGATATGTCCACAGGGCGGGAGGCGGAGAGAGTATCCAAGCTGGCGGCGCTGACCTGCCGGAGGTGCGAGCGCTTCATGGGGCCGCGCAAAGACATTCTCTTTCATGCCTTCAAGATCGCATTGTCCACGTGCGATTGCGTTGCTTGAAGGGACTGTGAAAGACAAGACACCAATCAATTCCTTGAGTGTTGAATTCATCCCAGCTCCCTATCGATCGATTGATTGCTGGTTGGATATCCACTGCAGGAAGGCGGTGAACAAAAAGAATCACGTGATAGTTCCTTTCCTAAACGGGAATATCCTCCGGTCTTTCCTATTCGGGAAAGGCCGACCTTTAGTATTCAACATATGTTGGGATTCTAGGAAATGGAGCGAAAACAATATGGCTGCACTGGAAGGTCCAGGTGGCCTTAGGTATTTGAAAGGACCGCGAAGGTACCACGAGGCATCCAAGGGCAAGTTCCCTCTCTTCGCTCTAGTCAAATTGTTTCATCCTTTTCCCATGCAACTACACTATAGCTGATCTTGATGTTCATTTTGGGTTGTAGCAGGAGGAGCAACATTGGAAATGCATGGGCAAACAATAAACCCTTGGATAGGGTTGGAATCCGTTCAGGTAGTAGTAGTCTTCGAAGGAGCCTGAGAGGTTCGGGGGACCTTCTCACCACCACGGATACCGCTGCCAGCGAATGGGGCCAGATCTTGTTAAACCTGTGCCATGCATCCTGGTGCTGACGAATCCGGGCAGCTTTGTATGGAGAAGTCTACTCTAGAGTGAGGGCACGCGCGGGTGGAGAGAAGGCAAAAATTCGTGGCGAAGAGCTTAAGAATCCGTGCATCATTTGAGCACTAAGGGGCTAGCTGTACGGAGTAGTGTCGGTATATTGGACTTCATCAAACCTATGCGTGTACGTAGTGCCGATAAGACCAATGGGGGAAAAAGCTACATGGGTTGGGAAAAGGGGAGAGATTAATTGAAATCGAATTCTCTCTTGCACCTTGGTCAAAACGTCAGCTAGAAATTTTTGGAATCTCAAAGCTACCCCAATTTCAAGCCAGTTTGAAGTTCGGATACTAGATCCCTACAGATGACCCAAGCTCGGTGAGCAGAGAGGTCTCTGGTGCCAAGTTTGGCAAGCCAATCGGCCGCCTTTGAAACCTTATGGAGAACATTTCTATACTGGACAGTGCCTGCTTTCTCTCCCATGACCATGGTTAACATGAGCACGGTGGTGGCTTGCATTATATAATGCACAATGCACCACCAGGGCAACATATGGGAGGCCCAGGTAAGGTCTGGAATGTCTGGGAGTAGTTCTAACATTCGACCACCAAAATCAGCACACACACCAGCCGTGGTAGTACAGAAGGTCTCGGCTTCGTCATTTGAAGGGGGCTCTCGAATGAGGCGGCTAAGACATGGCTGGTTGATAAGTATCTTCAGGCTATAAAATGAAAAGGCGAGGTTTAACCTTTCCCTCTTAAACTCGGTTGTCCCTTGTGTAAAGTGAAACTCGGCCGGAAGTTTGCAGAGCCAGGAATCAGCCTTCCCGTTTAGCGAGGAAATAACCTTTTCGATGGAGTGCCAGGATTTCTGCGCTGCTCCCGGAGCGTACAGCGCGTCAATAGACCTTCGCATAATCAACCCCAGTTCAACGAGATGTAGAAAATGAAGTGAGGTATTTGGCGTTAGGGATTTGATAGCAACGGATGCGACTCGATCACTGTGCCTATCCGGGCGACGAGATTGATGCCTGGGAAACGTAGGAATCATTGCATTTTCCACCGACTGTTTTGAGATTTGAGAGGACAAGCTCTCCGTAAAAATTACCCGTGCTCCGTGGTCCCCAATCAGGTGCTCTACCTCACTCCGTGGAAATTCTTCCTCGATAAATGGGACCGGAGGAGGGGTTGTGCAAGAATCCTCGCTGCTGCTGGGTAGGCGGCCTGTCATCACACATAGTGAAATGTGGAGAATATAAAGGGACCACCACACCCTATAACGAATCTCTCTCGAGTTATAGGAAACAATGTTGCTTTCGTTGCGCAGATTTAATCCCATTGTAACGGCTGATTGAATTGAAACGCCGGAAAGTCTCCAAGACCTGGTCAGAAATACATTAGCTCTCTGCAACTATCTGGTGGGAGAGGGGGGGCCGACAAGGAAATCTCGGCGAGAAACGAGCGTACCGATTAGAGTGTCCTATAATCATTAGATAAAGGGCACTTAGCCCCTCCACCTGCACTTGTTGGAGATTCGGATGATCCAGGGCAACGTCCCGCATGCTGAGCTTCCAGGCCCGCGAGAAATAAATATGGTGATCGTCTTCGGCCACATCCCTAGCAGGCGACACAAGGCCGGCATATTTAGCGGCAATGGAAAATATCAAATTAAGAATTGCCAGCCATCGCTTTCCAGGCCGTGAGGACGGGGTGGAGTAAAAGGACTTGTACTGGCCCAGAAAGACCACTTTGCTGATAATTGGGAAAGAAGGGTGTACCGCTTGGAAGTATACGTCTACTAGGCGATCGGCGACTGTGATAAGTGGGCGCTGAAAGAGGTCGATGTCCTCCACTACAGCAACGTCAGAGTCATCGAGAAAGAAATTCACCGTGGTAAATGATCCATGATTCGGGTCCGTGCCGTCCGCTGGGGGGGCGGATTGGTTGATAAGTTGCTTTAATTTGTATATCCATGCAACCTCTGAGTGTTCTCCAACAAATCCCATAGCCTGTATCCTATCACGGTTAAAGTCCTCGTTGGTGAAGTCGACTGACCCTAGAGGAGAGCTCCATTCAGTGGGGATAAGAAGCGAGGAGAATTCTGAGGATGGGCGACTGGAGGACGGATGGTTCTCGGGTTGCTGTTGTGAGATAGATGTACATTAAGCAAAGCCCAAAATGAGATGGAGGCGAACCGGACTTGTGAAGCTTCAAACCAACAGGGGTAAACTCTTACTTCGCTCAGAATCTGCTCCACATACCGAGTCGATTGCGAATCCAAGGAAGGGTAGATTGTTTGCAGCAGTGCTTCCAATGTTTGGATCCTGGCCGTGAGGTCGCTCAGTCGCCTAGGATAGATATGCTGTGAGAAATGGTAACTGGAAAAGTCCTGGAGATCCTGGTTAGGCTACATACCTAGCCATCTTCTCTCGTTTTCGATCGCCATAGGAGCATTGGATCCCTGACTCCTGACACCGCTGACAAGTCGGACGTTCCCCGGTACACTTGACTTTCTGGTCACGGCAAAGATCGCACGCACGACCGACGCGACCCCGGCTAGGAACTACCGCTGGGTGTGCTGACCGCGGGATGGCAACTTTGGAATTCAATGAACGGTCCGGGATGGCAGCTGTCGGGGCGTTTGTGGAAGGTTCAGCAAGGGTTGGTGTTACTTCGGAGGGCCCCTGAGCCGTAAAAGAAGGATGCGTGTAGGTAGATGCTAACCAGCCATAAACAGGTCCAGTCTCGGGGAAATCAGAAGGCGTGTATGATGAGTAGGGAAACGGGGAAGGATAGTTGGAACCACTCATTGTAAAGGGTGCTTAAAACGTCGCATTACCCTTTCATTCGGCTCCAACTGTGAGCGATGTATGAGCGATAGCACCACGAGGAGACCGAATGATTTGAGAGACAGCAAGCATTAAGACATATGAAAAGGGACAAGGTCCAAAATGAAGAACAAAAGCCATTGTCGCTTGCGTTCGTGTTGCTGAGACGTGGTAGGCTGGATGTGATAGCCGAGTTGTATGGCCGCCACAAGTGGGTGATTGGGCCTCGCCAATAATACCAAATTCTTCTGCTGGACTTCTGGGCACAGAGCCTACAGATATCATGTAGGACAAAGGTTAGTTGATGAGGTCAAATGCCCCTTTTCCAAAATTCAAGCCTGTCTTTTCCCTTTTCGTTTTGCTTTTCTCTTTGGAGTTCGAATTTGATTTAGCCGCCGGAACCCCCCCAAAAAAGTGATGTATGAACCCCTGTCCCTGTAGGGTTATCGAATTATTTGTGGGATGAGGCTGCTAAGAGCGATAGAATTTTTGCATGCTAGCTGATCCTGGGATTTCCTTTAAGATGACCGCAACATTTCCTGTCATAGCTTCCGCTGGTAGCGGTCCAGCTGCAGCGCTTGCTCTCAACTTGAGTACAGACTCCAACGCCTGTAAATCCCAGGATAAGCAGGCTTTTATCGATGAGGCGCGAGATCTTCTCGGAGTCACGCATTCAGCATTCGAAGCTCATGGTTCGGCTCCAAGTGGCGTGCGAATTCATATGCGTTGCTCTCTAGACGTTGACGGTCCGGCTTAGAAGAGAGACGAAGCGATATTTCCAGGGAAATTGACGATTCGTCGTCATTTGAATCTTTCCCTCTGCTCCCCAAGGACCGAATCGAATAATTGGTGTCATGCCGGGGACTGTAAACGATGAGTCTCGATAGCTTCCGGGATATCAAGAATGATTAGAGGCCTAGTGGTTCAACATCACAGATCAAAGGTTAGCCTGATCCCAATTCCAAAATCCTATATTCTCGGAATTTAACCCAGTGATATTGCAGACGGTCGTGGCTTGGAGATTGTTTTGCGTGTGTATTCTTGTTAAAGCATATTCTTTTTGACATTGAATTACAAAAGATGGTGGATGTGAAGCTCGGCGAAAAGAACCGAATGCCGACGGCGTCACCGAACGCAGCCCAGCACAGCACAGCATTCATCCGTTCACACAGAACTGCCTGACGAAGCATCCCAACCCCAAAGTAACTGGTCACTGAATTTATCTACTGGATCAGACCAGCTTATGATCGACTGATCGATGAATCGCAAAATACAGACAAGAACGGCCCCGTCATCTGGCGAGGGGTCGAAACGGAGGAAGATTGTCGCGTATGTTCATAGTCCTTCCTCCCTTCTTCAAATCACACCTTCTGACCGGATCGGCATCGAATTCTTGTCGTTTTATAGTTGCAAACGATGCCACTCTCACAAAATCAAGTGCTCCGGCGACCAGCCCTGCGCAAAATGTTGCACCGTGGGTTGTGCAGATGAATGTAGCTATCCTTCACCAGACCCCCAGGTCAAGGTCAGTGCAAGGTTAGTGAGGCATTCTAGCCCGACCCCATTCGATGTGACGTCGCTGCCGTCTAGCACTCGAAACTAAGTGCATAATTCTAGCTTTTTAGAGCACGGAAAACCGACGCTCGAAGCAACAATCGGCATCCTCGGCAAACGTGACCGAGCCCGGGCCGACGCGGCCTGCAGATGGGGCAGCACCAGATGAAAGCAATACGAGTGTGCGAAATCCTCTCATTGGGGATAGGGCATGGTTTCATGCTTATGGCCCTTCGGCACCCCCTATCTTTGTGGGCGAGGCCGCTTGCACCGCATTTGCCACTCGATTTCGTCAGTTCTTAACAGGAAGTAGTGCGACAGCTCATATCGCGCGAACGCAGTATGTCAGAGAGGAGAATCTCGCAGTAGCCAATTCGGGCGAGATACAATGGCCGGGTCTCCCGCAGGCACGTTTGCTGGTCCAGATTGCGCTTCGACAGATTGGCTGCATCTACCACGTTCTGCTCCGCAAGTCAACCCTGGAGAAACTGGAGGAAATCTACCGGACTAAGGATTTCGAGTGTACTGTGAACCAGTGCAAGTTCTTTGCCTTGTTTGCGTTTGGAGAAGCATATTCCATGCGAAGCGAACCGTCGTCGGGATCTAGGGTCCCGGGCACTTCGTACTTCGCCCGCTCCTTGAGTTTGGCGCAAGTACTCCCGGAGCGGACCAGTGTGGTTTCATTTGGAAACATTATTACTACTCGTATGTTGTTGCTCTTGAACGATATGAAAAGGCTGCAAATGGACCGTTGAAGCTAAGCAACCTAGTCACTATTTTCCTACTATCTCAACCGCCGGCATTCGGCATATGTGTTGATCGGCAGTGCCCTGCGCTTAGGATTATGTATTGGTTTAAACCACAATATTCCCGAGTCCCAGCTCATTGACCCAGTGGAGCGTCAACACCGGATACGGATCTGGTGGACGATTTACATCTTCGACCGTATGTGGGGGTCAAAAATGGGGTTCCCAGCCCAGATTCTGGATGATGATATCCATCTTGATATGCCCTCGAGCATCCTGTCTACAGCGCTATACGAGGAGCAATTCTCAGACGCGGAGTACCTCAAAGCGAATATCAAGCTGGCCCGGATGGTCGGCGAGACGATCGCCAAACTATACAGTCGACGCCGGTATAACGAGACATTCCTGCAACGAGTACAGAAACTCCTCAAAGCATTAAAGAACTGGGTCGACACCCTACCAGAGCATCTGCGACTCAATGTCGAAGAGCCCGAGATGAACCGCAAGCATATCACCTCTCTACACCTTGCCTTCAACCAGGTACAACCCCCCCCCCCCCCTTTTGACCCACATAACGACCACAACAATCAAACCCAACCGACTAATCTCCATAGTGCGTCATCCTGACTACCCGCCCAACGCTGCTACATCTCCTCAGACTCAACGAAAGCGACACTCCAAGTGCCCGCAACCCTGAAAGCATCTCGCAGCCTGTGCTCACGCTAGGAGAAGCCTGCATCTACGCGGCCCGCCATTCGCACTCCCTCATCGTCTCCAAATGGATCAACGGCTCGCTCCCTGTATTCGGCTACTTCCACGCCCAGTACCTTTTCTCCTCTTCCTTGATCCTCGCCATGTCCAGTTTCGTCCCCATCGGCAGCCCCACAGACCTGGGGGCCTTCGAAACGGGCCTCGAAGTCCTCTCATCCATGAGCGAGAACGGGAACCTCGCCGCCTCGGAATTCTACCTAAACCTCGAACAGGTCAAGCATTGTCTTGACCGGTACGGCGCTGAGCGACAGCGCCGCGCAAACCAACCAACCCAACGAAACCAGACCCTCACCAGCACCGCCGTCGGCCTGGGTACGCAGAATCCTGCAACGTCTGCGTCTCAATTACGCAGCTATCCAGGCGTTCCATCATCCCATGCGGCTGCAAATAATAGCCCGGCCGCAGTGTTGGGCCCCGTAGCCGGACTAAACATGAACCCCGTAGGAGAATACTCTCACTCTCATCCTCATCCTCGGTCCCAACAGCCAGGCCCGGAAGATGGAATCGCCTTCCGAGAGCTAGCCGGTGGGTTTACAACGGCAATGGCATTCATGGAGCCAACGATGCAGGATTTCCTTGCCCAGTCGGATCTTGACCTGGGGTTGATGCATCCCGTGGACCCATTTATGACTGAGTCCGAGAATTTATATTCCACTCATGGGATGTAGCCAGACTCACCTACTAACTATCTTTACACTTTTGCCTTGTTTCTTTACATTCTTAGTTACTGATTTCATTGCTCTAGTCTATATCTATCTATCTATCTATCTATCTATCTATTCTCTAGATCATGTCTCGTCTCAAGTCCAGCCATGCCAGCCATAGGGTATCATCAATCTACTAAAACAACCTCGCAATTATGTCCCAAGCACAGCGCTCATTTCCTACTTATTTACCAAGGAGGGAGCCTTCTCTCCACGCATTTCTGCATCTCAACCCCCCACCGAGCAATCAACATGACTAGGACGCCGCCTAGGATGGCCATAAACGCACCTATGTAGGTACTGGATGAGTCGCTTCACTTCACATGACGAGAAAAGAAAGAAAAAGCAAACGTAACGCAACGCAACGCAACGTACAAATTGTAAATGTCCATCCCACCCCAATCACGTCAATAATGGGTATAACTAATCCACTGACCCCGGAACTGATTTTGGCGAGGGTCTGTTTCTTTTCTCCTTCTTCTGCTTCGCCTTTGACTTCGAGTTGAATCTCAGGAACGAAAAGAAAGCAGAGAAAGAACAAGCCCGAGACCAGCCATGACGGTTTGTAGCCAGTAGATGTTACGCCAGCTGGAAAAGGTGACGATGACACCACCGATCACCGATACAAGGGCCTATGTTCCATTAGTTAGCAGCGCAATTATCTCTAAGATCAGATCTAGGAAACCTCCCACCAGGAAGAGAAACTTACCGCTTGCAGGCCCCGTCACTGTACCCATCATGAAGAGAACCCTACGGCCGTTCCTCTGACAGATCTATATACATCCATATCAAAACACCGCGCAGCCAGCGCAGCCCGTCCACTTTTCCAGAGACAGATCGATAGATGTATGCGTACCGGTTCAAAGATATCCGCCAACATAGTCTGCCCCCAAACCCATAAACGATACGATACGTCCCCGTAAGCCCTAGCCGGGAATGCGAAACGCCGTACACATGGACATGTTTTTCGCGGCCGCCGTGCCCACCGAACACCCACCACACAGGACCAGGATCGCCAGATTATAAGCCAATCGTCTGCCGAGGAAATGCATCAGCGGGCCCCAAAGCAGCGAGGTGCTGGAGAAGGTGACGGCGAGAGTCATCCAGCTGACTACGAAGAGGATGATGCATTTCCGCCAGGTTGGGAGATCGGAGCCCGTGGAGTGCTGGGGTTGTGTCGGTTGTCGTGCGGGAGCGATGGGATTGCTCTGGACTTTTTCGAGGTCGGGGTCCATGGCTCGATCAAGAGAGAGAGAGAGAGAGAGAGAGAGTAAATGAATCATTCTGAATCTCAAATGCATTATCCCCGGTGTTATATATTGAATTTGGTTATCGCACAAAATTGATCGGATTAATTTCCGTCTTCCGCATATCGGTCGTAGTCGCCGAACTGGCTCTGTTTTTACCTGGTGGATGCCGAACGTTCGGTGCACAGAGCCGAATCAACTTACAACGGACACCAAAAGAACTACAAAACATGTCAAGCATTAAGTTCAAGTGAAAATAACAATATGTACCCCCCTCGGATCAATAAAAACAAGTCAAGTACAATGCAAGTCCTACCAGAGAGGAAAAAAAAAAAATCAAATCATTCTATCTCCTCATCCTTTTACAAGGCAATCATGCCCAGTCCCGCAACAAGAGCGGCGACAAAGTACACGCCCAGCTGCAGGTTGCCCACATAAACAGCGATGGGGGTAGCACCGATACCAGCAGCAGAGTCAGAGGTCTTCTCACTGGAGCTAGAGTTAGAGCTACCACCAACACCACCTGCAGGAGTGGAGACATTGCCAGTACCGCTGCTGCCGGCCTGCTCAAGCAAGGTGGTGCAGTCATCCCCGGCACCAGAGGCGCTGACGACGGAAGCCCGGCTCTTGAAGTCACAGGCGCTGCTGTCATTGCCCTGGGCTCGGTAGTACTGGGTCATAACAAAAGAGAGCTTCTCCTTGTCAGGGCACACGCTGTAGGCTCCATAGGTGCCGTTGACAGCATCGGCAGTGATACCATCACAGTACTTGCCACCATCTATACCGCAGAGATAACTAAAGATATCACCATAAGCAGAGGAATCCACGGAGTCCTTCACCTGGCAAGTCAGAGTCGATTGCATGCAAGAGCAAAGCTTGGCATTCGGGGTAGGAGGAAGGGCTTCGGCGGCTTCCCAGCTGCCGTTCACGGCGGGGCAAGAGGGGATGGCGGTGTTAGTCGGGGTATAGGAGTTGCTGTTTACCCCGGTGGCAGTAACCTTCTGCATTTGCGACGAGAGGTAGGAGAAATCGGATTGGGTGACAACCGAGCTGCCATCCAGACTAATCAAACCGTAGTCGTTGACTTCCTGGAAGTACATGTAGACAATACCACCGCTCCACACGTCATTCATCTGGGGGCCGAACAGAACGGGGACGTCGGTGAACTTGCGAGGGCGGGGGTGAATGCAGCCGTACTCGGAGAAGAAAGCTGGAACGGGGTAATCCTGGAACTCCTCGGTGCGCGCCTGATATCCGGAGGTCTTGAAGCTGGAGTCACCACACCATTCGTAGATGTTGTAACCAAACATGTCGATACGGCTGCCCTCGTCGCCGCAAACCAGGTACGAGGCCAAGGACGCGCGAAGATCGGCGTTGTCGTCGGTGGCGTATCCCACCGCGAGGGAGGAACGGTGGTTCTTCTTGATGTAGGCCTTCATATCCCGCACAGCGGCCTTGACAAAGGCAATGGAGTTGGTGTTGGTCTGGTTGTTGGCGACTTCATTTCCGGCAAAGAACCCAATCACGTTGGTGTAGTTGGCGAAGGCATCAATCACGCTGGTGTAGCGAGTGTAAAGATCGGTGTTCCACTGGGGGTCGGCGCGGTTGATGGAGTCTGAAGGAGACGAAAGATCGGTAATCAGGTAGATACCCGCATCCGCCAACAATCCCATGCAGCGGTCGTGGCTAACGGACGGGTTCACGGCGTAGGTTCGGATGACGTTGGTGCGCAGCTGCTTCAGGTATGGGATATCACGCTCGCAGTTGGAGTCATCGGCGAGGGGGTCCGTGTAGTCCTGGTTGGCCTCGGCAGTACCGTTTGAGTTGTAATCCTCTAGTTATGTGGGTCAATACTCGATACGCTCAAGACACCATGCTCTGGAGATGAATAAGTGGTAGCATACGCTGGTAGGCAACACCTCGAATGTAACTACCAACCAAAGGATGTCAGCACTGGCACATGGGAAATCCAGACACTGGAGACTCACAATTCAGTACCGTTGTTGGAGTAGAAGAATTTATTGCCCTAGATGCTGTGGTTTAGAACGACATGGGCGATTCCGAGGATACCACTGGGTTTTCCCGCCTTACCTTGATCACAATCTCGGGCACGTCCGCCAGGGCACGGCCCAAGAGGGCAGCGCCAGCGAGGGCGACAGAAAGCTTCATGGCGGATTAGAGGTATCCAGAAAGAACGGTGGTGAACGGAAGATCGAAAATTGAGATTCGGGAGGATCGACGGATTTGACAAGCAGTGGTGATGGATCAGGTTGATCTACCAAGACATGAACTTTTTCCTAGCGAATGGGAGAAAAGCAATGAAAACAGGTCGAAAGAGGATAACGAATGACTGACGGGGAAACGAGACCGTCTGAAGAAGCGGCAGGGATAGAGAAAAGCGATGGAATAAGAAAAGGGGAGACAATGAGGGGGGTAGAGAGAGAGAGAGAGAGAGAGAGAGAGAGAGAGAGAGAGAGAGAGGAAGAGAGGAGGAAGAGGAAGAGGAGGATAAGACTCGGAGAAAGGAGTAGACAACCTCAGGCCTCTGCAAAGCGATTGGAGGAACGCGAAGATTGAAAGGAAACGGTAATACGAAGATTTTACATTTCATGATCATATTAATACTACCTAGGTAGTAAGTAGAGGTAACTTCATCTGAGTCAAGAGAGTCAACCAAGTTCCAAGTTACCACAAGAAGATACGTATATATACATATATATATGTAGACATATTTAGTTATTTCAAACCATAGCCATCATATGTAGACTTCATACTTCCTGTAGTCTTGTAGTTGTTATGGACTATATTAACATGATCGTGACCCTTAAGACCCTGGAACCAAGAATCCAAAAGCGCGGAGACCCGAAGGGTTCACTAACGGGGTGTACTAAGAATAGCTGAGGGACTCGCCCTGAAACTAGTCTGGCTTCTGAACGGCTCATTGGTGAAGAGAAATTGGACCCAGCGAGTTTCTTACCGTACGTGTGGTATTTACACTGTCATTACACTGTCATTCCGTATCCCAGTGTCTCCCCCTTTTAAGGCTCGTTCTTCTTCAGTTGTTGCTTATATATATTTAAATATTAGTTAACTATCTGCGGTAGAAAGCTTGAATTGTTCTGATGAGACTATACGATACTGGGGGGAGTGAGGACAGGGAAAGGGAGTGGTGTACTGTACATCTTTATTACAGACGGTTAATGCCGGAGGGTCAAGGGTCCAACAGGCTACAGCATTACAGAGTACTAAAGAATAGATCAAGTTAAAAGACGCAGAGGACTTGTGTTGTCCAGTTCAATTTTCTCAAGTTACCTCATTATCTGCTTTTCGGAGGAGAGCACGTAAGAGCCATCTGTCCAGTAAGCAGCAGACGGGTGTAACTCGTCTCACCGTCTTAAAGAAAGAAAGAGAGAAAGAAAGAAAGAAAGAAAGAAAACAAGACTGCCAGGTAAGCCTCCTTGTTTATAGATTCCAGTTGGTGAGTTATATACAGAGTGTTGACAGCACATAGGGCGATACTCTGGACTGAAATTCGGGATATTGCTTCCTCCTGATGAGGTTGGAATTTGACGACATCCCGCACAAAAAGTGGGAATCCAGCATAGCCACAATGGAGTCCCCAGCACACACACACACACACACACACCAATAAACGCCTTCTACTGTCCTCCTTGAAATGAGAAAGGGGCTTATGGAAAGAATTCGCATTCAGATCCTAACTACCCCTGTAGATAGTTAGCAGATGCGTCATCATCTCCTGACCATCAGAAGAGATCAAGCTGTGCTACCAAGATCCCTCGAAACAGTCAACAGGTTGCAGCCAAGCGCAGGAAGCTTTGCCATGGAATCTTGTCGGGATTTGAACGAAACGAAGAGCTTTCTTAAGGTTGTTTTGGTTATGCTTCAAAGAGGTCATCTTAGGCGGTTCCTTTGAGCATCGTAACCATTGCCTCTTCTGGGAAAGGGTACACTCCCACCTGCACATACTGCAGCGAGCTCTAAACGCCCTCTAAGGAGATGTGGCGCGTCTGCTCCCCAGACTGGAAAAGGAGCGAAAAAATGGGTGACGAGTTGAGGACTGACCAGGTGGCATGCGCTGCCTCTTTTTTTTTTTTTCTTCTCTGACCTGTCTTGAAGCTTAAGCAGCTCCTTTCTTTTCTGATCTGGGCCTGTTCTGTTTCAGCTTGTTCTTCTTCACATTCCTTTGATTGACACTTATTACTCCTTATTATTACTTTAGTTTTTCATTCTGGCCCAAGCAATAATCAATTTTATTCCTTTTATTGTCACCGTCCCTCTCTTCAATCCAAAAAAAACTGTGTGATTTAAACCCTTTTTTTTTAACTCTAGGCTGCCACACTTTGCTGAGGCTGAGCTTATCTTTATTTATCCCAGTAGGTATTCAGCTGTCCTCCTCTCACTATATGCCAATATGGTACATCTGTATGGGGAACGGGGCTGATGCGTCCTCGTGGCGCCCTGTGGCTCAACACTCCCTCGTTACCGGGTTCCCACCTGCATTTATACATATGAAAAGTACCTCCATATTCTTGGTCCTAATATCGATGCAGATTTATATCATTTAGAAGAAGTGAACCATCAAATCAGAAGGAAAATGCGTGAGTTCTCCCCCCTTTTTCGACTCTTGACCACATCGCCCTAACCTTGCGCGATCACCCGGGGGAGAGAAATATAGACAAGTATAGACGTGAGGCTAGGTATCAAGCCTGGTACGATCAGGAAGGCGAGCCAACCTCGCACAACCCTTTCAAGAAATTCCGGAGAGCGCCCCGGCGCACCAACTCCATCCAACTGGAGCGCCGGCTGCCCCTTCACACCTCCACCGCTGGCGAGGTGTCGCTCTCCCAGGATGTTCAGCGCCACCGCGACATGACTGCGGGTCTGGGGGGTCCAGTCCATGCAGAGTCCTTCCCCGCGTACGGCGCAGGTCCTGATTCGGCACCGCGCGCGGCAAGTCTGGAGAAATCGGAGCCGGAGCCGGAGCCGGAGCCGTCGATGCGCAGCTGTGAGCCGCTCAATGTGAGCAAGCAGGGCCAGCAGGCGGAGATGGATGGGAAGCCCCGAAAGAGAAAGGGGCTGTTGGGGAAGCTAGGACGTCGAGCGGAGGATAAGCAGGACGCAAAGTTGGATGATGCGCCGGAGGATAAACAGAAGTTTACCGCCGTGGGACAGTTCAAGGCTACTGTTTTGAACTCTTGGATTAACGTTTTGCTTGTTGCTGCTCCGGTTGGAAGTGAGTATCTTTTTCTTTTTTTTTTTCTTTTTTTTTTACTTATACAAAACTAATGGCTGTCAGTCGCCCTGAATTACGTGAATGTTGACCCTGTGGCTGTCTTCGTCGTCAACTTTATCGCGATCGTGTATGCTTCCGATCCCTCGTCGGTGGACCATCGAGCTAATGAGAACAGTCCGCTGGCAGCTCTGCTGAGCTATGCGACAGAGGAAATTGCACTGCGGTATGACAATGCCACCATCATCATCTAGTTTACCTATACTAACTATACTCTAGAACTGGCGAGACATTCGGCGGTCTGCTCAACGCAACTTTTGGGTAGGATTGCTTGTCTCTTCTGGGGATCCCGACTAACCAACTCAGAAACGCGGTCGAACTGATTGTGGCGATTATCGCTCTCGTGGACGATGAGGTGCTCATCGTCCAGACCTCCCTGATTGGAAGCATGCTCTCAAACCTCCTCTTGGTGATGGGGATGAGTTTCTTCTTCGGTGGCATCAACCGCGTCGAGCAGCATTTCAACCCCGTTGTTGCGCAAACGGCAGCCAGTCTTCTTGCGCTTGCTGTGGGGAGTCTGATAATCCCTACTGCATTCCAGGCGTGGTCTGGTGGTAAGTGTCCTTTTCTTCCCTTTGGCTAGAAATTCCCCAACCCTTAACTAAATCACTCCAGCGGAAAGTTCCAAAGTCGCCGAACTTTCACGAGGTAAGCCTCATCTACTCTTAAAAAAAACAGTCGATCGTTTCTCACGTTCCCAGGGACCAGCATTATCCTCCTGGTGGTTTACGGATGTTATCTGTTCTTCCAGCTGAGAACGCACATCGACATGTACAACGCTCCCAGCAAAAAATCCGAGAAGCGAAACCAGAAAGTGTCGGAGGGCGATACGAGTCGAGGAATCGCGCAGATCGGACAGATGACGGGCGCCATGGCCGGTTTGCATAACGCGGAGCTCCAGGAGCCCGAAGACGAGCCGGAGGAGCCTCAACTGAGTATCTTTGTTGCGATTTTGACGTTGGCGATCGCTACGACTTTTGTGGCGCTGTGTGCCGAGTTTATGGTACCCCCCCCCTTCTATCCTTGTATCCTTATCCTTCCATGGAGATGAGTGAGGGCTAAGAAAACAGGTCGGCTCGGTAAACGCACTCACGGAACGCGGCGGCATCTCGAAAACCTTTGTCGGGTTGATTCTTCTTCCGATCGTCGGCAATGCAGCGGAGCACGCTACCGCTGTGACAGTCGCCACCAAGGACAAAATGGATCTGTCGATCGGCGTGGCTGTTGGATCGAGCATGCAGATTGCCTTGTTGGTGCTTCCTCTCATTGTGGTTATCGGTTGGATTATGGGTAAGTCGGCACTTGCACGTTCAGTCAGTCAGTCTTTGCGCTAACCGCGATCACCCCAGGCAATAATGATATGGTTCGTTTCGCCCGTTCCCTGCGCGAGGGGGTTGTTCCATGCTCACGCGCAGTAGACTCTCTATTTCGATGCATTCCAGGTGATCCTCCTCTTTGTTTCGGTGCTTTTGGTCAACTACTTGATCGCGGATGGGAAATCCCACTGGTTGGAGGGGGTTTTACTCATGATGATGTATCTGATCATTGCTGTGGCCGCGTGGTAAGATTTTGATCCCATTCAAGTGAGGGGTTAGAGGAAGAATTAACAGGAGGTTTTTGCAGGTTCTACCCAGCCAAGGGTGATGTTGCGTGATGATGTGTTTTTTCTCTCCTCTGACATCTTCACATCATACTACTAGTACTTGTTCCTGTATTCTGCAACATACGGTATTGACCACCAATATACGTTCCTACACCTATTTATTATAAACCACCTTTCTTTCATCCATTCTCAGTCTCGTGAGAAAAGAGTGGTATTCAGAAGCCATACATATAGTATCGTAGACCTCTCTAGGTATCCTAACCCGGATATGGATTTAAACCGGGTGTGGAGAGGGACAGACCCTAGGGTTAAGTATCGGGGCTTTCCGGAGAATCGCCGAATCGACGGACGGAGTCTATTCCGTCCATGACCCTAACCCTAGGGTATGGTCTGATATCCCGGACCTCTGCTATGGTATTCGGTATGCGGGGAAGACCAGGACCACCGGGTAAAATGCGCAGGGAACGTCATCTCTATATTATATCTAGGTTTATATACCTCGATCTCTATCTATCTATCTATCTATCTATCCATCTAGATAGATAGAGATAGAGATAGAGATATATATAGATCTGGAGTCGGGTTTCAATCCCTGTCTACCTATCTGTTCCCCGCGGGGAGACTCCCGATGCAGGGCCAGTCTAGACTACCCTAGGGTACTTAAGAAACGGACACCTACTGGTAATCCGTCCGGATGACCTCGTCCCGTGTAATTCCCCGTCTTCTTCGAAAATCACATTCTCGGCAATCGGAAACTTCTTTCTCTTCTCTTCTTCTTCCTCTTCCTCTTTAGTCTCGGTCTTTGATGAATCCTGCGAGTCTAATCCGTCTCCGGACTAACCTGTCGGGCCTCCACAAATTGAGGATTCTGTGGGATGAACTGAACATCTTCGGCTCAACTTCTTTATTACTCTCGGGCTTCCCTTTCTTTCTTTCTTTCTTTCGTTCTTTCTCTTTCTCTTCTTTTTGTTTTGCTCCCCTATTTCCTACCTAGGGACTCAGCTATTTATCTTGACCGGTCCCCATTCCCCCTCTGGACCACCTCGACTCCTTCTCCCCCACACTCCGCTCGTTCCGGGTGTGCCTGTGGATTCCTGTGAAAATCAAAAGGTAATACACAAATTATTCTTCTTGATTTATTCTATTCTTTGTACAATTTCTCGGGATTTGCTTGGAATTTCCCTCTTTTTGTTTGTCCTCCCACACTCCCCTATCCCCTTGTCCCGTGTCCCTTGTCCCTTGCTCTCCTTGCTTGTGATCTAGTGCTGTACCCTCGGATCAGACTGAATAAAAGAAAGAAAAAGAAAACACAACGGCTTTCCGAACCTCTGCTGGGTTTGTGTTTGGGACTATTTAGTGTTGGGCTGTACTGACTCCATTACTCCAGACACCACATTCTCAGCCATCATCCATCATTCCCCCTGTTTCATTCCTCGCCGATTCTGAATCTGACCGCTACAAGTCGTGCGCGGAATCCCGGGGCTTTAATTACCGGAGAAATACGCTGCCAAAAATACGAACACACTGTCTGGAGTCCTGACCGGGCTTCCTCCTCCCTCGTTCTCCCCTATCCTATCAACCTTTCTCCCCCCTTGCTCCCTCTCTCTTAGGTGAGACGGGTCGTCTCCCGTCTCCCGTGCTGATCGACTGTCGTCATCATGCGGTCCAGCATCGCCTGTGCGCGCTGCCGGCGAAGTAAGATCAAGTGTGTTAATGCCGGCATCGACACCACCTGTCGCGCTTGTGAATCCTCGGGTCGCGATTGTGTTTACCCGACGCCTGCCATCGGGGTCGGCGCGGGCACTGCGAAACGGGATATTGCTGCGTTGGCTGACGGGGAGGATCGCAATGGGGACTGGGACAGCCCCAAGCGACAACGCCCCCGGAAGAGCGTCGGACTCGCGTCCTCCGCCGCCAAGGATGCTTCCAAGACCTCCCTCGATGTGCTCGATTCCTCTGTCTTGACGGTCAAGGTTTGGGAGGCCGTCTTCGATCTGTTCCAGTCCCACTTTGCGACCCTGCTGCCTTTTCTTCACCCCGCGTCCTTTATGGGGCAGATTCGACAGCTTTCGGGGAATCAGCCCACCACTGCTGCCGTCTCCTCCTCCTCCTCCTCCACCACCACCACCACCGTCAACCCGACACATCCAGAACTACCTCACGATCAGACCCCCGCTCCACTCGTCTCCAAACCGGATCCCAATCCCCTGATTCCCCTGGGGGTTCTCGCACTGACCGCACGGTTCCACCCGCAACTGGTGGCCTACCATTCCCCGTCGTCCTCGGGAACTCCGTCGAACCCGCTCGTCGCCTCTGAATACTATGCGAAGGTGCTGCGCAGCCGGCTGGCCGGCGCGGATGGCGCTAGTCTTGCCGTTGCCGATCTCACCCGCATTCAGGCGCTGTTGATGCTAGCCCTGCACGAATGGGGTATGTGCCACGGTAAAAGCGCTTGGCTATACGTCGGGATGGCTATCCGCTTGTCACAGGCCATGGGCCTGCCCTTTGAGCTCGAGAATGACGTTTTCTCCCGCGACGGCCCGCGATCCCCAGCCCTTAAATCCGAGCCAGACCTGTTCGGGGTGTCACACCGGCCGGTGGAGCAAAATGAGCAGACATCGGATGATGTGATCGCACAGGAGACCAAGCGCCGCACCTTTTGGGCCTGCTTTATCCTCGACCGCAGTCTGAGCAGTGGGAAATACCGCCCACGCATGGTGCGAGTCAAGAATCTGGGGATCCAGCTCCCGAGCGACAATGCTTTTGCCTTTGGCGAGCGCGTGCGTACCTCTCGTCTCAATGAACCTGTTGGACGGCGTCCCCAAAGCTTTAGTTCGCAGGGCGTGCAGATTCCCAGCATCCGTCAAAGCATTGGTGGCTTTGGTGACGAAAAGCTGGCCCACAATGGTTCTGATAATCGACCATGGTCCCCAGTCTCCCGGCGAAAGGATTCGGGGGAGGATGAGGTTGACCGATGGGAGGTCGGTGCGGAAGAGTCGGTTTTAAGTCGGGTCATTCGCGTCACTCGTGTGTGGGGAAGCATTGCTAAATGGTCTTGCGCAGTGCCACGAAGGTATACATGCCCCTCCCACTCTTAACGGGGCACCCCCCATTAACGTGAACAACAGGAATGAACAGCTTCCCCCATGGCACCCGGATTCGCGCTTCTTCCGTCTTCGGACCGTGCTAGGAGAATTCCGCGATGGGCTTTCTCGCAACTTACAATACTCCCCCCGTAATACTGATACGCACATTATGTATAAAAACACCCTACCCCCTTACACCGTGATGCATGTGGTGTATTTCCTGTCGGTGATTGTTCTCCATCGCACCTACTTACCCTTCGTGCCCGTGCGGTGCACCGAACCCATTGGACCGCTGGATGAGCACGGGGATAAATCGGGAATGCCCGAGTGTTTCTGGCGGGAGAGTGCCCGCGAGCTCTTTGCCGCCGCGCGCCAGATGATGGATTTGGTGGTCACCTGCCAGGACCGTGGAGTCTTGGTGGAGAACCCGCTCGTGGGGTTTGCCATCTACAATGCCGCATTTGTTGGAGTATACGCCGCGCACTTCCCCCAGATGGACCTTGATGGCGTATTCGCCCCGAAACCGACGGGGGATCGTCCGTGTCAAGGCCAGGCCCAAGCCCGCCAGGTCCTCGATATCCTACGCAAGATGCGCCCGCGGCTGAAAATGGCCCGGGGTTGGTTCCGCACCTTGAACCGGTTGCACAGCTACTTCTCGAAAGTTAAACGGGACTTTCGACGACACTGTCGCAGGATCGATATGATGATTCCAGACGACCTACACAGCGGGAATGGTATCCGTCCGGCTCGCGAAGGAGGCGGAGGCGGCGGAGGGGCTGGCGGTGCGTTTGACGAGTTTAAACTACTGGAAAAGCTCTTCCTCGACTTTGGCGCCCTTGACGACCAACTTCCAGAAGGCGTCGGAAACGACGAAGATGGGCCAGGAGCGGTCAGCGATCGAGCGACAAACCTGAGCGATGCTGGCAGCAATGCTGTCCGCAGTGAACCTGGCGATGTCGCCGAGGCGTCCCTAGATGGAGCGGGGGGGCGGCGCGAGTCCTGGGTACCGGTTAACAGTCCTGGACTCGCACTGCCCGGCCCTGACGGAGAACGCCGGCCTAGTCTTCCCCTGCCCCCTAGTCGATCCCTCCAATCCCAATCCGCCTTCTCCCTCCCATCTCTGCAACACCACCCCGATGGCCCGCTCTATACCAACTCTTCTCCCACTCTTCCCTCTTTGGGACCTGCGGGTGCGTATGGAGGACCACTAGCCAATTCAGCCCCCACATCCGCGCAATCTGGCGCCGGCCCTCCCCCCTCCTCAACTCGCTTACAACCTCTCAATTCGTGGTTGAACTCGCGGTCGCAAGCGCCACCCCCTCCCTATTCGCAGTCCCTCCCTCCTATCACTTCTGCGGCAGGCACCCACCACCTGCCTTTGCTCCCGCCCCCGGGATGTGTGGGACCCCCGGCCGCATCCCCGCCCATGACGGTGGACGGCCTGGAGGGATACAACAATATGTGGGCCAGCAGCCTCATCGGAGACGACGTACTTGCCTTCCTAGAAGGATGTGAATACGAACAATTACCGAGCACGATGTCTTCTGAAACAGGCGTCCCAGCAGGATGGCTGAGCACGGTTTGGACGGAGTTTACGCGGTAATGGAAAAATGTCATTTCAGCTATTTTTCTCTCTCTTTCTCTCTTTCTCTCTTTCTCTCTTTCTCTCTTGCACCCCCCCGGGAGGGGACCATGTTTCCCACTCTCGCACGGATTTCATTTCATTTCATTTCATTTCATTTCATTTTGTTTTTGTTTTGGGTTTGTCTGTACTATTACGATAACTGTCCCGCGCTGTCTTTCTGTATGAATATGTGATGTGGTTCAACAACAGAACTTACGGTCGACGACCATCGCCCGCAGCCGGGAATGGTGGGGATTTTTTTTTCTCTCTCTTGGATTGCGCACGGATGAAATGTTTTTTGAGCGCGGCGTCCAGGATGATTTAGGATGGGATGAATTACGGCTGCATGCCTTTTTTTTTTTTTTTTTCTGCTGCTCCGGTTCTCGTTGTAGATTTGTTTCTGCTCGTATTGCGTTCTCTGTAGTTTTGTCTCTGGTCTACTACTACTACTACTAGTATGTATGTATGGGGTAACAAAGTCAAGTCGCGTCGCTCGCTCGCTCGCTCGCACATAAAAAAGTTCCCATCATGGCCGGATCAGATCAAAGTCGATTAGGTAGATAGATTCCAGGCCTCCTCCCCCCTCCCGCGCAAAACTCACTCATACCGGCTTGCAAGGTCAAGAGAGTTAGAATCTTTCACCCCAAGAAGACGTTGCTGTGTCGTGGGATTTCACTTTATTTTTGGGTTTGCTCTTCTTCATGCTAAACACCATATTAAACCCATCCAGGTGCCTAAATACAGTAGAACTTTGTTGTTGTTACGGCGGGATATGATCTCAAGTTATGTATGTATGTATGTATGCTCCATGTTGAACAACCCCGGGTTGTGTCTGTCTGTCTACTAAGCAGATATGAAAATGGACTAGAAAACCAACCCGCCACCTGGGATGGATGGAGTTGTTAGCATATGTACAGAGATATTTTTTTTTTTTTTTTCCCAAGGCTCAACCTACCGTCCACCACAATGTCGGCTCCATTTACATAGCTCCCTCCGATGTCACTGCATAGAAAGACCACCGGCCCCGTGAGTTCCTGTGGCGATCCCATCCGGCGCATTGGGTTACGCTCCGCCCACACCTGTCTCCAGGCTTCCAGATCCTCGCCTTCGTTGAGAGGCGTGTCCATATATCCCGGAGAGATCGAGTTGACTCGGATCCCGTAACGGGTCCACTCCGCGGCCAGACTGCTCCGCATGTGCAGGACAGCCGCTTTGGAGACATTATATGCAACCTGCGGCTGGGGGAAATTGACACGGTGACCGCTGATCGAAGCAACCAGCACAATTCTGCCGCCCTGCGCGGCCGCAATCATCTGTCTGCGAACCATTCACCAACGTGGCCCAAACTTGTAAGGTTGGGGGGGGGGGGGGGGGGGGGGGGAACATACTTTCCGAAGGTCTGCGCTGCAATCCAGGACCCCGTGGTGTTCACATCAATCAGACGTCGCCATTGCTCAATCTCCATTTCCTCTGCGGCCACACACCCCACTATCCCTGCAAAGCAACATAGGATTTTAGGGGGTGCCCCGAGCTGGTCCCGGATCCGTTCCGCGACGCCACTCATTTCCTTCGCATCGGTGACATCACACGGATAAGTGAGGATCTTCCCGCCGGGGAAGTCTGCGCGCAGGGCACGGATATTGGCCTCGCTTTGTTCAAATGCACGGGACAAATCTAGGAGCGCTATTCCTTCAAGACCATGCTCGAGGAGGGCTCGAGCAGATGCAAGGGCCAGGACACCAGCTCCGCCGGTGACTGTGGGATATTCAGGGATGTGTGTGTGAGAGAGGGAGAGAGAGAGCATGCTACAATCCGCACGACGAGTACATACAAACGGCATTTCCATGGACTCCGAAACGCATCTCCGCTCTCTGCTCCGCGGTAGAATGGGTGGGGAAAGGAGCCGGCGGCCGAGTCAATGTTGTTGCTGGATCGGCCTCTCCAAGACGGATGCAGGGCATCTTTTTCTGCTCCTTGCATGGGTCCATGGCGGCGGGTTACCCTTGTTAGAGGTTGGTTATAGCCCAACAACTTCCGGGGTTGTTACCCGGCAGCTGGGGGAGACTATGGGAAGATGGAGGTTGAATAAAGACGGTAAAATCACGTCACGTGGTGGTAGGCGGGCGAATCGAGCATCGGATGAAGATGAATGTGGATTCTATATTTCATGTATCTATATATATATATATATATATATATTTTTTATAAATCTGCACCTAATTGTTATTTGAGAAGATGTCGCTTCTAAGTAGTCAATACTTTGCCAGTCGGCTAATGCTACCAACGATCTGCACGGTGACCTGGACTATATAAAGTTGATAGCTACGATGCTTTTAAAACTACAAGAATGTAGAATATCAACCTAGCACAGAACATATTAGAAACCATCGCACAGCAAAATAGCTCGTGAGTGTGAGGAACCATGATACCAGCTCCAATCGGATTATGTATAACACTCCCTGACCGAAATCATGAAGAGAACTATCTGCTACCAATAGCCTGGTTAGCAATAAGAACAGTACACGGTAATAGAAGAAATACACGGAACGTATTGGAGTTAGAGAAAGAAAGAAAGGAGAGAAAAAAAAAAAAAAAAGGCGGGCCGTAAGTCATAACGGGCACCCTGATGCGGGACCATTGCCGAAGCTTTAATAACCCTCTTCTTCGCCTTGTTGATAAACATGTCGTGTTCGGGTGGGGTCTTTGCGCATCTGCTGTCCGGATCCGGTAAAACCCACTAGTGAGGCAGTTAGCATTTGGTGATCACTTCATTTACTTGCAGTTAATATACCTCGGGCGTTCAACCCTTCTCCAGTCCGGAACATGCTTTCCTTTCGCCCATACTTGCTTTTGCTGGCAAAATCCTTCCATTTCATCTTACCCTCCTCGAGCTCCTTTGAAGCCTTGACCTTGCGAGGTGCTTTCGTAGGACGTGGGGGTCCATCGCCAACCTTGCTCGGCTCTTTCCGCGCCTGGTTTGCCAATGCTGGGTTTATGTCCGCTGCGGCAGAAATCACGCTGGCGTGGGGAGGTTGGGGAGCGGGGGACTGGGATGAAGAACTGCCTGGGCTTCCATCAGCCTTGCGCTTTCGCGATTCACCGTTGGAAATGGGTTTAAGGTCTTTTGCGGTTAGAGATTCCACCGTTCCGTATGACTTGAACGAGACAATATACACGGGGTTGCTAGATGAACCGGTGATGGAGGTGATGCGAGCTGGATAGAAGGAGTTGTCTCCCGAGACCCAGCGCGCCAGCACATGTTCATTAACGGAAAAGGAGACCGGGGCGGAGGGTTCCTCGACTTGTTCGACTGTGGGAGCACGGAAACTGGATTTGGGGGGGTAGTCTTCTCTCGCGTCTTTCGCCTTCGCTGGTAGAGAGGAAGAGGATCTTGCGGGGGGTGCGGCCGGTTTGAGTTCGGCGATGGATGTTGCAGTGAGGTTTATAAGTTCTTCCAGCTCAGCCTTGAGACTTTGTAGTTCCGTGTTATCTGGGTCTACCTGCAAACTCGATTGAACGGTTTCAAGCTAGAAACATTTAGTCAACTGGACGGTATGTTGGGAAGATAGCTGGCGGAGTTGGTATACCTGAAGCTTGAATTCCTTGACCTCAGCCTCCAGGGCCGCAACGTCTGACATGGTTAGATAATAGAGAGGGATAGAAAAAAAAAAAAAACACGAGATACAGGTCTGAAGATAAGAAAGATATTATAGGTCTGATCCAGCCTGTAATGAGTGTGGTTGATTATTGGTGATAGATTGTGATGTGGAGTTGGAGAATCCAAGACCAATTTGGTGGATTTCCTCTTTGGTCAGTATGTACACGTGATCACAGCGACCGCCACACGACGCCAAATTTTCGGATGACCTCATCTGACTCTACCTCTCTGTATATAATTTCACGGAGACACATCTTCTCTAGAAGGAGGAATTGACTCTTGATGGATCCTAGCCCCTGGCTTGGCAAGAATAAGGTGCATATTCATGACTGATGGGACCTAGTATATCAATTTGGGTGAGATATTTACTCCCACTTCCTAAAGTTTGTCTAGAACCATTCCAATTATAATTCCGAATTACGGAACTTCTAGTACTTAGACGAGCGTGAATTCCTCGGTTCCGGATGGTGTGACATCCGAGTCGTTAACGGAGGAATATGATGCCGTGGTACCAATTAATAGTGCTCAAGAGTAGGGAAGATGTCGCATAGCATGTACATCATCAACCCTGGGGAACCAAGCCTTAGAGTTAGAACCCTCATCATTTTGGCTGACATGTGCGTAACATCCTATGTACATAGTTACTTAGGTAGGCCTCAATTCAACTTAGTTAAGTCTCGTCTGTGACTCAGAGTTAGGGTGATCAAAGATCGAGATCCCTAACTCCGCCACCGGGGATTGGATTCCTACTAAGGTTCCCGACTTTTCTTTATGTATCCAGGGCTGCCTTGGCCCGTCCGGACCTCTGGTGAGGGAGGCCGGAGGGAAATGCCGGACTGAAAGCCTCGAGAAAAGATGAGTGCCTCAAAAACCAAAAAGGCGCAAGGCGGCTCCATAGGTAATTGATAGAGAGACCTATCAGCGTCTCGTATGCAAAGTGGTCGTAGAAGAAAGAAGAAAGTCGCTGATTTCTAAGCAGGCCGACCGTTTCTGTTGGGCTTAAAGCAGCTGGAAACAAGAAATGATATTATTGGTTCTGACTCTTCTGCGGACTTGGATTGTCCAATAAACACATCATAAAATACTGCCGCTTCTATCCGTCACATCCCGTGATCTGCCTGCTCCCCCTCCTTTGCCTCCGGACTCCCTCTGGCTTCCTCTTCGGCCACAGCACGATCCTGTCTGCATCCTTTCATCTCCTAACCAACCGTTGACGATACTCTAATGCGCTAATTTTGCCCCTACAGCTTTTATTTCTGACGACATATCTTTCTTCTAACCCCTCGCCCTCATTTCGTTTCACCTTCCCCTCTTACCAGCTCAGAACGAGCCACCCACCCGTTAATATCAGCCTCGTTCTCACCACCACTCTTCTCCAAACAAGCATCCTCCTTCGCCTCCTATTTTTTGGATCTCAACAGCTCAACGACCTCGTTCGATCGTCGTCAGCTCGCCATAACTGGTGATTTGCGTCCAGTGATCTCCTGCCATTGCACCTCGCCGAATCTGCCTATCCGCTCATTGCAACTTTTCCTGAGCCCCCTGAGAGTTGTCTTTCATCACAGACCCCCTCTTTTATTGCTAATAGCCAACAGTACAGATTGGCTCTTGCCGTCTTTATCGCTGCAGTAAACGGGCGGGAAGCCCGACCTCAGTGCCTAGAATTTTGACGGTCTACTTGAAGTCATTCCCGATCTTTTGTTCACTATCCGGCCTATCTAACAACTTAACTGCCCACAATTCTCGCTCATTGGGTGAGAGATTAAATAATATCACGGGATTACGTTAAGAAGCATTCCGCCATGACTGATTTCAACGCCCTCTACCAGCAAGGCCTTTACCTCTCCCCGGGTGAACAGGACCTTCTTCTGGCTGCTCTTTCATCAAACAACCGACCCTCAAAACAACAGCAGAGCACCTCAAGATCCAAATCCGAATCAAACCCCGACAGTACTCCCGGTCATGCTTCCTCCGGCAGCTTCAGTACTTCCCCAGGATTTGATCGGCAAGCCCATTTCGACAGTTTAAAGTACGAAGAAAGTCCGTTTCTCGATTTTAACCCTGAATTGGATTGGGACTTTCAAGGCTCTGAGGACTTAATCGGAGATCTTCCTGAGAGTGCCCCACCCGAGGAATACGAAGGCGGGGAAAAGAGGAAGGATATTGATGGAGAGGACGACGATAAGAATGAGGCGTCTGGGAAGAAGCGAAGGGAAAGTGTCGACAAAATCGCCAAGAAGCCTGGAAGAAAGCCACTGACTTCGGAGCCAACTTCGGTACGTATCAATTGCGTTTGATGCTAGGCCCGATTGTGAATTCTGACAAGCTTTGTAGAAGCGCAAGGCCCAGAACCGTGCAGCGCAGAGGGCGTTCCGCGAGCGGAAGGAGAAGCACCTGAAGGACCTGGAAACCAAAGTAGATGAGTTACAAAAGGCGTCTGATGGCGCTAATCAGGAGAATGGATTACTTCGAGCCCAGGTGGAGAGGCTGCAGGTTGAACTCCGGGAGTATCGCAAGCGTCTTTCCTGGGTGACGAGCGGAAACGCCCTCTCCGCTATTAATTCATATCCAGGGAACACCAATCGGCTGAACCGCCTCAGCAATAATGAACTCATGTTTGATTTCCCGAAGTTCGGGGATCTTCCTGGTGCCCGTATCTTCAATGACGGCGCATTGGCCAAGTCAAACCAGAACAACGCGAAGGAAGATCAACCAGGAGCTCGGATCCCGGGGGTTCTGAACCGGGATTCTTTTGCCCAACCCGCGAAGAATTCCTCTCCTGTCAAGCAATCTAATTCCCCATCCCTTCAAGGAATTGCAGCTGCTAAATCTAGCGCCGCATCCCCAGTTTTTCCTAACGGCCCCACGCAACACACTCCTCCCGCCCTTTCGGCCTACGAGTTCCGACAGACAGCATCGCTCCACGATACGTCGAATTCCGACTCTCCATCGTCGTCTTCAGATTCCCACCGGAGCCAATTTCTCTCTTCTAGCGGTACCTCTCCCGAGCCTAGTGCGCAGTCTCCTGCCACCAAGCCTAAAGAGGCCAGCAGTAATCACACTTGCACTTATTCCACCATTGACGGTGAGGCGTCCTTCTGCGCACAACTTGGTATGGCGTGCGGCAACATCAGTAACCCTGTTCCAGCTGTGAGACACAAGAGTGAAGACATTACGAGCACGCCTAGTCAACCCACCTCCAACGACAATGTCCAAGGATTCGACTTCCTTGCCCAGCAAAATGGCGGTCAGTTCGATCCGTTGCTGTTCGGAGACTGGCGCGAACCCCAGGACGCAATCTTGTCGCAAGATTTCAATACCTTCTTTGATGACGCCTTCCCACTCCCCGATCTTGGCAGCCCTTCGCATAATCTCACGGAAGTTGGAGCTCGTCAGCAACCCAAAAAGAGCATCCTCGAAGAAATCGACAGCAAGTTGGACGAGGAGGTTGTTCCTGGCGAAGATAAGTCCCAAATGCTGTCGTGCACTAAGATATGGTATGATTTGAACACTCCCTGTTTTGTCCAATCCGACTGTATTGACTATAGTTGCGGTAGGGATCGTCTGCAATCCATGGAGAAGTTTCGTAACGGGGAAATTGATGTCGATAACCTATGCTCGGAGCTGCGTACGAAGGCCCGATGCTCTGAGGGTGGTGTCGTCGTGAACCAAAAGGACGTGGATGATATCATCGGCCGCGTTTGAATAACGAACCAACCCCTTCTGGGAGGAGTCGACGAATAGTAATAACGACAAATGATCATTTCCCCGTCGAATCCAGATACGAATACCCTACGATACGATACCTCATTAACGTTATTATGGAGTAATGGAATACTAGGATACAGGATGTTCAGTCCCCCCCCCCCCCTCCCCTCTTTCTTTTAAATTCGAAAACATGAAAAGATTCTTCTCGATAGCATTTCCTTCTTTTTGTGTTAATTTTGAAGACGTACAAAAAACCGATGCGTGTATGGATCGGATCTTTTCTTATCGGGTTGGTCTTTCCTTTTATCATCTCTACGGCGAATTTAGGGCCCACGGTTTCACCAGAAATGGCTCGCGCAGGATTATACACAACCCACCCACCATGCATTGCGAATGCATCAATAACATGGACATGGCTTTGCTTTGGTTTTTATGCGTTACAGGAGGAATCACATCCATATAGGAACCGGAGTACCTAGGGAACAGGAAACAGGAGACAGGGAACAGCGAACAGCGAACAGCGAACAGGCTCATTTGCGTTCTGACGGGAGGCTGTTGGAACCGATGCCTCTTAGGGCATCGTCTTTCCCTTTTTTTATTTTTCTTGCGCGGAGCCTGCGGGTGGTGTATGATCTATCTCTATCTCTTATATCTATTATTGGATGTAACTATGAACTTGATATTCTCGCCTGTTTGATAATTTGGCCCAACTACCTACAGTTAACTAAACTGTCTTTCCTTCCACAAAAAGCAAGTCTTGTTTGTGATACTCTTCAAAGTTTGATTGATTGATTGTATTAAGGGACACACGCAACCTTGATGTCGAAATCTCAGTCTCAGCTTTTACCTACCCAACTACTCGAATCTCTCGGTGATCCCGAGATAATGAATGTTATTATCCTCTTTTCCCACAGCCCTCGTGAAACAAGAAAAACAAGCAGGGAATCCCAAGCAACGACAAGGAGAGAGAAAAAAGAAATTCAAGGAAGCATTGCAGACTACAAGGGTATCGATATTGGTGCGTTCCAGGAAATTTAGAATACAAAAAGCCAGAGGAGGCCTAGGTTAGGTAGTTGACGACCGACGCTCCTTTTCTTCATTCTGTTCCTTTTTTTTTTTTTTTTTCTCTTTTCGTTTCACTCCACCTCACTTCCCTTTTTCTCTCCTTTTCTTCCTCCTCCTTCTCCTCCTCTTCTTTCTCTTCATCCTCTGTAGCGAATGTAGTTCAGTTACCAAGCCGTCTCCAAAGAATGGCGAGCAAACATTCCTACTAAAAGAAATGGCGAGAAAGAAAAGCAGTAATAAAAAGAGAAAGGAAAGGTCAAGAAAAAAGAACAAGGACCTGTTCCATACCAGACAGCCATCTCGCTAAAGAAAAGAAGGTAAAAGAAATGGTTGGAAAGGGGGGGGGGTCGAAGCATAAAATTTTAGTTTTTGAATATCACACGAATAGAAATTAAAATATTGAGGACCGTGAGATTAGTGGTAACACATGGCGGGACATTGAAGAGGGTAAATAAAAACAACAGGTGGCCGAGAAGAGAATTTCGACACTGGAAAAGAGGAAAAAGACACAAAGAAATAGATTTAGAAAAAAGAAAAGAAGCAAGGGAATAGACACAAAACAGGCTAATAGGTCAAAATCATGCCTTAGACGTCACCAGAAGCAGCTGGCTTGTCGCCAGAGGGTGTGGATGTTGAGGGAGCAGAGTCCGATGGGCCTGATGTCTTGCCGAAACCGCCGCGGCCTCCTCGTCCACCACGCCCGCCTCGATCCCCGCGACCCCGGCCACCACGTCCGCCAAAACCGCGTCCGCGTCCGGTTTCACTATCACTAGCCCCTCCGCTTTGATATCCACGCTGTGATGTGTTGCTGCCGCCGCGGCTGCTGCTTTGCCAGGTACCGGCGTTGCCACGATGGCTGCCACGGTCTTCAAAGAACTTGACATTGGGTTTACGGGGTTGACCTGGGCCGCTGGACTTCTTGTATTCGATGGGGAGACGATCGAGAGCAGCCTTGGCCTCTTCAACGGTTGCGAAGGTAACGACGTGGTTATACTTGCCCCATTTCTCGATTTTAAGCACCTTGGCCTTGTCCTCCTCTGCGAAGAGCTCGCGAGCAGCCTGCTCGTTTTCGACGTTTGACACGAAGAGACCGTTACTTTGCTTTCTTTCGGTCTTGGGTAGAGGCGATTCAGCAGACTTCTCGGGCTGGGGGGCGCCGTTGGCCTCGGTTATGACAGAGATGTCGGGCGACTCTGTGGTTTGGGAAGCAGCGGGGAGAGAAGCAGCACCACTGGTAGGCTGAGGAGTTACAGACTTAGGAATGACAGGGGCTGGGGAAGTGCGAGCTGGGATAGCAGGCCCCTTGACTGGGACAGGCTGCTGAGCCGGGGGAGCACGAGTAGGAATGGGCTGAGCCTGGCCAAACTGAGGAGCTGTGCTGGAAGGGCGAGCTGCGGGGGAAGGCATGCCAGCAGGAGCACCAGCGGAGACAGGAGCGGCAGGCTGGACGGCACCTGCAACTGGGGGCTTGCCACTACGGTGAGCGAAGTTGAAGCCTTGGGCACGCATTTCTGTACCAATACGGCCGGACTCGACCTCGAGGACCAAGAACCCGAACGCCGCATCTGCAAGGTTGAAGTTCCACATGTTCTTGAAAGCGCTCTCATCTACCTGACCGCTAGCACTACCGGGGTTGGTAGGTCCACCGAACGGGTTCCCACCATTGGCAACAGTTGGCATCTTCTCCACCACACCAAGTGCATTGTCCAGAAGTGTCTTCTGAGCCTCGTTCGAAGAAATAGCAGCCTCAACTTCACCTCGCACCGTCTCCCACACGTCATTGAAAGAAGCCTTCGAGGCAGCCAGCTTGCCCCGGTAGTGGTCTAGAGAGGGGTTCACGGAGAACTCGTTGTAGGAAGAACCATAGCGGAAATGGAGACCAGCAGAAATGGAGAAATCTGCCTTGAGGGTCACGGAAACCTGATTCAACATCCCTTCTCGGGCCGGGGAAGCGTGGGTAACGAATATACGAGTTTCGGACGGATCGTATACCCGGTTGGCGGTATCAATCAGCTCACCCATCTGCAACAAAGTCGTCCACATCGTACCCTGGCCTCCTGCAATGGTAGTCTTGCCTTCGCCATTGTCGAACAGCTTGTGCATCACCACCGCACCTCCTAGACCCAGTAGTCGTAGCTTGACACCGCCTATGTCCAGCAATCGGGAGTTGGCCTCGTCGATGATGTGTAGCTTGTCCACCTTGTACTCGCCCGATCGGAACTTCTCTAGCACCCGCACATCCTCACAAGCACCCCAGACAGTGTATACAGGAACATCGAGGGTCAGCCGCTTATCCAGCAGCATGGGAAGCTCTGAGAGGGGTAGCTGGTCTGGCGTGAAGCGTTGCTTGATGGACTGCTGGGGAGGTGTCTGAGCAATGGTGCGTTTCACACTTTCGGGGAGCAGGGGAGAGTATTGGGCCACGTGCTTGAGGGTCCTGTAGGAGGAATTTATACAACGTCAGCGGGCCCAATCAACTTTGCACAAGCTGGTGCAATGGAAAAGCCCCGTTTCAACTCTGAAACGAGTGCCTAGAATGCCTGAGGTCACTCACTTATCCGCAATTCGTTCCAGTGAGGTGTCATCATAAAAACCGAAGTCACCAGTGTGAATGATGTGGTCTGCGCGGGCTTGTTTGGCCAGTTCATTCAAAGACTTCAGATTCCCTGTGTACACACACACACACACACAAAAAAAAAGGTAATGTCTCCGGTTAGCTTATTCTCCGTGGGCTTTTTTCCCCCTAACGATGCATTCATTGGATGTAGATCCGCAGACACATACCTCGCACATCTGCAATACACAGCACTCTTACAGGACCGTTTTGGATGATTCGTCCATTGTTGGGGAGGAGAGGGGTGGCTCCCGGTACTGGACCAGAGGCACCATTAGGAAGCGAATAACCTTGAGGACCAAAGTTGTGCGGAGGACGGGGCTAGAGGAAGAAATAGGAGATGTTAGCAAATCGATCGGAAGCAGAAAAGAGGGATCTCATCCGGCGCGTGCTCAAGCTGCCGGACGCGTGGATACTTGGTGGAGGGGGATGACGTTGAACAACGAAGCTCATGCGGGAAGGGGAGCAACGGGGGGGGGTTTGGAGAGGAAGAAGAGGATGAGGACAACAGAGGCAGAGACGTACGGAAGCCATGGGGTAAGGTACGATTCAACGGTAGGGAGAAGAATGGAGAAAGGAATGTCGACGAAGATGATGAAGCGACAAGTGAGGGAGGAGAAGGACAAGAGAGACACAAGAGAGAAGACGATGAAGATGAAGAGCAGCAGCAAAAATGCAGCGGGTTTGGCGAAGAGTGAACAAACCAGCGCGGGGATTATGTAAGCACCAGGGGGCGCAAGGAGGCTCTCGGTGTTTATGGTGTTGCTGTAGCGGCCTGGATCAGAGATTATTAAATGGATGAATTTAATGGAGTATAATTGTACGAGATTGCTTTCCTGAATGAATTGAAATTGTGGGCATGGCAGAGAGAAAAAGAAGAAAACTAGAAATTTCCACCGTTGTTGTGGATGCCCCAGGCTAGCTACGATCTGTGTACCTACAATTTATCCATCAGAAAAACACCAGTCAGACCTTTTGTTGCTATATACGGGGGTGCTAAAAACTTCGACACAAAAAAGACTTCGAGGACAATGATTCTGTCTACAAATCCCCCCTTTCTTTTTCGGGGAACGGATCTCCTCCTCGTTCTTGTTCAGCTCCAAGCTTGTGGGATACAGCGGCCTGGAGACATCCAGGCCCTTTCAAAGCCATCAAAGCGAAGTGTCCGCCTACGGTTGGGCGCGCACGACACAAAATAGGGTGCCCCGGTGTCCGTCCCTTAGCAGACGTGGAAACATAGCGGTCGGAGAATGGCCAATTGTGTTTTCCGTTGGACATGAACGCCCACAGGTCGTCCACAAACTCGTCACGAGTACTCAGGTCGTCGAAAGTGCCAGCCAGCCACATATTCCAGTCGGATTTGGCCCAGTCCTGTCGGCTATCTAGATGGACGCCATACTCGGCTCGCACACTCTTAAAGAACGTATTGCCCATTTGGTACGCTTCTTTCGGGAATGTTTTTAGGTCGAACAACACATCAGGAAAGAGGTTATAAGGGATCTTCCACGAGTTTGGCTTATCAGGGTATTGAAGTACGAAGTGCGACTTGGCATCATCGGTTCCAAGTCCCTGGTTAAAGAAAAGACGGGCCCGCTCTTCCCCAATTCGCGAGTATTCACGAAGTCCGCTGAGCATCCCGAATGCCTTGAGTCCAACTGCTGCCTTGATGGCGAGGTTGGTCTCATTTGCAAGAGCCCCAGCAGCGTCATTGGACGACAGTTGCATTGCGATTTCGATACTGTTATCCACAAGATAGTCCGCATATTTCTTCAGGAGAGCCATGTACCTGGCCGGCCAGGCTGTGTCGCCCGTCGCGCGCACATATGCCAGCATCAGAACCATCAGATTACCACATTCCTCTATGGGCATCGGTTCGGCCTTTTGATCATCGTGGCCGAGCGCATTGGGATAGTGCTTGCCCATGTCATGGATTACGTACGGTTGTCGCCAGCGACCAGCTGCAAGATACCGCATCATAGGCTCCAGTAGCAAACGGATGTAGTTCGGATCCATAACATAGTAAATTGGAAAGGCAGGCATGATAACGTCCACCGTGTTGAGGTTACCATTGCTGGAAAGCTCCTTGACAAATGCGAGAATATCCTTTGTATCTAGGGAGTAATTCGGGATGGTCAAGTCAATCGCACCGTATGCCTGGCGCGCTGATAGGGTGACTATGTCTGCATATTTTTGACCGGCCGCGGCCGTTGCTTGAGCAGCCATTTCTCTGTCAAGAATCACGGATTCGCGCAAAGCATCTTCATAGTCGTCTAAGAAGTGCACCAACGCATCATAGGTATCAGAATACTCGGACCTGTAATATCCAGTATACGGTTTCCCTAGATAATTGATTGCTGCTTCTCTATCGTATCCAACAGCAAAGTTCACCGAATGCTCCCCACTTATTGTCCCTAGATCGTGCGCAAACGCAACAATTCCCCCAGGGACCCAGGGCTCGTCGTCGCTGGAGAGCCTACCATTCTTGACAAACTGAGAGCGGGTCTCTCCACGCTTACCAGAAGCGAAGGAGAGCTTCGATTTGGAGGTCAGCCGGGATGCTAGAATTGCCTCACCCCAGGTTGCCATATCATCTTCTTCTGAATATGGGGTTGCATTCATCACCTTCAGGGCGTACGCCAAGGTAGATCCCTCTTGATGGAAGCTACGGGTGGTATTTTGCGGTCTCCCTGTCCATCTCCCATCAATACTAGAGTATATTTGAATCTCGCTAGAAGAGGCCCCAGAAATCGTGACGGTCAAGTAACCTGCGATGGAGGTGATTAGCCAGGATGGAACAATGGTAACCTAGGTAGACAAATCGTACTAAATGGAAGCGACTGTCGGAGATAATTAGATGGAGAAATCGGAGAGAAGAAGTCAAGGGTAAAGTTGACAGGACCAGCAGACAACGTAAAGATCGAGTGAGTCGCAGTATACTGCGCATTCCGAACAACCGCAGGACGTATACTGGGACCCGGACTCTGTACACTCATCAAGCTGTAGGCTTGCTCATCGACGCGGGCCATCACAGACCACGTCAGACTCTGTCCCGCCCAGAACTGGGGTTCTGCGTGTGGCAATGCCTGCACTTGGTCGCTGGGCATCCATACTGAGAGATATGGGTTGCGGACAGCTAAGGGGTATGAAGGTGGCCGCGTTGGAAGATGGCTAACAATGTCACGCTCACGGGAGAAAGTCGCGAGGGCTATCGTAGCAAGTGAGGCAATTCCTAGAGAGCGTCGGAGGTCTAGGTACATAATGAGCTAGATTATTTGCAGGTTCTCGCTGGGAAAGTAAGAGGATATATATGCTCTCCGCCGTATGGAGTAGAAGCGCCCATCAGCACAGGGATGAGCAAATACCCAGCAGAGCCGCGAAAGAACAATGAAGTCCAATGAATCTAGGGAAAGTATCAAAGAGAGCAAGAATACGATTATGACCTTCCAAGGCTGGGTCTTTGAGAGTTAATAACTGTTGAACATGCTCGATTATCAGCGGTAACTTTCGTCATTGGGTGCAGTTCTGGCACAGCCGCATGTGTCAGATCCAAACCGAGCCTGTTTCAGGGAGAAGAGCCACTGGAGAGGATCATTCAAGGTATCGAAGAAGGGAATCTTGACAAAACGAGATGCAAAGGTTTAGACGAGACCAAGGGGGATGGAAAATGCGGGGAAATGTGTTGCTGTGTGATGACAACGCGTGGCAGTAGCGAGAAACATGTAACAATCCAGACTCGCTGATCTTTATACCAAAAATAAGAAAATAAATAAATAAGCATCTGGCCCCAACTCCTTGATGCCTTCTGTCAGAATTGACGAATGAGATTGATAAGTGGAGGTATACTGTTCCATGAAAATATATGAAGTTGATACCTAAGCTGCAGGAACAGACTCCCTGGATTACGAAGAACCCGGTTTGGCCGGAGGGGATGAATCTAGCTGCTTTGTATGAGTGGACTGCGAGGGTTGAGGATGAGGCCAGAAACCAGATACAGTCATTTCTTGTATATAGAGCTAGAGTATCAAGTCAACACCAGCCATATTTCTCATTCAGTGCCCACTCCAGCTCACTTGGTCTCCCGCCCCCTTCTCCATACCACTGTAGGCATGGTATACTGTGATGGATGCACTCTCGTTTCAGCCCGATATGGAACACCCGTGTGCTTGATCATGTCTTCCAGCGTGCTCGACGGACTCCACAGCTTCACCTTGTGCAACCCCCATTCTGCTGCCTCCGCTCGAGCTGCCTGCAGAACAGCTCCCAAACTCTTCTCGGTCTCCGGTAAGGCTTCAGCATCCGGCAACCTGTTCTCCACCACCAATCGGAGAATGTAGAGCGTATTCTGAGGAGGACTGCCCTAGGCTTCGCATCACCTGCAGACCTCGCAACCGCCATAGCTCTTCTCACCCCCGCTTCATCCTCTTCACAAAGTGCCGCAAGGTCTTCAGCATAAAGCGGCGTAGCGGCGGCACCTTGCCCCTCCCCAGCCTGGAACTCCAGCTGATAGCTCGGAAATGGCTCCCACCCTAGACTCTGATAGAATTTCGGCCCGATGTCAGAGAAAAGCACACTTGCAATGCATCTCTTCCCGCGGCCTTGCGTCTGCCAGGTAGTAGGTAGCGGTCGACTCAGTTCCCGCAACAGTCTGGAAGCGTAGCCTCTTCCCCGAAGTTTAGGGTCGCAGTAGACACTCGCAATGCCGTGCGCGATTCCATCCGAGCACGTTCCGTTGACGTCGCGCACTAGGGCTTGCTTGCGGAATGACTCGCACGAGGCGAGAATCACCCGGTTCCCGTTCCACTTGCCTTCTGTCTGGAGAGCCATGGTACTATCGACGAGAATCCATTCGGTCATGCCCTGGTTCCGCGCGAGGGCCACGGTATTCTTCGAGATACTGTGGGACGGTGAGTGCGTCTTTCCATTCGTTGACCGTGGGAGACCAGATCTCGTGCGTTTCAGCTTTGGTTGGGTGGCTCAGATGGAGGGTTGAGGAGTGGGAATCCGGGAGGCTTTGGAATTACTCCATGATTCTGAATTTTGGTGAGGATTTTAGCAAGCTTTCTACTCTAGATGTAACAGACAATGTAATAATGTATTTATCGACGATGTGCGACATGGTTACTGAGCAACAGGACTATGTGGAGTTTGGTGCGATCGACCGACTGGTGGCGGGGACTCGAGCGGGAATAGCGCGCAGATTAAAAGGACTTTCACACTATGAATGTGATTTCAGGGTTTATATGTTCCCAATATTTTACTGATCCAGAGGTCTTTTCTTCGCGATAGCTCCATCGAAGATATACTGTCATGCATGTGGTTCTAGAGGTTGTGAATTGGTATACTGTATGTATACTAGCCAGTACATCGTTGGAGTCAGCGGTCAATTATGTAAAGACAGCGGAAGAGAAGGTCTCATAATTCTCCCAATCTGTTCGATGATTTAAATAACATCACTGAGCCAAGACTTGAGCGCCTTTTCCTGGCGGGTTTGCTCTACTCCGATCATGCTATCCAGAATGACAGACACATGGCCCTCATCTGGCACAAGAACGTATTGTGTGTTGGGTACTTGTCCCTAAACCAATCACCAGGTCAACGACGAAACCAGTTCCCATAGGGGAGGTAATTTTTGAATATGCAACGAACCTTGAATTTCTTCACAAACACCTCAATAGACGACAATAACAGCTCCTCAGAGCCTGCAATAACCAAGACATCGCGAACTTTCGCATTTGCCCACCATTCGGGAGGCGCAAGAACCGCCTCGCAGTAGTTATCGCCCTTTCGACCCCCAAGGAAATCATCTGCCCATTTCAAGCCGGATTTTTTATCCACCACATCTTTGTACTCGTGCTCTCGGACTGACGGCCAATCTGCCGAGAAGCTCACCCAGGGAGATAACATGAACATTCCACCCAGCTGGCGATTTAGCTGGACTGCTTCGATTTCCGGGTGTGGGTGAGAAAGATGTGACAGGACACCTAGGCAGATATTTCCGCCCGCAGAGTCTCCTCCAAGGTAAATGTCGGAGGGAGAATACTGTGAGGTTGAAAGAATATAGCGAAGGGCCTCGACAGATTGCCTCAATTGAGTTGGGTATGTAGCATGTGGCGTCAGAGTGTAAGTGAGGAGGAAGACAGACAGATCTTTGCCCTGTTTTCCCAGGTCTTGTATAAGATCTGAGAGGAATTTAAAATAGAAGGGGTTCGCGCTCAATTGGAAGCCCCCACCTTAATTGCTCTTCATTTTAGCGTCTTCTCTTCAAATAACCAAGGGGAAATGTAAGTACCATGGTAGTAGATCAGGACTTTTTTCGCCTTCTTGTTTCCCAGCCAGTGTCCGAGACCTCCATGCTTCAACTCCACAGTATCCGGGGGGAAGCGGTTTTCTTTTGCCCACGCTTCATATCCTTTGTTTGTAGGAGGGCCCATATACCTACGCCAAGATCAGTCTATATTATCATGAATATGCGAGACTTTGTATGTTGCATACTGAGTTTGTCGGGCTGTCAAACGCCCCGTGAGCGTTCTCACCAACCCATGACCAACGTGGACTCGATACGACTTTGCGCCTCGCGATCCTCGGAAAAGCCCAGCAACAAGACGAAAAGGAATCGTGACAAGGATAAGGACAATTTTGCAAACGAGATCTAGTTTCTCCCAGACACTCAGGTCTGCGGAGCCTGCATTTTGAGACGCACTGCCCATGGCGTTCTTGGTCATATAGCGACGACTCGAGGGAGATCAACCCTGTGCAGCACAGAACGTTTGATAACCCATCAGAAGGGGCAGATGGATTATAATATAGATATCTCCTAAAGGATCTCATGCAAGTAAGCGCTAATCACACATTATCGAGACAATGAGTTCAGCCCCGCGGACCTTTGGCATACCGAGGTACTTTGCGCATTCTTGGTTGCGTAGCTGTTGGAGGCCAGAGTAGATGCAGCCGACACTAAGTAAAATCATACCTAGGTACAGATTGGTACAGGCCAATTGATATAATTCTTCTGTTTGCATTAATTGTGTTCATGGGGTATTGTGATAGGTAATCATTAACTAGTCGCTGGAAGATAGTTAGTACAAGGAATAAGAAGTACCTAGTATAGCGCGATTTAGAACCCTAAGTGTCGCCCTTCCAACTGATGCATTTCGACTACGCCGCTGTGATATCGGCGTACATTTTAGCAAATTAACTTCTGACATTCTGTCGGATCCACATCAACAATGTACCTACGCGCCGTCTCCGGGCAATCCCGGGGTCTCTGGTGCATAGGTTCTACTTCGCCGATAGACAAAGAAACCAAGAGGTGCAGGTGCAGGATGAGAACCCCCAAGCTGCTCCAACTCTGCCGGCTTTAGCAAGCTGATAAACCACATAGCAGCACTTTCGCTATCACCCTCAAAGGGGTCGACAGTTGTGGACTCTGTAGATGGCTATCGGATATCATCAGGATCCTAGTGACTGCGGAATCCATGAGTGGTTGGGATACTAGTTAAAGTACCTAGGTAGTTTCGATGTCTCTTCTGGCACCTGAATTACTCCGGAAATACGACATACCCCACCTAGCATCATACTTCTTAACGAGGACTCGAGGAGTGCTAACTCGGCATAGTTAGTTCGAAGGTTGGTTGTTGGTTTAACATGATTTGATTGCCGTTCATCTACTATTATTAGAATGGCTCGCAGCCCTGCAAGTTAAATGAGCAGTCATGTAAGACGCGTGGAGAGAACTGGTGGATACCCAGGATAATCTGGAAGAGGTTCAAATTGGCATGGGCTTCCTTTGGGAACAATGGTGGAGTTGAAGCGGTTATATAGCGTTTGGAAATTGCGTTATATGCAAATGGGAGATAGCATACATAACTTTATGTATGCCTGGGGATTAGTATCTAGCGAGAATACACAACACACACAACTCTTGACGCGGTCTTCGCCAATGCAGCATCACTGACAACCACCGCGTTTCAAATGGCTTTTATGCTCTTGTCGCAGACACTGCGGCGATTCCTGTCAGTATGTTATAGTCTCAAGGACTGGATAGAGATTGTGTTGGTTTCTCCTTTATCTCGCCTGATCTACAGGCCCACTTGCCACGATATTGAAGCGGTATAAGTCAAGCATCCCTTTCTATTGCAAGAGCTTCCTAACTAACTTATAATATGTAGGGACTTCAATATGATTGCGAAGTAAATGAAACTGGACACGGAAAGGTTGAAACTATTTGTAGAGATGCTCAAGGACAATTTATCTCTGGTGGGCTAACTGGAATTGTGGAACTCCTTGATGATGGTACTATCCTCAAATCACCATTTCCTGACGCTGAAGTGGAAAACCACATCCTGGACATTGCCAAAGAAGCCAGTATCTATGATCGCGTTGGCCCACATGAAAGGCTGGTACGGATATTAGGTCACTCCAGGGATGGCCTTATTCTTGAGTACATGAAAAACGGTGATCTCAAAACATATATTCAAGCTCAAAGCTCGATTCCGATGGGCCTGAAGTTAAAGTGGGCATATCAAATTACACAAGCTGTCTCTCTCCTGCATAGTAACGGCATAATCCATTGTGATATTAAACCGCGAAATTTCCTCTTGGACGCGACTCTTGATATCAAAATTATTGACTTCTCTGGCCCTTCGCTAGACGGATCTAAACCAACCTCTGGCGAGGGAACTCGATTCTATCTCCCACGACATTGGAGAGACCCACCTACCGTGGCTACAGATCTATTTGCACTCGGGTCGACTCTTTATGAGGTTTTTCAAGCAACCAGCCCCTACGAGGAGATCCCTAGCGATCAAGTAGAAGTACTTTTCAAGAGAAATGAGTTCCCTAATATTTCTGCTATTCCATGCGGAAAGATTATCAAGCAGTGTTGGTTGTCCCAAGTTGATTCAGCCGAACATGTGCAGGCTTTCATCCGAGATATAATTTGCAGCAAGCTCAACGCTGACTGTATCCCTCATCTCGATGGTTTAGACATTGGTCAGGGTATGTTAATTAACCAATCGGGTAGTCAATGCTAGTTTGTCTTGCTTCGAGGCATTAATTGGAAGTTCTGGCCGTCATGTCGCATGATGTGGACAGCCACGATAAGGCTTGGTGGATAGAAGCTGTTAACTCTTGGTGGTTTGCTCCTGTAGTCTGGGATAGGCGTCCAAAAGCGGGGTGTTACTGCCTGGTAAGACGCCAACGATATGCTAGCAAAATATACCCTTGTCAAGGGGACATCAGGTCATATCCAAATGTTCAAGATTCTCCCTACATGTTAGATCTTAAAAGGAAGCGGCACAGTCACCCTGCATAACATCAACAGGAGGGGTAGCTGCAGTCAGCATATAAAAAGGGAAGGACAGTATTTAGAATAATAGAAAAGACTATATATACTACTACCTTGGAGATTATAATAATCTAAGTATAAGATAGATAAATAGGTGGTAAATACATGCATTACTGAACTTTTTACGGAGTATTGATGCTCTGCCGTACTAATCAGGCAATTCAGATCTTATATAATATAACTAGTTACGTATAGTCCGTGTTAATATCAACCTCATCCCCTAGACAGCATGCTCTGAACTCAGTCATCTTCCGTCCTATAACTAAAATGGGAGGGAAACGAAAACGCAAAAACAACACTCAGCAAAATGCAAAATCTCCCAAGAGAGCTAGAGGACAACGTACTGTACATCCGAAGCCAACAAACCAGGGAAAGAACCCCAAGGAACCTGAAATATGCCATCAAGCACAATCGCTCTTCTTTCAGCTCCCACGAGAGATTCGAGAAATGATATATCGAGAGATCTTCATCGCGCCAACCACTGTCCACATCGCCTACGTTGCGGGCAGAAAACGCACGTTCCGCAGCTTTCTCTGCAAGCTTCCAGAAGAGCAACGCATCGAGAAAGATCCAGAGAAACGCAACTGCCCACGATACAAGATTAAACATTATAACTGCTCGCCACGGATCAAGCGAAACGATCGTCTACAAGTTGCGTCCTGCCCTAAGCCTGCAGAAATGCAGTGTACTAGAGCTTTGGCGTTTCTACGAAGCTGCCGGAAAGTGTATGTCTTTTTTTTTTTTTTTTTTTTTTTTTTTTTTTGAAGAGGTAGCTAGGCGTTTCCTCATCTATTTGCAGATATTCCGAGGCAATCGACATGCTATATCAAGAAAATGAATTCTACATCGAGAATCCTCGCACCTTACTGGAACTTCCCAATTATCTCCCACAATCTCAACTTCGCCTATTTCGCCATTTATATCTCGAATCCCCAGTCTATGGCGATTACTCAGCAGATGACTGTCTTGAACGTTGGGAAGAGGTCGTTGGCGCGCTGAAAAGGCTCGATAGACTTGAAAGCTTAGTTGTGATTATACGGCCTATGTTCGGACTCACGTGGGAAAGAGAAGGCTTAATAAAGCCGTTGAAGAATGCAAACCTTCCAGTTCTAGATATAGCCTCCAAGACTCAAGTGCAGATGAACCCCGTTGGAGGCTTATGTCCGGGGCTATGTCCTGTTCATAAGAGGTCCTCTCTGGTGTCTAACCAGGGGTAGCTGCACGACTCGCCACTCTAGAATGTTAGCTATCTCATTGAAGTTTTCAAATTTGAAACAGGTCTAGTTCTAACCTATAGTAGGGAGCTTTGTATTGTTTTAGATTACTCGATGTGAACGGTTATCACCTATATTGAGTGCAGAGCTGTAGGCATAACTTCAACCATGTTGATAAATCCCTATATTTCTTGATGTATTATCCTCAGTATTACTATTAATTCTATACATAACACTGCGCCACTATCATCCAACAATAATTAATAGCTTGATCTCCAATTATAACATTCTTCTCTGCGGCATAGCAAAGTCTCAATGTCAAGGTAAGAAGATCCTGACCGTCTTGATAACCCTATAAATCAATAGACCTGCAATATAGGATCAGATATTTGGATACCTACCTATTAAATCTCTTTTTTTCCTTGTTCTTTTCTGGGCCGCATATCCTGAAACAGGCTTAGCATTTAGAGGCCCGATCAGTCCATTTGTCTGGCGGCATGTCTGGCATCAACGCCCAATTGACTCGGTTTGAGGTATCGAAATAGCTATTGTAAGGAGGCTCAAAACAGGTACATCCGCAGAGAAGGATCCATGTAATCCATAAGCCTTCTTCTAGGGGTATTAAAATGAAAATAGACGGCAAGATTATAAGTGGAATGGATCTCCCCCTGATCGACGCTGAGATTTACAAATCCGTTGGGTTGTATTCTAAGCAGCGTTGGGTCTTTAGAGATGCACAATCCACACAGGACTCTGACAAGTCAAATCAAGAACTGTTGTTCTATTCGCAGCGACCTCAGCGTTCGGATGGAGCGGTGAACTTGAGGCCAATGGCTCTTGCCCGGAATGCGGGGAAAGATGAAGAACGGGAGTGGCGTCCAGGGGATGCAGGGAATTAAGGGAATGATATCAACAAGTATGGTTTAGTTTAGTGCCCCTTAATGATGAATGTCTGTTCAAAAGGCAAGAAGGTCTGACCTGAAATCCGTCGTCGACCTCGGTCTCTGCTTCCCACGTGTATGTAATCTGTAATCCCTCTCCTGATTCTCTCCAACGTGCTGCTTCCACGATCTCGATCGGGGTTACTTTCCCGGGTTCTACAGGCGCCTACTCTGTATAGACGGAGCCCAGCAAGCAAACCCCCAACCAGAGTCGTGACGCATGCGAGTTGAGCACCTGGGGACAGCTTTATAATTTACTTCTTTTCCGACGTGGCTAAGGTGCTTTGAGAAGCTCCCATCTTTGTCGAATACTTAGCTTCTCTCACCCAATATGCCCTTTCTCCACAAACCCAATCCTCCATCTTCACCATCACCATCACCATCACCATCAACAGAAACCAAACCTGCAAATAATCAACTCTCCCTACGCAATCGCTCTGGCCATAAACCACGCAAGACACAACACAGCACCAACCAACCAATCACACCTCGTCAGCCATCGTTCGCACCACCACAGCCCACTTACTACAGCGCCCGCCAGCAACAAGAACCACACTTCATCTGGGAAGACATCAACCCGCCAGCTGAATTCCTCCGCGCCCTCGATCAACCCCAGGACGAGAAGACCATGGTCACCTCGAGCAGCAATTTGTCCTCGATCCCCGGGGCCGCCTCGTTGCCGGGGTACAACGACGTCAGCGGTGCCGTCATTGTAGACTGGGATGGGCATCCGCGGTTCCTTTCGCCCCAGGAGGAACGAGAGAGGAAGATACAGCTGGAACAAGCCGTTCGGGAGAGGATGCTGGGTCTTCCCAGACGGACGGATTTTGTCTGGGAGCCATCGTCGGGTCCGATATTGCCGCCGTATTCTCCTGCAAAGGAGGAGAAGAGATCTTCGCCGTCTCCCTGTGAGAAGACGAAGAAGAAGAAGAAGAAGAAGAAGGAATAGGCCAAGAATTTTTTTTTCTCTTTTTTTTTTCTTTTCTTTTTGTTGATTTTGTACATACGTGGGACATGCTGGTGGGGTAATTAATTGTGTTTCTCGGGCAGGTGTTCCTTTCTGGCCTTGGTTCTAGGGGAGTCGCTGGATAGGCCATGATATCTGGAAACCCTGTGTGTGCTCTTATCATTCATGAGTTACGATGCGTTAATGGTGCAGGTGCTGAACAGATTGTGCTCAATTGACATTTGATTTGTGTGCCTCCTCCTTTATCAAGGACCGTCGGCCCCCATTTTTGTTGGTAGTATATGCAATTTTAATGTGTTGCGGATGTGCCAATGTTATGTACTTACAAACTAGCTTCTAAAGAGCCTCAGTCCTCCCTCCTCGCGATCCTCATCACTCTCATCGGCATTACGAACGCCCTCCTCCTCGTCTTCCTCCCGCAGCAAACCACTCGCTGTCTTTCCAAGCAGAGATGCAAAGAACTCCTCCCGAGCGTGCTGCGTCCACTTGCCCCGGTCCTCGGATGCCATAAAGTTCTGCAGCTTCTCATGAACGTCAAACTTCATCTTGCGTCCCTTGGATGCACGAGTGTCGATCTCATTCTTCACCTTGTCCTTACGCATGCCGGTAACCGGGTGGACGGATCGAGATGGCAGGAGGTGCAGAGTATCAAGCCCGTTAGTGATAGCATCAGACGATGACATGCGCTGCTCAACAAGGTCGCGCAGGAGAGACTGGTAGAAGATGGTATCGTCGTAAATTGGCTCTTCCTCGACGCCATTGGTGGCTCCATCTTTGCGCGCCCGTTTTCCACCGCGGATATCCCCGGCTTCTGAAGCGATATGTGCGTCCAACACAGCCGTGATAGTCTGGCTACGGGCACTGGATCCGAGAAGCTTTCCTCGGGAGTTGGCGAGGCCGCCATTGGAGCCGCGGACTTTTAGCGACCATTTGTCGAGGATGGCACGACGATGCGCAACAGAGTCGGATTCGAGATCCACCATGCGCTTCCATAGGGAGGATGTGGATGTCGTTGGGGAGACAGCAGCGGGACGCTTGCGCTTCTTCGAATCATCCTGCGCATGCGCATCAGCAAGGGCGAGTCTGAGGTCCTCGAGCGTAGACCAGAGTGTGAGCGCGGCTGTTTCCGCAGATTTGATAGCTTCACCGTCGACATCTTCGGAATCCCGGGCGACAATGGAAAGTTGGTTGACGGCTGTCAGACCCTTTTGAAGCTTAATGCGGGTGTTGAGAAGGGCGTCAAAGGTTGCTCGCTGTTGTTTGACGGCCTTTCCCTTGGTAGCGTCGGCTTTGGCTGCTTGCGAAATAGTAGCGGCGATGGTCTTTTGGTCAGATGCCATTAGCTGGCGCAGCTGTTCGCGGTCATCTGATTTCGCACTCTCCTCGAATTTAACTCTGCGCTTGGGTTTTGCTTCCTCTTCTTCCTCTTCTTCCTCTTCTTCTTCATCATCATCCTCGTCGTCGTCGTCGTCGTCACCGTCCTCTTCATCTTCGTCGGAAAGTTCGTCCTCGTCAAAGTCTTCCATGTCGTCTTCTTCGCTATCCTCCGTACCGTCGGTGTCCATTCCGTCCAAAATGTCTTCAAGACGTTCTTTTTTCCCGAGTCGAGGCTTCCGCGGCTTTTCTTCTTCACTCTCCTCGTCGTCGTCCTCATCATCCTCGTCGGCGCTTCCAAGCTCCAGGTCCTCATCCTCATCCTCATCCTCGCTATCTTCCTCGTCGCTGGACCGCACTCTGAACGGATCGTCGTCGCTCTCGGCTTCGAGCGCATCCCTACTGACTCGAGATCCAGCATATTGCTTCCCTAGAGTAATCGGATCATCTTTGCGGAGCTTTCCTTTGCTAATAAAAATTAGTACCAGTCCAATCTCAAGTTGAGACAAAGAAGCACAAGGAGAATAAACTAACCCGACAGCCTGGTAATGTTCTCTTCCAGCATTTTCATCCTTCAAGTTCTCTTCCTCATCGCTCGACTGTCCGCCGCGCTCGATATCCTCGGGGTCAAAATCTGTTACAGTTAGTCCTAGTTCGGATTTTACACACCCATATTTATGAATGACAACAGCATTAAGGTAGGCAGGGAATACCTTTAGGATTAAGATCTTCCAATTCAGCAATCTGCTCTGCCAGCGACTTTGGAGCCATTTTTTGCTTGAGTCTCCCCGAATTTCTGGGGTTGGTTGATTTTTTGACCGCAGCAAATTATTTTTCTGCCGCTATAATATTTTTCTGGGCAATCGGGAAGCGGTGTCGGCAGAACTAACCTTGATAGGAAGCCGGCTGTCTGGATCAGGAGTGTTCTGCCGGCGGTGAATATTTATCTCCGGCAGTATGGCAGAGGTTGGCCTGAGGCTGACATCAACTTTGCTATATCCACTTCGTCGAACGTGAACCAGTTCATCTTCATCATCCAGAGCACCATGACTGTAAAAAGGAGACTATTCTCGACCTTTCGAGCTCTCCAACATGAGAACCCTCTAGTAAGATCAGAAAATAAGTCAATTACCTACCCTAAAGCGCTACCCTAACCCATTTCAGGGCCTTCCTCGCTCGGGCACCCCGCCGTCTTTCCCTCGTCGCCGCGGTGTCCCCGAGAAGCGCAAGATTCGCGATGTAAAGAAAGTCATTGCCGTATCATCAGCAAAAGGAGGAGTAGGGAAATCCACCATCGCAGGTACATCCACTTTTCCCAAACCTGAGCCGCAGAAATATCCGCCACACCCTGGATCTATCCTTCAACAAAACATACACGAACACAACCCTAACAAAGCCCAGTGAACCTCGCTCTCTCCTTCGCACGGCGTGGAATCCGCACCGGAATCCTAGACACCGATATTTTCGGCCCTTCAATCCCAACCCTTCTCAATCTCTCCGGCGAACCCCGGCTAGACGAAAGTATTCCTCCCCCCCCCCCCCTCCCCTTCCCCCCCGAAGATTCAATAAACACTCTCTCTCTAAACCTTCTCTGCCTATTCTCCTCCAGATAACTGCCTCCTCCCATTAACAAACTACGGCCTAAAATCCATGTCTATGGGTTATCTCCTCCCGCAACCTGAATCCCAAGACCCCACTCAAACCCGCCTCCCCATGGACACGACCCCGATCTCCTGGCGCGGCCTCATGGTCACAAAAGCCATGCACCAACTCCTCCACTCCGTGTCCTGGGGTCCCCTGGATGTTCTCTTTCTCGACCTCCCCCCGGGAACCGGTGATGTCCAATTAACCATCAACCAGGAGGTGGTGGTTGACGGCGCCGTGATCGTGACCACGCCCCAGGATATCGCGCTCCGGGATGCGGTCCGTGGGTTCGGGATGTTCCAGCGCATGGATGTGCCCGTGCTAGGGATGGTGCGGAACATGGCGTTCTTTGCGTGTCCGGAATGCGGGACGCAGACGAGGATATTCTCAAACGGGGAGCATGTGCACCACAGTAAGAAAGATGGGGCAGGGAATGAAGAGGAGGAGTGGGGGGTTGTGGCTGAGTGTCGGAGACTTGGGGTGGAGTTTTTAGGTGATATCCCGCTTGACGCGAGGGTCTGTGAGGATGCAGACCGTGGTATGCCGACGGTTGTGGCCGAGGAGAGTGACGAGCGGAGTGCGAGGAAGAAGGCATTTATGGATGTGGCGGAGAAGGTGGCTAAAAAGGTTGGTATTGAGTGGTAGTTTGACTCTTCTTTTTTTTTTGACTCCACTTGACTATACTATGCATATACCCTGTATCATTTAATATATATATATATACCTTTTTTGAAAGCTGTGTCTATTCTACTTGACATAACTTGATATCAGCAACTACTAAAATAGTACATAGGTAGGAAAGTAGATACAATAATCAAACACTGGTATGTACATAATCGGTTTAATGAAAATAGTTCAACCCACTGATTCATATGAACACACAAACGAAAATAACCAAAGTGAGGTATCAATATATATCCCAAGATATTATCCAAGCCCTAGATCAGAAAATTGAAAGAAAAGAAAAGAAAAGAAAAGAAAAGAAAAGAAAAGAAAAGAAAAGAAAAGAAAAGAGCAAAGTTTAGCCCGCTGCAGCGTATTCCCAGTAGACCAAGAATATGTACAGTTTCTATTGCTGTATGTTTTTGATGCTTTCACTCCCTATTCGGTACGGAGTAACAGTGAGGCTGTCGACAGATTGACGGAGACGGCTAGCATCACTGATGATGCCAACAACTCCAGTTGCATGGACAACCGCTTGGGTACTGGCGGTTTCGACACCTGCGCCGGTGACGGCAAGAGAATGTTCGTCTCCGGTTATGCTTACGTCGTCAGCAGGGTCAGAGGTAAACCCACTGCGGATCGTGGCGGAACCGGCACGAGACGGGGGGCGCTGCAGATTGCGTAAATCCGATGTCGAGCGGGAGTGGATTGTCCCCTGCGCATGGAAAAGCGCCCTCGTGCTGGCGTTTTCGACCTCGTCGGTATGCCGGCTTTCGTAATCCGGCAGTACAATCAGCGGACTAAGAGGTTTGTCGGAGAGGTATGCTGCAATTCCAGGGGTAGATCCGGAAGGGTTATCGTTAGGTGTCACATAGTTAGACTTTTCGGTATCAAGAGCAGTGGGCTCTGGCTCAGCGAGAATGATGCCGTTCTGTTCATGAACTAGAAGAGACGAGGCATGCTCGTTGGTTGGTTCATTCTCCTTGGTTGAAGCTCCAGCTCGTCCAGCTTCGACACTGGTTCTACAAGACTGACCCTCTTTTTGATGCTCTCTTTTGATGGTCTTCTTGTCATGTCTGCTTGCCAGTCTGCTCCACATAAACATGGGATAGCTCTTGTGCAGGGCCTTGGGTGGTAGAACTCCTGGGGCTGATCTCCGCGCGGCCAATGAGCTGGGTGGCGGAGTTTCGCCATCAAATTCTTGAAACCCGTACGCTAGTTCTTTGATGAGCTGCTGCTGGACTCGGGCTTTCTCTTTCGCAAATCTGTGATCCAATTCCTCCTTCGCTAAGATCCATTTCATAAGCAGTGTAGGATTGATGGTACCAACAGATTCGGATGGAATTCTCAGCACAGAATATGACGACGGAGGTTCAAGAGGATAGATATACCCCCGTTTTCCAACTCTCTGGCGTATCATGCGATCCTTGAAGGCCGGTAATGTATCACCGGCCCTTCCTACGGAAGAAACTGGAACATTTTGGCCTTCTGTCCCGTTGTCTCCATGGATAGACGGATGGGGGCTATCTGAATCACTGGATAGAATTGGGGAGATTTCGTCGTCAGTAAGGATTTCAATCTTCGAGTCTTGAGCGCATGCCAAAGCCCAGGCTCCAAACTGGGCAATGGACCGAAACATGAATTTGGCTGGGCGCGTAAAGCTGAGAGCCGGGGCCACATGGCACAGGTCATCCCAGACCTGCAGCTGAACATAGGTTCCGGGATATTTGTGAAGAAGGAGGCGCTTTGGGTCGAATTCGTCCAGGAAATCATCGCTCGGTGGGTAAGACGTCGGGTTGGCAGCTTTGTGAGCAATGTAGAATTGTTCATCGCGCAGCATCTCCCCGCCGCCACTGACGATTTGCAGGGGACATAGTCCGCCAAGGGATGGTTGGAAGATGGGAGAAACAAGTGGATGAAACAGAAGATCGTTCGTGGTATACATATGAATCTGATCCTTCACTTCAATCGTCTTTCCATTCATGACAATAGAGGGAGGTGGACGGTGATGACCCATGGCTGGCTGAGAAGCATCTACCTCCAGTGTATTCGGCTGTAATTCAACACTTGAGTCCTTTTGAAGGGACTTCTTAATCTCTAACATATCGTCATCGTTCGGAGGTGGCCATGCGGCGGACGGCTTATGAATAAAGCCATGCGGCGGGATATAATCTCCAGGGTTTTCTTTTGCAACGCTCGGAAATGAATGCGTCAAGTCGACCCACGGGGAAATCAAGATGGCCCCCGCGGGTAATGGCAGGCCCTGCTCGCGACATATAACGAGCATACTTAAATTACGTTAGCCACACATGCCTTCCAGAATAGCCATCAACTTACGAGAGAACCATCCCTCCGCCAGCCGAGTCTCCCGCAAAAAGAATCTCACTGGGCGCATGGTCTTTCAAAAGGTATAAATACGCAGCCAACGAATCTTGAAGACCACAGGGGAATGGGAATTGGGGGGCAAGGCGATATTCAGCTATCATGGCATTAGTGATGTCTTCGTTAGAACCTCTAAACAGGTTTCGCAAAACTCACTGCTCCGATATTTAGCTAGCAAACTGCAGAATATAAAGAGGAGAAACCTACCGGGCAAAAACTCGTCCCTTTAGCTTTCTCGCATGGCGCTGAAGCTGATACCGATGTGTTTCCACACTCCCAAAGTAGTACGCACCACCGTGGATATATAGCATGATCCGCTTCTGACTCGGGTGATCTCTACTCGTATGCTTCCTCTCATTATAGTCATTTTTCATCTCGATCCACTCCCCTTTCAAATCCCCCGACGGGCCACGCCACTGCCACCATTCTTGGCCTCCAACACGGGCGATTCCGTGGGGACCCAGCTCTTCATGAATTGCGGTTGCAGCGGAGGTCAGGCATTCCTCGGGAATAGTGACATGCTGGGTTTTCACCCAGTGCGGTGCAGGGACACGCTGAGCAGTAAACTCCTGGATGTACTCGAGGGGCCGTTTGGAGCTGTACGTGATGAACTCACGGATAATGGATATACTTTCATCGTAGGAGATGTGAACATTCGGTTTGTGGTGGAGGGATTTGCGATGTAAGTACTGTAAATATCAGGCCAATTAGCTACTCTGAACCATTCCAAGAAATTACAGAGAGAAAAAGGAGCAATTGCAGCTTATTTGAAGTGAGCGACACACATGGGAGACTAGAGTCGATACAACCGTTGGAGTGAGCGCGACTCCTAGAGCGACGGTATTCAGCGGCATATTGCACCAGAGGCCTCAAACCATAGCCATAACGGATACAGAAGATAAAGATGCAAAAGAGAAGAGCAGAAATGGACGAAAAAGGCCGATGAAAGGAAGACGGAATATGAAGGGAATTCGAGGCTGGGTTCCAAGACAAGGCTGCGGGATCGCCAGGAGATGACGGGAAGAATGGCACAGGCGAGCGACCAGAAAGAACGAATAATAAGAAACCAAACAAAGTGGACTAGATAGGTAGAGGAAGAAAAGACTCTTTATTTTCCTTATTTTTGCGACCGAGAGAGGAACATCTCACAATAATATACATATACTTACTTACTTCACAGATCACCTAACGCAGTAAGTTGGTTGGATTCAACGTGGCTCTCTCTGGACCCTGCAGGCTGACAAGACTTGTTAGATCTTTCAGCCCGAAGCATTAGACAGCTCCACGAACAAATGAGAAGTTCAAGCTATTTTCCAGGAGGAATATTGCATCTGCTGAAGCATTTCGTATCTTCTTCCCTCATAACCTTAACAAGCGGGGTTTGACGTGTTATGTAAAGCATCTGCCCGTCGAGTCTGAACACGATTTCAAATCCCCTATCTAACACATCCCTAAAGCTTCTCAAATTCAAAAAGGTCATGGCCTCCCTTTCTGAATCGATGAAAGCCTGGCTTTACAACGGCACCACAGGCGGCCTGGAAAAAAACCTCACCTTTCATCCCGATGCGCGCGTCCCAGCCGCCCCGCAGAAAGACCAGGTCCTAATCCAAGTCATCTCCACGTCCATCAACCCAGCCGACTACAAAGTCCCCGAACAGAGCACTGTCGCTGGGAAAGTGCTCATCGCAACCACTCCCGCCAGTCCAGGAATGGACTTTTGCGGTCGAGTGATTGCGACCGGTCCCGGCCCTGCCGCAAAGGAATACACCGCTGGCCAACTGGTCTTTGGTTGCCTCGCCATGCCGCGTCAGTTCGGTACTCTAGGAGAGTATATACTCGGGTACGCGAGCAATCTCGCCCCCCTGCCCAAGGGTCTAGACCCCGACGATGCAGCAACAATCGGTGTTGCGGGGCGGACAGCCTACCAGTCTATCCAGCCGTATGTGTCGGCGGGCGATAAGGTCTTTATCAACGGCGGGTCTGGAGGATGTGGAGTCTTTGTGATTCAGTTCGCGAAGATGTTGGGCTGTCATGTTACCGTAACTTGTTCGACACGCAATGTACAGCTCTGTAAGGAGCTGGGAGCCGACGAAGTCCTCGACTATACGGATCAGGATGTGGTAGACGCCCTCAAAGCCCAGGGGCAGGCATTTGATCATGTTATCGATCATATTGGCTCCCCGGAATCGCTTTATCGGGAGTCCCATACGTTCTTGAAGCCCGGGAAGGCTTATGTCCAGGTTGGATCGTCGTCAATACTTGATGTTGCCGATCGACTGGTTCGTCCGAGCTTCCTGGGTGGTGGAAAGAGGAAGTTCGTAGCCTTGAGGCTCAAAAATAGGCGGGAGGATTTGGTACAGATTGGCAACTGGATTCAGGACGGGAAGATTCGAGTGATCATCGACTCTGTTTATGACTTCAACGATACCGTCAAGGCGTTTGAGAAACTGCGCTCTGGGAGGTCAAGCGGGAAGCTCATTATCCACGTCACCGAAAGGCCTTAGTTGAGGGGTTTAAATTCCTACATACATACATTTGAATGACAGCAGTCTGATTAATGTTTATTACTTTTGCTTCACGAAATTAAAATTATCATATATACGTAATGATATATTGATCGGGCAGCCGATGGGGCGGTCCGGTCCAATTTTAGTCGGCTTAGGGTTGAGCAGGACGAAGCAGAACCCCCGCCGTACAGATAGTTCTTTCAAATACCTCCCTCCCACCTTCAAATGGTCATAGCCTCCAGAATTAAAATTGGACTCTTGGACTCTATAGACAATCACAGCCATGTTAGACGACACCCTCACGGTGGATGGGCCCCATCCCTCTGAGAATCACTCTAAAGAGGCCCCCTCCAGCGTCGTCGTAGACTGCGAATTACCAACTGACCCACACACGCCCTACCGTCCCACCCGATGGCAGAGCAATCTGACGCTCTTGAGTTGTGTAAGTATATACACGGCGCTCTACCGATGGAATCTTCCTGGCTAATTCAACGCAGTATATCGCCAACTTCAGTGATGGGTTCCAGAACCAGCTGGCCAACCCTACCAATATCATCTTCAAGCATCTGCTCGGTAAATCCGGCTATCCGTCCGAGATGCAGACGCGGATCAGCAACTCGCTGATTATCGGGGCCATCCTGGGAGTCCTCGCGTTGGGATACGTCTCTGACATGATGTCGCGACGGGCTGGTCTGGTCTTCACTTCGGGCTTGGTCACCGTCAGCACCTTAATGGCTGCCCTCGCACTGCAAGTGCACCCATCCTACAACATGCTGTGGTTCTTCGTCATTGTCCGTGGTATCTGCGGCTTTGGCGTCGGAGGCGAGTACCCTCCCAGTGCAGCGGCCGGCATCGAAGAATCCGACGACGTGAGTCACCCAAACCGATCCCAGTGAATTCCTTTTTTTTTTTTTTTTGTCTACCATACCATACCATACCAAAAAAAGCCACATGCGGTTCTAACAAAGAGCAACCTCAGTTCCAACGCCGCTGTCGTGGGCCTATCTTCGTCTCCTTCACCACGTTCATGGCGACGCTCGCCGCTCCCATCCTCATGATCATCTACCTGATCTGCCTCAAGGCAAGCAACAACAATCTCCGAATCACCTTCCACGCACTCTACTCCATCGCAACGATCATCCCCGCCATCATCATGGTGCTCCGGTTCTTCATGACCGATTCAACGCTCTACCACCACTCGAATTTCAAACACCAACACAGACCTTTCCGCTTCTACTGGCTCCTCGTCCGCCGCTACCGGTCCCGTCTCTTCACCACCTCCCTCGCCTTCTTCCTCTACGACTTCATCAACTTCCCCAACAGCATCATGTCCAGCACCATCATCTCCTCCCTGGTCCGGGACGGCAACCTCCAAACCACCGCAACCTGGCAGGTCATTCTCGCCGCCCTCCCGGTTCCGGGGGTCATCGTGGGCGCGTGGCTCACCCACACCCTCGGGCGACGGTACACCGGCATGCTCGGGTTCACAGGGTACGTCGTGCTGGGGTTTATTATCGGCGGCACCTACGCCCGGCTATCCCGACACATTGCCGCGTTTGTCGTGCTGTACGGACTGCTCCAGGCCTTCGGACACATGGGGCCCGGCGCCACGATCGGCTTGGTTTCCTCGGAGGCCTTCCCGACGGCGATGCGAGGCATGGCGTACAGTGTGGCGACGGCGTTTGGGCGGACCGGTGCCGCCGTGGGCACGGAGTGCTTCACGCCGTTGCGGGATACAGCGGGGGCCAGCGCCACGTTCTATCTGCTAGGTGGTGTGGCGGTCTTGGGGGTAATTGTGTATTGGTTTTTGCCGGAGAGTGGGGATTTGAATCTGGAGGAGGAGGATCGGGCCTTGGAGGAGTATATGGCGGGCCATGGGTTTGTGATGATGGAGAAGAGGGGTTGATTATGAGTATTTAAGGAGAAAATGCATTGGTTTTCCTTATATATTATATATATATTTTCTCTCTCTCTCTCTATATACAAAGTACCTAACCTGGCTAGGAATCTAGTGAATCAAACTCCTATCTACCTAGTAGTTTAATTATCTTGATAGAACTGTATGGATGGGTGGATCCTTGTGGAGCACACAACACATGCATCTGTGATTCTGTATGGTTCCGACTCTCCGAGCCGCAAAAAAAAAAAAAAAAAAAATTTTCAACCCAGGATTGGAATCCGATCAAATCAAATTCCAATCGCAGGAATACTGAGAGCCGAACGCGGGGGTCGAACCCGCAACCTTGAGATTAAGAGTCTCACGCTCTACCGATTGAGCTAGCCCGGCTGCTTGTTGAAGAGCTGCAAGGAAGAATGCTATAGAACCTGGTTATGTTTACTCTAAACCTCGAGGGTCTGGGAGTACTCTTGAAACAATCCCAGTTTCTTGAACTTGTAGCCTGTGGAAATGGGGCCCAAAAAGATCATGGGTTGTGTGGATTCTGAGAAGGAGAGGAAAAAGGATGGTTGACGCTGTGGCCCGTTCGGTGCCTCAGTTATATATTTTTAGATCTGAACACATTGCACTTGGGGGTAGGGTGGGCTGAACAGCACTGCATGCGATCTGTAAAATAAAACATATCCCAATTAAGCTTCCTAGACCCCAAGAAAGAGTCAATGCCAACAAAAGGATTCGATATGCGCTCACCAGACAGTGTATGTAGACACTTATCACTGTTGACAGCGCGAGCCCTCTATAGAGAGCGCATCGCCAAAGACGACGGCGCAGCAACATGTATTGGATGTCAGTGTCGCAGAATACAAGAGTGAAACCAGCCTGGCGCCAGAAATATCGTTCTGGTAAAAGAATTAGAACGATGATCTCAAGTTCATGGAGTGCTGGGTCCATCAGCGCCAGGAGGGATTTCAAAATAGCAACACCAACTTCAGGCAGAGAGGCTCGAGAGTTGACGATAAACTCGAAACAGTGAACTCGTGTGCAATCAAGTACAGCCTAGGTATGATTATTCCCTCATTAGCCCTGGTCGAAGCGTGCTTGTAAGTACTCGGACAATCGTAACACGAGGGACTGTGGCTTGAACACTCCAGTGATGACAAGAGGAAGCATTTGACGTGATTGGGACTGTGCGAAGTTCACTAACCAGAGCCCGTTAGTATCGAGATTTGAGGCTGATGCGTGGTGAGGGAAGCTGGGATGATTATCACTTGGGGGTGGACTAGGGCCCCTGATCGGATCCAGGAGGGTTGGTTCATTGGATTTCACGAGAAATACTTATGTATTCTTAGAAAGGGGAAATGGGACGAAAAAGAAAACCATCTCCTAGACACACACCCACCCAGAGAGAGAGGTAAGAAGAGAAGAGATCTATTGGTTACCAACAGGAGGGATCTGACAGTCCATGTCGCAGAATAATAGTCGCGGCTACAAAGCAAATAAGCAGCAATCAACCACACATGCAGTAGAGGGGATCTCTTTGTTGATGCTTGCCATTTTCATCAGATCAATAGCACCAAGAAGAAGATTAAAAGGAGGTGAGAACAGTACGATGATGATGATGATGGTGGTGGCAGGTGTGCCACTAACAGGACTAATGAGGCGCAGGAATACGAGACCAAGCCACAGAGGCTTTCTCGAAGATAGTGAGTCCATCACAAGAATATTGTCGAAAAATCTCGTGTGAGTAAAAAAATGGAGGGAAAAGAAATCGAAAATGACCTTTTCGGACCCCGACTACCGGAAAGGGAAAAGATGACACCATTGTAAAATCCATACCATGACCTTGCCAAATGCCAAAAGACCGCGAGAATCAATCCAGACTACAGAGTCATGGTTGTGGAGAAATCCAGACCGACATGTTGCAATAGCTTCACCAATCAGCAAGCCGGGAACCCCCCCAAAGAGCGATCTTCTGTGGCAGGTATTGTTGCAAAAGACGCCCTTCCAACGGCACTGCCTCTACAAACCCGCACTAGCTTGAGGATGCGATCGAGTCATCCTGCCCTCCTTTCCCTCCCCAGGCAGCCATCCGCCACTACTGTAGGAATTCCCCTGCCGCTGCTTCTATGATGATGATGATGATGGTCTTGTTCCTTTTAGTTCCACTTTCAGATCGTGACCAATGCGGTCATTCTGATTTAGACCACCCCAGTGTCTTGTGTCCAGTCTGGTAGCTCAATCATGGGTGCCTTCCGGTCGATCTATATAGTTCCCTCAACCCCCTCTTCCTCAACCCTACTTTCTCTCTTTCTTTCCATACTTCCAACCCATAACAAACATCACTGCCTTCATTTCGGCTTGATAGGACCTCGCTCTGTTTACTTGCTTGTGCCTTTAATACTCAACGCTTCCTTACACGTCCCACACCCTCCCGGGCCAACCTTCGCGGTGTCGCCATACCACGGGTCGTCGCGTTTCCTCTGGGCCCCTCTCCCCTCTTTTCGGAAGACTCAAGTTCGAAGCCTTCCAATCCGTGGACGTCCTTCTCTAAGGCGCTCTGCCACTATGCCTGCCCCCATCGTGACTGTCGCTGAGCCTGTGCTCTCTGTGCGAGATCTGGAGGCAGACGAGCAGTATGTCATGACTGCCTTTGAGCGGCACGCAAACCATTGTTACCGGTGCATGAACCCTCTGGATGTCCACCAGAAGGGCCACTCGCTCTGCGACCGTGGACATCAGTACGCCATCGACGTCGCCGCCTACCTATACTCCAAGAACGGCAAGGCATACTCTGTTGTTGACCGTGACCTCAACCAACCCACACTGGTGAAGATCCCCCGCAACTGTGTCGCAACTCGAGAGCTTTTGCTCGCTATCGAGGCCGGGCTCCGACCACAGCGCAGAGAGAAACCCCGGGCTCCTGTTGCCCCCCTGGTGTCTGACGAATCCACCTCACCGATCATCAGCTACGACCGCACATATCATGTCCCTCCGCGACGCACAAACACCCAGCAGCAGCAGCAGCAGCAGCAGCCTGTCACCTGTACTGAGATCATCGAGAGGGAGCCACGTGCGATCAAGAGCCGTCGGGTTATCATCTACCCTTCTCCTAACCGGGGATCCTCTAGCAGAGGATCTCTCTACGACTCGGACGCAGCTGACCGAGTGGAGCGTGTCAAGGAGTCTTCGCGAATCTACCGCCCAACCGAGTACTACCGCTGAAACTCGCGGCTGGTCTCTTTTCCTAGTTCACGTCGATGCGACCCAATCCAAACACTACAGACTGTCATACAGCCAGGAGCTCCCCACCCAATCTCACCGATTGTCTCTCCGTGAGCAACCCCGCAGCTTCGGGGCCAATTCAGTGCCCTGACTGCTTACCCCGATTAGGATGAACCGGATTCATCGTTTTCATTCTTGGGAGTTGAGTCTTTCCATGCGAATTGACGGATAGTAATAAGACATTCCTGCATGTGATTGACTATCTTACGATGGAGGGGTCACCCCTCCAACATACCTTGGTGCAAATTCTACCAGCTTTGCTTTTGAATTGCGGGGTTTTTTTTTTTTTTTTTTTTTTTTTCCACTATTTTCATGTCTATCTTCAGTCTCCTACAGCTACGGAAAATGGGATTGAGAATCACCAAGGATCAAAACAAACCAAAAAGTCAATAACCCAAAAAACGACCCAAAAAAAAAAAAATCTGCATTTGTTTGATAATACCGAGGGGTCTTGGTTCCTCAAGTTGACTGGATAATGTTGGAGTGCTGCACTCAGTGAATGCAACCAGCACCACCATAAAGCAGCATCACCATAAAGAAGAAGATAGTGACACGTGACTACTTTGTGTATTTAAGGCCACTATTTCCTTCTAGATCTCTATACTTCCTCCAAGCATCTCTCTATTTCCTAGTTAGACCAATTGAATCCATTTTGGTCAACTTTCTACTGTCATAGTTTGACGACCTTCATCAGGTTATGAGCCCTCCTTGAGGTTCTATTTTATGCTTTATAGACCTCCAAAAACTCTTATCATACCCCTGTACTAGAGATCTGCTCCCTAATTAGATAAAGATCCTGGCAGAAATATTACCTACTGCTGTTGTGTTACTCCACCTGGGCAATAGTGTGTGGAAAATTTCTACAATTTGACCAAAATAGCAATTAAACCTACCCCTGGCAGATATCCTGATATCCCTAATTTACTATACCTACCTTCGACGGCTACTACCCCATTTACTGATAGCCGAAATCAAGTAACAAAGCTAAAGAATAGCATATTTAACTTGAGCCTGATAATAGTGTTAGAAAATAATTTAAAATTTAAAATTTAGGCTTTATTTGCATAAATAGAGTTAAGGCTTTATAAGATAGATAAGCTTCTTGAAAGTAATATTCCTAGACTATAATTTAATAATCCTAAGTATAAATTATGAGAACTTCTTTTATAAATAGCAGCTAGTTGGATATTATATTTAATAAGCAAGAAATTAGTAAAGAAACTACTAATAGATGCTGCCCTATATATCTTTATAAATGATTTTATATAGAAGTTATAAAGAATAGTTATTAGTAGTGGTTAAAGATATGCATACTAAATATAGAGAGAAGTTATTAAGATTAAGTATAAGAATTATATAATTATTAATAAGTTTATATTAGACTTTATTTAGAAGATAAATACTTTTAATAGGTTAAAAATAGTTATTATATCCTATCAAGTAGTTACTGTGATACTTCAGGAGCTTGAAAGAAATAATATAAGCTTTATAAATTTAACTTTAAATAACCTAGGTAATAATCCTATTAAAATAACTATATAGAAGCATTTTTATACTATATATAATGTAGTAAAAGATAAGATTTGGGAGAATCTATTATCTAATACCATGTCTAATACTACCATGCCTGCCATGAATATATTAAGTTCTTAACTAATAAATAGAAGAAGGTAGTAGTAATAGTAGAAACATGCACTACTATAGAATATAATAGTTACTGGCCATATTAATTATTAGTTAAAGCAATCTAAGAAACCTAGAATGTTATACCTATTTTATAAGGAGGAAAAATATAATACTAAGGACTGCCTATATTTAGTAATTAATAAGTAGAAAGAAGGGTAAAGACTAACTTTAATATTTTAGTACTTCAAGCTATATAAGTTAAAAAATAGGAATAATTTAATCTAAAACCAAGCTATTACCCCAGCTATATAAGCTAATACTATTCTAGATGCTAATAATTTCATACTATCTAGAATTAATATATTAATAGCTTTAATATTAACTACCTTCAGAAATAGGTAGCTATGTAACTCCAGAGCAGGCTATATAATATATAATAATTATAATCTCTTTAATAACCTAATTAAAGATCTAAATAGCTTTAAGAATTATAATTTTATTACTTCTAATAGTAAGGTAGTATATCCCTAAGGTTATAGAAAAGTAATAATTCAATTTAAATTAAATAATAGTACTTTAATATTATACTAAATAGAATATCTTTAGAATCTAAATATACTATATAATCTAATACTAGTAAAAAGAATAAAGGTAGAATTAAGAATTTATTTTAACTTAAAAAATTAATATATTTATAAGATAATAATAGATAAGATAATTAGATATACTATCTTAGATAATAATATCCTATTTTTAGTTCTAAATAAGGTAGTGATTATGCCTACTATACTAATAGACTTATTATATTAATAATTAGGTTATCTATCTATTAAATAATTAAAGTATAACAAGGTAATACTTTATAATAAAAGTAATAACTTAGCTACTAATAACTTACTTGCTACTAATTAGAATACTAAGCCATACTATAAAGTATATTAATTATTAAAATTAAAGAAAAGGATATCCCAAAAACCATAACTATATATAACAAAATTATTGCAATTCATACATGTGGATCTCCAAGAAATCAAACTAATTAGAAAAGATAGTATTAGGTATGTCCTACTAGTTCTAGATAATTATTCTAGATGCCTTTTTACATGATATTTAAAGGTAAAAAGTAAATCTTTAAAGGTATTAAAGGAAATGTATAATAGTTAGCTAAATATGACTAGTATCTATATTAGAAGGGTTAGATTTAACTCTACTCCTAAATTTAATAAGTATGCTAGATAAAGTAAGGATTTTGGTACTATATATGAACTAATACTACTACAAATCCCTGAGGAAAATAGTGCTATTAAATAATTTAGTAGTTATGTGATCTAGACTACCCGCATAATATATATATAAGTAAAAATAGAGTTAACTATATAGCTATATAGTATGGATACAGCAGTCTATATTTTAAATAGGTTAGTTAGGAAAGGTAATGATGAAGGAAAGCTACCTATGTAACTTTTTTGTAAAGGATTAAATATTCTAATTAGAGATATTAATCTATAATATATTTATATATAGGAATATAAGGTATTTATAAATATTCTATATAAAGATAGGATTAAAAGTATAAAAATATTGCCTAGAGTAAAAATTAATTAACTAGTTAGATATAATAAAGATTATATCTATAAGGTATAGTATCTAGATATAGAGAAGATAATTTAGTCAAGGAATATAATATTTAATAAAGGTAATATTAATAGAATAGATAGAATATAACTATGACTTCCTAATAAACTAAAATTAAATAATAATAATTTATCTAGAGTAACTATATTTATTAATACTAAAAGGGGAAGAATAATTTATAATAGTATATCTTACTAAATCTTATTATTAACAAATAATAATGAAGTTATTACAGAAAGAATTTAAATATTAATACCTAATCTAGCCCTACCTGAACCAAACCTACCAGAACCAGAGGCAGGTACCAACTTGATATTTCTGCACCTACCTGCCTCTGGGACTGTCACTAAAACCACCCTACCTAACCTAGAGGCAGGTATCGAACTTATCATACCCGAGCGGCTACCTACCTCTGGGGCTGCCTCTAGGGCTATCTCCAAGACTACCAAGCTCATTATACCAGAGCAGACACCTGCCTCTAGGCCTGCCTCTAGGGCTGTTTCCAAAATCATCACCAAGCAAAACAATCAAGCGATTAGCAAGGATATAGAGGAGATAGTAAGACCTAGTATAGAGGAATAATCTAGGCAGGGTAAATATAAAGGAATAATTAATTATTTTACTATAGATAATCTATATACTAGTTAACCTATTTTTAAAAGAATACTAGTATTACAACTAATATAAAGGCTTCTAAAGTTATTTACCTAATATAGGGAGGTCTTACTAATTTTAGAATCTTCTAAAGATAACTATACTCTAATAACTCTAGATATACTAAAAAGAAAGTATTTAAAGACTAGAAAGTAGGTTAAATTTAATATTAGAAAAGTAAAAATAGTTAACTAGGTAAAGGTATAAAATCCTGCTAGTAAGGATACTAGTAGTAGTATTACTACTCTATAGAAATCTTTAAGATCTATAAAGGGTCAATACTAAAGTATTTACTTTAAAGATAAGTAGGCAAAGTAATTACAAGAAGAGGAGGTAAAATAGGAATAATAATCTTAATTCTAGTTTATATTACCTCTAAAAATACTTCTAGAAATACCTTGTCTACTAGAATCCTATCTAAAGCTAGAAAAATCACCTAATATAATTACTATAATATTACTAGATTCTAGTAGTTTTATACTAGAGATCAAGCTTATAAAGACTTATAAAGTTAGAATCCTATAAACCTATATTTAAGTAATAAAGTCACTATAAAAGGATTACTAGATATAAGTAATGCAAAGTTAAATTAGTAAGTTTAAAGTTATTTAGATTTATAAATTTATACTATTACCAAAGGATATAAAGGTCTTACTAGGAAAATAGGTATATAACTTAAAGTTAAATATAGATAATAATATATTATAATTTTATATAAAATAGGTTATATATAGAAACTTCTAAAAACTAGGTATAGACTTTAATCAAGTCTACTCCCTAGTAATAGTAGATACTTTAGTAAAGCTATTTTTAAGTATGGTTACTTATTTTAATTTAAAATAGGTATAATTTAATATGGTGACTACCTATCTTAATATAATAATCAAGGATCGAAAGATCTATATACACTAATTAACTAGTTTTAATAAGTAAGATAATATAGTATGTCTACTACTCCAAGCCCTATATAAATTATAATAGTTAGTATTTCTTTAGCACGAGGAATTCCATGATATTCTAGTAAAAATTAGTATAAAGGTAATTAATAAAGACCCATGCTTCTACTATAATCTAGACTAGTAGCTAATACTTATTATCTATATTGATGATATAATAGTTGCTGGCCCTAATAAAGTAAATATTTAATAATTTATAGATAAGCTAGAAAAATATTTTAAATTAAAGTAACTAGATAAACCTATATAATTCTTAGGATATAATATTTATAGACTACTTAGTAGTCTAATATTAATATCTTAATATATATATATCCAAAAGATGCTCTATAAATAGAATTTTTATGATCTTTAGCCATGTCATATACTAATAACTCTAGGATGGAAATTAACTAGAGAGATACTAGATACTAGTAGTATTATTCTAGATACCATATATGCCTCTATAGATGAAGATAATATTGCCCACTATTAGGAGTTAACTGGATTATTAAATTAGATTATTATTTGGACCTAACCAGATATTTAATATATAATAATATAACTACTATAGAGAAATTATAATCCTACTAAGTTAGACTATAATATAGTTAAATAAGTTTTCTAATATTTAAAGAAGACCTCAGACTATATAATAGTTTTAGGCTATTTAGATAATCTATTATATATATATATTAATGCCTCCTATATAGATTATGAAGACAAGAAATTAATAGAAGGCTTTATATTTTTTATATTTAGAGTACTAATTATATGGAGATTAGCAAAGTAATTACTAGTTACCTTAAGTTTAACTATTACTAAATTTATTACATGGGATGTAGTAATAAAGCTAGCTATATAGCTATAAAAGCTATATATAGCTATTAGACTAGAATAGTCTATAAAAGGTGCCATACCTTTATATATTAATTCTATAAATACTATTACTTTAGTAAAGAAGCCAAATTACATATCTATACTTTACTAGATAGATATTTGCTACTTTTTTATTAAAGAGGTAATTAAAAATGGCAGAATTTAGCTATAAATAATTAGTAGAGAGAATAATGTTGCTGACAGGCTAATTAAGGTACTACTAACTATGAAATTTGATAAATTTATTAAGAGGTTAGGTTTTAGCAGGTTAGAGATGGACTCTGAATAGCTTCATGTAATGGATGTGTTACTAAGGGGGGTGTGTTGGAGTGCTGCACTCAGTGAATGCAACCAGCACTACCATAAAGCAGCATTACCATAAAGAAGAAGATAGCGACATGTGACTACTTTGTGTATTTAAGGCCACTGTTTCCTTCTAGATCTCCATACTTCCTCCAAGCATCTCTCTATTTCCTAGTTAGACTAATTGAATCCATTTCGGTCAACTTTCTACCGTCATAGTTTGACGACCTTCATCAGATAATCTATGGTGTGAGTCACTCTCACTTATGCATGTCTTCCGCACACAGATCCATGTATCTATCCTATCCTGTTTACATACTGTACTTTCACAACACTTTTCCTTTGTATTGATTAGCTAGCTAGCTAGCTAGCTATAAGCACAATGAAAACAATCATGCAGTCAGCATATACCATGAAGAAATAATCTACTACTTCAAGCGTTCTTCTCTCCTTCTTTTTTTTTTTTTTTTTTTTTTTTTTTCTTTCTTTCTATTAGCCATCCTCAGCCAAGTCTAATCAATCCTCCTTGATTCAATTCGATTCTCCTCTAGAATTACAGAATGGAATCTATCCTATGGGGCAGTGACTCGTATCAAAAGAAAAAAAAAAATCAACCATTGGCTGTTTTACGAAGATAAGTACCGACCTAACTGAGGTAGATACTAGTACTGTAGTGGTGATATGCCGTGCATATATATGTATGCAGCGTTACATGATGTGATGCAGATACAGATAGTTACAGTAACTGCACCTAGACCAGATCTTACTACTGCAGCAACACGGAGTTTATACTGCTAACATGGTGGGTTATTTAATCTAAACAACTATATATCCTACCCACTATTAGTACAGAGTACTCCGTACTGTTGTGTAGGTAGGTTGTACTAAGTAGTACATGCAGCTTAGAAGTACAGTCTAGCACAGTACCAGAACAAATCCTTACCCTGAATGAAAAGAAAAGAAAAGAAAAGAAAAGAAAAATAAAGTATATTTTTGAATACGAGGGACTAGAAATTAAGAGAAGAAATAGGAATATATATATAGAGAGAGAGAGAGAGAGAGGTAAGGTAAGGCAGATTTTGATGTCCTGATAACTGAAGTAATAGGTAGTAGGTACGTATTTGTGTGACCTTGTTACTTTTGTTTCAGCTGATATAACTCTCCCCCCTCCTTCTTCTTTTTTATATTTGTAAGAAAGAAAAAGAATGTCCTTTTCTTTAAATTTGGAGTTTGGTTTTCTGGTCGAGGTCGCCTAATATACATAGCTGCGTAATTATATACTTTTATGTTGGGGATGTATGTGTGTGATTATCCTGCAGGTTACTTACTTACTACTAGTACCTACCGGAAGCCATTAAATACCTAGTACCGTAGTATCTATACCATAGAAGGAAGCTCATTCTGTTTCATATTTCTTTTAACTAGTTTCTCCTTGTATTGGTTAGAGAGTTTTGTTGGCTATATTTTTCTAAGGACGGTAATGACGGCAATAGCCCTAATAGGCTCCCGATTGCATCTTGGTGTTCAGAAATATTCTATTATTGGGGATAAGAGAAAGGTTGGGTCTTTCTACTATGTATATCATTTTGTGAGCAATTTGCATGCAGGATGATTATTTAGTACTACTAGAAGACCTAATCAATTCAACATCTTCCTAAGTATCCCAATACTGATACCTACCCTAGGTCGTTCGGGTTTCGCTTCAGCCAAGGAATCAATGCACGGAACTTCTCTTCTTAAGTATACATATACCATTATGGACTGTAAAGCCCGTGTTGTCTGATTGGGTTTCAAGCTGCTTTGTAGATATTCATTAATAAGACCAAGAAATACCGAATTTGAACAGATGTCACTCCTCGTTCCCAGCTACAGAGTAAATCTTGTTTGAGTTTAGGTTCTCTTCTCTTGCCTTAGCAAAGAATAACCGAGGTATGCTGTCTCCATACACAATTTGTGTCCAAGGTGGGAGATAAACAGCCATATCTCACACTGTGGGGTGGACAAGACCAAACACCCTGAAGCTTGAACAGGCCTGTCTGTCATACTCTGAGTCAAAAAAAAAACAAAGTATACACTGAAGGGCTGGTCTACACCCTCATTCGCTATCTCATTCGTACTAACTTTTAGTATGTCTTTATGTGGTGGAAATAGTTTATCATTGCGTGGAATTTTGATGGCTGTGGCTAGTGCACTGCACCACCAACCAATGGTATAGTCGTCGCCTGATCGTCGAACAGAAAGCTGCCTTGAGAGGGGAGAAGAGGGTCGGGTGTCTCGGGATCTGCCCAGCTTGAGAGTCGAGATTCATAGACTGCCCGCGAGCCTTGCTTTCCAGCTCCCAAGAGTTAGAAATCAGTATCGTTCAGGCCCCGTTCGAATGAGACCCGTTCCATGTGACTGATATAGGGGCTTGACGTCCGAATTAAATAGGATGGGGTAGGAAGGAGATCGTTGATCTGCCCTCCCTCCCTTGGAGTGGTGTACCCCGTTTGTTCTCGCATACATAGAACTTTTGGTGGACGGATGATGCCGGCACTAGAGCAAAGGACAGACCACCACCTTCATCATCGGCTGTACAAACCATGGGATCACAAATCTTTGCCAGAGAGGTGATCACGAGGATAGTTGCTAGTATTATTGGAGATGGAGAGGCTATTCCACTTTCGGAAGTTAGATCACGTGGCGGCATCCGCCAAACTTCTTCTCCGAAATAACCCCAGTCAACATCTTTGAAGGAATCGCATTGCCAATTCTTCCACAGAGTTCCAGCCGCAAAAATGGCAAAGAAAGGTATGTCATTACCTCTATTCATTGCTAGATAACGGAATCCTCAGTTTTCCTCCCAACCTCAAGGCCGTCATTCATTCGTCCCGGAACTCAACAAACAATCGTACTAACTGCAATTCTCTCCAGCCAAGTCACGTACCATCATTGTCCGCCTGATATCCATGGCGATGACCGGCTACTACCGCACAATGATTCGCCCTCGTACCCATCGTCCCCTCAGCATGTTGAAATACGATCCTGTTGTTAAGAAGAAGGTGCTGTTCCTGGAGGCAACAAAGGGTGGAAGAGCAAAGTGATTCTCCCTTCCCTTCCTCGCCGAACTTTTTCCTCTTCATCGGGCCAAATCCGAACGCCGCGAAGAATCTCCAACCGCCGGTCCAGCTTAATTCCAATTACGACTCGATCCATTGCGTGGATTACGCGGATTACCATCAATACCCCGAAGCGGAGCCATGCAGTGTTCTGCTCCCCTCTTGTTGAGTGAACGACGATCATGTACATTAGACACACCAGCGAGGGCTACATTTGGACCCTTATTTTCTGCTTTTATTTTTGAGCTGTATAAGTATCACGGTGTTACATTCTGGCGTTAAGAACAGTACAAACTTGGTCAATAAATATCCTTCATATCATATACTTTCGGATCATACTCGTCATTGATTAGGCAAATGCTTTTTTCACGTCACCCCCTCGGGATCGAAAATATAGAGATTCCTTTCTATAGATACACCTGGTATGTATAACCTCTCGCTGCTAGTTATACTAGAGAGAATTGTTCCCCGGGTTCGTCAGTTCCTCTCAGCTCTTAGGTGGGTTTGTTGAAGCGAGCGTTGTATCTGTCACCTATAGATTTCAGAATCTGTCTTGTTCGTGCTGCATTTGGGCTTACCTCGTGTCCTCCGTCCGCCCCTTTTTGTGCCTCGTGATGGAGCATCCTGGCTTGAGACTACCCCGTTTGACGGAGTCCGGCTAGTCCCAGAAGCCAATTTAGCAGGACTTCTTTTGCGGCCACGGATGTCACTTGAAGCTCTAGCCTGAGATGAAAGACAGGGGGACGTGTCAGCCAACTTGGCCTTTTTACTCCTGCTCACATCGGCATGACTCCCCTGTTCTTGAACATAGGAAATGGTACGAAGAGGAGGCTTTTCCGGAGTTCTCATCATAGAGTCCCGCTGACGTTTGCTATAGGTCCATCGATTGGTATGCGGAGGATCCTCTTGAAGAAGAGGTGTCTCTACATCGGTAGCTTGGGAACCTTTGCCCTGCGAGTCTGGAACCTGAAGCTTCTCGACCTCTGCACCAAGACTCTTTGTCTCAAACGATACGTTACGCCTGGTTACCGGACCAGCAGCTCGGGATGGATCGCATTCCTTCTGCAGACTTTCCGGTAGGCTATCGCGTTCTCGAATATTATTCCGGGCACAGTATGTAGAGTCGTTCAACAATGCTGCGCCAGTAGTAGCCTTTTGGCCAGAGGCATCCAGTTCCTGCTTTGTATGTTCTGGCGGCCTAGTGGGGACTATAGCCTCTTCGTGCGCTTTTATCGGAGCGCTAGGCTCACTAGTAGGGGCCTGTTTTTCTGGTGTCTGTGTTAGCATGAATGAGATGTCAAAATGTTCATTTTGTGGATATACACAAGGTGAAGGCGACAGGTCTTCCAAAACACTTGAGAAGGGGGTAATTTTTTGTGTCAACGTCGATGGTGGAACGCGTATAGATTTGCTCTCAATTTCTCTTTCTTGATTACATGCATTATCATTATCTTGAGCCGGACAAGGAGAGCGTCGTTGCTCGTTCTGACGTTCAAACATCTCACAGATATCGTGGTCTAGTAATGTCTCAGGATTTATCGTCGTAATTTGAGCTAATTCGTTACTCATTAAACATATGTTGGAATTGCTGGGGGTCACTGAACTTAGGACGGCTTCAAGTTTAGCCAAAGTCTCAGGAAATGGCTGATCAGCCGGGGCGATATCCAGTCGATGGAGCAACTGTTTGATATGTTTCATCCCTAACTCAGAAACCTGCACCCTTCTCAGTAGCGCATGAATCTCCGATTTCGCCTTTGTTTTACCTGATTCAAGACTCAACTTTGCTGAATTAGCAGCATCTAGCTCCTTTTTGATTCTCCGACACTCCTCACCCTTCTCCTCGAGTCGTTTCTGGGCTATGTCAAGGTCAGCTTGTATGGTTTGGCCTGATTCTTGAGCCTCTTCTGTGACCCTGCGGAGATCTTTGTCGAGAAGGCTAATTCTCGCATTCGCTTCATCAAGTTGGCTTTGTAGAGTAGTCTGCTGCGATCTCTGCGTCACGTCTTCCTTCCTAAATCCCTCGATTTCAATTTGCTGCTTGGCCAAGGTTGAAGTGTGTTCAGCGTGGGATCTTTCAAGGTCATGGATTCGCTCTTGTTTTTCCGCAAGCTAGAAAATCATTAACAAGAGACCCGAGGTGTATATATTGACTCGATATGCGCACCAGCAATTCCTGCTTTTTCTGCTTTTCTATCATGGAAAACTCGCGGTCAATCTGATTTCATGAGTGCGTTTACTAAACCCTGGACTCTCAACGGCTTACATACTAGTTTTTGCTGGGTTTGAGTTAGCTGATCCTTGACTTTCTGGGCTTCTTGCTCAATGCCTCTCTTTTCCTCCCAACAGCTTTGGCGCTGCTGTTCGAGTTGCTCCTTGTAACTTTCGAGTGAGGTGGCTTTTGCTCTCTCGATATCGCCCTTTGCATTCTGCTCTATTGCTTTGATATTATCTTGTAGAGCTGAAATTTTGGATTCGAGCTTCGTTGCTCGTAATTCTGCTTCCGCAGCCTTTGCTAAAGCTTGGCGTACATCGTAGCCTTTTTGCGTATTGTCAAGCTCCTGGGCTTTTAATCTTTCTTCGGTCAACTTCAGCGTAAGCGATAGCTGCTGTAACGTGTTCTCAAGCCCTATTTTTTCTGAGATATGGACATGCATCTCCTCGAACCTTTCTGGTATTTTGGTATCGGTGAGACTGGCTCCAATATGCTCTATTTGCTGGCTTAAACCGATTTCTTGCTGCTGCAATATTTGGATCGAGGTGTCTAATTTTTCGAAGGTCGATAAGGAGGCCTGAAGTCGGTCATTTAGATGAACACACCGAGTTTCGTTTTGCGAAAGCTGCGTAAGTAGAGCAGATTCATCACCCAAACTATCTCTAATGCTAGAAAGTTGCTCATTCAAGGAATCTGTCAAATTTTTGGTAGCATCAGAATTTTGCTCGATATTCCCAGCAAGCTGTTGGACAATTGCGTTCATCCTGAGCATATAACTTAGCTAGCGATTCAATGAAGAACCAGATCTAATGCCTACCGATCTTCCAATTCTCGAATAGTCTCCTTCCACCGCTCAAAGTCTATTTTGCTCTCCGAAACCGTATCACAAAGACTTCTAGTCAAAGAGAGAGACTCTTCGGATATAAGCCGAGAAAAGCAATCGATATCCTTCTGGGAGGATTTGCAATCCTTTCCTAGGGCCACGATAGCAGATTGAAGTGTTTTCATCGCTTCAAATTGGCCTATCTTGATGAGATCAAGCTTTCGATCCTGCGAGCGTGAGAAATTTTGTATATATAACTCAAGGAGGCTGGATCTTTTCTTTTCATCGGCCAGCTGTGCACGAATATACTGAGACTTTTCTTCTGTTTGCTTCAGACTATTGTTAAGCGCAACAATGACACTCTCGGATTCCGAAAGACAGCCTCTTCTTCCATGGTACGTCTCAGTTAAATGTGAAAGGCTCGCTTTAACATCTGCGATATCTTTTTCTATCTCTTTTCGGTCTCGATCTAAGGATCTTTTGGTCACCCTAAGGTGAACAGCTTCCCCTCGAAGGTTTTGATAGTCAGTCCCAAGATCATTTACGAATGTTTTGACTTTCTTCAGCTTTGACTTCCACTCCTCTGTTTGGGACCTATAGGCTTTTGCTTCGGATGTTCTCTGCTGGAGCTTTGTGTCAATGGCTCCCAGTTTGCCCTTCAAAGCTCTGTTTTCCTCCTTCAAGGTGTATAAATTGGCCTCCATTTCGGTCCTCAGAAGTGACGCATTGGCTTCAGTCTCTTCTCGAGCCTTTATTCGATTCATTAACTGTTGAAATAAGGCTTCTTCTGTTAACTGTGAGTTTCCGGCATCTGATGGCAGCCTTTTCCCAGTTTTCTTTTTTTCGGATTGTCGTCGTTTCACTATTTTCATTTGATTGGTAGATGAGCGCAGGTCCGTAACCCTCGTCTCTTGTAAAGTTACATTCTCATCTGATAACACCCGCTGCAACGCCTTCGCAACAGGCTTTGGTAGTCCTTGATGCTGATTCTCCTTCTTTGCGTGAGTTTCTAATCTAACAGACGAGTTTAACGGGAAACCTACGTCCATCTGAGGTAGGGCAATACATCCAGTATCTATTAATAATATCAGTATGTTGAATCAGGATTCTAGAGTCTCTACCCATACCTGTGCCTTCAACCCCGGAGAGCGAGCGTTGGGAGCCAAATTCACGTAAGGGCTCTGTGAAAGCGGGTTGCTCGATTGGACATCTCACAATACATGAGGTATCAATATTCCTCAGCTTGCTTGTTTCTGCAGAGGGTTCTTTCTGCGCATCCAATTCTCGGGTATCTCCAATTGCACTCGGCGGTAATTCTGTTTCATCATGGATTTTTGCGTTGAATTCCGCTCTTTTGTTACCTGAGACAGTGACAGGCCTTGGGAGGGATTCAGTATCCATTCTAAATGATGCCAGGGATTATATACCTTTCTTGACTACCCCGGTTTTGATCTAATGCTTTGAGGATTTGATCCCCGTTTGGATTAAAATTTTCTCGTGAAAATGGGATAGAAGAAGAACGATTGATGGCAGGCTGCAAACAAAAGAGTTTTCCGCTTTTCATTGGTTTTGAAAAGCTGAAACTTGTCATATCTATCCCCGAGCTCTGTGGACGCGCCATAAGTAATGGAGACTGGTGTCTTTTTTCTGAAGTCTGTTCTGTGTTTGCATTGTCATTCATGACAGCTTGAAGATTTGGCGAGACAGGCTCTTTATTTGCCTCTATCATCTGTAGGAGCAAGAGCTCTTCGTTGCTATCATATCTGGTATCAGAAGGCAGTGGGGAGTCTGCACAGGAAATTCTATCATCGTTGTCCTCCATCTCGGGTAGGGGGGCTGCCAACGAGCCTTGCAGTTAAACGAGTGGCCTGCAGAAGTTGAAGAAGAGCTAGATTCAACGAGAGTCAGAAGCCTGCCACACACACACACACACACACACACACACAAAAGGAACGCTAGGAGGGGTTAAACTATACGTAGTATTCTCTAGAATGATGGCTGATGAGATCCAAATGCGGTGAAATAGTAGCGAACAAATATATATGACACGGGAAATGGTAGAAATGACAGGAGTATTGACAGTCAAAAAATGCTCCTGACTTGATGCAACGTGACTGTACAAGATAGGCAGGAACCAGGAACTTCGCAACTTCCCTTTTTCTCCTCCTTGCCACCTACCTCTCCGAAAAGGGAACAGCTTCATAGATACTAGGTACCAGTACTTGTGGGCACAACAGAAGGTATGAGAACATTTGGTCAATTTACCTGTCAGGTTCCATCTAGATCTTTCTAATAATGTATATCCTCTAGTCTCGTTGGAAGATGATATTTTTTTTTTATACTGGAGCTAGCACACACCCTGTGGACGAGCCCTCCAAATCGATAATAGGGAACATAATCAACCACATTCTTATCAGAGAAGCCAGGGTGAGGAAGATAGTTCATGAAACAAGCGTTTTACGAGAGAAACGGCTGTCATCACAGAAAACGGACAGACAGCAAGGGAAATTTCAATAGAAATTGGGTGTATTCAAGCGCATGATTCTAATTCGAGTGACAGACGGAAAACGGGCAGCATCCGTGCGTTCCCAAATACCGTGTATGCAGTCCCCATCCGGTTCAAAAAGAAATTGGAGGCTCAGAAACAAATGAGTCCCTGAAGAGGTACATCTGTATGCCCCATAAGGGTTTGACTCGACAAGATCTGCACCGGCGCTCCAGGCGCGTTGGCTATTGGTTCTGGCACTCAGCTATGCAAGAGCGTGTGAAGCAGCCAAGACCACCATCACACCAACCGGCGCCTATATCACAAAGTGACAGACTGTTTCCGGTCATTGATTCGTTCCTTCAATCTTCCCTTGCACCTTCAGACCAGAACTGTTTCCAATCCAACATGATGGATATTTTGGTCCATATCTTCAGAGTTTGTGACGATTACCCCCGGGCCTATCAACTGGTTGAAAAAACTGGGGATTAGATCCTGCAGGTATCTGAAGACTGATGGTTTGCGTGACTCCAAATTTGCCTGGTACTGTAGTATATAGAGAGCCGCCATGGTACCCCTGAAGGAGCATAACTTTGTTGTTCATTTTCTTATACTCCCGATTTACATGGGTTTTCTACATTTCCAACGGGTTTGTGTCCTACAAAAATAGCATTCTCAACTTTCTATCTTCGCCCATTCCTACGGAACAGCCTGATAGAAGAAACCATGTCCGCAATACCGGCATACAGCGCTTTCGCGATCGCCATCCTATTCACCCATGTAACCGCTCAATACAGCTACGGCGACACAGATGATCCAAATGTAGCTGGGGCATCTGGCCCAGATTCAGGCTCAGGGGGAATCTCTACTGCAGGCATTATCGCTCTGGGTGTAATTGCTGGAGTGGTCGTGGTCCTAGGAAGTTCGTTGTCCCAGACTTTCATTTCAGCAGATATGTCATACATCAGTAACGTGGTACTGACAAACTCTACTATTGATAGTCAGCTCGGCTGCCCTATTTTATGTCGCCAAGAAGCGCCAGTGGGCAATGCGCGAAGCACTCCGTCGCTCTGCTCGAACAGTTGTCAAGGCAGTAATGACACCCCTCACGCCTAGATTCCCCAAGAGTGCACGAAGCACAAGACCGCCTACTCGTGACCGAGAAGAGGAAGACAACGAGCTAAGGAGGACCGAAAGACGATATCGAAACCCACTGGATCCGGAAAAAGATGCCGTGGTAACAGCGAAAGAGTCGCCCAAGGAGACGGGATCGAATATTAGAGGGTGGAGCTCTTATTTCTCTTTCAACCGCTCATAGATTACATCTCTTCTTTCACTTTCTAGCAATGACCTATACTGCCGAGGGTGCGTGACTGGGTGAATGGTTATTGTTCTACCTACGCTAGACGTAGGATGATGTCAGATATACCGTTCGGCCAAAAAGGTGTCAAGACAGCCATTTCTAGCTGATACAGTATTATATTGGTCCCTTAGATGGCCATCTTTCACTTTCCTTCTTTTCACTCTATCTTTATAGGGTTTCCAGTATCTATATAAATATACTCTGTATCTAGTACCAATTATACCCTCAGGCACTAGCCCTCCTGCCCCTGCATAGGAAGATCAACTAAATCATTCTTCTCTCCTCTTCCACCTCCTACCATGCCTCCCACAGAAGGAAATCAGCGGACGACCTAATCACGGGCTGGCTGCGTACGATGTACCATGCATAGTGTTTGTCAATAACTGATCCGACAAGATCCCGCTTACATGACACCTTTTTGTCTTTTTCTAATGAGATGTATGTATGTACAGTAATAACTAGTAGGTAGTGCGGTGTTTTAGGTATCCATCTCTACCATACCATACCATACCACACACCTTTGTCTAGGTTACCAGAGTATACACCAGTCCCACAAAGACGATAGTTATTGCACATATATACGAGTATTTGGCCCAAGTGCCCATAGTACACTCGGTGCCTTCAAAGGCTGCCTGCATTGCCCGTCAGATGGTCGTCTTAGATTCCACTTGATAGCGGAACAGAAGGAAGAGCAAATTGGCTGTGTGCAGGTCAGGGGGGGGGGGGGGAAGTGAGGATTTTATTTCCCCTTTGCTCGTCGTCTTCGGCATGCCTTGGATGTCGTACATACATACTACTTGCTTGCTCGGTTTCTTTCCTTCCATCCTGACCCCATGCGCACGAGCCCGTACAGGCTAGGTTATGCACAGACACAGACCAGGCCTAGACCTAGAGGGGTTCTACTTGGCAATAGCGACCTATGACCAAATTCCACATGTAATGTAATGAAGGAGGGGGAAAGCAAAATCTTGCCTTCTCTTCTCTTCTCTCTCTGGGGGGGGGGGGGATCCATCCCTCTTTGCTGACTAAAACAGAGAGAGAGAGAGAGAGAGAGAGAGAGAGAGAGCTATAAATCTAGTCTTGATTTCGCCTTCTCAAGAATCTCTAAAGAACTCGGAGTCTCTATCCCCTTATCAGAATTTCATCAGCTCTCAATTCACCACATCCCATGTCTCACCTTCAGTATTACGCCTACGAGGGGCAAGGTGTCGAGAAGCGACACCGCTACCACTACAGCCAGGCCGTCCGGGTTGGAGATCGGATCGAGTGCGCCGGCCAAGGTAGGCCGCGTTGACTGGGGGAAAAAAAAATTCACATGGTTTCGTGGAGCGTGGCTAATCTATCCAGGTGGATGGGATCCCAAGACCGGAGAAATCTGCACGGAAATCAATGCGCAGATCGATCAGGCCTTTGCCAATGTCGAACTGGCACTGAAGGATGCCGGTGGCAAGGGATGGTCTCAAGTCTTCCGCATGAACTCGTACCACGTTCCGATCAATAATGAAGCCCTGGCAGCCATGGTTCGCAACGTTAAGAAGTACATGCCCGACCACCAGCCAATTTGGACCTGCGTTGGCGTGACACGTCTGGGAGAAGATGATATGAGGGTGGAGATTGAAGTGTCAGCCCACGATGAAGAAGGTGCTCAAGCTGCGCGAGAGAAGAGACAGAATTTGAAATAGACTATCTCGTGAGGAAGAAGATACCTAACTAAGTACACTCTATTATTCATGATGGGGTCAGAGAGAGAAGTGAGTTGTGAATATCAGGAAGTAACTACTATGTACTTAATTGCTATCCCATCTTGTAGCGCGCAAAGTATATTTTTCTCTCTTTTTTTTTCTAAATATTATTATTGACCTTTTAGCATCCAAAAGTAAGATAGTCTTGTAGAACATTGCTGTTGTGGTTGTCAGCTATGAACAGTATTGGCACATATGTACAACCAAAATCCAGCTCAATTCAACTCAAATCATTTCAAATCATGCACCAAAATTAGTAATTCTCTTGTAAAGTTCCAAAACTTGGTATGGTATCACCACACTTGAAAGATGGAGCATAGGCCTTTGCGGGCAAGAAGCCATTCTTCCAGCCCGTCTTGTAGCTCCACTGCGGTGCAGATTCCGTATACCAAGTCCAATAAAACCAACCCAAGGCTGTAGAAAACGCAGACATTTGGGCCTCCGCGTAAGTTTGCAGAAAAGTCTTGTAGTTGTCCGAGTAAGCGGAGACGTCAGCGTTGGCGTTTGAACAGCTGCAGGCTGGTTGATCGGTCTCATCGGCGGTAGGACAGTAGGCGGTCGAGTCGGAGGTCGAGTAAGTGCCTTCCCAGCGAGTGCCGCGGCCAACGTTGTTGAGGTATTGCGCACAGTCCGTGTCAGCCATGGAAAATTCGCCGCAGATTGTCGGGCCCCACCTTATTTTCCGGTTAGTATATGCAATCAGGAAAAGGATAGGGAGGAAGTACCCTTCAGAAGTGGAATTTATCTCACTAATCATGCTATACCAGCTGTTGCAGATGAGGTCTACCTTGGCGGTGTGGTTGAGGACAATCTCCGCCGTGTTAAAGATGGTGTATTGGTGAGTATCAAGGAGGAGACCAGCAGGGCCGGATTTGAGCATTGACTTCCATTTGCTGAGGTTGAGGAAGCCGTCGTGGAAGGCAACCCAAGCGGTGATATTATTCTTCTGCACCAGCTCGGTGGCTTCAGTAGTCCAGTTCAGGACTTTCTCAATGTCCAATGACAGCATGAAGGGTTCGTTAACGAGACCGTAGATGGCTACGATATTCTTATAGCGCTCCTGGGAAAAGAACTGAGAAAGCTGGTTGTGAAGATCGAGTGCGAGCTGGGCGTTCGCCGAGCCATCGGTCCCATTCAGCCATCCGATTTGGCCCTGTCGGCCGCTGTGGTTGAAGCCATTCTGACTTCCGGGGATACCATGGGGGTCGAGATTCACACGCAGACCATACTTACGGCAGTACTCGATGGCCCGAAGGAGATATCGCCAAGCGATTTTGGGGACATACGGTTCGCCATCGATGGGCGCGAAGGCCCAATAGGAGAATTGAATACGAACGTGGTCGAGCCCGGCGTCGCGAATGTCGGCGAAATCTTGTTCGGTGATGAAAGTTGCGTAGTGCTTTTCGATGGTCGAGGCTGCATCACTTCCCAGAGTTTTGCTCAGCGTATACTCATCGATGACATTCGTATAGCCCTCAAAAAGGGAAGGGGTGATGAACGGTTCAAGTGATAGCCAGCCTCCTAGGTTCACGCCTCGGATGGGCTGCGATCCGTACGGAAACTTTTCATTCAATGGCGGAACATTTTCATTCGGCCGCGCAGAGTCATCCCAGGTTGAATTCAAGCCCATGATAGAGAGGCCGCCGACGGTTGCGTTGGTGTAGGTCACATTAAAGTCGGTTGTGTCGTACCACGTCCACGGGTCAAGAACGGTTCCTCGAGCAGATTCCTACGGTTGTCAGCAAATAATTTAGCAGTTTCCTCAGGTCAACTTACCGGAATACTGTCATGGCTGAGTCCGTCTAGATTAGAGTTGGAATTGTCGGAAGAACTGGTCGAGTCAGAGCCGGAGTGGTTGTTTTTCTTTTTCGACACCACAACAGCAACCACGATAATGATGATGATCAGAAGCACAAGGATAACAGCAGCGCCAATCCACCTCCATTTCTTTTTCTTCCAGAATGGCGGGTCTGCATCTGGGTCACCCTTCTCCATCTGCCGCTTTCTTTCTGCTAGCGGCGCTCCCCCACCCCCTCGATGCCTCATTTTCATCTCCGGGCTTCTGCCTTCTTCCAGAAATGCGCCCGACACAATGCGACCCTTGGACTGACCCCGAGGAACCTGCTCAGGAAATGGATCAAGCGCCCGCGATTGGTCTTCGACGACAGGACGCTTGCGCCTACGCTTCTTCTCTGCTTTAGCTTGCTCCTTCGCGAGACGTTTCTCATGGCGATCTTCTTGCTCGTATTGCGCCCCGAGTCTAGCCAGCGCATTGGCACTCAGCAAATGCGCCGTGCTATTTGACGAGTCGGTACTCTGGTGCTTCGACGTCGTAGCACGTTTCTCCCGATCGCGATCCCGGTCGCGCTCTCTGCGTCGGTACCTCCGTGCGGCCTCCTCATATTCCTCCGCCTCCAGATCCCTCGTTCGTTCTCGACGGTCATCTCTTGTTCTCGATCCCCGATCCCGTGGTGCGCGCGGCGCCGGACTGGCGTCCTCGTGGCTGATTCCTCTTCGCCGCTGATGATCGCCCCGATCGCGAGGTCTATCGCTTTCATATTTGCGCGGCGACTTTGCCGGGGATGCTTTTGAATTAGATCGTTCTCTTCTCTGATGATCGTCGGAAGATTCATAGGCTTTTGAATCTGCACGTGGGCGCTGGTATCCATCACGTCTGTAGCGACGGTCGCGTGGGGTATCCTCAAAGTCCTCGTCGTCGTCGTCGTCGTCGTCTGAGTATCTTCGACGAGACTGGGTTCGGGTGTAATCCCGCTCGCGGTCGCGACCATACCGGTCCCGACTGCGGGAGTGACTGGGCATGCAACCTTGTTGGTAAGGAATGTGTGTAGAAGCTCGCGTGGATCAATCTGAGGGGAATGGAATGTTTTGGTGTTGGTTGGCAGGTGCTACTTCTCCTGCGGCGCCGGTGCAAGTTTATCCTGGATGGAAAATAAACATTTGGTGGAAATTCCAGAAAGGGGCCTGCCAAGGGAGTTGACGCGGAAAAGAGAGGCCAAGCAAGTTGTTGTTGTTGTCTGAGAAAGCGGCTACTTGGAGATTCTGTGTCCATTGGGCACTGCATTCAGTGTATTTATTTCCTAATCGGGATGAAAGTCTTGGCATGCGCATACGTAATTCCTGATTTATACCTGCCATTACAAATGTATGTAGATTTTGTAAAGAATTTGATGATATTCATGTGGCGAGATGGAAAACAGATCAATTATTCCTTTTATTATTCCCAAAGTATTGTATGTGGAGTATATCATAACGGAGTCTCTTTTTAGTAAGGGGTGTGTATATGTGGGATGTATGTGGCTGTATGTGGCTGTGGCGGAAAGTGGCGCATTCCTGGTGGAAAAATAATAATCCGAATCGCTGGAAACATCCTACTTCCGGATCGAATTCAGTAAGTAATTCCGTTAAAACATCCCAGACTCACTCTCGTAACTGTTAGTTAACAAGTAACCTACGGAGTACTCCATACCTACTTGATAAGTTCTTCATACTCTGGTTAAATTATAAAGTACTAGACATGTATACCTGTAAGAAATCAAAATCAAAATCATTAAATAAATCAATTTACCATACAACGAAGCCCCCTTCTCCTGCTTCGTATGGCCACTTGCAGTCCCCACTAATTTGACCCTGTTCCAAATTTCCCTCTTTCAGGGTCTCACTTCCTAAAAAAAGACCGACGCTGCCGGATTCCCTCAAGTTTCATCCGTAAATCTTGTTTTCCACTATTCCTCCGTCTATTTCTTGTTGGACCATTTTTTCACTCTCAGACATCGCTCGTTGGTCTGTGGCGGCTGACGAGCACTGAATTATCATCATCTTACTCCCGTCAATCAATGTAGATGAACTGATCATCTTCTTCTACATAGAGTGCTCGTTTGCTTCCCATGCTACTTTTACCAGCTGAAGTCCTGAACTAGTTCCAGCGTCCCAAGCCATGCTTACCTGCTAAAAGGTCTTTTACCACTTTGCTCATCTTTTCCCTTTTCTTCCATCTCTTCAAGACACTCTTTACCCTCGTCTTATCCTTCTTCTTCTTCTTCTTCTTCCTCTCTTTTTCTCCATCTAATCTCTTTTTTTATTGGTATTGTTTTTATAGGTTTCTTTCTGTTCACACACTCTCTCCACCATGGGTACGCTCTTTATGAGCCCGAGTCGCTATGTTGCGGCGATCGTTGTCTTCCTCCTCATCTTCAACATGTACCTCTTCAACCGAGTTATCCGCCTTACAACACAAAATGAAGAGTTCTGTGATACATCATTACATACTTCACCTCCTACTGCTGCTGTTACAACCTCCCCAACAACAGTAGACCCTCTTCCCAAACCTGTTACCGTCACCGTTACCAATATCGTCACTACAACTACAACGGTCACCCCCAACGACACGCCCGCAAACCCACCTGTCAAAGGACACGGGTCATCCTCCTCCTCCTCCTCTTCGTCGTCCTCTCTTTCCGTCCAAAATCCTGCCACTGCCGCTATCCCCGCAAAGATCTGGCACAAATGTGGCCACAAAGGCGTCAACGACGACGCCCGCAAACTGATTGATCAATGGCTCGAGAAGAATCCCAACTTCCGCCATGAAGTCCTCACCGACGAGAGTGGCGACCAATATGTCCGCGAACACTACGCTGACTGGCCCGAGGTCGTCGACACCTTCATGGCCCTAACCGTCCCCATCCTCAAGGCCGACTTCCTGCGTGTCCTCATCATGTACGCCGATGGCGGTATCTGGAGCGACTTGGACGTTGCCTGCGAAGTGCCCGTCGCCGAATGGATCCCCAAGAAGCTCGCCAACGACCCTCTCCACCCGATCAACGTCGTCGTGGGGATCGAATTCGACGGCTGGCAGTTCGCGAGCTGGACCGTCATGGCGAAGCCGCGTCTCGCCCATTTCGAGCGGACGATCCGCTACGTGCTCGACCAGATCCAGAAACTCGCAGCAGATAACCACGTGTCCATCCCCGCGATCACAAAACCCATGATTCCGGACGTCGTGGCGGTGACCGGCCCGCAAGCGATCACGATCGCGCTCCTACAGTCCGTATCCGCGGCGACGGGCCAGGACATCCAAAAGCAGGCGATCCTGAACCTGAAGGAGCCCACTCTGATCGGGGATATCCTGGTCTTACCGCAGGCGGCTTTTGCGGCTCTTCAGGGTGGGTTCCCCAAGGATCAGGGCCCTTATTTGGTCTCTCACCATTATTCCGGGTCATGGAAGAATGATGTGGGTGGCGAGGAGGGTGTGAAGCCGCCTAGCTCGTAATATATGAATATCTTTTCTTTTGCAATCATACTATTATCTTCTTTAACGGTTATTTGGATGGACTGCGCCTTGGAAAATATTTTTAACTCATTTTGGTGTGTGTGTGTGTGTTGGAAATAGAAACGACTGGATGCCTGGAATCTTTGGTGTTGTACATACAGATCTTCCTACCCTTGACCTCGCTGACTGGGTACTAGTAAATAAGCAATATTGGCCTGAGATATTTAGTTAACTTACTATAGGAATAGCTTTAATTAATTACCTCCAATACTCAATATCAGTAAGCTATATTTGGTTATTATGTCACCTGAAGATGCAGTGACTCCTAAGTATGTATCTGAATATGTGAAGGTGTAAAATAGAATATAATATATATCAAGACCATTTGGAATTGTCCCATCCACCAAACTGCCCGCCCGCAGACAAAGAAAGACAGACAGACGCCTCACTCTATTGTTTTTTTTTTTTTTTTTTTTTTTTCACTTTCTTTTGTTCTTTGTTTCTCTTTGTTCTTTGTTTCCAAGATACCGGGAATCTAATATAATGAATGCCATAATAGCTAGGTGGTGGGGAAGGAAGGTAGTAATTCAATTAATGCGGCTTCACCCACTCCACCTTTTTACAAGGATGGGTATCCCTCCAATGCTGAATATACTCGACGTTCCAGCCGGAAAACCATCTCCGTCCTTCCTCGGGCTTACGCTTTATCCCTAACCGGAACGCTTGCGTGGAAATATGGCACTCTCCATCGCTGTAGCGGTACTGGAAGCAGTCCTTGAGACTCAGGCAGCCGTCGCGGCAGCTGTCGAGAGTGGGGGTGGCCCCGTTATCGAATTCGATTTTCACGTTCGATTGGTTGTCCCAGTCTTCTTCGAGGACGCGCAGGTGGTCTGTAGGGAAGGTGATTTCAGATAGTTCGCGAAAGGTAAAGGGTTGCTGTTTTTTTTTTTTGGTTTTGTTTGTTTTTGGTTTGTTGGTCAGTGTACTGTGTGGGCTTATACGCCGAAAGAAGGGGGGGGGAAAGGAAGAAGGGTAGGGAGGTACAGTTAGATCCGGGCGCGCCTGCTCGAACTCAAATATGGTGGCCCGTTCACGCGGGTGTAAATGGTGCATCGTTATAACGGGCTGGCACCAATGCGTGGGCCCAAACGGGATAGTGGACGGTTTCTCTCCGTTGATCTGGGGCCAGTAGTTACGGACGCCGATGTCGAGTTCCGTGCGGATGGTATGCGCGAGGACGAAGTCTCCACAGCACTGGTTGGAGAAGGAATCGTCGTAGCGATTTGCCATGCCCGGATTCTGACCGACAAGACGCTCCAAAAGTTTACCGGATATCAAGAATCCACTGCCACCGTGAGCAAAGGGTTCGCCTGCAACATAGGCGACTGAGCCCAGATACAACGGATCCTTGGGCGGCGAGATCTGACGGAGCCAGAGGATAAAGTTGGTCCAGACGACGTAGGTGTCTGTTTCGATGAAGAAGTACCATTCGCGACCGGGCCGTTCGTTCCAAGTTTTCTCAACAAGGTGCAAGAATTTGTACTTGTCGAGGATCCAGGCTGAGCCCCCTTTCAGCTGGGCCATATCCTGCCCTGTACGGCGGTACTCCTGCTGTAGCCGGTACAGCTCGAAGTCCGCGAGGGTGGCCTTGAGGGTCTCATTGAAGTCGGCAAGCGTATCGCGGACGTGATAGGGACCGATTTGCTCTTCGAGATCGGAGAAAATAAGAAACTCGTCAACACAGCCCAGGGTGGTGAGCAACTGGGTGGGAAGCTTCTCGTAGACTTCGGTGGCGCCGGTTTTGATCACGAACAACACATTTCCCGGATCGGCAAAGGCCTGGCAGCGGCGGTCACCCAGGACTGCATTTCCAGGATTTTTATTGGAGGGAAGAGTATTATTATTGGCAGTGGAATTATTATTATTAGTGGTATCGGAATGAACTTGGATTGGGGCAACCACAGGATGATCCCAAGATGCTGGCGGTACCACGTACAAGAGCACCAGCGACGAACATACCACGCAGAAGGCAGCCAGCGCCAACCACACGGATTTTCGGGATTTGGGCCTGGTCCAGAGCTCTGGTAGCCGCATGGAGGAGGCGGGAGAGGAGAGGATGATTTGAAGGGGAAAAAAGAAAAAAAGGGGAAAAAAAAGACAGAAAGGAGAGCTAGAAGAAGAGAGAAGAAGAGAGAGAGAGAGAGGGAGTGTGTGTGTGTGAGGGAGAGAGAAAGAGAGGAAGAAAACCAGGTCAACTGGGATAACATGATGAGGGGTCAACTACTACTAGGTAACTATTCTCTTCTCTCTCTCTCTCTCTCTCCACATACACTACCTCCAATGAATCTCTCTCCTTCTTCACCAGACAAGTACAGCCTAGGTATAAGCCTTTTTCACTGTCTCAGAATAACTGGTTACAATTCAATTATTATGTGCTCGTTATTTTCCCCCCAAAGACTAAGGGTCAAAAGAGCCTTGAAGAGAACGGCTGCACGCTAGCAAAACACTAATACCACCGGTCCCTCTCCCAAGACAAGAGCTATGGAGAAACTACTCCTAAAAGTCTTAATCTCTTGCAACGATCGAATCGATAATTTCCTGCATGGAACACGCTGTTCAGCCCCCTTTGGCCCAGCCCGTTTGGGTCTATGCTGAGCGACAGTCTTAATGCGCGTTGATGGGGCTCTCGCAAGGATGGATCAATAACCTGTGCTGTCGATGCCATTGTAAAATGGCAATCCCAACGAGGCGTAATAACTCATGTCAGACGGGGGATCTTACCCCTTCTCATCAGCCTACCTATTCTATCCCCTGTCATACCCAAAATCAAACATATACTAATCCCATTCTCTCTTAGTGTAGACTGCCCTTTCGCGCTGGTTACAGGAAGCCCGCAGAAAGGCAAAAAAAAAAGTCTATAATAACAGGGGAAGAAGGCCCAGTTAAATCGGGTTGGGGGCCTTTTTTTCCCCCTGGGTTTTCGACTCGAGTGTCTTGAGGGATGGTGCGTGAGTTCGACGACGCCTCCTCATCGTCAACCCTCCAGCTCGGATTCTTCAGAGTTAACATACGCACATAAATTAATCAGACAGAGCCGCATATATACACAGAGTCACGGACAGTCATGAAATCTCTACTCTGGCTCCCTCTTCTGGGTCTTTCGTGGGCGGCTGATACGAATTTCTTCATCAGCCCAGGGTCCCAGGCCGACCAACTCTCCAGCGGCAACGAAACATCAGAATACCCAGTCTATCGGGAGGGGGACACGACACTCTTCACCTGGAATACCAATTGGACAATCATCAGTCTGCTCCTCTACCAAAATGAAAACTCCTCGTACATTCGTCTCATGGGTGAGTCAATCTCTCTGTATCGCAAGAAGTCGCCGCGCTAATAATCCATCAGATTTTGTTGAGAACCCCGCGAGCTCACTCTCATACAACATGTCTCCCTCGGTCAACCTCACCTGGAACGATGTCTTCTTCCTCACCTTATGGAATGAAAACTGGGCCAATGAAGGCGGGGAACGCTTCTTTTCCAGCTCCTACTTCAAAATCAACGCCACAGACTCTTCCACTACCACGACTACCACGACCACCACAACCACCACGACCACCACACCTACTGGCTCCTCAACTTCTTCCACAACAACAACCCCCAACTCTGACTCCTCCAACTCCTCAACCGTCGCCACTGATTCCAACGGCCTTTCCAGCGGCGCCAAAGTTGGTCTCGGCGTCGGTCTCGGCCTCGGAATCCCCTTCCTGGCCCTTGGCGCTGTCGCAATATTCTACTTCCATCGCCGCTCGCGATCCGAAGCCTGGCAGCGCGAGCAGCAACTCGCCCAGCAAGGAGGCAACGGTCCGTTCCCGCCGCCCGTAGCAGATATGAACAACCCGTCGCCATTTAAGCTTGGTGGCGGCGGGTTTTATTCGGCGCCTGTGTCGCAGGAGGCGGATGGGCAATCGTCGCATGCGCATACGATGGTGACGAATTCAACGGAGACGCCATCAATGTTGCATCATCATCCGATTCAGGAACTAAGTGGTTGAAGAAGACTTTCCCCGTTCATTCTCCGTTTATCTAAAGGGATAATATCGAGTTTTTTAAGTCCTATTGCAATGTTAATGTTTCTTGATACCTAGCTAATCCCATACCGTTGGGATGAATGCTATGCTAATTAGTTTTAAGGGTTAGTGGGGGACGAAAAAAAAAATAAAACAAAACAAAATAGAAGGATGAAAACGATGCTAATGTACAATATATATACACACATTCTATTTCTGTTTCTTCTCTTCTCTGCTCTTCTCTTCAAGTTTACTTACTACCCAGTATACTCCCTTGACGAGTTGGTACACTTCCACATAGTATATTTATTTTATCGAGCTTTTCTTGACTGCCTGACTGAGTATATTAGTTTTCCATTCCATACTCCGTACCCACGGACTCGGGGGTAAGTAAGTAACTCTTGATATCCGGAGCATATACCTAGCTAGGTAACTTACCTATTGACACCGTATATCTTTATGGAGTATCCCCCTCTCTAAACGCGCATATGTACTGGAAAACCGGACACCCTACCTAGATAGATTCTTTGCATGGTTCTAGAAATCCAACTGCAGGGGCAGTTATATACTATACTATACTATACTATACTATACTATGTGCATATCTACCTACATGTGCATACATACATACATACATACATACATATATGGATGGATGGATGGATGGATGGATGGATGGATGGACACAGATTTTCAGCGGCTTCTAGAAAAATCTCGAGTCCCCAGCAAGCAAAAAGAAAGAAAGAAAGAAAGCAAGCAAGCAAGTCCAATTGGAATGACATGTTGTCACCTTGTTGTGAAATTATTCCTGTTGAGATTATCTATCTAGACCAGTAAGAAGGATAGGTAGTAGGTACTTTCTTGGCGGTCTGCAATGCAAATCCTATTCACTCGATCTATAGACAGGCATCATTAATTACAGTTACAAGCCAGGAATAAAGAGAGTATAATCGCAGCCTCGACTGCGGAGCCATAAGACGCATACCGTGCAAAATATCAATGACCGGGGGGAGGGGGGGATATGCAAACACCACTCGAAACCCAGCATGACAACAGCAACAACAACATGACACAAAGTAAACGAAGGACCAAAGTAGAGATATAATGGGAGAGGAAGGAAAAGAATATGGGTACAATACACCTGAAAGAACATCAATATGCCAGATAGATGAGATTATTTATGTAGTTATGTGAGAGGATCATATGTCAGCCACCCGTTCTGTTTAACTCCGGAGTCACCCCAGTTGAATCAAACAGAGACGAGCATGGAAGGAGATGAACGACAAAAGGACGAAAAATCCATTAGCGCTGAATCCAGGGAATCGAGTATCAATCAAAATTAGGAATTTTATTTATTGCTCCGTGTCTGCTAATCCGAAGCAGACGCAAAACGGACCGTCAAGGCTCTATTGCCAAAGCACCGAATCGTCACAGTAACCGGAGTCGAGGTCGAGGGGTACCAAATCAGACATTGAATATCGTAGTAAGGTTGCAGGAGCTAGGCAGGGCTAGGCAACTTGGGGCTCGAAGCATCAAGAGCATAGCATTGCAAGCGGGAAATGGGCACTAGAACCGATGCGTACAGTGCTTGCATTAGTTAGTTAATGCAACCATCATTATTCACCATATCGATGGCCCGATCATAACTGCAATCTAGCTCCTAGCACGGCAGAACCCAGTGGGAGTGTTCATGTCGTAAATTCTTCAGCTGATAATTTGTCGGGCACCCTCTTTTCCAAGCACACCAGGTTCCTGGGGTTTGGGGCTCCTGTCACGTCCCTTCTTGCGACTCAAAAACGCAAGCATGCCGCTATTTTGAGGCTTTCCTTTGCTCACGGCATCGAAACCTTCCGCAGGAATAGTCGAGCTTTGATCTGCGAGCTCGCTCCAGCTTCCCGCCTCTTCCAATACCATCTGTACACCGCCACCTTTGCTTGCCTTGCGTGCCGTTGGTCGTGGGCGAATAGGCGGTGGGGCAACGAAAGGACGATGGAAATTAGGAGCAGGAGGGGGGGGGGGAGGCGGTTGCGATGTGGGCGCCGGTGGTTGGGTTGTTCCAGAGTGTTGAGGTTCTAAGGCTTCACCGATAGAGGGTTGGTTGTCCGGCTGGGGCAGGTGAGAAACCGAAGGATCGGTACGCACAGGCGAGTCTCGCGCAGAGTCCGGCTGGGAATAGTGTCGTGAATGTGTCGAATTCACCGTAAGAGGGAGACAGTCTTCTGGGTTTCTGGAAACAGTCAGCGACAAATCCATCAGATCCCGAGAGGCAGCACGCACTTTGAGGCCGCAATTGCTTCCGCAGCATTCCTTTTTGGCGGTCAGTAAATCTATCCGGAATCATTCTGGAGGGGCACATACCCTCTATAATTGACGATCGTATAGTCAAACGGCTCGAACAAGGTTTCAATCAGGCGGTGAAGCTCGTCCTCCCGGATCTCCTTTGCTGTCGCATCCTCCCGCAACTCCGCCCTCGGCTTTTGCCTACGGGCTCTGGCTTCGAGCGGCGCTTCTTCCAGCAGAAGCTCCTCCAAATCGTAGGTTGCGTCAAAGTTGGTCTTGTCGCTAGAGGGGCGGAAAACGGGTGGCACTTCTTTCCGCTCCAGTGCCACAAAGTCGATCTCTGCGAAGAATTCATGATCGGTGAAACTCTCAAAGCTGATGGCGCCGATTCGTCTACTCCGGTCCCTTTCCATGAGTGCTGCCATAGCCCGCAAACAGGGAACAGAAACAGCGGGGTTCGTGACAAAGTATTTTGGTTGCGCTTTTCGGATGTTTTCGCTGAGGACGTCCTGGCTCCGACCGTCAAACGGTCGCTATAAAGAATTAACTCCATCGAAGCCATCGAACGCAAAGCAAAAAAAAAAAAAAAAAAAAAAAAAGTACACACCTTGTTATATATACACTCGTAAAAAGTAACACCCAGTGACCACCAGTCGACTTCGCAGTAGTAACCTCCTCCCTCGTACACCTCGGGAGCTAGATAAGCCAGCGTTCCAGACTTACTCGTGAGAGGCTTGCCAGGTCGGAAATCTGAAGCCACATTCTAGGCAAAAATTCAAGGTCAGCGCGAATTACTAGGCTAGGTGAGTTCGGAGAAAAGGAACATACAAAATCGGCCAAATGAACGTGACCCTCTGAGTCTAATAGCACGTTGTCTGGCTTGACGTCGCGATGGATAATACCTTGCGAGTGGATGTATCTCAACGCACAGCCAAGTTCAGCCAGCCAGAACCTTACTGCTTCTTCTGTAAAGCACTTCCGGGAGATATGGAAGCGTAAGTCACCGCCATTCATCAAATCCACCACGATATAACTTGTCCCGAGTCAGTATAATCCTCCGAGTTGAAAGTGGAGGGTGGGAACTGTGGCTGGGTGAACGCACATATATTCAATATCTTGGAAACTGTATCGCAAATTGCAAAGGAAGGCATGGTTGAGGTGCTCAAGCATCCGACGTTCACGAATGATGTTGCGTACACTTTCAGAGCGAACCACTGTAGCACGAGCCCAGTTAGTGAGTGTGTGAAGACAGCGGGCGGGAGAAACCAAGTAAAAACTTACTCTCTTCTTTACGGATATATTTCAAGGCAAATGTTAGGCCGGTATCCTTCTTCTCGACGATACGGACTTTGCCAAAAGCACCCTTTCCGACCACCCGAAGGAGTCGGAACTGGTTCAGGTTCACTACCCCAATGGTCAGCGACTTAAGCTCACTTTCCCAACCGATGAGCACGAGGGCCTGGGCGCAATGGCACGGTTGGGTCCAAAATCCAAGATGTTGTACGCACCCTCATCGGAGGAGGCCACCTGTCTCCCTTGTGAATTCCCCATTTACAGAGCGGTGTAACAACAGACGCTGAGATCCTTCTTCTGCGTCACCGTCGACAACATTCCATTCGACACGAGAGCGGAGCTATGGAAGCGAGCGGTTCGGTGGATCGCAAGCCGGGATCGAGAGAGAGAGAGAGAGAGAGAGAGAGAGAAATCAAGAAAGGAGGAGGAGTAGAAGGGTGTTGATTGGGGGGTGAAACGGGGAAAATTCGTAGACGTCACAAGAAGAAGAAGAAGAAGAAGAAGAAGAAGAAGAAGAAGAAGAGCGGCGGCAGCGCTAGTGATGGCGCTGGTGGAGGTTTATAGGGGCAAATGCCGGTGATGCAGACCTAAAGCAGAACACGGCAAAAGTCAGTCTCGCGTGCCGGGACGGTTGACTGCATTCGCACCGATCGAACGGAGAAGTATCAAATTCTCCTAATTGGCAGATGAGGAGTAGAAGAGCTGGGGGAGTTGAGTCGACGGTCGGGAAAGTTGTAAATGGAGATGATGAAAAGAGAGGAACCCCCTAGGTGAACAAGTGAAGAGTTAAAGTACTTCGTTAGCAGTTAGTTAACCAACTAGTTTGGAACTTTGTCAGGAGCTGTTCTTTTCCCTCTTGTCAAGAACTTTCTATCTACTTTGAATGTCGAGAAACTATAGGGGATAGATGATGATTATCATAATATCTCTATATCTCTACTGGAAACCTCTGAGACTATATCACTAGTAATACAGAGTACAAAGAACTCGTGGCTGCCACGTTTTCCAGTAAAGTAATATAGGGTAATCTCATAAGAGAATAATATATTTAATAATAATAGAATATCACTAGGGAAGAAGATCGTCCAATTCTTAGTTAGCAGTGTTTCATCTCCTATTCTGCCAGTGATTCTGCAAAACCCTAAAGAAATTAATTCCCCTCCTTTATAGGGAGGAGAAGGTGATGTATCTCATTTCTAAACAGGATATAAAGAATACTCAAATTCATAAATATGACCTGTACAATACTCTGTATATTTGGTTGAAACTCCTGTTTTTTCTGCCCCAGAGCTTAGATAGGCTTATATAGCAACAATCTATTAATGGTAGATTCTAATCATTGACCTGACCTGCTCCAACGCCCAGACGTAAAAATATCCCTATCATCAAGCAGGCATGTATGTAGTATATGTATCGGTCCAAATCTCCACCATCTTGCATAAAAAAAAAATAATGAAAGCAGGTCTCTAAACCTGAGACCCCTTGGGAAAACATGAGATGAGACATATCTCACGAGCCATCAACCCCTGCTTACCACCGTCTTCCATACACGGAATCTTCGGTTCCGAGCGTCCGTTTCTCTAACTTCCGGTTGCGATCGCGAGAGCTGTCCCAGTTAGCCTCTGTGCTGGCCTGGCTGCTGGCCGTCTCGCTTCTAGGCTCTAGGAGCCGTCCCTTCTGCGCAAGCTCAACGCTGCCTCGCTCATCCGTATACCGGAGCTCGGCATCCTTGCCAAAGAGGGCCATCATGTCCTGCATGGTAAGTTTGGCAGCACCCGTCTTACCCTCAATGGTGACATTCGCCAACTCCCGTTTCCGATCCTGGAGAGACAGAATCCGCTCTTCGACGGTACCCTTGATAATCATCTTGTAGATCTTAACATCCAGCGTCTGGTTGAGGCGGTGGACCCGGTCAATGGCTTGCTCCTCCACAAACTAACCAGGACAAACAAACAAACAAACAATTAGTCGCTGCACAAAACCCAATACGAAGGGGGGGGGGGGGGGGAATAGGAAAACAGTCAGCTTACAGGATTCCAGAATGGTTCGAGAATGACCACGCGGCTTGCTGCAGTCAGATTTAGCCCCAATGCGCCAGCTCGTAAACTGCATAGCAAGACCCGCGTGGCCTGGTTGTTTCGGAGTTGGTTAAGACTGGCCTCACGGAGGTCGTTCCGCATACTTCCATCATATCGTGCAAACCCAATCCCTGCGCGCTTTAGGAATGGTTCAACCTTGTCCAGCATTGAGGTGAAGACGGAAAACACGATAAACTTGTAATCAGGTGCCTCGCGACGCAGGATCTTCATCAAGTGACGGATCTTCGTTGATGGCAGGACCTGGTTAGCATCGTCCCCGGGATTCAGGTAGATATCGTCTTCGGAGTCATCCTCCCCTGAGGAACTCTTTCTAGTAGCTCTGTGGCTCGGCGACTCGGGCTCATCATCAGTTTCCGAGTCCTCGGATCCAATCCATTCACCACCTCCCTCTGCATCCTCGTCCTCGGACCCTCCAGCCTTTCCAAGAGTGAGGGATGTACGTTTGTCTTCAGGAACAATCCATTCACCGTCCTCCTCCTCCTCCTCCTCCTCCTCCTCCTCCTCCTCTTCTTCCTCATCATCGCTATCCAGTACGACCTTTCTGTTTCTGCGGGCACGGGCAATCTGCGCTTTAGAGCGACGATTAGATGGGGACTCCGCTAGATCAATGCATTCCTTAGAGTTCCCCTTCTTCTTAGTCGTCTTCTTCCCTTTGCCCCCGTCAGCAGTAAAACCAAAGTCATTTTCGCACTCGTTGCACCTGCTTGCACCGCCTGCTGCCTCAGCTTTACTCAGCTCCATTTGGCAGATATCACATTTCTTAGATACAACACTCAGTGCGCCAAACAGGTCTGCCATTGCATCCAAGTCATTCTGCTTCCCAGATGAGGATTGACTGTCAGTATTCCCGCTCTGCAGCAGGATATCCTTGTCCTTTGCAAGATCACTTTTCACGAGATCTGGGTGATTGCAAGACTGTCGAAGACGCAAAAGCAAAACCAAGGCCCCTGCGTAGTCGATCTTGGAGTCACCCATCATCTTCTCGAGACTATTCTCTGTTCGCTGCTCAAGTCGTTTGTAAAAGTTCATCTCGCCTGGCATGAAATCCACTGCTACCTTGATCACTTCACGCTTGGTGATTTGGAACCCAGAAGATTTCTTCGGTCCTCCTTTGCCCTCTTTCTCCCCCGGTTTGAGGTTAGAATTGAGCCTCAGCACATCCTTCGTTCGTCGCTTCATGAAAGCTTTGAGAACGACTTGCAGTCGTTCAATTGCCAGTCCTCCACGTCCGTTGGCCAATGGCCGTGTAATCTGATCCTTCCATGCTGCTAGATCGTTGTATGGCTTAATTCGTAGGAATCTAATCAGACTCTGAAGTTCATCGAGATTGTTCTGCATCGGGGTGCCTGAAAGACACCACCGGTATTCCGAATCAAGCGCATATGTCGCTTGTGTAGCCTTCGCGTTTCGATTCTTGATAGTGTGGGCTTCGTCCAGGATGATACGATACCAGTATACGGAGAAGATCCCCGACTTTTTACCATTCTTATTAGTTGCACCGTGCTCAGAGGTCAGTGTTCCGAAAGTGGTAATAACCACGTCGTAGTCCTCTAGGCTGTCTGTCGATTTGGCCCGCGCATTGCCGTGGTAAACCAAAACTCGGAATTTTCGAGATTTCTCAACTTTATCTTGAATCTCCGACTCCCACTGTTTAATCAGTGCTAGGGGAGCAACGACCAAGGTAGATTGGCTCACACCTGGTGGAAGCTTTTGGGGCTCGGTTTCTTCGCCATCGCTGCTGTCAGAGTTATCTTCGTCCTCAGATTTAGGTTGTCGAGTATATCCATTTGCTGGCTTGGGATTGGAAAGCATCAAAGCGATTGCCTGGACAGTCTTTCCTAAACCCATATCGTCTGCGAGAATTCCACCCTTGGGAAGTACTCCCTTGGCTTCTCCTTTAGCATTTCGGGGGCCTATTTCTTTTTCGCACATCCAGTTGACGCCCTGGCGTTGGTGAGGGAGCAGTTTGACTTTCAAGCCTTCAACCGTGCCATCCTCCTCCTCCTCCTCCTCTTCTTCTTCTTCCTCCTCCTCTTTATTTTCAACGCTTTCTAATTCAGTATCGACAGTATCCTCCTCGTCGTCATCGTCATTTTCTTTCAAAGGATCTGCAGTGCGTTCCTTTGGTGTATTTTTGATGCTTTCCATTTCATTTGCGTCCTTTTCCCCATCAGCTTTCGAGTCATGAACGCTCACACCCTGCAGTTGAGCCGCCAGGTCATCAATGTCTAAACTCTCTTTCTCCTTCAGCTGGCTCTGGGCCTCGCTAGGAGGCTCACTTTGAGTCTCATCGCCCTTATTCTTCGACTTCTTCTTTTTATCCTTTTTCTTTCCCTTGGTCTTCTGTTGTTTTTCATCTTCATCCTCAAATGCCCCCTCTAGCAAGGCTTTAATATTTTCATTCGCCTTGGCCGTATCCACATAGTCACTCCCGCTAATAGAGCCAAAGCCCGTATTACGAGACGGAGCAGGTGAGAAGCCACCAGCTTTCGTTAGATCGACGAAATTCTGCAGATTTTTTGCTCCCGTGGTCATCTTGATAGGAGAAGCCTTAGAGCCGTAGAAAGTCTTCGGGGCTCGCGGGGTATTGAAAGTGATGTTTTCGGGGCGGCGGATCTCAACGACATCGTCGTCGACAGGGCGTGAGTGGCGGTAGTTGTTGTACGCGGAGGGTCGGACGGGCTTGAAGGGGTCGAAGGGCTCGCGTCGTTGCGGGGTTGCGGCAACGACTGGAGGGAGGTTTGGTCGATAGTTCGACTGCGGGGCATTACTCTGAGGCCGTGGCTGTTGCTGTTGGTGCTGCTTATATTGCTGTGAGCGATGATGTTCTGGTCGAGGCCGGTTTGCCTTCGGAATATTGAAGGGATTACTGTTAGACTGGTAGTTCTGGGAGTAACTTGGCCGGATTGGCGAGGGTTTGCCGAACTCTGGATGCTGAGATAGAGGACGGGTTTGCTGTTGCTCCGTTGGTTTTCCCGGGGTAGTAGGATCCGTTGGAGCGTTGCTTTCTCGCGCCATTTTGTCAAATCACGGTTTCTTTCTTCGATGATATGTGCACGTTCAGGGTTCCTGGGTTTCTTGTGTTAGGGCGTTGTAACTAAGAGAGCGGATTTGGACGATCGTTGCGGCTCATAAAGTCGGTGTGCGACGTCTCTTATTCATCTGCATTGGCGGGATGATTGTCAGTCAATGTCGAAATAGTATTCGAGGGGTAGTGAGCAGTGGAGGAGCGAGTGTGATCCAGTTGGACCGCCACTTTTTAAACAAATCGACCCGCGCCCACTTTATCGGTGCCCCAGCAACGGACGCGGGAGGGGTCAACAGCCCACAACGCTATAGAGCAGAACATTCAACTGGGGAATAACAACAATATACAATCGCTATAAATAGAAAATATATATCTGGAGTATCTAAGGCATATCATTTCACAAAAGATAAGACATTTCTCGAAATGTGCAGGTATACTAGTAAAAGAATAGCCATCCAAACTACAGCGCAACTTCTGGTTTAGCATTGCCAATGTTTGAAGTGATAAAATCTCATCGTTTGCTTATATTCAAGGTCTTACTACGGAGTATGGTACCGATGATATTGGACTTATTTCAGAGAGATTTCCCGCTCTCTATGTATGTTCAATTCCGATGCCCATGACCAACGGCCACGCACGACAGAGCCATTCTGAATGACTTAGCTGATCTACCTCCCTACTTGTAGAATGAAAAGAGCTGACGACCCAGTTATGATTCTATATCTGAACCGGTTGAAAACCATCCAAATAGTATTCCAAGATCAGGACGTAATTCAAGTCAAGGGTAGGGATTCAATCTGGGTTATTTGACCAGTCAGTCAAGCATTCTTCATTTTCCAACCCAGACACATAAACTGCGGGGTAGATCGTAATAGGTACCTATAGATATATCGCGCAGGCAGGTTTTTGCAGTCCAATTTGGATTTTGATAGTGAACCTCGTTCAACAGTTGCAGTTTGCGAGGTCAAAGTTGAATGGCTTGAAATGGAGAAGTGTGGCGGTGCAGCAGTGCCTGTGGCGGATGCCAAGCCCACCAGCCACCGTCACACTCGCGACACAAAAACTTCATCTTTTGGAATCTCTCAATATCCCTCCGCCAAACGAACTGCCCCGACTCCCGATTTCCTGGGCCTCCCCGAATTTATAGGGGTCTTTTATTCTTTTTCTCCCTCGGGAACTCGTTTTAGAGAGAAGGTTGGAATTCATTATGGCTCCAATTTCCATCGCCGACATCGTGGCGGCCCTCCCCGCCGAGGACACCTGGGGCCCCTCGTCCTCCGCTGATAACATGTTGAACGGTGTCCCATATGCCCCTTTCTCCAAGGGTGACAAGCTGGGCCGCATGGCAGACTGGACTGCTGACTCTAAGGACCGCGACCGTGGTGGTCGTCAGGCCTACAACCGCAACTACAGAGGTACGCGAGATGAAAAAGAGACACAATCCTGCGGAACGTGCTGCTAACGAGCTATTTTGATCCAGACCAACAAGTGTACGGAGCTGGTGCCTCTAGCTTGTTCGCCGTTCAGGCCGCCGAAGATGAATCCTCATTCTCCGTCGTCGACAACACTCGCACCTCCGCTAAGCGTACCTTTGGCCGTGGCGGTGGCACCGTCTTCCGTGGTCGTGGCCAGCGTGGCGGCGCAGGACAGAGAGGTGGCCGTGCTGGCTTCCAGCGTGTTGGTGCTGGCCGTGGCCAGGGTGGTGACCGCTACTATGACAACCGCGGTGCTCGCGGCAACCGTGGACGTCGCTTCGGGTGGAAGGATTATGACAAGCCCCAGCGCACCCGCGAGCCCTCTGTCACTGTCCGCCCCGACTGGACTATGCTGGAGGAGGTTGATTTCAACCGTCTGTCCAAGCTGAACCTGGAAGCCCCCGAGGGTGAGGATATCGACTCCTACGGTTTCCTTTACTACTATGATCGTACCTACGACAAGGCCCCCGTCAAGAACGCCGAGCGCCGTCTGCAATCCCTCGACCGAGCTGCATACAATGTCACCACTACTCAGGATCCTGTCATTCAGGAACTGGCGGAGAAGAACGAGGCTACCGTTTTCGCTACCTCGGACATCCTCTCCATGCTTATGTGCGCCCCTCGCAGTGTTTACTCTTGGGATATTGTCATCGTCCACCAGGGCAACAAGATCTATTTCGATAAGCGCGAGTCTGCCTCTCTGGATCTGGTGACCGTCAACGAGAATGCTGCTGATGCTCCTCTCGAGCTCGCGGATTCTTCTAACAAGCAAGAGTCCCTCAACACTCCCAGCGCCCTTGCCATGGAAGCCACCTTCATCAACCACAACTTCGCTCTGCAGACGGTGGTCGAGTCTGAGAACTCCAAGGTGGAACTGAGCCACCCCAACCCCTTCTACAACGCCGACGAGGAGACCGAGTCTCTTGCCTCCAAGGGCTACAAGTATCGCCGCTTCGACCTCTCTCTCGAGCGCGACGAGGAGCCTCTCAACCTGATCGTCCGTACTGAAATCGACGCTCTCGTGAAGAACCCCGTCAGCGGCGACGACCAGCAGTTGATCGTCAAGGCCCTGAACGAGTTCGACAGCAAGGCCCAAGGCGCCGGTGGCTCCCTGGACTGGCGCAGCAAGCTGTGGTCCCAGCGTGGTGCGGTGGTCGCCACCGAGATGAAGAACAACAGCTGTAAGCTTGCGCGCTGGACAACACAGGCCATCCTCGCCAAGGCCGACGCCATGAAGCTTGGTTTCGTGTCTCGTGCCAATCCCCGCTCCTCCTCTGCGCACGTCGTCCTCGGTGTTGTTGGCTACAAGCCCCGTGAGTTCGCTGCTCAGATGAACCTGAACCTGGGCAACGGATGGGGTATTGTGCGCACCATTGTTGACCGCATCCGTGCCTTGGATGCGGATGAGGAGGCAGACAAGATCAGCAAGTACATCCTGGTCAAGGACCCCAACCGTCCTGTCCTCCGCCTGTACAGTGTGCCCGCAAACACCTTCGAGGAGGATGACGAGGAGGATATTGCTGGTGCTGATGAGCAGGAGGAGAAGGGCGAGGAGGGCGAGGAAGAGGAGGAGGCATAAATTTCTTAATCACTTTGTGCAGATGAGATGATGACATGTTCTAGTCTGTGAATATTTCAAAAGTTTAGACTCATGAATGACTGATGATTATTGGGTCACTGAACATCTCGTAATTTCCGAAAGCTTTTTTTTTTTTTTTTTTTTTTTTTTTTTTCCCCTTTAACCTGAGTATAGTATCTCGCAGATAATAACTAGTACCTACCGTAAACCTTAGATTAGGCCTCACTAAATGAAACCCTGCAAGCTCCAGATGTTCTGTGCGAGACTCCGAACCTTCGGGCAACGGACGAACAGATCTCTCTCTCTAATGGATTACTTGGATTATATTCCGGCCGGTGAATTTCCTAAAGGGTTATCTACTGAGACATTAGCTGTATTATTTTGCCAAGTTATACTGATTGTACTACTGCAAGAAGCTCATGCTCGAGTTTCAACAGAGGACCGCCACTGTGGAAGATCCCGGCAAACAGTTAAAAAGTGCAGGCCACTTGTTTCCAACCATCCCCTGGCGTCAAGCGCAAGTCTCGAAGCTGATTCCCATAACCCAACCCTCCAGGAGAGCTGTGATTGTATTCCGGGCAGAAGGGGGGGGGCGGGGGGGGGGGGTGCCCAGGATTCATCTGCTTCTTTTATCCAGTTCCCAATCTGTACGGTTGAACTACCAAGAGAGCGGATTTCATCTTGTAATTGCATTGCAGCAACTTCCTCATAGATGGTAATTTTGCAACGCTCGTGATGCATACTCGTGTTCTTTGACCATGCATGATTTTGTTTTGACAAGAAGAGTTTGCGTTGCTGTATTATAGTTAGGAGAAACGGGTGTAAATTTGCTTGTTTCGAAGGCTGTCTGTCATTACTGAATTTCGAGCCTTCATCGGATGGGATATCTGAAAGAAGAAGAAACTCTTCGCGCGTCCTGTCTTTGTCGGGTGCAGTTTGATAGTTAGTCACGGAATCTCTGCTGTAGCTAAGCTTCGGAGACAGCTGGATGGTTGGAGTTCAATACTTTCTGCGAGCTTCTCCAAGGGCTCGGGCTCGCATGTACTACCGCAAGGACCATAAATAAGACTGCATGATGGCGAAAGTTGGTCGAAATGCCATATGAAGGGAAGAAGGGTGGTTGTGAAGAAGAAGGAGGAGTATAACAACTATGTATGTATGAAAGGCGGTCAGGCCAACTTATCATTTTCCACTTTTTATATCGCAGAGGATCCTCCAATTCCAAGCCCTTTCAGATCAGATCAAATCAACCCAATCCAACTACAAAAATGAGCACCGAGACAAGACCAAAACCAAGACCTATTACCTCGTGCTCTGCCTGTCGTGCGCGGAAAGTCAAAGTACCTTTTCCCTTCTCTTCTCTGCTTTTTCGCACCTTCACCACCAACAATACCCCAGTTCATCCCTATCCCTATCCCTATCCCCATCCCCCATACCTACACATTTACATTGATTTCTTTAAATTAAATTAAATTAAAAAAAAAAAAAAAAAATAGTGCGACCGCGCCTCCCCCTGCAGCAGCTGCATCACCCGAGGAACAACATCCGAATGCACATACGCCACCACCACCGAAGACCGCCAGGCAATCGGCCTCGCAAATCTGATTTCCGAACTGAGGGAAACTCGGAGTCGGTTACAGGGGCAGGTGACACCCGGGCAAGCTCAGCCTCAGATAAATGTACCGCAGCCGGAGTCGGGGTCGGGGTCGGAGCGGCAATCGCGAGCGCAATCGCGAGGGCGCCAGGCATATAACGAGTATCTGGCCCATGCTGGAGACGATGACCTCGCGGTGCTGGAAGCGTTATATACGGCGCTGAGCCGAGGCTCAGTGGATGTAACGCAGCAGATTCTCGCGAGAATTCGAAATCACGATCCCATGGGGGAGATTGTGACTTATGCGAAGGAATTGGAGGAGAGGGAGGGTCAACGGCCTTCATAGTACTATCTATTACTTACTACTCTTTCTCCTTTTTCTCTTAAAACAGTTGTGTCTTATATGTCTCATAATGATGATAAATGATAATAATGTGAATAAAGGATGGGTTGTCTTATTAATGAACAGGCATCTAGCTACCTGTTTTATAAACTGTACTTGTGGTATATCAACACCGTGCTTCACCGGGGATAGGGGGGATATTATGCTGCATAAATGAAACCATGAAAGATAAAAGAAGAGAAGAGAAAGAAGAGAAACAAAGTAGTGGTAGTAAAAAATAAGGAACCTGGCACGCCGACCTGTAATAGAGAAGATGGAAAGAAAAATTAATACATGTTCATGGAGCTTCTATTTACACCTCTCCCGAGGTCAAACAGAAACGAAGAGAAGAAGAAGAAGAAGAAGAAGAAGAAGAAGAAACATTAGGTCATGAATACAACATTTCGTCGGCCGCTTGGGAAAATCCTCGATCAATCTTGGACCCAAGTACACTGCTAAAGCAGTCCATCAGCTCGAAATCCTCCATCACAGCCCCAAATCCATAGCATCGGACTTTGGTCTCGAGCGTTTCCATAATCAGCTTCACATCATCTCGGGTCAATTTCCGGTACACCTGGTGGCCTTTCAGCGCTTGCAGTGCCATGATCGGTGTGATTTGCCCTTCACTCACCAGCTGCCGGCTGAGGTTCAGGAGGGTCGTCAAGTTGGCGTGTGGGAGATCGTAAGTTTTGTGTGGGTACACTTGCTCATCTGTGGTAGCGGCAATATAACTGGGGGGTGGGCAGGTGGCCATCAGCGCGTGCCCGGAAAACGGCATATCCTCGTCTTCAGCTTCAGTGATCGATCGTCGGCAGAGATAATCCGTGTGGTCTCGACAGGGAGATTCCAGTCTAGTTTCCATTAGTACCATCCGAAGCGCAAAGAAAGGAGTGGGGGCATTTTACGTTAATATAAAGTCTATCTGAAGTTGAGGGTCATCTTCAAATATCCCCCCTCCTTGAACAGGCGGACGACGGTCAATAACAGCCAGGGCATCACACGGCACAATGGGAATGGCCTGGTTACTCGAACCCAGCTCCTGGGTAGGTGAGAAATCAGCCTGATCCACGCCGTTAAGGCGAGGACTTAGTTCGGCCGAGACCGTAGTTGGTGGTGTGGTATAATAAGTATTGCCACTCGATGATGGAACACCTGCAGTCTGCGATCCCACGCTGCCGCCAGCGGCGAACGGGCTTGACTGAAATCTCGGGGTTGGACGCTCTGCTTTACGGCGTTCTAATTCGGCCCCGTAATCGATATTGTGTGCGGCCAGAACCTCCTTTAGCAAGCTGTTCTCGTCGGTAAGAGAAGCGATCATTTCTCGGTGTTGGTGAACGGCAAGGTTCGCAGCCGAAATCTCTTGTGTGTAAGCCTCTCGCAATCGTGATACCTCTGTTTCCAAAGCCCGCATGTACTGCTCCTTTCGCTCGCGATGAGTTCTGTACATAAAAGAGATGAGCTTCGATCAAGACATGGACAACGCAAATTTAACCCCACCTCTGCGCCTGTCGGTTCAACTCTTGCCGTCTTGTAAGAGCAGGCCTGCTATCTGGCTTAGGGCCTCTCCGTTTGGCGGGTTGTCCATCTAACAAGTTAGATTGCGGTCGAATCCCCAATGGCAGGGAAGCGCAAGTCTATCTATCTATCGTACCTCGAGTGACGTTTTTCTGTCCTCCCCCGAAAAGCTTGAAAAATTCCGTACCTATCGAGCCTCCTACCGATCCTTTCAGATTCGACTGCGAAGGTTGACCTGCCGCGGCATCAGGTTAGCATCGCAAGGTGAGTAACTAAGCCATTCGTAACACGGAATCCGCCAGGAATAGAACATCATCATCTATCAAGCGCTGGTTTAAAGCCAATACTACAGAAAGGAGCCCTCCTATGTATTGGGCAAGTCCACTGAAACGAAGCATCCAGCGGAGAATATAGAGCAACAGAAATACCAAAATCCATGCCGTAGACATCGCAATACACGCTCGAATTCCAATATAGATCGTAAGACAAAGGGTACCCCAGCAGAAGATGACCCGAGAGATCCAGGGCACTTACCATGTAAGCCCTGCTGCATACTCTGCCGATTCAAATCGCCGTGCTCCAGGGGCATCGGCCCATTGCTCAGCGAAGTCATAATTGACGGCGGTAATGTAAGGAACGAAATTGAAGGTTAGAGGAGAATGCGACCGGCGGACGGCGAAATGCGCGACAAAGCGGAAGCCCGAGAGATCGAACGAGCGCAGCGGCGCAAATGGATCGTAAATTTACGGAGGCTTGAAGAGAAAAATAATTAAGAAAATCCAATTGGGGATCTAGAGATCTGGAACATTGTTAGTCTCCGAAGGCGATGGATTCTATTTTCGTCAATGCGCCGATGCAGTTGGCCTATGATAGTTATACGCACCCGCCACGCCGGAAGTCTTTCCCCCTCCCCGAAGCAACGAGACACGGAGGGGAATTAGGGTAGGCGCAGCACGAGCTCGTTAAGGAGCACTCAATGCGGCGACTTTTCCAGATGGTTGGAGGTGAAAAGAGGATGTAAAAACCCGTCGTTTTCCGAAGGGGTTGAGAAGAGGGTTAAAGTGGGAACCGGACGATTGAGAGACGTAGATAGTACGGAGTACGGAGTAGTTAACACGAAGAACTAGGGCTCGGTTGGAAGACCAGGCCGCGTTATATCGATCGAGAGTCGGGTAGGTAGCCCCAGTCCTGTTACATCCAAATGCACGACCTATGCAGTCTTTGACGGACTGCTTCAGCTAGTCCGGATGAACCATTGAGTGAACGGGAACTTGAGAAAGCCTTGGGAAGACTGGACCCTCTCTTTCCGTCCACTAGTCTGTGACTCTGTACGGAGTAGGGGAGCCTGGAGGGGAAAGACAGAAGGAACAATGACAGGACTGAGGAACTAGTCAAATAAAACGGGAAAATAAATACTAAAAAATATGATTCAGGCCCCAGAAACAGGAGCATTAGCTGCGAATCGCTACCACACGTAGCCATCAAAGGACGCCGTTCGGGCACCTCATCCGGGCTTCTCCGTAGAGAGCGACGGGGAGTGTATCTTTAGATGACACCTCGGTTCAAAAAGGAAAAGAATGGAAGAATGAAGATTTCCCAAGTCTCTTTCTTGTTTCCTGCACCCAAGAATTATGTAAATGGTCCTTGGGGGGGGGGGGGGAGAATGCATCCATCTGTTTGGAGGGCGAAAGTAAACTCGCTCATGCACCTTGTCAGAAAACGAGGTTGGTGCAGGGTAGCTGTTCTTTGTGAGCTTTTTTGGAATGAAGCGAGCAGGGGCAAAAGAAAATTAGCATTATTCTTGGGGATCTCCCGGGGAAAAGAATGTGCAATGGTCAGTTTCATTCTGAAAGATAGTTCGACTTCTTCGGACTATACCTGGATCAACAGTCATTCAATAGCAGACCGTTCCGCGTACTTCTTCTTCTTCTTCTTCTTCTTCTTCTTCATCTTCATCTCTCGGGGAGTCGCTCTCTATCTCCAGTGGTGCTTCGTTCCATAACACGGTCCCTACTCCTGAAGATGGCAAAAACAGTGGCCGTCTTGGGACAACGACGTCTCATAAAATGCAGCGAACGGAACTCTTGTGTAACGTGAACTATCCAGGGCCTCATTCCTTGTTTCCATTTAGAGGGTATTCCCATTCAGACTGGTCACCCTGCGTCGCTTCCCTCCCATTATTCCCTCTCCAGTTAACGGGGACCAACCTCCATTGTGTCCACCAGGGATACCCTGGCCTAGGAGATGGTGCTAGATACTGAAGAAGTTAATGCGTTCTTTAGTGCTTCCGTACTCCGGAGTACAGAGGAGTCATACAGAGTACTCCCTCCAACGTTTGATGACTCTACCCACTTGGCCGCTGTCAACAACGCGCACGCAGATGTATCCCATGGACCCATTCAGCCCTCGTAAATCAGATCACCCTTAGCCTTTAAGCTAAGGTACCTACACCAGCAAAAAGATAAGGGGGAACGGGGCACAGGCAGACTAGTGCATAAAGGGACATATGCCATCTGGGACGCGCATGACCGTGATAATTAGTGCATAACCTAGCACCTGTCGCTCATTACTGAGACGGGTATTTCGGGGCCAATCCTAGGAGCTAACGGGGAAAGACCGCGAAGACGGAGACACCAATTTCACCTGGTGGAGCATCACATACTCGTCCACATGCACCCTCGATCCCATCGGCTTTGGGATCGATGGACAAATGATGTAAATTGGTTGATATTCTCCGGTCTTCGTCACGTCGTCGTTCTGAAGCTTGTTCCTCCCATCGTTTCCGTCCATCCCTTTTCCAAATCCCCCAAGTTCCCAATAATCTGTTCTTTCTTCATCTTATGCAGGCGGGGCCGAATTGATAAAGAGACATGAATATCCTGGAGATTATTCTCTCGCGCGATAGTCTTGGTGGTGTTAGTTACCTGCACCGGGGGGGTCAGCGGTCACATTTCCCAGCCACTAAACACACGCTCCACGATAAAGAGACAAAAAGGCTTCAGGGGTCGATGAAAAGGGAAGGAGTGTCTAATCTTTAGGCCAAGAGGGTCGTGGGGATCATGACAGAATTCCAAATAAATGCAACAGAAAGGGGGAGTACGAGTATCATAGCAGTTCATGCTAACTGCTGCAGGAAGGGCCGAGCCATCACTGGCAGTAGTGGCTGCTCAAGTCAGTACGGATACTCAGTAGACTCCTAACATCCTTAGTTCTTAGGGACCTACCTGCTCTATATGTATATAACTTCTTTGAAACGGAGCAGACAATAAAGAAAACGGATGGTGGCTTTGGACCAGCGCATAAACTATCCTCGGCGATCGGCAGCCTAAGGCCACAACGCTCCCTAAACAGGAAATATACGCCGCCAATTTTCGGCTCTCTAGACAGCGAAATTTAATCACGGTTTACTTGGGCTGCTCTTGAAATTATCATCACCCACACTATCGAATTTATCAGCTACGGTCTAAGTTCCCTTCCACGCACATGGACAATACGGAAATCCTAGTGCACGTCTCCGCTCGCAGTGGCGCTGTCGACGACGCTCGTTATCGCGCTCAAGTTGAGGCTATTTTGAACTTCCAGGCTCACTCACGTGAGGTCATCTCGCTCGACCCTCAATTTCTACAATCCCATTATGATTACACGGCGAGCACCTTATTAGACGAGGATTCTGTTCGTGGGCCTGCTCCTACTGCCACTGTCACTGTCACGCCCCGCATCCCACCACCAACCCCCGACTTCTTCTCCTCTTCATCATCATCACATAAGCGGAAATCCCCGTCGCAAGATCCACTACCGCGCCTGCAGCACGATGAGGACTCCCTCGATAGTCCCGTCAGTGTCATTCCAGATTCCCAACCTCTACTCTCCACGCATGGCTCTGAGACCCCCCATTCTCTATCATTTCATCCGCCTTCATCTAAACGCCCGCGAGTGGGTTCGCCGCTGCCCATCGATCCAGCAATCCGTAGCACCTCACCGGCCCGATCTGATGAGGTCCAACATCACAGCACAGGAGATCATCATCATCATCCTGACCTGGTTCTTTCTACCCCTGACGCAGTACCAGAGGAGCAAGAGCAAGAGCAGGAGCAGGAGCAAGAGCAAGCACAGGAACAGGAACAGGAACAGAAACGGGAGCCGGACCCAAATGCCCTCCTCACCCATGACTCCTCTCTCCCTCCCCCCATCACCATAGCAGAAGAACAAAAAGAGAAAGAGAAAGAGAAAGAGCAAGAGCAAGATCACCCAACATGCTCTCCCCTCCCGTCTCTCCCCCTACAGATCAAACCCGCTCTACCCCCCGTCTCCTCAACTCCCTTCGTAACCCACATCACACCCACCCTGGAAATGCTAACCAAGCGCCTCAAGTCCCCACGAACATACAACCCAACCAAGCAAACCAGAGCCCTCGACCGCCTTGAACGAGGATACTGGTATCTCCCCATTAATTTGATCGTCCTCCCCCCATCACCACAGCGGAAAGCGAAAGGGCTAGACAAAGATGCTGTAGAGGTAGCGGAGGATCCCAGAAACTGGGACACGCCTTTCTTCCTCACGCGCTTCTGGTCCTTCTTGTCCGATTTCATTGCGAAGGAAGGACGTGCTGGATGGGGGGTGTGGTGTCTTCTCGATAAGAGAGAGCCAGAGCCAGAGCCACAGCCACAGCCGGAGTCTGAGTCTGAGTCGTCTCCACGCGCTCGTGCTTCGCTACCTCAAGACGCAGCAGGGATATCACTGCTCCCTGTGGCATTGAAGGTTTACGCGTGGGGGGAGATCGCATCTCATATCTACCTACTCTTGCTTCTTGCGAGCGAACGACGGATTCGCAAAATGGGGGCTCACTGGCGAGATTCTCGGGATGAGGTGGTTATTGAAATGCCATAATATATATATATATATATATATAGATAGATAGATAGATAGATAATTAACGAGACATAATAAAATATTTACTTTGCCCATACTAATCATGAACTCTCCCAGTACACCCCCCAGAGTCCTAATTTACTAAGCCTACGGAAGAAGAGAGAAACGAGGAAAAATACAGCCCATTGACCCTATCTCGCAAGCTTAAAAGAAAGAAACTATGGTACATCAAAGTAATGCCTATGTCAGATCACCGCGCTTTGGAACCTTTGGAACCTTTGGAGCCCCTGGAAAGACAATTGAGAAATAGGAGTACAAAGCCTCGCTTTTGCCTAGCCTCAAGCCCACTCAGAAAGAACGAGCAAAATCCCCTATAAAAAAATTCGAAAGAAATGCTAACCCAAAGATGGTGTGCGACTTTGTTTGACGAGTAGAAGGGGAAAAAAAAAAGAAAAAGCGAAACCGAGAGACTCCACGAAGCAATTGCTCGCAAAATTGGTACAAATGCCTAGTAGTTCAACTCGCCACTTCCAGCTCCCCCAACGGCATCAAGATCCTCGTAGCTCTTCAGGCTACGGCCTTGGACAGCCTCTCGCGGACCCATGGCCTGCTGGCCAGTTCCGGATCCCATAGCATCGGGGAACCCACCGGCGGCAGCAAATGCAGCAGCGGCAGGATGGCCTGGAGGGATATACGGAGCACCGGTACTAGGTGGGAGCCGACCCCCGGGTCCATGCATGCTCATCATGTTGCGGGCTGGACTCAGACGGCCAACACCCGAGGCGCCATGTCGGTTTCCGCGTCGATCATAAGGTCCAGATCGATTATTGTACCGACCACCACCACGACGCACGACGCCTGGATGGTGCAGGCTAGCGTGCTCACCAGCAACCATACCATTTCCGCTCCAACTTTGATTATTCATGCCCATAAATCCAGGTAACCCAGCGCCTGGAACTCCCTGGAAACCTGACGGGACGTTGGAAGTGTTGCCGAGGTAAGTGGGCATCGACGCCAGGCTGAATCCGCGAGGAGTGCCAGTCTGGTTCTGGCCAGAGCTGAGGGGGAAGTGGCCATTGCTATTGGCATCGGACCTCGAGGGGGCAATGCGAGCAGGGTCAAGTACATAGGCATTCACGAGGGAAAGCTAATGGAAAAGGTTAGCACGGCGCGCGATATGGGATAATGCAAACTAAGGCGCAACCTACATCACTCTTAATATTTTCAAACCACTCTGTGTGGCGTTTCTCCACATGTTTACGCCAGAAGTGATCTGCCTTGAACAATTTCGTGCATTCAGGGACCTTGCAGCGATACTTTGACTCGTCCTCTTGCTTCACATTTTTTGCTAATTCCTCCTCCAGCGCATCGTCAACAGGTTTTCCACCGAGTTTAGTAATATCCACATTTTCGGGTTCAAGGAGCTGCAGAAGCTTGTCCTCGAAGGTTTTGACCCAGTTGAAAGCACGTTGAAGTTGCTGCTCTGACCTAGAACTGTGCCTCTGGGGCCGTTTTTCCTCTGCAGGCGACGGCTGTTCCTCACCATCCTCGCTTGGCTCTTTCTTCGTAACCGGGAATGGCTGTCCAAGAGCGCTGGCTCGTGCCACGGCCTTGGACTGTGTGGTCAGGCCAGCCCGGGGCCGACGGAGATGGCCCCCAGGACACTTTCGGGTAAGTTCGTGTACAGAGTCGCACTCGAAAACGCAGAAAAAGCAGAAATTGTAAACCCTTCGGAGGTATTCAACCATCAAATCCAACTTTTTCTTCTTAGCCAAGAGTTCCTCGTCGTCGACTTCATCATCCTCCCACCCTTCGGTTTCCTCCCCTTCTTCTGCTTCGCCCTCATCGATATCCTCGGCGTCAAAGTCAGTCTTCCTCCTCTTCACACTGACAGGGCCAGTGACAGGCGGTTGCAGCCAGCCCTTGCCACGGAGTTCCTCAACACGGTCTTCAACTTTAGTATAGCCATCAGCATTATGACCCATTTCAGAGTCAAGCTTCGTCACCAGTCGTCTGGCCAGCTCCAAATCGCGTTCAATACGTTCCGGAGAAGAGAAAAGATCCCAGAGTGCCTTCTTTCGCAATTGGGATGGGGGAACATGGACACCAACGTGGCAGACAAAATCTCCGTGAACAGGGTCATGAATTGTCTTGTCATTAATCGCCTCGAGGGCCTTTTCGGCCGCCGAAATCGTCGCAGACCCATTGGCAACATTATCATGGTCCATCTCCTCCCCTTCTTCCTCTCTCCCATCGCCTCTTTCAACGACTGCAACATCCGGAGCCGGATGCAACATTATCCATCCCATTCGATGATATTTCTTCGAAGGATTTGGATCGCTCAAGCTCAGCCACTTAAATCCGCCATCCTGCTCTCCTAGATGCTCCTTGCAAAACTCCTCAATTTTTTGGTGGCCAACATTCGGAGCCAATGTCTTGATGAGCAAAGCCGGTTGCGACAGGGCTTCATCACGCAAATCTCCACCTCTAGCTGGCAAAAGGTCCAAAACACCGAGCGTCTCCCCTACAGCCGTCGTCTCTCCTTCTTCCTTCTCAATGACACCACCAGCACCGTCGCTTTCGCTCTTGTAGATACCCTCGAGCGTGAAGTCATCAAACACACCACCTTCCAAATCATGCTCCCACTGTTGATAAGCGCTTAGTCGAAAATCCATGAGTAATCGACGTAGAGGGTCTCTGACTTCAGGAACGTAGCGCTCCTTGAACCACTCCTCATTGCGATGATGTTGCACGAATGTTCTCGCCATCTTTATCTGCAGGTCGACCTTGTACGCATCGTAAGCGGCTTGAATCTGGGCTCTCTCGCGATCACGATCTTCACGCGCCTCCCGTTCACCTTTGACACGGTCCGATGGGCGTCTTCCGCCATGCTTTGCGCGATCTTTCTCCTCCTTGATTGATTGTTCCGCGCGCCACCATTCAGCGAACCAATTAAACCCGACTTGAAAATCCAGGCTCAGGGGGTTGGGGAGTGGGTTGCTGGGAATTGGACGTTTGCCGCCATCCTGTCCGGGGACATAACGGTCGATATTTGCAGCGGTTGGCGAGGGAACGCGACGACGATCCTCACGTTCTCGTGCGGTGTGTTCGCGTGCGGCAGCATAATAGTCATCTCGGGAAGCTCTGCGGTCCGAAGGCTCATATCGATCGATCACGACAGGGGAACGGGAACGGGGGCGCCCACGCCGTCGATCCTGGGAGACTAGAGAAAGCCGTTAGCTCACACCCTGGACAGGGGGGTGTTACCTAAGTTAACTACTCACCAGGTGATCTGCGTCTGTAGGAATCCATCGATGCTCTGGACATGTAAGAATCTCCACCTTCGCGGTTTCGCCCTGGGGACCCGTACGAATCATATGAATCCATTGGAAGAGCGAGGATCAAACAATCCTCAACGCCGGTAGTTCAAAGAATCCGATCCAACGATGCTGTCCTTTTTTTTTTTTTTTCCCAGAGTACAATTCTCGAACAATTCGTGTCAAGACTGGGAATGCGCAGAATTGGTTCCGGGGGTCAAGTATCACGCGTAAAGGCAAGCTAAGATTCGACATCATAAATATTAGAGCAGGTTCATTGAAAGATTGTGATAGACCACGTTCATTCGGGAGCTGACGGAGGGTGGAGGGGACGAGATGTGCAAGGAGTCAAGAACGAGAGCCGCAGCGCGGCACAAGAAGAAATGAAAAAGAAGCTCATGGCGAAAACAATAAGAATTGGAAAAAGAAAAGAAAAAAAAATATTTAAAAAGAGAGAGAGAGAGAGAGAGAGCCAAGAAGTCTCGAGGGCCAAGGAGAGTGCGACGACGATGTGACGACTGCGAGGATAAAGAAGGGATGATTGGGGGGAGGGAAGGGGAGGGACAGCAGCGAATAAAGAGATTCGGACGGGCAGGGGAATCGAAAGTAATAAAAAGGGGTATGGGGGATTGGTCAAGAGCGATAATATGAAGCAGGGAAGGGGAAGAAGAGAGACAAGGGTGGGCAGGTAGGTGAGGACGCGAGTGAACACGATAAGGTGACAAAAGGCAGGCGACCTACAAGAAGCCTTGAGCATAGATAGAATACAATGGTAACAGAAGCCAATCTCTGATCACGTCCTATGCGAAGAGATCAGATGAAGACGATGCAGCCTGTGCCGGAACAGAACCGGGAAGTTGCGCAGGTTGATAGGGAGAGAGAGAGAGAGAGAGATGGTTCAGAAGCGAGAGGAGGAAGAGAGGGAGGAAAGAGAAGAGGAAGAGAAAAGAGAGAGAGAGAGAGAGAGCAAACGGAAACGAAAGGAACAGTCAGAGAGAGAGAGAGAGAGAGAGATCTGCAGCCGCCGCTAAACTGAAAGGAGACTCGTGTGGCGGGTGAGAACCACAGAAGAACAAAAAATGGATCAAGAGTCGAGACTCGAGAGAGACCGGAGTGAAAGAACATACCTCTCTACGCCATAGAAAGTAGGGAAGAATCACCTTGTAGGATGACAGTAGTTAATACTATCAATCTTATCTGCTCTGTATCTACAAACAGCTACATTGTGTCCTGGGCTGCACGCGTCCAGTTAGCGATACAGAGGAGGATATCCTGAATATTTGTACATGACTGAAAGGGGAAAGGGGAATCATCCGTGGGGAATCACTGGGGCATATAAAACATCCAAAGAAAACAATTAAAAAAAAAAAAAAAAAAAAGCCAAGACCAAGTTAGCTGGCCCTAAGAATTTTAGCTGGGCAATACATGGCTCGTGAGTATCAGTCTGGCGTCCAACAGAGACAAAAGGACAATAAACCAACACCATCAGACCGTCCAAAACCTATATCCAGACTCAAAACACCGCGCACGCGCACACACAGAGCAAGAGACAACTCCAGATAGCTTTCTGGGGACACGTCTGATATACATCCGCCATATCGCCAGATCATCAAATCGCCATCGCAGCCGGTCCCACTACTGTGTAGCTTCGAGATCTCTCGCCGTGGAACCTTCACTAGTGGAGAGCCTTTCCTCTCCAGTTCCTAGTAGAAACCCCACAGAACACAATACACGAGAGAGAACTCGAAGAAAGCAAAAGGCTGCAGGAGTAGCTGACACGGAAAGTCATCAGTCATGGGAACGATACGGAGTGGCAATAACATTGGATAAGGTCTGTGCTGGGAGAACCCTGGTGTCAGTGGAAAATATGTATTTCAGCTTTGAACAGGTTATAAAATGTTTGCACACAGCATCAGCAGGGGTATAGATATGTCACCCATCAAAAATTTCAGGACCATTCACCATCCCAAGAAACGTAAAGAAAACAAATAAAAAACATAATCACATCATACATGTAAACCCTCACAAACTGAGCATCATAGACGGGATGATATCAGAACTTCGTACCAGCATAACAAATATAAACAGACATAAATAGGGGGTAGAAAGCATAATAACAATGAACCCGTGGCAGAATGTGTACACATTGCTTGCGGCGGGCTTTGAAAAATATTGAAGAGATGATGGGGGGGGGGGAGAAAAGGAGGAGGTGGTTTGCAAAGAGATCATTCAACCATCCTCATCAGAAGGCAGACCAGATTCTTGTTCGCTGTCATCTTCAGGAGCGCTAGCTTTAGGGGCACCAGTCTTAGCTTTTTTGGTCGAGTTTTCGTCGTTCACCTCGCTAGCCTTGCGTTTCTGCGCTGACGGAGGGTCAGTGGCCTTCGAGGTGCTCTCTGTGTTTTCCTGACCAGAACCCTCTGTGCCAGTGTTCTTCTTCTCCATAGCTGCCACCTCATCCGCAGTAAGGAACCGACCGCCAGGCCCGCGTGGACGTCTCATTGCGTGGTTATGGCGCGATTCGTGAAGGTATGGCTTGCGGCCCTTAGAGGTAAGCCGTAACTGCTCTTCCAGCTTTTGTCGAGCAACGCGACGCTTCAGAATACGATGAAACTGCTTTGCATTCACATAGAGAGGCGACTCTTCTGCAGCACCGGCAACCATGTCCGGCGAGGGTTGGGTCTGCTGGACGGGGTGTTGAGGGTGCGGCATCGGGGGGGCAACTGAAGGTCGACCAACGTGATTGATGACTGGCTGAGCATTCTGCACATGTGGGCTGCTAACATGGCTCATGCGACGCTGCTGCATTTGAGCGCTCGGTGGTAGCGGCACCTGAGAGCCCATCGAGGGGATTTGGCCGGACATCTGCGAGGGCGAGCGAGGATTTCGTCCGTCGGCCTTGACTTGCACGCCTGCCATACGCGGAGAGCCGCGAGGCCCCTGCTGCATTTGACCCGCCATAGAGTCCTGGTGTAAGGGATAGAACTGACCGGATGCAGCGGCAGTCGCCATTGCAGCGGCCTGGGTGGGAGAAATACCATATGTTTGTGGCATAGCAGGTGCGACCCCGTAGGATTGCGGAAAATTCATCTGTTGGTGTACCTGTCCTGGTGTGCTTTGCGTCTGTTGGTAATGCGATTGTGATGGAACAACAGGGGAGGCTTGATGGGTAGGATGTCCCTGTTGCATATGTGCCTGAGGGTTGGTTGGAGAGCTCATCGACCCCACAGCCGACCCTGCGTTTTGCGGTCCTGTCTGGTATGGGGCGGTGATATGGGATGAGGCATGTGGATGTTGCCCGTGAGGCTGCTGATATTGCGGAGGATACTCCATGGTGAAGTTACGACGACAGTGCAGCGTCTATTCTGACTTGCGATCGTTAGATGCCAGGAACCAGCCAACCAGAATTAACAGTAGCGGTCAAGGCAAATGATTGGCAGGAAGATGTTGCAGTGGGATAAGAATGTTGAGGTTGGGGAAGGGTGATAGGATACGAGAGGATGACCCTCAGGTTATGACGGTCGCGCTGATAGATAGTTACCGCAGCGGTCGCCTCTTGTAACCTGTGATTCGACCAGTCGAACGTGTAAGTCTGCAGACTCCTGTTACAGTGTCAGCACAAGGCACAGCAGCGAGCGGTCACTGGACTGTGTGGTGGGGAAGGATGGAGACGAAGGGCGCTTGATCTGGGCGCTTACCTTTTGGTTATGGTTTGCCGTTCTATCAGTCGTTCACCCCAAGAATGAGATTTGCTGCAAGGCAAAATGCTCGTTTGCTAAAAAAAAAAAAAAAAATCACTCGAACCACTTTCTCCGGAGGTTCTATCTTTTTTTTACATTCACCTCAAAGTGTAACGTGGTTGGGCTCGGATGCAGCAAGCCAGGGTGCCCTCGACTAAATGTCGTACTTGATGCGTTGTCAGACAAACCACGATCTTGATAAAGATGCGCTATTGTTTATCTTTGGCACCAAAAAAAACCTGGAGCGGGGTGTGAGTAGAAGCTACGCAGTATATTTGAGACAACAAGTGGCAGGCTACCTCTATCGAGATTCTGAGTCAATTAGGCTGCTGGACCACGCGGCAGAAAACAATGATATGAGGCGGTGCTGCTCGAGCGGTTCGATTGTTTCCCCAGGTCTATTCTGGTACACAGTTCCCAGAGTATACGACGTCCGAGAGACTGATGTCAGAGTCGCTTTCGACAGCCTTGTACGGCTAAGGATCATCAGCTTTAGTCCCATACTTGGTAAACTTTTTGTTTCCACTTGATTTGTGCGCTGTCACAATGAGGAGAATATGAAGGTGGTGGGGATGGGGGAGGCCAATATTGTGGTAGTTTAGTGTCTTCAGGGCCGAGGAATGTATGCGTTGGCAAGCGGGAATCATGATGCAGCTGGTGGCATACCTTTTGTCCAAATGCAACGCACGACCCAACACAAGGGTAAGGTTTCTCTTCTGCACGCAGGAACTTTTTTTATATCTATTAGAAAAAGTCCACGAAGAAGAGATTAGAGCAGTGCAGACTGCACGTCTAATAGAAGAGAGAGGTCAGTAACAGAGTATAAGGGACTGACGCGTGGTGATTGGGTCTCGCAAGCGACAGGGACGCGACTAGAAAACAAAACATCACCACATTCAAAAGAAAAGCACGCGCAAATTTGAAGGAAACAGGGAAGATTTCAGGATGAAAAGCCTGATTTGCAACATCCTAGAGGACATGCAGCACCAGCTTTAATGAAGGGAATAATTTTCTCGTGATGAAAGTGGAGGAAGGGGGGGGGATAGAAGATGATGGATCACGGTCGCGGTGGTTCGAAGCCGAGGAAAGCAACAACCATCTAGCTGGGTTTAAAAAAACTGCCAAACTACCTTGACCGGTGGTTTATTTCCCTCCAGAGAGACGGAACCAATGCACTTCAGATTTCAGAGCAACGAATTCAGTAGAAGAGCGCAGGAAATGAAGCTCTATCTTTTGTCCCAGGAAGCGCCTGTTCTTTGCGAACGCGGCCTTTGCGCGACAGTGGCCTGCTGCCGCTGATGTCAGTCGAGCCCCAGGTTGCACCGCGAATGAGGTGGGCAATAGCTAGGCGCGAAGAACAAGAGCTGGTAGCGTGGGACGACAATACAGTGGAGTAATTGGATAGACCAAAGGGCAAGAAAAAGGCTTAAGGATGAGGCAAAGTAATCTGATTTGTGGAAGAGAGGAAGAGAGATTCGGTACAGGTTAAACCATCGATAGGATGGAAGCCAACGAGAGGCCGGTTGGGAAATATTCCAGATACAAGAGGAGGAGACAGTGGACGAAGAGGAGACAGCGACGGAAGTGATTGGGAGAGAGTATGACAGGGTGTAATGGGATTGGGCAGAGAGGAAATAAAGTATGCAATACTATGATACCGGGGAGAGAGGATGATAAGTTGTTCGAGTAAGGGGGCGTACCTGGGGATGATGATTCGACCACAACCGTGGAAAGGGATCAATCACGGGGAGGGGAAAGAGAGATGGGGGGGGAAACGATGCGGTTGGACGAAGAAACAGAGAGTCTTAAGAGTTAAAGGCAGCGTTGCAAAGAAAGAAACGAGTAGGAAAAAAAAGAAAAAGGAAAAAAAAACCCCCCAAGCCCAATAGATGGATGGTCGTTGACTGGAGGGAAAAGGCAAGGACTGTGGTCACTGGAGGCGTGGATGACCAACGAGAGGAAGCAGAGAGAGAAAAGCCGCAGCGATGAGAAGGGGCGGGCGATGGGGCATTTGTACCGGACGCGCTCAGAGGGGAGCTGACTGGTTCGACTTTCTCGTTTAGCGGACAAGGCGGCAGTGATTCACTTCCAGCACTGGTCAGCACCGTACGGTCCCGTATTCACAACAGGGTCTGCCCCACTTGGTACATTACCATACATCAGTATTATTATGATTATTACTATCATATTTATAATTATAATTATTATTAGCTATTATTATTATTATTATTATTATTATTATTATGATCATTTTAATAGAGCTGTCAAGAAGAACTTCATGTGGGATTCCTAGTCAGGTGCGGAATATTATCATGATCATTATACTTATCATATGGAATCATATAACTAAAAGACGAGATTCTGATGGGATACAGATCGGAAAGATCAAATTATCTTATCCTGGCAAAAATCCGGCCATCCCGAATAAGTCCTGTTTGTCATGTGTGACGACTCGAGGCCTTTCATGAACCGCCCTCGGAATTAACCCGCTAATGGCCGAAAGTGACATCAACCAGCCCCCCTCATTGGTTTATTACCAGCAATTCACCTGTCTTACGAATCATGATTTGTTTTGTTGCTGTATTTTCTAACTGGCTCTTTTTATTTTTCCTTGTCAACCCATAAAGGATGGACTCTCCCTCCTCTTACTTACTCTGTCTTGTAGAAGATGTGTAACTTGAGCAAAAGAAATTAATCTGAATTTTTGAGTATGACTATTCTATAGCCATGCCCAATGCATCAAAACTGAGAATCCTATCTCAAGGTGCATGTTCCCTCATGGGCATGTGCTCCGTATTGAGTGGTATTTAGGCAGCGAGGCGGAGTCTTTTTTTTTTTTTTCTTTGTTTTTTTTTTTGCAAAACTTACGGCAGATCTCGTAAGATTATTACCAGCCTGCCTCGGTTAAATTCCCCAGTTTGGACCACTCCCCACTGCAACAAATTTCATGACAGTATGAAAAGAATCAATCATCTTCCCATGCCAAAAACTAAGTATCAGATTTTATATATGGGAAGTTAGCCCTGTTATGAGGCTCATCACGAACACCGAATAGTTAATTATTGTAATGATTCATTCTTAATTACCCAGATCAATAATGAGTATTGTATGTACCAAGTAAGTTCGCAAGTACTCGCATGTACTACCTAGGTAGTAGTAGTAAATAGCTACTACTACCCGACCCAGAAAATGAAAGTTAGGCGCCTTTTTTGGTTACCCTCTCTTTTTTCTCTTCTCCCTCGATTTGAAATCAGTCAGGCCTTCGACAGATCCTTGTCTGTGCATTGAAAATACGAAGTAATTTTGAGCAGCCGACGCAACCCCGGAAGCTACTCCATTCCGAAGCCAGCCACACAGATAGCCTTCGAATTTTTGATTCTGTCCTTTTCCTTGGAGAATATCTCTGAATATCCTTGTCAGGCTCGTCCCCTCGTCGCTCGCCCCCGCGTCCCGTTGAAAACACAATTCCATCAAGTCTGGTCTTGAAATATTACCTACCTATTATGGATGCGTGCTTTTAAGGTCGCTTGATATGGAGAATCTTTAAACAACAAACTATTTTTAATTATCTTGGTTTCCTGAGCACGAGGGTAGTAGGACAGGTCTCTGTGCCGATCTGTCCCACTCCACGTGTGGAAGCTTGACCGCTGGATTCATGATTTGTTACCCAGTGTGTTGACTCCTCTCTTTGCCGTAAGGTTGTTAGCCTTAAGCTCAGTATCTTACTTTAGACTCTGAAGTCGTGCGCCGTTATGCCGTCTAAAGCCAAGCCTCGAAGTAGCTGTTGAGAGTTGAACCTCCCCTGAAATTGCGTTGTAACATATGTATATTTTACGGTATTTAATAAAACAATCCGCCTGCCTGTCCTTGGTCCAGTTACCTTGACGTCAGTCAGATATTTGGCCCCCTCACCGCTTCTCAAAGAGCTATTCTTTAGTATTTTTTGTATTATGCCATTCCACATAGTATTATTTATTTATTGAAAGAATTATAATAATTAGTATTAGTTTTATGTCCTATCACTATTTTAAAAAAGGAATTCGGTGTCTCATTAGAGCCTTTCCTTGTGAAATATGAGAGGTGTGAAACATTGATTATCCAAGCTATTATTTTCCCAAAAATGGCTTATCTTCTTCGTTTTATTTGACATCGGTATCTTCATGGTTAAGTGGAGCCCATGTAGAAAGTTAGATTCAAGCGCGAGAATCTCCAAGCTCCTATGCTTTGTGGACTACCATGGTCCTCGTCCTCTGGATACTATTTTCGAGTGACCTTGAATCACGTATCTACCATCCTTACACTTATTGCTGTCTTCACAACAACCTACCACAAAGGTTATTTTGATCCTCGTGGTGCGATTCGGGTGATGTCAATTGATCACATCACGAACCCAAAAACACCTTGAAGAGGATGTCGATATCAAGATGTGACCTCAACTACAGACAGAGACTTGCGTCATCGGCTTTTGCAACCCAAGGTTATCAATTACAATTTATATCCTCTAAGCAAACCTAAAACGCCTAGTGATTTATGACCCTCGAGACGAGAGGGAGCAGCCTTCAAATCTACTTATGGCGAGGTAATCCTCATTCTCTCCGAACTAGCCATGTCTACTCTAGCCCGATTATTGCTACTCGATAGCTAAATCCAAGACCTGGTTGGCTGCGCTGATTTGAGCTTAATGTCCTACACGAGGTAGAGCAGAGCAGCTTTCCAGATACAGATACTGCCGAGCAGCTACATGTTCCTACCTAGGTATGTTGTCCCACATACGCGACAACAAGCAGGGAGTATAGAGAAAACGCGCATAAAAATTAACAATCTTAGATTCTCATTAGCAGTTCTGAAGCTTCCGATGCCTACATTTCACGAAACTCATCTACCAGAAGATTAAAGGACTACCTCCTAGCATGTATCCCTATCCACAAATGGCCTTGTTTTGTGATTTGCGGTATCAACCAGCATGAGCGTCCTGGAACTCTGACACAGGTGTTGGAAAAAAAAACTCCTATTTCTGGGCCTTCGAACTGCAATCGTCGACCTCCTCTTTCCATTATTGAACTGCACGAAACTAGAAATGCTAGCCTCCTTACATGAGGGCCGATCGCTCGAATAATGGAATAACATATGAGATGAGGCACACAACGGGTTAGGCGGACCTTGGGATGCTCTGAAATGTGTCTCCAAACCCGGGCCACATAATAGCCATCGTGCTTGGGAGCGTTTTCTGCATTGTCATTTGATGCTGGTGATTAATGTAATACTTGGTGTGGCTTAGGTCCAGCCCGTGCCTAAGCTACTACTAAAGCATAATGACAGGTTGGAACTCAGTATTATGCATATCAACGTGCTTGTCACAATCGATTCTTGCTCGACACCTAGTGGATCATCGGTCAGGGGCACCAATACGGAAGTCGCACTAAAGCGGCATGCTCTGCGTGGGAAGAGGCGTCCTAACAGCATCATATCATCACAACATCGCTGTCGCGAAAGGCTGAGCCGGCGCCAACATCAGGATGGCTGCATTTGGAGCGGATATCCAATCGGACTCACCATGTAGCATTTCGGACGTGGATGGGGCAGCGTGGGGTGTGGAGTTTGCAACATAAACATCCCATTGGCTTTCTGAGGTCGGAAGAGGAGGCATCCATAGGTCTTAATAGGCTGTTTCGAGGTCTTGTTTGCCGCCATCACCTTTTTCCCCCCAGCAGGCGGTACCTTCAACCTCTAGGGTTGCCATTTGGCATTCAAGAGGACTCGGAAGCTGATATTAATCCTAAAATTATAGCCCCTTAACCAGAGTATGATCGCCATCCGCAAGGGGGTTACAGCACGACCCTAGATGATTAGGGATCCGTAAGTTCGCAAATCACGCAGGCACGTCAAGAAAGCTTTCCCAAAGGAAACTACACGTTTGCAGACCAGCTACTCCGTACTCCGTACTCCGTACTTCTTCGTAAAACCACCTGAAGGATTTGGTAGCCTAAGTTTTAAGGCTTTCTGTGATGTTTAGTATAGGCCGAAGTAGGGTATACTCAGTGTGTTTACCAAAATAGGGCTGGACGCGTTATTTAGCCACGCATGTCATATTCTTTTTGGAAAGCAACGAGGGACCAGTTTCGAAGTTTGATTCTAATAGGTGTTCTCAGAATGTTCGCAGTGTCCGTCTTTCTTCCCGAGTGGATGATGTTGGAGGATATCAGCCAAAGACGTGGGGGTATGGGATAGTACCAATGCCCAACTCCTTGGGCAAAACCAAACTACTTCCAGCTGGCTATGCAATGGCACATTTCACACTTGATATTTAGGATTAATATCATTGAATTCACTTGAATATGCCTTCTTGTAATCAAGGCAAGGAAACATTAACTCAGTCTTGCTTGTTGTATACGCAAAATTAGGGGCTGAGCCCTCCCCTCGACATTTAGCATTGCTGATTGGGCATCAAACCCCCCCCCCTTTTTCCAAAACGACATCATTCTGAACCACCTGGCAGCACTCTCTCATACCCTTCTGAGTTGTCCAGTACCCTTGAAATAGAGAAAGGGTAGAAGGAAATCGTGTCTGGCGAGAACTTCGGCCTCCTCCGTGTAGTATACGGAGCATAATATATAATAAAGAAAATTATACCTCCTCTCTTTTACTGGCTGCTACTTGTTCGTCTCTGACAGGCTAGAGGGTGTTTAGCACCACCACCTAGCAGCAGTTGCTAGTTAGTACCTAGTAGAGTAGCAAATGCCAGTTGTACAAACTGTCTAGATGATTCTATGCCGCTGACTCAGAGTGTATCTTTCTCTCTCTCTCTTCTCTTGCATTTGCCTTGAAGCTTTCCGCCGCTGTCCTCGCACGTCTGAATGTGCCACTCGGTGGAGGGATATACAAGTAAGCAACATGCTTTCTCAATAACGGGATGCTATGTTGGTTGAGTGATTCAAGAAATGGAAGGCTTTGGGGGTAGGAGCTAAGATCATGGGCTCTATGTTTGTCTCTTGTTGTTAGACCATGAGATTCTTGGACTAGGCGTGCTTTTTGCCTCACTAACCTTTGTTGTGAGTTTAACCCCATGTCGGTAGATAAGCCTGCGCTAGATCCGCGAGCGAAGCGAAGTTCTCTAAACTGATCAATTCCTCGCCTACCCCGTCGATAACTCAGACACCTGATCGAATATATTGAAACGAGCAGCGGGGTTGGATCCGAGAAGCGGCGGACTCAACTCGACTCAACCAGCATTGGCTAACCTGGATTCGGCTCTATTAAGAGGAGAGACTCCGTGGAATGATATAGGAGGACTCTGCTGATACGCTCGGGTTTCAGAGGTAGGATAGTTTGACCTCTACCTACTGGTCACGGGTGAAAGGCTCTAAACTGAAAACCCTCGGCCCTATGAAGCGCGATCATAAAGATAGACAGTATTTTGCTCATCATCTGGCTTTGATCGTGGATATAGAGGATTATGAGAATTGGTTGGCATTTAAACTCACAACGGTGGCGAGGCGCCCATAGGGATAAATTCGCTAGGGTATATAGTAGGTTTCTACCCCTAGTGATTAGCTCTAGGTGCTGCCAACCTGCAATAAGACTCTGAAGGTCCTACTCCGCGCTTCCATACTTCCTCTGAGCAATTTATCGATATGGATAGTGGTTGGGCAGTCTGTACACTGGAGGTTGTGTCAGTGCCTGGGGAATCAACAATTGGGATTGTGAGAAGAACACATCTATGCGTTGTAGAAGGGAGTAAAATGTAGAAAAGACAAAAAGGCTGGTAATTAAGTGCACTCTATAAGCTATGTATGCTTATCGTACTTGTCGATCTCCCAGTATTTTCTCAAGCAAGAATTGCTACGGAGTATTATAAGCTCCTCTACCTGAGTATGATAGGGTGAGATGATTGGAAGGCGGGCCGCGGATGGCTTATCTAATCCTTAATGGGATCCCGCCCGTTGATATCTCATGTGGCTTTTTCCGGTGCATGGGGAAAGAGGGAGAAGCCCGGCTGGTTCTCGAGTCGGGTCGACCGTACCAATTCTCCTCCCCCATCCCTATCAACCAGACACCTTCAGACACTCTGGGAACCGTCCTTACCGCGCGCCGGATTATCTTCAAAGCTGCATAGTCCGACTTTTTCGCGCGATTTAATCCCTTGGACGCGCCAAATCCGGGATCCCACCTCCCCCAACAAACGGCATTACATTCATGACGTCTTTGTTGATACTCGGTACGAATCGTCGACTTTTGCGAAATCTTCTACGAGTAGCGGAAATTCTATGACCTAGGACCGGTACAGCGAAATATACGGGTCTTAGCTTGCGATACACCGAAGGCGGCGCTCCTCGCGGCGTTCGCAAGTTGTGTTTCTCGCTAGAGGTGCTAACCCCCCTGGGTATCAACACTTTCAAGCAGGCAGGGCTCTGTAAACGGACCCCGGGTTTATGGGGAATAAGCCAAAATGGCGGGTGGAGGAAATATCAAGGTGGTGGTGAGAGTGCGACCGTTTAACGGCAGAGGTGAGTTCAAAAGGATAATGTGACTCCTCCACCTACCTGGGGAATTCGACTAACGGCTGGATGTTGTTTGCGTTAGAAATTGATAGAGGGGCAAAATGTATCGTGCAAATGAAAGGCAACCAGACCGTCCTTATCCCCCCACCAGGTGCCGACGAGAAATCGCGAAAAGCCGGAGGGAAAGGTGCGGTGGAAGGGCCCAAGTCTTTTGCCTTCGACAGGTCGTACTGGTCTTTCGACAAGAATGCTCCCAACTATGCGAGTCAAGATAGCCTCTTTGATGATTTGGGTGTGCCACTTTTGGACAATGCCTTTCAGGGGTACAATAACTGTATCTTTGCTTACGGCCAGACTGGTTCCGGAAAGTCGTATTCGATGATGGGATATGGCAAGGAGTACGGTGTGATCCCGAGGATTTGTCAGTCTATGTTCGAGCGCATTTCAAGCATGCAGCAGGACAAAAACCTTAGTTGCACCGTGGAGGTCTCGTATCTTGAAATTTACAATGAGAGGGTGCGCGACCTGCTTAACCCTTCCAATAAGGGTAACCTCAAAGTCCGTGAGCACCCGTCGACAGGTCCTTATGTTGAGGATCTCGCCAAACTAGTGGTGAGCTCTTTCGACGAGATTGAAAATCTGATGGACGAGGGTAACAAAGCTCGAACCGTCGCTGCCACAAACATGAATGAGACATCCAGTCGATCGCACGCCGTCTTTACTCTGACGTTGACACAGAAACGACATGATGCTGAAACGTCAATGGATACAGAGAAGGTGTCGAGAATCAGTTTAGTCGATTTGGCAGGTTCCGAGAGAGCAACGTCGACTGGTGCAACCGGCGCAAGGCTGAAGGAAGGAGCTGAAATCAATCGATCACTTTCGACTCTCGGCCGTGTGATTGCAGCTCTAGCAGATTTGGCTTCTGGGAAGAAAAAGAATGCTTCAATGGTTCCGTATCGTGATTCGGTCCTGACGTGGCTGTTAAAGGACTCTCTTGGAGGTAACTCCATGACGGCAATGATTGCAGCTATTTCCCCTGCAGATATCAACTTCGATGAAACGCTAGGTACATTACGTTATGCCGACTCTGCCAAACGCATCAAGAACCATGCAGTCGTCAATGAAGACCCTAACGCACGGATGATTCGAGAACTCAAGGAAGAGTTGGCACAACTCAGGTCGAAACTGGGAGGCGGGGTGGTCGCTGGAGGTGCAGCTGCTGGAGGTACCAGTATGGGGGTGGAAGAACAATACCCTCCGGACACTCCCTTAGAAAAGCAAATGGTCTCTATCCAACAACCCGATGGCTCTGTCACCAAGGTGAGTAAAGCGGAGATCATGGAGCAGCTCAATCAGAGCGAAAAGCTTTATAAAGATTTGAATGAAACGTGGGAGGAGAAAATGGCAAAGACAGAACAAATTCACAAAGAGCGCGAAACCGCCTTGGAAGAACTAGGTATCAGCATCGAAAAAGGCTTTATCGGTCTCAGTACTCCCAAAAAGATGCCCCATCTTGTCAACCTGAGCGATGACCCTCTCCTTACCGAGTGCCTTGTGTACAATATCAAGCCGGGAAATACTATGGTTGGAAATATGGATCAAGGAAGCCACGTCGAGATCAGGTTGAATGGCTCCAAGATTCTTCCCAGCCATTGTACATTCGAAAATGTGGACAATGTGGTTACCATCGTTCCCAGCGAAGGTGCCGCCGTTATGGTGAATGGACTACGCATCGACAAGCCCACGCGCCTAAAAAGTGGGTTCCGCATCATTTTAGGCGATTTTCATATATTCCGATTCAACCATCCACAGGAGGCTCGTGCCGAACGAGTAGAGCAAAGCTTATTGCGTCATTCTGTTACAACAAGCCAGCTTGGTTCGCCTGCCCTGAACAAAACTCATGATCGAAACTTGAGCAAGGCTGGTTCGGATCTCGAGTGGGATTCGAACAGGGCTGATTCGCCGATGCCTTCTCAACGCGGAAGAGAATCAGATTGGTTTTATGCGCGTCGCGAAGCTGTTAGTGCCGTTCTAGGACCCGATCATATCTCTCACATGCCTGATGATGAGCTGGATGCTTTATTTGAGGATGTGCAAAAAGTCAGGGCAACGCGCCGTGGCTTGGTGGAGAATGAGGAAGATTCAGACTCGTTGAGTTCATTTCCCGTTCGGGATAAATACATGTCTAATGGCACAATCGACAATTTCTCTCTGGACACGGCTATCACAATGCCTGGAACCCCTCGTCAAAATGCCGAGGATGATGGTCAAAATGGTGGCTATTCAACCCTTCAGTCGGTACGTCAGGATATGCAAAAACAACTGGACAGACAAAAGGAGCAATACCAGGATAAATTAAGGAATGCTGAAGCTTCTCCTCAAGGATCTGAGGATCCAAGTTCTGAAAAGACTCGTATGGAGGAAGTTCTTCGGGCTGCGAAAGAAGAATACGAAGAACAATTGAGGAAGCAGAAAGAAGTATTTGAGTCCCATATGAAAGACATAGGGCAGCCAGTTCCCATGATATACGAGAATGGCTTTCCCAAGTTGGACTCCAAGGAACTGGAGATCGCGCGTTCAGTTTTCGGCCACTGGTCCCAGCAAAATTATGTGCGCATGGCAGAGAAAGTGCTACAGCATGCTTCATTACTCAAAGAAGCCCAAGTCATGAGCCATATAATGGACAAGCACGTAGTTTTCCAGTTTACAATCATCGACCACGGACACAATATGGCTTCATCGTATGATCTTGTGCTTAACGGCATCTCAGGTGATGAAGATGTGATCTTAGACGATGCGAAGAAACCATGTGTTGCGGTCCGCGTCATTGATTTTAAGCAGTGTGTTATTCATCTCTGGTCCATTGAGAAACTCCAGCGTCGCCTCCAAGCTATGCGCCAACTGCATCAGTACATTGACCGCCCGGACTATATTCAACACTTCAAACTTGAGAATCCTTTCTCTGAACCGTGTTCGCCTCAGTATTCCCTTGTGGGTGATGCCGATATCCCCCTTACCGCGGTTTTCGAGACTCGAGTCCAGGATTTCTCTGTTGAGGTTCTTTCACCGTACACACAAAGCGTGGTTGGTATTATTCGGTTGTCTTTGGAGCCCTCGTCGGCTCAAGCGCCGTCGTCTACCCTCAAATTTAACGTTGTAATGCGCGATATGGCGGGCTTTGCCGAGTGGGAAGGCACCGATGTGCATGCCCAACTCTTTGTACCGGGCATCTCGGACGAGGGCGGGGCCACTACCACACAAATGATAAGCGGGTTTGATGAAACGCCGGTGCGATTTGAGAGCGTCCATAGTATGAGCTTGCCTCTCTCCAGCCCGCGGACAGCGGCTTTGAAAATCTGCGTTTATGCTCGCGTTACTCAAATGCATCTTGATAAGCTTCTCAGTTGGGATGATATGCGCGACTCAGCAGAATTAGGACCCCCCCAGGAACGAACGCAGCCGCGAATTGCCGAGTCCGAATACTATTCCGAGGAGCGACACGACGTTTTTGCAAGGGCTCAGGTGCTTGAGCTGGCGGAGTCTGGAGAATATCTTCCGGTCGAAGTTGTCCAGAGTAACGCCCTTGATTCTGGCACTTATCAGCTCCACCAAGGACTCCAGCGTCGCATCTCGGTTAACCTCACATATAGTTTAACGGAGACTCTTCCGTGGGATGATCTTACCAACATCCGTGTTGGTTCTGTCCGGTTGCTTGACCCGTGGGGTAAGATCCCTGACCAAGATCTTCGTACCCCTGACGTTCCTTTGAAGTTCGTTCAAGAGCCAATGGTGAAGGACAACGCTGATGGGACGTCCAACGTTACCATAATTGGCCAATGGGACTCGAGTTTACACGGGTCTCTTCTTTTAGACCGAGTAACTGCCGACAAGTATCGCGTGCAGGTAACCGTTCGGTGGGATCTCGTTTCTTCCCGTCTACAAGATCCGGTTTCGTTTGACGTGGACCTTACGCTTCAGGTTCAGGGACGGACATACGTGCGCCCACAGTCGATGTTCAAACAGTTCTTCAATTCAACCCGCATTGTGCATTCTACAGTCCGTATGTTTTCTGTTGCAGTTCGCCCAGTGTCTGCAAAACGCGCGGCAGATCTGTGGCGGATGAATACCCAGAACGACTATGTGAAAGGAGAAGAGCTGCTCACGACATGGTCCCCCAGGAAGGTGTCACTTGTGCGCGATTATATCACCTCCCGCAAACGACGCCGGCGTGTCGCTGAGCTTCACGCTGCAAAAGGCGCGCTCAGTGCTACTAGTCTCATAGCCTCGCCTCCGCGGAGCGGAAGATCGACACCACTTCGCAGTCAAGAAGTCGCTGATAGGAAAACCAAGCTCTTGCAAAAATATGTTGCTCTCTGGGTGACGAGGATGGATCCCATTGACGCTATTCTGGTTCGAAGCAATACCGAGCCTCCAGCGCGTGGTGCAGCTTTCGCTTCTCATGGGAAGTCGCCATCAAGTGACAATGCTGACGGTAACTTTAACCGGGAATCCTTAAAACCGCGATTTATCGCGACTGTTCAGACCCTTCCGAAGAATCCCTCGTCGCTGAAGTCCGGATACTTATTAACACCTGATGATACCAATAGCCACTGGGTTCGTCGGTTTGTGGAACTCCGTCGACCGTATCTGCACATCCACTCCGTGCCTGATGGAGACGAAATCAATGCTATCAATCTCCGCAATGCTCGAGTGGACCATGCACCTGACTTTGCGCGGCTCCTCAGCGGTCCAGGGCCCGGGTCTGACGGTGGTTCTGCAAAGGGTCGACCTAATGTATTTGCAGTGTACGGGGCAGAGAATACGTTCCTCTTCGCGGCACGAACTGAAGCTCAGAAGGTTGAATGGATCTTGAAGATTGACGAAAGTTACTTTAGCAGCAACGGCGCCCGACCAGCAGCCAACAGCTCTTAATACTGTTTCACAACTAATCGATGATGAAGAATTATATGAACTTGCCGGTATTTTACACACCCGATATACACTCGATGGGTTTGCACAAGATGTTCCCTCTTTTTGGGCACATATATATATAATATTTTTGACATTGTATTCCTTCCATTGCCCTTGATGTTTTGATTCTCCCGCGCCTCGCTGTTCAATTCCCGGTCATTCTTCGTTAAACCACGATGTCTCTTTTTCTACCCCATTTGTTGATTGGCTTTGAGATACCCCCAAATACACCTGCCCTTTCTAAGACTTGCGCCTCCCATGTACATATCGAAAATCCTCCCAAGACACACATAGACCCAACTGGTCGGCAAGGGGCCAGTGTCCGCAGGCGGCAGTGGTCCTTGTCAGATAATTTCCCTTCTATAGTGGCGAGTTCTCTGCGCTCGATAGATCATTAGTATAGCTGAGAATACTAGCTATTTCACTAAGCGATCCTTTCAATATACTCCGTAACTATTCAGTCTAAATTCGACATGCGGATATTTTTAGTACCATCAGGGTAGTTAGTTGCTATGGAAACTCAACTCCATCACCATGGTACACACCAAAAGGACCGACATCTCATCACTATGCCCACAAGATCATTCAAGATTACACCCAAACTCTTTCCTCCTTCCTGTAATACTACACGCATCGGTCCTTCGAGCGCCAAAAAGTATTACTAGAAGATCGACATGGCAATCCAGCCTACCACGCCACATCCTAACTAAACCGCCCTGCTGATATCGGCCGTTCCAAGGCCAGCCCACCTATTAATGCATATATATGTACGGAGTACTTATATTCCAAAAGCATAAAATGCCGTTTATGCAAATCCAACCCTCCTGGTTTCGCTTCCTCGGTGCTGGCGCCATTTTATCCCTGATTCTCACGGCATTCCTGGTCGTCGGAAAGGGATACTCGAACAATGCCACTGGATACGTTCTGAAGACGCCTGGTAGGCATTCTTCTTCTCAGGGATTTCCCGGTTCGCAATCGCATTCTTGTCCGTCAAGCAATGCCACGTGGGAGTTTGTCGTCCAGCGCGATGGAAATAACCACGGCCTGTCGGAGGAGCAGTGTCTATCCGCTTTTCCCAAGCTTTTTGCTGCGATTGACAAGTCCGCTGCGTTTCGAGCGGATAAGTTAATCACGTTTCAGGAGTTGGATGATGTGTCTATTGAGGATGGCATGGTACGGGGTATTGTTGATGGAGGCGAGGTGAGTATTTCATCCTTTTTTTTTCTCCCCTTTCTTTCCCGTGGGATGCGGGATAGCTGGTGCAACTCCCGAGTTCTCTCTCTGACAATACATATCCTATGTTGTTGTTATATTTTGGTAGTTGTATGTGGTGGACTTCGCGGCAATGCCGTATACATTTACTCGAGGCAAAGCGACGCTCCACTCACTCAATCGTGCGCTGGAATCTTTTCCGGGGAGAGAACATCTCCCTAGCATTGAGTTTGTCCTTTCGACGGACGACTACAGTAATGGGAAAGGGCCGGTTTGGTCGTATTCCAAACAAGCAGGGGATGAGGGGATCTGGCTAATGCCTGATTTCGGGTACTGGGCGTGGCCGGAGGTGAACATCGGGTCGTATAAGGATATCCGGCGGCGGATTGCCGCAATCGATGAAGGAACGGTGACCCCTGATGGGAGGACGACTTCCGGGCTGCAGTTCCAGGAGAAAAAGAAGCAGCTTGCGTGGAGGGGCAACGTTGCGACGAATAGCCAAATCCGCGGGAAACTCGTCGACGCTGCAAAGGGGAAAAGCTGGGCGAGTATTCGGGAAATCAACTGGGATGGTAACGACGACGACGACGACGTGCAGAGGAATCTTTTACCGATGGAGGAGCACTGTCGATATATGTTCCTTGCTCATACCGAAGGGCGGAGCTTCTCGGGCCGTGGGAAGTACCTACTTAACTGTCGCTCTGTGGTGATCTCGCACAAGCTGGTCTGGCTAGAGGCACACCATGCCGCCTTTATATCTTCCGGTCCTGACGCGAACTACGTCGAGGTGGAACGCGATTTCTCGGACCTGGAACGGAAAATCGAGTTCCTCATTGATAATCCGGAGGCAGCGGAACGGATTGCAGATAATGCTGTGAAGACCTTTCGAGACCGATATCTGACGCCGGCGGCAGAGTCGTGTTACTGGCGACATTTAATTCGCATGTATGCCGCTTCGTGCGACTTTGGGCCTGTTTTAAGCGAAACTCGAGATGGGAAACAGCAGTCTCGAGGTGTTCATTTTGAGAACTGGATTCTTAAATCATGACGACAAAGTATTCATCAATCTACTTTCAACTATATCAAAGACCATCGAGCAGTTACTTATCAAACTCGTCTAGTCTCCCGGCCCTGGAGCCTGCTGATATTGGTCGTTTGGGGTCTTTTATACAGGAGAAAGCGAACGACCCCTGATTTTTCTTTTCTTTTCCTTGCTCTATCTCCCGTGCAATAGAAACATGTCTGTTGATAAGGTGGTTCCACGATCTTAGCTCCCATCTCTAACGATAGAAGAGGTCATGAAGAATGCAATGTAGATGAACCACAGGCAACCTCAAATGAACCACAGATATCCTTAACCATACAGCACGGTATTTGAGGTCTTGCTGACAGCTCAGGTTCCGAAGACGTCTAGGTATGGCATTTGAGTGTTGCAGAGACTTGAAAAGTTGACATGCCTCATTCCGGCATGCACCGAACCCGGAGCAGCTCGCAAACAACAGCAGTCAGGAACGAAATCACCAATGGGATGCAACCGACACAGATGGAAAGGGCATGCATTAGTCTGGTTCTAATACTCTGTAGGCAATGTCTTCCAAGACTGACCAGTATCTGACTCGCCTTCCACAGCCTCTCAGGGATTATCAGTTGATCTATCTCCCTTGCGTCTCCCGCGATTTTAAGAGAGAGCAACCCAACTGTCCTACTGGAGGATTGGATTTCTAAAATTCTTCGCAAAAATACAGAGTATTAAAAGTATGAATTGCAGATTATCATCATACACAATGTCATTTTTCCGTTTTTGATCGAACGATTTGCCGCGAAACCCTCATATTACCGCTTTCGGAAGTATTCTCTATCAACCCAACTTCGACCTTTTTTCCTTCATGTTCAATGGGTCCAATCTGCACTTATGCACTGGCTGTCACATCAAGCCATTTTTGATATGTCAGGGGAAGCAAATTTCTTCATGCTTGGATCAGGGACCCAGTGCAGACGAAGCTCCACGCCCTTGCATAGACAAACTCATCGCTCAAAGCGGCCGGGCTCCATCACTGTCACTGCAAGAAAAGATCCGATATTCCTTCCTGCTATTGATTGCTCTACCGGACAATGGTTGGCTCCACTGAAATCTTAACTAACAATGCGCTTGTACGGAGTACAGCGGGTGATATCCCCGCTCAAGAGCCCACCTCTTCCAACACCACCAAATGAAACCATGTTGAAGAAGAAAGAGATCAATGCCACCTTTCAGGAACCCCAATGCGGCTACCAAGATGTCTGTGGCTTTCGGATATAAAGCCACGACGACGCATATTCGTCTGCTTTCTCTCTTCGTCCTCCAAGCCCGCATCGCATGCCTCCCAGTCCGGCATAGTGTGTATAATCAATCCATCATGTGGCCTATTCACCCGCTTTCTGCCTTTACCTTGGGCCTAGCCCTAACTACAGCATCCTCTGCTTCCCCCGTCAAGGCGCAAGGGGGAGCGCCTTGGCTAGCTATCAACTCCAATTTCCCCGACCCCAGCTTTGTCAGGGGTGGAGATGGACTCTGGTATGCCTTTGGTACCAACGGGAATGGCAAACGTGTCCAGGTTGCCGTGTCTCACGACTTCGTATCGTGGGATCTCTTGGATATCGAGGCACTCCCTCAGTTAGCGCCCTGGGAGACTGAGATAGATCACTGGGCTCCGGATGTTATACAACGAGTATGCCTTTTTTCTTCTTCTTCTTTATATACACATACATACATACACATATCCCATCCATCCCAACTAACAGTAACCCCAGGATGACGGAAGATACGTCATGTATTACTCCGGCGAAGCCAAAGAAATGGTAAGACACCACTGCGTCGGCGTCGCAGTCTCCAAAGACACAGACCCCAGGGGCCCATACATCCCCAACCCCGAGCCGCTATCGTGCCGACTAGACCAAGGCGGATCCATCGACCCGTCGGGCTTCCTGGACAAAGACGGCACGCGGTACGTGGTATTCAAAGTCGACGGCAACAGCATCGGAAACGGCGGCGACTGCAACAACGGCATTGCACCGCTCAAGCCCACCCCGATCCTGCTTCAACCGGTCGCTCCCGACGGGTTCACTCCTGTCGGGGAGGCCGTGCAGATCCTCGACCGCGACGACGCCGACGGACCGCTCGTGGAGGCCCCCAATCTGATCTTGCACGGGGACACTTATTTCCTGTTTTACTCGACCCACTGCTTCACCGACCCGCGGTATGATGTGCGGTATGCGACGTCCAAGTCCATCACGGGTCCCTATGTGAAGACCGGCGCGAAGCTGCTGCAGTCTGGGAACTTTGGCTTGACCTCGCCTGGTGGGGGCACGGTGTGTGGCTGTGGAGATAGGATTCTTTTCCATGGGTTCTGTGGTACTGATACGCGGTGCACTTATGCTGCGAATCTCAGTATTGAGGGGGATCGGGTGGTTTTGGTGTAAGGGTTTGGGCTTCGTTTCTTCTTCTTCTTCTTCTTCTTCTTTTTTTTTTTTTTTTTTTTTTCTTTCTTCTTGAATTAAATTCATACTAGATCGAGTTCAAGGTCCAGTGCAGCTTTTTGTTATCAAAATGCAATGATGTATTACTAGTATCATCTGGGGTATCTATATCTAGGTTTGTTGATGCAAGGTGTCTCTAATTATTAGTCAAGTAGAAGTGTCTTCAGATGCATCTTGAGACTTTTCTTCACCTTTTCCGCTCTTCTCCTCAGTCTCCTCGGCCTTCTCAGTCTTCTCTTCGACCGTGTCAGACTTCTGCTCAGTCTTACTTTCAGTCTTACTTTCAGTCTTCTCCTTCTTATCCCCCTCTTGCTTCTTCGCCCGAAGCTCGTCAACCCACTTCCCCGCGGCGCTAATTGCCCTCTCCGGGTCCGTCTTGTGATTCAACAAATACCCCTGGATCTCAGCAGGAGTAAACTCCCCGGCTGGGACAACCGCCGCAAACTCCAAGGCCCACGCGCAGACCTGCTCCTGGGAGAACCGCGCTTTCTTATCCGCCACAAAGCGCAGCGTCTTGGACGCCCCGTTGGTGCGGGACGCGCGCAGGTCACCCTCAAGCGTGGAGTAGATAGCAGAGAACAGTTCCTTGATGTCGTCGGAGGTGGAGTAGCCAAAGGCAATGGACATATCGACTCGGCCCGGGCGGATGAGCGCAGGGTCGAGTTTCTCCGGGTGGTTAGTGGTCATGACGAGGATGCGGCCTTCGCAGGCGGCAACGCCGTCAATGACGTTCAAGAGACCCGAAAGCGAGACGCCGACTTTCTCGAGGACACTCGTCGTCTCCCCTGAGGATGATGATGAAGAAGAAGAAGAAGGGGGGGAGCCAGAGGAGGAAGAGTCGCCTGCCGTTGCGGCTTTCTTTTCTTCGGAGTCGGCCCCGGGTTCGTCGCTGCGTTTGTGGGACATGCCGGCGCAGTCGACATCCTCGAGCAGCACAATGCATCGGCGAGGGAGTTCCTGGAAGAGGGCCATGAGTTCGTCTTCGTCGAGGCTCTTGGAGCTGAGGTTAAGCAGGTAGAGTTGGAGTCCCAGCAAGCCTGATGCAGCGAAGCAAAGACTGGTCTTTCCTGTGCCGGGGGGCCCATGGAGGAGATATCCCCGGCGGTAGGGGATACCACGGTTGGAATACCATCGGCGGGTGCGGGGGTGAAGGTACTCCTTGATATCGTCAATAAAGCTCTGTTTCTGGGCAGGGTCCAGCACGACGGTGGAGAGAGCCCGAGGCGCGCGTGCCATGCAGCGTCCCCACTCCGTGTATCCGCCGCTCTTCTGGCCGCGGTAGATGACGGTGCTGTTGTTGTCCCGGGCGACGTAGGTGCGCTGGGCCTCGAGGAGCAGCTCCTTGAGGATCGTGGGGTCGCGCCCAATACAGGAGACAAACAGTCGCTCCGAAACCCTGGCGGAGTAATAATTGCTGCTGTTGTTCTCGTCCTTCTGCCGGATGAAAGCCAGAGGCCGTCCATTGAACCAGAAGTAGTGGGTGCCCTCGGAGGGGGTGAACCGGAGACGCTTATGCTTGTCTCGTGCCACCGCCTTAGCCCAGTATTCGTCAAAATCGACAATGACATTTCCCTCTTCATCGTACTCGTCAGACTCGCCCCAGCCGTCATCGTCCTCGGAGTCGTAGTAGCTCGATGTCCCGCTGATCTTTGTTCCGGCGACGAAATGGGTGGTGTGGTTTGTGAAGGGTTGCTGGGAAAGCCAAAACATGAGGTAGCTGTAGACTTCATCTTCACGACGGATTTCGGCTGTAGAGACGCAGTGTTCTTCTAGCAGCTCTCGAACCTGGTAAAAGACATAGCGTCCTGCGGCGCCCAGGACAGCCGCAGTAACGAGGTAGGGGATGTACAGGGACAGGTCAATGTGAAGATATGAGATGAGGAAGCGTGAGATCATAGCGTACCCGGGGATGAACACCTCCAGCATCGCAGTGTCAGAGGGGTTTAAGCCCGGGGTAGAATTCATGGTGGAATTCATGTTGTTGTTGGTGTTCATGATATTTCCCAGATTAGGTGCGAAGACTGGGTTCCCTAACGCCATAAAATGGGGGGGGGGGGGGGGGGGGTTCTCTCATGCAACAGCTAAGAAGAAGACAATAAAAAGGAAAGGAAAGGAAAGGAATAGAGATGGAAAGAGAATGATGGTTAATGGGATCTTGGGAGATGAGGTATTGTGAGAGCAGTACTTATAGTTACTTGTGGGGGGAAGATCTTGAAAGAAAGTCATCAGGCTGACAGTCCAGGCAGCCATCCAAGTTGATCGCCTGTCAGCCCTGGAGAAATCATCATCAATACACATATTTCATTTCATTTCATCTCTGAATCGTTCGTGCATTTATGAATCATCTTCCCCCACTCTCCTTGTGGCGGTGAGTCACTTCTCTTCTCACTGGATGAGGCTGAGTCTCTCTCTCTCTCTCTCTCTCTCTCCAGTCAATAGAATCTCGTTAAATTGAGCCAATTGATTATGCACGAGAATTCAACGTCAAAAATCACATGGGTATCTCTAGCTTATCTCTCTAGTGACTATAGTCGACTGATTATATATGGGTGTTAAAAACAGGAGTTAAAAAAAAAAAAAAAAAAAAATTGATGACTGCGCCTCGACCCCTCAAACGGTCTACACCTACCCATACGCGGTGGCTTTACGCAATATTATCCTTGACGGTTGTCGATCAGATCGGTCGCCCAGTCTTTCAAATCCTCCACCTTGTCCCAAAGAGCTTCCAACCAGGAGTCGCTGGGCTCCTCGTCGGGGTCCTCTTTAGGACTAGCCGAAGATGAAGGCGAAGATGACTCCAAAGCAACAACCGGCGCAGTCGAGTCGAGAGGCATATTGACAGGTGATGTCGTGGTTGGAGGATCCGAAGGATTCTCAGCAGCAGGAGCACTCTCATCCGAATGAAGGCCCTTGGGCTTCAAAGGCAGGCGCAATGTTCCATTGTTCGGGAGGGGAGGCATGCCCAGAGAATCGCATAAAATATTATATACATTAATGTTTTCTGCCTGGGTTAGTATGGGCTATGCGGATAATATATCTATAGCTGTCTGGAACTTACGGAAAACTTCTAGGCGGCTGTTAGGCGCATGGGGGAAGGCGGGACCCCGAGCGATAAAGATGGCCCGCATCAACGGGTGCTCGTGATCATATCCGTGGATACCCTTCGGATGGTAGACCTCGCCATTCTCAAGTGCCTTGTGGGCGTCAAATTCGGGCCTCTCGACAATTGCCCAGCCGGTCTTCGGAATCACCCAAAGGGGAGCGATGCGATCATTGTTCTGGAAATGGTATCGTTCGGGCATCGATTCGCGCGTGTATATTTCGATTGCATGGGAATACTCGGATGCGACACGCTCTAACTGGTCTTGGAGGGTCTGAAGATCCTCAGGTCGTTTGGGGCGAATTCCGCGAAGAGGCCACCCGTCAATGCGGCTAGTGAGGCTGATATCTATCAAATCATCTAGCTGCACGAGCCGCTCGGTGGCAGTTGTAGCCATTCCGTGATCAGACACGATCACAATATTGACAATGTCAGTGAGATTGCGCTCCTGAATGCCTGAGAAAAGAGTGGCCAGCATGTTATCCACTGCAGAGATGGTACTCCGAATCTCGGTGCTATTTGGCCCATACTTGTGTCCGTCCGCATCAACGTTGGGAACATAGGCGGCGATGAACTGAGGGCGACCTGGCCCAGTCAGGGACTCGTCCTCAAGCCCAGGTAGGTCGAGCAGCTCCAGGATGCGCTGTGGTTTCCGAGGAAGCACCTCCGAGCCATTATACTGATCCAAATAAGTCGGTTCCACGCCCCCGATATGCGCCTCCGAGCCAGGCCACATGTGAATGGCAGTTTTGATCCCCCGATTCTCGGCAGTCATCCAAAGTGGCTCTGCGTTCCACCACTTAGGCTGCATGCTAACCGACGGGTGAGTGTAATAAAATTGCTCCTGCAATTCTGGGTCCCAAAACGTGTTCCCTACAACTCCGTGGCTCTCCGGATACAGCCCTGTGACGAGCGTGAAATGGTTCGGGAAGGTGACGCTGGGAAAGCTGGGGAGCATGTATTGCGGGGAAACGCCGTTCGCGATAAAGGAATTGAGAGTCGGCGTTAGACCGCGGTTGAGGAAATCTGCCCGAAACCCATCCAGTGATATCAGGATAGTAGTAGGAGCGAATAAGGCGGTGCCGTTGGAGAGTAGTTGTCTCGGGGTATGCGATGAACGAAACCCAGCGGATGCTTTGTATGCCCCCAGAAGTAGGATAAGGAAGAGAACGAATACGGCAGAAAATACCAGAGACAGTTTTCGCCATGAGACATTTTGTCGATCCTAGTCGTGAAAAAAAGCCAGGTACAGGTTAGCCATGAAGACAACAGAACAGACATTATTAACCCCCCCCAAAAAATGCATCTCATTGCGCATACCTGAAGATCAGCGTACTGCTTTACCCGCTCATCCAGGTCTGATGACGCCGCACGTAAAAGGGAAGCCTCGTCCTCCCGGTGGCCTTCCTCCATCTCGTACATTTCCTCCTCGGATCCCTTTCTCTTCTCACGGCGCGCCCTGCGTGCTTCTCTCCTTTCTTTCCTCTGCTGTTGTCGTCTAAGCTCCTTCTTCCCGATCCTAACGCTGCTGCTACTCGGGCTAAAGATTCGACGGAGGCCATGGGTCGGTCCAGTCCTCGTGAGTAGTTTCTCCGTCTCCTCTTCGTCGTCGAGGACTGATCGATCGTGCTGGGCGAGCTCTAGGGTTGTCCGGGAATTACGCAGGAATGCGTCGTCTTCAGAATCAGAGTCCTGCTCTGAGGGGGACCGCAAAGACTCGGCATCCTCGTCGTAATCACCCGGGGAGAGAAGGGAATGATCACGTCGTGAGGGCATGGGCAAGAGGTGGTGTCATGGTACGGGGTTTGTGATATTGATGAAAGATGGTTGTCTTGAGGTCGTTGGACGTCTTGGCGCTGGAGCTCGTCGACTAGAGTCCGGCCGCGAGCACGAGGGTACCACATGGCATAGAACCCCGCGGTGGATATTTCATCATGGAGTAGTTGAATAATTCAATCTAGACAAACATGGAAATAATATCCAGGTTGGACTCGTCAGTTCTTCGAGTATCAGGCTGTCGGAAATATCAACCGTGTAAGAACAGATTCTGTGTCACGCTTATGTAACACTTTATGGCTGTCTTTCAACAACAAGGGCAAGATGGCCGAGTGGTCTAAGGCGATTGATTAGAAATCAATTCTCTTCGGAGGCCAGAGTTCGAATCTCTGTCTTGTCGCATATCTTTTTATTTTTATTTTTTTTTATCGTCGGGTCTTTTCTTGATCACACATACTTTTTCTTTATTTTCGCCTTTTTTCGCCTTTTTTTTAACTATGCGTATGCCAGGAGACCTTCTACTAAAGGCGTTGCAAAGCCATGGAGTAAGACGCGAGATAATATCACCCTCCGTGAGGGCGTCTTTTAGTTCATAGCATTGGAATCAAATGTATATATCCCTTGAGCACTTTCAAATGTTAACCCTAAAAACATTCATTGTTTTCATTTTGGTTTTTAGCCGCTCAGGAAAACAATTGTGGTGTTCATCCGATATACTTCTTCCACGGCAAGGTCAATATACAGACCCTTCGCTAACAAACTCCTCTTCCCACGCATTCACGGAAGTAGGGCTGTATTAGGAGACAGTAGGTACTGTATATCCATCAAGAACTACCTAGGTACTATCAAATGTATACCGATAGCCAATCTTTACGACACGTGCTGCTAAACCCTCATTGCGTGTGTACAGGCTGTCAACTATCGGCAAAGAACATCGACTAGGGTTACGGTCACTAATGCACGCTTATATTGCTTTAGATTAGTTACCGAACCTGGTCACCGAGGTCCAAGAAGAAAACACCGTTAGAACACATGCTTGACGACAATGACGGGTCATTCAGTCTATGATACACCCTAAATGCGGAGGCTAGTTGAATAGCCTTGAAGTCAAGTCTCTCATGACTCGTGGATGGTCCCGTCAGATTGACATCGTCAGGAACGCTGTCACCTTTGGTTTGCTGAGGCGGTCCCTCGTCAGGTTTCCTCATCCATTAACCTAGGTCAATTCTCCATATCTTTGGCTCTTTGGCAATAACGGCGTGATACCTACACCTGCACGTCCAGGAGCTATAGATGTTGCGCCATTATCAGAAGCAGGTTTTAACGGGCACGCGGCACAATGTTTGGTCTTGAATTGCCCCTTTATCACAGGGAATTGGTGCTTGCGGGGTTTTTTTTTTTTATCATTCTAGTGCCCGTTTCAACGACGGTGGGCGGTTAGGGAGATATAAAAGTATGCCTTCTTCGTGTTAGGGTATGTAGATTTCCACAGAACTCCCTATCAATCTTCCGCTGGGGAGAGGGGGAAAAAAAAATACCATCTCCGTTCAGGGACAATCTGATCTCGAAATGACTTCCCCTATGATGAAGGTTTTGGCGGCTACAGTTGCAGTTTCATCTGCACTTGTCTCTGCTCATCCGGCGCTACATCCAGCTATACGGAGAGACAGCACTTCCGCTGATATAAAGCCAACTTCGGAAATCTCTTTGTATTACCAATCGGTCAATTCCAGCTCCCTTGGTGCTTTGGTCCAGGCCGACTTGCAAATCCCCTCCGTCGTCCTTGAAAACATCCAGGACCTGTCATCTGTGGTCTGTTCTACCGAAAGTGTCACGATCACATTTAATTCCACCACGGCCTATGATCAAAGCTACTCGACCTGGCCTCACTCCGACTTGCTTCTTGTCACCAACCATCTCGGAAACTGCGATGCTGAGGCAGAGCGCGGACTCTACCAAGTCAGCTCTCTTGCATTCGATAACCGCACCCTGACCATCACCGCCTCAACCACAGAGACAAACCTCCAAACCCAAGCCAAAAATGTCGCCATCGCCTTTGGCAGTTCCTTGGCATCTGGGTCCAGAAAGCGCGATCTCACAGCCAGTGTGGACCTCGACTGGTCGGGCGATCTGATCAACACAACGGCTCTCAAAATCCATGCCGGTGAGGCGTCCCTGGATGCCACCGTCGATATCAGCGGCTACATCCAGTTCAACCTCCTCGCCTTGACGGCCAGCAAGCTCGAGATTGACATCGCTCTGGACCTTGCTGCGGCACTGAACCTCACTGTCTCCGCCACCGGCTCGCTCAGCAAAAATCTATATAGCTACACATGGAGCCCTATCTCCGTTTCCCCATTCACAATCCCCGGGATCCTGAGCATCGGACCGATTCTGGATGTCGATGTCGGCGTGGACTTTGGCATCGGCGGCTCGGCCGACATTGTCGGGAACATGTCTGTTTCAAGCAGTGGACTCGTCCATCTCGACCTCCTCAATGCTACCGGCAGCTCAGTGTCAGGCCTGTCACCAAAGGCCACGGCTTCAGCGACCATTTCTGCCTTGGCAGACGTAGACCTGGACCCGTTTGTTGGCGCGGAAGCAGCGGTGGGGATCACCCTCTTCAATGGGCTTCTAGACCTCTCGTCCGGAGTGAAGGCCAAGGCAACGGTTGCGAATGTCTTTACCGTCGATGCCGATGTAGGCATTACCGAGCCCGGAAATGTCACGCTGATTTCCGGCACTGGGTCTTGCAGCAATGGGTACTGGTTCACCAGTGACTTTGTGTTTAATGCCACTGCATTTGTGACGGAGTTCTACTCGGTAGACCTCTATTCCATGGATGCTCCCATTTATAGCACGTCCTGTATGCTTTTTTAGTGTGATCCTTTCAGCCCTGAGATCCAATAGCATGGAGATTATCAGGGTGGAACGATTAGGTATGGTAAGGGCCATTTCTCTTTTCCAGGAATACCAACTCAATAGCACCACCAACTGTGTTTTTATGTAATTTTCTGCAACATAGCATCCTCGTTAAGAGATCATTAATTTGTTGACAACTAACTAGTTACTCCGTACATGGCAGATTAATAAATAGTTACTAGGGCTAAGTGAGCTGCACCAACGGAGTACTAACCAAGTCTGCGTAGTGTTAAGGACGGAACTTTACCAACGCATTCAATTTCAAGCTCTTTGTGATGACCCACAACGCCCCTATTATTACTGAGAGCTTCAAGGTGTCCAAAAAAAAAAACGCAAAAAGATATGCGACAAGACAGAGATTCGAACTCTGGCCTCCGAAGAGAATTGATTTCTAATCAATCGCCTTAGACCACTCGGCCATCTTGCCTTTGTTGTTGAAAGCCGTCGAATTTTTGCCTATATAAGTCTGGGGTTTTTTTTCCCCCCAAAATTAGATGTATTGGGTATCCAGGACTTTGCATTCTAAGCTACTGTACTTCTTACTCTACAGTGTTTTAAAGATTACATGGACGGGACTAGAATGACTTCATCACGCACAATATCGGTAGACATGCGTGATATTGTTCAAATAAAACATGTGAATGGATATCGCTGGACATGAAGACAACCTGGTTTCGAGTCTCTACCTTGGGACTACCTACAAGCAAGGAGGACAGAAGTTTCATTGAGGATGGCCAGGAGATATGTTAACCGTCCCCGCGAATTTAAATATGGTGGTTTGGATGGTGCACTAAGCAAGCAATTCCCACGATACTGGTCGTCTATCCTCGCTGGTGGCCAGCGGGTTAACAAGAACATAGTCATATCAGAAGTTCGGGAACTACTGTCGGTTTGCAATTTGCTGGCGCTTTGTAGGACATCTACTGTACCTGTTATATAGTATTAAGTTGTTGTTCAGGGTGTTATGTATTCGTAGTGGGAGTAGTTCAGAATCAGCTTACTTTGTCTTAGGGTTTAACTATCTGTAAGAGCATGCTGATTCGGGCAAGCAATGTCTATACCATTGGACAAAAAGGTCACTGTGATCAGAGCTGATAGTCTGATCTACCCGAGTCCCGCCATATATACTCTAGTCATCAATTGTCAGGCACCAGGTGCACGCCGTGACATTATCTTGGTCCTTTCGTTACTTCGCCTTGCGAAGAAGTCGACTAAGGAATCTGCTGCTCGGGTTTACAACTACATTTCGGTTCACAAATTGCTTGACCCACACAATTCCCCTGGCCATTACTTTATTGGATATCACAACCCGAGCGGGTTAAAAAAAAATAACAAAAAATATACGACAAGACAGAGATTCGAACTCTGGCCTCCGAAGAGAATTGATTTCTAATCAATCGCCTTAGACCACTCGGCCATCTTGCCCTTGTTGTGAAAAAGCCGCCAGAATTGACTATATGAGTCTACAGACATTTCCCTCTTCTTTTTTGTCTCGATAAAGAAGTACAACAGGCAGTGAGATAGGCTAGTTATGTGGTTATAGTGGGTTACTATTTTCAAATTATTGTATGATCTGGTCTCGGGGCCATGGATTCCGCTGGTAGTCTTGGATTTGATTGGTGGGTAGTTGATTTCTCCTTGTGTACCTCAAACTATATATTTTTGGTGTCCGTTTATATCAATGACAACTATCCAACCAGGCGTCCATGTCTCAACACTGAAGAAAATACGGTTCAACGGCGAATACATCAAGAAGGCATGACGAACGAGACGAGCTGACTCTGTTTTCAAATCCCATGAGTCGTATACTCATATCTGGTTCCCTACGCAGACACCAACTGCTGGGGATCTTCCATAACTCTTCCCAAATTCACAACAAACCCAATATGATGGCGGAGTGACTTAGCACCAGAGCGCGCCAATATCGACGATCCTCTGCATAAGATCATAAACGTATAACCGAGATGGGGAGAGAACCTGTAGCATGGCCGCATCTATCAAGGTTAGACCGATTAACTCCAACGCCGGCAGCTACTCGGCTGCAGAACTGCATATCGGCCCACAATAGCCATATCGGCATGAACTCGACGAAAAACCTACTGATCAGCGAACTGCGCCAGCAAGAATGGATCTTCATCCCTGGTGGCCGAGTTTCTGCGTTCAGAACCTCGGGATCTTCCCATTTCGGAAATGTAGGGCTGGGCCAGCATCACGTGACACATACTTGCCCCCGAAAGGAATGCTTCGATACAGGAACGGGGAAGGCTTTTTGTCATCGATCGTCCTATAGCTTGCTGAATGAGACCCGATCCTGCAGGAGAGAGACTGGGGCATCCCTAGAGTATACAAACATTTATCCGAATGCAGAACCTGGACGGCATCATCGCGATCAACATGCCCCCGGTTCCAGGTATCATGGAGTTGAAAATAGAACCATTGAGGAAAACAAGCTATCCACTAGGATCGAAAGCAATATCGAATCTAACGACAAGCTCCAAGATGGGGGGCATCAGAAACTATAAAGAAGCTCCCATCACCCCAGATTGAACTCCTCCATCATCAGCAAAACATCGTCCATCGTCTTCCATTTCATTCAATATACCCTTCAAAAGCTCAAGCAAACAGCCTGTCTCTTTGCCTCCTCCTCTCGAAGAACCTCAAAACACAATCAAAATGCATTTCTCCAAATCTCATGCTATGGCCACCTTGGCCCTCGTCGCTGGTACAGCCCACGCTGGCGCAGCACACCAGAAGGAAACCGTCACCACCATCTGCGCAACCACTACCATCTACGCGCCTTTCCCTCCTCCCGTCGAGACCTCCACCCCCGAGACTACCTGGGTGACCACTACCACGACCATCTGTGACAAGAACACCTGCCACGAGAAGCCCACATCGATCCCCATCGTCGTCCCTACACAGAAGCCCGAGGAGCCCAAACCTCACCCCAAGCCGCAGCCTCAGCCTGAAACGACCTGGGTGTCAACCACCACCACCATCTGCGACAAGAATACCTGCCACGAGAAGCCCACCTCTATCCCCATCGTCGTCCCTACGCAGACTCCCGAGAAGCACAAGCCTCATCCCAAGCCCCAGCCCCAGCCCGAGACCACCTGGGTGTCAACCACCACGACCATCTGCGACAAGGACACCTGCCACGAGAAGCCCACATCGATCCCCATCGTTGTCCCTACACAGAAGCCCGAGGAGCCCAAACCTCACCCTAAGCCGCAGCCGCAGCCCGAGACCACCTGGGTGTCAACCACCACGACCATCTGCGACAAGGACACCTGCCACGAAAAGCCCACCTCCATCCCCATCGTCGTGCCCGTGCCCGCAGTCCCCACTTCAACCCCTTCTTCCGGCCCGGCTCCCGCCCCCGCCCCCGAAGTCAAGCCCAGCAACGAGGTGCCAGTGCCCCCAGCACCCACCAAGTCCAGCACCCCCCCAGTGATCCCAACCGTCGCGCCTGCCCACCCCACCTCCAAGGCTATCATCGTCATCCCGAGCTCCTCCTCGGCGCACATGCGCAGCTCCGCAGCCATCAAGCCCACCACCACGACCAGAACCACCAAGGGCGGGAAAGAGACGGCAAAGCCCACCAACGCTCCCCAGCAGCCTCCTTCGACCTCCGCCCCCGTTCTGCCCTCGAGCCCTGGCTCCAGGGTGATTGTGCCCGGGCTGGCGAGCATGGGTGCGCTTGCCTTGGCTTTGTTTTACCTGGCTTAGCTTGCTTATGTACATAGTGAGGTCGCAACAACCCGGGGCCGTTTACATATCGGATCTAAATAGACGAAAGGCTTGGGATGGAGTTTGGTTTCTTCACTTCCCTCTTTCTTTCTTTCTTTCTTTCTTTTCTTTCTTTCTTTTCTTTTCTTAATAATATCTGCATTTGTGTTTGGATCTGGGGGAATTGGGAGTTAGCATGCATTGCGCGCATACAGGGGTTTTTTTTTTTTTCATTTACTACTACGTACTAGAGTTATGTATGGATTTGAGTGCGGTTGCATCTTTTCAATGGTTTATGCACCTAGGCTAGGTATTCTCCTGCATTTAGATCACTCATCGAATGTCAAATACTGCATATTCCATATCTTTATATTATATATATTGCTGTAGTATTCCTTTTTTTTTTTTATATATATATGCACTCGCTATGCTCCGTAGTCGGTATGTAAGGCTCTCTCTGGTAACATTGTACCATTGTATATTGTGTAAAACAAAAGAAGAACATCAAGAATTCATTCATTATACATGACATATGACTAGTTATGTATTATAATGGACACATCTCAGATCAGACTGCCGAAATCCAATTCACCCACTCGCAAGCACACCCCCCCCGGCCACCATCGTACCCGCCGGAATCTGAACTCTCGCTCGACAATGACTCCCACGAGCTTAGATTAAATATCCCCGGCGCAGGATTAATCAGCGTCCCGTCGAACCCCCGATTTTCGATCTGGAATTTCTTCTCCGTGCTATTGATGTGCTGGTCCGATTCCATGCCGTAGCAGTACACCATCTTCTTGGACGCAGTTCCTCCATGTCTGTCTAGAGTGATGGTCACGGGATAGGGAAATGAACCGGGGCGGGTAAAGTCCGTAGCGGAGGAGGAGCTGGTCGCCTGCGTGGTAGATGTGGATGTTGCGCGGGCGGAGGATGTGGTGGAGGGCGCAGGAAGCAGCTGTTTTCCGACTTTGTCGGGTTTTGTCCAGATTTGGACAAGGAACCGAGTTTGCGCCCAGGTGCATCGGACACGGGCGTCCGCTTCGGTGGAGCCGCCGTCGGTGTCGTTTGCTGTGGTGTCTTGGTGGCCTGTGAGAGGCGTGGTCGAAGAGAGGAAGATGGATTTGTCGAAGTAGTTATAGAACCCGTAGTGTTCGTTGTCCTCTCCGCGGTTGTAAAGTCGGACGGGCTGGGAAGAGGGAAGTGGGTACAGGGTTGCTGCCGCAGCGGTTCCGTCCAAGTTCGTTGAAGGTGAGGGGATGAGGGATGCAATATCGGGGAAGGGGTTGCTGCTGGATCTTCGTGACAGTCGACCCGAGGACACGGGAGAGATGATCGTTATGTAAAAAGGCGTTTCTTCTCCTGCGTAAGGGACCGAGTTGCCGTCCGTCGCATTTCCCAGGAACGTTTGCTCTGCTACACTGGGAGGACTCGGGCTAGGGTTGAACAATTCGTCTGTACTTCTTGAAGCTAGAACCTCTAAGGATCGTGATACAACAGCTGTGCTGTGATCGTAGGTCCCGTTCTTGAACCGGATTTCTACTCGAAAGTTAGGTTGGTTGCCAGCGTAAGGCGCATTGGCAGCTTGTTCCTCCTTAGGCAAGGCACAGCTCCAGAGACTCGAAGGATTAATACATCCCGATTGCTGTACCTGAGCTTCGGTTCCAGCGATTGTTGAGATACCAGTAGGCATTGGTGGATATCCGGTTAGATTCAACCACTGCGATTGAACAGGCGTATTGTCCCCGCTTCTTGTCAGGAGAACAGCAGGAAGAATGGAACCCAACAGGGAGAGCAGGAGTAATATAAAGATGGCAAAGTACCATCGACGCTTCAGTTTTCCCTTTTTGCCTAGCTTTCCAAAACAGCCCTTTTTGATAAAACAACCCCTTCCTCGCCGTACTCCCCTGGATTTCCCGCCCTCTGTGTCCTCCCTTTCAACCCTTCGTCGATTTTCGATCCTATCTGTTTCGGTAACAGAGTGCGTCCTTATATCTCTCGTGATGGGGACAGCCATTACGCGGGGAGGCAAGGCTGCTGAACAATTGCCATGAGGGGTATACGCTGGCGCGGGACCAGCTGGCATCTGGGACATTGGTATCGACCCGACTCTTTCAGTGGCTTCTTGTAGGCTTCGCGGTGAAGCAGAGTAAGGGGGATGTGGCTGTACTCCGTAGCTTGGTGGAGGTGCTTGCTCTGGAGAAGATATTGCAATCGGAGCCGGAGCCACGGCAGGTTGAGGACGTTGAACGTCAGTATTTGCAGGAGGGGGTGAAGGGCCAGGTTCTGTGTAGATATTCGCGGTGGGATAGGCAGAGGGTAGTGGGACATAAACGTTCGCAATCGGAGCTGGAGTCTCTCTTGGTCGTCTAAAAGAGAGATAAGTTGACGGATTTTCACTTCGATCTTCTGAAAATGGCGCTGGAGCCTCTCTCAGTTGCCTAAAAGAGGGATAAGATGACTTGTTTTCACTTCGATCCCCTGAAGGCGGCTCTGAAGGTGGCTCTGGAATCTCTCTTGGTTGTCTAAAAGAGGGATAAGATGACAAGGGATAAGTTGACTGGTTTTTACTTCGATTCTCTGAAGGCGGCTCTGAAGGTGGCGCTGGAGCCTCTCTCGGTCGTCTAAAAGAAGGATAAGTTGACTGGTTTTCACTTTGATCCCCCGAAGGCAGCTCTGAAGGTGGCTCTGGAACCTCTCTTGGTTGTCTAAAAGAAGGATAAGTTGACTGGTTTTCACTTCGATCCTCTGAAGGCGGCTCTGAAGGTGGCGCTGGAGCCTCTCTCGGTCGTCTAAAAGAAGGATAAGTTGACTGGTTTTCACTTCGATCCCCCGAAGGCGGCTCTGAAGGTGGCTCTGGAACCTCTCTTGGTTGTCTAAAAGAAGGATAAGTTGACTGGTCTTCACTTCGATCCTCTGGTAGTGCTGGAACCTCTCTTGGTTGTCTAAAAGAGAGATAAGTTGACGGATTTTCACTTCGATCTTCTGAAAATGGCGCTGGAGCCTCTCTCAGTTGCCTAAAAGAGGGATAAGATGACTTGTTTTCACTTCGATCCCCTGAAGGCGGCTCTGAAGGTGGCTCTGGAACCTCCCTTGGTTGTCTAAAAGAAGGATACGTTGGCTGGTTTTCACTTCGATCCTCCGAAGGCGGAGCTGGAGCTCTCGCACTTCCATGGGAATCGGGAATGTGGGAATTGGCTTTTGGGCTTTCGGGTGTTTTCATTATAGGTGCCTCTATATGCCGAGGGCTGCTGGAAGATTCGCTCAACGCTCGGGTTGTCAGGTTTGGCTCATCGGGAGAACCCGAATTAATCGATGTAACAGAAGACCTGGATGTGCAAGGATTGCCGGGATTGCCAGGGCTTCCAGTACGAGGCATGTCATCAACGTCTATTAAGAGATTCCTCTCTCCCTGAGCAGCATCGTCTGCCGAGGAAGTCGTAATCAATGCCGGTACCTTGTCCTTCGGGGTGATTGAACAGACGTGATTGACGCATTCAAAATAAGGTCGTCCACTGAAGAGCTCATGGGCACATGCTTGATAGTATTCGGCGGCAGTGCCCTGAACCCTCTGATCTGTTGACATAAACGAGAGTGTTCCGGGATCTCGGGAGCTTTTCGGGTTGTCTTCTATGCTCCAATCGAAGTCGGCGAAGGGATTCCCGTCGGTAGGCTGCCAGCTGGGGATCATACTGCGTCGTGCTTCTGTTGCGTCAGGCGTATCTGGCGAGAAATAAGATACTTCCTTTCCCTCCCACCAATCGTCCGTTAAACTGGTAGACTGGGTAGCAATGGTAGGTACTGGGGGCCTAGGGGTCTCAGCACGTGTGTTCCGACTGAGTATCGTACTGGTACGACCCAACAAAGGCGATAGAAGATAATTCCACCACCCATGGGAGGCGTGCCTATTCATCTGTGTGTTGACACTTAGCCTGTCAGAAGATTGATTGATATTCTCATTGGAGTAGGAGCGAGATCGCCCTATTGATTGGCGATCCTCCTCTTTCTTGTCCACGGCACCCGTGGAATACGAACGTCGCTTTCGTACTGAATCCACCGACAGCCCTTGAATATCTGGACTTTTACCTTCATTGCTGGTGGTAGAGCAGAACGCTGGAAGAGCAGGCACTGGAGGTATATCGGGCTGATCTGCTCCAAGATATGGTGTTGGTTGGGAGTAAACACTTGATGCTGCTCTGGGGCGTGCGTTTTCCAGGGCCAGCAGACCAGGCCAAAAGGTGTCTTCCTTGGCCGGGGTCACAATGATAGAGGGTGTAAGAGGAGTTTGCTGTGTACCAGCACTGTCAAGCTCCTTTGATTTTGCATCCTGGGATTGTGGGGAGTCATCGAATGGCATGGTAATTCCGATGATAATGGGCCTGTCAGACGGAGACAAATCATCCTTGAGTTTCCTTTTCGGACTCTTAGAAATGGCATTAATCCACGAGGTTCTCCTTTGCTCTCCTGGCTCTGAAGAATCATCAGGCAGCCTGTGGAAGCCATCCCTATTTCCTTTCTTCAAGATACCCTTGATCCCTTGTTGTACCGACCTCTCTTCTTCCCGCGCTCGAGACAGAACCTTGAGGTCATTCAAATCCACGAACGGAGCTGCCATCACTTCCGTTCGTGGGTTGGAAGCTGACTGAGAAAGATCAGTGACAAGATTCAGCCCTACCGGGCGCTCTGTGTTCTTTCGTCTAGAGTAAGGATTCGAACTATTCTCGCTCTTTTCTGAGGTGTAGGGGATGGATATTCGGCCCGCACCCGGCTTGTAACCTATTTGGTTACGATTAGACATCTTGGAGAGATATTCGAACGGCCGATTCTTTTCCATCTCTCTGTCTTCCGAGGATGATGAAGTGGGAGTGACGATCTCCTCTGTAATCGGCGACGAGAGGGGAAACTTTGGAATATCAGGGATTTTCAGCTGCATCTGCGGCTTGTTTGCGTTGCGCACCATTTTTCGTAGACCTTATCTGATATCCTCCTCCGTAAGCAGCATACATTAGTTGAGTCCTAGCAGAGGCGATGATGGTAGATGGGATGAAAACCATACCAAAATAGACACAACACGACGAGACAAGCTGGGTTCAACGAAGAGTTGGCCAGCGCGTGAGAGAACTATGCCAGAGTATGTAGGCGAGTAATCAGTTCATAAAGAGATAATGGAACACGTCAAGAGCTTTTATCCATGAATCCAGCACCAGCACATTCCAAGAGAAGGAAGAAGAGCTGAAAGGAAGAAAACACCGTGAATGGATGCAACAATGCTAATAGAAAATGAAACCCCCAACAAACGCCACCATAGATCCAGCTATTGTTGTTCTCAGGCCATAAAACATGTAAGTCAAAGAGAGATAAAAGAAGTGAAAAAAAAAAAAAATGAAAGAAAATCACAGACAAACCTGACTTGTGACCCGAGAAAGAAAGCAGCGAAACAAAGAGACCCAAGGAAGAAGAGAACGGGGAAAAGAAGAAAAGAAGAAAACAAGAAACAGAGGTATAAGAGCAAAAGCATCTCATGAAGGATGAAGCTCCAGCAGAGGCTGGATGAGATAGCGGAGATGTCTCCATCGGGCCATAGTATTTGGCTGGCTGGTGTGCAGAATCCAATCTCTGGGACAGATGGCTAGTCCTGGGATCTGAGACGCTAGTAGCTCTCTGAAGTTGCTCCATTGGGTGAACGTTGCGATGGAAAGCTGCATGCGAAGGTCTTGAAAGGTGGAAAGATGAAGGGATTGGCTGGGAGACAAGCAGTGGTGGTAGTTCTATAGCCGCCGCCGCACGGGATGCAGAATGTCGGCGCTTCGACGGGAGCTGCTCGTTGGTGGTTATTCTTAGGAGCTCCATAAGTCAAATCGTGTGAAGAATCCAGCCAGACTCTATACGAAGTAGTCGGACTTTATTCGCCTTGTCCAGGACATACATAAATAGTAGTTGTTTTGACTTCCAGGGCCATAGATCTACCGGTAGCCTGTTGTTGACTCGACAAAACTAGACTTGAAACGCTTGCGTCGACACCGTAAACCTACCTAATCGGGATCCATACGATTTCCCAGAGAAGGGCTCATCTACTCAATACGTTGATATGTGGGCCCATATGGCAAGGGCTCATAGTTGCGCCTGAATCCCAAATTTCCATTTTGAGGGCATGCATCGTCATCAACAAAATATCAATATACCAAACCAGATCCCATACACACTCCTGACCAAATATCTGATGCTTTTTGGGTGCATACGCCTGTACCCATCTCCCATAGGGCCGACGCAATATCGTTACGATAAACACGCACCTTCCATCCCAATACCCAGATCCCAAGTGAGGTATGCCTTCTCCAATGCAAGGGCGGGCTCAAGACATGTCATGATGCAAAGAGAGAGAGATATATATAAAAAAAAAGGGAAAGGGAACGCAGAAGTAACCCTCATAGACAGAAAGTCATAGGATGAGAAAATAAAAGTCAAAAATAACATCAAGAATGATAAGAAAACAGTTCCCGCTGAAAACAGAATACCACCCAGATAAAATCTACAAGTACCGCAGGTATAGAAATAAATCGGGAGAAAGAAAAGAGCTTGTTGAATGTCCAGAGCATGATAGAAGATATAGGGTTTGGTGAAAATAGATATAATCATCAGAGATGTACTTGAAAACGATGACTCTTTAGGCATCACCTGGTGGCTCGAATTGACGCGTGGTTATCGTCGTTCGTCGGTATATTGCACGCCCTGCATGGGGGCTACTGATCCATTGATCAGAGGAGGCAGTGTACGTGGTTGTTCCTGCGTTATTCCGGGCCCAGGAGGATAATTCCCAAATATTGGCCCATGTGCCTGGCCATTCGTTTGCGTGGGCATTGGGTGATGCTCAAAAATAGATGCTGGTCGAGACTGGCCGTTTGATTGCTGGGGATTCAGCTGAGCTCGCATTTCTTCAAGCTCTGTCCGTAGTACGTCATTCTCTCTGCGAGCGCCGTTCAAGGACTTCTCCAATTGGCTAATGTATTCGATTGCTGAAAGACAAAAAAAAAAAAAAAAAAAAAAATTTAGTTAATTGAAAGGAATCAGCCAAGGGAGCGTAGAAACTAACCTCGTGTCAAAGTCTCCCATTTGCTAGACTTGTTGTTTTGACTTTGAGGAAGGCGAACTCGTAAGGCTTCAAAGCAATCTTTCATCTCACTTCGACGTTTCCTCTCCGCTAATTTATGCGTTACTCTAAGCTCAGGTGTTCTGCTGTATGGAGTACTGCCAGCGTGCGATTCAGCGTCTCCGATCAAACCACGGACTTGCTTATGCTGCAGAGTGTGGTGATGCACATTTTGAGGAAGTTCTATAACTGATTAGTCCATTTCTAGCGAATTGAGCGCTAAGTTTGGGAAACAAACCATGCTGGCCGTGCGGTAACCGAGAGTCGGAATATATACTGCTGGCTAATGATTCGGCGGTGCTACCCTTGCGAGAGAACTGGGAAACTGACTTGTCGTTGGTCGTTGAGACTGAGTTGGTTCGTGCAACGTCCGGGTCTGGGAATGCATATGCAAGACCCGCGGTGGGAGCCTCCGCGTTGTAGATTTCAGATCGAGGATTTGACGAAATTGCGGGGGCAGTGCGGCCAGCCGCAAATCCGCGATGTTCTCGGGGTCCCAAGGGAGAGAGAGGAGAGGTCCCTGAATAGCGAGGGCCGCGATAAGTATTGTTCATATTCACATCCATTGATATACCACGTTCTCTCTGCAAGCCTGATACAATGGAAGATTGGGAAGCGTTCGTACTGTGGTAAGGGGAGGCGGGGTTTATCGCCAATGAGCTAATGCCCTGATTCATCCTGCTGTCCACGCTACTCCGTCGTGATTCCGCCGGTTCTACAATGCTCCCTCGTTGAGAAGGGGTTTCGTAATTTTGATTGATTGACGGCAGCGCTTGATTGGGCTGGGAGGAGCCAAAGTTCGGAGACGGCTGTCGTCCCGCCGAAGAGGGTGTATTCGTGTTGGATTGATCGTTAGGATATGGTGATCGATCGGAGACGTAGGAAACGCGGTTGGGGGACGGCTGAGAGGACGTGAGAAATGAGAGAGAGGGATAGTTACTAGTCCCGTTCGTTGCTGTAGAGTAAGTAGACGACCCTATAATCAGCTATTAGACATACACTGAAGGATATAGATGCAGACTACTAAACTTACGTGTGCTCTGAGGCATCGACCAATTCCCCGAGTCGCGTTCAATTGTATTCAAGGATGTGTTCCCGGGTGACTTCTCTGCCGGAGCTGAAGTGTTGGCCATGCTTGCGGTGAGCGTGGATATGGAAGGGAGAGTTTGCGAAGTGGCCGAGACCGCAGGGGTCTGCGGCCCTGTTGTCGTGGGCTCCCATGGACGGTGGGCAAGAGTGGCTTCCATCGCGATGTCTTTGATAGAGGTGATTGTTGAGACAATCCGAAGAGAGGGGAGAGTGAACGTAAGATGGATTAATGAGCGTCTGTATCGTGGAACGAGTCGCTGCGCAGGAAAGTTCAGGATGCACTATCTCATATTCCGGAGCAAGAAAAGCAAGTCACAGGATCAACTCCCAGGTTGCTGTGAAATAGGTTCTTCGTAAATGAGACGTTGGAGTCGTGTTTAGCACTTTCGCATACACGTGGATACCCGGCCCCCGGCTCGTTGGTCTGCTTGTCGCACCGAGCCAATTTGCGACTTGATCAGTCGCCGGCTATTTTCTCGGATTCGCCAAGTTCAGATAAACTGGTTGTCAAACGCAGCTCCTAATTCCCCTAGTGGTTGTATTGGAAATCTGGTCGTCGAGGTAGTGCTGGTGTTTCAGCGGGCTAGGCAAATTATCCCTTCCGCAAACGACAGGCGCGGGTTAACGTTGAAAAACGTCCGGAATCGAGAGCAAATGCTCACGAGGGTGGATTTAAGGGCGAAGGTCCAGAGAAACGAGCAGTAAGCAATCTGCGGTCGAGGATGGGAGGCGTAGAAGTTGTGAAGAAAGGGAGGTTGCGTCGAGAAGGGACAAGTTCGTCGGGAGGTTGTAGGAAAACGGCGGGCAGAGCGTGGTAATACGACAGGAACAGGCTGTATTGTAAATACCGGCGAGGGATCGAATAACAGGCAGCCGAAAAAAAAAAAAAAAAAAAAAAAAAAAAAAAAAAAAAAAACGTAGGTAATTTTTCTTTCCCTAAAAATGTAGAAAAATTTAACCATGTCAGTCATTTGACTGGTGAAAAGAAGAAAAGAATCAAAAATGTAAAGAAAAAAAAAACAAAAAGGGCAGTTGGCCGGAGAGTGGCCGGAGAGTGGGTTGTCGCAATGGGTCTTTTACCTTTAATTGAAGTGCAAACGTTTTAGAGGTGCCGCAGAACGTGGCATGAGGTGCAGAAGGAACGAACAATTGGGCAGTAAGGAAGAGCCGTTAGGGCGAAGATAAAGGTGACCAGCTAAAACGAAGCTGCGGGGACCGACGAAAGAGCCAGGGAAGGGCCAGATTTGATCGTATGTAACGAGAGACGGGTCGGAGGGAGGGGAAGATTTTTCTGGCTCCAAAGCAGCAGACCAGCATGTGAATAATAGAGAGTTTAGGGAGGTTCAGTTTAGTCGCGGGAGCTATCGATGGAAGATTTCCAGGCTAGCGAAGGCTGGGATGTGGGAGAGAAGCGAGAGATCTGTGTCAAATAGTTAATGGTGTATGACAAGGAGTTGTAATAAGCGAGAGAAGAAGATGATACTCGAAAGGGGGATAAGGAAAGGAATTCCAACAGGATGAATTCATGATTGAGAGGCGGCGGTTAAAGTGGGGAAATGGAGCAATTATTGGAGTCCGAGATCGATGTCTATATTATCATAATACTTTGATTATATTTCTAGATCCACTTCCCCGAAAATTTCACAATACAGAGCCCAAGTAAGTTAAGATGACTAAAAAAGAGCAGAGATTGAAGCTATTCGCAAGCCTGTTACCATTTGGCAGCAACATTGACTATATCCCCCGACATTCTCGATTAGAATTGCCTATGTTCGTGGTGAGTGTTGTAAAGCCATCGCTTCAAATGTCAGAATTTTGAGTGCTTGGTGGATCCACATCTTGAAAGTACAGAGTACAAGATACCAGAACTATTAACTAAGTAGGTACCAAGTCGTCGATACTCGAGTTAATGAGAGAACTCTGTTTTTGAGTTAAGCTTGTCATCCACTATTGTTGACGATCAAATCCATCCCATCTATGAACTGGACGATCCAGTTAGGTAGGTAATCACCACCAAGGACTCCAACCCGAATTAAGACCGAGACCTGGAAACCTAACGGAGGTGGCCAAGCATTAAATAGATGTTGCGCTACTGCGGGCGGAAATCATCCCGCATAGGATGAACAAAAAGAGTGCCACGAGGCACTTTTTGAGGTCTATAGAGGCCATGTGACCTGACAGCTGGCCCGAGGAGCCTGGTTGCATTTTACGGTGAATGCCAGGGACCGGAGAAGTTACTGGTCTAATAATATCCCTGGACTTGTTCTCTCTTGTAACCTCTCGGAATATGGTGCCTTTATCCGTTAGAGAATCACCCTACCTAGGGTAGCTTGATATTTTCAAAATAACCAATTCTGGGCTGAGTTGTTGAGTTTTCTACTCGTCAAGTCCGCGATGGATAATGTCCCGATTTAGGGTCTTGATACCTACCTAAGCTCTCCGAGAAAATCACCCGCGTAAGAAGCTTTGCCTGACTTGGGCAAACGTGGGATCTATCTTGGGAAATCCCAATGTAGATCTCGCCCGGCGAACCTTGCGCCCATACTCATGGCAGTTGGACCTTTTTGAGTTTGTCGTTTATCCTTCACGCCACCTGCCCCACAACAAGGAGGAGAAAACAACTCCAGGAGTCCAGAGCATTCTTGGGAACACTATCGGAGTACGTGCTTACAGAAAAGTTGGTGGGGTCGAGAACGAGGCTAACTGCTAACATGTAACAACTGAAAAGTTTGGGACCAGGGTGGAGAACGAAGAGGGCTATCCTGGGCCAAGGTGCCATCTTTGTCTCATAGAAATAGCGGAGTTGGGCTTAGGCTTTGATCAGCTTCCGGGAAGAAGTGGGGGGCAGTCCAGTCCCCAGTGAGCAAATCATGAGGCGGAAAGTTACCATGGGCAGAGGGAATAATTACCATGAACCCCCCTCCCTCCCCCCAAAAAAACAAAACAAAGAAAGAAGAATGTACTACTCCATGCTGTGCCAAAATAATGTCCCGTGGGTGGGTGGAAGAACACGTTGCAAGGAAAAAAACGTCCCAGCCATTCCACTCCTTGCGTGAGGTGTCATGGCAAGGGATTGACTTCCTACCAGTCTACCACCTGGCAGTGTCTTGCTCGATATGTTCTTGGAAGGTTATTTCCATCATGACCTTCTGGGGACTGGACCTAGCCCCTCCCCCCACGTGAGGAAGAGCATTTATTCCTATTTATTGGGATTAACTTGCGGGTGTTTCTTGAATAATGCGTCTTATCTGGAGTTTGAGATGACTTGGTAATAATGTAATGGGTGACGAAAGAGGATCCAGTACCTCATCATCAATCAACCATGGATGAACTATTTAGTACGACCTCATTACATAGGACCTAGGTAGGTAAAAGTCTTCTTGAGGTGGAACTCACCGAGGCTACCCTCGACCGGCAACGATCTCGATATGGACTACATTCACGTGGCCGCACTGAACGATCGGCCTCAGGGGTCCAAGGGCTGCGAACTACCGTTGGAAGCGTCATAATCGTCGTAACGGTGTTGTATTTCTGTCGGTATGGTACTAGAGACGCTAGGGTAAGCTACCTACCCAAGCCAAGCACCTAGAAATAGAATACACCAGCTGGCGTCCTTGCAGGGTGTTTGATGCAATCAAGGTCAGTCTGGAAGAATTCAGGATATTATCGTTGAAAATCCACTATTATCAACCAGATGTCTCACTTGCTGGTACCTTACTATAATGGTATAAGTCCGCGGACACCGAAAAGGTATGGCAAACCAGTCCGATAATTTGGAAAATTAGGTAGACATAGTTAGTTAGTTAATACTATTCAACCGCTTACAAACAAGTTGAACACTGGAACAGTGACTCGGTCAAAGTAAAAAAAATTAGACAATGAAAGCTGGATGTGACCATGTATGGTATTGTCATGCATGGTCCCAGGTCAACTGGACAAAGTGACACAGTGACAGACGATAATTTAATTTGACTTTCCAGCAACCGACACATGGCATCCATGGTGGAATGATCGCCGCTAAGAAAGTTGTCCTGGCGGTGGTCTGGACATGCGGTTGTTGGACTTGTCCAGCCACACACCACGCGCCAAGAATGTAGAAATTGGTGCGTGCGTGCGTGGTTTCTGTCTTGCTTTCCGAAGCTCGTAAGGAGTGGCGAAGTCAGACAACAACGCGGGTGCCATTTTCTGGCTGGGGGTTTCATTTTCAAGGGCAAACAAGAAACATATGCCCACTATAAACTCTTCTTATACACACAACCCGGCCTACATATACTCGAGACAAGTTATTGTTGAGATGAGCAGGAATTCCCCGCTTTCAAGAATGTGACTCCATCCATCCATCCATCCATGCACCCACCCATCCACATGTGAAACACAATACGGAGTACGGAGTACTCTACAAGCATATCTCAAGTTATTCTTGGTTGTATAAAGTTGTATAAGCCATAATAATACATTCATATATGATTGGTGTTACTTTCCTTTGTTCATGCTATTCGCCTCCCTCAATCATGATTTCCTCCCACTTAAAAACAAACATATTCCGTCTGTCCCTATAGCCAGAAAGGAGGTTGCAGAAGATCCATAGTAACATAATGAATTATCCTTGGGAGTACAGACCAGCACACAGAAATCATATTCCTTTCTTTTTCTCTCTCCCAGGATTCCCCGGTAATCAAATTTGATTCAAATCCAGGATGACCTCAGCCACCAGCTGAGAAAATCGGAAAGACCAACTCCGGCGTTTGCTGTATGTCAAGGAAGTCGGTAAAACCTCATAGGACAGAAAAAAAACAGGGCCGCTTGGAGAGGTAATCTAAAGACGTTGGACGACATGGTCAATTTCTGGGGTTCAAGTTGTGAATCCGTTAGCTGCGCAAGGAATTCTAGCCCTTGAGCACTAACTAACTAACTACTTAGGTGGCAGCTTGAGGCGCCACGAGTCGTCTTATCTATCTGTGTGTTTGTCCTATACAACCTTGAAGAAATGATAACGCGACTCGTACTCTCTCTGTACATGATATGATGATTACCTCCCTACATGCAGCGGTGTGACGAATTACCTCCCTCACTAGACCAGGGGATAGACAAGGTCCTTGTAGTTAGGTCAGTCTTATATACAATTATAATAACAAGTCCGTACGTCAGAAAGGAGGAAGTGGCGAGCATTCTCTCCGATAACCCCGAGGAGAATCTCAGACATAAACCCTAAGGATTACCATCAAAGGATCTCCGTGTAGTTGATCTTTTTCTCCGCACAGATTCGGAGATTGGACACACTGAATACCTAGTGAGTTGAGTGGATTACCTACTTGGGTAAGGGAACGATACCTCGTATTTTTGAAAAGACCCAAATCAGGTAATAACCTGACCGTACGCAGAATTACTCGCTTCTACTTAGTAGGTATGGGTTATCGCACCACGTGGCAACCGGTATCACCTGGATGGATGGAGTTGCATTTTCCTCGCTTGGAATAGCCCGGTATAAATACATGTCTTGAGAGACTCGGGGCTGTGTTGCGCTTGGCAGGGCACGGTTTCACTTGGTTTTGTTTGGCTGGATAATTGAGCATCTGGGTATGTCTATTTTGGGTGGTGTACATCCTGTTTACTCTTCGTCCATATCATCATCGTCTTCGTCTTCGTCTTCGTCTTCGTCCTCATTAAACTCGACCCCCATCTCACCGGTAATATCCCATCGGTCACCCTTCGCGGCTGCACTCACGTACTTCACAAACTTGAGTGTCCCGCTATCGCGTAGCACAACGCTGAGGCGGTTCCATCCAGCCGCGGTACTGAAAAGAATCCCGTCGTCCTCGTCTTCCGCGGCGGACCGGTAAATAGCTGGATCAGCCTTGCCGCTACCATCCTCCTCATCGTCCCCGGCCATGTAGATTTCGTAGCCACCCACCGAGGTCTCCTCGCCGGGCTGGGACTTGGGATTTTCTTCCGAGTTGCCACTGCCCTCGCCCTCACCCTCGTCCTCGCCCTCGTGGTCCTTTTCCCACCCGGCGGTTGGGGTCAGACATAGAGTCAGCTCGAGTCGTGGCTCTTCTCCGGCGTAGCCGCTGGCCAGGGTATAGTCCTGTCCGCGACGGAAACGGCGAGCAAGAAAGTTGTAGCGCGTGATGCGTTCTGCGCCTGTGATCAAGGCCAGCCATTTGCGAAAGGCCTTGGACGGGAAGAGATTGTTGATGAGTGCTTGGACTGGAGTCTCTTGGCCCTGGGTGGCGGTGGAATGCTCCTGGAACAGATATCGGTGCTTGTGGGGTGGTCGGGCGACGGTCCACTCGGTCTGCGATTGAATTTCATCGGAGGAGCCCGGCAGCGTCTGCTTCTCCTGCTCTTCGATATATGCTCGCACCTTGGCCGCGAACTTCTCTGATAGGAAATGCTCGAGATTCAGGGACGACTCGTTGCCGAACGCCTCGGACATTTCTTCAGCGATGTCCGGCGTAAGATATGACGGTGCGATATATTGTACGAGGAAATCAAGATCGGACTCGGTGAAGTCGGCGCCGGGTTCTTCCTCCATCTTGGTTTTGCCCTTGCCCTTGACATCATCCTCGGCAGGGTCATCGTCGCAGGTCACGGTCTTTGGCTGCGGGAGGTCATAGAGATCGGCGCGTCCCTGGAGCTGCGCCAGACTGCTGCGCTCCGCGAGTTTTTCTTCTAATCCTTCTTCATACCCGTCTTCGCCCCTTTGAGGGATATGGAACCAGCCGCTGATCGCCATCCGGACCCGCTTTTGGGTCTTGTCGTCGCCCTCCTTGGCGTGGTAGACTTCCTCAACATCATGGAAACTCTCTCCGGGCTGGACGGTGAAGAAACTCAGTTGGTTAAAGGCCGGCGGGATGCTAAGGCTGAAGTCCGGGCTCGGGACTTTAACGTCCTCCCCGTTCGCATCCTTCTTGGTGGAGGTAGGATATAGTCGTAGAGCACCGCCCCATTCGGCCTGCCAGCGAGTATCGGGATCCGTCAGGTACAGGATGTAGCTGACACGTCGGCTTCCAATCACATCGTCGTGACAGAGAAGATGGCAGCCCTCATTGTAGATGTTGATCGCCATATCGGTTTTGCGCCCGCTGAGTTTCCCCGAGCCAGTGACGGACGACAGATACTCGCGGAACCGGGCTGAGTACAGGGCATCACGAAGCTTAAGGATTGACGGTAATCGAGACAAAGATGTATCATCGAGTCCGTCCAAGTTCGCGAGATCTCCGGACTGGAAGATCTTATAGATATCAGTTTCCTTCTCGGTGAAATCAAGATGCGCTTGGATTTCGTCGCGGACGGACCGCAGAAGAGTTGGCTCGATCAAAGGATGGATGACACCATGTTTATAACTTGAACCAGGGGGGATCAGCATCTCCCCCCATGCAACAGGAAGTAAATAGCCTTGCCGGGAAGATTGGACTTACGGAGCAGATTGGGTATAGGCTTTGGTATACTTCTGGAGCTCCGCGGGTTCGAACAGACCGTCGCGGAAGCGCAATGCGACCTCTTCGCTCGACAGAGCTCGCTTCTTGGTGTCGGGCTGGCCATTGCCATCCAGCGACTCTCGACCGTTAGTCTTACGCTTCATTTTGATCTAGTGCGCAAGAGATATATGACTTGAATGGAGGAGAATTCTCCAGGGGTCGCTTTAACTTTCGAGATGATTTTTTTGGGGGCTCAAGGCGGTGAGGAATTTGCAGGCATCGATCAGGCCACCAAATCAGGCCATTTTGCGCCGGTTGAAATCTGGGAATTTATTTTAATAGATTGATAAAAATAGACAATAGTTAGTTAGTTAGTTAGTTACAGAGTAGTCTGCTATTATACATGTATATCAGATCTAAATTGAATGCTAACCTGTACTCCGTGCTCATAGCTTTGCGATAAGAGAATATTGCCGCTTTACCAACAGCATTTACTGCGCATGCGCTGAACAAGATAACTTCTTGAAGGGTGTTCTCTAGAAATTCTATATAAATGGTTCTTAATTGTAACTCTTACAATCGAGTATCCGATAGTATCCTCAATTATCACCTCTGTAGAATCCGCACTCGAGTTGTTCGGTAGTGTCGCTGCTTTAACCAAGTGGACCAAATATAGAAACACGGCTCCTGCAGAATGTCATCAAACATACCTGTGTAACACTCTCTGCTTCAGTGTGATTCTACATCTCTCCAGAATATGGTCTCCTATTTACCAGTTCATGGTCTTATCTACAACCCACAGGTCCATCGTTAGGAACCAGAGCCATGATTCAGACTTGATCGCTTCTGCGGAGACAACCAACGTCATAAGCCGTCCGCCCCATCAACCCCCCTCATTCCTACTTGGAGGTTGTACACTCACACACCAACGTCTGGAAGCCATGCAGCCGTCACAGGGAAACCACAGCAACCAGCCCTCTCGTCCTGGAACCCCTCCTCGGCCTCCTTATTCGCCTGTGACTCCCGTCTTCGCCCACCTTACTCCCTCTGTCGCGTCCAACGAAGCACCCCACTCTATTGTACCACCAGCCTCGTCACCTTCGCCAACATCACAGGTTCCTCCTTCTGCCTTCCCTCCTCCAGCAGCCCCCGCGACTCCGGCTACCTTCGTTCCAGAACCCGCTCCGGTTCCGATATCGGAAAGCGAGAATCCCGATGCCATTGCATTGCGCTCCGCCATATCCATCCTCCAGCTTCAGAAACAACAGAGTCTGCGAGATATTCAGACGCTAGAAAAGATGAAGAAAGCAGCCGCTGCGGATCCCGAGAAGTTTGCGCGTGAACTTGCGGCTGGGAACCTCTCTGCGAAGGATGCGGGAGGGTTTATCAATTTTACACATGATGACGACGATGACGCAGAGGTATCTACAGATCTTTCTCGTCTGGGGAAACTTCCGACGCCGCAAAATGTGGTGCGGATGCCGCCTGTCAACTGGGCCAAATATCACGTGCTGGGGGAGTCATTGGATAAGATGCATGAGGAGCAACGACGGCGCCCTTCAGCGGCTGAACCTAGACGAGATGATTCTACACAGCGTGCACCTGAGCATGTTCTGGCCTCTCCATACCGGCCATTAGTAGACAAACTGGAGAGTCCAACAAAGGCGAAGGGGATGAACAAGAGCAAGAAGGGATGAGATGAGGGGCTTAGAATGCCATTGATTTGGAAGAATACTAGTCATCTATGGTACAGTTCTTCGAAAAGAAAAAAAAAAGAAAAACCACTCTTGCTTTTGCTTAACACATAGAGCGGACAGCCTTATTCGTTACGTCAGCCAACTTGAGTCTTCAAAAGACAAAATCATCCTCGTCGGATTCCATCTCCTCGTCATCCTCTTCCAAGGCGAGTTTCGAGAGGAAGCTCTCCGAACCGGCGCCCTGGTCATCGAAAATCAGGTCTTGAAGCTTTGCACTAGCCTCCTTGGCCCAGATGATCTCCTCGGTATCATGCTCGTCGATTTCGATTTCAAATTGTTCCTTAACGGGGAGTTCCACTGAATCTTCTTCGGCCGCCTTTTCTTCAGCCTCCTGAGCCTCCTCCTCCTCTTTCTTCTTCAGTGCGTTAGCCTTGATCGCAGCGAGGGTCTTGCTCCGCATTTTCTCGAAAATGCGTTTTCTTAGATCTTCTCGTTCCAGGATTTTCGCCCTTCTGCGCTCCCTTGCTATCTTGCTGGATTCATGGGCCTTGATCCATGCCTGGGCCTTTTCGCAGTCCGGTTTGGCTTGTTTCAGAATGTCTGCAACCGCATCATCAGACAGAGTAGAGTAGCTTTCCGTGTCTTTGTATTTGGCGGGCTTCTGGGCTTCAGCAGGTTTGATGATCTGTGAGGAGCACGAGTCAGTGGATAACTCTTCTGGAGCAGCAGCCGGTGGGAAGAAATGTGACTTACCCCGTCATAGTCAATCCGGAGAGGAAGAGCGGGTTTCACAGGAGCCCCAAAGGCCACGGGTTGCTTGAGAGCCTCTGCTTTGGCCGCCCAGTACTTGATCACTCCCAGCTTGTAATTTTCGTAGTATGTTTCCTCGTCAGGTTCTGATGGGGGTCCACGCTGGGGGTTTCCGTCGGGGTTGGGCATGATTTTGACTTCTGCTTGGGGGGAATTGGTCTGGGATGGACCAGGAGAAGGGATGCGTTTCATTCTGAAAGATTGAGAGGGAAAGAACGGGTTAACACAAGAGACCTGCAGAGATATACAGAGGGGATGGTGACTGACTGGTCTCTCGGCGTGTTTGACACTGTTTAATGTACGCATCCATTTGGCAAAGGGATTTTCTGTGATTCAACATAAAGAGTAGTTGTGTATGATAGAATCTGGGGTGATAAAGAAGTCATGAATGAATCAATGAAAGGTATACAAGCAGTCTTTTATGTTACTTATCTACCAAGACAGACTGTATCAAAAGAGTCCCTTAGTCTTCTATCCATGCTAATGTATATTATTATATAATATAATATAATATATATATATAAAGTACTCAAAAAAGAAAAAAAAAAGATAGAGTATAAGAATCAAAGCTTCGCCTTTCCCTTCTTCTCCTTCTCCTTCTCCTCCCACTCCTCTACAGCCCTCACAGAAGCTGCATCCAACCCAGCCTTCTGCTCCTCCAGCATACCCCTCCACCGTAAATTCCCCGCATGGTCGTCCAGAATCGCCAGGGAATGCTTGTACATCTCCTCCTTCATGATGCCGTAGATGCCCGTGGCGGCCTTCTGCTGCAGCTCGCGCGCCCGAAGAAACCCCAGGGTTTCGTCCATCCCGCCGAGAGCGTCGACGATCCCCGCGCCCAGCGCTTCGGGACCCCCGAACCGTTTCGCGCCGAGCACGACGTCGCGGAAGGTAGCGGCGCTGAGCTTCTCGCGGAAGATGCACGTCATGGGCGACTGCAGCGGGACGCCGAAGTCTAGCTCGTTGACGCAGACGAAGCCGCGCGAGGGGTTCTGGATGCGGTAGTCGTGGTACATGGCGAGCATGATGCCCGCGGCGAAGGCGTGGCCGTTTATGAGGCTGATTGTCGGCATGGGGAATCTGGATTCATTAGTTAGTTTTTTTTTTTTTTCCCTAGTAGGGGAATGAGAAAGAGAGAGTACGTTAAGAACCGCCGGAACAACTTCCACAGCCACTTGTCGAGAAATCCATCGGTTTTCTGGGCAAGCTGGAGATCCAGTCCGTTACTGTAGAATTTGGGTATGCCGCTGGTGGTTATGACGACGCCCCTGGGGTACCGCTGCTCGATTATGTCCAGGGCGAGAAGCAGGGCGTCGATGAAGGTGGGCGTGAGACGGTTGTCCTTGGGGGAATTGAAGGTGAGGATATAGATGGTTTTGGCATCCGCTGTGGAGGAGGAAGGATTGGTGCAGACGATGGATCCGCCTGTGGAGGGAATGGGAATGGTGAAGAGAGGATGAGGAGCAGCCATTTTGCTGGTTGGAGATAGGTGTTGGAAGAGTAGACTGACTATATTATATATGATAATATTTATCCTGGGATAATCCCACATGTAATTTAGGATGAGAGGAAAGTGATATAATTCAAAACGGAAATGCCTCGGTTCAGGATAGTTGGACTGCTTGGTAGAGACTCTGATTCATGTAGTTTTACACCATGAGAATCAATAGATAGAGCCTTTTCTTTCTTTCTTTAGCTTTCCTTACACTTTTCGGCTGTGAAAACCTTCACCAAAGCATAGTTATATAGTTGACGTCATACAAACTTATACTACAACCTCACTCCCTTTCCTTCTTCCTCTTTCTTTCTTTCTCTTCCTCGTCTCTTACAGAGAAGAGAATACCAAAAGGATCACAATGAAAAACCCAGGACAACCATCCCAACCCCCCAAAGAATCCGTATACCTGCAACCTCTCAACCCCATAACGCACTCTCCCTACGAGCAGCGCATCCAACCTGTCCCTGCCCCCCATGCACACCAACACAACGGAAACCCGGTCTCCTCCGTCTCCCGACGCACCTACGACTCCCGCCCCTCAAGCGACGAGTCCATTGCCGGCATCAGGCTGCGGCACGAGCACCAACTAAAAGAGATGCAAAGCGACGACCTGGACACGGAGTACGGAGTCGAGCAGCAGCCGAACGAAGGAGACATTGCGCACGCGGTCGAGGGGCACAGTCGCCATGTGCAGGTGGATGCGTGTGCGTGTGCGTGTGCCGGGACGCCGGCGCTGGGCGAGGAGCCCGACCTGATGGCGAATATGGAGCGCAAGAGGCGGGAGCATTATCGGGTTTTGGGGGAGCGGGCGGAACGGCGGCAGCCTGTGCCTGATGGGGAGACGGCCGAGAGAGAGGCCCTGAGGCTGCGGAGGTTGAAGCAGGATCGCGAGTTACATGTTCAGGATGTGGTTCATGAAGCGACGGGCGATCCTGTAGTTGGCTAGGAAGGCTGCCATGCATGCATACTGGAGGTTGTACTGTGGAAATACTAAATAGGCTGGCTGTCTGGCTGTCTGTATTTTGAATCATTCCAATTGATCTTTCTTTTTATTATGCAGTTTAGAAAAGAACCCAAAAATCAGGATTTCAGTGGAGTTTCTCACATATCGCACTGGGGTATCAGAATAATAGTCATCGAATAGTAGGGAAGAAAGAAAGAAAGAAAGGAAGAAAAAAAAATATCAGTTATCAGCATCGTCCCCTTCACCTACTGAAACTTTCTTCAATGACAGGTCCTGCTTCAAATCGTGAATTCGTTTGGCCAGCTTGCCCTTGAGAATGGCGTTCTGCATCTTTTCCCACTTGGCCGTTTCTGCCCGGATGAGTGCCTCCAATTCGGTAATCTCTTCTCGCTGCTGTTGTATCTGTCGCTGCCGTTCCAGTTGTTCATCGTCGAGCTCCTCGCCAGGGCCATCTTCCCCATTTGATGCATCGCTTTCGTCGCCCGACGTGTCCGCCGCCGGTGTGGACGGTTTGGTCGCCAGAGGTGTGCCGGCTTGATATACGGCAGAATCAGCGTGTTCCTCCAGGGCTTGTCCATGCCCGAACGCTTGAGCATCGGCCCCCGCGGCTAGAGCTGCTTCCATTTCGGCCGCGAGTGTGTCCTCGAAATCGTCGAACATGCCTGTGTCGTCCATATCCACCTCACCTTCAGCATCTTGCTCGTCGTCGTACTCTTCTTCATCATCGTAATCATAGTCCCCGCTTTGAACAAGGCCCTCCACTCGGCTGAACGACGCTTTGTCCACCAGCTCAAACCGGGGATGTCCAAGAGAGGCCTCATCTTGCGCTATCAGATCTTCGACGGCTTTCTCCACCTGCTCAATCGTGCGGGTGCTGATGCGCTCCCGGAATCGCCGTTTTCGTACCCAACGAAGAGGAGGCGTCAAGCCGTGTGGATACTGTAAAGTTTTGTCATCCAAGGGCTGAATATCACTCGGGAGAGGGTACTCCAGAGCTTCTGCATCATTGGCAACAAGCCCTAACACCAGAAGCATCTGGCAAATATCGGCGGATTTGTACCATCCTCGTCGGTCCCAACTCTTCATGCCCTCAAGAATGCAGGGCAAGTCCACGAGTGCTGCTGCGTACTGTTTGTCTCGGATTTTGAGGATAGCTCGTCGACCCTCGCGGGTCAAAGGTTTGAAAGAGAATTCAGATTTGTCGAATCGGCGCTCGGCAATCGCAGTTCGGAGATATTCACAGTCAGGTCCGGGAAGCATGCGTAGGATAAACTGCTCTTCGATGGCAGGGTCGATTTCGGTATCGGACGCTTCTGAATCGTATCCGACCCCGGTAGGTCTGTTCGGGACAAGGCCCTTGTTTTTGATGCGGATAGACTGCACTCCGGGCTTTTTGGATGGGTTGAGCTTTAAGCGCTTGGGTCCTGCTGGTTTTTCCGACGCGATCGCGACCACGGGCTCCTTTAGGACGGGCTCTTCGGCGGGTCGCTTCTTGCTGCACCTTTTCTTCTTCGGCTTCTCTGCATTTTCATCTGCAGAAGGCTTCCGCGCGATCTTCAAGGTGAGTCGACGCTGTGTCGCTTCTGCGGGAGGTGGAGGAGGGGCGGTAGGTTGGCTCTGAGGTTGCTCGGGCTCCTTCTTCTTTTTGGAGAAGGTGAGCTTAAGAGACGGGCGAGGAGCCTCTGACATAATGAAAAGAGGTGACTACGAGCGTGGCAGCAAAATGTAGCCCGGGGTTGGCATGTAAACGCGAGCGAGCAAGAGGTGTATTGGAGTCAGACTGAGATGTGTTGTAGAGAAGAAGAGGAGGCGAGGTTTCGGTCCGCTTTTCCTCCTTCACGTTGGGCCTCCCTCTCACTTCTTCTAACACACCACCTCCCAACACAGCCTCTTTCCTCACTTTCGTCTCGCTTTGAATCTTCAAATCCATCTCTCGTCTGATCCTCCAGAGTCCGTCATCATATCCTAGGTGCTTCCCGTTCGCCAGTCATGTCCGGCCCCAACCTACACAACGCCCTCCTCCGTCCGCCCATTATCCAGATCCTACGCGCAGCTGGGTTCCACGCAACGCGTCCATCAGTTCTAGATACCATGGCCGACCTGACTGCTCGATACATAATGCTCTTGGCCTCCTCTGCAACCTCCCACGCCGCCAACGCCCATCCCAATGACCCTGTACCCGTCCTGGAAGACATCTACCAAGCACTCCAGGATGCCGGCGCATTGCGACCTCAACTACGAGAATGGGAAGAATTTGCGCAGGGGGAAGAAGATATACGAGGCCTGGAAGGGTTTCTATCCTGGTTTACTGGTCCTGCCAACCAAGAGATAAGACGGGTGGCTGGATTTGTTGCCAGCGAAGGCGACCTGGTTGATGCCGACTCGCTCGAGAAAGAAGACTACCTTACGGCCTTGAAAAAAAAGCACAGCAAAACTGGGGAGGAATCCCGATATGCGGGGACTGTGCTGGGTAAAGATGCTGAAGAACATCCTATTGTCATCGAAGGTGGTGTACCCAGCATCCGCGACTGGAGCTCCCAGATGCGATCACGAGCACCGTACATGGCCGACAGCGATTCGTCCGGTGTTAGCAGTGCTCCAAGCAATCTATCCGACACGGATGGCATGGATGTATGATGATGTGTTCGTGCTGGATGATGGCCCCGGCCTTGAACATAAATAAAGCACATTCGCCTGTCTCGACTTTCGACCTTGGCCACCACCAAATGACCCATGATTGACCGAAATACCCAAAATATCTTTTTTTTGGAATCCTCTTCCTCTGTGCCTCTTGCGTATGGCTGGAGTCTTAGGGTCCCCGATAGCTGACCGACTGACCGACCGACCATTCCTCGCTCAGCACCCGTCCCACAGCTTAACGAGGATAAGCTGGACACTGGCAAATAAAAGAAGAAATGTCAGGCTCGATAAAAGAGCATGAAGTGCCCCGAATTGAGGAGAGTGACAAAAGCTAGGGAGGAGGATGAGAGAGAGTACAGGATACCGAGACGGATGCGATTCCCCAAGCCTGGGAAGGATCTTCTTTGCTTTGTGAATGTTTGATAATTGTATTGTACCTTCACCTGCAAAATACCATAGACCAGGCAAATAAATCCAAGAACTGCGACAAGAAAGGCTGTGCAGATGAGATGATCATCTTGTGATTCTGCTTCTTGGCTGCTCTGGCGGTGACATGAATTCAACATCAACAGCATCATCAACGCCCAACGTAATTCAACCCACCACTTCTTCCCCCCCCCATATATTCAAAGCCATCATCATCATCATCATCATCATCATCATCATCATCATCATCATGGTATATCCCTTTGAACTGCCGACCACCTCACACCTCTCCTTCCATGCCCACATCTCCTCGCATACCCACCCATCCCTCCCCCAATCCGCGTCGACAGCCCGCCACGCTCTCCGCCTCGCTCTCAAAGCCCACACCCGACTACCCCGCGGCCCCAGCGCGACGCCCATCTAACCTCCGTGCTCTCCGCACTCAACGACTACCTCCCTTACCTGGTCGCAATCGCCCAAGGGCTAAACATAAACAGCCAGCCACCCATCGAACCCCCCCCGGCACCCGGAGCCCAAATCACCGCTATCCAATGCACAGACCTCGAGCCCGAATGGCGCGCGTCCTTGGCCTCCTCCAGCTCGCTCCATCTCAAGTCCCGCCCAACAGCCTCATCCGGCCGCACACGCGGGCCCGGCATCCCATATGAACTCGCCTTCACCCTCACCACCCTGGGCTACGTGGTGTCCGGTCTCGCCCGCGCCGCAGTGACACGAACCCTGTACGCCGCGTGCACCCCGACGCCCGAGCAACGCAGCGCAGCCGTGCAATCGGCAACAAAGCACCTGCTCCAGGCGAGTGCCGTGCACGCGCTGCTCGCGTCGTCGTCGTCGTCGTCATCGTCGTATTTCACGGCCCAGCTAGCGCAGACTCCGCGTCTACCACCGGACCTGGCGCCCGCGACCCAGGCGGCTCTTTCGTCGCTCGCGCTGGCTGAGGCCACGCTGCTCGCTGTCCTGAAGGATGACTCGTACATGGCGGCTTGTATCCAGGCGCGCAACCCGAATGATAGGGAGTGGATGGTCAAAGCGCCGGAGATCCCCAAGGTGCGGGCGCATCTCTTCGCGAGGCTTTGTATCCGTGCGGCCGAGTACGCTGAGCAGGCTGCGACGGGGCTGGGGTCTGTCGGTGCGGATGGCAAGGGAGCAGCAGCGGTTGAGGAGGATTTGGTGAGGTATGCGCGTGTTCTGGGGCTGGTTGCGCGCGCGAGGGCCTGTCGCTTTTTTGGAGTGGATGCTGAGTTGGCCGGGAAGATTGGGGAGGCGATTGCGTGGTTGCGGGCTGCGAAGGGGGTGTTGGGGTTGAGGGGGGCTGTTGCTGTTGCTGTTGCTGTTGCTGCTGCTGCTGCTGCAGGAGGAGGAGGAGGGCCGAAGGAGTCTGCGACCAAGAGTCGTGGCGGGTTGTCAAAGTTGAAACAGGGGTGGATGGAGAGACGCGAGGACCGGCGCATGGAAAAGGATGCGGGCGGCGGTCGTGAACGTTCTGAGAGGGGAGAGTTTGGTCCTGGGGATAATGCTGGTCGAGAGGAGGAGGGTCGCGTGCTGGAGATGTTGGAGACCAAGTGGGTGCGCATGAATGACACTGTAAGTTGTGCCTGTTGTTCGCTTGAACCTGAGATGACCTGTGCTGATCAACAGATCAATACGCAATTGATTCCATCCTCGACGGATTTACTGGCCAGTCTGCCGTCAGGACGGGACATCCACTCTCCGCCGCCTCCGTATAAGCTCCCTGCTCTGGACGAGGAGCATCTCGTTCAGATGCGAGCTCCGCCCACAGAACCGGAGTTACACGGTGGAAGTGATCTTGAAGAGAGCGACGGGGAGTGCGTGCCTGGTGGAAGAGACACGCGGGGGGCAGTTCCCGAGCGAACTGACAGTGCTTATTATTGATACCCTGATATGTGCATATTTTTTTTTTCCGATACAGATAATGACTGCACCACATCTACATGCTATATATATGTGGCTTGGAACATAACTCATTAGATAATTATTCCCTGATATACTCATTCGGTAGATACCAACCAAGCCAGCAGTAATCCAAAGAAGATAAAGGAGGCGGGGGGGGGAAGAGAAGAAATCGTAGTACATTGATTCACAAGCTAAAAACACAATGCATAAATGAAACAGAATCCCCGAAAGACCAACCAACCCAACACACTGGCTACCGACAGTTATATACCAGGTCTAGTAAAGCAAAACAAACCCCCCACCCAACCGTCTACGTCGACTTTGAGAAGTAGTTCTTCTCCTCGAACAGGTAACCCTTGACTTTGCGTTCTCCCAGGAGTTCAAAGTACTTTTCTATATCGGGTTGATTAGCATTGACCTTGCACTAGTATTGAATCTGCCCATTCCAACACACACACACAGAGAGAGAGAGAGAGAGAGAGAGAGACAGAGAAAACAAAACAAAACAAAAAAATCCAACTAGGAAAAGAAGAAAAAGAACCAAACTCACCCCTCAACTTTCCACACTTCTCCAAATGATTGACTCCCTCGCGCGCATAGCACTTGCCCAGTTCCTCCCCGACAAGTCTCGACATCATGCTGCGCACCCATTGCTCCCGGATAATCGCATCGCGGGCATTGTGTACCGCGACGGTGTCTTCGAAGTCGACGCCCTCGTACGTCGGAGGCACGGTGGGTTTTTTGGCGAGGAAGGCGGCGGATTCCGGGGTGGGCATTTTTGCTGATTCGTTTTTCCTGATTTGGAGAATTGATCGGTGCCTTTTCTTTTGGGGGGCGAGGGGGTTTCTTGCGGGCGTGGAATTGGCTGGCGCAGGGAAGAAGGGAGAGCTGGGCTGGCACTTGCACTTGAGCTTTGTGGTTGGACTGGAGGTGTAGTGGTGATAAGGTGCTGTCCTGGAAGTTCACGGTGGTTATGCCGGATGTCGTTCTGGGATTTCAATGGAACGCTTATGATTGGTTGGTCTCTTGGCGGTCAGAGTGTACGGAGACCAGGGTAAACCATTTGCGCAAAGTGCGTGTTACCACGTGACTACTATCATAATTACTCAGCAGCATAAATATTAGTTAATAACTATCAAACATAAAAATACTTCTTATACCGAGTACATTGGATTTCTCTACATTGATGGAGTACGTACAACATTGTCTATTATTCGTACGCAGTGGATGTATAGTAACCTAAAGATCATCCTGAAACCCCAACGCCACGCCAAGTGAAACTGCTTCTGGCTGGCACTGCTGTAACCAAACCATAAACCGACGATAAAAAAAAGAAAGAAAAAAAAAAAATAGTTAAACAGGTCAAGAAAGATAAACGGCATCAAATTCGTCGAATGTTTCATGTAGCCTAAGACTGCTGCGGGCCTTTGCTGAATAGGGTGTCGTAAGAATCAAGGAACCAGTCTTTGATGCGCTCCCATAGCCTGCGGTTCAGCCATTGGCTGTATTCGCGGTACTCATGCATCTCACCCCAACAGTCGCGGCCGAAATCACATCCCGCCATATTGACCAGAAAGTCTCGGGATCCCTCCGTATAGTGAAAAGTCGGATCCAGCTCGTCGCCGCATGCTCCAGGGGGGAAAGAATTGATGTAACGCTGAGGCAGGAAGGCGATACTGTTGCGAATCCAAGGCTGGGTGGTGTAGAGATACTCAAGCGCGTCCTGCTCCTTATGCTCCCATTGCATATGGGTTTGCTCGTACATGACAGGATCCCACCAAATGTCCAACAGACGCTCTGACCAGAGAGACCTGTGGACGAAAAACGATCCAAGATTGAACCCCGCGCAGTCCTGAGATAGGATGAAATGAATCGACGACGGGTCTTGATCTGCACTGGCTGAGCGAGAGGTTTCATCGAGGTACGGTTCTATCGGTGGGTGGCTAATATTTAAGGGATTGTACTCGTTAATGTCACGGTAAGCGATTCCGCTTAGACGATTGAAAATGTGGTCTGGCAACGAGTAAGAATACTCCATGATATACGTATTGAGGTCGAGCCACCAGAACCTATAATTCAAATGATTAGCAATGTGAAAAAAAAAAAAAAAAAAAAAAAAAAAAAAACAACCCAGCCAAGTCAAGATGATTAACTGACCACTCCGCATCGGGGTACTTGCGCATGGTTTCGCGCAGAATATCGACCTTCTCCCAACCTTCGCGCCATTCATGCGAATATCGCTTCTTTGCCAGCATGTTGACAATCTCGAGATCGTACCCCCATCGTTGGGCGTACTCTTTCTTATTGGTGGTGCTGGTGCGTTCGATAGCCCATTCCCTTGCGCCTTTCCACTCCATGACGCCGCCTTCCACATTGGATTCCAGGATAATCACGAACTTACGCCCCCCTCCAAACGTCGATCGCCTGAAATTGTGGATAACCGCTAACATGGATTAGTTTCAACGCGGCACGAAAAGAGACCCAGACCAGCTTACGTGTCCACAAGAACAAGTACCCCAGCCAGACCAGAAGCAAGGCCACGAGCAGGCGTGCTCTCCTGCGTCGCAATATCGATCGCCCAACACCAGTCGAGTGCCAGCCCCATCCCTGCCCATGCCGATATTCGTCCTTGTCGACATATCCGCTCGGAGACGTCGAGCCGACGCGGAACCGGGGAAGGGTGGCGGTAATTTGACGTTTCGAGCGTGAAAAGAAACCATTATTTCTCGTCGAAAATGACGGATAGCCTCGAGCCTCGTCGCTTTTCGCTTTCGCGGCTAGCCAGGGGCCCGAGGGACTCGTGGAGTAAAAGCCACTTTGAGGGGTTGAAGTGCCACTTCCTGGGGTCAAACTGGGGCTAGACCACCCTCCTCCCGGGTGGGGAGAGGGTGATCGTGACAGGGACATGGGCAATGGATCAAGGTCGAAACTCGACGGCGAAACGGCGGAACGGTGAAACAACCTAAGGGGAATATGGCGCGAGGAGGTACGATAGAAGCTCGTGTGCGTCGTTAGAGGGGTGGATGGATTTCCTGGTCGATGCTGGAGATTTGGGAGTAAGAAAATAGCTAAGAACCAGGCGACAAGAAGAAGACAGAGGGTTGGTTAGTTATATGATAGGGAAAGGAATGCCAGGTTGGGACGACGAGATGAAGACGACGGAAGAGGACAGCATTAATCAAAAATTAAATGGGTCTCGGGAGATTACCTCGAGCCCGACAGAACTAGAAGAAAGAAAAGAAATGCGTTGAATGACGGTATACAGGAACAGGAACAGGAAGAGGAAGAGGAACAGGAACAGAACAGGAACCGAACAGGAACCGAACAGGAACAAGAAGCTTACCGTGAACGGATTCGCCGTTTCCGTCAACAACTCTCGACAACGTTAAGGGAGGATCTTTCCATGGGACGAGTAAACAAGACGGGTTTTGTACTCTTGGTTGACATTAATTAATTTGCAGGAGGAAAAGTAATTAAAATCCTTAATCAACCGCCCCGCTTTGGAATGAATGAAATTACTTGCGAAGAGTTGGTATAATGCAACCTCATCCGTTTTCAGAAATCGACAAGACATTCAGAGTTGTTGGTGTAAAGATGAGAAACTTCATCCAAACTGTCAGGAGGTAAATTTCTGCGCTAAGTATTATAACAAATCCATCGTTCCATGATCCCATCCCATCGTACACAGTATAATCATTCCTTGCTGCCCCGATCATTCCGTACCGGTTGTCGATTGGCCACCACCTCTTTCGACATCAACACTTTGCGAACCTTGAATCCTTTTTCATGCTCCGGACGTGGCCGCACGCTGTCTCCATGATAGAACTCGCACTGGAATTTCAGGAATTTGCTGCGCTGCCGGTAAATCGTAATAATGTCACCGCTGTACAGTTTACCAAAATGGAACCCTTCTCGATTGTTATCCCCCTCGGGCCCTCGACGGAGTTCGGTATCGTTCACCCAGATACACTTGCGGGTCTTGGTGGAAAGAATCGCCATCACTCCAGGCACTGTCATCCAATCCTGTCCAGAAGCAACGCGGGCCTCAATTGCCGGCGCCCAGAAGGTTACTTCGAGGGCGTAGGCCGGAATCCGAGTATCCATCGGGTCCGGAAAGCAGATAGTCGCTTGGGGCCCACGGCCCCACGAGGTCATTCGATCTTCTAACCGGAGGGTCAGATCAAATATTGACCCGGGGACAGTCGTGAGTTTTCCTAGCAGAGGCCGAGGTTTGCTTGGCGGGCCAAGGAGTCTTGGAATGGCAGGTACCCGATTTTGACTGGGGTCCGCAGGAGGCTGAAACCCTTGGGTTTCCCGGTCCTCAGATACAGGTTGTCCGCTTCTGGCGTCAATGGTGTTCGCAAGTTCGACGTCGAAAATCTCTCCTGGGGCGGTCGTAGACTCAGGACAATGGCTACTGGTCTTTCGCGTGGTTGTTTCCGGGCTTGAACGTTCACTAGCAGTATCAGGTATCGGGAGTTCGATGCGTCGGCTGAATTGGATTGCCTGGGGGGTCGCGTTGGGACTATTCGGCAGTTCCCCCCCCAGAGCCTTACCTCCGACAGCCGGGATTTCCTCACTGGGTTGACGGTTTGGTGTCTCGGCGGATAGGAGAGGGTTTTTTGAAGTGCCAGGATGCCACGAGTTCATGTTCAGCTGTCGGACCAAGTTCTCAGCGCCCATCAAGCTTGGTGCAGATCCAGGGAAAGGGTTTTCCGGGAGGGACAGGACGGAGTTGAGACTGAGGCCATCACTGATCATGGACTCACCAGTTGAAGAAACAAAATCGTGGACGCTGAAATCGCCATCCTCAGATATAATGCCATCCCCCAAAGCATGGGAGCTGCGGAGAGCCGATGAAGTTATTTCTCCAAATAGGCGTCTTGGAGTTGACTCAGCCAACGGCTGGATGTCCTGGGAAATTTCAATGTTAGGAAGTGATGGGTAATTGATATCTCCAGGGGGCGAGTCGATTCGTGGCCGTTTTGACTGAGTCAAATCATTACTGCTTTCGGGTTGTTCTGCTTCGAGGTGCGGGTGGTCATCAAGGGAGAGCTGGGAAGCATCCAATTCGGCCTCGATATCTTCGCCAATATCAGAGAGACCCTCCGAACTATTGGACACCATATCCTCCTCGTATTCATCTAAATCCGGGACGTCGACAAGCCAAGGGTGTCGGAGACATTCTCGTTCCTTTGCGCGAAGGTGAGGATCACGGTTTAGGAGCTTAGAAACCAGGTCAATGCCAGCTTCAGAGACGCCTGCCCTGCGTAAGACGTTGTAGTCCGCATCCGTTGTCATGATTGTTCTCAGCATCTGAGTCCCTCGATCGTCGCCTCGTCCAGTATAGGGGGGGATACCGGCAAGGAGGTGATAAATGACAGCACCTAGCGACCACATATCGACAGACTGATCGTAAGGAGATGTTTTGGGAGGTCTAACCATCAGTACAGAATTGAAGAAACCGATAAGACAGAATAACTTACGGGTCACCAAACCTTCGCCTTTTCCTAACTTCACCGCGTCGATAGTTTTCATACTCGGGATAGACCTCCGGGGCGCAGTAAAGGAGGGTTCCACAGAAGGTCTTTAGGAAGGTTTCCTCTTGAACAACCTTGGATAGACCAAAGTCTGATAGCTTCACTTTCAGAGGCTCATGAGATGCAATTAAAATGTTGTCTGGCTTGATGTCTCGATGCGTAATCTTCCGCTTATGGAGATACTGCAATGCATGCAGGATTTGTCGCGACATGACCTTCACCATGCCCTCATTGATCTTGCCTTCGGTTTGCAAGTAAGTAGACAACTCTCCGGCAGGAACATACTCCATGATGATATAGATCCAGCGGTCGTGTTCCTGGTAGTCGATAAATTGAACGATGTTGGGCTGTTGAAACAAGAATGTTATGGAAAGTTTTCATACTAATTTTAGACCAACGGCGAGGGACTTACATGCTTTAGATCCCTCATGATCTTCATTTCATTGTCAACTTTCCGATCTAGTATGCCATTTTTCACGAAGCGGCGTTTGTCGAGCTCTTTGGCAGCATATACAGCCCCATGTTGTTTGGTGGCTAGCTTATAAACGGTTGCAAAGGCTCCTTTCCCGATCTGGCCGGTGACGTTGTACATTGAACCGCCTGACCAGTGCATTCCGTAACTATTTGCCCACTGCAATGCCGGGGTTGGTGTTTGGCGCCGTGTAGGTTGCACGGTCCCCGTCTGGTGCTTCTGGACTCGATCGAAATAACGAAGCACATTCTCAGTGTACTGCATTGCGTGGCCGTCCCGCGAAGGAAAGCGAACCACAAATCGGATCTCGTCTGAAGATTGATCGCCATTGATCACTTGAATAACAGAGCCATTTGTTAGCATCCGGCTATTGTCTTTCTCCTTCTTGCGAAGGCGGCAGTTGTCTACAATTGTGCCGTTGGTGGAAATATCCTCCAACATGAGAATACCATCGTCTGTGAGATAGATGCGAAAATGAGTGTTGGAGATACGCCTTGAGGCACTGTCGGCGGCAAGAAGGATGTCACATCGAGCAATATTACGCCCAAAACAAAAACCTAGCCCCAAATCATGCACCTTTGAAGATAGCCTTAGAGCGATATCCAAAACAGCGGCGGTTGAGCCTTCATACTCTAACTCGTCTTTCTGCAGGATATGTCCGGGCGCGATTCGGGCTGTCGCAGCGACCGCATCGTGGGCGGCAGGGGAATTTGGATGAAGGATACAAATGACATCAGACAGGTCTTCATTGAGTAATCCAGAGTTATTACGGCCCATACGGCGAGGATCCGTGCATGGCTGGGTTGATTCCTGAGTTGCCTCCATTGGCAATGTGTGGACAATTAAAAATTGACAAAATCAATTGAAATTGGACCCAAAAGAGGAAATCTATAGCCGGGTACGGAATGGGCTGGGATAGGGCCTCTGGGAATCTTTTTTTGGAGTACCCAACGGAATCACTAGCAGTAGTCCATATCATAAATCTGGTCATACATCAGTGTACAAGCCCCTGGATGTATATAAATTCTTGACGGCACGACAATGAATGGCCAGCCACTTTACCTTGATAAAATACAGGCAAATATGGCGTGGGTTTTGTTTATAGTTATGGGTCTCCAAAGAGTCTGCCTTAGGTGATGCGAAAATTTTGTCCAAGAATCCCGAGACGCAGAGTATGTACCAGAAAGAAAAGAAAAGAGGGTTCGAAAGCGGTCCGATTATAGCAGTCACAATCTATCAGGTGGAGTTCATCCACTATAACCTGGCGTGATACAAGAATGGCTCAGGTCGCCGCAGCGACAGCGACAGACTCTTAGTTCTAAGAGACACCGTCTCCGGGGCTGTGGCCTGGTATAAATGTAACAAGGAGCGACAGATGCAGATGCGTATGAGTACAGAATCTTAAGGGAAGGAGGAATTCTTTCTGCAGGGAGCCGTCAACGGTCAGTTTAAATACTTCTCGACTGCGCGGAGAGGGAGCTTGAACTCACACAATTAGCAAACGGGCCTCAGCCATCCAGGACACAATCAAGTACGCTGGTTGTGACAATGGAGTCTGGTTGACGGGGCAGAGCCAGCAACGGAGACGAGACAAGAGGCCGTCTGGGAGGAAGTCGTCCGAGAAACGAGAGGAAGGCGAGGGTGATGGCTCAGCTTTATGAGGCTGGACGGGAGCCCCAGGCACCAACAAGGCATCCACGTATTTGTTCCTGAGGCCACAAGCGGGAACTAAGCCAATCAAATCCGATGGTCGAAAGGCGGATGGGGCCTACGGGAGCCGCCCATGGATTGACCGTCAACAAACCACGAAGCTACCTTAAAGCCCTCTATTATGCAGCCTACAATGTACACCATTAAGATCTAATGCTAAGTACCAGGGTCGCCTTCAGATATTTCTTCGTGCTTACTCGTGAAGCATTTCCCATTAATCTAAATCCGACGGATTGTGTGAATTTGTAGCAGAGGTAATCAACCAAGGACCAAGAGCGTTCCCATTCAAATGTTGCATACCACAATATCCAAGGTATATATATGACCGGGACTCTAATAACCGTCTTCACAGCATAAAGGGTCTATCTGCTGCCGTAAGCCTTGCTCGTATCCGCACTTCGCTGGTACTGCCCCTTCATAGCGACATCGAAAACTTGCTCCAGCCGGTTAAGAGCTTCCTCAGACACCTCTATGAGGAGTTAGAAATCGGTAGTTCTAAAGATATAGAGAGAGCCTTACGGTAGTGAACCACAATCCTATTTCCTAGTAATTTCAAGCCCTTCTCGCTTCCAATCTCTGAGAGATCGTTGGGACCCAAGCCAGCTGCTTCGACATCCAGCCAGACCATGTTAGTCTCCACAGCAAAATCCAGCTTGCCACCACGACTTGTCCACATCTCGGCAATTCGGTTTGCTTTGCTATGTGTTTCGCGTAGTTTTCCCTGCTGACCATAGGGATCTGTTCCAAAAGTCTCGTCCAGAGCAACTCTGGCGGCCGCGGCTATCACTCCCGCTTGACGAGTACCACCTCCGATAGACTTGCGGAACCATCGCGCCTTCTTGATAAATGCCTTGGACCCAATCACAATACTGCCGATTGGTGCACCTAAGCCCTTGGAGAAACACAAGCTCACGCTATCGAAAAGACTGGTAAAGTCCGTCAGGCTTCCGGCCCCAGCAGCAACGGCTTCCCACAGTCTGGCTCCGTCCAGATGCACCTTGATCCCATTTTGATGTGCCCACTCGGAGATCTTGCGAGTTTCCTCAAGAGGCATAATTGCACCCCCCAGAGTGTTCTCCAAGCTGATCAGTTTTGTGGGGCAGGCGTGCACGTCATCGCTGAGCACCGTATGTTTCTTGATTTCTTCTAGAGTGAGATAGCTGCCATTCTTAGGCATAACAGGTATAACAGTAGCTCCTGTCCACATGCTAACGCCACCAGCCTCGTAGCAAATGATGTGTGCGCGATAGTCACAAACGATTGAGTACGGAGGCTCAACCAAGTGGGTTCGGATGGCTACTTGATTACCCATGGTTCCTGACATGACCAACAAGGAGGCTTCATGATTCGTACGCTGAGCCACGTAGCTCTGTAAGTCATTAGTCACTGGGTCTTCCTCAAACACATCATCCAAAAGGGTCGTTTGGCAGATTGCCTCCAGCATTGATGGAGTTGGCTTGGTCATGGTGTCACCTTATTGTCGCAAAATTTTAGCCTAGCCCATTCCTACAACATAGCATGCCTTAATTCTAGGAACCAAAGGCAAAACTCACTTCTCAGATCAAATTCGGCTGCACCAGCGCCCTGCCATGTACTTGGTTTGCCATTAGCCCCGTTCGGAGAAGTCATGGTGCTTGCCATAGCTAATCTCGGGCCGAGTCTGGATCTTGGAAGGGACGACGTAGGTCGTAGGAAAGTTCGAGGCCGGAATAAAGGCCCTACGATATGTTTCATTCAGGCTCAAATGTCAAAGACGCTTCAATGGCGCCTGGGAATAAACCGTGTATGTATCAGAAGCGAATTTGAATCTTGCACAGATAACAGTATTTTAATGTGGGGTATGGACCTGTGCCTGTATTTTGGAATATTACAAGTGACATCGGAAGACCTCCGCAATTCTTAATTTTCGAAGCGATAAGGAGGGGTCTCTCTCAGTTCCAGGATATATTCAAGCGCAAATGAGTTTATTTTTATTATTTTATTTTATTTTATTTTATCAGATTCTGAATTCTTCCGACATTTTGGCTGGAGATAGTATATAGCGTTGGCTGCAGAATTCTGTAATCGACTACTAATCCATTTGTAAACTAACGGTACTCCATACGGTATTACGGTTACCAGTTGCTTAGCTGGAGCATTGAAACGGACTAACCGAATTCAGCCAAAGTGACGACGCTTTGACGCGTGCAGCTCTTATCGATAGTCCCGAAAAGGAAAGGCCCGCCCGCGAGCGTGTCCCAGTTGGCAGCTGAGTCAGCAGTCGAGATCCCCGTTGGAACTTGGTGGGCGTCTTGAGGTTTAACGTCACAAATGTTCTTTAATCCTCCCAAGACAGGTGGTGTACACCAGGACGCTGATTGCTTCGCGCTCTACCACCAGCGTCATCCATCATGGATCTCTCGAGACTTGCACGGCCGGCTATACTCTGTCAGTGCGCTCGATGCTCCAGCTCTTTAGCTGCACTGGAGAATGAGTGGGCAAAGCTGTCAAATTCATATGCGATAGCTGCTGGGTGGTTGAGTGTTGAGCTCCATCGGATCTCGATTTCCTCGGAGAAAAAGCAGATCCCCCAGTCCTCTGATTTGAGCTTGATTCGTGGTCGCATAATCCAGGAGATTGCCTGTAGGCTCTGTCAGCAGAAGTTAGGAGTTTTATGCGCACTAGACAGTGGGTGGGTAGTGACAACAGGGTATAATCTTTTGGGCAAATCTCAGCTAATGGTTCTTCAGCCCGAATATCTTTTGGAAAATGTCAAAGGTTTCCTTCAGGGGGATCGTCACTATGCGAACTGTGGAACCTTCTTTCAAGGACGGATTGATTGAAAGCCTTATTTTCCCTACCGCTAAGGAGCCCAGCGTAAGACCAGACGGAACACCTATCCAGCCCGGAGCATTAGTCCGAACTAGCTCTCATGAGATCAATAACTCTAATCCCTCTGTGGAACAACAAATACAACACCATGGACTCAGCCTCGATCATATCTCCAGCTCCGTGAGCAATCTCCATGACACCATGTTCGAGCTAAAGCAGGCGTTCACCACCCTCCGCATCGAGCTCAACAACCCGAATCGCATTCCGAATGAGATTGGGAATATGACTGGTGGAGAATTCAATATGCTGACAACTGTGCTAAAGGAGCTGAAACTAAAATCAGATGAGATGGAAAAACTGAAATTGGAGATCGAGGCGCTGAAGTTGCGTAATCGGGTTATGGAGGAACAGGCTGCGAAGCAAACTCTCCTTCCACCCATGCATCCAGAAGCCTTGCCAGAAGTTCGAACTCCAGGGCTACTTCAAGGAAGCAGGAAACGCCCTTTCCCCGACTATTTTCAGAGTGGCCGTAATGAACCCATTGCGGATTCTTTCGATGACGACGATGAAGACAGCATGGCGGACCTTTCCTTGGAAGATGCAATTGTACCCCCTATTAAGGTTCCTCTGAGGGACTCTATTGACGACTCCGCCCACGAGTTGACGTCATCAAAATCGTCCAGGCCCCAAAATGAGGTCGGACAGCCAGCACTCAATAGTTCCCTGGGCGACTATCGTGAGACCAACATGAATATCCATCGTCGAACTATTACAAAACGTCGCCGCCTTTCACATTCGGCAGATAGGCCCCCTTCCAGCGGAAATTCAGACTTTGAAAAGAAGAGGCCTGGCCGTCCACGCAAGTCCACGAGCAATGCCATAAACCCAGATCTTTCCCAGACTCCTAAGCCAAAACCTCTTAGTGTGCAAAATGGAAATTCTGGAAGCAACTCGCAACCCCCATCGGCAAACACAACCCCTACTGAAACTCGCAATTCGAGGGAAGCCAGGCCCACGCACTCTCGCACATTACGAAGTCGATCCAAACCACCATCTCTTAACTCAAGGATTAAAACGGGAGCAGCGGATACAGATAATGATATGCCGGTACAGGATGAAACACAGTTCGCAGGATCGAATAGACAGGATCATCCAAGCCGTCCCAACACAGTGCTAGACTCGACCGAAAATACCGACTCTGGGAAAGAAAACCCGCCGTTGGCTATGAACAGTGGGAATAAAAGTGATGTGGATGAGAAGCGTAAGGCACAAACTGCTGCAAGGGATATCATGGCGAAACTCGCCATGCAGCGGGAAGAGGCAATGGACACGGAAGAGTCTCGATAACATCTGCACATATATAAATTGCATTTCGTTTCAAAAATGTATTGTCTACATTTTGGAATACTTCCAATTCCAGAGTAAACGAGACTGGTTTATTCTTTCTTGTATTGTTCAATTTTATGGGTATTCCAAGGTAGTAGTCGTACCAAGGGGAAAAAAAAAATAAAATAAAAAAGAATAGCCCTCTCCAGTAATCAACTCCCAAATAAGGCACAGGGATGTTAGTTCAAGTTCATCATTAGATAGCCCAAGGTCATATCTAAGGCGGTATATGACAGACAGCCTCTATACATAGATCTATTTCACACACATAAATCCACAACCTTCCCTAGCACGCTCGCAAGCCCGTTTCAAGGCTTGTTCTTCAGTGTCTGTCCATTTAACAGTCAACTCATCCCACGGTTTACGGGACTGATATTCGTCACGGAAACTCTTATGCATCGTCTGTAACCGGCTGACTTCCCGTGGGTCCCCGGTCCCCGAGTACACCATGAAGAGTGTACAATCCGGAAGCGCATCGTAGACTTCCTTGATATGCCGAACAGTTCGCGCAACGACCTCGGATAGCAGCTTCTCAGTGTCCGGGCCGGTTGCATCCGTGGAGTTTGGTTCTTCTCCCGGAGGGCCTGCAGCAGCAGCAGCAGCAGCAGCAGCAGCAGCAGCAGCAGCGGGAGGAGGGACAGCTGTAGACTCGTTGGCATTCTTGGGGTCTGGAATCCGGTTGCACCAGCCACGGTGGACTTCGAGTTCTCGCATGCGAGCCCAGGTGAAGTCTACCCCGCCGCCGGGGATAGATGGATTGCTCTCGTCACCGTTCACGACGGAGGATACGCCCTTCACCACGGCGGCGTCGTCATTACATCCGATTGCGACGGTTGCTTGTGCGCCCAGGCCGCGTAGCGGGTTGCCCCAGTCGACCACTGCTCCGGTGCGGCCGGTGGAGGTAAATACGGACCGTCCTGCGGGGTTGGACCGCGCGAGTCGTTTGAAAATGCTTTCGTTGGAGGCATCGCTGGTGCCCCATTGTTCGCCCTTTTCGCATTTCTGTTTCACAAGCTCGAGAACGGCGCGGGCGTCCTCGATCGAGTCATGGCCGGACATGCCGTTTTGGATGGCCTTGCCGAGATATTTTTGCGTGAGCCATTTGAGGCTGGCTTTGAGCGGGGGGCCGCGGGGGTGGGGATAGATAAACGTAGTGTCGACGATGAATGGATGTGTCAGTTTGAGTGCATTCAGGTCGGAGTTGAGGGAGTGGCCGACTAGAATCGCGCGTGGGGTGATAAGGGTAAGGAGCTTCTGCTGAATATCGGCGAGGGTGGTTGTAACAGGGTCTAGCATTTCCTGCGTGATGCCGGAGAATCTAGTGAGGTAGTCGATTACTGGTCGATCGGGTTTTACAAGCTCATCAAGCACAACTTCGCCGTCCCAGCGGACTAAGCTAATGCGAGTGAGTTCGGATTGGCCACCTTCAGTGATGCACATCTCACAATCTAGGGCTAATACGTCGCGACCAGCCGTCATGCTTCCTTGTTGGATTTCAATTTCGGGTATGTTCCCAGACTCCAGGCTCTCTACTTGAGTATCTACCCAGCCGTCATCCGCGGCTTGGCCAGCCCGCTTGCGGCTCTCTGCCAGAGCCACCTTCTCACTCTCGGTGGGGAAAAAAGCCGGGTGCAGAGGGTAGTCGTTTTCTCGAAGGTCCTCGACAGAGCTCAGGAATTTGGTGATTGGGGTGCGCTTGGAGACGTAATTTTTATCCACCTTAGGGGGCTTAGGACCCTTAGATGACCCACCATTTTCTTTGCTCTTAGGTAAAGGAGACATGAGCAGAGCCTGCAAAGGTGAATGGATCTTATTGTACTTCGAATCCCCCGGAGCCCGGACCGGCCAGGCATGAGGGAACATATCGGCCAATGGCTGCAGGGATTCGGGAATCTCGTTGCGCGATAGTGGGCGAGGATTAAACCGAGGCGATCTATCTTCAAGCGGAAGGCCTTCTTTCCACCGAGAGAAGTCCTCCCCCCTTGTATCCGTTTCTTTGTCGTTGGCTGGGATCTCCACGGGTCCTGTGTCCTCTGCTTGCGAGGCATCTAGCCGAACGGTTCCATCGAACATTCCCAATTCCAACCCAGGAACCATCAGCACAACCACTTTGCGAAAGTGACCTGAATGTTTTACGGAAATCCATCGCGGCGCGAGCCCGTCTGCGAAACAGTAAAGGAGTAGGTTTTGAAGGTCCGAGATGCGAATGCAGGACTGAAGTTGCCCTTCCACCCACGTGAGAACAGGATATTTGCCCTTTTCCCCATTCACGCGTGTCTTCTTTGAAGGTCGTCGCTCATTATCGTTGGTCGTGGGTTGGGTGTCCGCGCAGCCAGTGATTGGCAGGGCCGTGGGAGAGACAATACAGTCCCCTCCCGTTGGCGCGTTTGAATCCTGTAGCAGTGAAAGCGTCTGGCCTAAACCGAATCCTTGTGGATTGTCATCGTTCTTGACCGGGTCCTCGTAGTCAGAGTCGGGCTGCTTGCGCTTTTTCGCACGAGCCATATCTAGAACGCACCTCAATCGGGTGTAAAATACTTAGGGTTCAATCGCTTTGCAATAGTCCAATATAGCTCCCAAAGACCTCGGGCAAGCGAGTGCAAGTCTGGGGAAGAAGTCTGCCTATCCGAGAAAGATCGTGCAAGTCCGACGCAAAAGAATCTTCCAACACTCGAGATGCTCACGTGATGATAAAGCGGCGATCGTAGTGTATCAATACAGTAACAGGTCGTATGTAGTTTTATAGTACATTGGTTCACCTGCAGTCTCCCTGAATATCCCCTGCAATAGTTGCATCTATTAAACCAAAAACCCCCCAATATATACAGATTACAGAGTACTCAGATTTATCACGCAAGAAGCACAGGAATAATCTGGGCCAAGTGGTGACTGGGGTTAATCTTTTTCCGCCGGGCGTGAATTGCGTGACTTTAGGTTTTGAAAGATTGTAAGAACCATGTAATAAAAATACCAACAGGAATAGTTTGATCTGATAAGCGGCCGAAATTCGCCTTCGGTCACAATTCCCGAGGCGTCATTTCTTCTTCTTCTTCTTCTTCTTCTTTCCTCGTCTTCTAACTGACGATTTGTTCAAGACGCTTCATCAAAGTCAGCGCTTGGTTTATTAATTTACGTCGCTTCTTCCTCAGCTTGCTCACTTCTCTAATATCCTCTGCTTTTCTCTTCATTTCTTCCACCTATTACACGTTCGAATCGAACCCCGCTGTCCACCCGCCGCTGTGACTAAATCCCCCACCTTTTGCAAAAGGAAAGGGTAAAAAATTAGAAGAAAACCATCGCAAGATGTCGACTCTCCTCGAAATCACCTCAGAAGAGGCCTTCTCTGTCCACGTGAAATCTCTCCCCCCTTCAACCCTACTCGTCCTCTACTTTCACGCACCATGGGCCGCTCCCTGCAAGCAAATGCGCGATGTCCTCTCGGCCCTCGCATCGCAATACCCCGTCGTCTCCCCTCCTACCGTCTCATTTGTCAGCATTGACGCAGAAAACCTCGTGGATATCTCAGAAATGTATGACGTCTCCGTGGTACCCTTTGTTGTCTTTGTGCGAGACGGTAAGCAACTGGAATCGATCAGTGGAAGCTCGGCCGTTGAGGTGCGCGCCGCTGTGGAACGATATGCCGGTTTCGGAACAAGCGCTGGTCCCGACGGCGCAAATAAGCCTAACATCCCTGCGCCATTGACTGCTGTGCCCAGGGAAGATGCACCTACCACGGCTACCCAGGCTCCAGACACATCCAACGGAGTGAATTCCGCTGCCCCCGCGCTGACCCCGGAACAGACCAAGGAGGCGTTGTTCGCTCGTCTTGCGGAATTGGTTAAGGCTGCCCCCGTGATGCTGTTCATGAAGGGAACTCCTAGTGCTCCTCAGTGCGGGTTCAGTCGGCAGCTCGTGGCTATTCTGCGGGAGCGGAGTGTCAAGTACGGATTCTTCAATATTTTGGCGGATGAAGATGTGAGGCAGGGGTTGAAGGAGTTTGCAGACTGGCCGACTTTCCCACAGCTGTGGGTTGCCGGAGAGCTTGTAGGAGGCTTAGATATTGTATGTGACCTGGTCTTTCCCTTCACAGGCTGTTCTCTCATTTTCTTTTTACATCATGACAAACCCACGCTGATTATTACCAATGCAGGTCAAGGAAGAACTTGAGAACGATCCTGATTTCCTCAACAGTTTCTCTATCAACCAGGTGGCTGCTTAATGGGGGAAAACAAAAAAAAAAAAAAAAAAAAAAAAAAAAACCAAGGAAAACCAGATGGTCAAATTCATGGACTTCTCTCCGTCACTGTATCAGACTGTTTTACTGCTAGATTTACCTACCTCTTGATATCACCTCTTAACAACGACCCAAGTGTGAAGATTTCTCTTTCTATACCAATGGGTAAGTAATGTGATATACAAATGAATCAATATCAATATATATATATATATATATATATATTTATTTATTTATTTATGTATGTACAAAATACGAACATCAATATCTTCTGTACATGGATATATCTCACTGGAGTCGGACAGCAATAGCAGGCGATCAGCGATAAGTTTTCAAAAAAAAAAAAAAAAAAAAAATACATATCCAGTACTATTGTTTATTAGGATCTTCGAGCTCCGAAGAACCCAAATCCCCCGTCTTCCAAGTAGTCGGGTCTTGGGCACGCAGTGTGCGCCACCGGGAAATCACAGCATCCTCATCGACGTAGGTCCCCGCAAGCCAACGCTCGCCCTCGGCGGTATTGAACTGACGACGGGCATGAACGATGCGACGATTCTCGAAGATGACACATTCACCGGGCTTGAGTTTCAACTCGAAAATATTCTTCTCTTCCTCTAGGCGGTGGGCGAAACTTTTCAAGGCGGCTAACTTGGCCTTGATCTCTCCCGGGGATTTCCTCTTCAGGTATCCCAACGGGGCCTGGAAGGGCGGCGAGTAGTTGACATGCACAATGGGGCGTTTACCGTGGCGCAATTTTTGAGTTTCGAAAACGGGCCAGGAATTGGAGTAAGCATGGTCTTTGTGGAGATATTCGTAGTTCAGCCAAGTTTCGGCGAGCGTTTCATACTCTGTTCTGCTGCTGGTAAACATATCGTTTGCGACTTTGAAGGTATCCGCGAAGAGAGACTCTCCGCCCTCACACGAGTTCCGCAGACAGTGTAAAAGCTGAAACCCGGGGGGTTCATTCATGTACATGAGATCCATATGGAAGCCGAGGAATTGGCTGGTGTACGCGACATTCTTCGCCTCGGGAACCTTGCGGACATCCCACGATGATCCATAGAAGGTGTTGCGAATCGGACCCATCCGCTGGCCAATCTTCTCGACCATCTCCCGGGAGTCCGGGATATCTTTCACAAACAGAAGACCAACCCTGGCAAGCTCCCGCATTGCGCGCGCAAACGGCTTCCCGTCCTGCATGTACTCCTCAAAGGTGATCCAGTGCTGCTGCGCCTGCATTCTTTCCTTTCCCCAGAGTTGTCGGCCGCGATTGCTGAACCCATCCACGCGCCTGTGGTGCTCACTGGGAGTCAGCAGCTGGTCCAGCGTAAAGGTCGAGACATGATCGCGCCCCAAGTCGGGGATATCGTTGTCCCAGGTCACCTGGAGGGATTCGCCGTCCCATTTGAGTTCCCGGGCCCGGATAAAGGGGTCGATGTCCGAGGTACGGAAGTTCCGTTGCTTAGAGTGCACATCCACGCACTGGGGACACTTGCAGGCATCGCGCAAAACCGGGTATCGGATGACGCTGAATTTCGACCCTGTTGTTGTTACCCGCAGGGCGGTCTCCTCCATTCTGAAAGACGTCCATTCTCCAGCGGTCTTGGAAGACTCTGGTGTTTGGTTCCGGCTAGGGGGGTCTATTTCTGGGGTAACAGTGGTAGTGGCGGGTGTGTTGTGACCTGGGACGAAGGATTCCGGGCCAACCTGGGTTGAGTAACGGCGGCGATAGAGTAGCGATGGAAACGGCGTGACCAGCCTGCGGAGCTGGAAGGGAGCTCTCAGCAGGCGAGCCATTGCAGTTAAAAGTGCTAGGAGATAATAGAGAATTACTGAGGGATTGAAAGAGAAGGAAAGACAGGAAGAGCTGAAATAATGCGGGGGGAACAGCACTGCATCTCCGTTTCACCGAGGTTGGTTTATTAGCCTCTCTCTCTCTCTCTTCTAGTAAAGGAAATCTTCATTACATTAAAAGTCCTAGTGGTTAATTTGATTCACTACTAGATTCTAATTTGGATATTAACATCATCAAATAGATAATTCCCAGGCTTGCTATCCTCAACTCAAGGTTGCTCTCAAGCATGTGAACAGTGGTCAACATTCCTTCCTCTCTGGGGCCACACAGATTATCAATCATTTAACACTCAATTGAGATATTGGGCAATTGGGTTAAATTGAGTATAGTTAGATTGAGGTTATATATCCCAATACTTCTTGTACTTCTTGTACTTTTTGTACTTCTTGTACTTTTTGTACTTCTTGTACTTCTTGTACATAGTTACTGTCTCTTGTCCAGCTTAGTCATTGTTTCGTGTAATGACCATGTAATGACCGTGTAATATTACTGTCATGTAATTTCACCAACGTTTTTTTTTTCCCCCAAAAATAAAAATAATTATAGAAAAATCACTGGATAAGAATTTCTCTCTCTCTCTCTCTCTCTCTCTTTCTTTTTACTTCAGGTCATTCTATTTTCTTTCTTATTTCTTGACCTCACACACTCATTTTTATCAATACTAAGAAATCCGCTTAATGACCCCTGCATAATTAATCGCAATCACACATCGCAACCACTTCTTCCCCGATATCCTCCGATTTCTCGAAGCCTCCCCCTCCCTCTGTCACATGCATGTCGGCTGGGGGCGAGCATCTCACGGATGAAGTGAGTGTTAGGAGGATATAGATTGTCTCGTATGATCATCAGCTAATTGGAACCCAGGGCACACGGCGACAGGTCGTTCTCGCAGGCGGGATAGCGGGTCTTGTCTCACGGTACATTCCACCGACCTACGCATCCTTTTTCTCGTCGTCGCGAAGATACGAAATCATAACACTGACAACACATATGGATGGAATTGGAAAATAGATTTTGCATTGCACCTCTCGATGTCGTAAAAATCCGCCTGCAGCTGCAAGTCCACTCCCTCTCCGACCCTGCATCCCACCGCGATGTAAAGGGCCCGGTTTACAAGGGGACTCTGTCCACCATGAAAGCGATCCTCACAGAGGAGGGAATCACAGTACGTCTGTTTTTTATCTCCCCCCCCCCCTTCCAAAATCAACTAAGAGCTGAAAAAAAAAAAAAAAAAAAAAAAAAAGGGCCTGTGGAAAGGCAACGTTCCCGCCGAATTAATGTACGTCTGCTACGGCGCAATCCAATTCACCACCTACCGCACCGTCACGCAACTCCTGGCGCACCTCGATCCGCACCGTCTCCCACCCCCGATGGAATCCTTCATCGCGGGCGCCTTCGCCGGCGGCATCGCAACCGCATCCACATACCCGCTGGACCTGCTGCGCACGCGCTTCGCCGCACAACCGTCCGGCCCGCAACGCATCTACACCTCGCTGTTGGCCTCGATTCGAGACATCGCCGTGCATGAAGGCCGCGCCGGGTTTTTCCGCGGCTGCACCGCCGCAGTGGGCCAGATCGTCCCTTACATGGGTCTGTTCTTCGCCACGTACGAAAGCCTGCGACCGGCCCTGGGCCGAGTCCACGAGTACGATTCGGGGGGGCTTCTCCCGCTCGGGGCGAGCGATGCAGCGGCCGGGGTCATGGCTAGTGTCTTTGCGAAAACCGGCGTGTTTCCGTTGGATCTGGTCCGGAAGAGGTTGCAGGTTCAGGGCCCGACGCGGGCCCTGTACGTGCATCGCAATATTCCCGAGTCCCGGGGGGTGTTTATGACCATGGGGACGGTGCTCCAGACCCAGGGAGTCAGGGGGCTGTATCGCGGGTTGACGGTGAGTTTGCTCAAGGCTGCACCGGCGAGTGCGGTGACGATGTGGACGTACGAGCGAGTGTTGGGGTTATTAAGAGAATATGAGATTGGGGCTGGATAATTTGATGAACGAACAGGTCTCTCTCTCTCTCTCTCTCTCTCTCTCTCTCTCTCTCGTTTTTTTTTCTTGGTTTTTTTCCCCCAACTATATAGACTTTAGATATTGTAACTTTTTAGATTCCCAATATTGCTATACTATACTATACTGTTCTTCTTATCTTTCGGATCTTGCTGCATAGCCCGATATAAATCGAACGGCTCATCTACTATTAAATTCCCTTTTCTGATTTTATAGAGTATGGGGATATTATATCCATGGTTTAGTTTCGGAAATCTACCGAATGCGATCGGAAAATTAAGGACAGGATATCAAAGAACGCTACAAGTCCACAAAAAAAAAAAAAGAAAAGGAAAGAAAAAAAAAAAAGAGAGGGGTTGTCGCATAACAGCAGAAGAATGAGATACATTTAATTTTGACAAAGAGGCAGGACACAAAAGACAGAGGAGACATCAGATCAGGCATACCCAGAATCGAACCAACCAACACACACACACACACACACACAGAGTGACCAATTAGTATTCGCCCTCTTCAATGTCCGCCTCCAGGCCGTCGCTGGCAACCTCCTCATAGTCCTTCTCCAGAGCAGCCAAGTCCTCACGGGCTTCCGAGAACTCACCTTCCTCCATACCCTCGCCCACGTACCAGTGCACGAAAGCACGCTTGGAGTACATGAGATCGAACTTGTGATCGAGACGGCTCCAGGCTTCGGCAATGGCAGTGGTGTTGGAAAGCATGCTGACGGAGCGGTCCACGGGGGCCAGCTCGCTGTCGGGGACGCGGACGGGCTTTTGGTAGTTGATTCCGAGCTTGAATCCTGTCGGGCACCATTCGACCAGGTTGAAGGAAGCCTTGGCCTTGAGCGAGGCGATGGCCTGGGTGCAGTCACGGGGAACAACATCACCACGGTACAGTAGGGCAACAGCCATGTACTTGCCGTTGCGAGGATCGCAAACCACCATTTGGTTGTTGGGCTCAAAGCCTACATAATAATGGGTCAGGGACTGCAAGGAAGTTAGGTGAGAATTGGAGGGAAACATACACTGGAAGGTGAGGTCTTGGACCTTGAAGCTTTCGTGCGAGCTACGGTTGCTCGAAACCACGGGAGCGTACGAGATGAGAGGGTAGTGGATACGCGGGAAGGGCACCAAGTTGGTCTGGAACTCGTTCAGATCGACGTTCAAGGCACCGTCGAAGCGAAGACTGGAAGTGATGGAGCTGACCACCTGAGCAATCAGGCGGTTCAGGTGCTCGTAGCCGGGGCGGGGGATATCCAGGTTGCGACGGCAAATATCGTAAACGGCCTCGTTATCGACTAGGAAGGTACAATCAGAGTTTTCGATGGTGCTGTGAGTGGACAGAACGGCGTTATAGGGCTCGACCACGGCGGTCGACACACGGGGAGAGGGGTAGACCGAGAACTCGAGCTTAGACTTCTTGCCGTAGTCGGTGGACAGACGCTCCAGCAGAAGGGCACCGAAACCAGAGCCGGTACCACCACCGAACGAGTGGAAGACGAGGAAGCCCTGGAGAGAGTTGCAGTTGTCTAGGAGGAAGGAATTAGAGGGGTGTTGTTTTGACTGGATTGGATTTTATTATGGGATTGAAAAAAAAACTTACCGACAACACGACGAATACGGTCCACAGCATGGTCAACCAGCTCCTTTCCGATGGTGTAATGGCCACGAGCGTCTACCAGGTGTTAGTTCAGTCTCCCTGATCGGACGAAAGAAACGACGTAGTGCATACAGTTGTTGGCGGCATCCTCTTTTCCGCTGATCAGCATCTCCGGATGGAAGAGCTGACGGTAAGTTCCGGTACGGATCTCATCAATGGGCTGTAGGATGATCAGCAAAACAAGAACGATGGTGCACGTCGGCTTGGGGTTCGTACGGATGGGTCGAGATCGACGAAGATAGAGCGGGGAACATATTTGCCATTACCGGTCTCCGTGAAGAACGTCTCGAAGGAACCGCCCTGGTTGACGTCCTCGCCCTTTTCCGGATCAACACGGCCCTCTGGGGTAAGACCATGCTCCAGAAGATACCTAGGTAAAAATGCAAGCTTGATCAGGATGGTGTTGTGGTGGGACGATATCGGGGACAAGAAGCGGTGAAGAACTCACAGCTCCCAAGCACTGTTACCCAACTGGGTACCAGCCTGGCCGATGTGGATGTGACAAATCTAAAATGCGATGGCAGAAGATGTTAGAATGGGGATATGATTGATACGACCGGTAGGAGAAGTCCAGGTGCTCTGGAGGTTTGATGTTCAGAGAGGGGGGGGGGGGGGGTAGGTAGTGCGGGGGATACAGAAAGGTAAATAAAGCACAGGACGATCATACCTCGCCTCTCATTTTGAAGCTGGATGGGAAGGGTCCGACTGTCTAATGAAGACAATTCAGAAGGGAAGGAAGGAAGTGAAATAAGAGATGGAAAAGGAAGAGGAGAAGAAGAAGAGATGAAGAACGGGTGGTGGAAGAAGAAGAAGAAGAAGAAGAAGAAGAAGATACAAAGTACTGCAGCCGGAAAAAGGGTTCGTCCTGGCACTAGCCTCAGGCCCCAATGAGGCCCACTCCGCGACACGTACCTCTAAAGCCAGAAAATCCTGATTATAGATTTACCTTTAGGATCCTGAAGTGGCGTTTCTTGCTAGTTTTGATTGGCTTTGAAGTGGAATTCCGAAAGATTATAGTGGATGGAGATGTCTTGGAACTGGCCCGCTGGTTACCTTTGAATACAGACTCAGAGTACGACTTGTGATATGAAGAGAATTCAAGAGAATAGATCAAGAGAATAGATCAAGGATTTACTCTAAAGTATACTTGATATAGAGAATTAGATCTCAAGTATCTTTTTCTTTTTTCTCTGAATGATATCTCATCATCTACCCAGGTAAAACTACCTAGGTAACAAGCAACTTTGACTTCACTCGGTCTTTTCTGTCTCCACCAACTCGTCACTTTTCGCATTCGATCGGCGATCTCTCTTTCTCCTATCTATTCATATATTCCCATCTCTTCCTCTCCCTCTCTCTCTCTCTCTCTCTCTCTCTCTCTTTCCCCTTTCTCTCCATACTCACTTCCCTTTTCTATACTTTATATATATATATATACTTTATATCTTCAGATCTGGCCCCGTGCCACCATGTCCACCCCAGTCAACGACTTCCCCGCCCCAACATACGAGCACCCAAAGGAAACCACATCCGATGAAGATACCTACGTGCCCGACAGCTCCCGTATTCCGAATGAAAATCAGTCCTTTCTCCGCGTCGATACCTCCTATGAGGACCTCGGGAAATATCCTGCGCGTTCTCCCTCCGCCACTCGGGAGAAAGCGATGCGACTCGAGGATGATCTAATTGTGCTGGAAGCAGAGCGTGTGGCCTCCCGCTCCACTCACGATGACGAAAAGGAGAGTCGCAGCGAGAGTCACTCGTTGTCGAACTCTCGGACTCGACGAGCTCATGATATTGACGAGTTCGACGAGGCAACCAACCCTCTATATGAAAAGGCCGCCGTTTATAACCCTCCGGAAAATCCCACCACCAGTGTTGCGAGATTTATCAAGAAACTGCACGAATCAAGCTTTATTGTTCGTTATTTCACTTACATTGTGCCACTCGTCCTGCTCCTGCTGATCCCCCTCCTTGTCGGTGCATTGGCCTTTCCCGATGCCAGTGTGGGCGGTGTTAAATTACTCTGGTTCTCGGTCTGGCTGGAGATTGTCTGGTTGACTCTGTGGGCTGGTAGAGTATGTTCCCCCCACAGCGTCTGTCAATCAAGTGCATATCAAAACTAAATCCATCGTAACAGATCGTGGCGAAATGCCTCCCCACCCCCATTGGATTGATTTCCAGTATCTTCACCAACAACTCCAAGAAGTGGCGTGACGTCGCAAGGCAACTGGAACTACCGGCTACCTTGTTCTTCTGGTGGTTGGGTATCGAGATCTCCTTTCTGCCTACCATGAAGAATCACCATGTGGACGGCAACAGCGCCACTCGTGGCTGGGAGAGAACAATCAACAAGCTGATCATTTCAGTCTTCGTCTGGACCATTTTGAACCTGATCGAAAAATTCATCACCCAATTGATCGCCATGAGCTTCCACCGCCGTACCTACTCCGACCGCATCGAAATCAACAAGTTCCAGATCGGCAGTTTGACCAAGTTGTACGGCTTTTCGCGCTCCAAAATCACCGAAACGGACGATGCCTTTGAAGAAAAGAATCACAAGAGGGCCAGCGGCACCAAGACTCCCTTGCACTACGCCGGAAAGGCCCAGCGGGTGGCAAAGGGCGCACTGAACAAGGTGGGCGATGTGGCTGGTGTCGTGGCCGCCGACTTCACCGGCCGGAAGATCAACAATAGTAACCACCCACATCAAGTCGTTTTGACCCTTCTCAGGACTACCTCGGGTTGTCAGGTTTTGGCCCGTCGACTCTACCGAACCTTTGTGCGCGACGGGTTCGACACGATTTTCTCTGGCGACCTGAAGGAGGCCTTTGACGACAACGAAGAGGCCGACGCCGCCTTCACCATGTTTGACAAGGATATGAACGGGGATATCTCCATGGAGGAACTGGAAGCGGTCTGTGTGGAAATTGGTCGGGAACGCAAGGCCATTACTGCGTCTTTGAAGGACCTGGATTCCGTGGTCTCTCGTCTTGGCAACGTCTTTGAGTTCTTCGTCGCCATTATCACCATCATTGTCTTCCTAACCTTAATCTCGACCTCGGCGGCCGGTGTTCTTACCTCTGCCGGGTCTAGTATCCTTGCCTTGTCTTGGTTGTTCTCGGCCACTGCCCAGGAATTCCTCCAGTCTGTCATCTTCGTCTTCGTCAAGCATCCATTCGATGTGGGCGACCGGGTGACGATCTATGGTAACTCGGGTGATGCCGGTCGGGGCGATGACTATTATGTCAAACAGATTTCGCTCCTCTATACCGAGTTCAAGAAGATGCAAGGCCACATTGTCCAGGCCCCCAACAGCTATCTGAATACCTTATTCGTCCTCAACCAGCGGCGATCCGGGGCACTCGCAGAGGCCGTTCCCATCGTCATCAAATACGGCACCACTCTCGAACAGATGGATGCGCTTCGCCAACGCCTGGTCGAGTTTGTCCGCAGTGAACGCCGCGAATTTCAGTCGAATATCCTCACCGAACTGCGCGCAGTCACGGAAAACTTCTCCGTGACTCTCAATATTGTCTTCTTCTACAAGTCCAACTGGCAGAACGAGGGGCTGCGTCTTCAACGCCGCAACAAATTCATCTGTATGCTCATGATGGCTTTACAAGAGATCGGTATCGAGGGCCCTCGCATGAACCTCCAGGGCGCCAGTGTCGACATTCCCTTCCACCTTTCGGGCTACCCCCCACCATATCACCCACAGTCTGCATCGTCGGGCCACGACGGGGATCCTCAGACAGGCACCCCGATTGTCGACGAGCACCACCCCCACCCCCACCCCGAACATCTTGGAACTCGCCATCCGTCCATCCTGCGCAAGGGCATGAATACCGCGACCGCGCGTGCCCGTGGCGATTCGGTGCTTTCCCGAAAACACGTCGACTTCTCCCTCGGGATGCGCGATTTCTCCGCCGACGATATTATGGGCGATGTATTTGAAGCCCGCAGCCCCCGTGCCGAAACCATGGTGCGAAATGTGATCGCCGAGCGACGGATTCAGGAAGAGGAGGCCGAGCGCGAGAGCCTTGATTCTTCCCGACGCCGTTCCAACCTCAGCGTCCCACCACCCGGTGCCAGCGAGGGCCGTCGCTCCACCGAGTCCCAGGGGGGCCACAGCCTCTCCTCCTCAATCCATCGCAACCGATTCTTCCGCCATCGCACCAACAGCACCCACCGCCACGAAGACTTAATGGAGCAGGGACGGTTCGACCAGGGCTCGACATCAAGTCCAGCAGCACCCCCTATCCGTTCCGTCTCACCGACATCCCCGGGTGAAAAGAAAGAATAACCGATCTCCGCCATACGCGCCATAAAATCTATCCCCATGTCCTCTCTCTCCCACCCACATACACACACACACACACACACACATATATATATATATATATATTCTTTCCCTTCATTACATTGTACACATACACATATACACATACACATATACACACATATATATATATATATTCCGACCCTTTTAATCTCACGCCTCGATACTACGTTCCACATCAACATACCAAAAGGCGGCTTCTTGATTACTTCCCTGCGCCGCAAACGAACCCTTCTCTATCTGGCGGAACATGAACATCTTATTATATATCCTCTGCCACCCTAGCGCGCGTGCTCGTTCTTTAGCACACTGACCAACCCATCCATCTAAAAGCAAATTGAATCTCATCTTGGGTATATATATATATATATATATACATAGTACATAGAAGAATGGCCCTGAATTGTCTGTCTGATTTGTTCTTTTTGACTTCTTGTGTTCTTGTGATTTAATTAATGCCTTTGTATGCACACTCATCTTCCATAGAACGAGACAGACATCTACCAATTAAATTGACAGGGGTGGTTTACATTACATCCCTTGTTATCGCTGCTGAGTTTTATTATACCAGTAGGATATTTGGAAACTTGCCTGGCCACTACTTGAACCAGACACCACATTTTATATATATGTATACATATATATACATACGTAGACTACGCCTACAACAACTTGAATTACATTCAAGTTCGGAAAACTAAATCCGGTTCTGTTTCTGCGTCTGTTTCTCACGGCTTTGCTTGTTGGCACATCCTATAATTGTATCTCGTACATACACAGTCTTAAAGCGAAGCCAAGTAAGAGGTAAGTGGATGATAGAATAAACACAAAGGAAAGGAGGCAGAGAAGAAGAAGGGTGAGTCTCTTAAAGTAGAAATCCGAACTGGTAAATGAAAAAAGTGATAAGAGTATAAAAAAGGAAAAAAAGTAAAGGATTGAAATGCAAGTTATAACTCGAACAGCCTGGTTGAGTAGATATCACGCCAAACACCCGCTCAACCTTAACAAGACAAGCCACATCAATAGGTAAAATGGAAAAAAAAAAAAGAGAGAGAGAAGAGTAGCTATTTTGACAAGAGGTTAGGGGAGTAGTAGGACAGAGGGGGGGAAAAAAAAAAATCAAATCAAGTCGTTAAAAAAATAAGACGAGAGGGTCTTGAGATAAACATAATGCATAAATTTTTCGAAGCAAACTTGGAATCAGTCATGGAAAGTAGAAGCGCACAAATCGAATGAATATCCCAACTGACTGTCTGTAGTATATGAAAAAGACAGCAACATAACACGTTCGATCTTTTGAAACTACCTGCCTGCTGGACGAGGCGTATTATCAAAATCCAAGTAGGGTGAAGGTGTATTCATGGGCCGAGGAGTGGTCTCAGAATCGGCGGATGAGTCTAATATACTAGACTCATCAGCCAATCTCGATTCCCCGCTACTATTCAAGAACCTGAGAGATGGCGTATTTGAATACACCTGGTTGGCGCTCTGCGGAACTTCTCTCGAGAATACAATGGGGGGAGTAATTTGGCCCCTCTTTGAGGACCCAGTGCTCACCGGCGTGTCTGCCTTTCTGAATATTTCCGTATCATATCGGGCAAATGCTGGTTTGGAATAGGCGGTCAAAATACTCGGTCGTGAGTCGGGTGCCAGAGGCGATGGTTGTTTCGGGCTGAAGTCTTCTTCCTCAATCGACGGCACGATGACCTCCTCGGGTATGTTAAGTTCTTCGAACTTACTGTCCAAAGACATTCTTGGGGATCGAATCGAATCTTCGCCAAGATCACTGTAGTCATCAGAACCTCCACTTCTGCCCCGGTCTTGGGTCTCCTTTTCTTTCCTCAGAGCTTCTTCCCCAGTACTGACCACGCTACCTCGGCTATTGGTTCGCATCATTTCAATACCTAGCTTGGAGCCAGGTCGATGCGGTCTATTCCGAGGGCTGTGCACTCTCGGCTGTAGGTTCCCAAGCTCCTCATCTTCATCATCACCAGACTCTGCACATTCGTAGCGGTTTCGTTCCATAGATTCCCTCTTAGCCCGGATTGCTTCACTAGACCGCTGCTTTCGCGGGGTGAGCATGCCTGAAGGGCTGAGGGCGGCGGGAGCCGACGTAGTATGAAGTAAACTCGGGAAGGGCACTGTATTTTGACCCTTGCGATTCTGATCGGCGGTTTCTTGTGGAGTGGCTGAGTCTTCAGATATGCCTAATCCCCCTTGGTTCTGGCCCCAATCATCCGTTTGGCGGCTCACAATGACAGGAATTTCCTCTACCTTGATCGAATCCAAGTCACCGAAATAGCTGCTGCCAACCGAATCCTCACGACTAGACCCCCGACCTGAAGAGGGAACAGGAGCGAAACCGGACGAAATTGTGGAGCTTGGGCTGTGCTCAGACTGAGTAGGAGGGGGGGGATGGCGTAAGACAGACGCAATTACCGATGGAAGTGCAGGACTATAGTCCTTTGGTGGGGGTTTCCACTGGCAAAACTTGCACAGTGCTTCAGTGAATTTGGTCAGCGTTGGAGGCTTTTCAATGAGCCCGTCAAAGTAATGAGTCTCCGGAAGATCTTTGAGATACCCAGTGACTGCAATTATCGGCGTGTGTCGATTGGCACTGCGTGTTTCCCGGACCATGCGGGCAACATCCGCTCCATTGACCTGGGGGAGTTTGAACTCCGTCATAATGATATCGAATTGGACCTCACTAAGCGCATAGCGCACTGCTTCTGCGCCATTCGTAGCCGTGATGGTGCGGCAACGAAGCTTTTCAAACAGGCGCTCCATGACTAACCGCGAAATCGGATGGTCTTCGCAGATGAGGATGTCGAGTGGCCGGAAAAATGGGCCCTCGTTGAGATTAATCTGGGATAGACGCCTCGAGCTCTGTCGGCGACGTTGCACTTTGAGCAAAGCCTTCGTGCGAGGGTCCTCATTGTCGGATGAGGAAGGCGAGACATCAAATAACTGACTCCTCCGCTTATAATGGCCAGCCACGTACGATTCTTTTGCGAGAGATGAAGACAAATCTCCATCCTGGGATCCAATCGTTTGTGACCGAGCCCTTGTTGCTGGGGCGCTCCCCTGACGTTGTTGACCTGGGACCGCTTTATCAGGAGAGTGTGTAGCCACCCGGCCAGTCTTGATCGGAGATGATGCTGCAGAATTGAATTTGATGCTCGCCATGCGACTCTGATCTGCAGAGGCGGGTGCAAAAGATCCACTGGATTGGTGAGAGTTGGTTGAGGATGATCCGGACGTCTTTCTACGCTCATGATTATTTCCAGTGCTGAACTGAACGAGGAGTGGAGATGAAGGCTGCGATGGACGACTAGGGGACGAGTTCGCTTGACTCAGACTAGAAGGTGACGAAGGACGGTTGCTGCCCTTCGTTTGGGACATGGTCCGCTGCAGCGGCATTGGTAATGGACTGCCTTCGAGTGAAGGGCCGGATGACGGCGGAGTGGGGCCCTGAGTCGGTGGTTGTTGCTGAGGCCCTGTGGTCGCGAACTGGCGCTGCTGTGCTTGCATTGCTTCCTGTCGGAGTTTTTGGATAACATCCTTGTTTGCCTTTTCGAGCATAGGAAGGTTCTTGAAAGCGAAGTTTCCAAAGTCGTCCGCCAAGGAAGGTTCACTCAACCTCCTGCTGCGTGACTCGCGGACATGAGGAGGAATGTGGAGAGGCATTAATGGCCGCTTCATGGAGTTAACCTGTGAGCGGACCTTGAACAGTGCGTCATGCGGTCGGTCATACGTGCCACTCGTAAGTGGAGGTTGAGGGGAGCTTTCATCCTCAAGCTCTTCAGTAAAAGCCTGGAGCGTCGCTCCGCGGGCATCAAAATATTCGGTATCCTCGGGATTTTCCAGATTCGGCACAAATTGAGCCTTATCCTCCAGCAGAGTATCCCAGTTGATATCGGAAAACCAACGGTGGTTCCGAATTTCAGCTCCTCCGTTGGGGAAATTCTCATCGGCATTAGCCCCAATCCGCTCGCGTGGGTCAATAGTCATAAGCTTGTTGATCAAATCTATGGCTTCGGGGGAGGCCAACTCTTCGAGGTCTTCCGGCCAGTTGATTTTTCGATGAAGTATATTTTCGAAAACTTCATCTGGCGTTGCCGCGTTGAACGGAGGATAGCCAAAAAGGAACTCGAACATGATGCAACCCAATGACCACCAATCGCCCATCTCATCCTGGCCAACACCGTTAATCGTTTCTGGGGCGAGGTAATCCGGGGTGCCTACAAAGCGTCTGTTGTGATCGTCGGGGTCGAAAAGTGCCATCAAGGGTGGCATCATGGACTGCTGGGGTGGTGTCCCTATTAATACTTGGTTGCTGATCGTTGGTTGGAGTGGATGCAGATAAGGAGATTCTCCCGCCTCACTCTGACCTTCTTCTTCTTCTTCGTGCACGCTTTCGGATGACAGAACAGGAAAAGCACTAGACGCTTCTCCTTGATCATTGAGGGACAAGCTTCGGAAAATTGCGTTCAAGTTTTCACTCCCACCACTGTCGCTCCGATATCCAGATGCTCGTCGAGATGTTTGTCTGCCAAGTCCATTTTGATTCAGACTAAAGTAGGAGGGCTGAGGCATGCTACCACCAGGATCGGGAGTAATCAGAGGGGTGGATCCTGGCGATCCGCTCCCCTGGAAATCAAACGAGGCCGATCGAGACGAGGCGATTGAGGTGGCCCGAGGGAATGAGCCCTGCTTTAGAATATCAACTCCCTGTTCATTCATGCTCTTCAGCACACGTTTCTGACGCCCAACCAGACCCATACGGGACAGCCCAAAGTCAGTCAGTTTAAGATGACCTGTCTGGTCAATGAGAAGGTTATCCGGCTTGAGATCACGATGAACAATGCCTCTGCTATGAAGATGTTCGACACCAAGAACGACTTCAGCAATGTACTTTTTGGCCCAATCCTCAGGGAGCCCACCAAGAATTTTAACCAGAGAGGCGCAGTCCCCTCCATTCAAGTACTCCATTACTAGATAAAGATAGTCTTTACTAGAAAATGTCCAGTAAAGTTTAGCAACGAAGTCACTCTCCCCTTGCCACATCATAATCGCCCGCTCAGCCTTGACATTGGTCACCTGATTTTTAGCAACCATATCGGCCTTTTTCAGAACCTTGATTGCAAAGTACTCCCCTGTTGTCTTTTTCTTGGATAAATAGACACTGCCAAAGGCGCCTTTGCTGATCGGCTTGATGATTTCAAAATCTTTGATAGAGGGGGGCACTGGTCGTGGCTGAGGCTGACTCGCGGTAGTCAGATGGGGGGAGACAGGTGGACGAGGAACGTCGGAAGACGCTGCTGACGATTGGCGACGGTGGTGACGATAATGATGAAGGGACAATTCCCCCGCATTAGTTGACGGCGATACAATAGGCGATGGCAGACTTTCGGCTCCAGTAGAAAGACGTGGTTTCGGCATACGCAAAGGGGAATGGGGACCGGACACTCGGGCGGGTGAATGTTGTCGTCGAGGGGAACTGGCCAGTCCTGGAAGCACCAGGCTTCTGCGTTTGCGATCTATGCTTCGATCAGATGAAGGCGAGTCGGTTCGCAGGGTTCCGGGAAGGGTAGAGGAGAGAATGCTGCTATCACTCTGCTCGCCCGCATCGAAGTCGAGCAAGGAAAGGCCCCGTCGAGATGGTTGAGAGGTTCCCAGCAACCCGGCAGCACTCTTATGCGAGCGAGGGGTCGGACATTCCATGGGGCTACTCGATCCCGTAGATACAGCAATAGATGAGGGTTTCCCTTCCAAATATTGGAAACGTTCTGGAGAGTTGCGCATTGACATAGTCAACGCAGAAACTGATGGGGACGGCACAGAAACTTGACTTCCAATAGACGCGGGAATCGACGCAGCGGGATCGGTGCTAGTGAAGGCAAGGTCTTCGGGTAATGGCTCTAATGGATCGTCCTCCGAGGAACTTGAATCGCTTAATTGACCTGCCGCAATACGCTCAGCCTTTCTAAGAGCAGCTGAAATACAATCTTCCACAAGCACAGTATATTCAATACGAATTCTCTCGGCGTATTCCACGATTTTGCGATGACGAACAACCGCATCCACCTTTGCTCGGGCGACCTGCTCCGTATCCGCACACAGAGCGGCAAGGCCCTGCTCCTGTTCCAAGGTGTTCGAGCTGGGTGATTGCCACTGCAGCACCTGAGAAATGCGTGATTCCGATTGGGGAGACATAGTTCGGAAATCGTCTCCGTTTTCGCCACGGGCTTCTCTGATTACCGGCATATTAATCTCCAAGGCTGTGTCGCAAAGGTCGAGAATCAACTCGACCACTCGAGCCAGGGGCCGCCGGACTGCGAAGGATCGGGCGCGTGAGTGACCCGTTCCCGAAACAGACTGATCCCTTGACCTAGGTGGTGTACCAGGTGCCGAGCTGCTAGTAGATGCCGACCCCGATGACGTTGTTGAAGCGACAGGAGATGGTCCAATAGGGAGACCTTTGTATTCGGGCTGTGGTGGCGCTGAAGAATTGCCATCCCGGAGAGTCACAGGCCGACCTTGTCTCGCCTCCAGGGCATCCAACACCTTGACAATCGCATGGCGGTGTTCATTAAGATTCTCTTGGGCGATCTGGAGGTCCATTTCGGCTTGATGTTCCTGGAGGCAAAGATCGGAGTGCTTTTCGAACCACCATGGGGTGATCTCACGTTCGCAGATGCGACACAGCACGGGTTTCGGGGCAGGGTGTTTAGAAGGGTCGGGTTCGTTCGCAGCGGCCTCTGCTAGCACTGTTAAATAGTTCGCCAAAACCTCCGCACCAACACCTAAAGATTCCACGAGCAAATGTGGAAGGTCAATGGTAACTTCCCGTGGCTCCGCGAATGGTCGCAACATCCACATCGTCTGCGGTGCAAGTCAAGTTAGCCTCCCTGGAAGAGTTAAGATGATCGAGACGCAAAGCATACATGTCCAACTCCATCCGCAGTACGGTCAAAAACCATGATTCCTTGCCCTTCCAGGGTAAGAATGTCGTGGCTGTGCTCCTCCACCGTGTCCAAGGGTTCCTCGTGATCCTCCACACCCTCCGTTCCAACAGTGCCAGTCACTTCCCGCTTCATCGGCCGTGGTTCTGGGGAGAATTTCAAGACCGAGTCAGGGCCCATCTGGACCGCGACACGAATGAAACGGCTTCGCGAGTCATCCTCTTTGAGAGATTCTATCGCGTCGTGAAAGGCATTCTGATTGTCCACCAAGACCTCGGAGATCATTCGTCCTTCTATCGACTCCGACGGCGTTCCCACAACCTGTTTCCACGACGGACTAACCCATTTGACACGACCTTCTAGATCCAAGTCGACAATGACATTCAGGGTCTGTTCCGCGGCTTCTCTCAAGTCCTCACGTTCTTCCCGCATATCATCATCGCTCAAGGCACGCGTTAAAGGAGAGAATTTCGGGTCGATGCTCCGAGCCTCCTGCCGTAAAGCAGTCACGGCCGGAGGGGTGAGGAACCGTGCATTTTCTGTGTCATTGCCGGCCATGCTGGCGAGACAATCTCGCGGAGGGAATGCAAAGTCCCTCCGCTGGAGAACGAGTCGATGACGGAGTAGGAAAAGGGGTCGAGGAAAGAATCACGGATACGATCGGGACCGAGCAGGACCGTCTGCTGGGCAGAGCGGGTGCCCTTGGTTGTTGGCTATGGATTCATTCGTAGCATCAACGGGCCATGGCTAGATCGCGGGGGGGGGGGCTGTAGGGGAATTGGTAATAACAACCCAGCCGCGAAGGGAAGCCCTGGCCTCGATTATATCAATAAAAGAAAAAGAACAGATAAAAGAAGTTTGCTCCTGATGAATAGGGAAAGGAAATAAACAAGAAAGGGAAAAAAAAAGGTATAATGAGTGATCACGTAAGAAGTAGGATGTCGAAACTTGAGGGAAAGAGAGAGAGAGCGGCTATGCGGGGGGGGGGTTTGGAATGGCGCGACGGTCAACGCGAAGTTGAGAGAGACAAGAGCTCAAGAGGATAATCGAGGAAGAGAAAAAAAAAAGAACAAAAAGTGGATTTGGCAGAAGGACAGGGAGAAAAAAAAAAAGAAGAGAGTGAGTTGTAGTTAGTTGGTGAGTAGTTAGAAAGTGAGGGAATGCAATGCAAGAGTCCCTAGAGAGGAGAAGCTCGTACGCAGTTGGTACGGCAGGATGTACCATTGTGGAAAGCACAGCGAACAGGGAGGCTTTGCTGGGGGACAGGAGTGTTTTGGTATGGTAACGGTATTAATGATGAAGAGCGGCCGAAGCAGCAGCGAATCATAGCCAAAATGACACCAGAAGCGGGAAAAACGGCCAACACTGGGGGGGATCACGTGGGAGGATCTTGGTTTCTGGTTTCTATTATATCTCTGTACAAGTATAATAATGAACTATTCACAGCCAATATTATGAGAGGTACTCCATACATAAAAGGAAGTTGGTGGTGTTGACCTCGGATTAACTGGGATAATGCATGGTGATGATGATCATGTCTACTTTGTGCTGGACCGAACATCCTCAACATTATTAGGGAGTAACTACGGAGTACAATAATTTCTGTCTTTACTATAGCTAAAAATATGGAGTACCCTCGGGGGTACTTTTGTTTCTATATCATCCGATCCGTGCATTTCCATGTTACCACCCAGCGCCACTGGAATCCCTTTAACAGCTACCATTCCCTTCCATTTTCAGAATTAAACGACTGGTAGGCTTTCGATTTCATTTTCTAGAAGTATACCGAAAGACCTTTTCTTGTTCTGCCTTCTCTTTCATTCCATCTCTCTCGTTCGTTCGCTCTTCGTTCCCCTCCTCTTCGTAGGTAGCCTAGATGCACCCCTTCATGCATCCAAACGCCACTTTGGGGAACTTGTATCAGCTGCTTAGTTGTCCCGTGGAAGTGTGCATCCCTAACCCAAGGGGAGGTTGTCCACTTGACTTGGATTTCCTGGTTATGTCATCATCCCTTAGTTATATCCTGTGTCAATTAATAACTAACCACCTCAGAAATAATAAGAACGAACGAACTAAACGTTGGACTGCGGGGTACACCAGCAAAACTAAAAAGGTGGGGAGAAGATCGCCCAATCAGTCAGTCAGTGATCTAGTTTATCTTTTTTGGGAACACTCCTCCTCCTCCTCCTCCTCCTTACTGCCAGACCCATGATTCATACATACATCCTACTAGATCTATCAGAACGCGGTGCTCAGCGATCATTCCTGCATCCAGATTCCAAGTAGGTCGACTACTCCTTGAATTGCCTATACGGAGTACTAGGCTAAGACGCCCTGGATTCTCATCCAGAGACGAGTTTACGACTGTTACCCATTAACTTTCGCTTTTCGTCGGGATTCCTCATATTAAGTTCAAGAATATTAGATTTCAGGAATGAAGAATTCAACTGGAGGGATCTATATTTCCCCAGATTCTATGGTGTTTGTCGCCAACATAGAAAGATCTCGGTTCTCAGTTGGATATACACAATGACGAGCTATAGTACTAGAAGCCATTAAACCTCACTTGTGCTCTTGACGTGTTTTCAGTGAGGATGATATCTCTAACGTGCCTGAAAGCTTCTTAGAGACCCTTAGGGACCTTTGGCTAAGTCTATTTGAACACAAATGGCATTAGTTTTCGCCAGGTAGGATAGATTCGAGATGGAAGATACTTACTTACCGAGGTAGAGAACGTAGTAAAAAGCGATAGAGCGGTTCGATTCATTTTAACCGGCTTCAATATAGGTAAATATTCAACATCTTCCAATACATCCGTTTATCAAGCGGCAGGGGCCCCAGTCAAAGGTACCTAACCCGTCATAGCAGCCTTCCAATGATTGGGGGATAAGTACGCCTGCAGCCTGTACAGGTGGGCGAAGTTTGTTCAATAGCTGATACAATATATATATATATATATATAATATGTATATGCAGTAGTCCAAGTCCACAAGGGATTCTGCTTCCCGTGGCATTCAATTAGGTATCCATGTAATAGAACTCCAGCGAAACGACGCAAATCACATATCGTACATTAAATAGGTATAAAAATATACTAGAGTTCTCTCGTCCATCACTGCCCCTTCTTCGCACCCTCCTGTCGCTGGCGTTCAACCACAAATCCAACCGCACGGGCGAGTCCCTCGTCAACGGGAACAACAGGATAATAGCCGAGTCGGAGCTTAGCCTTCTCAGCCGAGTAGTAACGTGTCATGCACGAGTAGCGGACCATCCGCCTGTTCAGACGTGGCTGTTTGCCGAACAGACCCATCATGGTTTCCACGGCGCCGCCAATTGGGCCAAGGACGCTCTCGGGAAGCTCCCACACTTGGTGCGGTTCGACTACCTTGTCTGCTAGTGCCCAGGCGGCGTGTGTCATATCCCAGAAATAGACCGGTGAGTCATTGGTAACATTGAAGGCCTCCCCGTCGACGCGCTCGTTGTCCAGAGGCTCGGCTTGGCCGGACTCGTACCGTTCTTGGCTGGCGAGCAAGCGATACGCAGCAAGCATGTGGGCGTATGCAACGTTTCCGACATAGGTGAAGTCAAACAGATTGTTGTTCTCGCCTAGTTGCATTCGGAGCACGGTCGGGGAAGCCTTGGCCGCATGTTCCAAGACCTTGAATGAAAATGAGGTATCCTTTTCGCCGTAAATGCCGGCCGGGCGGAGGGCGCACGTCAACATCGAGGAGGGAGAGGTTCGGTTATACTTCAAGACTTGCTCTTCCGCATCGGCCTTGGAAACATTATTATCGTTAATATCAACACGGAAGAAGCACGAGTCGCAGCCAAAACATACCTTGGTCTCGGAGTAGTACTCCAGTTGCAGCTTCCCTCTAATATATGGCCAATCCTCAGTGACATTGATCAAGTCGCTCTGAGTATCGTGCACCACAGAGGCAGAGCTCGTGTACACAAACGCCTTGCACTTGCCACCCCACTCGCCTTGAGCACCACCGGCCACCTCCAGCAGCGTCTTGGTTCCCTCGACATTGACCTTGTACAACAGAGGCTTATTGCCCTCCAGAACGTTTGGAGTCGCAGTGTGGATAACTACATCGGGCTTGACCTTGGAAAAGACAGAGAGCATCGACTCTACCGAAGTGATATCTCCGTCATAGTAGTCCGCACCTGGCAATCGGTTGTGGGTCGTCCGCAAGTCCACCACCGCAACCTTAGCAATATACCGTGGGTACCTGCCGCTTAGCTTGGGATATTCAAATCGACGGTCTCCCTGAGGCTTTGGAAGGATAACGCTGGGATCGGTTTCGGAGGGAAAGTTAAGCAATTGATCAACAATGTGCCAGCCGAGGAATCCACAGCCTCCGACAACCAGGACAGTGCCCAATTCGACAGTGGGTCTTTTTGTAGACATCGTAGTGGTGGCCCAGCCTATATCAATGTATGTACAGGGTATGGACGATAAAATGAGTGGATGAGAGCGACCCGTATCTAAGTCGTAAGTAAAAGGGGGGGGGGGGTTTGAAATCTGTCAATTAATTTCGGGGATCTACTCCGCTACGAATATCTTCTGGGGCCAAGCTTGGGCCACCATCCGCTCGATATCAACACGTGATGGGTTACTAAGACAGGTTGTATCACGTGTGTATTTATATCGTCCTGCCAATCACACGCCATCAAAGCGTACCTCTTGCAAACAGCTCGAGGCAATGTCCTCTGAAAGCATGCAGATAATAGTAATGGCTCATAGAAGACCATAGGTAGGTATTTTACAACAGCTGGAACATAATTCCTTTCTACAGACACAATTCTGATAGGAAATGTAGGTTCATTATGCGATGTATGACAACGCAAGATTTCGTCAAAGTTAGAACATTTATGGAGCTCTCATGCCCTCTCAATAACTAATCATCAGTACTATGGTGGGTAAGGCGCTTCATAGTAGTATCGTTAATCATGTTCCAGGGGTGTCCAGGAATGGGAAGAGTCGGGGAGTCATGGGTTTTTTTTTAATGTGAAGGGGAAGACATTCATTCAAATCCAGTCTTTCATGAGCTTCATGGGGGTAAGAATGTGAGTGCTAAGATCTCCAATGCTGATTGTTAAACACCCTCAAGTATCTTACTCAAATGTATCTCTAGTTGGGCAACATATTAGCAGCAGCTTTTTCCTCAGAAGTTCAAGGACTCACTCGATAGATTTCTCAACATCCCTTCTAAGTGTCCGCCTGTATTGTTTACGTTCTTCAGGAGAACCCCAGAACAACTTGGATGCGTCCGGGTTGATGGTAGCCCGTGGGTCATACGGCGGCGATTCCTCCTCCAAAGACGCAATGATCGCCTCAATGTGATAGCGCATTTCCTCCGTTCGTTTCGGGAGATAGCATAGGACTTTTTCTTTAGACACGCGAATATGAAAAATAGACGTCTCCATGAACACTCGAGGCTGCTCTTCCGGAAATCGTGGGCTCAGGTGTATTTTCATCTTGAAAATCCCGCCGTCTAGCGGCGTAGTGGGCCGCCCAAAGTATGTGACAATCCATACGAAAGGGTTTCCGTCGACAATATTCAAATCAATCGTGTAATTCTTCTGGTGCTTAAGATCTTCGACGATCTGTTCGTACTGACGCTGCAAGTTTACTGCGATGCCAAGCTCCTCCTTTTGAGCCTGCAGTCCTTGTGCATGCCACCCTTCTGTTTCTTCCATGATTCTTTCTTTAATACGAATCAACCGCTGTCGCAATGCAATGTAGTCAAAATGACCTTCCATAGTATTGCCAGCACTTTCGAAAGGCATCTTCTGAAACTTACGGTTACGCGACGTAGGTCCATATCGCTCCTCTCTGTCAATAAGGCGCATGTAAGACTCGTAATACCATAAGAAGCGCCGCTTGCGAAGATCGGTAAACGGATTTTCATAGCCGATAATCTCGTCATCCGACCAAGATTCACTGTCCTCCTCAGATATCTTTACGCCTGGAGACTTTGTAGAGCCATCCGGCAATATATCCAAGGATGTTTCCAGTGGTTCAATAACCGCAAGACGAAGCGTTTCGTGTCGTATCTTAGGCAACGTAAGCCATGCGCTTTGCATAGTCACCGACAAAATCTCACCTTTTCCGTGTAAGCCACCATGTTTTCCCGATCTGAATCTGATTTCGCATGCTCATATCCGGGCTCATTTTCGTAGGGGTTCGACGACATCAAACTTTGAATAGAAAGCAAAACAGACTCTAGCCCTTGTGCAGAGGACCACTGCTCTCCACTCTCACCGGTCCAAGTGCTATACGCGTCTATCAGCTAGAGCTCACTGGCAAAAAAGACGTTCGAACTAATCTCTCTTTACCCTAGAATTGACCTTGATTTGCCGGCTTCGTCAGCCTATTTGCAGAGGGAAAAGGGACATTGAGCAAACTCACAAGCAGACCTTGCCTCCAGCGTAGATATTAGGGTTGAAACGAGTTGTCCCGCCGTTAGTAGTTGCTGCGCGCACCGTAGGAGGGCTCGCAGGGTAATCTAGGCGGCCGAATATGAGCTCCGAGGCTACTTCCAACGGAGAATGTCTTCCTTACCTTTTGGAAACTTAATGTGAAACTACGTCAATCAGTGTCAGTATTCTGATTTGCTAAGATTATGAAAGTCCAACCTCGAAAAAACCAAACTGATAGGGGGTCTCTGGAGGCCCCAGAATAACAGCGCGAACATTCCTAATATCAGAGTCCTCATAGCTCACAGCGATAGCTAGCATAGGGATTAGTAAAGAGTCCATAAGCGGAATGTTCATCCCGGTGTCCAAGACTATAAACTGGGATTATCTTGGTGTTTAGTTATTGTCTTCGAAAGACTTACAAACATCTGCACTCTGTTGTATCTGTTTGATTTCCTGAGGAAGGAGCATTTTTGTCAGCATAATAGCGACGTAAGGCGGGGAAGCGCAGCAGGAGGTAGGAAATGACAGTCAGTACTCTTGTGATGCGGAGTATTGCCTGATCAGACATTCTGACCACAAATTGCCAGGCAGAACCCCTTGGCTAGCTTCAGGCGGATGCGACAGTTGGGGTTTACCAAGCTGGAGCTGCAAATACTGGCCCTTAAACAGGAAGTGTTGTGCAGACAGGTGATCGACGGCTGGGCCGGGAAGTCAATTTAGGAGAGAGAGAGGGGAGAGAAAAGTTTGATCTTAAACGAGAGGGATGATATGTGAGGGTTTGAAAATGGTGTTTTTGAGATAGAAATGTGAGAGATGATACAAATTTCAGGCTGTCAAAGAATGATGGTATGGTGATGGCCACCGCAGGTGAGATGCAAACAAGCTGATGCATACATACAGCACCCAGCCGGGACAGCACACCTACCTATGTACATACCTGGGTTAGTACTCTGTTGTAGAACAAATAATGATAGAATGGAACTTTCTCAGAACATATAGGTGTATTCTATCGGGGTAATGCTATATAGTACCTGGATACGGGGATGGAATCTCTCTCTCTCTCTCATATTATATCATCATGGGGTGGTGGGCACTTCCCCGCCATCGCGTTGTATCTTTTCTACGGTACATACTCGATGTAAGACAAAGTGTACGGAGCTTATTCGCCCTTGCGATGGAAATTTAATGGAAACAAGCTCTCAAAATGAGTCTGATTATTTCAACTGGAAGCATCTACCTAAGAAAGAAGTCGAGTTCACAGTGTTAAATACAAATTTCCCCCTAAGCCAAGTTGACTCCAGGAAATTGGTCCTCGAAGCTCCACAATAAATCATAAATTGGAAGTACGAACACGACTTATTAGGTGCCTAAGGCCAAATGGATGACCCGCAATGTCACGTGGTCTGTAGTCGTCAATCCTCGCCTTTACCTACACTTCAACCAAAGGACTTTTTTCCCTCTTCCCAAGTCGATTTCTAGTATTCACTTGAGCTTCATATTGGAATCCCCTGAAGATATTCCAAATTCCAATGGCAGAATTCCACAATCAGGAACAATTTCCTCTGACATAAACACAAACATATGCCCCTTCTCTTCAGGCGGTGTGACAAGCGGTGAGAACTCCACGTGATGGTCCCTAGCGGGCAACCACCCAACATGAAGCATAGGGGGGCAGAGCAACAACTGACAATAGCACTCGCACTGCCCCAAACATACCACTTCTGCCTCTGTTTGGCTTCTTTCCTATCTGTTCTCTTACCATCTGTCCTCGATCCGCATGTTACTCTTTGTCTCCCTGCTTTCGTCCATGTGTCTCTAGCTTTGGGCTGTGGATAGACGCCGTCTGTTGAAAGGGATTAGGAATGGTGGTTATCTTGGCCAGCGTCCTCCGCTTGTTGGTCTCGCTTTGAGCTCCAACCCTTTCAGTCCGATTCCCTTCCCACGGGCGCCTACCTTCTTGTACACCCTTTTCTCCACGCACTTTTACCACCCAAGTAGGTAGACCGTCAGTCTTTACGGGCCACGCGCTTCCCATTCTCTAAATTTCCCCGCAAGTTTCACCTCCATGGCGTGAGGTGAGTTGCAACTGAAACGACCCTAAACATACCTTCTTACCAACCCCGCGCGAAGAACATAGAACGCTTTCTAACCTAGCTCTACCCTTTCACAGGCCGCATGACCGCTTGAATTACTAGTCTCGACGACTTGCAATTCATAGTCTCCAATAATACTTTTGATTGCTTGTGCTCGAGTGTCGATCCTACCTGACCTTGGCGGTAACCCTACCTACCGACCTCGAGCTCACCTGCCCGACCCTGAAATACCCCACTACAAAGAAAATACCTCGAAGCAACCTCTGCTCAATTCGTGAAGGAGAAACATTGGATTGAGTGCACCAAGGCATAGTTCTTTAAAGGACATGCCTCCCGGCGACGTTCCATTCCCGGACAGCCTCGTGCCGGGCAACGGGGCTGCCCGTCCCTCCCTGAATACGAGCGGCTACGGTGGTGCCGGCGGCAGCTTTCAGTCACAAACACCTACATCGCCAGCCGATAGCATCGTTCCTTTTGACTCTCCCCGCACCAGGACGGGCGGTTGGAATGGCCCTGCAAATGCTGGCCTCGAAGGCACCCAGAACCCTGATGGTCGTATGGGTCGACGACTAGATACAGATCCAACAACACCCCAGGATCGAACTGGTTATTGGGAAACGTCGACTCCTGTAGACAGAACCCGACCGAACGGCCGACAACCAACCAAGTCCCCCGGTAGCTCCTCGAGGATTTGCAAGAAATGTGGTGAGCCTTTAACCGGCCAATTTGTGCGGGCTTTACTCGCAACCTATCACCTGGAGTGTTTCAAATGTGAAGTAAGCTATTCTTCGACTCTGGCTATATTTCCCTCATCTGCTAACAGCATTGATAGGACTGCGGCCAAATTGTCGCGTCTAAGTTCTTCCCGGTTGACGCAGAGGATGGAAGCGGACAATATCCACTGTGCGAGACCGATTATTTCCGGAGATTGGAACTCCTATGCCATGATTGTGGTGGTGCCTTGCGTGGTTCTTACATTACTGCCTTAGATCGCAAGTATCACATTGAACACTTTACCTGCTCAGTGTGTCCCACCGTGTTCGGCGCACAAGACTCTTACTATGAGCACGAGGGCAAGGTGTACTGTCATTTCCATTACTCGACACAATTTGCCCAACGATGCCACGGCTGCCACACGGCGATCTTGAAACAATTTGTGGAAATCTTCCGCAATGGCCAGAATCAGCACTGGCACCCAGAATGCTACATGATCCATAAGTTCTGGAACGTCCGTCTCGCTTCAACCGGCCAGCCATTGGAATATCCTCAGGTGGAGCCGGATGCTACCGATGAAGAACGTAACAAAATACGGGAGGAAGAGGATATTATGGAGGAGAAGGTCTATAGGATCTGGAGTACTCTATCTACTTTCGAAGAGTCCTCTGCGGCTTGTATCTCGGACATGCTCCTCCATGTTAGCAATGGCGCTTATCTAGACGGAGTCCTTGTCGCAAAAAGATTCATTGGGCATGTTGAAATACTCTTCTCCGCCATCGATAACCTCGCAGGATATATTAAAACCCAGGGCATGAAAGGTGAGCTCTTTACCCATCGTCATTGGCAGCAATTCAACAATCGGCTAATGCCTTGGTCCAGATCTTGCTTTCGGTCGCGAAGCCAAACTACTCTGCAAAAAGATTGTCGCTTTCTTTGCGCTGCTCTCTAAAACACAGGAAACGGGCGTTCGGAAGCTTGGTGTAACTCAAGAGCTATTGTCTTTAGTGACTGGTCTCGCTCATTACCTCAAGCTTCTCATTCGCATTGGACTCCAAGGGGCTTTGAAACTGGAGAGGGAACAGCAAACTCCTCAGGGTCTCCATCACTTCTTAGATCGTCTTGAAGACCTGGAATCTCTGCGACCCCAAGAAGAAGAGGAGACGCCTGCAGATCTGATGGTTGGTGTTGAAATTTTGGCAGATCAGCTTTCCGATTGCTGTGCAGCATGCAAAGAGCCAATTGATGATGAGTGTGCCATGTTGGGTGACAGTAGATGGCATATAAAACCTCCACATTTAATCTGCGCGTCATGCCAGACAGATTTGACACCTGCCCCCCAGGATGCTTTGTGGAGTCCAAAAGACAAGCAGCCGTTCTGTGTCAACTGTGTCGCTCATAGGGGTATGGTACACGAAACCCAAAAAGGATTCACGCATGTATCAAAGCTTCAACAGTTTGTTTTCCTGCTGAAGGTTGCTCTTGCACGACTTTTGGCTGTTCTTAGAGCTGGAGGAACTCTATTCTCGCCCGGTAAGTCTTTTGGAACCCGACAATGGTATTCTATTTGGGCACGAAAGCTGACTGATTTGGATAGATGACCCGGCCATGAAGTCACAGGGCCCTGGAGGTAACCAGGCTCCACCAGGAGGCGAATTACGTCGTTCTGCAACCAGGTCCAAGAAGGACGGTACCGACGGGTCTTCTCTTGAACAGACTGTGGGTGAAATGCGACGCCTACGGTCCATTCGCAACGAACGTACCCTTTCAACCACCTACAAAAAAGCCAGGGCATCAAGGATCATTGATGGACCAGAAGGGCGAAGTGTTCGGCCTGGGTCATCTGGTGGCGAAGGCTCAGAGTCCAGGGGTCCTGGTTTCCAAATCGTTGAAGAAAAGGATGCCAATGGAGAAACGGTGACAGAGTTGACATTTGGTAATCAGGATGCGTTAACATTGGATGATATTCCAAGAATAGTTGCCGCAGAGCAAGCCAAAGAGCAGCGTCCGAATGCTTACAAGCATGCCGGTACCAGGCTTGTCGGTACAACTGAACCTCTACCCAAGTATAACCGTGGACATCAACGTGACCTCTCGGGCGCTGGCATAGACGCAGCTTTCATGGAGCCATCGGGAAGAACCAAGAAATACTTCTCAGAGCTCTCTGCGCTCGAATATTTCATTGTCAGACATGTTGCAGTTTTGTCCATGGAGCCCTTATTGGACGGCGCTTTCACGTTGGAGGAGCTTCTTTCACTGATTGAATCACGGAAACCAACGATCTGGAATATATTTGGGCGTGCTTTCAACAAAGATGCTAAGAAGGGCGGGAAGAAGAAGGGCATCTTCGGCGTTAGCCTGGATTTCCTCGTTGAAAAGGAAGGCACGGAGTCGACTCACGGTATCGGTCCTGGTGCTCTTCGCATTCCCACCTTGGTTGATGACGCTGTTTCGGCAATGCGCCAGATGGACATGTCTGTAGAGGGCGTTTTCCGGAAAAATGGCAACATAAGACGCCTGAAGGAGCTGTCAGAGTTGATCGACAATAAGTATGAGCAGGTGGATCTGACGAAGGAGAACCCTGTTCAAATAGCTGCTCTCCTGAAGAAGTTTCTCCGCGAAATGCCTGACCCTCTCCTGACATTCAAACTCCATCGCTTGTTTGTTGCTTCTCAAAGTAAGTCTGGGATTCTCACAATCCATTCAGCCTAACAACTGACATGTCATGATAGAAATCCCTGATCTGGAAAAACAGAAGCGTGTCCTTCACCTCACATGCTGTCTTCTTCCCAAGCCCCATCGCGATACCATGGAAGTGCTCTTCGCTTTTCTCAACTGGACCTCTTCCTTCTCCCACGTGGATGAAGAGTCTGGAAGCAAGATGGATATCCACAACCTGGCAACCGTCATGTCACCTAACATTCTATACCCTAATACCAAAAACAGCACTGTAGACGAGAGCTTCCTCGCAATCGAGGCCATCAACGCACTCATTACCTACAACGATACCATGTGTGAGGTATGTTGAAACCCGAACTTCTTCCCCCTTTTCTTTTTTTATCAATGTATCATATTGTTAATCAATCACCACAGATCCCTGAAGATCTTCAATCAGTCCTTACCGACAACAGTTTCTTCAAGGAGAACTCGGAAGTCACGACGAAAGAGATTTTGAGAAAATACGGCGATATCGCAAGAGGGAGCTTCTCGCAAAAACCAAGCAATGGCGGTGAAACATTTACCATTACGAACGCTAATCGCGGAAATAATCTTCCTACATCTGCTCGCATCGAAGGAGAGCCCTCACAAGACGTGTCACAGATGCAGAGCTCGGTCCGCCATGTCCCGGGGCCTAGCGGTCAGGCACCCGCACCCTCTAATAGCATCGCTCCCTCGAGTGGTGTCGAGCTCACTCCTGGCGCGATGAATGACTACCGCGAGCGCAGCACAAGTACCGGCAGCCAACAAAATTCGATTCAGTCTAACGAACAGCCCCAGAAACTGCCCTGCAGAGCCCGCCCTCCCGCGGGACCGATGGGAGTTGCAAGCTAATCTTCGTTCTGTATCTTTCTGTTAACGGGCACCTACATTTTCGTTTTTGCACAACTCTGGGGCGTATGCTGAAATTTTACCGTTTTCATTGTTTGGGATTCAAACCAAGTACTGCTGAGTATTAATACCCATTCGGCCTTTTTTTTTTTTTTTTTTCCTCCCTAGCCACAGGTTGGATGGGAATTTTCATCTCTTGTTGAAGACCAATTCCGTCACCTCGCTCGCAGACGTGGCTTCCTACTACTTCAGGGGATGGAACCTTTCATCTTCTCTGTTTATTTCATCTTTTAAAAGTGCATTGCATTAGGCCTCGAGGTTCAGTTTAGCTTATCTTTTTTTCACCATCTGGTTTATGGCCTCGTGTTCCCTTCTTTCAGGTCTTCCTGCTCCGGCATGGGTTTTCATAGACATTCCTGGACTCTAGGTGTCGTTTTCTATCCCTCATTTGGTTTCCTTCAACTCTGCATTACATCTGACAGTCACGAACATTGCTCCCTAATCTTTAGTGATGTTCTCCCTATCCTTCGACCCTTGTTTTTCCTTCATGCTCCTGTGATGTTGAGATTTCCCACCTCTCTGTTGACATGTGAGAGTACTGATCACTGTTTGGTTTATTATTTTTTTTTCTTAATTCCCCGCCCGTCGATATGTCGGCAAAGATACCTATGACTAGTTAGTTAAGTTTTCTTTTCTTTTCTTTTCTTTTTTTTTTGCTCTTCTTCTTTTACTTCCTCTGAGTCCTTTCCTTTGCTTCTTCGATATTTTACTCTTATTCCCACCCACCTTGAACGGGCGTCATTGATGTATGTGTGTTTGGTGGCACTATTCATCCCTTACATCCATATTTACATGTGATGTTGGTTCCTCAAAACAAGTGGTGTAATTTATAGTTGTGAATGGAAATTCCATATTGCTGGTTAGCTTGACTGTAGAGCTTTATTTTGTTCTTTGTGGTCTATTCTGCTCAATAGGACATTGGAACCTAACTAAACTACTTCTGCCCAGTTGAAATAAACAGGAAGAAGCAGGAATAAGCAATCCACAGGGGTTTACTACAAAATGGGATCAATATGAAGGAAGCAAAGATAACTTTGAAAAATAGGAAGACGCAAGAAATATCACCTTTAGAATACAGCAATCCAAATAAACTAGACAGGACGAAAAGTGAACACGAACCAAACTCCAATCCAAATCAATGGAATAAAACAAGAGCCCACTCTTGGTTTTCTCGAACTCCTTTCAACAAGCAAAAGCAAAAGCAAAAGCAAAAAAAAAAAAAAAAATATCCGACTCCATGCTGGCCCAATCAAGCTTAATGTAAATTTAACATGCAGCGGCGTGTAAATAGGACAGACCGATGTGGTGGTTTGAAATATAATTAGAGAAGCGTTTGATCCGAGTTGAATTTAAGCGCGTTTCCGAAGAACCCGTCGGCCACCTGTTGTTGTTGTGGATTCGCCAGCGGCGGGGCCAGTTGCCTTCCTAGCTGCTGGAACGGGGTTCCTTTTTGTAGATACGGAGGGGGCTTGGCTCCTCGCCGCAACCATTTTCTTGGCTGTACTACTTGTGGAAGACGTGGTGGTTGTCTTTCTCGAACCTGGGCCACCGATTTTTGCGGAATTTGCAATTGATGTGCCGGACGATGTGGAGGATGAGGTGCTCCCTCTGCGTTCTGCTTGACGCGTTGCGGGCCGTGAGAGGGGAGAGCGGATAGATCTGGGGGCGGTGGTGGCCCGGCTGACAGGTCTCTTTGCTTGAGATGGGGGGCGGTTGTCCCGAGATGAGGTAGTGGTGGCTCTTGAGCTGGGGCGAGCATGGTCTGCATTAGCGGATGTGGACTTGAGCGGGCTCGATGGCTTGAGGGGTGAAATAGTTCGAGCAAGATATGAAGAGGCCTGGCCCTTCTCGGGGGAGGCGCGTAAGGGTGACTGTGGGTATGTTCTGGAGTTGGAAGACTTGGGGGAGAGAATGCGGTAGTCGGCTCCGCGCACTTCTTGAGATACTACGCGAGAAGTACCAGCAGCAGCACCGGGTTTGGCACGTGTCTTGGGGTTCTTTAGAACGTCGAGTTGTTCGCCGCTTGCAGGGGCATTTTCTTTATCCGAGTAGATACCAGCAGGGCTTGGTGAAATATTAGACAATCTGGATGTGAAAAGAGGTGCTTTGAGGACCATTACCTGTGTTTCCTCACTCTGAGAGGACTTGGGCTGACAGTAGCAGCCTTCTTCATTCCCGAAGTGCGAGAGATGGCTGTGGAGTTGCGCGAGCCTTTAGTCGGGCTACGGTATTTTTTTGGCGACGAGTTCTCATGTTGGGCTCGGAGAGAGGCAGTTTGTTTTTCTAGCAACTCTCCCATTTTGGCCTTGCGAAGTGCGACAGGGATCCGATTAATGCGTCGTTCGATGCGTGCTCGTAGGTCCTGCGCTTGGAGAGCGTATTGTGCGCGAAGTTTGCGAGCTCGTTCGGTGACTACCAAGGTCAATACGGGATCAAAAGACACGTAATAGCGTGGATTGGCATACTTTCAAGTTGTAAATTGTCCATCAGGGCCTGTTTCTGGCTCCGTGTAATCCTAGGCTTCTTTCTGGGGGGGCTATTTGCGGGCGTCTTGTCCTGGGAATACGCGTCGTCATTGTCGCGAGATTTGCGTTTTGTCGCGAGAGAAGCCATTGCGAGAGAGAGAAAAAAAAAGGCAGATGGAGTTCGATGGGGCAGGCAATACGTGTTAGGTGAAATTATCAAGGCGAGATAGGGCGTTATGTCAAGTCGAGAGGGGCGAAGGGATGAGGAAAGAGTGGGAGATGGATTATTACGGTTGATGGGGGGATAAACAAGCGCTGACTTAATTTCGTGGTTAGCTTGGCCGGTGCGAAGTGGACCACCATCCTCCTCTCTCTCTCTCTCTCTCTCTCTCTCTCTCTCCGCCATCCTCGAAACTCCCCCCATCTCTCTCTCTTATCCCTTCATATCTTTCTCATAGCTATAACCAGCTTTGTTTATATCTCATTATCTGATATTTCCTTCTCTCGATCAATTTCCCTCCCGGATTCCGATTCCTAGACAGTAGCCAAGATGTCGCTCGAAGCTACGATGATCATGTTCGTCCTAGCCCCCTCTATTCCAAGCTCCTCGCAAACTTACTGACTCATCTATAGCGTTGATAACAGCGAAAGTAGCAGAAACGGTGACTACACGTAAGTGATTCATGCCTCAGCTACGTTCTCGTGAACCCCCAACCTTAACAGTGCTCCCAGTTCGACACGATGGCAAGCTCAGATCGACGCCGTCAGCGTCATCCACACCGCCAAGATGCGCGTACATCCTCAATCGGCTGTGGGACTAATGAGTATGGGTGGCAAAGGTCCCGAGGTCTTGTCTACATTCACTACCGATTTTGGCGGGATTCTGGCTGGTCTGCACCGCACGAAGATCCATGGCACTGCCCATCTTAGCTCAAGTATACAGGTGGCGGGTGTATGTTATCCCTGCATTCTATTTTTTTTTTTTTTTTTTTTTTTTGGACCTTGTATCGCTAACCGGATGATGATAATGATGATTCAGCTTGCCCTGAAGCACCGTTCCGAAAAGTCCCAAAGACAGCGCATCATCGTGTTCTCCTGCTCCCCGATCGAGGAAGACGAGAAGACCCTGGTGAAACTCGCAAAGAAGATGAAGAAGAACAACATTTCGATTGATGTGATTGCCTTTGGGGACCTGGAATCCGACCAGACCAAGAAACTGGAAGCGTTTGTCGAAAATGTTAAAGGTGGCGACGGATCCAACCTAGCGATCATCCCACCCGGACCGAGCTTGCTTAGTGAGGAGCTCCAGGCCACGCCTATTCTAGGCGGGGATGGCGCAGGAGCTGGTGGTATGGGCGGAGACAGCGGGGATGTTGGCGGTTTCGGACTGGACGATGCGGCGGAGAATGACCCGGAGCTAGCATTTGCTTTGCGTCTATCACTAGAAGAAGAGAAAAACCGACAGGAGAAGGAGAAGCGCGAGCTTGAGGAGCAAGAGCGGAAGGTGAACCTCGAAGGGATCCCCGAGGAGGGACAACCATCTGGCGAGTCCAGCGGGGCCCAAGACAAGAAGGAGGATCCGGACAAGATGGACACTGCGTAATGAAGGAGAAACCGAGTATTCCGTTATTTTTCACGAGGATGGACCATTTTGATGCATACCCGGCGTTGCGATTGTAATATGATGATTCCGTGTAATTCTAGTAGAAGGGGATCTAACCCGGGGGACGCTTTGAAAGAAAGAATCAATCTTTTGGAGCGAGTGTCTACGAAAGCACCAAGCTCATTAATTACATATAAAAATCCTAAATAATAATAAGGAAAAAAAGAAAAAAAAAAAAAAAAAAAAAAAATACAAATTCGTCAGCCATTATCCCCAGGGTAAGAAAGAAAAAACAAATCAAGCCCTCCCCCTCAACCAACCTCCCAAATGCCTATCGAAAGCCTCACACCGCACAGGCATCTCCAACTGGTAGAACGGATTCTTCATCACATAGTCCGCATAAATCTCGTAGATCTGCTTCATGACGCCGTCGATATTCGCCATCGTCGGATCCGTGAAGAGAAGGAACTTTGTCCCCGTCATGGTCTGGAAGCAGGTGAGGCGGAACTTGTCTGTTTCTAGTGTATCCAGGCCTGTCGCGGGGATGCCTGGGTTCGGGTATGTGTAGGCAGACGAGGCCGGGGTTGGCGTTGCGGTGCCGGTGCCAGTGCCAGTGCCAGTGCCAGTGCCAGTGCCGGAGGGCGAAGCGAGCGAGGATGAAGCGGGGACAGGTGTGCTTGTGCTTGTGCTTGTGGAGGTGGTTGCTGTGGACGCGGAGGGAGGTATGGAGAGGGGGAGTTTCGGTGTGATTGAGCGGGTGATGGCGTGGACTCTTTGAGAGTGTTAGCTAACTAACTAACTATATGGTTTCTCTTCTCTCTCTCTCTGGCTTGGGGGGGGGAGGGGGGGGTTTACCCGTGAAACGTCCCCGCGAGAACGAGGTAATCGTTTGTGGAGAGTTTTCGGAGACCCGGCTGGAATTCGCGCTGGTAGACCAGTCCGCCGGCTTTGTTGATAATGATGAGGGAGAAGACGGGCCTGTATTGTTTGGAGACTTGGGGTCAGTGTTTCTGGAGGGATCTTGTTCGGATGGGATTAAGCAAAAAACGTACATGGTGCAGGTTGGCGGAGGGAAGGACAGAACGGGGGTGGGGAGAATCGATCTTATCAGGGTTGATATAGCATTACTCCTCCTAGGTACGGAGTAGAGGGAGTGTGAATTCCAAAGTGAGTGAGTAGTTCTTCATGATAGTTATGTATCGCGGAATGCGGAGGTGGTTCTGTCCGGCCAAGAGAAAATGGCACTACTAGTCACGGTTTACCATGTATGTATGTATGTAGTACTAGACGGGCATCAGAAATAGATTTCTATATTTAACCACCCAACCAACTATACTTAGTACAGAGTACTATATATTATTCCCTTATTACACCCGTCCCTAGAGGCCTACAATCCAGTACCAGATCAGATTACGCTATCTCATCTTTTTCTTTCTTTCATGCATGGAGCATTTGGCCCCATTTTGTTGCCATCATTCCTCCTTGGGTATATACTCCGGACTCACCGTACTCTGTAAGAGGTTGTCAACGTTAAGTTAAACAAGTCAACTAAAGGTAAAGGATGAGAAGAGCAGATCGAGTACAGGATTATTATCTATCATTAATCGTTTCCGGCCGTCGATGTCTATACCATTCCAGAATAAATCCTGATAGCAAAATTAAACCTAAAGAAAGAGAGAAGGAAAACAAAAAGGAAAAGGAAAAATTTACTTCCCCAGAAGAGAAGTCAACGTCCACTGCCCGTCCGCAAACCCAACGATCCCCTGCGCGACAGCCCATTCACGCAAATGGACATCCTCAACTTCAGGCCCCGGGTCAGCCTCCTCGAAATGTTTCGCGACATGCTCCATGCGTTCTTTCCACGAGTTTTGCCCCGTGAATTCCCGCAGGCAGAACCCGCATTGGCTGCGCTCCGGCGGAACCCGCTGCGGATGCCAGCACCGCTTCCACACAGCATCCAGGCCCGACTCGAACTGCTTGCGCTGCTCCTCGGTCACCTGGGTCTTGCGGTGCTTGGATGCAGCCCAGGGAGCATGCATGCGGCGCTGGTGCTGGATGAAGAGGTCCTTGCGGTTGAAGTCGTTGACGAGGAGCGTCTCCCTGGGGTGCGGGTTCCTGCTGCATTTCTTGACGTTGTTCAGGCGGCTGCAGCGGCCCCGGTCGCATCGGAAGAAGCCTGGTTGGATATGCTGGGAGCTCACGTGGCGCTTCCACTCGTTTTTGGAGGGGAAGGTGCTGGGGCAGCCGTAGCGCGCGAAACAGCAGTCGAACACTCGGCTGCGCTGCTCTCTGGGCTTACTTTTGCGGCTGGTTCGGGATGGCGGGTGGGACTTGGGTCGGATGGGCGGCTTGTTCTGGGAGACGGCGGTGCGCGTTCGAACGCGGCTGGTAGAGCGGCTGGGGTTCTCTTTCTTGGTGGATGAGGAGGAGGGTTGCTCGGGTGTTGCTGGGCGAGCGAGGTCGAGGGTTTCATCCCTGGGGTATATGGTGTGGAATAACGGGGTGCTCGCGTCCGATTCCGCGACTGTCTGCAGGCTGATTGGGAATATGGAGTGGGCTGGCTCGCTGAAAACCACGCAAGCTTCCGGTTCCAGATGCGCCACGACGGGCGGTTCGGGGTACGAAGGAGAAGGCGAGCTCACAACGTGGGAGGTCGAAGGCATGATGGCATCTTCGTAGTTGGCTGGCGAAGGAGAGATATAATGGCTGCTCTGACTCTCTATCGAGGGGGAGTCACTCCGTAGGCTGTCGTCCAAAGGGGATGACGGTTTAAAGTACGGATAACTCCAGGCAACAAACGGGGAGATGTAATCGTCTTTCATCACCGGTTCCTGGCAAGAAACCATTGTACTGGCCTCATCTGGGTCGTAGAGCTGGCCCTCGTGCATCATGGAGAAGCCAGGGAAATCAGAGAATGAGTAGGTGCCATCCATTGTTCAAGGCTGTTTCGCGTAGACAAGGAAAGAATAAGAGGTTGGAACGTGGATTGGATTTCCGCAGTTGTATGTGGAATCGTGGTGGCACTTATATATCTCGCAGCCAGATGGCAGAGGACTATGGATCAGTAGGCACGAAGAGAGAGAGGGGGGCAGCGCAATCCGCACTTAGGGTACATACCAGGGGAAAGTCATAAAGATCTCCCTTTGAGCCTCATTTATGTAGTCCCTTTTCCCCCCTCCATCAGAGAGACAGATAGTCTAGAGAACGACCCTTTCGCGTTAGGGTAGGCAGATTGCCAGGGCCATTGCGTTGGTCCACTGGTTTCTTTTTCCTGCCCACCCTCTCTCCCCCCCTTTTTTTTTCATTTCTTTTTTTTTTTTGTTACCCTGGCAAGAAATTAATCCAATCCAATCCAATCCAATCCAGCTGATTTGTTGAGGAGATTTGGCCTCGTGGAAGCGCCATCTCGATAGATTGGGGAGGAATGTTACGCATCAGGGCGATGAGAAAGGGAGAAAACACCAAAGAGAGAGCCTCAATTTCTCCTATTTCTCCCTGCTGTGGCTCATCCTTGTGAATCCCTCGTTGGACCGATGGTTTCTTTTTTTTTTTTCCTGGCAGCGGCGCATCGCGATATCCCAGGTTCTGTATGGAGAAGTTTAACTCGGGCACTCCCGGTCTGTACGGAGAGTGGGCAGTGCTACCACACCTTTGCCCAACCACTCCAGGTCTTAAAGTGACCAAACAACGCGAAGGATTCCATCCCTGACGGCTCGGTGGATGCTTACGACTAGACAGGCCTTTGTTGGCTACAGATTCGTATAGATATTGTGATGGTCAGTTTGGCCAAAGTACGGCGAGTCCGGAGCACGGCGTAGGCGCTGAGATAACGGCGCCATCAGGATGGGTTATTTTTGTTATTTCTCTGGCACTACTGAGTTCTCAGCGATTTTTATTGGTTTTATTGGTTTTTTACTTCGTTTTAGTCTGTTCAAGTGTTCTGGAAACAGGTCTCTCAAACGGACGGTGGTTCTTGTCATATCCAATCCTTGTTAACGCCATTATAGTGAGATAAGTCACTCGAGTAAGGCGCTTTTGAATGATGAATGATGAATTCTTTTTTCTTTTTCACTTTGACTTATTCAACGTGTTGATCTTTAGTTACAGGTGTTCGGGGCCTCGTCCGGATGTACAGCAGGAGACAAGACTACTCTGTACATCCTTATCCTCCATATAGGATCTACAGTAGCTCAGGTGAACATCTTTTAAAAAAGGTATTATTATTATTTGTACTCCAACAAAGAACCAGAAAAACAAATTCTGCAATCTGCCTTGTCTAGTCACACAGCATTTCGAGTTCATCGTCTCGACTGAGGAGTTCGGTCCTCAACGAGAGATGAGAGAGCCCTCCAAGTAGCATAAGCCGGATGAAAACTGGCCCTCTCTCCCTGGCAGTGCCACAATGCATGTACAGTATTCGGATGATTGTGCTGAACATGTTCATTTGTCCGTAATACACCAACATTTCCGGCCGTGGAATATTATTATAACCTGCTAAACATCCCCGTCATAAACTCCCTCCATGGAGGCATTGTGTGGCCCACCACGATCTTTCCAGATGGCGGGCGCCACATCGGCCAGAATCGCAAAGGCTGCATTTTTCTCTCCATCTGCAGCCATTCGTCATCGGGAGTTTCGGTCGTGGGCTCGATTGGAAGTTTTCGGTACGGAATAAACCCATGTCTCATATTAACTACCAGCGACGTCGGTTGCACTGCCTCTGTCCATGCCTCTAGTCCGAGTTCATCAGCGCGCTGGCACGCCGCCACGAGAAGCAGGTCGGCCAGGCCTGCCTGTCGATATCCATTGAGAACAAACCCGATATAAAGGTCTGGCTACCCCATATTAACCAGAGCTCTAGTCTCCACAGCAGAGGGAAAGAGCATGCACTCACACACATGCGGTCGCTGCATGTATCTTTCGTACGGCTCGCTGAAAATGCGAGTACACTCGTCGATATACTCGCGCTGGCTCCCCGCGGGATACCACACGGCAGACTGGCTGGTTTCTTTGCTGCTCTTTCGCGCAAAGGGATTCGTTTGGTGGATCTTTAATAGCAGCCCGCCAACGATTTTGCCCTGGTGCTCGGTGTCTGTGACCTTGAGCCACAGGGCGTCGGGATCGTCTCGACACCACTGCCGTTTTAGCTCGACCAGGTTCGTAAAGGCGACATCTTTGGCTTCCTGCGGTTCTTCGCCGAAGATCGGGTAAAAGAACCGGAATATTGACTGCTGTGGACGGTCGAAACTGGCAACTTCACAGGCAATTAGCTCTTCGAAGTCGTCCGCGTCAAAAGGTACTTCGTGTATTTGAAACCTCATTTTCCCTGACGTTTCAAATTCACCTTTTTTTTTTTTTTCACTTTCACAGCTATCCTTATATAGCTTTCGATTGAGAACATCCTTTTACTTTCGAGGTCGAGCTGACGAGAGCAACGTGCATCAAACTGATTGGATCCGTTGTAATTGTGAGAAATCAGATCACTGTGGCTCCAGCCTCGTTGGCAGACGAATATCCAATCAATTTTCCTGCCCTAGGAGTACACCGAACAAAAGCTTCAGTTTTAAGGCTTTTAACCTTCATCTTAGTCTATATGCATTCCCTCCACACGGCAGAATCGGATCTCCCTGTTCGATACGGCTTCATTATGGATAGGCCACCTGTTTCTCCTGAGGATTGATAATTGAGATTTGAATTTCATTCCAGTGCCTTGCGACAGATACCCGCTGAGATAGTTACTCCGGATCTAGGGATAAAGACCAGCAGGTTGGGAATGCTATTCTTGCTTGTCCACGTAATACCCCGTATGTGGAGGAGGTTTTAGGGCTGGGGACAAGGCCAGACCAAACTACATACATCTATACATATATGGATGTGATTTTCGATATCCTTTTATGGGGCTTGGTTTCAGATACCAATAATTCACCGAAATCACATACCGTCTAGCTGGGTACATCAAGGATACAAATATCCCGCGATCCCTACAATACATATGGAAGAAACCACCAACCAGTCTTGCTTTCTTTCACTTGCATACTCTCCTTTTGAAACCAACGCTCACTCATTTCTTTTGTCGAGGTGGAACCTCACACACACACACACTCTCTCTCTATCTCTACCATAGGCATTCTATTCTGTTGATCAGAAAGACTTCATCATCATCATCATCATCATCATCACCATGATCGTTTCCAGGGCCCTCCTAGCAGCAGCCACATTCACCCTGACGGCATCGGGGCTTCCTCAATTCCACCCAACCACAGCTACCAATATCAACACCGGCATAACAATCATCAACAACCTCAACACAACAATCTACCTCTGGTCCACAGCCTCCAACGACCTCCCCATCACCACCACCACCACCATCCCCGCCAGCGGCGGAACCCACCACGAAACCTGGCAACCCACCCCCGACGGCAGCGGCGTATCCCTAAAGCTGTCCACGACCGCGCAGAGCACCGCCAGCGTGCTGCAATTCGAATACACGACCGACGAGCCCGCCGCCACGCTGTTCTGGGACCTCTCGTGCATTGATCTGAGCGAGGACTCGGCGTTCGTGGGGGCTGGCTTTTCAGCGACCCCGGACTCGGGCTCGGATTCGGACTCGAGTTGTGTCGCGGTGACTTGTGCGGCCGGGGATGCTGGGTGCGCGGGCGCGTACCAGGTTTCCGATGATGAGGATACGCATAGTTGTTCGTCTGGGGTGGGGGTTTTGCTTGTGCTTGGGTGAAGAAGAGAAGTAAGGTTATTGAATGGATCAGGGGATTGGGATTGGGATTGGGATTGGGATTGGATGTATATATATATATATTGTGTTATTGTTAGTGTCCGAGCTGGTTCACTGCTGATAGTCTATACCGAGTACAGCTTTCCATAAATTGTATCCGTATTTTGTCTATACCAGTTGGTATGGTATGTATTCTATTCTGGCGATCATTTCAATAGTAGTTAGTTAACTAACTAACTAGTGGCCCCTTGCAGTGCTAAAGCGTGTGGGTCAAGGGTCATCGCTGGGTAGAATTAGATAGATATTGATACGTATACATCAAAGAGAGTAGTACTAATGAATAACGATCGTGTATTATCTAGATCTAATTGATGGATCCATCCTAGACCTCCGGAGTAGATTAAGATATCAAGACAAAATGGATCCTAGCCACAGTGGACATCCCGAATAGATTAAGATATCAAGACAGGAAAGAAAGCAGACTCATCCTCACTTGTGTGACTTTTTCTTCGGCACCCGGATCAACCAGTACAAAAACACCGCTGCAAAAGCATTAAACACCACATACACAAACAGGATCCCCACGTTGCGCCACAGGTCGCTGGGGTTCATGCCCAGATTTTCTAGGTACTGATCTGTCGTCGAGACCGTGCACAGTTGGCATTGTGTCGTGTCAGCTGGGTTGAGCAATGTGCCATGGATCATGTCGACATACGGCCCCAGATAAGCAGAGCAGTTCTGGCCCGCCGGGGGTGGAATATTCAGTAGCTCAATGCTCGAGCAGTGCACCTCGGCTCCAGACAACCCCGTGGTTAGTACCGAGGAGACGAGGTACGTAAACGGCGAGACTCGATACATGAAAATCCAGAAACCGGGAAGAGCATTTGGAGACGCCAATACACTGTGTTCCGTCAGTCTAACTCTAATTAAGCTTGACTGTGCTTGCGTTAAGAGACGTACCCATTGAAAATCAGACACAGCGAGAACATAAGCTGGGCAATGTTGCTACCAGTATCAGGATGCTCAATTCCCGCGATGATCATAGAACTAAAGGTCGAAGTGAACAGCATAAAGATCAGAATCAGCAAGAACATGGTGCCGCCTCGGGTGACCTCGTGTGGTTCTGCATTGCGATAAAACCCGATCGGATAATACCAGCTGAAATAGGCCGGGATTGCCATAACCACATTCCATGGCAGCTCGACGCAGATGCTCGCCATCATGAAAGCCTTCCAGGAGTAAGCCTTGGAGGGCCGCTCCCGCACTTCATACAAGGCACGTTGCGTGACGAAGTATGGCATCATCTGTTGAACCAGGTTGGGGAAGATGATAAGTAACATGAAAATGGCAAACATTTCGTTCTGCATTCCTTGGAGACTGTTTGGCTCTCGCCAGAAAGTAAAACCAATAAACAGAGGCTGTGTGGTATGTCAGTGGGTATGGTGGACGTCGGGCTGGGTGGGACACATACGGGGATAATACACATGGCGGCCTTCGAGTAGATGTACGAAGGGCTGCGCCAATATTGCTCAAACATCCGCTTGAGGCAGATGAGGAACTGCGACCAGAGGGGCATTGCAAACTCTCCATATTCAACTGTCTTCGGAGGTGCTGGTTTCTGCGACAGTTCCTGTTTCATCCGGGCAAGCTCTTCGCGGATCTCGGTTCTTTCAGGGCTTTTGCTCCAAACCTCTGACCAATCTCGGTCGGCATGAGAACCTGGAGCAGCACCAATAACTTCCAGCATCCATTCAGCAGGATTGGCGTTCTTGGGACAAGGGATAGAGCCCTTATTTTCAAAGTACTTGATCAGAGTCTCCATGTTGGAGCCAAGTTCGCCAAAGTATACAGTCTTGCCTCCCCTGGCCAGGAATAGCAGTCGATCGAATTGTTGCATGAGGATAGCCGAAGGCTGGTGAATGGTACATAAGATGGCCTGTCCGTGGTCTGCAAGCTTCCTCATCAGAGAGCAAATGGACCATGCAGTCTGACTGTCGAGGCCGGATGTCGGTTCGTCAAAGAAGAGCAATAGGTCGGGTTTGGCTGCAATTTCCACTCCAATGGTCAAGCGCTTCCTTTGCTCAACGTTCAGGCCTTCACCGAGAACACCGACAACAGCCTCCGCGTACTCTTCCATGCCAAGCATCTTGATAACCTCTTCCACATACGCAATTTTTTCCTTTCGTGGAATATTGGCTGGCTGACGAAGCAGTGCACTGAAAACCAACGCCTCACGAACTGTGCTTGTTTCAAGGTGAAGGTCTTGTTGCTGGACGTAGCCGGTCTTGCGTTGGAACGAGTCATCTCGAATGCGTCCATCCACCAACATCTCACCAGTCACCACGCCCATAGTAACACGATCGGCCAAAACGTCCAAAAGAGAAGTCTTACCGGCTCCAGTCACGCCCATTAACGCGGTCAGAGTTCCAGGCTTCACCCATCCGTCAACATGGTCCAAGATCCGGCGATTCTCCCCTTTGATCTTGATATCATAGCAGACGTCCTGCCAGTGGAAAACTGCGGTTTGCTTCGCGAGAACAGCGGTGTGGTCAGGATTTTCTTGACCGAGCTCTTGTTTCTCCGATGTTGGTGCAACTTCCTCATCGCGGTGGATTTTCTTTGCAAACGCAGGGATCTTTCCTCTTGGAAAGACGAGAATCTCGCCCTTGGAAGGTTTTGCTCGAACAAACTCACTGCAGACGATATATGCCGCCAGAAAGAAGAACATGAACCCCAAAATGATACCGTAGTTCCGCCACAAGTGAGAGCGGAAATACCGAAACGATGTATTTAGGTACGTGTCGCCGTCAATGTAGTTTTGGCCAGCTACAGCCCCAGAGCCGGAACAGATTTTTGACGATAGAGGGGCATTCTCATATCCAGGACCCGCGGGCAAGTACAAGGCGCAAGGGAATTGCTTCTCGCTGAACTCGTTGATCATTAGAGATTCAAACGCGTACTATTCTTTATTAGTGGAGTTATTGGCTATTTGGGGGGGGGGGGGGGTTAGACTTACAGCAATAGGGTTCAGGTAATTGAGCCATCGAAACCATGGATGCATGTCTCGCACAGGAATTGTGAACCCGGTATAGATAACGAGGATCATCATGAAAATTGATGAAGGAACCATTGCCTGGGCCATAGACCGAGAGATGGCACCGATCCAGCGGAAAATGTTGGACATGGTGAGCGTTGTAGTGAATGAGAACAGATAGAATACAAAAAAGTGCCCAGGGGTCCGTCGCAGATGGGTCATAAAGTACAGGATGAGGTTGAAGACAATCGAAACAAGGACTTTGGCTGGCAAGTCTACAATCATGGAGCTGATTGCTTCGGCCGATGGATGGTAGAGCGCATACTTGTAGTGCTTCTCCACAATCGGGCGTTGCTGCCATAGGGTTAGAATTTCCAAGGAGCTAGAAAAGGCGTTGAGCAGAATGGCAAAGAATAGCAGGGAACCGCGAGAGAAAAAATCGGCAGTTGTAGGACCTAGGTTGAAGAAAACGCTGGAAACAATCAAGGCCATGATACTGTTGCCAATAACGGTGGCAAGGGTCATGCTCATATCTCCTTTCAGGCGGAGAAAGCCTCTAGAAAGGCACAGACGAATCTGCATTGCGTATGACAAGGTGTAAGGTGAGCCAGCTCGGGTGCCTTTGGCCTTTTCTGCGGCGCGTGAACGGTTGAATTCCTCCAATTTGCTGCCACCGATTGGAAATTCGTCCTGGAAAGCGTCAATATCGGCGAGAAGCTGCATGCGCTCTTCGCTCGCTTTCCATCGAGCAGCAAACTCGTCCGGGGTACGAGGCACCGAATTCTCAAAGCCCTTTCGCACAATACGCTCCGTCGGACTAGTCAGAGAGGTCAGGAAATCGGCAGTAGTCTGTCTGTCGGGACAGTCAAAGCCCATCTCAATGAAAAAACGTCTCGCATCGGGGGCGCTGCCGAAGTAGATCTGGCGACCTTCATACAAGACGATGGCCTTGTCGAAAACGTCATAGATGGCCTGACTTGCTTGGTAAATAGCGACGATAGCGGTGGAACCCGTGTATTCGGTCGACAGGCGCAGGTTGCGAACGAATTCAAGGGCCGTCGAGCTGTCGAGACCACGGGTGCTATTGTCCCAACATTGCAGAGGACTACCACATAGAGTTGTTTCCGCGATACTGACCCGTTTTCTCTCTGCAAGACGTCAGTTATGTAAAGTATGATGATGCAAGGGGAACGCCGCACTAACCTCCGCCAGAAACCCCACGAATGAATTCATTCCCCACGGGCGTGTTCATGGTGTGACTGAGACCTAACATTGCCATGACTACATCGCGCATGTGTTTGGCATACTGATCTCGAGTTACGCCAGGGAATCGGTTGGCTGGGGCGCGGGCATGGGCTGCGAAGAGCAGTGTTTCGCCTGCGGTCAGCTGTGGGAAATGAATCTCCGTTTCAGCTTGGTAGATAACCTCGCCGCGGAAACGGCTGTGCATTTCGTCCCAGGAAATTCCTTGGTATTGAATGTCGGTTCCCTGGTCTAACCACAAACCGTGCGTCTCACCGGCGATTGTTTTGAGGAAGGTTGAGCAGCCACTGGGAGAGAAAGGGGATCAGAATGGAGACGAGAACTAACGGACAGGGAGTTGGCAGCTTACCTTCCAGGTCGACCAAGAACGACCAACATCTCACTACTTCTCACATAGCCTTCGAAATCGCGCAAGATATCGATTCGGACTCTGTTCCCAAACCCAAGTTGTCTGCGAATCCAGCCATATCCTTTGAGCCACATATTTGCGACGTCGGCCTGGTAGTCCGCAGCCGTTCCATAACCAAAGGCGTTTAGATTACGAAAGGCCACGCCGGCGGTGCGACGAGGGTAACGTTCCGGATCGCGGGAGGCGATGGAGAGAAAGTTCTTGGTCCATTTGCGTGCACTGAACTGATCGGAATCAGGATCGAGCTCCGGGTCACTTGTGGGGTTGAGGAAAGTGTTGGTACTCTCGACGAGGCCACTCTTCTGGGAGATGCGCGAAAGACTCCGGGCCAACGCAGTGATTTTCTGCTGGCCTTCTTGGTCAATTTCATTCTCCGAATCAGCGTAGGTGATATCGGAGCTGTCTGTTTTCTCCTTTGCAGGGCTGGAGCGGCTCGCAGGTTCAGGGTCTTCAGCTGGTTTGTTGTTTATTGTGCTGACAGCCTCTCGCTCTGCAGCTGAGGAGCCAGCAGAGGCCTCGGATGGCACAGGAGGCGTGGTCTGGGAAGACATCGCACCTGGGGTCAAACGACGGGGATTTTGCTAGTCATGCCCGAGCTCGAGCCGAGGGAGAGAATTGCAAAGGGAAGAAAAGAAGAAGAGGAGGAGGAGAAGGAGGAGGAGGAGGAGGAGGACAGGGGAATAATACGAGGAAGAGGAAGAATGACAAGGATATCAGCTCAGTTGGGGCAGAGTAAACCGGGAGGCCAAATCTGGATAGGACAGCAACAACAGCAGCAATCAATCAATAGCAACGACAGCTATTAATGATGATGATAATCCCGAGTAGGTAGGAAGGAGAAGAAGAAGAAAAAGAAGAGGAGGAGGAGGAGGAGGAGGACAAGAAACAAGATCAAACGGATCACGGAAGAGAAACATCCGAGGAGGCAATAACAGTCAGTGCTGGGCTATCACCAACAGGAATCAGGAGAAGCCGATCCGATGGTAGCTAGGTAGAAGTATCCTTGGACCTTATTTGGTATTATAACAGTGGTTCATAGACGTTCATTATTCTTCATTTATTTATAGGTATAAGAAGAGAAGAAGTACACTGGATGATGGGAAATTCTAACCAGATTCAGTTGATTCCCTAGTGGGGTCAGTAGAGCATAGGGCTACCTGCAGAGTACAGAAGACATTACTCCGTATAAGGTCTCGTATGTTCCTAGGTATCTAGTACCTACTACGGAGTACTATCTACATCATAAATATGCACCCGGAACCAGCCTTTCTTTCCGATCCAATGGAGTCGAAGAGAAAACCCATTGGTTTCGTATTCACGACGTATTCACTGATTCATTCCTTTTGGGCCCCACGTTTTCTCGAAGGAATCCTGGATCGTATTCGTAATCGGACCGAGGAGCTCAACAATCCACATGGATCGGGAATGATATTGTTTGGCCTCAGCTGCCAAATGTTTTATCTTGATCTGGATTTCACCAATCTTGAATCAGTGACGAGGACCGACCTTGAAAGTGCTTTCTCATTTGGAATAAATTCCAGGAGTGTAATGTGGTACTGTATTAATTTAATACCTCAGGCTCTAAATGAAATTAGGTTCCTTGACAGAGCGGAGATATTTTAGTTATCCAAGTCCCACTTTCATAGTTCACTGACTCCATACTACGTACTATACTATATTAGTATATCCCCGTTTCCGTGCGAGTCATAGAAAATAGATACTAGACCACTAGAGGGCCCATACAGTGGAGAACCCCCCAATATAGATAGAACACCACTCTCGCGGATTTAGATTGACTACTGTGAGAGGAGCTTGGAGGAAGAACATGGGTTAAAATCCTCTACATCGCTACAGGTGTCTATCGGAAACAAATTGTAGATTCCAATCGACGTACCTTACCTAGGTACCTAATAATGTCCCTTTCTTTCCTTTGCCTTATTCCCGGGTAGGCCTCCACCAATCAGCATGTCCTCATCACCCCCCCCACAACCAAAGGTGCGAAAGAGAGAGAGAGAGAGAGAGAGAGGAGAGAGATCTATTGGGTCTTCAAAACCGCAATACTCAAATCCGGCAAACTAAAACTAAACACGCCATCTTTCCCCGCGACAACCGTACTGACCTGTGACTCCACCAGATTGGCCCCTCCCACCGCATTCATTGACTCAGCACTGGGCGCGGTCAAAACTGTAAGCTGGGCCTTGGTGCTGGCCTTCACGCCCTCAAAGGTTAATGAGATCGGGACATCCGCGGTGCTGTTGTACACGGCTGCTTTGAAGATGTGGGAATTTGTGGTGTTGTCCAGGCCGGTCGCGTAGTAAAGGGGTCCGAAAGTGGTGTTGGAGGTTGACGGAAGAGTGTTTGTGATGTGGGTGTGCGAGAAGAGCTAGCATTTATTAATAAAATTTCCGGTTATCAAGGGAGGGGGGGGGGGGGGGGGGGGGGGCTACCGAGTAGAGATGCCAGCTTGTAGAGCGGGAAGTTTGGGATGGGTCTGCGTTGAAGGCGATAAGGGTTGGGGACCATTCGTAGTTGTCTATGTTTATGAAGAAGGGAGCCTGGATCAATTAGCTTTTCTTTCTCTTCTTCTTCCTAGAGGAACGAGGGAGGAGCCCTACATAAGTAGTTCCAAGAATCTTGTCTGCGTTGCGCTGCGCACCCAAAAGGAACACCGCTTCGGCGACGGTTCCAAGCCAGAAAGGATACAAGGAGAAATGCGTATTGCTCCAGTCAATTCCGACGCCGTTGTTATATTCTGTAACCGCGATTTCACCTGCAATCATCATTAGCATGTCTAATTACTTTTTTCACACACCTGGCAGGGGTGGGCACCAAGCAAAACCGGATGATCAGGGCTATACTGATCAAAAAAGTTGAACCTCGCCACAAAGTTATCCGGAATATCATAGAGATGGTAATCTCCTCCCGCATTGCCGGGAAAATCAATATCAATTGTCGACGCCAAAACAATAATATCGGGGTACTTGGCCTTGATGGCATCGTAAAAGGCTTTGAACCGGTAGCTTTGGTATGAAGCAAGTCCGTTGTTCAAGTTATCTTCGTTCCCAACTTCGACGAACTTGATAACCCAGGGCTCGGGGTGACCGATCGATGCACGCAGAGCTCCGTAGTGGGTATCAACAGAGCCAGTGAGGAACTCCAGCTCGTCGAGAGCGTCTTGGATGTAGACTTCTAGTTCGTCTTCCGGGACCACGTCGCCATTCAGGGCAAGACCGGCCCAGACGGCGAGAACTGTAATGTTTGTTAGCTCTGGCTGGGGAAACGAGCAAAGGTACGTACTAGGCTCGATATCTAGGTCATCACACCACTCCATGTATTCCACTAGACCGAGGCCGCTAGTTTCCTGGTATCCCCAGGTTGTGGCACGGCCAGGGCGGTCCTTAAGAGGCCCGATAGTCTCGTTCCACTTCCACCGGCCTTCAATAGTATCGCCTTCGAGGTTATTGCCCCCAGGAAAACGAAGGAATTTCTATTCCACTCAGTATGCACGCATGCCTAGTAGTAGGGAAGAGGCGTACTGGGCCGAAGTCACTCATAGCTTGCATCAAGTCCGTACGGAGCCCGTTGGGACGGTTGTTCCAGGTAGGAGGGAACAAGCTGATGAGGTTAAAATCAAGAGAGCCATCAGAAGTTTTCTAGCATAGTTAGGCGCAAACACTCCACGGGAAAATATAGGGTTACTTACCGAAGCATCAAAAGTAATCGAGAAGGTGTTGTTGGTATCTGGAGCATTCTTGCGAGGATAAAGAGTGAAATGATGTTGTGTCCATCCATTAGCCACGCTTTTGGACGCAATATTGGTGCTTGCAAAGACTTGACCAGTCGAGGCAGATTGAAGAGACGCAGTGAAAGCTCCCTTATACGAGCCCTTCACGTAAAATGAACCAGAATACTTCTGCGTGCTCACGGCAAGTCCCCACCAGCCCAAATTCGTGAATCCAGCCTTGCCCATCTTTCCCTTAGCATTCAACGATGTAGGAAGAGCGGATGATAGCGGGTTGCTGAGGTTCTTCAGCGACAACGTGGTACCGCCTACTGCAACCCAGGCGTCCAGGTTGGATGGGTAGGTAGTACTTCCCTGGAAGGCTCGGTTGCGAATTAACTCAGCGTAGAGACCTCCCTCTCCGCAATGGTTGATTTCCTAAATGAAGATTAGATCCAGATACTATTCACTTATCCCACCTCCGGGATATCTAACCTCTTCCATGATACCATATTCCAGACTGCTGGTGAAATTGCCCCCAGAAGATTTGACTGAGATCTGTACCGCAGCACAGCTAACCGCCAGCAACGGTAGCAGAAAACAATCGCGAAAACGCATCGTGTCTCCGCTGCCACGCACAGTTTTGTTCGCAAGCAAAGAAGAAAAGATCTACCTGATCGTCGACTGCTGGTCAATTGAACCAGGTTTCTTTGCCCTGGATTCTGCACGGCTCAGAGTCCATATTATATAGAGATGCAATCGGTATTCCCCATTGTTCCAATGCGGAGTGACTCCAATTCTCCATGTCTGATTTCCGGCGGGCAGTTTTGCCAAATCTTGTATACGAGACTGACTAGGGCGTAATACTGCGAATTTGCCTGTTCTGGTAAAAGCCCTTGAGGGGGACAGGCTGGAAGCTTTGAGTGGATCTTCAAGGGACGATTACCCCTGTTTGTTGTCGTCGCTTAAGAGGCCAGGGATGGCTTCCCCCTCGCTAGGCTGACGCAGGACACTTCACCACTAGCATATTTCTCCGTTCATTAATACTCACACCCTGCTGATTTCTCCGGAGACTGATACTTTTGCGTATTGTTAGCGAATTGAGTACCCCGCGCTACATTTAGACAGCGATGCACGTCATCTTGAAGGAGAAGAGAAGTGCCAGTGATATCTGCTGGGCAGCAAAGCGGAGTGAGTAGACCGCGCCAGGGCCAATCTAGAGCCTGCTCAGGGTAAAACTTCATCCATTTTCGGTGGTCAATGTGATAGTCTTTCGCCATATGGTACAGTGCATGATGCCATTCATAGGTTTGAAGAAAGGGTTTCGATGCATGAGAAGGAGAAAAAGAAAAGGAACATGGTCGGTTCTCGGGGATGTCGGATCTCAGGCAGCAGCAGAGAGTCAGGCGATGAAGCCCCTTACCTTGACTGATCCAAGAAAACAGCGTTCACTATAAAATAAAAAGGAGAAAGAAAGAAAAGAAACATACGAAACAGAAAATATGGAGGAGGAATATTTCAAGTCAAGATTCTAGCCAGCCTCTTGGAATTGAGTTTCAAACACCCTATCTCAGGTTCCTTAGGTAGTATAACAGTCTCCATTCCACAACACTCAATTCACAAGTGTACAGAACATTCAACAATCCCAACTAATCCATTCTATAATTCTCGCAAAAGAACAAGCAGGACCGAGGGTTTTATTCCGGAGTTTCGACACAAGCATCCTTCCTTCGTCCCCTCCCCAGAATTTCCACGTATAAGCAGGATTGTGTCTACTGGTGAGGACATAAGGGATCCTCGGCCCCAATCCAGAGTACCCCATGGTATTTCTGCACTGCTTCTTCCTTCCCTTGCCCAGGGTTTCGTATGTCAAGGCTTAAGTAGGTTAGCCATATTTCACAAGACTTGCACTGCAGGCTTTGTGGCTCTTGAATCTCCGCTATTTTCCCTGACTCTGGTATAATTTCCCCAGCTTGAGGCAATGCTTGCCTCTCACTTTGCTTTTCCTATGCCTGGCATATGCCTAGGTAGCACACGACAGAGACCCTTTAACTGCATCAGGCTTCGAGGGAGGAGAGATGAAAGAATGGACTGGAGGAGGCTGTTTGGTTACGGGGAGGAAGAACCCTTGGAAGATCTTGGAGTCTACCAACAATACTGAGCAATAGCAGGACAAAACTAACATGACGCGCAGAAACGAGATTGGTCGGGTTTTATCAACCATCATGGTGTCCCTGGTTACGTTCATTCTCGAACAGAATGTCGGAAGGAAATTTGCTCCGGGGCACCCTTGACCAAGATAACCTTGTTTTTTTTTGTAGTACTAAATTCGTATTCAAAAATACTGTATCCTGGTGTGTACTTCACTCATAGTATGTAAAGGCATAAAAATTAGGCGATGCAAGACAGCGAGAAAGTAAAAAGCGTCATCTAATTGACATTATCCCAGCGCAAGAGAGTATCCGCCCCTTACGTCGTACAAACATATTCTCGTACTCAGTTCAAGATCCCGATAGCAAACGAAAGCCAGATTCCATGTAGACAAGCAGGAGATAAAGGAAGATTGGGGGAAATTATATCTGAAAAGCGCCGCATCCAACCCAGCCCAATCCAACGGTGCTCGGATAGCTGGAAGGGAGCAACCTTTTCATCTCATTGGCGTCATATCGATCGATCATGAAAGCTTAACACATTTCGCAGCACTCGATGCAATCGAAACAGCACTCACAGGACTCCTCACAGAGGAAACAGCAGCAAAGGGTGGCCAAACTATGAGGAAAGGGAGAGTTAGCCATGCTCCGGAGAGATGTAAGCTGAACTGGAAAGGACGACAAAATAATCTTACCAAGCTCCCAGGCATCCGCGATCCTTCTGCTGTGGAGGAGGCTGCTGCTGATATTGCATCTAAACAATTAGTATGTTTTGCTCCTGTGAAATCCGTTTCCGGGGGTATCATACCGGAGGTGGGTAAGGCTGGCCGTATCCTTGGGGAGCTTGGGGAGGAGGATATCCCTGTTGAGGGTAGCCCTGCTGAGGGTAGCTATCGGAACAAGTTTATCAGTACAGTAGCGCAGAGCAGCGAAGACTATGACAAAAACTGCGGTTGAAAGCGAGTCTGGGTCACCCTTGGGCGGAAGGGAGCGAGCTGACGCCGGTTGCTGACACCATCACCAACTCCGACCAAACCAGACGTACACTCCACCATTGGGGCCCAGTCGCAAAGTCGATCATACATAGGGGACGAAGATAAAAAAAAAAAAGAATCGGATGAGAGGAGAATGCTTACGCCTGAGGAGGGGGAGGAGGTCCGCTGTAGTACTGCTGGGCGCTCATGATTGTGCGCGAAACGAAGAGATCTGACGGAGTGAGAAGCTGTCAAGAAGGAGAAGGCCCAGGTCAGCAAGCTTGACAAGAATCGAGATCGACCCAAAGAAAACAGCGACAGGTCGAGGATGATGATGGAGAAAGAACGCTGGGAGGCAGAAGTGAGGGCCAATGATAATAGGGGGAGACGATACCTAAGAAAATGCCAAGTTTTAAAAGGGTCAACGAGAGGCAGGGGAGGGCGGAAAGCAGCGACCGTGAGGGAGTTTAGAGTAGAGGAAGAGAAGGATGAATAAAGGGAAGAGAAAGAGAGCTGAAAAAGAGAGAGTAGTTATGAGAGAAGAGCGGGAAACGAGGGCGCTAGAGTCGGGGGATATTAATAGGTGATGATATTATTTCAGTTCTCAAAGAAATTACTACTAGTAGTATGACGATGATGGCTCTCTCCCTGCGTACTTGGAAGATTTCCATCATTCAACCCTTTTCTTGGACTGCCAAGCCCCTGTCTTTTTTTTTTTCCCCCATCATGAATAATCAATACTACTAACTAGTTTAACTAACTAGTACAACATAGGTTGGCATCTCTTTTACCGCCACGAGCTGCTTCAGCCTTCGAATCCCTCGTGATGATGCCTGCTGGCTATACATAGAAATTGTTATTTTTAGTCTGCAATATCATAGTGGGAATTAATAGGAAGGGGTAGACTTATTATTACGAAGACCAAAGTTTCAGGTAATTACAATACAAGCGTGGGCAAGCCCAAGTATCAGCCACAAACGCCCAGCCCTACAAGAGTAAAGAGTCCAGGTCACTAGCCACCCTTTTGTCATGAGTTTCATTGGCTAATAATCACTGCCCACCAAGAGGCTGTGGGCGGCTTCAGGGTGCACCCTATAGCCCACAGAGAGTGGCTCAACATTCCAATATGGTTAATTCAAGTTAGTGGTTAGCCAACAACAACCCAGTCTGCCCAGATTTCTACGCCATGAGTGGCTGGGGGGGTCTCTGCAGACCCACTGCACGCTCATCAGCGCGTTGTCTGGTCATCCAATTCTCTCATCCTACCGCCTGCGTTCTTGTCAGGTTTCCTGAACACTTAGCAACAACAAAAATAGTACGCTTTGCCGCCCCTTCACTTGCTGGCTTAGGAGAATTTCCCGCCAAAGCCAGAACCGACAGGGCTGGTTGGGTCCCTTTGGTAGGGCCGTAAACGGGACTGACATGGCTTTCCAGCACAACGTTCACCAAATCAATATATTCAGGAGACTTTGTCTCGCGTACTGATTGACTGCTCATCATCACACATTATGTCATATCACCTCTTCGAGCTTTGGCAAGAGATCGCTTCAAACGGCCTCGGGTCTCGAATCACGTAAGAGTTAAAAAAACACAGAAGGAAAGAAAAAAAAAAACGTGGGGGAAAATAGAGAACAAAAGAAGAAAAAGTAATAAAGGAACAAGAGTAACAAGATAAAGGGTAAAACAAAGTCCTCTGAAGATAAAGGGGGGGGGGGGGGGGGAACATAGCCAGCCCAGAACAGGGGAAATCAACAGTAGAGGTAAACAGGTAAAATATGGATATAGAAACAATCAACAGATCACAGGGATATTATGAAGAGAAGCAACAATAAAAAAGTCTCCAGAGACAACCCCCAGAACAAATTCAAAATGCATCAATAAGAATTTCACAAATCATCAAAAGTCTTCAAGAATAAAACTGATCAAACATACGAACCGATCTCCGGCACCAGAGGCTGGGAATCAAAGTAGCAGGGGTTGGCAAAGGACGAATCCATACTCAACGTCGGAAATGCGCCAAACGCATCGTAACCGCTCGCGCGAGTCGATTCCATCCCTTGTGAAGGATTCTCAGCAGTCACTGCTGCCTCGGAAAACGAAGAATCGTCTGCCGAGTTGATCGGCGCTGAGGCCGGCTCGTCAACTAGGAGATCTTGGTCAATAGTCAGGTTCTTAGCGTTCTCGAAGACAAATTCCTCCTTCTGAACCATCCAGTGTTTCAGCACATCCATAGGAGGGTGAGTACCGCCTCCTTTACCTCCTCTTTTCTCGCTGTCCTTGCCACGTCCACCACGACCGCGTTGGCATGGATTAAAGTGCGTGCGACGAAGGTGAGCTGCCGCATTGTAATTAGCTCCGTAACGCTTTCCTTGTCGGCAAGCCTTGCAGTTTTGCAAGAACTTTTTGTCTGGGGAAATATCCACGCAAACCCAAACTTTGCGAACCACGGCGTGAACACGCTCGATATGTCGACGGAGTTCGTGCTCCCCGTGAAATCCATCGGGCTGGTCATTGCACATGTTGCAGTAAGTCTTTTGGCGAGGAGGTCGTTGGATGGAGGCCTTGGGGATAGCGGCGACCTCTTTGGAAGTCCCGTCGGATGATGAAATGCGAATCATCTTAGGCTCGGTTATTTTGAGAGAAGAGCTATTTTGAGACTCCGACTTGGGGGCGATGGGCCTTGCTCCCTGCACGATTTGTTCCTGAGTCCGTCGTGCGGCCCGCGATGGTGGGGAGACGGAGGCACTGTTCCTTCCAGTAGACATTGAGTGCTTCATCTCAGTGACAGGGGAGGGAGAGAGGTGGGGCATTGAGGTAGTTGAAGGGGCGGAGCATGAAAACGACAGGGGAGAGGATGATTCAACAAAAGGAAAGGGACTTTGGCTTCCAGATCCTTGGTTGTTGCTCAGGGGTATATTCACGGGTGAGGTGGACGATGTGTAGGAAGAATTAGGGGCAGTAAAGGAAGAATATGGAGTAAGATTTGGACCCGAAGAATCGAATCGCATCATTCCCAAATTTCCGCATAGGGACTCTGTGGTGGTGCTCCGACTCATTTCAACCGCAGCCAGCGCGTGTGGAATCGGGGGATCCATCAAACAGTCGTTTCCAAGACCAGTGACGCTTCCCATCAGGTCGTGGAGTCCTTGCGAGAAGTGACCAGGCAAAGAGCCACTATGCTGCAATCCTGCCTGCGCCGAATCTGCCGAAAAAGCGATCGAAAGCGCGGACGGATTCATATGACCCTGAAAGTCACCCAAACATTGCTTGGCGTACTCAGAGGGAGTGAACTCGCTCACAATCTGGAGTTGCCGTCTCTGAGGTCCAAAGGAATGTCGATGTTGCGCCATAGATGCCAGTGGGTGTTGATGCGATACTGGCACCTGTTGACTCTGCGAGCGAACCATGGCTATTGGTCGAGAGGCGGATCCGAGACCGGAGAGAGGAGCTGAGCCATCCGCCTGAGACATAGTTCTCGAAAGATGCCAAGTAGTTTCCGGTGCCGCCGGGGAGGATGCATGAGACAGTTCACGCTTCATTTGAGCGCTCTCTGATGGATCCGGAGTCTGCCAAGTGTCAATCCAGGGACTGTTGGCGGGAGAGAAGATGAGGAAGAGGATAGGATAGCGCAAGTGGAAAAAGAATGGGTAGGGACTAAACATGCAGAGAAGGCGGGGCGGGAGTAGAAGACCAAGGTAGATCACATACGGTGACTCGTCGTTTTGTCGGAGGAAGGCCAGAACCAGGTAGGGACCGGGGAGTGTCCTGTCGTGTCCGTTTCCCAGATTTCTCGGTGGAGCTGCCCTGATCAGGGATACCGGAGCCGGGCACGGGGCGGTAGGCGGAGTTCGTGGGGATGGTGGTGGAGGAAGAAGAAGATACGGTGTCGGGGATGAACTGACTTAATCGCTGACTCCAAAGCTGATTTCGTTCTAATTCCGGAAGATGGGAGTACTGATCCAAAAAGACATCCCGGTAGCTAGAAATGGCCCTGGTGAACAGCTCGTCGTCGGCCATGGTGACGGGCATGATAGAGATCCTCCTTGGGTGCTGCTTTGTAGGGGGGTGAGATCAACGACTGCAGTCAATTGCAGGGGTGTACTAGGGCTTGAAAATGGGGTCCTAGAGAGGCTAAATCAGCATTTGTTTGAATATGGAGGTCGTGAAAGTGGGAAGTTGCTGGGGGAGGGAACCGACTAAGTATGAAGATATTCCCCAGATTAGGTGGAAAGATAGAGCGGGTGGAGTTGGGAGGAGGTGAGAAGAGATAAAGGTAGGTGAAGAAGAGCTGGGGGTTATATTGTGAGTGTAACAGAGAAGATGAACGAAGAAGAAGGGGAATAATCAGAGGAGGATAGGGAGATGGAGGTAATAATAGATTAGTAGAGATAAAATGGATAGAATGATGATGACGATGGAGACTGTCGAGGGGAGGGAGGGAAATATCAATTTAATGGTAAATCCACCATACCCACAATCGGAATAGTGTGTAGTCGACTGGAGCCCAGCAGAAAAGACCTAGGAAATAGGAAATAGGGAAATGTCTAAGGGACGGGACTAAGCGTGTTATGAATGATGGGGGTTTAGGAGGGTGGGCACTGCACTGGGCAGTAGTAGAGAGAACGAATCAATCAATCAATCAATCAATCAATGGATGGATGGATGGATGGATGGATGGATGAAGGAATGATTGGGGAGAAGAAAAGTAAAAGAGATTCTTTTTTTTATTTGGTAGGTAGTAGAATTTTGTCGTTCAAAAATAAAAAAAAAAATAAAAAAAAAATAAAAAAAAAAGAGAGACAGACAGCAAGTGAGCAAAAGGACACAGGAATGAAAAGGAACTTTGTTCATACAGCGTAGGTAGAACAGACTGAAGCTTGCAACTGGGAATGGAGATTGGATGGTGACAGCAGAAAGGTCTGGACTCTCACGACAAGAACCTTTGGGGAGGATGCGCAAGATTCGACTGAAAAGGGAAAAAAGGAAATAAAAACGAGGAAGTAATTCTGGGTCGAATTTTCAAGTTACCGATTTCGATATATTCAACATCGTTCCCCCCCCCCCCTTTATGCCTTAGGTAGGTACCAACGAGGGTTCCCAAAAGGGGGGAAGACGAGGGTGACACGATAGACAAACCCAAGACAGGTAATATGTCTGTGTCAGTTGGAAAAGAAAATCAAAAGAAAATCAAAAGAATCATGGCAAAAATGAGGCGTCCAAACGGATGTCACTAGGAGAACCCCGACCAGCGAAAACTCATCTTCAAATGCTGAGTAGCCCATGATCAGTCACTTACTCTTGGTCTGGTTTGATTTCTTCCTCGCCCGTGTCCTGCTATTCGACAACGTATTTTCTTTTCCTTCGGGGGGGGATACTGCTACAAGCCTACGACTCAGAAATTAACCCCCCTCCCCCCAAAGTCTATCAGTTTATGTAGGTATACCCAGAAGTCACCGCGTGAGTGGTCCTCAACTGACTGTCTACTCCCACCTACAGACTGAATTAGTTCTTGCTGTCGATTCTACGGCTGCCACGTCGTTTGGGCTACACCCGTTCGGGGGTTCTACTGCTCCATTGTCACAATGGTTCCAACAACGCTTACTGGCCTAATTCAGCTATCACGCAGAATTTTCCTAGATCTTTTACACTTGACGAGCCAGCCGACATCCAAGCTAGCAATAACTCTAGCTGGCCGCGATAGACGAAGAATCGTGGACTCAGGAGCCAGCAGCGCAAAAAGCAGAGAATCCGACGCTAGCACGGGTCAATAGCCCGGTCCGACAGGCAAAGCAAGTCCGTCCGATGTTTCAAGCACAAGGCACAACGGATTCGATTGGGGAATCCACGACCAAATTACCACTGTATCAGTTTCATCCGTCTACATTAGGATTCTCAGGGCATCGCGGGTCGCAACGGAATCCACCCCCCGGAACGAACTGGAGGTACCAAACGGAAGATTCCCAAGGTTCGGGCCTTCTGCGCGTGGGGGTCCCAGATTTGATCAATTGTAAATGAGAGAGGCCTTCTGCCCTCCTCGAACCCTTAAAAAATAAAGGACAGAAACAGAGAAAAGAAAAACAGAGAAAAAAAAAAAGAAGAAAAAACCGTCTCTTTTCTTCTGCTCAGGTTCGTCGTCTACCCTGAGAATCTCCGGATCTTCCCATCGACTCCTGCGGCTGGATGATCACGATACTAACGATTCGATGATTGGGGTGTGGGCCGGCCATCACAGCGCCACCAATAATGAGGTCCAAATCGGGATACGTCGCTCACGTGGCTTTGGTGTCACGTGAAGTTGACATGTCTTTCCTTCGTTCTAGTTGTAGGCCAGGTCAGGTCTGCTCCAAGTCCCATGGAATGGAGATAACCCGTTCACATGTGTTGGACGAGGACATTGGACAGTGGACACAGACTACTCCGTAATTCCCGGGCTAACGGACCCACTGATTCCAACGACTATCACCGCCAAACTTCACCGCTTTTTAATCTCAGGAGTTGGAAGCCATTCCGCTCTACCCTATTCCATACCTAGGTTAGGTTAGGTAGTCACTCTTCTATTAGCAGCGATAGTCCCAGTAGCGTAGGAATAGCTCGGAGTCCGCGACAAACCAGTATGTCTTGCTTTGCTAATGGCCACTTTTCGTTATCATTGACTCAAGAGTCAGGTCATGGAAATTGCATGCCGATCAGGTTCTCGATTTCTCAGCCCAATCAACGAAACTAAAACGCAAGTAGACGTAAGGTACAAACCATCTCGCAAATCGGTGACTAAAACAGATCGTCGCGGTGCTAGAGCCTAGACTAGTGATTCGAGAATCATTTGCCTTGAAGAAAGTACGGAGAACCTCGAACAAGGACGTGCGCCCATTTTTGACAGCTGGAGGATCACTACCAATAGAGATGTGATCGTCGCTTTCCTTCATGCAAAGGGTCAATGATAGGCTCTGAGGGTCTAGGTAGCCTGGTAGAGTAAATAGTACTCCGTACTAGGAGTACACTGGGCGTGGCTTACTAGGTATTTTCTACTAGTCCTACGGAGTAGTGGAGGTGATTCTATGCCACAGTACGGAGTTGGCACATTGACTGGTTTTTGGGAGATATGCTCCCTGGTAGTTATGATCCGGTTGAGATTCGATTATTTACATTTGGGTTGCAGATGATCGTTTTTCAGGAGTTGCGGTAATGAGTTATTTATTCTTCCACCTGGCAGTCTACGAATTGTATTATTGTACAAAATCATATCACATTTAAAACAGTAAATCTCTGGTTTAATAATATTCGAACCGTTTTTCAACAATATTATAATTATGACAATTACATGCTACAAAACCCACCACTTAAAACTCCAAGTGTTGATATCTCCCAAGATGCCCCGCCCCTCATCTAGATATACTCCTCCACCCTTCTCCGATCCCATGCGCCCAGTGCCCCAGTCCCATGCGATGTTTGAATGTCGATGGCTCGATGCTGGTGTCGATGTCTAAGATTCCCGTCTAGTTTTCTGCCTTACCACCACCTGCGTAAAACCAAACGCCTAATGCCTCGGCCTGAGGATGGAGCTCCAGGGTGTATAATTGGCCCAGAGCACACCAAACGAAATACGAAGCAGCCGCTTCAATCCCAAGTACTTTTTCTCCCTCCCCCTGGTAGCTAGGAGCTAGCTAAGAAGGCTGTGTTGTTCTCCAAGGCTCCAGGCTCCCCGTCGCCCATTAACGCCCCATTCTGACCACCATCACTGACAGTCAACACGATCCTGCAAAACATCCGCCGGGCGAAACAAGAGCAAAACACTGCCTCGAAAACAGGACACGCATAGCTGTGGAGGAAAACAAGAGAAAGGCAAAGAACGGAAAGAAAAGAATTAGATTGTAGAAAACATCTCTTGGTCATTTCCCACTGAGCAGGCTCAAGCTCCTACAAACCTAACCCCGGGTCGTCTTCCTGGACCAAAAACCCAGAGGAGATCAAACCCTCCATCCAGCACGCACAACACAAGCTACATTAAGTCCGTCATTTAGGTAATATCAGGTATAGAGGTTAGGCAGATCCAGGGTCGCTGAAAGTTGGAACCCAAGTCTGAGCACGGGCACTTCATTTTCGAAGCCTTTGCGCCATACCTAGGTAGTCTATACCTCCCTCAACCACTCACCAATCCAATGTCGGCCTTACCATTGAAAAAAGAGAAATCCAGATTTAGATTCGAATCTACCGATGACGCGTTAAGCCACGGTACTTTTTTCTTTCCTTTTCTTTGCTGTTTTTTTTTTTTTTTTTTTTTTTTTTTTTCTCTCCCTATAGAATGAGTTCACTTTCTAGTGGCTGGCCTAGATTGAATTTTTGCATGAAGTTTACATTGTCCCTTGGAACCAACTGCACCTACTTTCCAAACCCCCCCCCTCATACGAATAACTTATTTCCGGCTATAATGTATATCATGGGGAGACCTCCGGGAAAAATAGCCCTGAAGTCACGTAATCACTCCTTGCCCAATCCAAGAATCGATTCGAGAGCCGACAGAGCTTTCCCTCGGGGCGGGCAAGACCGTGTTATCCTGCATACATAGAACTTGGGGTGGATAACGTCTAACACTGCCCACCGCGGAACCTTGTTCTAATTAGGTATTATCTGGAAAGGAAACGTGAGGCTGCTGAGGTCCACCCACTAGGTTCCAGAAGGCACAGCCTCTCGGGAGCTGGATGTAGATAGTTCGGCGAAAGAAGAAAAGTAACCGTTCAAGGTATACTGTGGAATTCAAGTAGCCTACCTATCCCTATCCCTATCCCCTCGCCATTTTCCTATTCTTATTCTTGTCCCTGTTCGCCTACTTGCGTTGGGGGTGCTGAGGTGCAGATATGAAACTCAAGGGGCTACGTATGTATGTACTAGTACCTAGGTACTAAGTAGTATGCACTTGCTATGTACGGGGAAGCACGAGGTGCGCTGCTCTGCTACTATACATACATAGGTATTGATTCGATCATGGCATAGGTACCTGGAACCTCGATGAGAAATCGCATGACATTCTATTGGGGGAATCGGGCTATGTTGGGCTGCTACGTAGATATGACCTGCCAGGTGGATTCAGGTCCAGACCTACTTAGAAGTACTCGCTATAGTGTATACTAGTTCTAGTAGGAATTCAAGACAGACATTCTTGAGGGTAGAATTTGCTATTGTTTACCGTGGTTATTAGAAATATTCAATCGGGAGGTTTCAAAAGTGAGCATGCTATATATAACCCTTTATCTATGTATAACGTTCTATAGTTATACAAACTTTACGTAGATTTATAATTCTGGAGGCGGGATAGCTCTATAACTTATATGGTCTTACTCTTCGTCCTTTTAATCGTTTACTTTTTACCTTTGACTAGAGAAATTGTACAGCATTTGCAGTTCTTATATATATATCTGTCCAATTTTGAAGTGTCCGCATTACAGTCTACATCATGATATTGTGAAAGTATAGACTGGGGATACCGGATCTAAGCTAAGCTAAAGGAAACGTAATTGCGCTTTTTTTTTCATGTGGATATGGTTTTGGCTTGCTCATCATTTATGTTCGCAGATTTCATGAGCTTGTCTGATCCAAGCAAAATATATTTCAATCGATATAACATACTATTGCACGCTCCTGAAGGCTTTGCTAGTACCCGCGTTCACTTTTTCATCTATAGGACGGACCTGATAGCTCTTCCTACCGGCACTACAATGCTATCATCTTACCGGACTAGCATACGCTGCCCATAGAAGATATAACTGCCCACAATCGTCCTAGAAAGTGAGTTTATTGCCAGCGTTAGAAGTCAAGGCACCTCATCGTCCCGATAACCACTCCATGGGCTGGCATATAGAGTCCAGAAACTTCTGCCCCTTGCTCCCCAGGCGTTAGATTCGACAACTACAGTGATTCCTTAGGTCTCCCAGGGCTAGATATCTGTTCGTGAGTGTATTGGTGGAGACTGATGATACAGAAGGGCTCATCAGTACCTGCTGACTGTTCACCGCGAGGGCGACAATTTCAAAGGGAGAAAAAGTTTCTCTGGGTGTCCCTGAGAGCAAAAGCGGTTGATCGTTGGTTCCTCTGCTCGGGTTCTGCATCTGAAATGTGGAGACCACTTCAGCTAGTTAACTCTATTTGATATTGTTCGGGTTCCTCAGTACTGCAACAAGAGAAAGGCTACTATTTCTCAAAGAAATCTCTGCTACTGTCCAGCGAGCAAAGAAGAATGGCGGATTCCCTGTCTCCAAATCTTCAGTAGACGGAGAAGGCCCTTGCGAGTTCATGCTCAAGCCAAATTAGCTCCATCTGGCACGCTGGCAATCTCGCTTGAGTCAAGAGAGGGTTTTATGTCTTGAATACGATCAGTCTCAGTTTGAATAAATCATCTTTCAAGAGCACCTGGTACTCTGCAAAATGCCTGCTCTATATAACTAGTTATGGAATGCAGTCATTGATGACATCACTTGATAAACAATCCGCGCGGGTATCGCCACGTGATCCGGCGCCACGTCATACGGCCAGAACAAAAACAGAAGGCAAGCTAATGAAGGCCTCACGCTATGATACTCTAGATAACTATCTCCTTTCTGCAACTTCGCGTCCACTCGCTCTCTTCGCTTGCACATATCCACAGGCACACAAATTTCCCTACCCCCCGTTTTTTTTTTTTCATTTTCTCTACTCATAATGTCCGACTCTATGCTTTATCTCTACACTTCCCTCACTGCGGGATCGTCTCATATTGTTACCGCCACCGCACGTCTTGAGACCATCCTCAAAGCAAACAGGCTCCCCTTTCGCGCAATTGATGTGGCTACAGATGACGCAGCTAGAAAGCTTTGGGGCCGTCGCTCGAAGGGCAAGAAATTGCCTGGACTTGTGAAATTTGGAAATGTCGTTGGCGTAAGTCTCCTTTTCTGTACCCTTTCCCCCCCCTTACAGGTGGGGGGAATAGGAGGGGTTATGTCATTCCTTAGAAATTCAAAGCCTTTTCCCAGTAGGAAATGATTTCCGAAACTAACGGACCAATTCAGGATCTAGAGCAAATCGAAGAATGGAATGAATACGGTGAGCTGAAAATGCAGATCAACAGCGTCGTGGACGATTTCGACAGTATGCCTGCTACCAGCACGCCTGACAAGACTTCCTCCGCACCTGCCCCTCAACCCGAGCCCACTGTTCCGAAGCAAAGCACGATCAAGATTCAGAATCCTCCCGCAAAGGAACCCCAGAAGGACGACTCTATCACGGTCGCATTGCGTCAGGCAGGCGAACAGGCCGCTGCGAAAGCCAAAGAGAACGCCCAAGCGGAGACGAAGAAACCAAGCAGCCCCGCAGTCGTAGGGCAAACTTCAGATGTAGCAGCAGCAGCAGTAGCACCTAACGAAAAAAAGAATGGAGAGAGTGGCCAAGATACTGTACGTCGGCTGTCGGTTGCTCCTGAGATCGCAGAAAGCAGTCCCCAACGGCCGCCTTTGGTGCCTGAGGTTGCTGCGATGTCGTCTGCCAATTTTCATGCTGATAACGCTGAAGCTTTAGGGCTGATTGAACACCATCGTGGCTCCAACATCGCGGCCGAGTCCAAGGAAGAGGCAGAGAAGCTTGCTCTTGAGTTGCGCAAGTCTATTTCTGGCGACCGCCAGGGTCCCACCAATTCCCTGCAGGATAACCCTATAACAAGTGTCCGACTTGAAGAAGCGACCGGGGAACGCTAGAAAACTAGGCGTGTGAAAACTATCGAAAGCTGGGAAGATCGAATTCCCTGGCAAGCAGCGTTAATGAATCTTTCCCGAGCAACTTCTTCCACACGCGACTTTATTGGTAACGAATGATGATTATAACCCGGTGTTTCGCATGTTTGTTTGCTACGTTTGTACAAATACCAAGCTCCAAGGTTGTTTGAGGGACAGTGTCCATTCTTCTTTTTCTGTTTTGAGTCCAAGCTGTTCGCTGTACAATTCAACTGTTTTATTTCCGGGTCCTGTTTGCTGGTTATGCTCTCTTTGTCCATTTGAATCATTATTTAGCACTCTTGAGTTTTACTGTATCTCCGTAAGCATATCTAAAATCCAGCATTTGAGGTTATTGTTATCGCAAGGGTGGGGCGACTCGTATGTTGAAGTCAGAAGGAAAATTGCAAGACCATTGCATCATAAGCATAAAATAGTGTATAGAATTGTCACTTGAGATCTAGTGATAAGCCTCCTTCACTGCTTTCTCCGCTTGTCTACGGCCTCGCGCAGTTTCGCGATGACGTCGGCGGGATCTTGAGCGCCGAAGACTGCCGAACCAGCGACAATCACATTGGCACCTGCTTCAGCAGCTTGATCTATTGTCCCCACTCCAAGTCCTCCGTCAACCTCAATGTTGAGGTCTGGGTATCGCTCACGGAGGGCAGTCACCTTGGGAAGCTCCGAAGCCATAAACTTTTGACCCCCGAAGCCGGGATGCACCGTCATAACGAGGACCATCTACGCACTGCATTAGTGCGGGGTTTGAGGAGCGCAATGACTCGGGTATGCATGCCAGTGCAACGCCCACCAGGGCACAGACAGGAGAGTTTACTTACATCTGGACATTCTTCTGGATTCTCATTCTCCAAAATCTCCCATAGCACATCAACAGGGGTATCTGGTTTAATTGCAATGCCGGCTTGCATTCCCTGTTCGTGGATATATCGGATCAATTCTTTCGGGCTAGTTTTGCGGGTTGTTGTTGTGTCCGCGGGACTGGTAGCTGCGACGGATGCCACGGCCGCTTCGTAGTGAAAGCAGTAGAGATCGCACCCCGCATCTTTGAAATCCTTGACCCATTTGTGAGGCTGTGGTTAAAACAACACCGGTTAGTGAAATGTGTTCCTGGAACTTTTGGATGAGCCTGCTCTCTCCTGCTCCGCTAGATCGTGGAATTCTCACCTCCATAATCATCATGTGGCAGTCAAATGTGCCTTTTCCAAGGGCCTGGTCCGGACGGGCAACATGGGATCGAATCTTGGTGACAACAGGAGCTCCAAAAGTAATGTTGGGGACGAAATGGCCGTCCATGATGTCAACGTGCAGCCAATCCGCACCTTGCGCTATCTTGGTCGAACATTCACTACCAAGAGTCGCGAAATCGGCGCTGAGGATCGAGGGTGCTATAATGGCTGGAGGACACATGATGGACGAGTTTTCGTGTTTGGTTGGTGATTGAGAAGACGTATATATGGGAGTATACGGAAGAAGGGAAGGCAGGAGAGTGAGAAAGGAGAGGAGAAGAGCAGAGGGTCGGGTTAGGCGATTTTAAAGTATCCGGAGTAGCTCCATGACGGTTCAATCAGAAATCAAAATAATTAATTGATATCACGATTTCTCGGTCGACGTCACTCCGGAGAACCCGATCAGGAAGGGACCATGAGCTGATAAGGGCTAGGGCCTATTTTTCACGTGGGGTCATGTGGGGGCCTGAGTGGGGGTAGATAATTGGCCTGGATGCCTGAATTGGGCCGAGACACACGTGGGGTCACGGGGACCGTCAAGGCCGATTTGATGATGGTTGGTCGTTGAGCGTCAATTTCACCCGATTTGATTGTGTAGATGAGTTTACTCTCCCGAAAGCTGCAGGTCGGATGACCCCCCCTCTTCTTCCCTCCTCAAGATCCGCTGCGATTTTTTCCGTAATGGGTTTTCCCACGATGGAATATCCTGTTTTGATGGTTCCTTGAGTGTCTAACAGCTATTTAGACAAGAACAAAGTCCCTTAATTGTGGTGTTTGGTCTGCTTCCGTCAGCCAGCAAGATACTTACACTTAGTGAGGTTCATGACCGATTCCCTTCGTTATCATAGGTTACTGCTCGCTGATCATTGCTCATCTTGGATATTTGAACTGTCTTCCCCTCTCTCATTATATTGGGCTCTGGGGTTCGTCACAGCCTCCATTTCTAAAGATAGCCCAGGCCGGCGCTTGCGGACTGCACACCACGCCAATCAAATATGGTTTCCCTTCGGGACAAGGTACTGCGTTTTTAATGGGCGGTTCGTTGCAGCCACAAATGCCATTTGCTTGCTTTAACTGGTGTGACGATGTCCAAGTTCTGCCTCTCAGATCAATGCCAGACCCTCCGTTTCGAAGCGCCTACTCGTTCACCTACTCGCGCACCACCAATGGTAGTAGGCCCAAACCTTGTTTTCCAATCAATCCCTGCTTGGACGTGCGAAATGTTGCAGTAGTTTCTGCACGGCTGGTGGCGGGTGTGAAGGGCGCTTTTGTTACCCCCCCTCCTCCGTTCTCTCGATCTATTTATCAGAGCAGCGCGCTACTGATGGATAGTCATCTTTATTTTGTCCTTTCTGGTGTGCAAGTTACCTTGTTTTTGTGATTTTTTTTGTTGTTGCTCATTAATTATTGTGCCTTTGGCTCTGGTAGCTAGGTCATCATTCATTCTCTTGCTTAATCACATATCCCCCCGCGTAAACCCCGTTGATCGGAGTTGCATGCCATTGAGATACCCCTAGAAGTTTTTTTGATGCTTTCAGCGTGTTGCACCACTCACATACCATAATATATCTAGCAGCTTACGAGGCACGATGGCTGAGTCATATCGTCCTGCAACTGCAAGATGCCCACCCTCTCGGCAGGTCCGGGGGACGAAGCTTAATACTATAATCGAGGACTCGCGTGAGACGCAGTTTACAGATAAGCCAGAAAGTGATGCAGTTGGAAATAGTCCAAAGAGTCCGACGCCGCAATTGAAGCTCAGAACCACCGGTCTTTCGTCATCCGCAGCTCGGTCCAAATGTTTCTTTTCGCCCATATCAGCAGGTTCTGCCTCTTCCTGCTCTGATGTGGATTGGCAACAGCAAATGAAGAATTTCGATGATCTGTACGATGCTAGCGATGATGAATCGGATCTTAGTGATGAGTGCATGTCATACTCCAGCACCCGGCCTACGAGCTTGTCGACCCCTACCACGGGGAGAGATTCTGTAACGTCCCCAAGCACGCGTAAGCGGTATCCAACCCTGACCATCCCGGCGTCAACTGCATGGCCGTCACTCCATGGCACCGCGCCCAAGAGCTCACCTGTTCCACCCACGCCTCCGTCCAAAATCCCTGTTTGCCCAGCGGCTTTATCAATGCTTGGTCGTTCTGTTCCAGCTATGCACGCTCCTCCCTCTCTAGATGGTAGTATATCGTCGGACCAGATGTCCAATATCACGTCTCCATCGACCCCAGATTTACAGTCACTTCCAGACACTGACTGGAATCACCACGAGGTCCATGTACTTCCGGACCCTGATGAAGATACGCAAGATGGAGACCCGGATGCCACCGCTGATATCCAGAACATTGAGATTTCCCTAGAGAGCGCTGATGAGGACTGGCAGCGATTCATTGGAGATTTCCCTCGAATCCCAGGACAATTAACGCCGACCTCTGCCCGTATGGAAGTCGAGCCTCCAAGGGAGGATACACCATCTGATACAGGAGTTTTTCTTCCCGAAGAGGCTCTGGCAACCTTGAGCTTTATTCCGCTCAACGGAACGCCGGAACCTTGGTCTGAGACATCAGAGGATAATGAAGAGATGTGGCAGCTCGAGGGACCACCATCACATCATCGCGCGATTAAGGATGAAACTCCTGTGTCTGGAATGTCTGAGTATAGCTTTAGTGGGCTCAGCATACCTTCCCCTGGTGGATTCTTTAATTCGTTAGCTCCTCGCGCGCGCCACACTTGGTCTCTTCCAAAGTTCAACCAACCCCCTACATCTGCTGCTGCCGAAAAATTTTACAACCTGCCCTTCTCTCGAAGTGAGGGGCAGATTGTTGAACATGTCATTGATTTTCCGGAGAGATCCAATGATGAACAGTTGACGGCAATATATGCCCCGCCAACTGCAATCAGGCTTTCGACGAACATGGCGCATCCAGAGTCTGAGACATCAAATAGTCCTGTGAGTGAGGTTGTGCAAGAAATCTCTCGGCCCATTTCATCGTGTGATCCGGAAGAGCAGGAGGAAACGTATGCGGAGGAAATTCAAAAGAAGGCACTAGCAAGTTTGGACAGGACGAGTGTTTGGCTGGCAGCACAAGCTTCATATCTCTCAGCACTTTGCGAGACAAATCCTGTTAATGCCGCTGGGGCTCAAGGGGAGTTGCAAGTTAATGCCGATGAGGTTACCCAGGAGGTTTCCGCGACCAAGCTTGAACGAAAGAAATCTGTTAGATTTTCCGCAGCAATTCCCGAGGCACCTAGCTCGCTTCCTTCTGCTCTAGCAAGCAAAGACTCGATTTACTGGCGAGGATTTCGCGCTATGCTACAGCAATCTCAGAGCTGGGACACTTTTGTGCACCGTGGTACTCGTTTTGACGCTGTCCAGTCTAATAGACTAGGTTTGGTTAATTTACACACCAACTGTCTGTCCGGAAACTACGAATTAACACGCCCTGAGCGTCCCGCGTACAGTGGCCCATTCTCCCAGGCTCCCCGCAACTCGGTGATTGCATCAGTCTTGGCCGAAAAGGCCCAATTCTCTATGGTTGAGAAAGAGCAATTAGTTCTTTCCCAAATCATGGAGCCGCTTTGGGCCATGGAAGCCCTGAAGTATCTCAACGGCGGCAAACTGCTTGTCAGCCCCGCAGCGAAGAGGCTTTCCAAAACTGGCAAAAATATGGCCACCCAAAAGAAACTGAACCATCGGCAGGTACGGGTTCTGGACTTGGGCGGGCATGCTTCATGTGAATGGGCGTGGCACATTGCACATGATTATCCAGATATCAAGGTCTATACTGTGTATACCGAGAATCAAGCCGTCAACCACGGCATCAAGGGCCCTAATAATCATCGACAAATTCACGTACCAAAGCTGTGGAAACTGCCCTTCCCTGACAACAAGTTTGATGTGATCTCAGCTCGCTCCCTTCCTGCTTTGCTCAAAACAGAGCGCCCTGTCGGAGAGCTTCAGGACGAGTATGATCTCTGTTTAAGAGAATGCCGTCGTTGTCTCAAACCAGGGGGTTATCTAGAGTTCCTCGTGATGGACGCTGAGATATCACGTGCTGGACCGTACGGCTCTGCAACATCCATTGAGTTTTCGTTTAATCTCAAGATTCGAGGTTATGATCCCATGCCGACGAAGCAATTCCTCAATCGTCTACGAAAGCAAGATTTCGTTGGAATCAAACGAGGTTGGATCTACCTTCCAATGGGAACGGAACCCTTAAAGCCCCAGGCCCTGAGGGAGACTCCCGACCCGCGAGTCAAGAGTCTTCTTGAAGGGTATGAAGCGGTTCAAGGCCCAGTGGGAAGTACTGCGGATGCTGCCTCCATCACTGGTCTTCTTGGGGGTTGGATCTGGGAACAGTGGCTACTTAAGCTGCAAGTTGAAATGGGTCGAGATAACGGTAAGCTCCTTGAGGGTATCGGGAGCGTCTTCGACGAGGGGCGCAAGAATGGATCTGGGTGGACCTGCTTATCGGGCTGGGCCATGAAACCTAGACCGATGAAGCAGTGTGCCACGCCAAACAGTCCAGGCATGCTTTGAGTTTAAGTTTGACTTGAAATTGTTGTCTTGAATTTGTGTTTATGTACCTCATTCCTTTAATTACTCGATTCTTTTCGGCCCTGGCGGCTATTCCTATCTATCCCTTTTGTCTTACCCTGGTGGTCTTTATTTGCGCAGAATTTGATCGATTTAATAATTTCTTACTTTTGCGGTACACACTGTGGAATGAAGATGTTGATGATGGGGGGGAACTGCTCTCTGCTTATCGCAAGAGTAGCGCTTGAAGCAATATGACGATATGGAAACATGAAACGGAAACCAATAGTAACCAATACAGCACTTGAATTAGGATCTCATACTCCGTAGACGTTCGTATTAATAGGGAGGTATACTCCGTAGAAAAAGCTGAATCCAGTCTTGAAGAGGATAATAAGGCGAGGCCGATTTTATGTTGCGGTCATTGAACATTTCTCAAAGAGAAAACAAATCTCATATATATCTTTATAAAACCCATCCCTTAATGTTAGAAAATGAGATATAAGTTGTCTGTCCACCATCCATGTTGAATTCAGACTATCCCCAAATAGAAAATAGATGCTGGCTGGCGAAAATAGTGGTAATTCACGAATCAGGTTGATTCGCCTCCTTTAGGTAGTTATAGGGTTAGGGGAAAGTGAAGGATCTCTTGTTTCTTACTGATTGGCCTGTTTTGTACTCACCTTAGTGAAATTGATCGCAGCTGGCACGGGGCGTACAAACTTCAACTCGCAGCAGGTGGCCCAGAGTTAATGGTTCTTCTTGTGAAGGCAGCACGAAGATGACCTTCGTATATCTCTTTATCCTTCATCTTGTCATCAAGGAATTTTTGGATGTCCGGTGCCCAATATGGCGAGATGGTCCGTTCAAACTCCACCATCCCTGCGTCATCCAGTTTCGAGAACCTTGGTTGTATGTGCTCTAGGAAGATATTATATAAACCTTTGGGGGTTTCAAGGGCGTGGAAATACCAGAAATTCCCCATTTCCCAGCCTTTCCTCATGATACTTGTGAGACCGATGGCTTTACCCCACACTCGAGAACGAGCTTGTTCTTCCTCCTCGAAGACATTCATGAATTCGGCATGAATTTCGCTGAAAGCATCGAGATGCCCTCCTTTATATAACTGGTCCACCCCACGACTAGTGAGCCAGTAGGGCGGATGGAGCATCTCAACCGGTAGTGAACATGTCCACTCGAGATCGACGAGCGACTTGATGTTCCAGTCACTGTCGACAAAGAGGTTACTTTGATGTAGATCCGTCAAGGTCATAATAAAGGGCCCACGCCGGTAATCGCGGTGGGAGAAATGTGGCAACAGAGCTCGCATGATGGTCAGGGTTGACAGCTGTGCTTCGCCATCGGCCTTGTCCCGTATTGAATTCGGGGCGTGGCGCAACCGACTGTCGTGATAGGATAGCATGTCCATAAAGTAGCTGTCGCTTGTTGAATATGTAAGGTCCCTGTCCATGTTGGTGGGGACGGACTCGTTTTCGAGATGGTGGAGGCGAAGCGTTAGGGGGCGATTGGTATGTTTTATAGTCCCTTGATTATCGATTGTTAGAGATCCGATGCGGTCGAAAGGAGACTGAGATAAGGATAAGATGATTTGACTCAACCCGCGAAAAAGGTTGGTTCTGCGTTTTTGATCGTGGCGTAACTTATCCCAAGATTCAGAAAGCATCACCGTATCGGTGCTTCCGACGTGATCCATGATGAGATATCCGGTTGTCAGGTTGAAAGGTCAATTTCGACTTAAGTAAGGTGGTCGGAGCGGATGCCCGAAAAGAGACGAAACTACACGGCGAAAATACCATTGCAGTCGGCTGAAGACGGGGGTCTGCTGAATCGCGGTAAACTAGGCCAGTGTTAGATTGACTCACAAATCAAAATAGCAATTCACTCACACACGGGCCTTGTGCAAACGCGAAGCCCCACAATCGAGGCATTGGTATAGAAGGACAGTTCTGCCGAATCCAGATAAAGGTTGCAGCCTCGCAGCGAAGCTTCTCGTCGGCGTTGCCCGGATGTTGAATTTCCCCTACCTTGTAGGGCAAAGGAAACCTGATGAGAACCCGTTTGGGTGCATTGTCGTCCTGCCCATCAATGTCAACTAGTATGCATACGTTGAAGCTCCCGGTCATCCACTCTTTGACTTCCCCGACATGGCATGTCTGCTTTTTGTTCAGATTCATGTGATACGACACGATCGACTCGATTACGGCGCGGCTCTGATAAAGGTATACATAGAACTCGAATCGCTGATCGGGATAGGAGAGCTCTTGGAGGACATTGTCATCGTCGACTAGGGCCGTGGAGAGACTGATTTGTCCATGGAGAAGCGGCAGCTCGCGCTGCATGCTGAATGGCTGGGTGGTTTCAGCGCTTTACGGTGCAACAGAATGTTAGTATAGCCATCATATAATGTAGAAAATTCAAGCTTACGGATGTAAATTATTGTCGGCCATAAGATTGAATGGTGGAATGATCTTAATCCTTTGTAGATAAACTCGAGATTTCCACTAAAATGAATTCTAGAGCCTTGGTGGTAAGTTTATCGTTCTGGTCGAGATGTCGTTTCTCTTCTCACCCTGCTGCGTTGAGCACATTAACTAACCCGCAGTTGATCCAGAAATTGAAAATCAAGCCAGAGAATGCTATGTCTGCGGGAACTTTTATAGAATCGATTGAACTTTGAATACATGACCCTCCTGCGTGCTTTGAGCGAACATAACCAGCTGCCATGGCTGATTATGCCCGAATCCCCCTTATACACGGTGTGCTGCCTAAGGCACTCATGGATTATTGTTAGTCCGCGCTCAGTGGAGATGCCTCAGGTCAGCACTCTAAATGGCTTGCGCATTTCCATGCCAGAAACCTTCAAATACCCCTCTATTGTCACAACCACCAGAAACATGCTCTTCTTCAGGTTCGCTAGCCAGTGCATGGGAAAGAATTGCCCGTAATTTTCATCTTGAGCTAATCAATATTTGCCCGAACAGTTTCTTCAAGACCCTTACGAACCAGGTCGTCACAATCGAGCTCAAGAATGACATCCGTATTCGCGGAACGCTGAAATCGGTCGACCAGTACCTCAACATCAAGCTCGATGATATTGATGTGCTAGATCTGGATAAATACCCGCATCTCTCGTCCGTGAAGAACATGTTCATCCGTGGTAGTGTCGTGCGATATGTCATACTGCCGCGATCAGAAGTTGATGTTGGTCTGCTGGAGGACGCTACAAGAAGGGGTCAGATCCGTCCATTTCTTTCTTTTGGCCCAGTTTCGCTTTCACATGCCTTTCATGTGTGAATGACTGGTACTTTAGGATTGTATGCTAACTTGATCTATAGAAGCTGCAAACCAGGCGGGCAAAGCTCGATGATTTTGTCCCAAGCTCGACCTATTTTCTATCTAATTAATCTGCTTTCACGACGTGATATCGCCATCGCGCTACCTGACGCAATCGCTTTCCACCCCGAGGACTAGAGAAACGTGTATGACGATGGATGATGGCCTATATTTGATCCAAAGGCCAGTTGAAAAGATGACGGGAGACAAGCAATTGAGAATTCAGAAATCTCTTGCTTTCAAAGGACACCAATGAGTTCGGCTCATGATTATGATAATATCCACTGCGACAGATTTGGAGCGATTCCGAACGCAGTTGTTTTGTTGACGCTACACATTAAAAAAGCTATTCGCATAAATTCTACGTCCCTTCAGGACTACCGCTTAGCACATAACATTTCCTTAATCGTAGATCCAGCCATTTTAGGAACTAGACTCTATTATGGATCTTCGTCTTCACTGTGGATGAAATAGATCTGTTCGAATCAATGAGATTCGCCGACTGTCTCTGTCTTTACCTAATATCGATGATTTCCTAAATAGGAATAGTATAATTTGTCAAAGTCTCACGTGACCGCGCGACGCGAAAACCGAACTTTGCCGCGCCTCGAGACTATCCGCTTTCTGTTTGGTTTGGATATATGTGGATGAATTGTATTCGACCATTTTATCAGAAAGGCCTCTATAAATGATGAACCTAAGTCTGCATGACAGCTTGAGATAATGCATATTGAACGACTTCCGCGCTGCCCGATATTCCCCCGTGATTTAACAGTTGCCCCCGTTTAAGAAGCCGCCCGAACGACCCTTTCTTTCTTTGAATATATTTGTATTAAAATGCCTGTCCCATCCAGAAAGGGATCTGTACCATCTACACCCGCGAGGTCGTCCAATGGCGCCAAACCGCGATCCACCACGAAACGAAATACCAGTCTTTTGAACTTCTTTCAAAAGGCAGATGGACCACCGAAGTCTACCTCTCGACAGTCTCGAATCACACAGTTCACGACACAGGGAGAGCGTCCGAATCAAGGGAGCACCACTCCTCGACCGCGTGTTGTGCGAAGAGAGGATAGCTCTGCGAGCAATGGTGTTGGGGGGTTGTTTTTGGGCGCTTCGCGGTCGCCGATGAACGGAGATACGAGTACGACTGGCGGGGCAGAAACGAGGGAAAGGTCGCGAACGCCGGATGATATATGGGGCGAAGAGTCGGAGAGCCTACGACCGGAGAAAGAAGAACAGGTGGAACAAGAGCAGGCGAGGTTCCATGAGAACAGGTCAGCGGTCAAGCGGCGAAAGCTTGACTCTCCGTCGGTCGAGGGAGCGGACCCTAAGCTGGCAAAGAAGAGAGCTGCAAAATCTCCGAAAGCCAGTGGTCCGTTTATTGATGAGTCGGATAGTGAGAATGAGCTGGACGCGTTCAAGGAGTTTCAGGAGCAATCGGTAGAGTTGGATAGCAAGGAAGATTGTTCTCGTATTGAAGATGATCGGATAGAAATCACGCGAATTTCAACCGCCGACGTACCACCGCTGGTAAGAGAAGCCACCAGCCATATGCAAGATGATGAATGTTCGAATTTTGACGATCCAGGAGAAGAGGAATTCCAAGAGCAAGAGTGTTCCTTAGATGCCCTTGACGGAGAGGTAATGACTGAAGAAGGGACTCTCGACTTTGATGCAAATGATTCTCCGGCTCTGGATGAAGATAGCGTTGATCTTGGTGATGACGCACCTGTATGCCCGGTGTGTCAAGGTAGCTTGGGAGGCCTTAGCGAACCCGTAGGTCTCTCTACACCGGGCCTTGCTGTGTAGTATCTGACTTCGATTAGGATATTACCACCCATGTCAATGATTGTCTTGATGGGGTGCCTAGCATAATTGGCCGAAAGACGAATGTCAACGTCTTGGAGAAAAATCCCACACGGGTGGAACTTGCTGCTGTACCAAGACCAGCACAAAAGGATCCCTTGGTTTCAGGTGGCGCCCCTGCAGCATCTGCGTTTTCGAAGATTATGGCTGGCAATGCTGAAGACACAGCATGGGCAGCAGCAGCAGCGAGTGACGCCGCGTCTCGAGGTAAACAGGCTTATCAAAGGACGTGTCCATTCTACAAAATCGTCACCGGCTTCTCCGTTTCAGTCGATGCATTTCGGTACGGGTCAGTCGAAGGCTGTAAGGCCTACTTCCTTAGCCATTTTCATAGTGACCACTACATTGGACTTTCAAAATCGTGGTCCCATGGCCCGATTTATTGCAGCAAACCGACTGGGAATCTAGTTCGTCAACAGCTCAAAGTTGATCCAAAATGGATCGTGGATCTCGAATTTGAGAAGAGGGCAGAGGTACCGGGAACCGGGGGTGTAGGAGTGACAATGATTGAGGCCAATCATTGTCCTGGTAGTGCTTTGTTTCTCTTTGAGAAAGTCATTGGCTTCAGATCATCTAAAAAGGTGCAGAGAGTGCTGCATTGTGGTGATTTTCGGGCTTCCCCGCAACATGTTCGGCATTCGCTTTTACGCCCTGATCCCATTGACCCTGGTACCAGCCAGAAGCGACAGCAACGAATTGATGTCTGCTACCTTGATACTACATATCTCAGTCCTAAATACGCGTTCCCTAAGCAAGCAGATGTCATTAATGCGTGTGCAGAGCTCTGTGTGCACTTTGACCAAGGTGACTATGATGCTCTCAGTCAAATACCAGGGCCGTCCGCGAAGTCTAGTTATATATCAAAAACCCCGCTTTCTCGGTTTCTTTCTTCTAGTGCTGGTGCTCCTAGGCCTACAGAAGACTCGCGGCCCAAAGGCCGGTTGCTTGTGGTGATCGGAACATATAGCATAGGTAAAGAGCGGATATGCCTAGCTATAGCACGAGCCCTGAAGAGCAAAATATACGCAACAGCGGCGAAGCAACGCGTGTGCGCCTGCTTGGAAGACCCCGAACTGTCCTCGCTGTTAACGAGTAACCCAAGAGATGCACAGGTGCACATGCAGACGCTGTTCGAGATCCGCACAGAAACATTAACCGAGTATCTAGACTCCCTACGGCCACATTTCACACGGGTAGTAGGTTTTCGACCAACGGGGTGGACATACCGACCACCCGCAGGCAGGGCATTAGAAAATCCACCTGTATCAACGGTGCTACATTCTACACATTGGAAGACTCCGTTTTCAGCACGCGATCTCACCCCGCAGCGTGGGAGCACGCGGGAGAGTGCCTGTTTTGGAGTGCCATACAGCGAGCATAGCTCTTTCCGGGAGTTGACTATGTTCTGCTGCGCGTTGCGGATAGGAAGGATTATTCCAACGGTGAATGTTGGTAGCCAGAAAAGCCGCGAGCGGATGAAGACTTGGTTTGAACGGTGGGAAGCTGAGAAACGGAAGAGTGGGCTATACAAGGTAGAGGGGGATGATTGGTAGAGTTTATGTATGTACTCTATAGAGTACTGGACAGACTCTATAAAGCGGCGTATACTTTCATATATGCGTCTACAGTAGGCGAGACTATTTGCATACCATAGTTGCACATCACGAAAAGACTCCTAAGGTACTGGGTAGTTAATTCAAGAAACTGGACTTGCATTCATAAGCCACTGTGAGTAGAAGTGTGAATGTGATGTAGTACTAGCATACCTTATTGCCTGGGGCACAGTCCCCTGACAATCCAATCACGAGACCCACAAAGATACTTGACGCCATAAAAAGTCGAAGGATTCAAGCAAGACACCGACTGACACTGACACTGACACTGACCCTCCACACCAAGTGAATCAATGAAATTATCCTCGTCCCATTATCCTATTGGTTCCCGGGAACAAACCACATTCGCTAACTATAGGGCGCTGGGGCCGCAATAGTCTTTCTTAGAGCCCTTGTTACAATTCGCCCGTCCACAAAGCCATCACCCCCGGTTCGCAAATCACAGACAAGGCACCCCAATCTCTGCAGTTTTGTCACTTGTGTCATTACCAGAAGGAGGGGCGGGGAAACAAAGGTCGGGGACGTGAATCGGCTGGCGTTGACTAGCAAGCTAAACCCTAGACTCCCGACTTTGACTTCCGTTATATTGCTTTGCCTCGGGGATGCTCTCATCAATCCCATCATAAATAACTCCGGCCAGGATGCCCATATGTTGGTGTTGCTTGTTTCTGTCTATCTGAGAGAGCCATGGACTAAGCTGAAGCGCGAATCTGTGGAATTCTGCTTCTGAACTATCTGATTTCCCTCCATCTTTTCTTTTCTTTCTGAGTCCCTTTATGACTCTTGTGTGGTTGATCTACTTCTGCTCATCCCTTATGTGTTGACAGCCTTATCCTTTGTCCCCTTCTAGTTAACTTAACTAGTTAGTTACTAGTTGCTACTTACATCGATCGCGAACTACTGCCAACTAGGTTAGTGCGTTCTACCGACGGCACTTATTTAGCAATATTTGCTTCCCGGCACCTGAACTCGGCTCTTTTGTGTTGCCCTTGGCCTAGAGGCTCGCTGACACCCTGTTTGTGCTAATTTAGGCCTGGTATAGATCCAATTCATTTTGTCATGATCACCTCTCTCATCTCCCCCATTGGGGCTTCCTATGTCCTACTGGGTCTGCTCGCTGTCTACTATATCGTTCCTTATCTGCAGCTATGGAGACTGAGCGATATTCCTTCCCCCGGTTTGGCCGGCTTCACAAATTTCTGGTTGTTGCTTCAAGCTCGCAAAGGCTCTCGTTTTATCGCTGTGAATGATGCCCATAAGAAGTATGGCAAGCTCGTCCGCGTTGCTCCCCGCCATGTTTCCATTGCCGACGATGCGGCTATCCAGGCTGTCTATGGTCACGGAAACGGTTTCCTGAAGGCGTATGTGATATCCTGCCTGTGCAAAATAGCCAATTAACGAGCTATATTTATTCTAATGGTCTCTATATAGTGATTTCTACGATGCCTTCGTTTCAATTCGCCGCGGGTTGTTCAACACTCGCGACCGCGCTGAACACACCCGCAAGCGCAAGACCATCTCGCACACCTTCTCAATGAAGTCAATCGGTCAGTTTGAGCAGTACATCCATGGCAACATTGAGAACTTTGTTAAGCAGTGGGGCCGCGTTGCGGATGCTGAGCGCAACCCCAAGAATGGCTATGCTACCATAAATGCGCTCAATTGGTTCAACTATGTGGCCTTTGACATTATCGGTGATCTAGCCTTTGGTGCTCCCTTTGGTATGCTTGACAAGGGCCGGGATATCGCTGAGATGCGCAAAAGCCCCGACTCTCCTCCTTCCTACGTTCAGGCTGTCGAGGTTCTTAACCGTCGTGGCGAAGTCTCCGCTACTCTTGGTTGCTACCCTGCTCTGAAGCCTTTTGCCAAGTACATTCCTGATCGCTTCTTCCGCGATGGTATGGAGGCCGTTGAGAACTTGGCTGGGATCGCTGTCGCACGTGTCAACGAGCGTCTCCGGCCAGAGGTCATGGCCAAAAATACCCGTGTGGATCTTCTCGCTCATCTGATGGAAGGCAAGGACCAGAATGGCAACAAGCTCGGCCGTGAGGAACTTACCGCTGAGGCGCTGACCCAATTGATTGCCGGCTCCGACACCACCTCCAACACCAGCTGTGCTATCCTTTACTGGTCTATGTGTACTCCCGGTGTTATTGAGAAACTTCAAAAGGCCCTTGACGCCGCTGTCCCTAAGGACATCGAAGTGCCCACCCACGCTATGGTCAAGGAAATCCCCTAGTAAGCATAACCCTCCCGTCCCCCCGCCTTACACCATGCATCACCATATGCATAGTGCCAGCACCCCCTTGCATTATACGTTTAGCTAACCAAACACCCCTCTACGCAGCCTCCAGTGGGTCATCTGGGAAACTATGCGTATCCACAGTACCTCCGCCATGGGTCTTCCTCGCGAAATCCCCCCTGGCAACCCCCCCGTCGAAATCTGCGGCCACATCTTCAAACCTGGCGATGTCCTCTCCGTTCCCAGCTACACAATCCATCACTCTACTGAGATTTGGGGCCCCGACGCTGACCAATTTGTTCCCGAGCGCTGGGACCCCGCCCATCTTACTCCTCGTCAAAAGGCAGCCTTTATCCCCTTCTCCACTGGCCCCCGCGCTTGCGTGGGACGCAACGTTGCTGAAATGGAACTCCTAGTTATCTGTGCCACTGTGTTCCGTCTCTTCGAGTTCCAGATGCAGCAGGATGGACCCATGAAGACCCGGGAGGGATTCTTGCGCAAGCCTTTAGGCTTGATGGTTGGCATTAAGAGGAGGACTATTACCTAGATTTATCATTTGGTTTGTTCCTCCTAGAAACAATTTTTTTTTGTTTTGGTTTTGGATTTTCTTTCTTTCATGTACCTTTTTTCTCATTACCCCTTTCATGTTTGTACAATCATATAAGCCTGAGCTGAAGCAATTTTTTTTTTTTTTGCTCTTTCTTCTTCTTAGTATGCTTTATTCGCTACCTAACTTGCATCTTGCATATCATGATACCACCTATCATATCTTATCGTTCGTGTTTTGAAAATCAATTATACCAAGAATAGAAACTTGTATATCAAGTTCAACAAATGTAAAATATACAGTAGTTAGCAAAAGGAAAGAAAGAAAGAAAGAAAAAAAAAGTTATTATTATGCCTTTCCTGAAGGTCCTAACAGCATGAATACCTAGGAACTAGCCACTGCCTAGTACTAGTTATGTTGAGTTTCACCATAGTCATAACGCATCAACTCCAGAATCAAATCGTAATGACATTATAAAACCACAACATTATTCCTTCCCTCATTTCGGTTGAGTTGAGTTGAGTTGAAAAAGAAAACATTATTCCTCTTGGTACAAGAGAGATTACACACACACATAGACAAATACCCACCCACACTGACATACAGACATATACTCACTCAGATACAGACACAAAGGCATGCTTATATGCACAGACATAACTGACTGACCGGCTGAGCGAAACTTGGGATTTTCTTTTTGATTTTTTTGTGGTGGGGGAGAGGTTTTACCAGCTATCCGGACCAAACTTCACGTTGGGAACCTGTATTGCGGTATCCGCGGCATCCATGGTATTGGCGGCAATATTGGTACCCCACCATGCAGGGAAGTCGGTTTTGGTCAAGTTCAGAGTCAAGAAGATCAAGATGGTGCAGAGCGCAAGACCAACGTCCAGACCAGCGGACAGGACGTAGTTGTACTGCATCCACCAGCCGCGCCAGCGGTCACGGATGAACTTGTTGAAAACGAAGCCAACAATACCCCAGGAGAGGTAGTTGAGAGGGGTGGCGGGGGGGATGAGGGCAGAGCCACCGAAAATCACAGGGGCGTTGAGGAAGCGAATCCTGGAGCGGGGGAACATGCGTGCACCGATGTAGATGGCGAGGGGGAGGAGGAAGCCCGCAAGCCAGAACCACATCATTCCAGAGTAGAGCTGACCAGGAGAGAACATACGGGAGGGCCCAATGGTACCCCAGATGACGGAAGCGTTGAAGAAGACACGACCGTTGGGGCAGGTGTAGTGGTTAGGCTGGTCCGATTTACACACGTCTGTGATGGCACCCAGGGCCCAGTTCATGACACAAATTTGGACAACAGAGGACCATAGACAGGCGATCATCTGGGCTGAGAAAGTAACTCTTGGGGGGATCTTCATGTAATGGCCTATTTTATAATATTAGTACCTTTTTCTTGAAAAAAAAAAAAATAAAAATAAAAGAAAAGGCAAAAACGCCCAAGGGGAGGAGGGGGAGGAGGCATACCTAGCTTCATGTCCTGGCAGAAGAACAGACCCTGGTACATACTAATATAGCCGTAGGTCTTGAACAGCATCATGGCCATAGGGCGACCAGGCTGCATGTAACCCACGACAAACTCCGTGATGACGTTGAGACCGATCTGGATGTTGGTAGAGGCCTGGATAATACCGCAAGGCACGAACCAAACAACAGCCATGATGAGAGAAACGAAGAATGCCCACCAGCTCAAATGAGTGGGGTAACCCACGATGACACCGAGGGCCATGCCAATCATGACGAGGGTGATCACGCCGTACCACCACATAGGCACGGGCTTGAAACGAGCCATGAGACGACCATGAACATCCTCCTCCTCACGACCAACGTGACGGAAACGAGTCCAGATATCCTTGCCATGGAAGAGAATGGCGTGCATGAGGACCGCGATAATAGTAGCAAACGACAGGCCGTAGCAAAGGGTGAAGGTGGTGGACAGGAACAGTGGAGAGTACTCTTGGTACTTCTTAAGATCGAAGGTCATTTCCGGGGTGAGGATACGAGAGACATTGTAAACCTGGCCAGTGTTATCATAGCTGGAGGAATCGCTGATGGGCAAATATTGGCCGAAATAAGCGCCAGAGTAGTGCAGGGCAGGGGTGACAATCCAGAAGAAGACCACCATGCCAATGAGGGTGTTTGCAATACCGTGCCAGGGGGCAATGAGAGGGCTGAAGTTGAAACCGGAAATCTGGGTCCAATCGAAGGTCATGGGGATCAGTGACAAACCGGTCCACCCACCGAACAGCTGGTTGACCACAGGGCTTTGGGGCTTGATCCAGGTCACCCAAGCGAAGACACTCAGGAAGGGAGCGATATATCCCGGGAACCAGTACCAGAAAAACGATCCCAACATGACATATAAGAACATGCGGTACTTGCCAATGGTCCAACCGGAGACCTTGCGGGGATCCGGTTTGGTGTGGTCATGAAGAGCAGTGAACAGGGTGGAGTTGATCAGGTTAGCAGGCCAGATCATCGCGGCGGGGCTGACCAGGAAGCGGTGGAAGAAGCCTGCCATGCCAAACCCAAGCATCTGGGTGGAAATACACATGAGGAGCTCAAAGCCCCAACCGAACCGTTGGTTGTAGAAGGCACGCTGAGCAAGCAGGACGTCCGTCGCATAGGCTGCACCTCCACCAAAGGTGGCATTGGCCATGATGACAATTATGGCATGTTCCTTCTTGCTGAATGGACCAGGATTGAGATTGAATTCGACTCCAAACACCTTGCGTACCTTGTTGGGCATTACCATCGCCCAGACCATACCAATAGGGTAAGCAACAACCTGGGCGACGTAGGAGGGGATAACAATGTAGGGTTGACGCATGGAGAAGAGCATGTTAAGGCCCGAACCCAGCGTGCAGAGGATGATACCGATAGTCCAGGCGCGAATGGTGTTGGAGTGTCCACCCTCGTCGACATTGGGCACGGCAGCACGCACTTCAGGGTAAGGAGAGTTCTCGAGGAGCTCGTGGGCGATGCCCTCTCGATTCTTCTCATCCGTAGTTTGCAGCGCATCATCAATCTCATCTGTGATCTCTTCAGGAAGATTGGGATCCCAATGATGATGTTCCTTCAGCTCCTTCAGATGCTTGACGGCCTCGGTAGGGGCGGCGTCATCCGCCACAGCGACGGAGACGGGGGGATCAGAGCTCTTCTCGTTCATAATGACATGTGAACCGGGAGGGTATACAAGGGAAGAGTCGAACGAGGTAGGAGGAGAAACGGAGATGCTGGTGGAAGCGGAGGGGGGAAAGGGGCCAGTTTAAGTAGGAGGAAGTAAGGAAGCTGCAATAGCACGCGACTGGGCAGCAGCAGCAAGCAATCTGACGATGATAATACCGCTGAATCTTTCACTGTTCGGTTCACCAGTAACCGAAAACACGGACCCTCTCATCCTTATCAGGCAGAAAATAGGGGAATATAGTAGGGATAATAATAATAATAATAATAATAATGATAATGATAATATATATTACAAGACACCGATTGACTACTATCAAGGCAGTAGATTATTCCGCCTATCAATCCATGGCCCACGATGTAACCCTTTATCAAAATCCAAGATGGTCGACATGGTCTCATCATCAGAGAGGATTTGGGGGGTTTGAGTATCGTAATTGTGACAGAGAAAAATCAATAAAAATTTCATAAAAAACAAGCATCTTCCATGCCTTCAGTTCTCAGGTTCCTCATGCGTTGTCAGAACTTGATGGAGACTGGGCCGATTGAGTTTCCCCGGACGATGTTTCTATAGCGTTGAAACCTCGGAGATTTGGTCCAGAGAGGGAACGGGTGAAAGAGTTTCTAGCCAATTGCCTGTGATTCATTTTGCTTTCTGACCCATTTCTGTCATACAGAACCAAAAGAAAAAAAAAAAAAAATCGATCCTATTGACCACTCATATTCTCGATCAAAGAATTCGAGCGGAGTGTTTCCATTCGTCCCCTTCCTTTCTTACCCCCCCCCCCCCTTTTGTGCACCACTCAAGAGTCGCCGCTGCACCCAAGTACTGCTCTAGCCTCTCATATCCCGTCTTTACACCTTGTGTCTGGCTCTTATCTGGGGTATCAGTGCGCTGAGCAAGGGGTGTTTTGGGTTGATGATGATGCTCATTGGAAGACGGACGAAACTGGTTACCGCGGGGCGGGTCTCGTGGCTAGATAAGTGAGTATTAGCAGGTTCGGCTAACGAAGGAGAAGCAATGAGGTCTCTGGAGTCACTGCGTTTGGAGTACGGAGCACGGAGTAGGGTACATAAACTGGTTCAACATAGCAGATGGTGCACTCTGGTCTCATGCTTGTTGTCGATAAGCTAGCGAAGCACTAACTTCGGCCCAGGATCCTGTACCAGAAATGGCAGGAATTTGAAGAAACTGGCCTAGTTTGGTGTAGTCGCCGTGCCGGACCCAGCAAAATTGAGGCGCAAATGAAACTGAATGGACGCCATCATATAACCTCCTTCCCACTTTATCCTAGTAAACGTAACGCTGGAGAGAACACTAAAAAAGCAACTAAATTAGTATAGCCAGTCAACGAGAGGGAAGGCGTGTCGATCTATCCACATGTGAATCAACTTATATTTCTTGCCTGCAATTGAACCTTACGGTGGCTGCAGGAGAAAGAATTGACGACAATGACGACGACGGCGATGATGATGATGATGATAATGATGATAATGATGATAATGATGATGGAAACACGAGGCTGGAAGTGGGAAATTGTTTGGGAACTCAAGTGGTGAAGTTAAGAAGATGTCGCCGGTGAGGATTGTTGCTCTCGTCCTGGAAGCCTTAAGAAGCAAACATCTGGAACATGGCCACTTAGTATTCCCATTATCCAGATGATGTGGATCTTGAATTCAGAATTCTGGAACTTGAAGCCGTTTCTTTATCTCAACCCTTGAAGTTGTTAGTCCTATTTTCTCGTCACCAACTCCATGCCACACTCTCTGCGCTCTTCTCCCTCCCGATATCGTCTCGTCCTGTGTACGGAGTATGGCATAGTTATACAAAATCACCGTGTCCCCCACCCAATCGTGTTCGAAAGTTTCCCATTACATACTCGATAATAATATTAGATTAATTTTTTTTTTTCCAGACCATTGCTGCTTCTATTAGCTTTCGGATATGCTACCTTCTTGAGACCGCAAGTCATATCCAACACGCCACCACCTGCACCTATCAACACAGAGAGTCAGACCGTCTCTCCGAATTTTCAACAACCTCCCAAGAGTGCCATGTAATCGTATCAGCTGAGTCCCTTAGAGGCTAGCACTCACTCGACTTGTCTAGTCTCCCGGTGAGGTCCTTGACTGTCCTCGAAACCTAGATTCTACTTCACCGCACCTACCCGTCCAACTCTATAGATACCATAGCGGATAATCGATAATCGGGGTATATTCTAGAGAGTATCCATGCCTTTCTGCCCACCTAAACCGCTACCCGCTTTAGGTGCGCCACACATTCTTCGCGATCACACATTCTTCGCGATTTTTTAATATTTGAAGCTATACAACAACAACAATACTAGTAATCAAAATAAAAAAACTCTCCAGCTTCTTCAGCATGTCTTGCATTATCAATTCCTCTTTGAATTGACTCCTGTGAGCGTGGAGGGGATAAAGAACCATATACTTTCTTTTTCTGCTTTACCAACCTCCTCTACTCATATTTAGCATCCTTTACCTTCCTATCTTTAATTAATTAAATAGCATCACGAACTCTTAGAACCCTGTCACTAAATAGACCTTTAATCTGGCGCTTAGTATAAACCCGGCATTAAGGCTCTTGCACGGCCCTAATCCTTTAAATTGCTTCCTGGGTCATTTTTAGCTCCTCGAGCTTATAGATCCATTACCCAACCATCTGCAGTAATACATTCAACTACAGTAATATTTTCACCTCGCTCACTTTCTGCAAGATCAGGGCATTTAGGATCCCTAAAAACCTTCCTATCATAACCTTTGCCTGGTTGGAAACCACATTCATCAAAGTTATAGACAAGGCAAGCCAGGACCCCGCGAAGAAGTGATTTCAAAAGGTTATACCAGTATTGAAGTAAGCCAGCATTCTCTACTTATATCTGCCTTAATTTCTTAGTCTTCTGCTTTATTAGAGCAAGTCCTAGATCTGCTGGTACATGCGATTTAAATTAATATAGCCACATCTTACTAACTTGCTTATCTGACCCCGCGCGAGCAAGTATCTAATTTACCCATGCTATAATAACTATAGGAGTTAGTGGGATGTTCTATTTCCGCATTTATATAATCTAGTTAATTAAGGCCTTCTCCTGATATAGCTGTAGAAGGTTCTTATTTATTATTATTGGTGTTACTAGTATCTTTAGTTTTTTGAGGCGTGTTCGGAATATAAAGTCAGGCATATTAAATTCTCATGTAATCTTCATGATATTTGGTTTTTTTTATTTTTAAACTATAGTAATAGCTTCAAGCAAGCAAGATTCATTAAAATCTGGAGATTTAGGCATGTTGTATTGTAATAATAATAAAAATAAGTTGAAATATCAAAAATCGCGAAGAATGTGTGATCGCGAAGAATGTGTGGCGCACCTAAAGTGGGTAGCGGTTTAGGTGGGCAGAAAGGCATGGATAGTGGCCACAAGTAGTAACCTACGCAACCAACCCACCCCAACAATCTAGCTAACCAACTCAAACCAGCGCGCAAGGATTAATTCCAACCTTCTTTTCTTCCCATCATTAGACTGCAGCTTGTTCGGCGCCTGTCCCTGTTCCAGTTCCAGTCCCAACACCAGTGCCAGCGCCAGCGCCCGCAGGACCCAAAGCCTCGTCCGCTAAGGCCCATTCAAAGTCTGCTAGGAACTGGTCATCGAAAAGGTAAAAGCTTTGTCCGTCGCTAGCTCCTGTAGTCGTGCCAGTGGCGCCCAGGTTTTCCTCGTTATTCTCGACACCTAGAAAGCTGGTTAGCGACCAACCGGGTTTCTATGTGTCTAATCTGGTTGTAATGAGTTGCTCACCCCCTTCTGCCGCGGTACCATGAGCATTGGCCGTCGCATGGCATTGTGGGTCAAACTCGTCTCGCCACCACCACATGGCATCGATTACGGGGCTAAGGATGAGCCGGCTCCGAATGCGGAGAGTTGTGCAGGGGCTACCATCCGCCTTTCGAAAGGATTTGGTGCTATTCCACAGTTGACCCAGGACGATGACCGTCTTTGCTGACACGTCATTACTGGCGGTTGTCATCTGTCGCGCTAGGGTAATTGTGTTGAAAAACGCCGCTCTGGCTCGCTCAACATCAAGGTCTTGACAAACAGGTCCTTTTAGGATACGCAGCAATGTAGCGCCAGCTAAAAGGTTTCCGAAGCTAAGCTGATTGGGACAGACACCGGGGCTTTCAAGAAATGAAACAATTGCTTGGATCGTTGAAATGAGATTACAGGTCGTGAGAACCAATTTCTGTTGACAGCCGTTTGCAAAGAGTGTGTGAGTTTTAAAGAGGTGGAATATCTGGATGCTCATGCGGCAAAGAGCAGTGTGGAATCGATCATTCACTGTAAGACAGTAAGCTTACTGTTTCTACAATTTTATTCAGCTGTGCGTGACTGCAAGAGAACATACGTGAGAGTTGAGAGAGACAAAGTTCCGCTGCTTGGTCCTCGTACGAGCGTATAAGAACGTCAAATAAACTCTCATGCAGTTGAGTCATGGCTAAAACACTAAACTCGTTCACCGATGCACTGCACCTGGTAACCAGTTCCTGGCATTTCAACTCCAGTGTAAGCGACGGTACGATGTTTCCCATAAGCACCTGCCGGGGTGCCAAATCTCGCGCCAGGTCCAAGAGGCTGCGAGGCAGTTGACCTTTGATTGTGCAGGATCTTTCTAATATCAGTGGAAAAGAGCCCTAACTAATGATCGGCAAGCCTACCTCTGGTAAACAATGACACAATGTGCCCAAAGCTCCGAACGACGAATGATATCGAGTTCAGATGGTGCGGGCAGGTTTGCCTTGTAAAACTCATGGCTAGAGAGTGGGATGTGAAGCCCATGCTGCATTGCCATGTGCAAAAGCAGTCCGCTCAGAGGAAATACGGCGTCGGATCGTTCATTTTCCTTTGGAAAAGGCCATGTGAGGACTAACAGAATACCCTGGATCGAGTGCCAAGGGGCACAAGGTGATACGGTTGAAAGTAAAGCCATTTCAATAATGCCTTTGGCAAGAGCCTGCATTAGGGTCGGGTTCTTTGGGTATGTTCTGCAGGCAACACCTACAATAGCCCAGAAAAGGAATGGAGATTGTGTGTAGTATGCATTGGGGCTAACCTGTGGATCGAGAAGGGGAAGAAACTGTGCATATTGGTGAAAGAAGCTTGAAGCTAGTGGGTTAGTATATCTCATCGATTGAGGTCAGCGCCTACTCACAGTTTAAATATCTCGTCAATTTCTCCTCCAGTTAATTGAATATTATTTAATGTGCGACACTCAGTGGGCTCCGGCTCGCGGCAGCCCTGGGCCAAGTCCATTTTCTTGGGGTGGATCTGACCTAAGCCAACCGGGGGGAGCAAAGGAGGTAAACGAATTCTCCAGCTCGGGAAAGGGCCAGAAGGCGGGTAATAAGGTGCAGTAAGAGAAGTAGGAGCAGTATTGTGTATGAACGGTTTTGAGACAGCGACTGCAATAGGAGGCAGCAAGTTTGGATCGGTGAGTACGGGAGGGTTCAATGTAGCAACAGTGACTGGAAGAGATGGGTTTATATTAGATGCCAAGCCAGCCTCGCCCTCATCATAGCCTATCTCTGTAGGAGCCGTCAACATCGCTATAGATGCAACCTGTGCAGTGGGGGTCTGAGAGGACTCGAGCTTCTTCCTCAGCTCGTTGGTCTCCTTCTCCAGGTCCGTGAGTTTCCTGTGCCATCATGTTACCATCCTTTAACACTAGAAATGGCTAGATCGAATACTTACTGGCGTTTGTGTTCTCGACGAAAAGGATCAGATATGATACATTCGCTGCCCATTTTTTGGCAACGAGTGCATGCCTGTCCGGGGCTCATCAAGTACGCATCGCAACGAGCCTAGCGACGAGTTAGCAGGGGGATCATGACTCCTTAGAAAGGTTCCCGATCATTTAAAAGGTCTAAACCTTATAAGGACCTGGAAGCCGTTACAGATGTGCCTACCTTCTGCTGCCGACACTCCGTGCATGCCTTCTTCCCCCTTTTGAAGAGAGGGCTAGCGATGATCGCGGGGTTAGTCGTGCAATCAACCAAACTAGTATAGTATACCAAGGACGAGCCCATAACCAAGCAAAGGATTAAACTTACGAAGCAGTCCCGGCAGAGCTCATCTCGAAAGAACCGTTACTGAAAAGAAGATGGGAATATGAACCATGAGCGTGTCGATAAGGAAGTTGGAAGAAGCCGAATGTTGAGGTGAAGGCAAAAAGGACCCGGAAATAGTACCGGGGTTATCTCCGACACATTTTCGCCAGTCGGTTTCATTTGTCTCTGCTCAGATCAACTTTCCGCAGTCTATAAAGCTAGTCGAACATCAAAATAAGGTAGTTCCTAAGGGTTTCCTATGTGATCGAGGTGGATAAAAAGTGGACAAGCTTTTCAGCCACTGGTCACAACATCAGCCTTATACCATATTCGATTGGCCCAGTTTAATAGCTCGCTAGTGTCGGTTTCTGGTACGTCTTGAGGTTTAAACAAATCCCTCTCATGATTTAGAATGATTTAGGGACTATTAATAGGTATATCTATTTTCTTTGTATTATCTTTGTTCCTCTCTGGAACTCAGCTCCGGAACAAGCCGGAGACTCGACTCTCCCCAGGAAGAATCAATCGACATCCATCCTATAACCCCCCCCCCCCCCCACATTTACGAAAGCCTCCTTTCCCTCGCTATTCCAGGGTACCTTATATGTACAATAGCTAGGTATCCGGCCTTCAATAATGTATGCTTACGTGCTTGTTCGGGAATCGTTACTTGGGAGCAACTGAGCCCGGTTGGCCGAAGGGCCCAACTATGATATACTATATGCATACAGAGCATTTAATACCCGAAACTAAACTATCATAAAATAAATAATCTCAGTTTACCTTAGTTTTATAATGTAGCTATTCAAACCGGATTATTATCATTTAGTTACCCTAATTTACATGCGACTCGAGCAGCAGGGTCGGTCATACCCCGGCTTCGACGTAGTTAGTCGCCGCTTTTCCCAAGAAGACGAGCCTTCAGTTGACCTTCAACAAACAACCTGTGTGTTTGGCGAAGCATCATAGAGGTTCTAATTATTAAGGTAAGAGAGTTGATGAAATGTTCCGATTTAACTTGAATGGCTGAGTGAACGAGATGATGTCGAGAAAAACACCACCGGGACCGGCTATTTGACACCCCCAAGCTAACTCCGAAGCCGGCAACGGCTTCCCTGGTATGTATTGTTCCTACTTGCCGGTTCCGCTTTGCTTCATCCTGGGGAATTTTGGCGACTTTTGGGCTTTGATAGCAACCTTTGCCAAATAAATACATAAAGTGAAGAAGATAAATAGGACCGAATTTACCTGAGGAAACAACGTGTTCTATTAAGACCTGAAAATAATCCGTTCATGCCAGTGTTTATTCGCAAGGGAGCAAATATATATTCTCCCAAGTCACCTTGACTTGTTATTTTGGACAAGGCTCTAGGAATGTGCTTCGTCCATCATGTTTGTTTATAACATTTAGAAAGCGGCAGTTCTCATTACTATTGCTATTACTATTGCTGCTACTACTACTACTACTACTACTACTCAGCGCATGATGAAAGAGATGACCTGCTTTGCAAACCACAGCTACTCGGACACCATTCTCTAGTGCTGTTTCTGGGAGAGAACTATATCCAGAGACCAAGCGAAGGCGCCTGCCCCGTCTAGATGCACATGTTGCGAATGCTATGACTATAGACACATGCTTGGGGCTATCGCTAACAACAGTCACATAGATCAACAGTACTGCCTCATGTCGAACACGGGTATTGTGATTGTACCGAACAGGAGCAAGGATACAGGGGGTAAGCTGAAGCCTCCTTGACGTTGTCGAGTTACATAACAACGAATGTCCCCCCCCCCCCCCCGGAACGTTTCCTTTTGCTTACCTACCTGGGGTACCCGGCTGTAAACACAGCCTCAGAGAGCGCTGTACTTGATTAATGCTACACTACGGCCCGACGAGCTAACGGTACCTTGACCCTGAGTAACAGATGACAAAGGTGACATCGGATGGTCCCTTCAATACCCTGGGTATGTATCATGGCTGTAGCCGCTGCCAACTCACCCTGCATGATTTAAGCAGGACGCCGTATGAATTGCCGAGGAATGGTTTGTGCCCTGACGGATCTGCAAGTTATTTGTGTGCGCTTGAGAATTACTTGGTTAGAGCCGTAGCAGTCGAGGTTACATCGGGGTTGAGTTCGCAGACGGAGGTCGTACAGCTCCCAACGGCTAGGCGGCTGTCGTACATTGGGACAACCAAGGCGGGCTCGCTGCAGATTGTGCGCCCATCACGAGTAGTTCATCAGCGATGCTGTTTCCCCGTGGTTTCACATGTTCGGTTGATCTGGAGCCGTTGTACCTTAATGTAGTATTGCAGTATTGGGTTAAACATCCGAAGCTGGAACGAAACGACGTGACTGAGTTGTGACGATGTCTAGATCGAACAATTCCGCTTGTAGCGGGATAGTGGCTGATGTTCTTTGCACTTAAGTGATGGGAATGGTGGTAGACTTGGACCAGCTTAAACAAATGGTATATTGATTCGGATAGCACCCACATAGAGTCTAGCAATACGATAGCGAAAGCTCCAAACTAAAATAGACGAAATCTCGCGGGAAAGGCAGAACGCATCTCACCCTAGACGCAGGAATCCTTGAATTTGGAAGTAACTGCACCTTAACTCTCGCCCCATGGAGGTTCAATCTATGCGCATTAAAGTCAGTGATAATATCATGTATTCATGTATTATCAACTGCATACTCTAGGCTAGTGTCAGTAAGATGCTGGGAATCATGTCATGTATTGAGATTTTAAGAGAAGGGGCTGGGGAGCCACATGGTTAGTGCGCTTGCCTCTGACTTCTCTCCAGTAACTACCTAGGTAACTAATTAACTTAGGTAGTTAGTTACCAGGCCATGATTTGTCATTCGTAATGGATCAGTCAGCTTTCCACACAAGAGATGAAGGAGTTGACTTGACTTCTTGGGGGAAATTCACGGTTGTCTGTGTAGAATAGCTGGTCAACAATCCTAGTGGACTGTCAATTCCTGAAAGTTCCCAATGCTCAGGATGCGGGCGGGGAGGTTGCGGACAAGAATAAGGTGAGGGTAGATCGACGGATCGACGATGTGCTCGGACATTCTTCGCTCATCGGCCATGCCCGGAGGATCGAAGTTGACAAATACTTGCCGCAGGGAAGTGTAATCCGAGAGTGCAAGCTGCAAGACAAGGTTTCTGACCGGGTCTTTGACCGTAAGCCGTCGAAGAGCCATTCGCTTATCCTGATGGAGACGGGGAGGATGTTGGGGAGGAAGAGGAGGATTGGAGGTCTAAGCCAGTCTAGTCCGTCTACCCCTCCATAGAACGCGGGACAGTCCGTTCAAGTCTTATGAAAACACGAGGAGAAACGCGCAGGCTTGGAGAGATAGGACAAGAAAAGCCCAAAAGTCGAGGCTATACCAAGTAGGGATTTCATCCGAATCAACCAATTGAAGAAGCAGAAAGATGAAAGAGATGGGGAGATGCGGACGAACAGAAATAGCAATCAGAGTTCACCCATGATGCAACTCCGCTGTGCCCTTCTTTAGCCTTCGTCCAGCATGACAAATTCCTCACTTAGCTCTGTTTCTCTTTCGGTGGATGGGGGACAGCCATGTCGTCAATAATTAAGACCATGGATGATTCTTTGTCGAGCCACTGGAAAATCAGCCTGGCGGACAGAAGGTTATAAATATCGCTTCCATCCTTTCCCAAGAGTCCTCAATTCGTGAGCACCTTGAGCGCAACTTCTCTGTTTCTCCTCCAATCAAGATCTCTATACTTGCTGCTCTTTTCTCTATTTGGTCCCTTCGGATTATTTTTCCTTGTCACAATGGCTATTACTGGTCACTGCCTGTGTGGCGCTGTCACGTACTCTGTTGACATGGAGAAGCCCCTTTTGGTGGGCTACGACCATTGCGATGATTGCCAGCGCCAAAGCGGCTCAACTTATTGTAGGAGAGCTTCTAGATTTTTGCTAATGTCCTATGATCATGGAAATGCTAATCTAGGCAATACAGCTCTTGTTGCTGTCGTTCTCAAGGAGAAACTGACCCTTAACGGCCCAACCAAGAGCTTCGCAAAGGCTGGAAGCTCTGGCAAAGATGTCCACCGTATCTTCTGTTCCGAATGCGGCTCTCCCATTGCCCATGATCCCGATGCTGCCCCTCCAATCATTGCTCTTAAGGCTGGTACTTTCGACACTGAGCTTAAGAAAAACCTGAAGCCCGTAAGATCCACTGATAGAATCGTTCTTAAGACGTCTTACTGACTTATATCTTCGCGACTAGGACACCGAAATCTGGACGGTTGGCAAGCTTCCTTTCTGCCAGGAGAACTTGGCTCACCCCTTCGAGCACATGCCTGAATAGATAAATGGGGGTAATGTACGAGACGACTTGTTATGTGATTTGAATAATGATGATATTTGGAACACATGTATTCGAGACAACCCAATCTTGAAATCTTAAATGACCTCACTGGCCTTCACGGTATCACATCAATCTATTAACCCGTATAAAAATAATACAGAACTGAACTGGACTTCTTCGCAAATACACCACGCAATAAGAGTATTGGAGATATTTGAGACGAGCGGAGGAATACAAACGACGCACAATTTAGGCCAAGTACCGCTAGTAGCACAGCGGCTGTTTCTTTCTGACCTATATCCCGGACAGAATGTTTTAAAACACCCTGCAGGGGGTTAAATATAAAAGCATGAAGTTACCAATCTAACGGCAATGAGGCTATCTATAAGGTTGTTTGTTAGTTGGAATCATTCTTCTCGAATAATCAATGTCTTCAGGTACACTGCACATCAAAGATTCACGGACAAATCTGCAATACGAGATCCCAATTTGGAAGAATGCAGTATCCGCGCTCGATTTTAAAAGAATCAAAGCACCAGGAACCGGTACGAACCGTGCTGATCAAGTTGCAGCTGGACTAAGAGTACATGATCCGGGATTGCAGAATACGACTGTGGTGAAAACAGCAATAAGCTTCTCGTAAAGCTCCCAGAAATACCCCCAGAAAAGATGAGCTATAGCTGATGCTGAATAGGGACCATGAAAGAGGACTGCTTCTGTTCCGTGGGTATAGCCTGGAAGAGCTGTGGGATAGTGACTTCGAAGACATGGTGCACCTCTTAGTATGGGGCTCGTATCCAACCAGCCTCCAAAAGGAGAATCTTCGACGACAGTTGGCTGAGCTCATGTTGGCCGTACCGGAAAGCGTCCACCAAGCAATACGAGCGCTGCCGTGAGAGGCCCACTTCTGCACTTTTCATGCTTACACCATACTGACAAAATGCTGAAGAAGCACCACATCCTCATTACCGCTTATTACAATAGGTCTTTCTGCATATTTGGCATCTGCGCAGGGGATAATTCCCACTTCCACGACTGCCAGTTCATACCTGGGGAATCCAGATGCTACAGACGGTGCAATCCTCCGTACCATTGCCGCATACGCAGTAGTGCTTGGGGTTGTCGCAAGCCACCGCAATGGAATCAAATTTTCTCCGCCCTCGCTGGACAGCAATTACTGTGAGAATCTTTTCACAATGGCAGGGCTGGTCCACCCAGATACCCGCCGTCCGGACCCAGTGAAGCTGTCTTGCTTCCGGCGATTTACCGTGCTAAACGCTGATCATGGTATGGCGCTCGCCGTTTTCTCCGCCCTCGTCACAGCATCATCCTTGTCTGACCCTATCTCGTGCCTAATTGCTTCCACGGGGGCAGCATGGGGCTCACTCCATTTTGGTGCCACTGAAGCCGCCCAACAGGCGCTCCGGGAAATTCGAAGCCCAGAGAACATTCCTGGGTTCATCGATGAGGTCAAAAAGGGACGCAAGAAGCTGTTCGGGTATGGCCATCGCTCTTACAAGGGTGCTGACCCAAGAGTGCGTCATATTCAGTCCATCCTGCATGACTTGGATCCGCTGCCGAACGATCTCTTGAAACTAGCCGAGGCGATTGAACAGGCCGCGTCGAATGATGAATACTTCCGGAGTAGGAGTCTTTACCCTAACGCCGACTTTTATGGAAACTTTGTCTTCACGGGGATGTAAGCTACTTCCTTTGCCCTTATATGGATTGTGTAAGTGTGATATTTCTGATTAATACTGTTACAGAGGGTTTGAGCTGGATATTCTCCCTGGAGCGATGCTGGCACAGCGCATTATAGGAATCATGGCGCACTGGAGGGAATATATGCGTAAGTTACGATGTCGCGGTGATATACCGGACAATTCTGACATGAGTAGTCACACGCGGTAAATTGTTTCGACCATCTCATATCTACACAGGCGATGCAGGGGAGGGTATAGTCCAACCCAAGATTTGACCTTGTCTGAAGTTTTGACTGTTTACTGGGTGCCAGGGTATTTAAGATAGGTAGCTTAAGTGTACGTCTCGATATTATTTGAAGCTAGCTAAAAACTGCATACTTTTTTTTTTCTTTGCCAATGTAATTGAATATTTCTACATGATCAGTTTTGTAATATTGCATGTAGCTATTTCCTGCAGAGAGTGAATCATGGCGACGACCTCGACAATATCCACAGAAACAACGCCATTGCTAGCATCCACCCAAAAGCCGTATTCTGTATTCTCTCCCACGGCGAAACGACTCATTATCCTAACTGCGACGCTGGCATCCAGCTTTTCCCCCTTATCAGCAAACATCTACTACCCAGCACTGAATGCGCTAGCCAAAGATCTCAACGTCTCCAGCTCTCAGATCAACCTCACGATCACCACCTACATGGTACAGTACATCTATTCCCACTGAATATCATGGAAATAGATATTCAAGCTGACATTTGGATACTGATAGATCTGCCAAGGTCTAGCTCCGACCTTTTTGGGCTCCTTTGCAGACCGAGCGGGTCGTCGTCCAGCCTACATCCTTTGCTTCCTCGTTTACATAGCCGGAAATATCGCCCTTGCCCTACAACACAACTACGTAGCCCTCCTGGTGCTCCGTGCAGTTCAAAGCAGCGGCAGCAGTGGCACTGTCGCTCTTGCATCTGCAGTAGCTGCGGATATCATCACATCTGCCGAGCGAGGCGTTTACATGGGCATCACTTCCCTGGGAAACATCCTCGCTCCGTCCCTCGGCCCTATATTAGGGGGAATTCTCAGCGAATACTTGGGCTGGCCAGCTATATTCTGGTTTCTTGCCATTGCAGCTGCCGCATTCTTCATCCCACTTTTACTTTTCTTTCCAGAGACTTGCCGCGCACTGGTTGGGGACGGATCTACCACGCCACCGCACCTATGGAATCAACCGTTACTCTCACAGTGGTACCTTGGGAAAAGAAATCGGCAAGAAGAAGAACCAAGACAAAACTCTCAGAGCGATGGCACGCCCAATCCATCCACCGCGAAAAAGCTAGCGCTTCCAAACCCCCTCGCTTCACTCCGGCTACTATTCCACCTCCCCACGGGCCTGATTCTTCTCTCTAACGGAATCGTCTTTGCAAGCTACTACGCCGTCATGGCCGGAATCCCATCTCAATTCAAACAGATATATGGACTCACGGACCTAGGTATTGGATTCACGTTCATCCCGGTAGGCCTGGGATCCTTAATCAGTGCAACCTTCAACGGTGCAATTGTGGATTGGAACTACAGACGGATCCTTGCTACCACGGGAACCACGCACGTAGCCCGACCAAAAAGTCCTAGACCGCAGCCAAACGGACATGCAACAACAATCCCGGAAACAGAAGAAGATTTCCCCATTGAGCGCGCTAGATTGCAGATTGGCGGTCCTATGACGGTACGAGAATCTGTCCCCATTCCCAAGTTACAATTTTTACGACACACACGAACATGCCACTAATGATGTACGTACGTACGTGGTGTATGCATGTATGCATCTGTGCACAGATCGCCTCGGCAAGCATAGTCCTAATCTATGGGGTCTGCATAGACTCGCACCCCCCACTCCCCGTCGCACTAGCCCTAACCTTTGTCGTCTCGTTCTGCCTCACAGCCGCCTACAACGTCATGAACGTTCTTCTGGTGGACTTGTACTACACAACGCCTGCCACCGCAATGGCAGCGAATAACCTTGTCCGGTGTTTTCTCGGAGCCGCTTCCACAGCCGCCGTCCATCCGATGATCGTGCGATGGGGGAATAGGATCACCTATGCCTTTGTAGCCGGGGCAATAGGGGCTGTGTGTCCGTTATTGAGTGTAGTGTACCATAAGGGTGCGGAGTGGAGGAGACAAAGGACACTAGGAGAGTAGGTAACGCCAGAAAAGGCTCTTCTCCCCAGTCTCTTTCTGAACAAGATTGTCCTGTCATACTAAGAGTGATGTAAGGGTCTTGGACTATCATATCACTAGCTTCATTCCTAATGAATGACGATCTATCTATTTCTTGTGGGCGCATGCTAAAGCTATATTTTTGGTCGTGACGAAGTCGCTAGTAATACAGAGCATTTTTATATCCGAGCAGCAAAGAAGCAGACAGACTTGGAAAGAAATACTTCCGGGGTATTCTTAAATGGATACCTTTTTTTTTTTTTTTTTTTTTTTCTTTCCATCCTGTCCTGAGGATATTTTGCCAGGGGTCTTCGTCAAGTTACACATGTCAACTGTAGCAGATGGCGGTGGTCTTCATATATAAAAGTAAGCATGGTGGTCTTGAGACAGTCAGTAGAAGAATAGATCTATCAAGGAAGGAAACGTCCATCGTCAGCCCTAGCTTTATTGTGAAGACAATAATGAACCTCTCAATGCACTTACTCTCCACATTTCTCTGGTTCCTTTTGCGCTGGCCGTTCGTTGCGTGCCAATCCGAACTCCTGCCTCATGATCTACCAATCCTCCACATGCGCTATCCGCATTCCCAATGGATATCCCCCGGTAATACGCTCAGAATGTCGGGTATGTATTTAAATTACCCCCCAAAAGAAGAAAGAAACCCCCCCCCCCTAAGGAAGCAATATCCTAATCATCATTCCAGACACCCACCCCCTACCCGAGCTCAGCAGCGCCGGCCTCAACAAAAACCAGACCTACCTTCTCCTCTTCGTCGACCTGGACGTGCTCTACGGCTCCACCTCCACCGTAGTCCTCCACTGGTACCAGCCCAACATGGTGATCCGTCGTCCCCAGACTCCTCCTCCTCCTCCTCCTCCCCGGGTATCCCGCAGAGAAAGCGAACCGCCCGATGGTGTCCTGGTGAACCTCACCTCCGGCGGCGCAGAATACATCGCCCCGCAGCCCCCGCGAAACACCCACCATCGCTACGTGTACCTGCTTTTCCACCAGGGCGCGGACTACGCATTCCCGGACTGCTTTGGGTATATCTTTCCCCGCACTCCGCAGGCCAGAGCCGGGTTCGATGTTCGGCAGTTTGTCGAGGTCGCGGGGCTGGACGCTCCCCTGGCTGGAAACTATTTTTTTGTGGAAAATGATGAGCCCCGGACGGGGACGGGGACGGTTACCACTACTACTACTACTACTACTACTACTAGTACGTCTCTTCTGAACCCGACGACGACGTGGTTGAGATCTGCGCCTTGCGAGACAGCAACAACAACAACAACAACAACGGGTATGCCCCGCCACACGGGCTTGGTGAACTCGGTAGCATGTGAGAGACAAGGAATCTGGCAGATTGTTATGTAGGACAGGTATGGTATTTGGCATCAACTGCTAAGAATGGATAGTAGTGGACCTGGGCTGGTATTTTCCTGGGTTGGAAAAAAGAAAGGGGTGCGTAGCTAAATTACTGGTGTAACTAGTTCGGATATCGATTTTCTTTTTCCTCTCTGGGGGATTGTCTGATACCTAAGGAATGCATGCATATTACCATTTGTAAAAGACTTTTTTACTCTGCGCCAGTACCTAGGGAGAGGTTGACTCCAGCCTATCGGTCACGAACATGCAGAACTCGACATAGTCAAGCAGTGCTGCCGTGCGACAGCCTGCAATACGGACCGTGATATAGCGCAGGGAATGGCACGATATCAAGATCCAGGGGTTTGCTGACACCATGTGGTACTGGGACGTGGGCCATGTAACGTAGATGGAGGAGAGGTGATGAGGTGTCATTACTACCTCGGATCCCATCTGTATCCTGTGCTCATGGGCTCGAGAGCGGCTGCAAGAAGGTGGCAATGGGATATGCTGGTACAGTATTCTTATTATATACACTCCCCAAAAGTTAGTCCCAGCAAGCCTCAACCCAGGCGATAGTATCAAAATCCAACCATACCCTGCGTGGGATAATGGCTGCTATTCCTAATCCTGATGGAGAATACGGTATATCGCCCGAGAGACTCCCCAAGAGCGTCAAGATCCGCTCAACTTGCAATGCTTGCCAACAGGCCAAGATTCGTTGCAGCCATGAAAGACCGTCCTGTCGACGATGTCAGAAGCATAACATCGACTGCATTTATAGTATATCTCGACGACTGGGAAGACCCGCAAAGAAGAAAGATATTGCCCTGAATGATTCTTCTGTTGGCCAGGAATGCAATGAGAGTCCTGGTTCCCCTTTGAATAAGAGAAGCAGGTGTCCGAAGAAACGGAAAGCGAAGGAAGAGACCATGAATGAACACATGGCAAGAGAAGATCCTGTACTTCCCACCGAGAAGCTATCATCGGATTACATGGTTTTCGGTAGCGGCCACATGAATGATCTTTCAGTCGAGGATACAAATATGCAAAGTCCAATCCTTGCAGATATTGCTACAACGGCTCCATTTTCATGTTCGTACTTCTCCAATTCCCTATGAGGCGCATAGCCTGCATAACTGATTTATCCATTTTTTTTTTTTTTTTTGGTTTTGATAGTATCAGACAACGTTGATATCACGTCCGAAAGCTGGTTACAGGAATTCATGTCCAATCCATTTACTGACCCGGCACTGGAGCGTAGCTTCTTCGAGCCTTTTGCGGCTGATGAGACTAAAGTTGATAACGGGGATGCAGCTCTTACTATGGAGGCCAAAGACCCCCCCCCCACGTATCCTGAGAGCTTCTCCGATTCCGCTTCAGAGATGCAGGAGCCCCCATTGTCATCGACTTACTTTTCGGCGACGAGTGGATGCTTGGCGCACAACGACGATGGAGCTGGGAGAACTCAAGGGGCTCTCCCAGGTAATCCTGCTTATCCTGAGTATCTTATGAAAGAGACTGGGGCCTGGGCACAACCACTTTCTACTATTGGTGAAGGGTTTCCACCGGACTCATCATGCCTTTTCCCACAAATGAAGACTTCGAAGCGAACGTGCGATTTCAAAATTTTCGGAGATGATTTCAGTGTGAATCCTAATAGTCTGGTAGCAGACAACTTTCAGTGCCAGGCACACGAGCAGGCAGTCCGAGACCTCATCCGAATTAACGTCTGTGCCTCATATACCGGTCCTTCTGCGGCAATTGACTCCATATTAACTTGCCAGAAGGCCCTGCAACAGTTGGCTGAAACAATCCTTCAATGTCGTATTTGCTCGCGGGCAAGAGTGAATGTTCTGATGGTCGTTGTCGTCAGTATCGATAGTTTGATCACTACCCTGGAAACAATCACTTCGGTGGAAAACGATCTTGTTGGTAGAATGTTTCCGGAATTTTATAACCCCCTGCTTCACGATTACAGATCAGATGCAGAACTGGCCACTCACAGTCGGCGATATAAAGGAAGCAGTCCCCAGCTTAGGGTGCAGCTGGACTCTTGTCCACTTGTCATTGGTGACTTTTATGTGTCGTCGGACGAGAAGTTTTTATTTGTTAAAAGGGTGTTGCATAGTCGCCTGTCAAGCTTGTTGGGAACTGTCCGCCGTATTCGGCTTTGCACACAAGAAGCCCTCGCAGTTTCGGCATCACGTGGAAGACTGGTTATGATGATGGAGACAGATCGCAGACTGCAGTTGATTATGATGAAGCTGAAAATGCTATCCAAGCCTTGATGGAAATTTTGTTTTCTGCAAGTGTTGCGTGTTATCGCGGAAGTTGAATGAATCGTAAAACTGCTCGACAATAGTTTCGGCAAAAGAGAATGCATATATAGTCTATATTCTGACAAGATATCGAGTGTAGTTCTCAGTGGTAGTTTCTGATTTAGGTCCATCTGGAGAATGAATTCACACTAAGATGCTCTGTAACAGGATTGCAATCCGAACCCAATATTTTGATATCTAAACGTGCTAATATCAGATATACCTGAGTCATCCGTGCTCTAATACTCTGTGTGACCCTCAGCGGGTCGGGAGGACGTACGTAGGTTCCACGATCCTCTGGCGCTACAAAGATGCACGCCAGAAGAGCTCGCACCCTGAGGGGGCGAGGTAAGGCTGCTAGGTTAATCCAATCGCAAACCCAGCGTTGTATTCTTACAGTGCTCAGACAAGGATCGCAACCACGCACGTGAAAAAAAAGCCAGGGCATGGGAGGCTGCTGTAACCTTCCTACGAGGCTTCTGTTTCGTCAGGTACTGTGAATTTCTGCTCAGGGGCGAGAGGGGAAGAATGATCGTTAACAATGCAGACTTCTGTTGGAGAGAGACTCGTAACGACAAACCCCCTTACCAACCAAAACATCAAAGCAACATTATTTGCCACCTCTCTCTCTCGCCCATGGAAACTGAAACCGGGTGTCAATGCTCCGTGGGGGCCCTGAAGATCATGAACGAGCTCCGAAACGTACATACTGTTGTGGAGGTGGAAACCATTCTCGGCCTGGTTGAGCGTATCCACGCTCTCGGCCACACGATGTTGAAATGCAAAGAGTGTCGCGCAAGCCCAGGGTCGTCTCTCATGACTCTTCCCGCACTGGCAGAACAATGCCTGTCACTTTTCGAAGCTCTCTGTCTGGCGTACAATATTACCCGGAAAAATAGTTTCTTCGAGCCTCCTATCCTAGCCTTTGAGCAATCCTTACATCAGTTTTTATGTATTCGAAGTAAGATGCAGCTTGGGCAGATGGAGTTGGATGATGATGAAACGACGGTGCTCGTGAGGGTGCTGCTTGGAAAGAACCTAATGAAACTCTTGGAACTTCTCAAGGCACTTCGATCATTGTATAAGGAGTGTGGGCAGTCGCACCGGGCCGGTGTTTCAGGCTTGAGAGCTTGTGAAGCACCTGTCGAATCAATTATCCACCGACTTGCGGTATTTATGGAACAAATTGACGTGGAATCGGGTAAGTTTGAGGCTATTCCTGCGTGCGACCTGAGAACTGACGAGAGTATAAAGCGAGTTAAGGAAACTAGGTTAGGTTGCGTTTTGGGGGGGGGGGGGGGGGGGGGGGGCAGGTTCCCTAAGTGTAGAATAGAAGAATAAACTTTGGTCAAGGGAATAGTAATCAGTTTCACGCTCTTTTTCTTCTTTCTTTGCGAGTCAATAGAGAAATACATGTTAGCCTAGGGATGGAAGACGCAGAGGGTGATTAAAGGCGCACAAAAAGATGAAAAAGAAAGAATAAACAACTCCCTGATTGGTGTTCCAGTCTCCATTTGATTGAATATCTCTCGAGCCTGGCCCTTCATAAGCTATCATAAAAGGAAGAATACTGGTCATTTATGTGGCCAAGGGCGCTCGAAGGTTCCGATCCACTGACCCCATCCAGTAACTTTGCCAACTATTGCTTCCTTAATCTGGCTCTTGCTGACTCGCTCTGGATGGTCAAAATGAAGAGACTCGTTCAGAGCAATAACGGTAAAGACGTAACGGTGGGCTCCGTGACCCAAGGGAGCGGCAGCACCGATGTATGGGGTACCGAGCATGTTGGGAATGTACCCCCAGCCGGACAGAGTGCGTCGTCCAGCAGAGTCTTTGTCGTGTTCAATATCGTCATGGAATATTTTGGTGACCGTAGCTGGAATTCCAAAGAAGAGGCCATGAGTAATGATATATAACGGAATAGGGGCATCAAGGTCCTCGCAAGTCACAATGTATTCCTTGACTTCGATGTCGGAAGGAGTTTTCCAGGATAGCTCTGGGAGTCTGCCTCTGCCATCCTCAGCAAGACAGGTATGCTGGGGTTCCAGCGAAGAGCCGGAATGACCGCACTCAGACGCCTCTAGGATGATGCTTTCTTCTGGAAGGTCGACGAACGCAGGACTATTGATTATCTGCCTAGAATCATGGCCACGAATGGGATAAAGCAGTCTGCCTAAGGCGTACGCAATGTAATGAATGACAATCGCCATGACCTTGATATTCGAAGTACAGTGCTGCTGGTGAAAGATTGATTGACGCACGTCACTTAGTGATCGATCGGCCAGCCCAGCGAGCTGGGAGGAAGGGAATGATGAGGATTCAAAGAACAAGAGGAAAGATTATGAGAAAGAATACGAAAGAAAAGAAGGAGAAGAAGAAGGTGAAGAAGAAGAATAGATTTTGAAAGGAAAATGGGAAGAGTTGGACAATTTGGACAGAAGGGGAAGGAGCGAAGCACCGGGCCGGTGCCGGGTATATGTTTGTTCCTCAGGCACACGCGATCGATCGGGTACTTAACGAGCTGAAAATACTGATTCAATTGTACTACAAGAGCCTATAGATCTGGGATAGTACGGTTATATAGTAGGATGCTGATGGATAGCTCATGACTAGACACTCCCCGCCGGGAAGTATGGCTGTTGCCAGTTCGGATTTCAAGTTTCAGTCGTGGCATATTCGCAATGGCCAGAAAGGTCACAGTCAAGCAACCTCTATTGCCTTGACCCTTGTAAAGCCTAAATCAACACCCGTTATTTACCCAGCTATTGCACTGGCAAATCCCAGGCGAGGCAGAGAGTACCTAGTTTTGCGCTAGATGATCATATCCAAGATTGCGAGGCCTTGACGACCCTAATTACGGCACTATCCTCCCCCGCAGATATGTAGATATATACACTTCTGTCCTTGGCATGGATGTTCCGGGTCTCAGCTCAGATCTTGTGTATAATAGGTAATGCAGAGTCGGTGTCTTGAAATATATAGATTGAGATCCACCAATCAGAAACGAGATCCCAAATCCGAATATACCGCCTAGCCAGAATTATTCTGCCGGACATATTGCACCTGACTCTTCAATCGGGAAGCGGTGAGTCCAGCCTTATCCGGCGCCTTCCGTCATCGTCCCAAATAGGAAGTCATCAATGTGAGAGTAGCCAAGGGAGAGCAGGAATAGCTGTTAGAAGCTCCACTACTGGCTTATTGTCCGCCATGGAAGTTGGAAAGCTTTTTTCCCTACTTCTTCTTTAGCCTCGAGTGGTCTATCTTCGTTCTCCCTCCTTATCCTCCATGGCCTTCTCTCAGCTAGCATCCTCGCCTGAGGACGCTGACTCCGATCGGCAGCGAGGCCCGTGCTATCCTGGCGAAGATAGAACCCCCACCACTAAACGGGAAATCTGGGGCTGGTACGCCTACGGGATTGCGGCTGAAGTTTTTGCTGTCTGTGGTGTCGGTATGTAGACCACTTGTTACACGCGCCATTCTTATGACTGATGATAATCCTCTGGGATTGTTGCAGGTTCGTTCCTCCCTCTCACCTTGGAGCAATCGGCTCGCGAACAAGGTTATCTCCAGTCCAGCCGTCTTCCCTGTGTCGGCCCGGATGCACCTGCAACTTCTGGCAATGGAACATCACCGATAAAAGAGGCCTGTGTGGTCCCATTGATGGGATTGGAGATAAATACGGCGAGTTTTGCTATGTATACTTTCTCTCTGGCGGTGCTTGTCCAGGCCTTGACACTCGTGTCCTTTAGCGCCCTCGCAGATTATGGTATGCCTTATCTTCCCCAATTCGGGTTTTTAGGGCATCTGTGATTTGAATGCTGATGCTCTTTCGCGTTAGAATACAACCGGAAAACTTTGCTTCTCACTTTCGGATATGTTGGCTCTGCAACCTCGATGTTATTCATGTTGATTGCGCCGTCAGTATATGTTCTTGGCGCTGTTTTGGTCATAATCGGCGTCACCTGCTTGGGATCATCATTTGTGGTGTTGAATTCCTTTCTACCTATCCTCGTCGCCAATGATCCTTCCCTTAAATCCAAACCCACTGGGGAAACTGGCGAAGAGCTACATCGCCTTAATACTGCGGAAGAGGATGCATCGCTCAGGTCGTGGACCGATGACGAGGAACCTGGCATTCGTTCTTCCGCCGCAAGATTCGAAAAGACGTCGGGATCAACATCAACATCGCCCGAGCTGCAGCTATCGACCAGTATTTCGTCCCGGGGCGTAGGTTTGGGGTATTGTGCTGCTGTGTTCGTGCAGATTCTTAGCATTCTGCTTCTATTCACACTGTCAAAGACCCGTATATCCAAGTCTTTCCCAACGCTCCCTCTTCGGTGCGTGCTCTTACTCGTCGGAATATGGTGGTGCGGGTTTACTTTCGTCTGCAAGCGTTGGCTACGTGACCGTCCTGGCCCCCCGCTGGAAGATATCTCCCCGGGCTCTGGATACCGTCAGAAATGGCGTGTATGGTTACGCCTGGTGGGGTTTGCATGGAAGTCGCTGTGGAAAACGATGAAGCTAGCTGTGAGACTGCGTCAGGTGGTTATTTTCTTGGCAGCCTGGTTCTTGCTCTCGGACGCCATGGCCACGGTATCTGGTACCGCAATTTTGTTTGCGCGGACTGAGTTGCATTTAAGCAACACTTTTGTTGGGCTGCTCTCCATCACTGCAACAACATCCGGAATGGCTGGTGCATTCCTGTGGCCGGTTGTGTCGCGGTGGTTTGGCCTAGCGTCGAACCATACGGTGTTATTGTGTCTGGCTTTATTCGAGATTATCCCGCTATACGGCATGTTGGCTTACATACCGGTAGTACAGAAATGGGGAGTGCTAGGGCTACAACAGCCTTGGGAGATCTTCCCGCTTGGTGTTATCCATGGGGTCGTTTCAGGAGGTCTTTCATCATACTGTCGGTCACTGTTTGGCGAGTTGATCCCTCCAGGAAGCGAAGCGGCCTTTTATGCCCTCTACGCTGCGACAGACAAAGGCAGCTCGTTCGTAGGCCCCGCAATCGTTGGCGTGCTCATCGATGCCACCGGGTCAGTACGATCGGGGTTTGTATTCATTGCGGTACTGATCCTGCTGCCCATGCCATTGATTTGGCTAGTAAATGCGGATCAAGGACGACATGATGCCATCTCAATGGCTGAGCATTCACGCGCTGGCGAAGAGGGAGAAGGTTTACTAAGGTAAACTGACGTCTCTCATTAGAGGCCAAAAATTACATATATAGATAAGAATATATAGAACTAGCCAACGACCCCTGAAACGCTAAAGATGAACCAAATCCCATTCCAAATCGCACCTGTCACATCCCAAAAATAGACACATAGGTATTAATCCCTCACTCCCTCACTCACTCACTCATCATCCACCACCACCACCATCCACACTCCCACTTCCCCATTACTCGCCAGGAGCGGCGTACAATGAACCCATCGACTGCGCCCCTCGGTATTGAACTTTGTCAGCCACTTGATTCTCGCCGTAACACTCCGTCCCTGCATCAGCGCCTGGATCAGCTCCTCCCGCACACCGTTGGAGCTCCCGATGCGCGAGAGAAACGAGGACTGCAAGATCCCTGGGATCTGCAAGGAGGGTGATGTAAAAAGGATTCTGAGAGACGGGTACGGTCGAACAAGAAGGTACTGTTGGTTGGTGTTTACTTTCGTTAGTTTTGACTGAAACTGGGGTATAAACATTTCACCCTTTTTGGAAAGGTTTAGGGGGAGGGAAGTCATACATTTTCATAAGCTCCAGTTAACGACACCGAAGACTTGATATCCCTTGCGCGAATCGCCGCGTCGATATCTTCCTCTGTTTCGGCCGGTTGGCGAAGCGATGAACCGGGACGTATCGCCCTTGCTGATGCGGCTGGGTGGAAGAGGTGTCCGCCGTGGTTTTGTACGGTGTTGAGCTCATGCGGGGAGAAAAGCTCACACAGTGAATGGAATTCTGATTTTCTGGCGTTGACTGCTTTGGTTTCTTCTTCTTCTTGTTGTTCTTGGTCTTGGTTTTGGTTTTGGTATTCTTCTTCCTCGTGGTTGGGGGCAACTTTCTCTTCCGTGTGTGGTTCTTCGACTGCTGCTGCTACTGCGGTTGCTGCTGCTAGAGACTCGTTTTCAATGTCTTCGTGGTGCGGGTAGTGTTTGTTGTTGTTGTTTGTTGTTGTTGCTGCTGCTGTTGTTCTTGCATGAGCGCGCGCATCGAGTCCATGTGTATACCCTCCATGGCTAACCCTGAGACGTCGATTTGGGCACCAATAAAGTACCGCACGCGTCCGTTGCTGTCACAGAGGGGAGCGCATTGGAGGAGATTCATGAAGGGCGATCCATCGCGACGACTAGTTTTGTTTCAGGTTGTCAGACTTTTTTTTTCTCCTGTCTATGGCAATATACAGGATAGAATATAGAACCGGGGGGGGGGGTTTACTAATTGAGAAATAGCTCCGAGTGATGTCTCCCTGCTTCAATTGCTTCTCGGATGCGTCGCACGCTGTTTCTGTTCGTATGTGGTCCTTGAAGAAAACGACAGTTTCGCCCGAGGACGTAGTCCATGCCGTACTGGGTTGTCCGGTGGAATTCTGGTCATCGTGAGATTAGTATTTGCCCTTCAGTCTGGTGATTCAGCAGGATGATGATGAGGGGAATACCTTCTGAAGAAAAGATAATTGGGTTGTCTCGGCGCGACGGATCAGTCAAGCAAAAGACCTCCGCGAGCGCATCGGATGTGCCCTGGAATTTGGCCGGGAGGGTTCCGCGCACTCGCTCCTCGACTATCGTGCTGGTGATGCGGATACATGTAGACGTAATGAATGCTGGGAGTTCTTCGGCGGTGAGGGCATCGAGCGCATCGTGCACACGACGTTCAATCGCCATGTGATACATGGATGCATCCGTATCTGTTGTGAAGGTGGTTGTGGTGTCGGTATCTCTGCCAGAGTGAGATGATTCAGCAGAGGAAGAAGAAGAAGAAGGCGGCAGTTTGCGCATAAGCTCATTGGCATATTCAAGCGCTTTGAGTGCCTTGATCGCGTTCAGATAGTAGGTTAACGCTGGTAGCGAGCGCGGACGCTCCTCCATGAGAAACTCGCGGAAATGAGCGAGGAAGCGCGGGGTGGTGAGGATAATTCGCATGTGGACGGGGGAGAACATGCGCTCAGCATGGCGCTCGAGCGGGAAGCGAGGCGCGTCGTGGTCATCGCTTGTTCCTGGAGCGATCAGGTCGTAGGAGAGGGTTTGGTCGTGGACAGGGTGGAATTGTTCAGAGCCATCGTTGGGGTTTAGTTCTTGTAACAGTGGGAGTTCGTGGGCAATGCAGTTGCGACGAAGGGTTTTTATAGAGGGCGGCGAAGGGAAATTGTGGAGAAATAATTCATCTTTATCCTTGTCGTGGAATCTGTCTGCATAATAATTACCGCTTTGGTCGAGCGTGACGCTATTCAGAGTGCCGGTATACGAGCGCAGAGACTCCGTGTCAAAGCTAGTATAGCCGTCCATATTTTCCCCCCGGAATTTTAAGCCAATTGACAAAAGATTAGCATTCAAGACCAAGAATCCTAGAGCATAACAGGGGAAGGAGGCGAAGTGATGTTCTTATAACTCTTCCGCGCGCCGATAGATCATACTCCGAAGTAGACTGTCAGAGTCAATTGTGCGGCATCACAACATTCGATCGATCGATCTCGACGGTAAACCATCAACCATCGGACTTGCGACCTGCAGATGATGCCATTCATCGCCATTTTCTCTCTCAAATATCTGCATCGTACTTTACAGCCAAGTCCAGAGCTCTAATGCTATTTTTTTTTTTTTTTTTTTTTTTCTCTTTTCCTTTTCCCCTGATGTCTGAGCGAGCGGCTGCCTTGTGATCTTCAACGATACGACGTGGAATATTTCCACTGCCAGTCATAGAGTAAGAACCCTAACCACAGCTCTAGATCTTCTATTTCGATCTGCTAGAATCCTAATGAAATGACTTCTAACGATGCTTCGATGGTGATTGAGGATCCAGTCACGTGTTGTGTCGTAACCTAACATGGACATCCCAAGAATACATATCACCTCAGAGTGCAGTATCTCCCCCAACACCTAGTCGTTTACTGCGAATATCCTCTTCTGCTATTGATTACCACAGTAATGACTATTAGTTCTGGGGTAATGGAATCTAAGATATGAATTGGGTTTGGGGCTAGACAGATAGCGAGATATGGTATAAATTGTCCATAATTAGGGCTTACCGCGGGAATTATTGACTTCGCAAGACGTCCCATAAATATTGGAGATAAAGTGTCCAATGATATTAATACATCGAGCAAGTAATTAATTACTGACGTTCTCTTTCCATTAAGATGCTCGTCCTCATTTTGTATCTCTCCACCACATCCTCGAAACACTCCGCTTGGAGGCGTATAGAAAGGCTGACTCTGCAATACTCTCGTCATTATCGATATATTACTATATTATTAGAACCCTGGGACCATCAAGCGAAAAGAAGAGATGATATTATTCTCAATTCTCAAATAACCATCTACAAATGAATTGAACGACATAAGTTTGTTTTTTTTGGGGGTTGACGCTTCCCTTGAACTGTTAGTCAAATATAAATGTGAACAAACGGTTGTATCGTCTCGTCTTTTTTTTTTTTTTTTAAACAGATATACGGGTCCTGCCAGAAGATGTGTCAATTTTACTGCATCTCCCCGAAATCACTCAATCGCCGTTTCCTCCATTGCTATTGTTGGTGTCCGTCTCATCGGGTGCGAAAGTCGCCTCACGCATAAATGGGCTCCGGCGCCGAATTGCTGGTCCCTTGATCACCAACACCACAGGAACTACTGACAATGCTAGTCCGATGAACCCCAGCAACGACCCCGCCCATCCATATCCCAGATTCGCAAAAAGCTGATACGAAGCCAGAGGCAAGAAGGCACCGAATGTGTTTCTCCCCAACGATGCCGCGGAGAGGGCGGAAGCAGCGTACTTCTCGTACGCGTCTGTGAGATAGTTGACCACCGCCATGTAGATGGAATAGATCCCAAGACCGGTGACTGCGATGCCAATGGTTGGGACAATCCAGTGCGTAGGAGGAACACTAGCCCACCCGTACCAGAATAGGCCGGCCGTGAAGAGGATACTTCCGGGGATGGAGGTGTATAGTCTAGCCTCCGGGATCGGGCGACCAGGATGCTCGCGGTTGCGACGTGCTGATTGCTGGTAGATCATATCCTGGAGCGGGTTGACGAGGGTACCGATTAGGGCCCCGACACTGATGGCCAAATCGACCAGGCCGGTTTGTAGGGTGTTCATCCCATAATTGCTCGAGAAGGTCTGGACCACGCTCGAAAAGAATAGGAATAAGATACCCCACGCGAAACTAATCCAAAGGGTGAAGAATGCCACCACGGGCTCGGTGAGGAGCATTCGAGTTGGGCGCTCAAAGGAGACCTGAAGAAGTCGCCAGATGCTCTCGTGGTTCAGCTCGTTGATGGCATATACAGCGCGACCGGTTTCTCTTCGAATGCGTTTGGCTCGTTTGCTGAGAATGACGTCCGCACGGGTTTCTTGGAGTAAGAGCCAAAAGACGGGGATGAGGGCAGCATTGTAAATGATTTGAATGTAGAAGATCCTGCTGGGGTTAGTTCGGATTCAGGGTGGATAGTTAACTAGTCGGCCAGAACATCGGGCTTACTTACCATCGCCAGGGGCTTTTCTTATGGATCGACTGGATTGCTGACCCGACAAAAGGCCCTAAAGCAATTCCAATCACGCTGGTCAGCCCAAACAGCGACATTGGGATACTCCGCGCCCGGTCTCCCTGCCAGACATCACTAATACTGCCTCCCACGATGTTGATGGAAACAGAGGACGCGCCACCACCGAAAAACCGAGTGACAACCAAGGTAGCAAAATTCTGAGCGAAAGCCGATGGGAACAAGGAAACGACAAGAATAAAATATGCGACAAAGTAGCCTGGCATGCGGCCGGAGGATTCCGTCAAGGGCACGAAGATGAGCGGCCAGAAGGCAGCCCCCATGTTCCAGGACACGGTAGCCCAGGCAAGATTCGGAAAGGGTACATTCTGAACATGGAATTGCTGCGCCATCCATTCATTTCCGGCTCCATAAGAACCTGCGGGAATGCCAGTAAGAATGGATCTGTGGTGTATGAGCTAACCTTCGGGAATGGGTCTGAATGAAGCTATCGCGGGGACGGACACACACACATTATGCAAACTGTAATGGTCAATGTCCATTTGTATCGATTACTCCAATTAAAGCTACTTAGAATTAGTGTTGGACCATCAGATGTGCGGGGAAGAAGACTATACGGGTTATCCGGATCATCCTTTCCCTCCCACGTATGGACCTCGATCTCGAGAGAGTCACGCAGCCGATGTTTACTGACAAGTCCAATGTGGTCATCACGTCGGAAAAACGATCTCACCCTGCAGCTGTCAGGCCCAATTCGAGCTCCCGCATTGTAAGGTGCGTTGCGTACCTTGCTAGAAATGAGTCGTCAAAGTCGTTCGTCTGGACAGTCGAGGACCGCCGCAGCACATCAGGCGGCTTATCGCTAAGAGGATTCTCATCTTGAGTCATGCTTGACAAATTCACCAGTAATCAACGGATTCATTGCAACAGACCTCAATCAGCTCCAGTCAGTCTAGCCTTCTGGCTGCAAGGTACCTTTTAAGGCAACGCTTTGCAACCATATCCAAGGACATATCCCGATCTCATGTCGTCATGGACCAGCGCTCGCAAGCGGAGCACATCCCCCGGAACGCCCTCACTGGGGTTTCCCCTCATCTTTCCCCCAAATAGACTGATTTTTTTTTTTCTGTAATTGATTGGAAAGAATCTGGATCTTAGGACTCGCTTACAAGCATATTAACAATACCCTTTCACTGGTGAGGTCATGCTGATGTCACTGCAAACTCGCGTCTTATATAGGGCCGAATGTATCCGGCTCATCATCTTTTTTTTGTTTCAACCAGATCAAGAACAGAACACACGATAATACTCTTTGATAATTATTCCAAGCAAGCCACTATGCCTCAACTAGTCCCCACGGCCAACCATCTCGCGGACCTTTTCAGCCTTAAGGGCAAGGTGGTGGTCATTACCGGCGCCTCCGGTCCCCGCGGTATGGGCATCGAAGCCGCGCGGGGTTGCGCCGAAATGGGCGCAGACGTCGCTATCACCTACGCTACCCGACCCCAAGGTGGTGAGAAAAATGCGAAGGACCTTGCTGAAACCTACGGCGTCAAGGCCAAGGCCTACAAGTGTGACGTGGGCAACTACGAGAGTGTCGAGAAGGTCGTCAAGGATGTTTTGGCGGAATTTGGTCGCATCGACGCCTTCATTGCCAACGCGGGTCGTACGGCAAACAGTGGAATCCTTGACGGCTCCGTCAAGGATTGGGAGGAGGTTGTGCAGACCGATCTGACGGGGACCTTCCACTGTGCAAAGGCCATCGGCCCACACTTCAAGGAGCGAGGCTCTGGCAGTCTCGTCATTACGGCTAGTATGTCCGGTCACATCGCCAATTTCCCACAGGAGCAAACCTCATACAACGTTGCCAAAGCTGGATGCATTCATTTGGCAAGGTCTCTGGCCAACGAGTGGAGGGACTTTGCCCGAGTCAACAGTATCTCGCCTGGATATATCGATACCGGACTGTCGGATTTTGTCGACCAGAAGATTCAGGACCTCTGGCTGTCTATGATCCCCATGGGACGCAATGGAGATGCAAAGGAACTTAAGGGCGCGTACGTGTATCTGTGCAGTGACGCCAGCTCATACACGACCGGCGCTGATATCCGGATTGATGGGGGATACTGTGTTCGGTAATACATTGGAACTGATGTACTCTGGGTCCTTTATCCATTAATAATAAATCCAATCATGCACCCTTTCGCTTTTTGAATTTGTATCCAGCCCCTCTTTCCAAACCTTGTCATCACACGTTCTAGGCCCGCGCTCTAGTCCAAGCCATCAATTAGTTTCCAGATATGATCGTATTTGGAAGTATTGATTGCCATGTGCTCTTTGAGTGGTAACCGGTATTCGGGGAGCTCACCTGCTGCACATATGCGGACCACGCCAACTTGACTATATTGTACTTGAAATATACTTCTTCGCCACCTTTAGAGAGAGAGTTTTCCATGGAATTCTTCAAGTCTCCAGCTTAGCAAGTCGCCGTTGGCACGATCTTGCAGTTCGCTAGCCTTCTAGACAATATACGTACAATCCACGAAGAGAACACACAAGACCTCGTAAGAACTATGAACAGTCTCAAATGATTGGTCTGGTTTCCCCTCTTGTCTTTGACTGATCAATAGGTATCTGCTCCAAAGATGATAGATCACCATTCACTCTTATCTATGTACAGTACACATACCACCCGGCCAGCCAAGCTAGTGCATACATATAGTATAGCAGAGCATATATACAATACCCATCTTCTTACCCACCTACCTACCTCACTCACCCCCTTATACCAGCTTACAAGTAAGCAGCAAACACATGCTAAACCTCCGTCGTAATAGCTCCACTCTCCACATAAACCCCAGACCAGTACCAATCCTCCGCCGGTCCATGCGGTCCATTATCCAACCGCAACTCTCCAACATGCCAGTCCGCCGAGTTCGTTGACGTCGACGCACTTACCGGCGCAACCACTTCCTGGAGCGCATCCGCCCCCAGAGACGCATACAAGCCCACCGTGCGCGCGCCAAAGTCAATCGCGTACGCAAAGTTATACCATGTTCCGGCCTCCAGGGTCGTCGACCAGTGGGCCGCTCCGCCTGCAAACCAAGCAAGAGAGCCAGCGCTAGCGCCACCGTATTTGAGTTCGGTGAAGTGACTCTAAAATACTCGTTAACTAATTAGACGTGTTCTTTTTTTTTTTTTTTTTTTTTTTCACACTGGCTTGGCCTTAGAGCAAGTAAAAGTCCCCGAACAGGCGATAATGAAAAAAAAAAAAAAAAGGCGTACCTCGAAAAACGCAATCTGATGCTCCAGGTCTGCCGTCGGGAAGTTCTCTTCCCGGGTCTGCAACGAGAAATGATAGAAGAGCTTGCCGGAGCCCAGATCCTTCGAGGTCTGCGGGATGAGCTCGGAACGCATCATGGGCTGGCCGTTCCACGAAGAGGTGTCGTCAATGGTGATCCGGATGCCCTGTGTCTCGTGTTCGAGCGTGGAATTGGGGTTCTTGAAGTCCGGGGAGAGGCCCAGGTAGTGGCTTGTGGTGTTGGAGCCGTGGATGTACCATTGGTATGGCTCGATTTGGTTGGACCAAGACCCTTTTTTCAGTGTTAGTTTCTTTTGTTTTTGTTTTTTTTATACCAGGATTGTCAGTGGGAGAAGTGAGGAGAAAGGAAATATATACAGTCGTCGAAATCGTCCACCGTAAAGGTCTCGTTGAAGAGACCGCTCCAGAGCACCGTGCCTGCGGATGCTAGGGGGAGAGAAAACAGGATGGACTTCATTTTCTTTCTTCGCTTGGCCCTGTGGAATAAGAAAATGAATGAATGAATGAATGAATGGCTTCTGCTTCTCACTTTACATGATATCTCTTGCTCTACTCACCTTTTATATCCGGATCTTTTAGGGGAAGGGGAAGAGAGTTTCATACTCTTTAGCTCGCGTTTCAAGTTAAGAGGCCCATTTCCTCGAGGGAGTCTTGTCCTCGGAATTTAGAGCCCGGCTTTGATTTGAATTTCATTTACTTTTAGCCCTGGGTTACCGGATTGGTGTTGTTTTGTGACTTGGTTAAGGGTGGGTTGCATTCTGCGGATAGACGCCACTTTCGCACATGCAGCTAGCTGGCTGTAAACAGGGGAGGGCGGCGTTTAGCACTGCAGAGATGAGGCAGTCCCCGTATGAGATTGCGCTGGACCCGACAGGTGTCACTCCGGCGAGTAGCAAGTAAAATGTCCCAACTGCTGCTGTTGAAACGGCCCTGATAGCCGCCCACACACCTGGGGTGCTGCTACCTGGGTTGCATAGAGGAATGTCAGTCGCAAGTAGCCAACTCTGAGGGTGAATTGCTACTATTTTCAGCGTCGTAATGCAAAAGATTCTATGGATCATGGATATCTGAACTGAATCCGGGGTAGACCCCGATATTATCTATGTAGAGGGCACACATATCGCTGTCTAGATACACGGTCTAATAATGTGTGAAAAAAAAAACATACGGAATCGCCAAAGAGGAAAAGAAAAAAACACGCTGGAACGAACTACAGGGGATGTCATCTCATCTTCTCACCCACCAAACATCGTCTGCAAACACACTCGGTCGCGCAGGAAGAGGCGAATCCCAAGATCACTGCAGACCTGTTGCAAAGGCTCCACCATGGCATATACACGGGGCTTGATGACTTTCTCGTGCTTCTCGCCCGAGCCCGCGGGTCCGGAGGCACCTTCGTCGTCGTCGTCGTCGTCGTCGTGGAAGAATCCCTCAATATCTAGCCTCTGCAAGCCGGGGAAACGCCTCTGTTTGTGCTCGCTGAGGACTAGTTGTTGGAGCTGCTGGATGAGAATACCTAGCGAATTCTCTTTGCACCCTTCCACGTAAATCGATTCAACCGATCGCGGGAGGATCTCAGTCAGCGGCGACGAGGGCTCGGGTTGATATCGCACATCCAGGAGGTTCGGGAGACGAATGCGTAACTCTTTCAATGCGGTGAAATCCACCAGTGGTCCGAACCATTCGTCGTGTGTTTCATTTATCCCGGCAATAGTGAATGGCAGGTGTTCGCCGCAGGTGTCCAGCCACAGGGTCTGCAAGGTAGCCCGGCTTCGCGCTAGAGATTGGCGAAATGAGGACGGCCGGTACCCCTCGGATTGGACGTGGGCGTCAGAGTGTTGGTATTTGAATGATTTCAATGGTGAGCCGGAAGCAAGCAGTGTCTCCATTCCTTGGGCTCCGCTGCTCGAGTTAAATGTAATCTCTGAAATAGACGAGCAGGCTGTAGCCGTTACCTCGGGTGCCTGTGCATGCCTCTGCCCATCTTCCTGCGTAGGGCGGGATTCAACGACGGAATCTGCAGAGAATATTCGTACAGAAGGCAGTTGAAAGAAAGGCATGATTTGAGCAGGGACAAAGCTGCCCTTGGTGTCCTCATCATCCACCAGGTGGCTCAAATGCACCTCCCGTAGGGCGTGGAATGCGGGTTGTTCATAGCAACGCTTCTCCCCTGCCACGACTCTCTGTAATGTGCGGTCCAGGTAGCGATTATTTCTTGGGTATACAAGGCGAAGCTGTCGAATATTGTTGACCAAAGGTAAGAGAAGCGCGATCCAGGCCTCCTCCTCGCCGCTAAGGAGATCCTGCTCCCATTGTGCATGTTCATCCTCCGAATTGCACAGTGAACGAACCCAATCGCTAGTTGGCGTGAGGTTTTCCTTGATCGAACAAGCATGGGATGGTAATTTGGGTTGCCAGTTCTCGAAATCCAGACATCGCACGGCCCGGGCCAGCTCGGGTCGAAGAATAAGGGCGTTGAGGAACGTCTGGGTCTGGGAGCAGCTCTTCAAAGATGCTGATCTATAAAGTGCGCGTAAGTACAAGCTATGAAAACGCTGACAGACAAAAATCAACTTGTATCTATCCCAATGGTCTTCTACGAAGTTCCCAACCTGGAGAAGGATATCATCGGGAAGGGACAACATGACCACCACTTGGGAGCATTGAATTAAACAAACTGAATAAAAGAGAGGGAGAAGGGAAGGAAGCTTTAGAATATGGGGAATATGGCATTTACTTAAAGACAGTGGCTAACGTTCAACTTTTTTTTAAATCTGTATCCACAGCCCTACAGCGCCTTAGTTCAAAAGATCAAATAAGCCAATTAGATAGAGATCTCTAGACGGGAACTAACGGAAGCTTTGGAATTTTTCAACATATATGGATAGTTTGGCTAACGCCGTCCACGATTCCCCAATCGGATCAGCGAACGGGGTTCCAAATGTTCCATGATAGTGAATCTGTCGGTCTCTGATAGGAAGGAGTATCAAGACCAACCCGGAATTTTCAGTGCATTGACCCCGAATAATAGGCATGAAACCGATGATAGACCAGTGATGATACAAGGGTTTGGCAACCCCCTTCAAAAAGGATCCGCGTCAAGCGCGGTGACGGAGATTTTCAAAGATCCATCAATCTCCCGAATCCATCAAAACCACTTGAGGAAGGCAAGGCGAGCGCATTTTCAACGCTATTCAAAGTGCATCTTAGCTGCAGCGCCGTCGGTGGATCTCCCGCCACAGATTTTTCGGTCGGGAACGCGATAGGAGATCAACATGGGCTTCCCCGCCCAAGAAAATGAGCGGGTGCAGGCGAGGGGCAAATTTTGGAAGATATTCGTTACCTGCATAGCGCTCGTTCCGCGGGCTGTAAACGGATGGTTTTCGGCATGTGTCTAGGTACAAGGAAGTATACATATGCGAAGGATCACCCTCCACAGGCGAGAGAAATCAATAACAAGTCAGCGTCCCTCGGGATTTTTGGAGCTCATCTACATCGGAATCTGCACTCGCTGATCAACCAGACCAACACGCCCAACTCTCGGGGAACGATGGATCTCCTCCAACATACGTGTTCCGCAGTGGATATCTACAGTACGATCATCAGAAAAAAAAACCCGCAGGCGAAAATGAATAAGTGGACCAAGGTGTCCAGGACTCACCTGCAGTGACTGCGCCGAAGCTTTTCTCCGGCCTCAGGATTGTCATCTATGAATTTTGTTCCCTGTATCGTATCTGGTGGCTTTCCATCTTCCACCCACGCTACCAGTGCAGCCAGGATATTTCTCTCTTTTTCAAACGGAATTCCGACTGACGGAGATCCACCGAGCTGGCCAAATACCCACGCTCCCGGACCAGACTGGCAATGCCCCATCCCAGAGATACGAAAGAATCGGAAGAAATTATCCATCTCCAAAGGTGACTTGTGCATACCGTGCATAAGACGGTCGTAGAGTCGCGCGCTGTTAAAGCTCGTGATCTTGCCGTCTTGCTGCCCGTGGAAAGCAATTAGTTTCCCGCCTGCGTTCTGGAACTCGGAAAGGTCGCATGGCCATGTTCGGATCCCTGCTGGGTTCAAGGCGTCGGCGACTTCTGCGTCATGAATACAAAAAGTGGCCGGATCCCATGAGGGAGAGTACACGACGTATCGGAACCAGTCCTAAGTGATTGAGCATATCAGATTACCGCTGATATAAATTAGCTCGAGGGGCTCCTACCTCAGAGTACGGATATGGCGCCCCTGTATATAACTCCTTGGACGCTTCGATTTCGCTTCCTGGTTGCATGCGGGGGTAAATCATCGCGCCATCGTCATCCTCGAACGGGCTGAAAATCTTTTGCACGATTTCGACCTGCTGCGGCGTCAAACATTGACGGCCTTTCCTCTTGTGGCAGAGCAAAGCGCTCGCTTGGAAATGGCAAAGCATTGGATCTTCGATAATCCCGTCTCTGACTCTATCGATACCATCACACTGAAGAAGAACTTCCGGGTGGATCACTTTCTCCCACTGCTCCTGACTAATGAAGTTTGACGAGTCTACAGACCCGGTAATTGGGTAAAAGTGCGCTCTCCAGGATATCAAGTCGTTGAAGTCAACAGCAGGCGACCCCGCGACAATACCATCAAAAGAAAGCGGAAACATTTCGGCTGAACGCATCCCCTGAAGTCCCCCAAGGGAACATCCAAGGTAATACGACTTTCTATGAGATTGGCCATAGAAAGCATGAGTGAGAGCTTTACCTATCTCGACACTTGTGTGCAGACTAAAACAATGTCAGATCACCCGCCACTCCTTTCTCCACGTCTCGCCGAAATTGGGAAGAGTGAATAGTTAAGGGTTAACTTACGCTCTCCAGGAAAAGTCAATCAAAACCTGTGGATGTTGGTAAAACGCTTTGCCAGAGTTGCCATTGTGACCATTATTAGACCCGGTGACAGCAAAGCCATGCGACGCGGCATAATCCATATCCGCATATTCGATGCCTTGCATACAGTCAAACCCCAAAAGGTATATATGCTAAATTCCACCAAAAGGAAATGAACTTACATCCAGCCATTCCCCCATTGCCCGTAGCCAGGAAGCGCCGACCAGTCCAGTTGCGGGGCAGCCACAGCTCCATCAATATTCCTGAATCCTCAGATGTCGGAACAGCTAGTGACACGCGACATACATCCACCGATACAGCCTGGAATGACGGGGAACATGACGGATCATTATCCGGCAAGGATAGGTTGGTCCCTGCCGAAAGATACTCAGCAGCCCAGACTGTAGCATTGGGGAAGTAACTCTGTGGTAGAAAGTCGCTGCATTGCTGGACGAAATCCGTCATCCCAAAGGCCCCCGTTCCAGCGACAACCCCCAGCAACGTGGAGAAATTTTGGAGGTTCATTTAATGCCAATTAGGATGTTCGACAAACCTCGAATAGTACCATGTGGTTATCTCAAGGGAACATAGCGGAAAAGAAAGCAGGCGGTCTAGCCCGTGTCTGCATATGGAGTAAGAGAAGAAAACAGATCTCACAAATTGAAGACTAGGAAAATATCCCACGAAAGAGCTTCAATTAAGTAACCGTTGCCAATCAACTAGCGGAGACACTTTCTGCCTTTCACTCCGTTTATATGCAGTCTTCTTCTCTTCATTTAACTCGTGAACTCCATTCCGATAACTTGGTAAAGAAAACTGATAGAACCCCCCCCCCCCTTCCCGTTTTTCTTTTCCTATCATCCTCCGCGGCATCTCTCGGGACTCAAAGGCTAGGCGGCATCATTATGTACGGCGACAGAAACAAGAAGCTCGAATTGGAATATCGGCCGCTGCCGCCGCAAGTTTCAACTGCTGTTTCAAAATCCGAGCCTCGCCTGTGCGTCCGAGCTTCGTAAGGCATTCATAATAACCATGTAACGACCAGACGTTATTCAGATGCTGGGATGCACGCGGTAAAGTATCGTCCATTCCCAAGTCAGCGCTATAGACCGCGGCCGCTTCTTCAACATGTCCCTGCTCGAGAAGAAGAGCACCATAGGCGTGTCGCGTTGGCTGCATCCACCCCCACGGTTCATCATAGGGAAGTCCGTCGTCCAGTTCAATCGAGCGCCGCAGGTGCGCAAAGGCAGTTTCAAAATTGCCGCGACGGTATTCCAACTCTCCGTCGAGCATGGCGCTCGCAATGGCGAGTATGTCTACGCATGTATTATTAAAAAGCATTCTGCTGGCCGGCACTTTTTCCCGCGCGTCCTGGAATGAGGCTCGTTCCTTAATTGCTTCTTCCACTTTCCCTGTGGCTGCAAACGCAACTCCCCTCCCATAATGGATCATGGCCGTCGTGGCACAGTATAGTTCTGGATCGTGTGGAAGGTCAAGGCTCAGGATATCATCCCACCGTCCGAACCTAATCAGCACATGGATTCTCGTCGATAAAAACCCTTCCAGCCAGTCAGCCATAGGGGGAGACTCAATACGAAGCAGCTCCTCTGGAATCGAAGCCTCCAATTCCGCTGCCGTGTCCAGAGCAACTTTCGACTGTCCCACGAACATAGCTGCATAAATACGGAAATGGTAATCGTGCGATCTGTAAAGAGTATAAAAGTTGACTGGTCCGGCACGGGCAACAAATTTTTCATCCGACCTGATCGCGTCGGAATTGGACGCAATCGCGCGTCGATAATCACCACACAGAATATCTAAATGGGTGGGCATGTGGTTAAGATGTCCAGCATCTGGCACGAGTCCGCGAAGATTGTCTGCCACTGACAAGGCTTCTTCAGGCGCTCCAGACATCTCCATGAGATGAATGTATAAGTGCAGTAGACCCGGGTGCGTAAGCCCTCCCTCTGATTCTAATGCACGATCTAGCACTTCTTTGATCTCGAGAGTTCGGGCTCCGCGAGCTGGTTGACCAGTTCGCAAATCCCAAAGACCCCAGGGGGTAAGATTCATCATGGAGTCTGCATATAATGCGGCCACATCCAAATCGTTCGGAAATCTTTCGTACGCAGATTTCATAGCGTCCGCGTATCCTTGGTTCCAAGCGGAGCAGTCCGTCACTGGCTGACCCTGGGGATACCGATACTGAACAGCATCAATGATCGCTGACTCGACCGGTTTCGCGTTGAGTGCGTGCTGCTTTGCATTATTGGCAGCTTCGTGCGTGCGCTGTACCGTCGTCTCCAATTCACCGTCCTCGAAGAACGGCCACGGCTTGTTGTAGTTGGGTCCCAATGTATAGGCCAAGCCCCAGTAAGCCATAGCGCATTGGGGGTCTTGCGTAATAGCATTTTGAAAACAAACGGCAGCTTCTTCATGGTTGAATGCGTATGTCCAGATAAGGCCCCGGTCGAACCAGGTCTGTGCCTCGGGGTTTGTGGTACTCACTGGTCGATGGAAAGTACCGAGGTTGTAATAGTCGCCATCATAGGGCGGAACATCTCCTGTTGATTGAGTATCAGAGGCCATCTTGTTCATGTAGAAGTTATCTTGAAGCAGTCGATTAGGATGTGAGACCGCTGGCCGTTATCATGATGGTTGTTAGAAGGAAGAGGGGGGAATTAGATGAAAGTAGATGTTTTGAAGATGCTGGATTCGAGGGCGGGGTTCTGAAAGCTTTACACTCCATAGCATGATTGGCATGTTTAAGCGGAACAACAACTAAACAACTTCAGGTACTCTAAGCAAGATAATCATAGGTAGTATAGACCGACTAATTACTGGAATTCCGAAAGAGTCAATTCTCACGCCGAGAGGTAATAGGACTTACTTCCCAGTATCTAATTTGTCTAGATGGCTAGAATTTTCATAGTAGCAGGCACACGCGCACACACCGCAATACACAAACCCAGTGCATTGATCACACACCACCATGTTTCCAGAACCCCGACGAGGCAATGTCAAAGACCACACAATATATTCTCCTCTGAAATTGTCAATTGTCATTATTTATTGGCAAAACGCACGTCCAAACTTTTCAGCACGCCCGATTCCACCCGAGTTCCCATGTCCCCAAATCAGTATTATTTAAGAAGCTGTCATGAAGATGAACGTCGTGCGCCAGGAAAAGAGGCAAAGAAAAATAGACGGTAGCGCTGAGTAGCGCTTGCGCAAGGTGTTCCGGCCCTCTTCATCTTCCCCGTAATGTGCCTTTACCCGAGCGAAGGAAACGTAGAAAGAAAAAGAAAAAAAAAAGCTGGTATATGGATGCTCGTCCCATTGGAGGGTGATGAACTCTCTGTGCGTTTATCGTAATCCCAGATCCGTCATTTCAACATTTTCCGCCGATCCCATCCAGAGAATGTTGTTACACCTATTCCAACGTCCAAGTCAGTCATCCGATATCTTCAATGGCAACATGTGAAGGATCGAAGTGCATTGCAAAAGAACCCATCTAAACGCACCTGATAAGCACAAGACCCAGAGATCCTGTGGGCTTTCCATCAATGAATTCCTCTGTATCCCTCAACAACACGTTCATGTACGAATCGATGCTCTCGAGCCTGCCCTTGTACTCTGTCTGGCCCCATTTGAGACGGATAATGACATCGGTACCGACCCTAGAGCGCGTTAGTTAGCAAAGAAACCACTACTTAGTGCGCGTTCAGAAAAGGGTCAGGCTGTAAGGGAATCGGAGCGATCGACGGGGAATGGCACAAATCGCACTGCGTACCTAGCCTGCAAAAACGGCCGAGGGTTCACGGGTTGAAGCTGTAGCGGTCATGGATTAGCATTGCTTCCAGAATCTATATCAAACCACATAACAGAGATAAATGAGAAATTGCGATAAAGAAAAGGGATACGAACACTCATGGTGGAAGGTTCTGAGGAGTTGCGGAATCGAAATCACAAGCTGTGCGAATCGGAGGATGGAGCCAGTCCTTTCCCAAAAAAAGTCCTATTGCAGCAGAAGAAATTTTCTTCCCAGCTACCAGTTCAAATGGGTAGATTCACCTCCTGCGATAGAGGAAGCTGCCGTTCTGATCCTGTCTGCTACTGAAAGGGTCGTTCTCAACCTGAATCTCTGGCCGGGAAAATGTGCTACAGCTCGACGCGGTTCCTCTCTGGCCCAATCAGGACAAGTGCAGAATCACCGCCTTTGAATCCAGAACAAAATCCAGAACAAAATCCCCAGACTGATGAGCTACGTTAAGTAGAATAAACAGGACAAGATTCTCTCTCTTTCTTTTTTTCCCCCCTTCTATTTCAGTAGCTTCATACTTAGACACATCAGAATATTATTACGGGGATCGCTATACCCTGCCCCCAGTTCGCAGAAGATTCCATCTCAACAAGACAAGCGGTGCGAAGCTTCTTACGCTCTTCCCACTTCCCAGCTAATATCCTTAATGGAAACTTCCTCACCAGCCTTCTCGTCGTAATCGTACCATTCGCCCTCGGACAGATCAATACCCGTGAATGGCGTAGAAGACTCAGTTCCCTTGGCTTCCCAGTCTCCCTGTATCTCAGCATTAGCATAAAAATCAACAACTTTCATTTCATACCCCTAGCAAAACCAAGACCGGGATAGACAAACATCAGACTTGAACTCGGTAAACTCCAACCCACGACACTCAATCTCAATCACCTTCTGTCCCTTCCGCTTATCATCAGCCTCGTAGGCCTTTGGACCTGTCATAATAGAGGCGGAGTGGGTTCTCTTTTTTCCCATTTGACCGTATAGTTAGCAATCTGCACCCGCAAAGCAAAGGGGAGAGGAGAGTGTGCAAGTAGGACTCAAAAAACCAACCTGGCAAAGCTTGCATTTCCACACAAAATTCGCTTCTCCCCTGCTTCCGGGGATTTCATGCTGTTCCTATATTCCACCCTTAGTATACGAATATATTTATATATATATATCTCTCTCTCTTTCTCTCTTGAACTACCAGAGGATATGGCGATGGAAAGATATAAAGGGAAACTTACGAAACGATTGAAGCTCACCCAGTTTGGGTGCGTCTCGCGGCACGAGGTACATTGAACCTTGAAAGTATAGTAGTAGGGCTCCTCCTCTGTGTCCCGGGGACATAGTCCAGTGACACTGTTCAGACCCTTAGATTAGTTTTAATTCGAAGGACTATCATCACACGCATATTCCTAGATGTTGTTGAGCGTGCGGGGGAAATTCGCACGGCGCCCGTGTGGTTGGCGGGGTGCTGCTGTTCCTCGTATAGACTTTCTTTTTGGCGGCGCAAAAGGAATGGACTTAAGAGCTGGCGGACTCACCCTGAAAGTTCGGCAGAGAGAATAAGAGAAAGCATTTTCGTAGGCCTTGCGATGGGTTATTTATTTGTGTAAATGCTGCAAGTGTAAGGTGTAGGCGGAAGTTGTTCTAAGCGGGGCAGGTGATGTCGTTTTTTGCTGGTTGACTTGATTCCGCACCCACGGCATTCTTGGAGTAGCTTTCTCAAGGAACTGGTCGCTACGAAAAGAACTACACAATTTTGATTGATTCCTACAGGTTGGTTCTGTTCATTTTTGAATTCTTGAATTTCTAGGTACATACATAAAACGCCAATAATGCTAGTTCACAATCGATCGATCCTCCAAATGTAGAAAAAACAAATGGTGTATCTACATGGCATCAGACAACGTCAAAATACAGGGTCATCGTGAGGTCATCTTCGGCTACAGGCGGCTCTGCTGGTCCTGGCCCAGGGGCTTGGTAGAGAAAGCGCCGAAGTAGGCGTTCAGAGCATCAACGGTGCCACTACCCTCGGCCAGCTGAACGGTACAGGCAACGTGACTGTCCGGGCGGGTCACAACAACACCACCCTTCTCAGGGTCGAATCCAAGCTTCTCATGGGCGGCATAAGTGGCGTTAGGCACTCTGACGTCGGGTATATCATCAGCGTAGAGGTGGTGGTGGTAGTCGCGCAGAATCTGGGGCACGGCCTCCAGGTCGATGTCATTCTTCTTCTCAGCGTAGATAACGCAGATAGTGAACAGCTTGGAGTGGGGGACGTGCTGCTCAAAGTAAGAAACCTCACCGATATCAGATCGGCGATAGGCGGAGAGGAATGAGCGCTCCTTCTCCAGGTTGGCAGCAAAGTCGGCAATAGCCTTTTTGCTAGACGCCTGTCTACCAGCGAAGACGAAAATACGGAATGCTCCATTGGCAGGAACCTCCTGTTCGAGGTGCACAAAGTTGGAATCCGCAAGGCGGGTAACAGTGGAAGGAGTGAAGGCCTTACCGGTAATCAGCTTCACACCGGGAACATCGAAGAAGGCGGATTTCGCAGGGTGCGTGGAATCCCAGTTGAAGACGTTGGGCTGGTACGCAACGCCATAGCCACTGGTGAATTCGCAAGAGGACTTGAAGGTCTTGATAAATTCGTCCTCTTCGCCACCGGCAACAGTAGCAGTGTGGCTAGCCGAACCAACTTCACCAGCAGTAGGCCGGCGCTTGGAAAACAAGGCAGCATATTTGTTATCGAAATCAAGCAGGGTCTCCGCAATGTGCTTGCGCTCGGTTTCATAGGTGCTCAAAATAGAACGCTGGGCCAGGCCGGACTCGACAGCATGGATTTTCCAGGCCATGTTAAGGGCGTCATGGAAAGCAGTGTTCATACCTTGGCCCGCCTTGGGGCTGTGCGTGTGGCAGGCATCGCCACCCATGAAAACGCGCTCGTCCAAGGTGTACTTCTCGGAGATACCCTGTCCAATGGGGTAGACGGAGTACCATTCAACGCGATCCCACTCCAATGTGTAGGGGGAAAGAATCTTCTTGGCGACATTCTGGACCTCTTCGGCGGTAGCAGTCTTCCTGGGGTCGAAGTCGGGGTCGGTGGAGGAAGCAATCTGAACGTAGAGACGGACCATGTTGTCTTCACGGGGGATAACCATGATAGAGCCAGCATCGGAGTGGATTGTGCACTTGGTCTAGGTGGTTGTTACAAAGATTAGCGGTATGGTCAACCATAATAAGCAAAGGAACGGAGCTTATAATCACCTCAATATCTGGGAAGTTGGTCCTCACCACACCATCCATGACACCCCACACGTAGGAGATAGGGTCCTTGTGGTGGATCTGGATACCAAGCTGCTGTCGCACGGAACTGCGGGCACCTTCACCACTGAAGAGGTATTTGGCGCGGACAGTCTTGATCACATTGGTGTCAAGGCACTTGAGTTGCACCTGGACGGGGTAAACCTCGTCCAGGCCATCGTTCTTGAATCCAGTGATGGTCCAGGGACGCTCAACAGTCGTACCAGCCTTCTTGATCTCATCCAGGAAAACCGTCTCGATCTTACCCTGGTGGACAAGGGTGGTGAAGGGATATCTTGTGTCGATGAAGCGGGGGCAACTGGGCCAGCTGCCAGTGCGGTGAATACCGCTTCCATCAGGACAGGGGTCCCAGAAAGAAACATCGTAGACCTTAGCAGGATCATAGGCCATAATCTTGCGCTTCAGGCCCATGTTGCGCAGAATTTCGGTCGACCGGGGCTGAATACCATCGGCACGGCCAGTTGCGGTCGGCACAGGGCGGTTATCAATGTGCTTCACCTTGTAACCCCAGCGGGACATGCAAAGTGAGAGCAGAATGCCGACAGGGCCAGCACCGACAATGACAATATCATATTTCCTGGGGTATGTGTCGTTCGCCATTGTGGTGTATTGTAGATTGCTAGAAACTAGCCTCTTTCGGAAGAGATGTACGGAAGTGGGTGATCGACTACTCCCAGGTTACAGCTCGGAGAGAGAGCAGAGAGAGGTGGATATCAAGGGTAGAATCAAGCTCAGAATATTACCCGCTTCCCGCAGAAAAGTAGACTTGAGGGAATGGATAAAGATGAGGGAATAGAGAGAGGGGGAATCATGTTTGAAAAGGGTAGACACGCCCATATATAATAATTGTAGAGAGCTGGAGATTCTTGGACGTATGTGGTGGGAGGGCCCAGTAGAGGGCCACAACGGCAATCATTTCGGCTGGATGGTGAAGAGAAAGAAGGAGAAAAGAGCAGCTTGTAAGCAAGGGCTCAAGCTAGTGCACGTCCACTGTGATACAAAGCAGCTCTGGGTTGTGCGGGGAGGCAATCATGAAAGAGCAACCAGAATGTATTTTCCGATCCCATCAGCGGGCGGCGGCTAATCAAGTCGGCAAGTGGAGTGGCTGCACGTGACCCCACAGCCTGGTCGGGATTTTTTCGTCATTTTTGGTTTGTCTTGAACAGAGAGGGTGATGGTGTGGTAAAGATGGAGGATTGACACTGAATTCGAAGCCCTCAGGACCGAGGCGGAACCTGGAACCTTGGAAAGTGATCCAAACTACGGGATTAGAAAGGTTGACCATGCTGCAACCTCAGGCATCAATCACATCCAACACCAAAACTTACCTGATGTCGGATCCAAAATTCATCAACACCCCATCCCGAAGTTTCAGAATAGCCACAATTCCATGGCTGCCATTGGCTGCTTCCCTTGAAATCGAATCCCGCTACGGAGTATATACTATGACGATTGCAATTAGCAGCCTATCTACGATTCTACGATCCCATAGTGAGTGGGGACCCAGCAGCTCCACAAACGTGGAGTGCTAGGCTACTGATTTCTCGCCGGTGCAATTAGTGAACTAAATACGGAGGCGTGCACCAAAAGACTTGGGATTCGCGCTAGTAAGAATGGTATTCAGATCATAATAACACTAGCTGTTTCCATAGCAATTAAATGTTTAGATACATCACCCCCAAGCTACCCCTGACCCCATCTAAAAAATGAAGCTATTCACAGTCCTCCCACCCACCTAAAGTACTTTGAGGTGGATGAAATTGCTGTATAGAGAGTTGCCCCTTTAAATACTTGCCTTTCTAATTTCTAGAATTAACCTATTCTTTACCTTCCTGATATTCATTTCCACCTTCTAATTGAATAATCTCTTGAATATACCGCATTAAACATTCAATCTATGCTTGAATATTCTCCTGAAATAGCTCATTTCATGCATTAATCCATATCTTTTTTATAGTTTTTTTATCCCTAGGAGCACCTCTAGAAATTATATACTTCTTAAGCTATGCCCAGCAAGGTTCAATTGCATTAAGATCAGGTAAATTACCAGGCCAATCTAGAAGCTTTTAAATACCATAAATATTATATATTCGCTGCTAGGCATAGTGTTTATATGCAGGTGCTCCATCTTCCAATTGTAAGAGCATGTGATTCGGGCAACATACTATACCATTGGACCAAAAGGTCACTATGATCAGACCTGATGGTCTGATCTACCCGAATCCCACCTTATATACCCTAGCAATCATTGCCTTGGCACCAGTGCACCTAGTGCACGCCGTGACAACTATCTCCTTCCTTGAGATAAGGCTTGACCGCAAGCCAACTAGCATATATTCAGTAGGGACCCCCAGCCCTAAGCCAGCTAGGCTAAGCTAAGGGCTGTGAGCAGGTAGGCGTGGTTCAAATCTAGTAGCGCAACCAGGTCTATCCATGCCTTTCTGCCCACCTAAACCGCTACCCGCTTTAGGTGTGCCATACATTCTTCGCGATCACACATTCTTTATGATTTTTTAATATTTGAAGCTATATAATAATAATAATACTAGTAATTAAAATAAAAAAACTCTCCAGCTTCTTTAGTATATCTTATATTATTAATTTCTCTTTAAATTAACTCCTACAAGTATAGAGGAGGTAGAGAACTATATACTTTCTTTTTCTACTTTATTAACCTCCTCTACTTATATTTAGTATCCTTTACCTTCCTATCTTTAATTAATTAAATAATATCATGAATTCTTAGAACCCTATTACTAGATAGATCTTTAATCTAGTACTTAATATAAACCCAGTATTAAGGCTCTTATATAGCCCTAATCCTTTAAATTACTTCTTAGGTTATTTTTAGCTCCTTGAACTTTTCTACCTAATATTAAAAGAGTTTTAATATATTCTACCTTATCTAGTTAGATACCTTATTAAGTTCCTTTATAATTTTTACCTAATTCTTTAGAAGAGCCTCTATTATTACTAGAAGACTATTTTCAATGCTAGAGAATAGTAATAATAGTAGAGATAGGGTTTAATAAAGATTAATTAATATATCTAGTATATTTATCTAATTTACTAGTTTTTTAATAATTTTAATATTATTAACTAGCTAGATACTATATTCTTTAAAGGTATCTTAAATAATTTACTAGCAAAAGATCTAGTTATAGATTAGCTAGATAATCTTTAAGAACTCTACCTTCTTATATAGCTTACCCTTTTATTAAAATAGCTTATTATTCTTAAGGTAAAAATTAATCTTATAAGTAAGAAAAGATTTTCTATTAAGAAATTAGTAAAGATATATTAAATAAACTATAAAATTAAAGAAAATAATATTATTTTTCTTATAATATTATAGAAATTTAAGTATAAGATATAAGCTATAACTATTAAATATTAGATATTATTTCTTGCCTTACTTAGTATAATTAGGATATTTTATTTTAATATTAAATTAATATAGCTAGGCAAGTATAAGCTTATTAGTTATCTAACTATTTAAGGATATTACTATTATTATTTTAGATAATAATTATTTTATATTATAATACTAGACCTCTATATAGTTACCTATTACTTTAAAAATAAAAAATAAATCTATTACCTAACTATTTATAGCAATATATTTAATTATAATAATATTTTTATTTTACTTATTTTCTATAAGATTAAGGTATTTAGAACCTCTAAAAATCTTCTTATTATAATCTTTACTTAATTAGAAATTATATTTATTAAAATTATAGATAAAACAAGCTAGGACCCTATAAAGAAGTAATTTTAAAAGATTATACTAGTATTAAAGTAAGCTAATATTCTTTATTTATATCTACCTTAATTCCTTAATCTTCTACTTTACTAGAGCAAGTCCTAGATCTACTAGTATATATAATTTAAATTAATATAATTATATCTTATTAACTTGCTTATCTAACCTTATACAAGTAAGTATCTAATTTACCCATACTATAATAACTATAAGAATTAATAGAATATTCTATTTCTATATTTATATAATCTAGTTAATTAAGGCCTTCTCCTAATATAGCTATAAAAGATTCTTATTTATTATTATTAATATTACTAGTATTTTTAGTTTTTTAAGGTATATTTAGAATATAGAGTTAGGTATATTAAATTCTTATATAATCTTTATAATATTTAGTTTTTTTTACTTTTAAACTATAGCAATAGCTTCAAGTAAGTAAGATTTATTAAAATCTAGAGATTTAGGCATGTTATGTTATAATAATAATAAAAATAAGTTAAAATATTAAAAATCACGAAGAATGTGTGATCGTGAAGAATGTGTGGCGCACCTAAAGCAGGTAGTGGTTTAGGTGGGCAGAAAGGCATGGATAGCAGGGAACCTCTAGCACCTATTCAGGTCTAGCAGGATTTTTAACCAAGCCCTAGCACCTTAGGTCTAGCGGGATCCAACCCAGCCCTAGCACCTATTCAGCCTAGTGGGACTCAACCCAGCCCTAGTACCCATTTTAGGTCTAGCGGGACTACCCAACCCTAGGACTTAATTATCATTGTCGCACACACAATGACAACAGCCGGATTCGAACCACAGCCATCTACCCATCAGGTCTGATCATACTTGTAAGAGCATGTGATTCGGGCAACATACTATACCATTGGACCAAAAGGTCACTATGATCAGACCTGATGGTCTGATCTACCCGAATCCCACCTTATATACCCTAGCAATCATTGCCTTGGCACCAGTGCACCTAGTGCACGCCGTGACACCAATATAATAGTATTCAATCGCTCAATTTGACATTCTTTTGCAAAAGAAATAAGTTTGGGAACTAGAACTTCCTAAAAGAATAATTAGAAAGGTAAAATTAGAAAGGTAGGAAGTCAAACCATTTAATATCTATACCAGTCAATACCTCCCTTGCCTTTTCATATAAGCATTCCAGTTTTTTCAATAAACCTCCATCTAGGTTTTCTACCACCTTTAGGTCAAAGATGAAGCCTATAAAGGCCTGAATTAAGCTCCCATTCTTCCTTCAAGATAGGCTCAAGTTAGCTATTCATTTCTGCAATAACCTTATCTGCATGCCTTTTATCTTGAGTTATTTCCAGACCATATATATATAAAGAACCTTTCTTATCATAAGTAAAGCATCCCCAAACCATAAAATCTAAATATCCTTTCCAACGCCTTCGAATGCAAGTAGGATTATATCGATCTTCAGTTATACGCCATACCCGAATAGAGCCTCATCATTGGCCTAGAATAATGCTAGTTTCTGTAAGCGTCTCACTGGCGAGGTGCTTGGGTATGGGTAGTGTTGGTAAAGGAAGCAAAGCTACATGGAGTACAAGGATAGTAGGAAGGTATTAGAAGTAATAAAATAAAGTACTTGCCTCTTAGTACTTTAGGGGTTATTATATTATTATTTATATTATTTAGTTAAGTTACTAGTATAGTATAAGTAACTTAAATATTACTATTTTCTTAATTATTCTTAATTACTAGATATATAGTTTAGTATATAGTTTAATATATAGTTATATATTATATAATTACTATAATAATTACCTTCCCTCTCTTTAATAGCATGTCCACGCGCTGTATATATTAT